TATATATCATACATATGAATACAGAGCACTTCCATCAGACGGTCCTACAAAGTCCTAGCAGAGTAACAAAGGAAACCCGGCTGACGCCGGATCGTGGATTCGCATGTAATCTACAGGCAAATGAACTCATCACGTAAACACAACAGCTGTCTCGTCCTGTTCCGACGAGGCAGTTTTCGATTATACACAAGTGGATTCCTCCCCCGCGCTGTTACCCCTCAAGATTGCATCAATCTCTCAATGCGACGCCGAGTGTCCATTTACTCAGACTCCTCAGCCTCGGCCTTGCGGGCGGCCTCGGCCTCCTCCTTCTCCTTCTTCTTCAGGAAGAGGAGCGCGTTGATCTTGTCCGTGATGCTGTGCTCGGTGCTCTTGGTGGCGATCTGCTCGCGGCCGACCAGGCTGGCCACGATGCTGGCGCCCACCACAAAGGTCAGCACAAACCGGTACATGCCGTACCAGTGGGGGGCCCGGCCGTGGGCGGCCGCCCGGGCGTCATTGTAGTACAGGAAGGTGAACGCGAGGAACTGGCTGATCAGCGCGTACTCCACGGGGAGGAGCAGAGTCGGCCAGGCCACCGCGGGGGCAATCACACCGGCCGCGTAGCGCTTGTAGCCGTACTTGCCGCCGTAGCCGGCCCATTCGAGACCCCAGTGGATGGCGCCAAGGAAGGACAGGATCTGTAGTGGTTAACATTGAGCCTGTCGGTGATAGGGCATAGATGGGTGACTTACGACAGCACCGTAGCCGACCTGGATGGGCTCGAGCATGTGGAGCATCAGCTCGGCGCTCTGGCCGGAGAAGATCAGGCCATCACCGAGAGCGGCGGCGCGGTTGGTCTCGTAGGCCAGGTACACCGTCTCGAGGGAGGTCGCAAGGTAGGGGATGACACCGGCCATACCGAGGTAGAGAGCCTCCTTGGGGACTTCCTGCAGGCTGAAGGTGTCCTTGATCACTTTCTATGGCGCAAAACATGATTAGTCCATTGAAGAAGCAAAGTCGGCTCTAGCGAAGTAAAGAGATAGAGAGAACGCCAATAGACGTCATATGCACGTACAGCCTCGGTCTTGATGCCGGCCATCATGTCAGTGTCCTCCTCGGCGACCTTGCCGTCCTGAGACCATATCAGCAATTGATTCGAGAAAAGGACGCCATTCACCCTCTCACCTTGGGGGTAGTGGAGGCATGGCGGACAAGCGCGGTGGTGACGGGCTTGCGAGCAGCCAGAGCCAAGCTGGGAGAGGTGGTCGGGCGGGCGGGATAGCGAGCGGACGAGGTCAAGGGAGCCTTGAACACATTGTTGGCGAGGGTCGAGCGGGCCACCGAGGCGTTGGAGCTGGAGATCGCCCGGAGCACGGAGCGGGTAGCAGCGGTTCTGTACAGCATGGTGATAGGGAGGGCAGCTATAATTTTTTCTGACCCCGAATTGGTCCGGGAGGAAGTTGATTAGCCGGGCAGGTTCTGGAAAGCTCGGACGGGGTCACAGGCCGGGGGAACGTACCCAATTGAGCTGGAAACCTGGCAGGTAGGATGTAGGAGCGGAGATGAGGGTATTCACCCAGGAATTGGTCGAGATTGGACTCGTGGGAGTGGAGATTGAAGGCCGAGGAGACAGAGCTGAGGACGACGAATCGACGAGATGATTATGCTGAGGTGCGGTCATGGTCGGGTGTCCGGCGAGCGAAAGAGACCTAAACCGCAGGTTGTCCCGCGGGTATGCCGCTTATGTCAGGCCGTCGGGAGAAACAGGCCCGGGAACGGATGAACTAACCCCGTTGGGCACCACGAGGGAAGGGCTGGTGCCCTAAAGCAGTCTAAACCGCAAACAGACAGCAACCCGCATGGGAAGGACGAGCGACCGACGTCACTGCCCTTCCCCCCCCCTTATTATTATTATGACTGAGGTACTGAGGTGGACATGATTGCGGCCAAGTCCAGGCACCTTCCTGATCAATCAACCCAGCTTTATCTTTCCACGCAATTGGATGGGCCCTCTCGTTGATACCCAAACTCCTCTCTCCAGCTGTCCTTTCATCTCATCTTCCATCTACGTCGTCGACTCCATCCTCAGCTGATCGCGCTCCGTCAGTCACTGTTCGGCTGTATTACGTCTCCTTCCGTCTCGCAGTCGGCCCGCATCCTATCGCGTGCATCGCTGAGCCATCTTCCTGCATGGCTCTGGCTTCTCTTTTCAGCGAGTATAACTAGAACTCGCCTTCAGCGAGGTGAACTTCCCTTATATTCACCTTCAGTCTACTATCTTTTGTACCGAGTTTCGATGTTCTCGTCTTTGCATTGTTTTGCTCCGTTGACTCGATCCATCTACCCCAGACTTCACCTGCTGACATCTGTACAATCGCAGTAGGTCGGCTCCCTGGGTTATTCACTCTCTCAAGGTAGACCGCGACCATGTTGGAAGGCGTGGTAGCCAACTTGCTCAACCGCTTCCTGGGCATCTACGTCAAGAATTTCGACGCCAAGCAACTCAACATCGGCATTTGGTCTGGCGATGTCAAACTCCGCAATCTCGAGCTGCGCCGCGAAGCCCTAGACCAGCTTCGTCTCCCCCTCAACGTCGTCGAAGGCCATCTCGGTGAGCTCACGCTATCCATCCCCTGGTCCAACCTGCGAGGGAAGCCCGTCAAGGTCGACATCGAAGATGTCTTTCTCCTCGCCGCCCCCAAGGAAGACGCCGACTATGACCCCGAGGAAGAGGAGCGAAGGGCACAGACCCTCAAAATGGAAAAGATCGAGAGCGCCGAGATTCTCAAGGATCGCAACGCAGAGGGCATGAGCCAGGAGGAACAACGCCGGAACCAGAGCTTCACCCAGAGTCTCGTAACCGCCGTCGTTGATAACCTCCAGATTTCCATCAAAAATGTGCACTTCCGCTACGAAGATTCTATCGCCTCTCCTGGTCACCCGTTCGCCGTGGGCCTGACTTTGAAGGAGCTCAGTGCCGTCAGTACCGATTCAGAATGGAACCCCACGTTCATCCAGTCGACCTCCGGAACGACGCATAAATTGGCTATCCTGGGCGCCCTTGCAGTCTATTGGAACACGGATGCAGAGCTCATGGGAACGGGCCGAGGTTCGGATGTCGGTGCTGAAGCGCAAGGCACAAGTCATGCGGAGTTAATGGAACGGCTGCGATCCGGCATCGACGATGAGGAAAATAAGCAGTTTATGCTCCGTCCCGTCAGCGGCCGTGCTGGCTTGGAGCTGGACAAATCCGGAAAACATGACAAGCCCGCCGTCAAGACCCGACTCTTATTCGATGAGCTCAGTTTTGTCTTGGATGATCACCAATATCGCGATGCACTGATGCTTGTGGACTTGTTTCACTACTTCATCCGCCATCAAGAATACAAAAAGTTTCAACCAAAGTGCCGACCGAAGGAAGATCCCCGCGCATGGTTCAAATTCGCCGGAAATGCCGTCCTCAGCAAGATTCACGATCGGAACAAACGTTGGACCTGGGATTATATCAAAGAACGTCGGGATGATCGGATCGCATACATCAACCTCTTCAAAAAACAGAAGAGGGAGGGCTCCTTATCAGGATCGGATCTTGAAGAATTCGACCGATTACAGCATAAGCTTAGCTACGAAGATATTCGATTCTGGAGGTCATTGGCCCGAAACCAACTGCGCAAAGAGAATGTGGGCATCAAGAAACCTCCACGAGCTCAGACATGGTCTGAGTGGATCTGGGGTACAAAGAAGGAAGAGTCTGAGGAGACAACCATGACCGAGGAGCAACGCCAGGAGCTTTACAACGCTATCGATTGGGATGAGAAGAAAGCGATTGCAGAAAGTGTCGATGTTCCGCGGGAATGGGTGAAGCTTCAGGTGAACTCTGGCCTGAAAGCTGGCAGTTTCACGCTCAAGCGCGACCCTCACGGAAAGGCCAATGAAGTCATGAAGCTCGTGTTCGACGATCTGCGAGCCAAGGCTCTACAGCGTCCCGACTCTCTCTTCCTCGATGTTAACCTTGGAGGACTGAGAGTCTACGATGGAACGACCGAGGGGAGTCTCTACCCTCAGATCGTCAAGGTGAAAGACTCCCTTCCAGTGCCAAAGAACCGGTTGTCCCAGATCTCGGGCAATGAGGAACTGGAGTCTGAAGTGGGAGATTACAGCTTGGGCGATGACGATACTCTCTTCCACCTCCAACTTGAGAAGAACCCACTCGAGAGTGATGCCGACTCAGTGGTCAAGGTCAAGTTAAAGAGTATTGAGGTCATCTACAACCCCAAGTTCCTAGTTGAGATTGTCAAGTTCTTCGAGCCCCCAGAGCGCCACATGGAGTCGATTGGTGCCCTTCTGGACACCGCTGGAGCCACCGTGGAAGGTATTCGGCAGCAAACCCGAGCTGGCTTGGAGTTTGCCTTGCAGGAGCACAAGAAGGTGGACGCGCAGTTTGACATCCACGCACCCCTGATTATCGTACCGGAAAGTATCACCCAAGAAAGCTCCCTGTGTCTGATCCTGGACGCCGGTCACGTTAGCGTGAACAGTGAGCTGGTCGACCGACAGACCATGAAAGACATCCAGTCAAAGCAGAAGCGCCAATACGATGAGGGCGACTACAAGGAGCTCGAGCATCTGCTGTATGACAGGTTTTTGCTCAAACTTGATTCCACCCAGGTGCTTATCGGCCCGGGAATTGAGATTACAAAATCGCAACTCAGCTCAGATGTCGCATCGAAGAATTTGCACATCATTGACCGCATCAATGTCGACTTTGTTCTAGAGCTGTGCATTGTGCCAAAGGTCACGGAACTCACGAGAACTCGGATCTCTGGCCATCTTCCTGAACTCCACGCATCAATCTCTGATACCAAGTACAAGGGCCTGATGAAATTGATTGACATTGCCATACCCAAATTTGATGAGGGCGGTATTGAGTCAAACAAAACCACCAAAAAGCCCGAAGAGGCGGCAGTTGTCGGTAACAGGGCCAGGTCATCATCGTTCCAACCTCAAGCTCTGAGGGAACTACCTGTTGTTGATGAGGATTCTGACGATGAGAATGAATCGGATGATGAACAGACAGGAAAGGGCGCTGACCAGCCCAATATCCATCGTCGTGACTTTGAGTTCAAGTTCACTGTTGGCCGCCTTCGTGGTTCCCTGTTCAGATCTGACCCCTATGACCAGTTGGCCGAACATCTACTGGTCGAGCTAATAGCGGAGGGATTTCAGTTGGACTACTACAAACGGCCCTTTGATATGGTAGCTGAAATTGTCCTGAAGTCGTTGAGCGTGGATGACTACATCGAAGAAAACCCCCTTCCTGAATTCAAGAGGATAATATCCTCCAAGGGCTTTGATGCCGACGAAGAGAAGGATCTATTCCATCTCAAATTCGTCCGCGTTAATCCTGAGTCTCCTGAGTTCCATTCTACCTATGAAGGGGTAGCGATGAATCTTGATGTGTCCGTCTCGACCATCAACCTCGTTGTCACCAGGAAAACTCTTCTGACACTACTGGACTTCATACTCCTCACCTTCACAAATCCCCAGCAGCAGAACGATCAAGATGCCCAGTCTGATAAGACAATCCAAGGAACCACCGCGGAAGAACAACAGCCACAGCAGAGTGGAAAGATCCGCATCAAGGCCGACCTCAAGAGTATCGCGCTCATACTGAACAATGATGGTGTCAGACTAGCTACCCTAAGTCTGAACACCGCTGATGTTGGCATCTTCCTTGTTGGTCGTTCCATGCTGATCCAGTCCCGGATTGGAAGCTTGACCTTGATAGACGATGTCAACACGGGTGCATCAGAAACCTCAGACCTTCGAAGACTTCTGACTATTGAGGGCGATAATTTTGCGGACTTCAAATACGAAACGTTCGACCCCGAAAGTTCCACCTATCCAGGGTATGATTCGGAAGTCTTCTTGAGATCAGGCTCCATCAAGATCAACTTCCTTGAAGAACCGTACCGGAAAATCATCAATTTCTTGGTCAAGTTTGGCAAGATGCAGGCCATCTTCAATGCAGCCCGCCAGGCTGCCGCAAATCAAGCAAACCAGCTTCAGCAAAATGCATCCAGGATGCGATTTGACGTCGTTGTTATGACACCGATTCTTGTCTTCCCCGGTGTTGTAAAAGATGATCGTCCACGTGATACCGTGACTGCTCATCTAGGAGAGATTTACGCCAAGAATGAGTTTGTCCCTCTTGAGGAAGATGACAAAGATAGTCCTGCTGTCAACGTGATTTCCAGTGGTATTCGCAACATCCGGTTGACCTCGAAATTCCACTTCGCAGGAGGTGCAGTTGAGGAACATGAGATGATCCAAAAGGTCAATTTGGACTTCAGTATATGCTATCTGGAACATCAGCAAAACAACCCACGTCCCGATATCGAGGTGGAAGGTTCCATGTCGCCTATCAACCTTCGCATTTCCCAGAAGCAGCTCAAGTTCCTCCTGGAGTTGTCCAAGAAAGTACCTGGTGCTTTTGCAACCGATACCGAACAGCAGGAGTTGGAAGCCATGCAGGCTCTTCCATCTTCTGTTACAGAACCTACCAAAGAGGCCGAGTCTAGAGCAGTCCAAAGTAGAATTGACCAAGACCAATTGTCACCACAGACAACACCCAACAAGGAGACTTGGGTCAGGTTGGATATGATCTTCAAGGTTGACAGCGTTGGCTTGGAGCTCATTCTTGGTAAAGACGACGAGCCTGTTGGCCGTTTGGAGGACTCGAGTTTGTCCAAGTTTTCGCTCAACGATACCAAGGTCAAATTGCGCATGTTGACTGATGGCTCCATGGAGTCTGAACTGTTGATCCACTCCCTCTCCATTCGTGACAGCCGCAACAAAGACACAAATAAGTTCCGGAAGATCATGTCGTTGATCAATAACGATGTCCAACAGCAATTCATGGCCAGCGTCTCGATCTCACCAGGACCAGAGAAGCATCTTATAGCGATACTGAATATTGACAGCCCCCGGATCATACTTGCCCTGGACTACTTGTCTGCACTGCAATCGTTTAGCAATTCTGCGTTTGCCACGGAAGAGCCAGTGGAAGAGGAAGACGGCAACGAAACCCCTGATGAGTCTGAACCCAGGTCCAGTACTGCTGATAGCACTGATGCGTCTGGTCTGATGTCTCCGTCGAACGAGGAGGCTCCCGGTCCCGCCCAGAAGATGACGATGTCCTTCAGATTGAATCTGGTAGATGCCCAAATCATCACGATTGCAAACCCAGCCATCACCAACACGGAAGCAATAGTGCTTGGCACAAAGCAGTTGCTATTCTCCCACCAACACGTTTCCACTCTCCAGATCACAAAGGTGGGCATGTTTTTGTGTCGTATGGACAAGTTTGAGACCAGCAGGCTTCGGATTTTGGATGATTTCACTCTAGAGCTGTCCGTGGATAGCCGTGCGCAGGAGAAGGCGTCCTCCCTGACGTCAATCAATGTGCATATCGAGCCACTGGTCCTGCGACTCTCTCTTCGAGATATTTTGATGGCGATACAAATCGTCAATAAAGCGTCTGAGATGAGATCCCGAGGATCGCACGAAGTGGAGACCGGCGAAACCAAAAGACTATCGGATGCTAAGGCTGCAAGCATGAAGAGTTCGAGGAGACGATCAGTCGGCAAACCCACCTCAACCGCAGTTGCACCAAGAAGTCATCGTGGCTCGAGTGCGGCCGAAGTTCCCGAACATCACCGAGTCCCTCAACGTTCGGCTATTCTTAAGAGAGAAGAGCTCAATGCCCAGATTGACGGTCTAAGAGTGATCCTCATCGGAGATCTTCATGACCTTCCGCTGCTCGACTGGAGTGTGAAGAAATTCAATGTTGACGTCCGTGACTGGTCATCTACACTGAGTGCGGACACCAACTTTGACACATTCATAAACGTGTACAATTTCTCCAAGTCGGCCTGGGAGCCTCTCATCGAACCTTGGCAGCTTGGCTTCCACATGGCGAAGGAAGTGAATCCAGACATACTCTCGATCGACGCCTACTCGCACAAGACCATGGAACTCACGGTTACGTCGGCTACTATTGCCCTGGCGTCCAAGTCCTTGCAGTTCCTTTCTACAGACGAGGACGTCCTCTCGAAGCCGAGAGGCGCTGATGCTCCCTACCGGATCCGTAACCATACTGGGTTTGACTTGCATGTTTGGGCTGACGTTAGTGCGGATGAAGAAGGTCCAGCTGCTCGTCTCGCTGATGGCGAGGAATATCCTTGGCGATTTGAAGACTCGACCGCTATGCGTGAAAATCTTGCCCCTGAAGGGCACGCTGGACTCGTGGGTGTCAAGCTCGAGGGCAGTGGTTTCGAGAGCGTAAGCCGCATCCCTGTTGTACGAGAGGGCGAGATTATGTACAGTCTGAAGCCCAAGAAAGATGGTGTGCTGCATCGACTCCTTGTTGAAGTGAAATTGGGAGCGGACAACGTCAAATACATTACCTTCCGCTCGCCACTTCTGGTTGAGAACAATACACAGATACCCGTGGAACTGGGCATCTTTAGTCCCAGGGAAGGCCATCTGTTGAAGATAGAGAAGATTCTCCCAGGTGACTCTCGACCTGCGCCTGTTGGGGCAGCGTACATGCATTCTCTTCTCATCCGCCCTGACCAAGGGTTTGGCTACGACTGGTCCAATGAACAATTGCATTGGAAAGACCTTTTACGTCGGCCAACGCGGACGATCAAATGCATGAGCGAAAGCGGGCAACAAGCACCGCCTTTCTATTTCCAGATGAATGCTACCTACAACGAACGAGATAGCCTCACCAGTGCTTATCCTTACATGCGAGTGAGGATTTTCGCTCCTGTCGAGATCCAGAACTTGCTACCTTACGATTTCAAGTACCGCATCTACGACAAGAATACTAAGAAGGATTGGACGAATTTCCTTCGGAAAGGGGGTGTGAGCCCTGTCCATGTCGTTGAGTTGTCACACCTCCTGCTTCTTAGCATCGACCTGCAGGATAGTGTGTTCAGACAGAGTGACTTCTCTATCATTAATGGAAACGCCCAAGATTTCAGACGAGAGCATGATTTGTCCTTGAAAGATGAGCGAGGTCGAGAGCTGATACTGAAGCTTCATTACTTCAACATTCCTGATAGCGGAGGTGCCTTCAAGGTCTCGATATACAGTCCCTACCTCATCTTGAACAAGACTGGCCTCCCGATGGAGATCCAGAGCAAAGCCTTCCTGCAATCAGCTCGGGCAGCCGCCGGACAAGGGATCAGAGCCGACTCGAGGAGCGGTGGGAAGGCTCTTCCATACATGTACTCTTACCATACCGACGATCCGAAGAACCGCTCGATACTGAGAATTGGTGGCTCTGCCTGGAGTAAACCGCAAAGTTTCGAAGCCATCGGGAGCACGTTCGAAGTTGTCCTTCCTGACAAAAACGGAAAATGCGAATTCCACTCCGGTGTGTCTGTTGCTGAGGGTCAGGGCAAGTACAAGCTGACGAAGGTTGTCACTCTCGCCCCTCGTTTTGTCCTGAAGAACAAGCTTAGCGAAGATATTTTGGTCCGCGAGCCAGGATCATCGAACGTGCTCACCCTCAAAAGCGGTGAACTGGCGCCTCTTCATTTCTTGCGCCAGGTAGCTGAGAAGCAGCTATGCCTGTGCTTCCCCGGTGTGAACAACCAATGGTCCTCTCCATTCAACATTGCCGATATTGGGACGGTGCATGTGAAGCTAGCAAAGGCAAATCAGCGGCAGAGATTGATCAAGGTCGACGTGATCATGGAGGATGCGACTATTTTCCTTCACTTTACCTTTGAAAACAGAAACTGGCCATTCTCCATGCGGAATGAGAGTGACATGGAATTCATTTTCTATCAGGCGGTAGGTATTTCCTTTATGTTTACAAAAGGATATTGGGGCTAACAAGGTACACTAGAATCCGAACCTGGAAGAAGACGACGAAGATACTAGGAGCAACGGATGGCGGCCCATTCGTTATCGTCTCCCCCCTCGGAGCATCATGCCTTACGCCTGGGATTATCCTGCCACGAAGAACAAATCACTCGTGCTGACATGCAACGGCAAGGAGAGACATATCAAGCTCGCGGAGATTGGTAACCTTATGCCGATGAGGATACCACCATCGCAGTATGGCGGATCGCAGAAGATCATCGATATCAACATTGTCGCCGATGGGCCCACGCAAACCCTTGTCCTGTCCAATTTCAAGGCATCAAAGAGTATCTACAAGCAACAGAGTGGCCAAACCTCACAGGCCAGTCTGAGTGCCGGCTTTGAAGTCAAGGAATTGGACTCTGACGTCAACTTCAAGGCCCAGCTTCGCTTGGGCGGAATTGGCATATCCTTGATCAATCAGAATCTCAAGGAACTCTTGTATATGACCTTCCGCGAGATTGAGATCAAGTACCGAGAATCCAGGGTGTATCAAACTCTGAGTAACACGATCAAGTGGATTCAGATCGACAATCAACTGTATGGAGGCATCTTCCCCATGCTGCTGTACCCCAGTGTCGTTCCGAAGACTGGGAAAGAGATGGAGGCGCATCCGATCTTCCACGCTATGGTCACTCGCGTTAAAGACGATTCTTACGGTGTGCTCTATATCAAGTACGCTACGGTGCTTATCCAGCAAATGACCTTGGAACTGGATGAGGACTTTGTGCTTGCCATGCTCGATTTCGTCAAGGTTCCCGGAGCCTCATGGTCTGAAGAACAAGAAGGCACACTTTGCGACGACACACTCAACATTCCCGAGCCGCGGAATGAAGATGCTGGGCAAGACGTCTACTTTGAACTTCTCCATATCCAGCCTATGCAAGTTGACATCTCCTTCATGCGGACTGAGCGTGTGAACGTTGAGGATACAATGCAACCGTCCAACCCGCTGATGTTCTTCGTCAACGTCATGACGATGTCCATGGGCAATGTGAATGATGCACCGGTCCGATTGAATGCCCTGATGCTGGAAAACGCGCGTGTATCACTGCCACTCCTCGTCAGCAACATCCAGAGGCACTACACGCAGGAGTTCCTTGGTCAGGTCCACATCGTTCTTGGTTCTGCGGACTTCTTAGGGAACCCGGTCGGTCTGTTCAACAGTGTTAGCTCCGGTGTTGCTGCCATTTTCTACGAGCCGTATCAAGGTCTCGTTATGACAGACAAGCCGCACGAGCTTGGCTATGGCATTGCGAAGGGTGCAACGAGCTTCGTGAAGAAGTCTGTCTTCGGTCTGTCTGACAGTATGGCAAAGTTTACTGGCAGTATGTCGAAGGGTCTTGCAGCTGCCACACTGGACAAGGAATTCCAAGACAAGCGACGCATGTCCAAGTACCGCAACCGGCCGAAGCATGCGCTGTATGGTATCACTGCCGGTGGCAGTGCATTTGCCACCAGCCTGGCTAGTGGAATCGGTGGCCTTGCCCGTCATCCCCTCCAAGGAGCGGAAGAGGGAGGTATTGGCGGATTTTTCCAGGGTGTTGGGAAGGGTCTCATCGGTTTGGCTACGAAACCCGCCATCGGTGCCTTTGATCTTGCTTCAAGTAAGTACCAACAGTATCTCGTATCGTGGCATGTGAATGATTTGATACTGACTACTTCCCAGGTCTTGCCGAGGGTGTCCGAAACACCACGACCGTGTTCGATGCGGAGGGCCTTGACCGCGTCCGGCTAACTCGATTCATCGGCACTGATGGCATCGTACGCCCGTACTCCCAGCGGGAGGCTCTGGGCCAGTTCTGGCTCAAGACGGCTGACGATGGAAAATACTTCAACGAAGACTATATTGCTCATCTAGAGCTCCCGGGCCGAGACATGCTGGTCATGTTGACCTACAACCGCATCATGCTTGTGCGAACCAAGAAGCTCCAGACTGAGTGGGAGATCCGTCTCCGCGACATCCAGACCATTTCGAAGGAGCGCACTGGTATGAGTATTACGTTGAAGGGCGGCACCAATGGGCCCTTCATTCCGGTCCAGGACGAGAGTGCTCGCAACTGGCTCTACCGGCAGATTGCAGTTGGTAAGTAACCTTGTCTGTGTCTAGGACTTGATGAATCATGCTAAGATTTCGATACAGCTGTCAATGCCTTCAATGAAAAGTATAATACTCGGAGTTGAAGGAGCTCCCTTTTCCTTCTTTTTTTCTTCGTAATGATGTTACGTTGCAGCGCGTGTGGTATGAAGGGTACTGTCAAAAGATGTAATCTTGGAAGCATTAAGGAGCGTTCAATTGATGAGGTTGTTTTCTTGGTAGATAGATAGTTCTTTGTACATAAATTCCATGCGATGTGGCTTGATATTCGAATCAGTAAATTGCTCGTTGCCCTCATTCTATTCTAGGATTTCCGGCTAATCACCATCCCCTTAAACAGTACGCTATCGGCCGTGTAAGCCGGTTAGGCCAGAACCGGACTTATAGGGGTCGCCGCCGCAGTTTAGCAAGCAATTTAGCAAGAAGTTCAGCAAGCAGGATTAAACGTTACGTTTTCCTACATATTTTTTAAAAGAAGCCGAACTAGTAATATTATGTCGCCTGAGTGCCAGTCTCATCGTCGGAGTCGCCCGAGTCACTGCGGCCGGAGCTCAGCTCCACCTGGGTCAACCAGTCCATAATCCCGGTCTCTTCACCTGGCAGCATAACGGGAACATCGTCGTCATCGGACCAGTCATCGAAGTTGAGACGATCTGGACAATCCGCGGCCCCAGAAAGATTGACGACTCTGGCGAAGACAAACGCCATAGTAAAGGCGTTAGCCGCCTGGGCCCGTTCATCAGCCGACATACCGGCCACAATAGTGCGGAATGCGATTCCTAGCATATGTAAAAACATAACCACGACCCATCGGACGGTCGGCGACTGGGTGAAAAGAATGAATCCCGGGCGATGCCTGGTTCGACCGCTGCGTTCGATCGTCCCTTGGGTCTCCTGAGACCGGCCAGCGTGATCAACCGTTCGAACACGTCCCGATGCATCTGTCGGCTCTCCGGCGTATGCCTTGCTAGGCAGCGGTAGACGATTGGGGTCTGGTCTCAAGGACAATCATGTCACCAGTTCGAATGCGACTATCAGAAGCAAGATAAGCTCTGCTGGGACCCCCGCATGCATCAACATGTTGATCGAGGTTCTGTGAGGACGGATACGGGGTGTTAACGGCAATAACGCTGTCCGTATTCTTAATCGTAGGTTGCCAATGCCACTCTATGCCCAGCGTGGTTTGATCGTCGTTGTATTCGAGGGCTGGAATGCACATTTCCTGTCAGTTCACATACGATGGATGTTAGGGGCAGAGGCACATCTGAGAGACGGTAGAGTTAATCTGGCGATCGGAATTATCGTTGCGGAAGATCTCCTTGTACCACGTCTGAAGCCTATGGGGGGTCCAGAATATTTGAGCATAGCTCAAAAGAGGGAAATGTTCTCAACGCGGTGGGACGATGGTTGGCAAGCAGATAGTTAGTGGGAGTAGATATGTGCTACTTCGAAAGGGCAGATTCCAGACACCACGCAGCGCTCACGGTCCGGGTGTTGCCGGGACCAGACACTTGTTGAAGAAAAATCGTCTCATAGGTGGACATGAATCCATATTGCCTCCCCGTTTCCTGCATGTATTCTGCTATTTGCCCTATACGTGGGTCAGTATGTACAGAGCTCATTCAAAAGCATAACTTACCAAGGATTTCGCGAGGCTTTCTCTCCGTCGGGATGTTGCCCAAGGAGTGAGCTTCAACCGGGGGAGTCTTGAGCTCCCCAACAAACAGCAGCCGTCCATTGGACCTCCTCGCCCCAGCTACGTCTGGCACCTTGTCGTATGCTGTAGTCGTGGCCCGAGAATCCCCTATTACTACTCCCTCCCCTGGGAGAGAAAGACCGAGGACATGACCTGACTGATGTGCTGCTGCCAACGTCTCTGCATCACCAGAGATTGGTCCGCCCTGACCATGATGCGCAGATACGCGTGAATGGCTTGGGTGTATCTGGCGAACGGTCACTGTTGCGCCCAGAAGACTTGGAGCCATCTGAGCTGGAGGCCGTATTACTTAGGCGCGGCTCTTTCTGTTTCCAAATCAAAGGAAGCGCAGTACATGCATGCATGCAGAATTCGAGGAGATAGGAGTTTTCCCAAATCCCTCGAGGACCTTCCTGACCATGGAGATGTCTGCGAACATCAAGACAGCCTAGAAGGCCTTGGGAACGGGCTTCTGCAGAATTGTGGAATTTTTCGAGCCGCTCCATGCGCTCCCTTGACGCCTCATTAAAGTTCTCATCGCTCGGAGGGCTCAGCGGTATGAGGGTGCCCGACCTGCCCCACTGAGTTATCTGAATGCTAATCGTTTGAAGAACGAGAAATTGGACTGGGAATACCGAGGTATTCTCTCATCGTAGAGACAGCCGCAGGGGACTGTGTCATCATCCCCGGTACCGTGGACAGGGGTTGGGCATGGTCTGAAGGGGATGGACTCATCGAGCTCATCGACCTCCATTGAGCCATGTCCGAGTCCACTCATCTGTCCCTGAAGGTCAGTAAACATGTCGAGTGAGGGTGAGAGTGAGGGTGAGAGTGAGGGTGAGGGTGAGGAGGTGGAGGAGGCGGAGGGGAGAAGGAGGAGAAGGAGTTTTAAAAGATTTGGGTGTAAGTCATTCCTACAGGGTGAACCTAATTCACTCCTCAGAGTGTAATCATACTGGTTCCTTCATTCCAGGCCACAAGAAACATTTGTATACAATTCTGTAAGTGAACGCGAACTTCGAAGATCCGTATACTCCCTAAGAATGACCTGTATGGATCTGGTGGGGCGGATGCCTAGTACCCGTCTTTCTCAACCAGTAAAAACTCAGACCTGCAGGGCACATTGCAATTCGAACGATAATCGTAAGCAAGTACTCCGTAGATATGGGAAGGTCTTGTCGAGTGCAACTAGTATTGCGTGTACAACGCATGGACTGGTGACAGGTTTCATCTTCTGTGTCGCTCATCCTTAAGCTAATTTCGAGTTTCTCTGGAGGAATCTCCCTTCATATCGAGAAGACGTTTTCTGTCAACCCATGTATGAAGTCGGTGAATGCTATCGATGAATGCGTATACTGGACAATGATATAATGAAAATTAAGGTAGAAATTCAATTCACGGAATGGATTATTGTTGGTTGAGGAGGACGGGAACTAATGCATCCGCCCCACCGGCCCCATACCTGTCATAGTGAAAGCACCTGCATTCTATGGCCCAAGAAGGAAATTCACATCATGGTCCAACGCCGCCTGAATGTCCCATATTTAAACCCTTCATGGGAACTGTCTTTCTATCTTCCCTGCCTCATCTTCAACACGTCCACATCCGACTTAAGCTATTTTGAAGGCCCTTAGAACAGTCAGGACCTGTTTATCTTTTAGCATGACTTCGCTTACTGCCTCTCAGGGACATATGAGTTGACTTGAAGCGATGTAGGTCGATAAGCCGATCATCCTTACTCATCCAGCTGCTTGAAAGGCTTAACAGACCTCTAGAAACCCATCCCTCGGGCATTGAAGTTAAAAAAGCTCCTCGAAGAGTCGGAGAAATCCCATTTTCTCCCCACTGCCTCATGCATGCATGTACCGCAATTCCTTTGATCTGGAAGCAGAAGTATCCGCTACTAAAGAATACAGAGTCGAGTTCAGTCAGTTCCAAGTCTTCAGGGCGCAATGAAGACTACCCTCCTTTCTGGGATTTGCTAAGATACTTCTGAATGCTGACAGAGTTCAGACACCCGTGCCCAAACATCCACGGTATGTGGACTGAAGGAAAGTGTGCATTCCGACCCATCGAATGCAACCAAGACAAGGCCACATTGAGCCTGGAGTGGCATTGGCAGCCAGCCGTCCAAAATGCCTTCTCGTGCGTTCCTTCGAACTGGTGACACTATTGTCCCAAGACCAGCGGCCCAGATCGTTTGCCGCTCCTCAGCAAAACCGTACTTGACATGACAATTGAAGAACCAAGTGCAGAAGCCGAGCCCTGCGGCCATGACAAAGACCTGCCCATCCTGTCACGTGACTACGTTCCTCCATATGAGGTCCGCACCTGCTAGTAAATTTCTTAATGCAAGAATCTTCCGCAATACATTACAGAATGGTAGCATGTCCGGCGAGGGACCCAGCACTAAACCCAGTAAGGACAAGGGACGGATGGCGAGTTCGAACATTAATAACGACCTCAGGGAGCTCTTCGGTGATACAGACCACGACCCGACTGTTAGTCCTACAATCCTCCCAGACAATAAGAACCTTTACTATCTTTAGGCTTGCACGCGCCACAAAAATTGGGCTAAAAACAGACTCTTCGCTCTTAACACATTTACCGGTAATCGGGCCAACGAATGGCAACGATTAGTTGACCCTACCCATCCACTGATCCAAGAGATGGTATTTGTCGTGTGTCACGGGGACACGTTCGGTGACTGCCTGAAATTCGACTCCTGAATCCCAAGAAGCAACCACAAGGCTTTCTTCGTGAGCGAAGACATCCGAGCCACATGGCTCAAACTCTTCCAAGCCGTCGCCTGGGGTTGCGCTACCTCGGCGCAATGGGAGAGCTGGACCGCGATCCAAGTTGTCTACGGCAGGCGGGCTGTGGTGGCTGATTACGCTCGCCAGCCTACTGTCATACAACAATCGCGTGAAGCACCCCCACTGCGAACAAAGCTACAGGCTCCAAAAGAAAGGGCCTGTCAATTACACGAAGGCGCATTACGAATTGTCAACCTGTCTGGAGCCACTGAGGGCTGCCAGGAGAAGAGACTGGAGGAACGTACTGGTTGTCGAATTTGAGCTTCGCTTGTAGCAAATCGGACGACGATGACGCTGAGAATGGTACTCAGGCGACTTTGGAGCTAGAGTCCCCTGCGAGTAAGCGTTAGGCTCAGCCGTGCATCTAAACTACTACTCACACTGAAGTTATTACTGAGGTGGGGGGCGAGTCCTAATGGGATAGTTCGAAGGCATTCGGGAGAACTCGTAGTACGCAGAGAAATGGTGATACGCAGGGGAATTTGTGACCTGCAGAATGTGATGTGGCTGTCAACCAAAATGACTATTACACTACCAAAAAGTGCCAATGCATGTAATATGCCTGTGGGTGTGGTTTGACAATTACTTCCCATGTAGCGGGTTTAATGATCAATGAAATCAAATAGCAGCTTTATAGATTCGATGCGGCTGTACATCGCATGCAAGTAGCATTCTATACGGGTATATTATAAACAATTGCTCATCATTAACATCCTCAGCTGACATCGGGTTCAAAAATTATATCCTCCATAGCGAGGAGATAGTTCATCGAGACTCTGCACGCTCTACCAACTGATCTTCCAAACCCATCGGCTCCCATATGTCCTTCGCCTTTTTGTTCTGTACCCAGACGACATCCCCTTGGACAAAGGCAACAACACCACCCTTGCCTGTAGCGCTGGCTGTAATCCGAAAGAGCGGTTGTCCGTTCTGCGGATGGGCCTCGCGGAGCGGGAGCATGATGAGTCCTTGTTCGACGCACCAAGACTCGAGGATATCCTTGAACGCGACTTCTTCGACGATCTTCGGCTTGCGCGGTGCGGGTGTCGGTTCGGCAGGCAGGGTCGTCTCCTCCGATATGGCTTGTGCACCTGCCGCGGCGGCAGATTTTGTTGAAGGTGGGGGAGGTAACTGTGTGGCGGCTTTGTCGCCCAGACGCGACGCAAGGTCCATCGATTGCAGGCCCTTGTTCCACTCATCGTCGACAATGGTAAGCTCGTTGAGTCCGGCTGGAATCTGAGACCGCCACCAAGTAAACCATTCACCAACTTCTTCGTAGTTCGGGTCGTTCGTGAGCCAGATGTATAAGATGTTGTGCCATTTGGGGAAGAATTCGGCGACGAGAAGCAGCCCCATGACATTAGGTTTGAAGAAGTCCTTCCATTTCAGCACATCCTCAAGCGCAGACAGATCCTGATCCTGGGGGTTGACTTCAAAGTCTTCCCGCAAGTGACGACCGAGCCGTGGCAAAAGATGGTTGCGCAGACAGACATCGAACTCGGATCCCAGAGCGTCGCGCCAGAGCTCGATCCCACTGATCAAACCCCGGTCGAGATCCCAGTTGTCCAAAACAACACGGAACTTCCTTTTGGCATCAGACATCAGACCAGTAGGCTGCTTCGGATTGGTGTGGCGTTCATCCAGATATTGCAACCATGTAAACAACCACCAGGGGAAGCGGGATGAGTTCTGTTGTGACGAAGCATGACGTCTGCTGCTGCTTCGGGGTTTCCATTGCTTGATTCCTTCAGTGAGCTTGGGCACCACCAGCTGGTCGAGCACGTTTGTGTAGACAAACTGGGGTATGATATCCTTCCAAGCGACGATCAGTGATGTGGCCGGGGACGGGTCGAACATGTCCCAGTCGTTGAGGAGGGCGGATCGCACACGGGGTAGCCATAAGGAGTATATCATAGTCTCGTAGGGAGATGTCGATTGACGCGGGGCATAGTCATCCTTCTTCTTCCGAGATAAAAGTGGTTGCAGACGACGCAAGTTTGAAACGAGGAAAGTCGGTTCTTTAAGAGGCTCCCATTCTTCCATGGCCTGTCGGAACAGAGGATGCAGGGCGGCAACCGCAGTCTCTGATAGCCGGTACTCGTCTATGTCATTGTGATATTTGATCTCCATGGATTCGAGCTTGTCGGTGACTTCGTCGACCTTGGCCCGAATGTCGCTGTCGTCCTGGAAGATCTCGAGGTTTGCGACAGCCGTCACGAGCTCCGCCAGCTGCTCGGCGCGAAGCTGGGTGGTATCCAGTTGTTCCACAATCTGGGCTTCTTCCATATCGATGAACTTCTTCCTCTCGGTGAGTCCTTTCCACTCGTCTGCAAACGCCTCAAGATCGTGACGCGCACGTCGGGCAATTTTGAGCGCCTCCCCCTCGCCTTGGTTGACAAACTCCTGCTGGGCCATCAAACCCGCCGTCGAAGTTAACACTCGTTGTTCCTTGCCCGTCGCGTCGATCAACGATTTCAGCACATTCGGCACTTCCAGCCCCTCCATGTCAGCCTCGATTTCGCGCGCAGTGCGGAACTGGGGCTTCGCGCGAGCCACCGGTGTCCCTGTTCCACTGCGACTCTCTCTTTTCCGTTCCTCCTTCTTTCGCTGGCGTCGTCGTCGCTCTTCATCGGAGCTATCCTCCTCCACGGTTTCGCCCCTCAACGCCGCGGCGCGTTTTTCTTCCGCGCGCGCCTGCTTGGTCTTCTCACGGACAGCTCCTAGACCAATACCCTGCGGTCGGGCCTGAGCCTCGATGGGTTTGATGATACCCTCACCCTTGGAACCTAGACCCTGTCCCTCGACGTAACCCATTTTGGCCATCATGCGCGCGGCGAAGGAATTTGCAGCGGGCTTGCTGGAGTTTCCACCACCGCCGCCGCCGCCGCGAGGCGTCGTAGACTGGGTTCGGCGACCATTTCCCAAGCCAAACGACGCAGGAGGCGATTCGGATCTCGAGGCGGCGCGTTGGAAGCCGCGGAAGCCCATGCCCATGCGCGGGCGCTCTTCTTCTTCGTCGGACGAGCTCATGTCGGCGACTTTTCGCTTCTGGCCGGCATATGGGGAGGCAGACGGAGAATCCATGGTCCTTCGATCGAGAGAAGAAGGAGAATGTTATGGGTGGAAGGCCATCGACGGACCAGGTGGATGGTGCGGTGGTGTTGGAGCGTGATGAAAAGGACGAAGATGATTGCCCAAGAAGGAAAGGGTCGGGATTCGGGGAAAACGCAAGTCCGAGGACGATGACGTTCTGCCTCCATCGCCGGATATTCCTCTCCCTCTTTTCTCTTCTCTCTTCTTCTCTTCTTTTCTCCTCTCTCTCTCCCCCAGTCTGACATTGATATCTTCACTTTGTCTATTCCAATCCCTAGTCATCACACATCATGGCTGCCTCTCTGCTCCGTACCTCCGCCCGCTCGGCCTTCCGTGCTTCGGCTACTCCCAAGGCCGGCGTTGCGAGCTTGACTTTCGCCCGCGGCAAGGCTACTCTGCCTGATCTTGCCTGTAAGTACCTGCATCGGTCTGGTTAGGAGAGATCAGACCACAAAGCGGGCGGCTTTCCTCTCAGCGCAATGGAGAGAAATGGAAGATCTCGCTATGTTTTGATCCTCCTTCCGAGCACCCGAAGCTCTCCACGGGCTTTTCCGAGCTTCACTGACTAACCTCCGTAGATGACTATGGCGCGCTGGAGCCCTCCATCTCGGGCAAGATCATGGAGCTGCACCACAAGAACCACCACCAGACCTACGTGAACAGCTACAACACCGCCATTGAGCAGCTCCAGGAGGCCCAGGCCAAGAACGACATCTCGGCACAGATCGCCCTCAAGCCTCTGATCAACTTCCACGGCGGTGGTCACCTGAACCACACCCTTTTCTGGGAGAACCTCGCTCCCAAGAACGCCGGTGGTGGTGAGCCCCCGAGCGGTGCTCTCGCCAAGGCCATCGACGACAGCTTCGGCAGTCTGGAGGAGTTCCAGAACAAGATGAACACCGCGCTGGCTGGTATTCAGGGCAGCGGCTGGGCCTGGCTCGTCAAGGACAAGCAGACCGGCAACATTGGCATCAAGACTTATGCCGTAGGTTTCCGACAGCGATAGAAGGATGATATGGACGCTGACATCATCGCAGAACCAGGACCCTGTGGTGGGCCAGTTCCAGCCCCTCCTGGGTATTGACGCTTGGGAGCACGCTTACTAGTGAGTATACCTTTTTTTTGAGAAAAGGAATGCAGCTAACATTGTGTAGCCTCCAGTACCAGAACCGCAAGGCCGAGTACTTCAAGGCCATCTGGGAGGTGATCAACTGGAAGGCGGTGGAGAAGCGCTTCACCTAAGGGTTTGTGTGTATGTAGGTAAAGGTAATGAGTGGTGTAATTGTATGCAGCGTAATGCAATTATAATTATCAGATGGTCATTGTAGAATAAAGCTGTAGTTCTTGTGCGCTATCTGACTGCAAGCGGTAGTTCCGGATGCCGCGGGTGGATCGGCGGGTATTACTCTATGCAGCAACTCACCATTCTCCTGTTCCTTTCTCTCTTACACCTCCACTCACCCTCTTTCTCTTCCTCCCTCTCTCCATCTTCTCTCCCTGAATTATGGCCGCCGATCCGGGACAACGACGCGGCTTTCGAGCCTTCTTCGCCAACGCCCTCAAGCCCAAGAAATCCCGCCAAGTTCTCCGCAAAGACTTCAGCGCCTCCACGCCCAGCCTCCGCTCCGGCCTGCAATCCCGCGATGGCTACCGCTACAGCGATGACGTGCCCCCCGTGCCGCCGATGCCCGACCTCGCCCCGTTGGAAAAGCACCGCCTCAAGTACCGCGAAGCCAACGCGCAGAAAGACACGCAGCTCGGCGAGCACCGCGACCACACCGCCATGCTCCACGCCATCGGCGTGCAGGAGCTCGACAACCCCGCCGAAATGGAAGCCGAGCACGAGACGCGGCCGCCGGGCGAGCCGCTCATCGAGATGCTCCCGCCGGCCCTCTGGCAGCGCATCGCCGAAGACATGACGCCCGGCGATCGCGCCAGCCTGGGCTTCGCCACCAAGACGCTCCTGGCGCGCCTGGGCGGGCCGGCCGTGGTCTGGGGCGAGCTGGACCTCCCCGAGAACCGCGCCTACAAGAACGACTTCCTCGCGACACAGGAGCGCCACTACCCGCAGCACCTGCACTGCTTCCCGTGCGCCGTCTTCCACCGCCGCACGCGGGCAGGCCGCGAGAAGCTCCAGCCCGCGGACGTGGTCAACCCGCTCTTCGACTGCCCGAACATGCGCAACGCGGTGCTCCCCGCGCCACGGCATCGCATCACGCACAACCGCACCATCCCGTTCACCTTCGTCAACCTGGCCATGCGCGCGCACCGCTTCGGCCCGGCCTACGGCATCCCCGCGGAGACGCTGGCGCGCCGCTGGCGCCGCGACGGCTGGACGCACCACTCGCGCTTCCTCATCCACCGCGGCCACCTGCTGATGCGGGTCGTCAGCAGCTGCTTCGCGGAGCCGGGGCTGCCGCCCAGCTCGCAGCGGCTGTTGCTGTACGGGCGCGACGACTACTGGCCGTACTTCAGCGCGTGCGCGCACTGGCGCGACGGCGAGCTCATGAACGTCTGCAAGTGCGCCCTCGGCCACATCCCCAAGCCGCGCGCCACCGCCGGCCTGCAGGCCGTCGAGCACCGCGCAAAGGACATCTACCACGGCCGCGTCCACAACCCCAACGCCCTCACCACCCTCTGCGGGAAGTGTCGCCCCATGCGCCGCTGCCCCGAGTGTCCCTCCGAGTATCTCGTCGAGATCAAAGCTCACCGAGGACCGCGCCGACCCGCGCAGCCTGCGCTTCCGCCACGCCATCGTCGTCACCCGCTGGACGGACCTCGGCAACGGCATGGGCATCTCGTCGCGCGTGTCGCCCGAGTGGGCGGCTATCACCGGTGAGGGTGACGAGCCGTATGATTCGTTTGGGATGCTCGGGAAGCGCACCATCTCAGGTACGTTTGAGTCGTACATTGCCGACGATATCCTGCCGGGGCAGCGCGTGATCTCCATGAACCCCAAGGGGAAGAAGGAAGGCGAGGAGGGGACAGGGTGGTACTAGATTGGGTTTATCATTTGGGAGTTCGCTGGTATATAAATTGGTAGGTGCATGGTAGGAGTCCGGATTATGGTACTGTATTATAGGAAAATATTATAGGGAACGGGGCGCTTTGGGGATACAAAATTAATGCAAACGCCGTACAGATTCAATTCAAAAGCAGTGCTATCCAACCCAGGTCATTGCGCGTACACTTCAACATAACAGGAATAACATGGTAGAGGTCCACCAAGGGTAACCCAGTTTCGACATAGACACATACAGATATCAAGCCAGCAGATATCACACTGAACAGGGTAACTTGTGCATATTAGTACAGTTTGCGATTGTTCAATGGCGAACGAATGGGGTATAGGACATATCAGACAGTTTGGGTAGATGGACAAATGAAATAAACGAGGGACAGTAACGAGTGGCAATAGAACGACACATCAAGCCCGTCGAGGACGACGTTCCATGTATCGTGGTCGTCGGCTAGGAGACTCTCCCTCCGGAGCCGTGCGTCTGGCAAAGTCTTCGACTGCAATGTTCATCGCTGCGTAGTCCGTCTCCTTCGTTTCAGGGATGGTGGTCGGGATATCTTGGACCACGCGCGTGGGTCTGTCCTTGATGGTAGGGGCAGGAGCAGACGGGGTGGACAAGAAAGGGTCGGCATCGGGTTTCTTGTTGTGCGATCCGAGCCCACTGGCCCCTTTCATCCAGCCAAAAATGCCCAGTGAACTCCGTCTCTTGTGGTCTTTGTTGTTCGACGTGTGAGCGCGCGGCATGCTTGGGGCGAAGTTGGTCTCGGTGAATGAATGAGGCAATGTCCTGCATGTCGTGTCCTCCCCTCTCCCTTCGGCATATGTTGGTGCAGACGCCGCGAAGTCGACAGCACCAGGACTCGATGCATGGCCCTCAGGGGGTTGGTTCAGCTTCCCCGGCTTTGCAGGGGCCAGTTGTCTGGTCTTGCGGATGGTTGGGGCTGGAGCGCCATCGTCCTTGTCGTCACTGTCTAAAACTGGGGAGTGGTTCATCCGGCGTCCGGTAGAACGGCTGAAAAAGAGCGGTTTCAAGCTCAGTTTTCGCCGGCGGTCGAGGTCAGGCTCGGGCCGGGCCACTGGCTCTAGTGAACGTAGATTGAGAGTTGGGATAGATGGTAGATCGACGTCTCGGACCGTGGAGTCGATACTGTGCCGACGTCCAAGGAAAGATGACTGGCTAGGAGCTCGTGCGCCAACTAGTCTTGATTCAGCGGGAATAGGGCCATTACGTGGCGTGCTAGAAGGGTCTTTCTCAGGCCGAGATCCCCTCGCAGCTTCTACCCACTCCTGAGGGCTCAGAGGTGGGGAAGAGGATGGAAATGCGGCCTTTTTGGAGGGCGAGTAATGCTGCTGGTCCATCTTAGACAGAACCTTCTCTAGGCCATCCCCATTGAGGAATACGTCTCCCTCACAGAAGCCTGCGCCAGAAACCGGATAAGACCCGCGACCGGGTATGGGGCCGCTCCTATACGTCAGACTGTTCAATGGGAAGATAGCAGGTGACTCGAGTTCATCAGAGTCCCGTCGAGGGAAAGTAACTTCGCTGGCGTTCGGATCCAAGCTGCCACTGACTCGACTTTGAGCAGAGCTGCGCCTTGTTGTCAACTCATCCGCCGATCGGGGACGACGCAGAGCGCGCTTGACAGTCAAAAGTTCCTCTAGATGGCTCTTCTTCTCGCCAGAATTACTACCGTTCGATCCGGGTGCATATGCCGTGCTCATCGTATCGGGCGTAGGAGGGAGTCTTGAACCCCCAAACACACTATCGACGTGCGTTCTCTGGCTGGAGCTGTTAAAGAGCGAGCCACTCTCAAAGCTGGTCTGGTCCGCTGCCTTCAGCGTTTGCAGCGTAGGTCTAGTCCGTCTCGGCATGTCGAGCCCGTAGGCATCGGGCTGTGGCTGGATCCAGCAATCGATGCGAACAGAATCATTCTCTGGTAACGAGAATTCTGTTTCTCCTGCGATTGATATCCTGCGCGGTGGAATGTTGAGTTCGTCGAACGCCTTTTGCCTTGTCGGACTGTCCGGGCGATTCAGTTCACTGCATTCGCTGAGGGCACTGAGTCGCGGAGATCCCGGCTCAATGGTTTCAGTCATCGAGTTGTAGCTTTCACTTTTTGTCAGGTTACTAGGCGCGGGGAGAGGCCGCTCCGTTGCAGGGATATAGAGGCTTCGAAGGACGGCCGTATGCTGTTGTTCCTCGCGGAGGAAGGACGGTGCTCGTTTCAGGTGGCGCGACGCGGATGGCTTGCGGTAGTGTTCGGGAATCACGGTCCCTTTGCGCGAGGATGTCCGTTCGGGGATGTCGAACGAGCCGGTCCGAGGGGTCGAGACATCCAAACCATCGCTTGTGGAGGGACGAGCTGTAGAGGGCCGGGAAGACTCGTTGCCTGCTTCCAACTCTTCGATACGAGCTTCCAGCTGGCAGATTAGGTCCACGGCCTCTGTTACCGCTTGGTCGCGTTTATCGATTTCCTGGCGCAATTCTTCGTTGGATTCTCGGAGACGCTGGTTGTCCTCCTCAGCGGCACGTAGCTCTTGCAGCTCGTCTTCCAGATCGCGCATCCGACTCAACTCTTCCTCCATTTCCAACATCCGCTCGAGCTTCTTCTCCAGGACGACCATTTGCTGCGCGCGGTGGAAAATTTCCAGCTTCAGGTCGAAATTCTGCTTGTTGATTTTGGAGACATACTGATCGTGGTCAACTGACTGCAACGGAATCGATGGACACGCCCACTCACTTGATCCATTTCTCTGACTCCCATTTCTCGAGAATGCTTCAGCCCGGCGGCCAGCGCCATCTGAGCTTTCCGCTGCCGCTCGGAGCCGGCATCATCCTGGGACTGGGTGTGGGACTGCGATTTGGATTGCGACTGGGAACGGGACCGGGAAGGTTGTGGCGTCTGGGGTACGACGCAGTCCTCTGAATGTTCGGATGTGGTCCCGCGGGAACCTCTCGTGGCCCGTTGTTCCTTGAGCAAGTCCTGGAGGAGGGACGATGTAGGGTTGACCAGGGAGGTTGTGCTGTTCGGTTCTGGGGTTCCTAAGTGGTCGCTCCCGGTTAGCATTCCGTTGGTTGCCCCTGATACGGCCGTCGACGTACTTGATCGGTATGTTTGGACAGTTCTCGGCGACGAATGCATGGACGACGGCTCGTTTGACCAGGACATTGCTGCAGCGAGGTCAATATTGATGTGACGGGGATCAGAATGTAGACAGCAATCCACCGTACCGGCACTGGATCGGGAGGGAGTATCCATGGCAAGGGAGCCCTTGACCCGGGTGAGAGCAGCAGGTTGAGGCGTGGTCGATTTGGCTGGAGACGCCATCCGGTCAGTCCGATTGTGGTGCAGCTGGTATCCCTTGATTATTCCAAGGGAGAAGAGGAAAGGGGAGACTGACTCTTTGGCTTGGAACGGGGTTTCAGGGAGGGAGATGGGTCATTTTGCAGGGTCGCGGTCGGAGCGGAAGATAAACAATGTCGCAAGGATGAGGACGGATTGGGCGACGACGCGGAGAGTGTTCTCCGGCGCTGAGATTGGCGGTCCATTTTTTGGGCAACGAGACGTCGACGCGGTAAATTAATCAGTGCGCATCATGGATGGAGCGCAGCACACGAGATGGAGCGCAGGAGGGATGCAGCGATGGGAGAGTCATGAGAGGAAGGCGCGGAAGATTGAGGCGCAGAGGGATTGGAGGATAGGAAGAAGGAGGAAGCGAGGAGGAAGCAGGAGGGAATGTGAGGGGAAGCGAGGGTGACGAGTCGATCATGGATCGTCTAGATAAGTAGGTAGTTAATTAGGTGCCTGACCTAGCCAGACGGGGTTAGTGGATGAGCCTGTTTCATCCCTTGTCTTTATGTCTGCGGGAGTATAGGTACATAGTAGTAGAAGGAAATTCTATCTATATCTCTAAGGGTTGAATGAACGGCATTAGGCGTTTGACTTTGAAAGAATCATAATAAATAATATAATAAAATTAATCATTTATATTCATGCATACAATCTGCGATAATCAATAGACCCACCAACGCCCCATCGTTCGTGCGGCCAGTCTAGATCTTCTGGACGCTCTCTATACTACCTAGGTACAGACGGCAACAAACGCCAACAACCAACACCCAACACATCCTCTCAATCGCCTCCATGACGTGGCCCTCCCCGCATACATTGATTAATGCTGCATGCACCTGCTGGCATCCTTCATGGTTACTGGAGTGACTCCCTTCCTCATGCAACCCCATGCATCACCGACCACACTATTGTCTCACCACACCACCACCACATCTCTAGCCAGCAACGCAATACAGATCACGGAAACAAAGAGTACTTGAAGAACGCATCATTTCATCATCATATACATATACCCATTAGTCCAACACAGACCTCAAGCTGTCAGAAGCCATCTTCCAAACACCCCTCCAGTCCAGGCCATGGACACGCCACCTATCGTTTCTTCGCCTCTCCAGCCCAGATCCGTGTCTGCTTCGCACTGTCATGAGCCACTCGGAATACTAATCCACCGTCAGCCATGTCCATCGATCAATTTCATCCACCTACATTGCCGCTCCGTTTCGTCCAGACCGCGCAGAAACTCTACCCCCTCGCCGAGTGCGCCTTTGGGATTATGTGCGTGGTCGGCGATTTCTGCTGCCCGCTTCTTAAACGTCTGAGCAGTGGTCATTGTTAGTCAACCATCCCATCCCGCGATCGTCCTTGAGGGAAACGGCTCCAACCTACATTGCTCAACACATCGACCATTTCCTCTTCCTCAAACAACTCCAGGATCCGTTCGCTCAGGTTGTAGAAATGCGGCGCCAATGCGCGCAGATCCACCGTCCGAGCATCGGCTTTCAATGCGTTCATAACCCGCTCCGACAGCGCGGAGGGCAGGTCTAGCGTCACCAGCCGCGATGTACCCAGTCGGGCGCTGCACCCACACAGTTAGTCGGATATCAATCTTCAACCGGCTGGTCAGATCTCAACACTGAGGTATCTCACCCGATTGAAAGCATTTCACCCAGCCATAATGGGAGGTCTATCCGCGTGCCCGCTTTGATCTGAAAAGTCAGCACAGAAACACCTGTCTTGCACCGTTCCCCAATGGGAGAGTCTCACATTATCCCCGGGGTTCCCTTCCAATACCCCCAGTCCGGGAACTTCTAGTTCGAATGTGCAGGGCAGTTTCTAAATTAACCGGTCTTAGCACGAGTTCGTTGGCGCTGATGGGGAAAATCCGCCATACCTGGGCGTCAGTGAGAATCGAGTCAATGTCGTAGTAAGACATGTCGGTCCGCGACTTTAGGCCTAGACCCGTGTAAAGCGTGCGGGAACTGATATGCTGGGAAGTTGCAAATTGTCGGCGGTCTGATCATAGTCGGGCGCGTCCCGCATGACGCGTGATCACGTGCTGGTCTGCCCGATCGGGTAATACATTGTTCCCTCACGACTATCATGGAAGCAATGTCCGAGTCCATTTGTATCATGGATCTCCTCAATCATGTATAAATCAGCTTCAAACACCCATAGACCTCTTTGCTAATCCGAATAAAGCAATCTGGATATCTTGTTTCTCCCTAGTCATGGCCGGTCTACTTCATTTATATATACCCTCTGACTTTCGTATAAATGTAACCACTTAACGTCGCAACGACGATTCCAAGCAAAATTATTCGGAACTTTACTCCTCTTGACACCTTATAGAAGATATTGGCCACCGTCATCTTCCAAGCGACTAATTCTAAATCATCTGGGATGTAATCACGGTTATTGATACTACCAGCGTGGCTTGCTGACCTAGTCGGGTCCTGAACTCGGGCCCCGACTGCAAAAACTCCCCACAAGCGCACGGATTATAGAATACCTTTGATTGGGATGTGGGCCTATCAGCTGACATAGAGATTAGCCTAGAATATGTGTGTGAAGGCGTAGAAGCGATTGTACTAAGAATGGAGGCGTTAGCGAGACGAGTGTATTGTCTCCAACGGGTAGGCAGCCAGTCTGTAGTGAGCTATTAAGCTGGAAGAAAGAAAGCAGAGGAATGGGTGGAGTAAGAACTATAACTCGGGTCCTCATTCTTTCTTTTATATACAGTAGCAAAAACCCCGGTAAAGGGAGTAAAAAGGGTTACCCTGAAAGGTTCTGTACACTTCGGAAAACAATGAAACGTCTTCCCCGCACAGCAGCTGAAGCCGACAAACTGCTCGCGCTCTCAGAGCTTCTCCGCGAGGCTGCGATAGTAGTCAAGGACGAATGGGCAAAGGAGGACTTCTCCGGTCCTGCCACGGGGGATACCGCATGTTTGCTCCCCAGCAGGCGCTTGTGGGAGGCCCAGAAGACCATCGAAAGCATTTCCGGCGCGCTCGTCGAGCTGGTTACCGAGCCCAGCCAGCGAATCCAACAACTTCTTAGTCTTTTCTTCGAGAGCAGGGCGCTGTTCATTGTGGCGGAGCGACGGGTCCCGGACATACTGGGTGCAGCGGGAGACGAGGGGATGCATATTACGCTTCTAGCCACGCAGACGGGAATAGAAGCGCGGAAGCTCTGTTAGTAGTTCCCATTTACAATTAGCAGCCGCGGGAGACTGACGCGCAGACGCCGGTTAAGCACGTCTCATGCGTACCCTACGTGCCACACATGTGTTTAGCGAAGTGGCCGAGAACAGATTCGCCAACAGCCGGATATCGGCAGCGCTGGTGAACAACGATGACCTGCGGGCTTATGTCCAGCTTTTGTATGTATATGGACATGTTTACACTAGGACGGCAAACAAATATACTGACAAGAGGGCTAGTAATCTACACGTCTACCGCGTGCCTCCGAGTATCTCCCCAACTATCTACTTGGGAATAACAGCGCCGGAATCATTGAGGTATGGCTATAACATCTGCATCCGGTGGAGGCCGGCAATGTGACTAGCTTTACCGTACGTTTAAGCCCATTCACAGATAACAGGTATATTTGTCTGCTACTCAAATGACATAGTGGCGTTTACGTCCAGAGGATCTCATCGCTCATTCCGACGATCTGACGATCTCCTACAATCTCGATCGACGCAATGATGGCGTCCAGCGCCGCCTTCTCTGCGGCTGAAAGCTCTATAATGCTGCAGTTTTCTTCTACTCGGGAAGCAGCCGTGGCTCCTGGAATGGGAATAATGTTGCCACACTTCCCCTGGTTTGAATGTGAGCGGATCCAGGCAAGAGCCAATTGCGCCGGCGTGACGCCACGCTCTTTGGCAATAACCTTGACCTTGTCGACCAGTTCGAGGTTTTTATCAAAGTTCTACCTTTCATTAGTTCTTCTACGTCAGATCGAGCTGAGGGATATGAAAGATCGACGTACCTCCGGTTGGAATCTACCAAACATATGGCGCACGTCGCCTTTGGGAATATCCTCTAGCTTGGTGACTTGTCCCGTCAGGAACCCATAGCCCAGCGGAGCGTACGTGAGGATCGTAATTCCATGCTGCTTGCACGCCTCCGCTACGCCATTGGTGAGCATCTCAGTGCTCCACAGCGAAAACTCGATCTCAACAAAGCTGATCTGGTACACAGCAGCTGCACGATGGAGAGTCCGGGCGCCAACTTCCGACAAGCCCACGGCATCGATCTTGCCCTCCTCCACGAGTTCCTTGAGGGCACTCACGGTCTCCTCGACCGGCACGTCCTTGTCTATGCGGGCCGGGCCGAAGACGTTGATTTTCTTGAACTCGCCGAGGATGGCCTGGCACTCTTCGTAGCTGGCGCGCACACCGGCCCGGGTTGTCTGCGGCTTGAAGTTGACGGGGTCGAAGCACGCACGAATGAAAAGCTGGACCTTGGGTGCGTCTTCGGAATACTTCTCAAAGTATCGGCGCAGCAGCCACAGCCCAGCCGTGGGAGGCTCCGGGTCCATGCCGTAGATGGAGGAGCTAGACCAAATGGTGGCGCCACCCGCAATGGCAGCTTTCATGGCGGCAAAGGCTTGCTCATCGGGGGTAACCTTGGGGCGCCATGTCATGCCTAGGAGGCCGAAGCCGGTGCGGGGGAGGGATTGGGAGACGGTCATAATGTCAGTGCTAATCTTGATTTCACGGGGGATTGGACTTTGAAAGCAGGAGCACAGCTGGCCATCTCAGTTCCAGTAGCACCTTAGCGACCATATTTATAGAGCCGTGGGGCACCAGGCAGGGGATGGGGCGGATTTAGCCCGGACTTAGTTGTAGTTCCGTAGTCGATATCCGGATGCCACCGCATACGGAGTAGCTCCTTGGCTCGAACGCGAATGTGGGTGGTTCTGAGCTCTACTAGCCTTGCGTTGGCTTCCTGCTGGGGCTGGGTACCTAACAAAGGGCCCCGAGTAAAGGAGGGCCGAGTAATGTAACGTCCAGGAGGTAGTGGTTGTCGCGGCAGCCCACTTCCAGATAAAGAAAAAACGCAGCCCACTGGTGGACAGCTCAGCACGTTGCATATACCAGATCAGCAACGATGGCCACTCCTGATATTGCTACTTTTCTCCAACAGATTGACGCCGTGCTGCAAAAGCAGCCCAAGCTGCCGGATGAGGAGCGTTGCCGGTTGCGCGAAGCCGGCCGCAAGCTCAGCCTCGCCATGGAGATCCCTGTGGACAGCAGTCATCGGATAGCATATGCAGTAGGTATTGGGCCATGCACTATGTACTAGAGAGCTACAATAACATCCGCTGTAGCCCTTGCAAGTGGGCCTCGCGCAGGTAGGCGTAGATCTCCGGCTGTTTGAGATGATTCGCGACGGCCTGTCATCCCAGGCTCAGCTGGCCACCGAAGCCAAGGTCGATCCTGTTCTAATGAGTAAGTATCTGCCGCTTTGTGATCCTCCTGGCTATGTGAACCACCGCTTATTGTTTGTTCACTAGGGAGGTTGCTGCGGTATTATCAGTCTGTGGGTATGATATCGCAGCTGGACACCGACATTTTTGTTGCCAACAACGTCACAGACGCCCTTGCTTTAGAAATGGGAAGATATGGGGTATACATGCAGTGGGAATACCTTCCACGCCTTTGAACTTGTGGATTACAGGAGGGCAGAACGGATGTCTTAGGCCGGTCCATGCTGGCCTTCCCCCACTTCCTGCGCCGCACCAACTACCGTAACCCTTCTAACCCCAATGAGACGGCCTTCCACCTGGGTATGCAGACCGACCAGGATCTCCTCAAGTGGCTCGAAAGCCACCCGGACTACTCGGTCAATTTCAACATGTGGATGTCCACCCAGCGGGAAACCAAGCCTATCTTCCTCGATGTTCTAGACTTTCCCAGTAAGATAGGTCCATCAGACGAGTCTACCGTGCTCTTTGTCGATATCGGCGGGTCTAGAGGTCACCAAAGCATTGCAGTGAGACAGCCATACCCCGATCTCCCGGGGCGAATTATCGTCCAGGACATTCCACGCGTCGTGGCAGAGGTGACCGCGAACCCACTGCCCGGCTTTGAGAACATCGAGATCATCGAGCACGACAGGTTTACGCCGCAGCCTCTCAAGCTGAGGCCGCGCATGCCAGCGCAAGTGCCACCAAGGGCAAGGCAGCGGTCATGTTGAATGACTTGGATTGAATAAAGTAGCGATGAATAGCTGTTTGGTTGGAGGTTGATGAGTTCTCTTTTCGAGACTGGCAAACACGAACTTTACATACTCGGCCGTCAGTCAGCCTTGCAAGACAACGAATTATTACGACCAGAACGTGGCCTGGCCTCCCTGTCCCCTCCCCTGGCTATTTTCCACGAGGCTGATAACACGATGCTTGCTTTACGCAGGTACTGGACTGTGAGCCTCATTAGGGTATGCCTGAATGCATGGCACCCTGGGACTGTTGGCGGATGGCGGACACGAGTAAGTTGGATACGGAACCCGATCTGCACGAGTATCCCACCAGTAAAGAGCAGTTAGCAACTACATACGGAACTTTTGAGCGGTCATAATGGTGGGTTTTCTAACCGACAAAGGAATCGCATCCTTGTTGGTAGCAGCGTAGCTCCTCGGCATCGGAGGGTCACAGGCCGGGAATGGACTCATAGAGTCTCTGAACGAGATATTCGATTCCACGCGTGAGATGAGAAAGAGACAAGAGGAGAGTGGGAGTAGTAGGGAGCACACGCTTTGTTCTTCTGGATAACTGGGTAAATAGGTGGCCATCGGCATAGTAGCCTGGATTCAATAGACGGTAGAAATCAAGTACATAATAATCCTTCAACAAGGATATTAGCTGAAGTTCAAGTGAAGTAATAATTCAATCAATTAATGGATAAACGAATGCATAAAATAGGGATAATAGTTCGATGGCTCAGCTCGGTAGTTGCGTCGTGCTAATATCCGGTCCGGCTGAAATTTGGGAGACACTTGAACGCTTATAAATTGACCTAACAAAAAGAAGAGCCACATTAGCTACTCCTACCCTTAACGGCCATTAAACGTACGCCCTGCACTACGGTGTTTCCACAAACAAGCACACTCCAGCCCACTCTGACACTCTGACACTCTGCTATCAAAGGCCCCAATCCCCACGGGGAAGCAGAAATCTGAGATGTAGATATGAAGCGCAATGGCGCTGCGATTGATATCATGTCGGCAAGGCCGAGGCTAGGTAGAGCTGAAACTACTGCAGCATCACCACACAGCAAGGGTAGGATGATGTATCCAATGATTGTAACCACGCTTGCAGCGCGTATTCCCGAAAAGAAGTTGGGTATTGTGCATATTAATCATCTCATCGCCAAGCCTGGGCTTGTAATTTATGTATATTTTCTTCTTGATCGGATTGAGGCTGCCCGTTCTTGTGGCCATCTGCCCCTGCCTTCATGCAGTTCGGCACCAGGCTAGAGGCGCTAGAGGCGCTAGAGGCATGAGACCCCAGGCGGTACCAAGCCACCAGATCCTGCCGGAATGGGGCAGTTCTGTCCCATTGGGCTTCCGAAGTATAGACGCATCAGCACTAGCGGGCCGACGATGCGGGATGCTGTTTAGGAAAGGTAGAAGGTAGAAGAAGGGCTCGCTTACGCTGTTCGGAGTACTCGGAGCTCTTTAGTTCGATCTTGAACATTCAGCGTCACCCAATGATGTTGGTTGCCTATATCAAAGGCGCATTCACAATTGTTAGAGCTTACTGTAGCCACCCTGCGCCTAAGCTACTGCAGATTTAGATGATATAAGTGCTTATGGATAACTGCAACAAAAGCCATCCAGCACTGCATAAAGCACGTATGAAGATGGCTGCTTACTATTATTTTAGTACGTTATCAAACCAACAAAAGCGTTGTCGATGTAGAGACAGGCCTCTTTCTCTAATATCATCCTTCCCCCACCCCTCCCCCACTGTCCAATTTCTATGGACTATTGAGAAGCCAGCCACCAGAAGGTTTGACACAGTTGCTGGCTACACTACACCCACAGGATCCTTCGGATCCTGTTACTTTGTTGGACATTTGGTTTAATCGAGTTTCCTATCCCTTTCTGCGCCTCTATCTGGAGCGCTCAGGTGCCAACTGGGTGATTCAGACGTGGCGCCAACTATGACCACACAAAAACGACGATTGTGGACTGAGCAAGAAGATAGGATTCTCCACAAAGAATCAGAGTCACAGCTTATAGGTAAGTCCGTTGTATTATCTCTGTTTGTCTTGTTGTTGTCTTCGACTTTTTAATGCCCGTCTCGATTCTCCGATGGGACTCCCTAACAGAATCTAATATCAATTGCAGGAGCAGAAGGCAGAGTAAACGACTGGAATACAATTGCTGCAAAGCTTCCAGGCCGTACGAACAAGGACTGTCGTAAACGATGGCACAAGATCGGCCCTAATATCCGAAAGGGCACATGGACAGCAGAGGAGGATGGCCGACTGCAGGAAGGGGTGAATACATTTGGCTTGAGGTATATCCATCGTCCCCCTTCCTTACTATTATTTTTTTATACGAAACAAAGCAATGGGGAAGCCTAATGCGACTGTGTTGACAGATGGACCCAAGTCGCAGAGGTAGTCCGAACTCGCAATGCAGATCAATGCTCCAAAAGATGGCGATACGCCCTCAACCCCGACGTAAGCCACAGTCCCTGGACTGAGGAGCAGGATGGTACCCTTCTCCAGCGTGTTGCGGAGTATAGTCACAACTGGAGTAAAATCTCGACCACTACGTTTCGAGATCGATCGACGGTTGATATCAAGAACCGGTCCGTCTTTGTTACTCTTGCATATACCTTCTCCTGCAACCTCTTTTTGGGTGAGGTTGGCAATGTCGTTGACGGGACCTGGCGAGCTCAGATACTTTCTCTTACAACGCAGACAGCGCGACAGCACAGCAACCAGCCCTAAGGACCTCTCGAGTATCGATGATGAGAGCCTACCTGAAATCAGCTGGACAGACGCCGTGCCCCAGCAGGAACAGCAAGATACAGCCCTAGGCGGACCAGTGAAGTCGGCCCCAGATCAGACGGCGACGACGACGGCGATGGTTGACTATCAAATTTCGAGAAGCACAGACCTGCAGGGGGATTACGCAGACCTCCTGGTTCCATGCGAGGATACAATGCCAGTGCATACCTCTGATGCGGACTACTTGCAATTTCTCCAGAATCTCGACCCAGCCTTGGTGGTGGACGAGCTTTCGCAAGCCCTAGACGCAAATGCAAGCGACGATTTGCACCCAACTAGGCCGCCGACGTCGTCGACGGCCGAACCTCACAATGGTTCTCGTCTCAGTACGCTAACTCTGGAGGGATTGGAGCCGGACACAGTGAATCTCGTGATAAACACGTTGCTGACTAGCAATTCTCGGTTTCGAATGAAGCTTGATAATAACTAGATCAATGTACCAACCTTAGTATTGTCGACTCACTTAAAACGGCTTCACTCGTAATGAATGTGCTAGTAGATCTGGGACACTTCGTTATGTCTGACAGAAATAGCCTTAATGGATAGAGGGGGTTCAGACATGACACGCGTTCCACAATGCTTGTGCATCCATGCTGCAGATAGAAGAGACCGTAATGCATCAAAGCTCCTGCTGCTTCTTTCCCATCAATGCGGTCCATGTCTCTATGTAATAGTCATCCTCCTCATTCAGAACCTCGTTCTCTACTAATCGGTCAAGGACAGCGAGTAGATAATCGCGAGAATCCCACTCGGGCATTTCGTTACATAGGGGAACCGTTTCCGCAGCATGCTTGACTTTCACAGCCTCGTCACGGCCCAGCACAGCAACAAGCAGGAATTCTAGGGGCTCTTCAGAGTCATTTGAGTCTCTGGCGTCGACGTTGCGTTCGAAATGTTGGGGCTCTCCAATAACATAACTTCGAAAACGGTATAGTCAAAACCCTCTCGCACATATAGTGCCCAACGGTCGTGCGAAGTGCTCTCATCAGGACGGTAGATTGCAACGTGGAGGGTCAGGAACGGCTTTTCCGGCTCCACATGTTATTTGCGTATCTGCTGAATGAGCAGAGATCTTACCATGCAATGAAAGATCAATTTACCCGCTCGTGGACGGTGAAGCGTAGGACGTGGAAGGGAAGGCTCAGGTTCAACAGCGGGTAGACGCTTGTAGCGGTGACGGGGAGGCTCGTCCGAATCGGGAGAACTCGAAAACATATCGAAAACGGATAATAGAAGAAATGCTATAATCAAGTAGAAATAATGCTTGAATAAGAGTGTTGTAACATGGGGGACAGTGAAGCAGAGGAAAGGCCCTCTGACGTACCTAGGTATCTTATAAAGCCAACGACTGCCTTCCTACCCGAAGCTTGGGCGGTGCCTTCCTGTGTAAGACCTGTCCCATCTGATAGCATCCTGGGCTTTGATGGATATGTACCTAAGTAGAATGTTAGGAGTAAGTATCTAGTAGAGGTGGTCTAAACCATTTCCGTAGAGCCGTTCATCCGATATATCGGAGAGGCAGGGCCTGAGATTGTAGCGTGACATATCCATTGCCATTAGCCACGCACTGTTCTGTGTCTACGCTCCTATATACAGTATGTAAATAGAGAGACACCAAGATCGTTTTTTAGCAGGGATGTGGATTTCAGAGAACACACTTGTTCACAGAAGTAGCATTTGGTATCGTCTGCTAGATGAACGACGATGCCTAGCAGTACATCCGTCGGTTTCAGGGACCCTACTGAATAAAGAATTTTCTCATCTTAAAACGTTGACTTCAGAATTTGTCCGACGGTTAGGACACTGGCCAAACGTACAGTGAGTACAGAAATATACTTCAGTAGAATCTATTCTCTTGTTGGGCTATTTTTAGCACGGGTGGATCGGCGGAGTCTAGAGCCGAGGTTTCTGTGGAGTTCATTCTTTTCTTGTCCCTTACTACTATTGACTACTAGTACTGAGACAGTACTCCGTAGAATGGAAGAATCTGGATCAGGCACAGAGACTAACTGTCTATCTCTTAGTCCTCGTACTAGAGTGCCAACTACATTTCCAGGTTTTCTGCTGCTGCATTCCTCTGCCTGATTGGATTGCATCTGATTTCTTGCCTGATTCAGTCTCGGCCCCTTTTGTTTTTCCCTTCTTATCTTTGCCTCCCCCTCTTTCCAACCTCCACGAAAAACTTGATCATCATCATCAGCCTCACTCTCTTTCCCATCTTCCTCTGATGGCCGTTGGATCCTCGTCTTCCCCCTTCACTCCCATCCAACATGGCCTACAATGCCGTCTCCCAGGCCGATCATGAGCTCGCTTCCAACCCGTCCGACTCGGATGATTCCCGCGCCTCTTCGCCGCACCGCAAACGACGGCCCTCCTTTCATCAACTCCCCTTGGACCATGACCATATCGGAGGCTCCAGTTATCTCGAACCAGCCAGGAGCACCGAGGATTCGGGCATGGGCCGGTTAGGGTCGATGATCCGTTCGATAACCTCCACCAGCTACGATATGGTCGAAGAAGACGATTATGATGATCAGCGACGATCGAATAGCCTCCGTCGCGTGCCTCCTCCGCCTCTCGACACCTCCACCGCTGCTGTCGCCCACCACCCTGACTCCCCCGAACCGCCCCTACGATCCCCCATCTCCGACGATCCCGTCCCTCTCAGTCATCCGACGCCCGATCTACAATCCCTGCAAGGTGCCTATCTGAACAATGTCGAGCGCCTCGAACGAAGCGCCGAGCGGATCAGCTCCGCGGACATTGGCTCCGAGATCCGCAAGATAGACCGCGAGCAGAAACGCCGTTCCGCTAGCTCCGTCTCTAGCCCTATCCGCCCCCAAAGCCACGATGGCTTCTACTCAAGACCCATGATCGCCTCTCCTCAGGGGTCCGTCATGTCGGCCTCCCGTCTGGCCCAGGTGTCGGAACACGACCCTCATGGTCCTCTCAATCTCTCTTCGGAACTCATATCTCCTCCCACACAGATGTCGCCCCACGATGGACACGAGGCCCCTTACCACGATGGATATAATTATCTCTTGGAGCATGAGGTGGTCCGACCCTCCTCGGCGGCCTCCAATGACACCTACCAGCAAGCCAGGACATTGTTCACCGATTTCGATGGCGTGCACTACGTCCATGACGAGAAGGGCGAACTGGGTCGACAGGTGTCCCTGCGAAGACCTCCTCTGGCGAGTCGATCGGAAGCCTACCAGGAACCCCAGACGGGAGAGAACATGGTCTACTATCCCGCGCCGGTCCCGATGATGTTGAACCTTCCCCCCAAGCTATCCCAGAAACCACAGCCGTCCCCCGCAGAGAGGGAAAAGCGACGGACACAGATTTTGACCTCGGTTCCGGCCAACCGAAAATCCGCCCCATGGCTCGCTGGACCGCAACAGGGCGACACCGACGAGCCCAAGAAAGAGGACCGTTCCAAGGACCCACCCCCACAACTACGCGCAAGTGCCTTCTTTGAACCACCACCCGCCTCTCTTGATATTGAGGTGAAACAGGCCTCTGCGGTGGCGACTCTGGACAGCATTCTCGATGCCTCTGCGAACGCCCCAGTGACGGCCTTCACGGATCACCCGTATGCGGGCCACCTTGGCTCGGAAGTGTATGGAAGCTCGAAGCCGAAGCCAGGATCCAAGAAACCCGCCTCGTACAGTACTGTCAGCCTGGACAACCGCGAGTCAGATGGGAACATCCGCGACGATGCCTCACACCGCCTCGACGGCCCAACTGAGGCGGAAGCAGCCAATATGCACGAAGGCACCTCACTTCATGAGCCCGGTCGTGAGCGCAGCAGCGATGATGCTCCTCAGGGCGATGAAGAAGCTGAAGCGGAGGATGGATTACCTTTCACGGGCCCTCCCACCACGCTCCTGGCCGAACTGGAGCTCCGGAAACATGAACTGAAGCAACGACGACGCACGGCGGCTACTTCAGTTGGATTGCACTCTACTCTTCTGCAGTTAGATGCAGTGGCCCAGAAACAGAGTGAGCACCGACGACAGAGACCGGTCACCCTGGCCTGGGAGGATCCCGAGGCGCACAAGAACGACAATGATGACGATGAAGACGTCCCTCTCGGTGTCTTGTACCCGGAGAAACAGGCCGCAGTCGACGATCACCGGCCATTGGGTCTGATGGAGAAACGAGAATTGGAAGAAAGCGAACCCCTGAGCCGACGTCGTGCTCGACTCCGCGGAGAGCCTCCCCCACCTCCCCGAACCCCGGATAAGCGTCCCACGACCATGTACTCGCGGCATGCACCGGAGCCGGAGCATCCTGAAAGCGAGGAAGAGGAAGAAACCCTGGCTCAACGGATGCAGCGACTGCGCGCCAAGGACCGGACCAGCACGGCGGCCGAGAGTGAGTTTGCGAGCGAGATCATGGCGGAGCTCAGTCATTTGCAAGAACGCGAGGAGAAAGAGAAGGAGGACGCGGCTGCGCCGGAGGATGAAACCCTGGCCCAGCGTCGCGCGCGTCTTCAGAAGGAAGCAGTGGAGGCTAAACGCAACTCGACCGCCAAGATCCCACGATACCGCCGAAGCATGGCGGATCTCCTGCACGCGCGACGGCCATCTACGATGACACACCAGCCCCGAAACGAGACGCCGGTGACGCCTCGGGGACTGACTCATTCACAGTCCTACGACGCTCGCCTGTCTGTTCACCAGCTGCCCATGCCCGCGGCTCCCCAAATGTCGACGGGATCCCTCCCCTACCAGGGCCACATGCGGAATGACTCCGGTGCACACGGAATGGTGCATCCGAATACGTTCTACACCGATGCCGTTCTCGGGATGAGCCACCTGAGCTACGCCCGGCCTCCGGGGTACGGCGGAAACATGATACGTCCGGAGGTCGATCCGGGCCAGCGCGCAATGATCGACCGCTGGCGCCAGAGCATCGTATAAGATTGCATTGCGTCTGTTGCATTGCGGGTCTTATTTTTCCAAGTGCCGTTGACTTATTTGTTTATTTATCCATTATTTTTAATTATCGAAGTTGTTGTGTTCATGTTTGGCTGTTCTTGAGCGCATTGGCATGGAGCATGAAGGGTGATTCTGTTGTACATTAGCGATGTATTGATTGGCATTGTTTGGCTGCATGTATAGTACGTGTCTATTTTTACTACCTAGTATCTATTCTTACCAATTATTCTTCTCACACGTTCGTTTCCTATCCGAGTATACTACTAGGTGCCTAAGTAACTAGTACTTAGGTACTATGAATGTCCTGCATGTTAAGCTTAATCGGGAGAGATGACAGGTCAACGGTGCGGCACGAGATGGAATGCAATAATGAATGCCTCGAAACGAGGAATGTCGCCCGGATCCGGTACATTCTTCGGTCAAATCTATTTTCCAGTCTGGATCGATCTGCTCTAATTTCCCTTGTTGAGAATGTTTCGTTCTCTTTTCTTTCTTCTCTCCTGATGGCCATCCCGAGACGACTGGTGGTCTGGTCTGCACTAGTTCTGCGGTTGTTCTAAATATACGACCACCACCATCACCGCCTTTGCCGTGCCCCACGCTTCCTCCAGGTAATCTATCTATCGCTATCGATCGTCTTCTTTTCCTCCGCACACCACCATGGACGTCGCTGGCTGCCGCTGAACGGCTTGACCCTGTTCAGAGAGACGCCTCACGGCTGCGCCGGGGTTGTTATTACCAACCATGCCTTCGCCTGCCGTGTTCTCCTACTGGCGTCGCGACCACCGCCGCTCGAGTGCCTCTCCCGTCTCACCTCCCCCCGTGAAAACCGCCAACAACAACCCGCCTCAACTTCCTGCCATTCCTCCCACCGCGGCGTTGAGCGCACCCTACGGCGACTCGTCCGCCATCACCGACGCCTCCAGTCCGCGCATTTCGGGGGATGACCGCTCCCCGGACTCCGAGTTTGACAAAACGGCCGTCACCATCTCCACCACCACGATCGACGCGCCCTCCTCCTCGTCCACCAATCTTGCGGTCCCACAATCGTCGACATCGGACCGACAAGATCGACCGCGATCCAGTCCAGAGGAACGGGAACGTGACTCGCCGCTGACCGCGCAGTCAAATTACTCCCAACCGTCCATCACCCCATCCCGTCCCGATCCCGCCGATGGGGACTCGTCCAAACCCAGCTCTCCGTTCCGGCTCTCCTTCGGGAAAGGCCTCTTGACCTCTCATCCCCACTCGTTGGATAGTCACTCCAAACGATCATCTACTGCAGTCGCGGCTCCCTCTAGTCACCTTCGTTTCAAGGCGTCCCCGGACGCCTCCCCCGCAGAGAAGCACGCTCCGTCGTCACAGAAGGAGAAGGAGTACAAGTATGACGGTACCCACGGCCGCCGACAAGCAGACCGCGAGGTATCAGCGGAACACGGTCACCATAAATCAGGGAAAGCCATGCTGCACCTGCTGAATCCAATGGCGTTGTTGGCGCGGAGACGCTCCTCGCAGATTGCAGGCCTGCGTGCTGAGGACATGCACATCGGTGGCCGGAACCTTGTGCCCGCCATCCCTGACGACTACGACCCGCGGATTCGAGGTAACATTGTGCACGATTTCTCTGCGCCCCGGCCCCGACGCAACTTATCTGCGACCCCGGCATTGCTCCATGAGGTGACGAGTGCGCATGACCGGTCCCAGTCTGTCAGTGGGGTGCCCCCAGCAAATGAGGCGACGCTGCAGGCCGCAGACCAGAGGAAGAGATACAGTGAACACTCTCCCGTGTTTAGGGAGCACTTTGAGGATGACCAGAAGGTGCTGCAGGTCGAGAACAAGGCGTACCTGCAGTCGTCATTGCTGGTTAATCCGTCAGAGCACGCCCGGGATCCTCGTTCCATTCCGGTCTTTGCGCGAAACCTTCCGTCTAACATTCCGGAGGAGAATGAAGGGCCCGGTGCGCAGACGAGCACCAGCCAAGGGCCCCAACCGGCCGCGTCGCAGGACGCAGATACGATCGAGATAGTGCCCAGTCAGCGGGCGGGCTTACCTCGACATCTGAAGAGCAACGCCTCCCGCTTCAGCTTTGATATGAACGGGGTGGAGTCTTCAACCCAGGAGAAACTCCTCGAAGAAAAGCACAAGGAGAAGGAGGCGGCTCGACGGGCCAAGGCCCAGCTCGAGGGGGCCAATTTCAGCGATGAAGAGGATGATTTTGACAACGAGCTCTACGATGACTTGGATGGTCTGGAGGAAAAGATCCCTGGTGTCAATGTGGACGCCGACGAAGATGATGAGTTTGTGAACTTTTCCGGCCCTGGTCACATCTTGAACACGTCCTGGCTAGGTGATGAGCCTCCTACCATGCCCACGCTGTCTGTGCTGGATGTGTCCAGTGTATCGGCTACCTCGAATTTGCCAGATACCGCGACCCCAGCCTCAGGCAATGAATCTCAACAAGACGCTTCTATAAAGGAGGCTTTATCTCCCTCCCCTTTGAACATCTCTGGTTCAAATGGTGCGGATGGCAGCCCCCAGCCGACGCAAGAACTATCGACACAGCCTCCACAAGAGATATCGGGTCCGCATCCACCGCTGTCGCAGGTTATTGAAGACGACGACGACCTGTACTTTGATGATGGGGAGTTTGGCGACCTGACCGCCGAGGCCAATGGCGAAACGTTTGATGAATCAATTTTTGACGATGAGACGAGCCATCTCTACGAGCGCAAGCCGGTCCAACCCGTTCCCGCAGAAACCCTGCCCGAGAATGATGAGTTGAACTCGGACATTGGATACAATGGCGAACTCAAACATATGCCCAGCATGGCCAGTGAATATCACAACACCGTCCCAAGGCAGCATGCCCATGCAACGGACGGTTCCACGAAACTTGCATCGGCCAAGTCCCATGGTGGGGTGTTGTCCGAGCAGAATCTCGAGGCCTTTCACAACGCGTTAGCCCAAGCGGCCAGTCAAGCGGCCACGGAGGACCGATTTGGGCGTAACGCCAGCGTTAGCGAACGCTCATTGGGCGAGAGCAGTATTGGACCGATCTTTGAATCTCACCGGGACCTGATATCCGACACGAACGCTTATCTGGACCAGCCGTCGGACGCGACGGAGTTCGAGGAAGTGTTTGAAGATTTCAGCTACGACGATAACGATGCATTGTTCTACGACGACCCCATTATCGCAGCCGCCAACGCGGAAGCTCTGGAAAACGACGATGAAGGCTTCTACGGCCAGGAATTCGGGTTCTATGCCCAGGCTCACGGCAGCTGCAGCTCCGAGCTCACGAACGGCGGATATTTTGGCCCGCGCGGAGTGGAAGGTATCAATCGCAGCTTCAGCAGCCGGGGAAAGTTCCGGGAACCCAGTCTGACCCCGATCACGGAACGGTCCGAATGGAGTACGCGGAACTCGGTGATCTCGCTGGCGGCGGCTCACGGCGCCGCGCATTCCAACGCCATGTCGAGTCCGGGGCTCGCGCAGTTGGTGGATATGGGGAACATCGAGGATGAAATGACGCTGAGTGCGCTGATGCGTCTGCGTCGGGGCGCTTGGGGTGGGAGCAACGGCAGCCTCCGCAGCAGCAGCGGGAGCCCTCCTCCGCACCCGCATTCCGCGTCAAATCGAGGGAGCTTCACCGGGTTGTCCGATGTGAGCCCTACGGTGTACACCGCTCCTCCAGATTTCTTAGGACCTAGCATGATGGAGTCCGAGAAGGGGTCGACGCAGAGTCCGATCACGCAAGGTCATGACGATTCCACGCTACATGCATAGTACCCGTGTCTGCTTTGTTGATTGTGTTGGATATAGTAATTATGATACCTATATATAATGTGTTTTCCGTTGGTCTATGTGCTGTATTGTTCCGAGTCCGGTTGAGGATGGGATACGCTTTGCAATGTATGTATTAGTTATGAGTGACGATATGGATTCTGTTTCTGCCAGCAGATGAGCTGTGGTCTACCCTTAAACTAGCCTACGATCTAGTCTACCAATAGGTAAGTATATCCCCGGAACATTCTTCAGATGATCCGCAAAAACCCGCGGCGGGAAATGCTCATAGCCGGCTGTGGCGGTGCGAACCGGCGTGTTCGGCCCGCCGGTCGGCGGGCGCCTCGGGCTGAGTCAGCTTTCAGACCGACCGCCTACGCAAACGGGCAGGGGTCAGCCACAGTCGGGTGGCCCGTCATAGCCGTGCTGCTGAGTCGATTTCGGCAAAACCTTTCCTTCCCCCCAGCCTTCCGTCGGGTCTCTCTCGTTCTTCTCTCCTCTCTTCCTGCTGTACTTCTTCTCCCCCCATACTATCGCCTCCCATCGTGGTTCTTTCGTAACCTCGTCTTTTCTCTCTCCCCTCCTGTTTGAGTTGTTAGAGAGTGCGTTCGCTCTCTGATGAGTCCCGTTTCTGTGCAGGTGCTACGGCAAATCTAGTCGACACCTGTATTTCATCGTGCGTCTCTCCTTTGGTCCGCCTGGATCTCTGCCTGAGCTGCTGGCTCCCCCGGTTCAACCACTAACCTCATATGACGGTTTCTTGCAGGCGTTTTAGATCTCTCATAAACCGTTGTATACCTTCGAGTCGATTTCCCCCTTTTTTTACTTTCACTCTTCCGCTCAACGCGCCTTGATCCGGCTTTGTTCCTTCCGCTGTCGGAAAAAATCCCGCAATGTTTCGCACTACAGCCGTAAAGGCCACCAGCATGCGCGGTGCCGCGTGCTCCGCCTGCAGACGCCCTCTCTCCCTTGCCGCCACGGCCAGAAATGCTTCTTCCTACCAGAACACGAAATTCGGCCTCACCGCGCGACGCCCTCTGGCCCTCGTCGACCGTCTCTCCAATGGCAGACGCTACTACGCTGCTCCCGCTGAGGGTGTCGACGCCAACGACTCCTTCCTCCAGGGTAACACCGCCAACTACATCGATGAGATGTACCTGGCATGGAAGAAGGATCCCTCCAGCGTCCACATCTCGTGGCAGACGTATTTCAAGAACATGGAGGATGGCAACATGCCCGTGTCGCAGGCCTTCCAGCCTCCCCCGACCCTCGTGCCCACCCCGACTGGCGGTGTGCCCCAGGAGATGCCCGGCGCCGGTCTTTCTCTCGCCGCTGGCTCCGACGTGACGAATCATCTGAAGGTGCAGCTGCTCGTCCGCGCCTACCAGGCCCGTGGTCACCACAAGGCCAAGATCGATCCCCTGGGTATCCGTGGCGACGCTGAGGCCTTTGGTTACAGCAAGCCCAAGGAGTTGGAGCTGGACCACTACGGCTTCACCGAGCGCGATCTCGATGAGGAATTCACCCTCGGCCCCGGTATCCTGCCTCGTTTCGCCACTGAGAGCCGCAAGAAGATGACTCTGCGTGAGATCATCGCCGCCTGCGAGAAGATCTACTGCGGCTCCTACGGTGTCGAATACATCCACATTCCCGACCGCAAGCCCTGCGACTGGATCCGCGACCGCTTCGAGGTCCCTGAGCCCTACAAGTACTCGGTCGATGAGAAGCGCCGCATCCTGGACCGTCTGATCTGGTCTCACAGCTTCGAGTCCTTCCTGGCCACCAAGTTCCCCAACGATAAGCGTTTCGGTCTGGAGGGTTGCGAGTCTCTCGTGCCCGGTATGAAGGCCCTGATCGACCGCAGCGTCGACTACGGTATCAAGGATATCGTCATTGGTATGCCCCACCGTGGTCGCCTGAACGTCCTGTCCAACGTCGTCCGCAAGCCCAACGAGTCCATCTTCAGCGAATTCTCCGGCTCGGCCGAACCGTCCGATGAGGGCTCCGGTGATGTCAAGTACCACTTGGGTATGAACTTCGAGCGTCCCACTCCCTCCGGTAAGCGTGTCCAGCTCTCGCTGGTCGCCAACCCCTCCCATCTGGAGGCCGAGGACCCCGTCGTGCTTGGAAAGACCCGTTCCATCCAGCACTACAACAACGATGAGAAGGAGTTCAACAGCGCCATGGGTGTCCTGCTCCACGGTGATGCTGCCTTCGCCGCTCAGGGTGTCGTCTACGAGACCATGGGCTTCCACTCGCTGCCCGCCTACTCCACCGGTGGTACCATCCACATCGTCGTCAACAACCAGATTGGTTTCACCACCGACCCCCGCTTTGCCCGTTCCACGCCTTACTGCTCGGACATCGCCAAGTCGATCGATGCCCCTGTCTTCCACGTGAACGGTGACGATGTCGAGGCGGTCAACCATGTGTGCCAGGTTGCTGCTGACTGGCGTGCGGAGTTCAAGAGCGATGTCGTCATTGATATCGTCTGCTACCGTAAGCAGGGTCACAACGAGACCGACCAGCCCTCGTTCACTCAGCCTCTGATGTACAAGCGCATTGCCGAGCAGAAGAACCAGCTCGACAAGTACGTCGAGAAGCTGATCGCCGAGGGTACCTTCACCAAGGAGGATATCGACGAGCACAAGAAGTGGGTGTGGGGCATGCTGAACGACAGCTTCGACCGCAGCAAGGACTACCAGCCCACCAGCAAGGAGTGGCTCACGTCCGCCTGGAATGGCTTCAAGACCCCCAAGGAGCTGGCCACCGAGGTCCTGCCTCATCTGCCCACCGGTGTTGAAGCCCCTGTTCTCGCGCACATTGCCGACATTACCAGCGGTGCTCCCGAGGGCTTCACTCTCCACCGTAACCTCAAGCGTATCTTGGCCAACCGCAAGAAGGCCGTTGATGAGGGCAAGAACATCGACTGGTCCACTGCTGAGGCGCTCGCCTTCGGTTCCCTCGTCAAGGAGGGATACCACGTGCGTGTGTCCGGTCAGGATGTTGAGCGTGGTACCTTCTCCCAGCGTCATGCTGTCCTCCACGACCAGGAGAACGAGAACACCTACACTCCCCTGCAGCACATCTCTGAGGGCCAGGGCACCTTTGCCATTTCCAACTCCTCTCTGAGCGAGTTCGGAGCGTAAGTTATTCTCTCCACTAGTTGTGATATTGAGCTAACGTCTGCAGACTTGGTTTCGAATACGGTTACTCCTTGACCTCTCCCAACGCCCTCGTCATGTGGGAGGCCCAGTTCGGTGACTTTGCCAACAACGCTCAGTGTATCATTGATCAGTTCATTGCCTCTGGTGAATCCAAGTGGCTGCAGCGCTCTGGTCTCGTCGTCTCCCTGCCTCACGGTTATGACGGCCAGGGTCCCGAGCACTCCTCCGGTAGAATGGAGCGTTGGCTCCAGCTCTGTAACGAGGAGCCTCGCATCTTCCCCAGCCAGGACAAGCTCGACCGCCAGCATCAGGACTGCAACATGCAGATTGCTTACATGACGGAGCCTTCCAACCTGTTCCATATCCTGCGTCGCCAGATCCACCGCCAGTTCCGCAAGCGTATGCCTGCCCTCTCCCTTCTTTTGACGGTGTTCGATAAACTAACTTTATATAGCCCTCGTGATCTTCTTCTCCAAGGCCCTTCTCCGTCACCCCATTGCCCGCTCCTCGATTGAGGACTTCACCGGCGACTCCCACTTCAAGTGGATCATCCCCGACCCGGCTCACGGCACTGCCATCGACGAGCCTGAGAAGATCGAGCGTGTCATCCTGTGCTCTGGCCAGGTGTACGCCGCTCTTGTCAAGCACCGTGAGGCTAACGGCATCCGCAACACCGCCATCACCCGTGTGGAGCAGCTCCACCCCTTCCCTTGGGCCCAGCTGAAGGAGAACCTGGACAGCTACCCCAACGCGCGCAACATCGTGTGGGCCCAGGAGGAGCCCCTCAACGCCGGCCCTTGGAGCTACGCCCAGCCTCGTATTGAGACCCTGCTCAACGAGACGGAGCACCACAACCGCCGCCATGTTCTCTACGCTGGTCGTGCCCCTAGCGCGTCCGTCGCCACCGGTCTCAAGTCGGTCCACCTGAAGGAGGAGCAAGAGTTCCTGGAGGAGGCCTTCTCCGTCCACCAGGAGCGGTTGAAGGGTGAGTAAGCGATGGCGGGGGAATGGATCTATGGTCGCATGTTGTAGGTGCCTTCTTTTGTGTATGAAAACCTTTTGTCTACGTGTGGTTACATTTCCTTTGTTAGCAGCATAGTGTACGACGTGTTGTCGTGTTGTCGTGCTTGTGTCAGGGCTTTAGTCTGGCACATGTTCATGGTCTGGCCTGTCTATACCTCGCATGTGTCTTGCGTCTGTAAATTAAGGATTGATATAATATTGATTGGTATGTCGATGCTGAGTTGAGTGATCAATGTGGTACATATCTCAAGTAGTATGTTCAAGTCGTAGACCTGTTCAACGACAAGTCTAAGATGATCTTTCCTCTCGCATGGCCTTGATCCAATCTCTCAAATGCAGGACGGAACTGTTCCAGAGGCCACACGCTGTCCACGAGTGGCCGACACTTCCCATCCTCGATCAAGCGCGTAATCTCTCCCAGCTGTCTCGAATCCGGCTGCATGATGAAAAACAGATCCTTTGCCTCCACCTGACATTCCTCAGGTCGAAGCGACGCCGGCGGCTGGCAGATACTGAGCACGGTGCCCCCGTCCTTGACACACCACCACGCATCCTGCAGAGCCGTGCGTCCGATGCAGTCCACCACGATGTCCACCTTCCGTGCCCCATCCTGCTCCGCCCACTTCCTAAAATCGACCGTGCGGTAGCTGAGCACCTCACTCACCCCGAACGACTCAAGCAGCGCCTCATTCTCCGCACTCCCACACGTCCCGACGACCTCGACCCCGAGCAGCCTGGCCAGCTGCACAACCCACACACCCACACCCCCCGCAGCCGCCGTAACGAGCATCCTCTTCCCGCTCCACGCCTCCCGCGCAGCATCAAACCCCTCCACCCCCGCAGGTACAACCCCCGCCTGCACAAACAGGATCTGCCACGCCGTCTGCGCAGACACCGGCACCGCCGCCGCCTCGACCCAGCTCAGGTTCTCCGGCTTGCGCGCCAGCTCGTCGCCGAGCGCGATGGTGTAGTCGCGTGCGTTGCCGGGCCGCGCGTAGCTGGTGCGCGCGTAGACCGCGTCGCCAGGCTGGAAGCGCGAGTTTGGTGGCGCGGTGACCACCGTGCCGGCCATGTCCGGGCAGGGGACGAGGTCGCGCGGGGTTGGGGGCGGGAAGTAGCGCGGCCAGAGGAGCTCGCCGGCGCAGGGGGAGCAGGCGTGCACGCGGATGAGATGGGAGTCTGTTGAGGGGGTGGCGGTTGGGGTGGGTGTGCGTTGGAGGAGGAGGTCCGGGGTGTTGGATTGGGGGGTGGGTTGGAGGAGGGTGCGCATTGTGGAAGTCATTGTAGTGTAGGCTAGATTGGAGGGGGTGGAGTAGATGGGAGCTGTGGTGGTGGGTTGAGGGGTTTATATGCCTGTTGTCGTTGGTATGACCAGTTGCCTATTGCGGGTATATCGATAGCCTAATGGTACTGGCCCTGTGGATAGGCTATTGGGCTTAAGGCCTAGATGCGCCACTTCGTGTTGGATCTTGGTAGTTGGCTGTCATATAGGTTATTCTAGGTGTTCGGACATCATCAGTGCAGACATCTATAGTTACTACTAGACTAAATATTGATAGTTCTAGTGCACAACTTGATACCACGTCGAAATCATCCCATCCTCAATAACATCCACCCCCAACAACCTCAACTCAACATCCTTCTCCAACCCCCCAAAAAGAGGAATCCCGCGGCCCAAGAGCACCGGCGCATGCGTAACCACCATCTCATCGACCCAGCCTCTCCGCAAGAACTCCTGGATGACCAGGCCCCCGTCTACATACACAAGCTTCATGTTTTCTCTCTCAAAGACTTCGGCTGCCTCATCCACCGATCTGACCACCTGCACGGACGGAGGTAGCTCCATTCCGCCAGCAGCCAAGGTCGAGCTGATCACAAAGGTGCGCTTCGTATACGGCCATTCCCCGAACGAGGCGATCTTTTCGTAGGTCTTGCGGCCCATCGCGATGCATTCTATGCGCTGCATGTTCTGCTCGATGCTGTCGACTGTACGCTTGTCCGGGCTGGTAGGCGGGACATGTTGCTGACTTGGAGGTCGAGGAGAGGGATCGGTCAGCCAGAGAATATCGCCGTCTGGTCGGGCGATGAAGCCGTCCAGGCTGGTTGCGATGAAAACACGGCCTTTCCAGGATCTGTGGGGCATTTTGTCCATTAACATCCAGATAGGATAGTATGAATGGTATCGGGAGTCGACTTGTAGCTGCTCAAGTAAGTGCCAGTTATATGCACGACTGTGACTCAAACGAGTGACACAATGTGAACCCATTGGTTAGTAGCTCGTATTTATGTCTTGGACCTAATATATCAGATCTTCCTGGCTTGGTTGACTTGGCGACTTAACATTCTTACCACTCTACTACTGGCATAATGCTGGCTTGGGGCCTTGGTCATTCTTTCAAATTGCACTAATACAATCTCTTAGCACCAATAATAGTCAACTCCAAATTGAAGTCTAGTATATGTCTTTGACAGTGTTGTATAGATCTATGATGTAAACCACGTGACATTTACTGCCTCAGGCCGAAATCACCTGATGGCTGGCCCAAAGGGGAAAGGTCTTCTCCGCACGCTTCTTCTGCTTCACTTCTCTCTCCTCTCCTCTGTCCATGTTGCTTCTGCGCTGGAGTCGGCGCTGTTCTATCCTTGTTGACTGTTCCCTGTTCCCCGATTGAGTCTCTCTTTTTTCTCCCTGATTGACTGATTCTGCATCCATTCTGCTCATGTCCGTCTCAGCCGTCCACCAGGGCCCCAGTGCCCGTCAATCGGCGCGCCAGACACGCACCAACCCATCTCGCACCTCCAAGACGCTGGGACGTTCGTCATTTGCCTACGGTCATGGCGACACCCCTCCTACCCCGGTGCCTCATGGCTTCTACCCGGCCCTTACCCACTTCACCGACGCCATTACCGCCCTCCCTCGAGAATTCCGCCGACACAATTCCCTGCTGAAGGAGGTCGATGCAAAGGCCTGGGCGCTGGAGGACACCCTTCTGCAGTTGCTGAAAGCCTCGTCCGAATGCCCTCCAGTTCCCTGTCCGGCGAACCCCGCGCCTATGATCGGTGGTGTCGTGCGCGAGGACCTTCTCCCGGTGGTAAGCTTGTCCTACAATCGGTGAAAGAAGTACACCGTCGACCGTGAGCTGACGTCTATCCACGCAGAACCTTTCTCAACCCCCCGAATCCGAAGAAAGCAAAAACCGCCGCCTCCTCTTTGACCGTGTTCGCTACACCCTCTCCGACCTGATGATGACCGCCGACGAAAAGAACCACGTCATCTCCAACGCCAATGACGAGCTCGACCGCCAGCTCCACCGTCTCGACGACGTCTTCCCCTTCATCGCCGGCGAGATCAGCGACGAGGCCCGTCTGGGCAGTCTGACCCACTGGGCCTACTCCAACCGCAACGCCGCCAAGACCACCACCAACGAGCGCCCGCGACGTGAAGCCGCCTCCAACAAGGACATCGTACACTCCATTCATGAAGCCGAGGCGGCGTCTCGCAGCGAGGCCAGACGCGAGGCCGTCCTGGCCCGCCGACAGCGACGCGCCCACGCCGACTCCGATATGGATGATGTGCGCGCGCGCAAAGGGCAGTCGGGCAAAGCGCGCGCCGATACTCATGGACAGTCGGGGTCGTCTGGTCAGCCGAAGCGGAAGAAAGTCGAGCGCCCACCGCCGGTGGATACGGGGGCGGCCATGGAGCGCACGACGAGTGCTGCGGGGGGTTCCGCAAGGGCTATTTCGAAGGATGGTGCAGAGGGGGCAAAGAAACGGTCTCGGGCGCCGAATGCGAACTCGGCGGCACGGAAGAGGTTAGTTACCTTAATTCTGTACATGGGCCAGTTGCTAACTGGATAGGAACAATACCGGTGCCTCCAACGTCGATTCGCCTGTTATGGTACCCTCCCCTGTGGTGGGGTCGGCCAGCATCCCCCGATCCGCTGCAAGTCCGGGGCCGGGGCCTGCTCGACCGCAGACGTCGCGGCAGCACAACTCTGGACAATCGGGCAACGGTCGCCCGCGACCGTCGTCATCGGCGTCAAACCGTGTGGCTTCTGGAGGTAAGGCGGCGGAGGCCCGTGGGCCCAAGGACACTCCCAGGCTGGAGACGGTCCCTATACCAAACCTCGAGATGCAGCGTCGGGACGACGACGAGCGTGGGGTTCCAGTGTCCAAGCTGGGCGCACCATTGAGCTCTGCGCGCGAGGATTCGGATCCCAGGCCGGCCGAATCTATCGAGCCCGGCGAGACCCCGGCGTCAGGGACATCGAACGCGGCACCCAAGGGCCGGTCGTCGAAGACATCCACGCCAGTGCTGGCCGCGCTTGCCGAGCCGGCGCAGCAGCGGGTGCGGCCGACGCGGAGCACGGATCCGGCGCCGGCGAAACGATCGCAGAAGAAGAACGGGGGCAGCGTGGTGGTGCAGCGCGCGCCGTCGGAGGAGGAAGAGTCGCTCCATGAAGGCGACGACGAGGACGAAGAGGGCGAGCCCCGGTACTGCTATTGCAACGAGATCAGTTTTGGCGAGATGGTGGCGTGCGACAACGATGCGTGCCCGCGCGAGTGGTTCCATCTGTCGTGTGTTGGGTTGACCAAGCCCCCCGGGAAGAATGGTAAGCCTGCCTTTGCCAGCTACATTTGTGGATGTGACTAACGGATGCAGTGAAATGGTACTGTAACGAGTGCAAGGACACTATGCGACGAAGTCGGAGTGGGCGGTAGTAACTTGTTGCATACGGCGTATGATAGTATAGCCTGTTCCTACTTATATACACTTGCCCAGCCATCCTAATGCAGACCCATCATGTCATAACGCTAAATACAGACTACCCTACTCCGTAAAACATCAATCCATCAATCCATCCCTGCAGACCGCCGTCTCCGCTGCCCATCCCTCTCCTGTCCCACGCCACTAGCAGCCGCGGCGGCCGCAGCAACCGCCTCGCCCTCCAACCGCCTCCGCAAATCGCGATACCGCTCCGCATCCGCCGTCCCAGCCGCACTCCCAGTCCCAGCACTCACCCGCCTCCTCGTCTCACGCTCCCCGACCATCCACGCGGGCACCCGCCACCCCGCCGCCAACCCAGGCAGCAGATCCATGCGCCAGGCCCGGCCAACAAACCAGCCCACCAGCGCGGGGAGCAGCATGGTCGGGAACTGCGAGAGGGCGAGCTGCGCCGCGACGAGGTAGGTGGTTGATTTGTCCGACAGCAGCAGCGGGGGGATGGTTTTGCCTCCGGGGGCGCCGGAAGTCGTGGCCACGCGGTAGCGCACGGTATGCGGGATGGAGGCGTGGTACTGGGCGAGCAGGGCGAAGATCGACGCCGACGGGCCGGGGGGCAGGTAGTTATAGCGGGCGAGGGAAAGCGGGCGCAGCACGAGGGTAAGCAGGAGCGGCGGGAGTAGGGTTGTGTAGGGGAGGGTTGTGAGGAGGAAGGTCTATTTCCCTGGTTAGCATAGTCCCTTTCCCTTCGTACGAGGTCATTGGGATGGAAGTGTAGATGTGGAGGGGGGGGGACGTACAGCGAGCTTGCGCTTCCCCCATGCGCGCTCAACCACGCGCAGATGGTAGATCAGCATGGCGGCGAAGAGGGCTTCGGTGGAATTGGCGAAGCCGGCGAGCTGCCATACCAGCAGACGCCAGAGTTGTCCGTACGGCCAGAGATGCGGCGAGACGTGGATGGGCGCGAGGTGCTTGATGTCGAGGATGGACAGGGCCACGGAGGCGGCGATGGCGTAGATCAGGAGGGTTTTGGTGAGGGGGGTGTTGGTTAGCCCGGAGGTGAGCATTTTGTCTTTTTGTTTTTCTTATGGCCCCTTGGGTTGTTGGTGTGGGTGTGGGTGTGGAATGAGGGAGGAGTGGAGGTACAGTAGGTACGGAGTACAGTATTAGGTTAGGTGGAGTGGAAGACACGTCGCGTGAACGGGCCGAAGAGCCGCATCGCATCGCATCGCATCGGCATGCCGATATACATTGCCCTATCCTTTCAGGTACACAATAAAGTCTTACGCATCATGTAAATTGTACGTTCTGTCATTGCTGCTTCTGCATCTCTTCGGCCAGCGCCGCCTGGTACTTCCCCAGCGCCGTCTCCAGCGCCCGAATCGTCGGCCCCAAGAGCTGATGAACCACCTTCTCACCTCCCGGCACACCCTCCACGTTGATCCGTCGTTTCTGTCCAGTGGCCTCTTGGAACGCTCGGGCCTTCTGCTTCCGCTGGTTGACTTCCACTTGGCGATCGGCTTCGGCATCCTGCGCCACGGCCTTGATCCGCTCCATCGCCCGCTGCAACGACTCCACCAGCGAGGCCACCTCGCCCGCGCGGTCCGGGTTCCCGGACAGGAACGCCTGCCAGAACTGGTGTAGGAACTCGGTCGTCGTCGCGTGCGTCAGCGTCAGCCGGTCGTACAGGCTGCTCGACAGGCCGTACGTGTTCGACGCGGCGGTCACTTCCGTCTGCGCCTGGCGCTCGCGGATGGCGTCGAGGATCTGCGTCGCGGCGCGGTGCAGGTTCGTCCGCGAGCCGACCAGCTGCCCGCTCTTTGTGTCGTCGTCGCTGTCCTCGTCCGGCTCGACCAGTCGGCCGAGCGGTGCTGTTCCCCCGCCCGGGAGGTCGCGGTCAATTTCCGCCCGAAGATCCCGCAGGATCTGGTCCGGGTCCTGCTGCGCGAACAGCTTATTCTGTTCGTCGTCGGACACCTTGGCCTGGGAGGAGAAGAATCTGCTCTGGTCGCGGATGTTCAGGAGGATGCGCTGCTGCTGGTCGTCGCCGCGAAGATCGCGCAGCTGCAGCTCGTCGTACGTCTCCTCGTCCATGCCGATGGGGGCGTGCGGGTCGCCGTCGGCCGGGGCGACGTTCGCCATGATCTTCTCGCTCAGCCGGTTCAGCGTGCGGATGATGGGGACCTTTTCGTTGTTGGACCAGCGCATGTCGACGTCCGGGCGGTTACCGCGGCGCTGGCTGTTGTTGAGCTCGTTGCCGGCGAGATCTAGGAAGTGCGGCACGTGGGCGTCGCGCTCGACGACGCCCGACTCATCGGCGGTCAGGTACTTGTCGAGGATGGCATCCGTAGCGTCAGTCTCGGAGATGCGCTCGCCGCGCAGCTTCTTGAACAGGCGGCTCTGGAAGAAGCGCGACCAGAACTGCTGCTCGCTCAGCTTGGGCACGTTCTCGTCGTAAACGCGCTTGACGAGCGGGTGCTGGTTGAAGATCAGCTGGATCTGCTCCTTGCTGATGTTGAGCTTGGTGACGTTGTCCTCGACGCGCGGCTTCAGCGTCGACAGCACGTTGTACGAGCCGCGCGTCTGCGACCGCTCGATCGCGTGCGCCCGCAGCAGATGCAGCCGCGTTGACCAGAACTGCGTCACGAACTGGCCCGCCGTCAGCGTCTCGGGCCGTGTGCCCAGCGACTCCATGAACATGCGCTGCAGCGTGGGGTCCGACTTGAGCAGCGACTGCTGCAGCTCCACGTCCGATTGGAGACGTTTGTCGTCGTCCCAGGGGTTCTTGGCTGTCGCGCTGGACGAGACGGCGCTGGCGATGGCCATCGCGGCCGACATGCTGTCGCCGCCGGGGGTGGGCGCGGGCGTCGGCGTCGGGGTGGGCGTGCCCTGCGCCTTGGCGGCCTGGATAGCGGCGCTGAGGGCGTCCTTGATGGCATCTGCTTCGGCGCGGGGGTTGGTCTTGGAGGTGAAGGAGAAGATGTGTGGGAGGGCCTTTCCGGAGGGGTTATTCGGGTCGAGGGCGTGGATTTTCAGCATGACCTTTTGGCTGCTGGCTGGGGTTTGCTGGAGATCTGCGGCTGTCAGTATCGCTCAAAATAAAACAGATGCAGCTGACGCACTGGTAATTTGAGAAACAGGAAGGGTGACAGCCTGAGAGGCGCCCCCCGCCGCGGGAATCCAGGACACCGACTGTCCATCCTGCGACATGGTCAGGGTGCCGTCTTTCTTGGAGCCATCCTGGGTCTTGTATGCCGCCGAGCCGCTCGGAGGGGCCATCTTCGAACTCGACAGCGTCCACTGTCCTGGGCGGGATGTAGGAATGCGCCCATGAGGAGGCCGGGACAAGGAAGACTGGACGGAAGCTGTGCGCCGTGCCTCCACGAGCGAGAATGGAGGAGTTGTCGGAGGTTGGATTGTGTAAGTGGTGTTGGCGGAAGATGTTGACGTAAGGCACGTGACTAGGGCTATCTACTCAACAACTACAGGTGCAACTACAACTACAACTACAACTACACATCTATCCTGACTGTCAGTTGAAGATGCTGCATTGAAATTATGACGAGGACAGGCCTAATGTCAAGTGGTATTGACTTGATCCTGCACATATCGACTCCAGCATAACAGCACAAGGCGCTCAACCATTGCGCAGATGACAATGCTAAAGCCGGCAATAGACGAGAGCGCTGGTATATTTCTTCTTCCATCTAAACCATGATAGGACAGCCTTCTGCACGATTTGTCAGCCTGTACAAGAGCCAGGCTGGCTGCGAAGCGGGGACCCGATTCGGAATGAGTCAGAAGCTATACGGAGTACGCCATACATCAGCCGAGTCTGCCCTCGTCTCAGACGACAGTCGCGACAGTACTCCGTCGTCTGGTGCCAGGTGCCAGCATCACAACATGGGGACCGACTCCCCGGCGACAGGCGCCAGCTGGCGCTCCTCGCGATACTTCGTCATCGGCACGATGTGCATCGCCCTGTTCGCCGGTACATCTCCCGCCCCAATCCCACCAACACCCCCCCCTCTAACCGCATCCAGAACTCTTCCTCTACGGCTTCATCGTGCCCATCCTGGGCTACATGTTCGAGCAGCGGCTGCACCGCGCGCCGTCCGAAACGCAGAACCTCACCTCGGCCATCCTGGCCGTGCACGGCTACGCGTCGGTGCTGGCCGGCCCGCTCATCGGGCATTTCGCCGACAAAGCGCCGACCCGCAAGACGCCGCTGGTGCTCTCGCTGGCCGGCTGCATCGCCGGCACGGTGCTGGTGGCGTGCGCGCGCTCGCTGCCCGCGCTGTTCCTCGGCCGCGTGCTGCAGAGCATCGCCGGCGCCGTCGTCTGGATCGTCGGCCTCGCCACCGTCGCCGACGCCGTGCCCCGCGACCGCCTCGGCACCGCCATGGGCGTCGTCATGACCTTCGCCAACGCCGGCACCATCAGCGGGCCCATGGTGTCCGGCCTGCTGCTCGAGTGGGCCGGCTACTGGGCGACCTGGTCGGTGCCGCTGGTCGTGCTGGGCGTGGATATCGTGCTGCGCATGCTGATGGTTGAGCGCGTCGCCCCGTCGCCGCCGGCTACACCCTCCGCGGAGACGACCGCCCTCCTCGACCCTCCTCCGCCGGAGACGGAGGCGGCGGGACCAAACTTCTGGACGACAATCCTCCGGCACCGGCGCGTGGCCGTCGCGTTGGCGGCGCAGGTCACCAACGTGTCGGTGTCGGTCAGCTTCCACGCGACGCTGCCGTTGCACGTGCGGGCGGCGTTTGGCTGGAGCCCCGTGCTGGTGGGCGCGGCGTTTACGTGTCTGACGGTGCCGGGGCTGGTGATCAGCCCGTTTGCCGGGTGGCTGCGCGACCGGGTGGGCGTGCGGGTGCCGACGACGGTGGCGTTCGTGCTGCAGGGCGTGGTGCTGGTGCTGCTGGGGGCGGCGGGGAATGAGCGTGTGCCTGGGCTGGGCGGCGTGCGGGCCGGGCCTGCGCTGTATACGGCGGCGTTGGTGGGGTTTGGGATTGTGAGGCCGTTTTCGTCGGGGGTTGCGTCGATTGAGGTTACTGGTGAGTGCGCTGGTGTGTTTTTGGTGGTGGATGTGGAGGTGCGCTGACGGATTGTAGAAGTGGTGAAAGACTACCAGGAGAAACAGCCGGGCATCTTTGGGCCTGGCGGCGGACTGTCGCGGGTGTTTTCGATGGTCGATGTGGCGTCGTCGCTGGGCTTGACGATCGGGCCGGTTGTCGCGGGGGCGTTGACGGAGACGGTGGGATATACGCTCATGTCGTGGTTCTGGAGTAAGTCGTTCGTCTGGTGGACGGGCGTGCTGGCGTGCTGGCGTGCTGACGTGCTGACGTTGTAGGTGTGATGTTCTTCATCCTGGCGGTGTTTGTGTTTGTCTTCTCGGGGCGAGCTCCAGTCGAGGTAGAGGAGGGTGAGTAGACAGTACGACTACGAGAGATGAACTGGTGATGATATGACTGCTTACGAAGAAATGACTGCTCTCAAGGTACCGCAGACTAGAGGCTAGAAAGAGCATAGCATGGCCAGATCTCTAGTTATGAAGTTTCACGATATGCAACTGATGATCATGTTGAACATTCTTGTATACGCATAGAACAATGTGATGAACAACTATATCTAACGCCTACGCTGAACTAATCAAAGGATATCAATGAACCTCCTCCAACAAAACGCTGAACGCTCGCTATGCAGACCTCAGACCAGACCAGACAAGTCAAAAGCACAGCAATGAACCGCCACTTCCCATGCATGCAATTTGCCAACGCGAAAAGCCTCCAGGAAGAAACAATGCGGAAACCAAGGGTATAACAACACAACAGAATCGAATCATGCACATCACTTTTTGAACATGTAATGCCCGTAGATGCCGCCGACGTCGCCCACTGCTACGGGGATCTTGCGCATTCCCCACCAGCGCGCCCCCATCTTCCAGCACCGCGAGCCGTCATCCACCGGCTGCGACGGCATTGAGGCCGGATCACGCACATACCACCCGCGGCGGCCCAGCTCCCGCACGGTCCAGCCGAGGGACGACCGGGCGTTCTTGGTGCGCTCGCGGAGGGGCGCAATCAGCTTGTCGCCGAACTCGATTACCTGGAGGGGGTAGCTCTGCGGGGAGAGCAACAGACAGGCGCTGGTGTTGAACACCGTGCCCAACGACAGCTGGTTCACCTTGGTGAGATCGAGATAGCAGAGCATGGGTGGGACCCAGGTCTGTCTTGCAGTCTGCTCGGCATTCTGCGGAGGAGCAAAGAAGGAGTTCACATCCTGGGCGGTCAGGTCCGCCGAGCTCAGACCCAACTCTTCCAGGTGCTTGGTCAGAGGAATCAGGGCGGGCACATGAGTCGAGGTGACCTTGGCGCCGCCGAGGTTGAGGGACCGGAGCGAAGAAGGCAGTCTCGGGAGGAGGGCGCTGATGTCTTCCTCCTCAAGCAGACGGTACCGCGTCGGGTCGGTCATCAGGTTCAAGAACACTAGGGACTCGCACACGGCGGGATGCGTGGTCAGGAATTCCACGACCTTGGACGCGCGCAGCCGCGAGCACCGGGACAGACTCAAATGGGTGACCTTGGCGGTCTCGGGAATGGAGAACAGGGCTGCCTCGCTGATCTGCGTGTGGGTGACGTCGAGGTGCGTCAAGTTGACCAGCCGGGGCAGGAGGACTTCAAAGACGGAGGCAGGCAGGGTGCTGCATTCATGCAGGGAGATGCGCTTCAGGTTGGGGAGGGTGAGCGGAAGACCGAGACCGGTGGTCAACGCCTCGGAGAAGACCCGCGAGAAGGACTGGCTGGAACAGCCACAGAAATCGACGGCGCACAAGTTCGGTAGACCGGTGAAGAGCTTCTGCACGATCTCCACACTGAGATCGCCCTCGACGTGCTCCTGCAACAGACACTCCTTGAGGTTGGGCAGCAGGTCGAGACACTTCAAGAGGGTGGTCGAGGTCAAGTTCTGGATCTCCGAGTTCATCTGCTTGGTGCGGCCCAAGCCCACCGAGGTAAAGTGCGAGAAATCGAGGCGACGAACCAGCGTGCCCAACGCGGGATACTGCGACATGTGGTTCAGCGCCTTGGAGAAGATGATGGAGTGGGGGAAGGTCATGTTCCGGTACAGCACGGCCAGAGTTGCGGCGTGGAGGGTGCGCGAGGTGAGCAGACAGGAGATGAGGTCGACATTGCGGGGGGTGTAGCCGTTGGGCGGGACGTCCAAGGCCAGGTAGGAGATGATCTGATCCAGCACCTCCGGGGGCAGCTTCTCGAGCGCCGAGGTGCCGGGGACGGGCTTCTGTTCCCATGATGAAGGGCTCTTGCTTGGTGGGCGCGAGGGTCTCTGGCGGAGAGGCCTCCCAGGCCCAACCCCGAGCGTGCATGTTCCCCAGGGCACGGAGGTCCCCATAGCTCCTGCTGAGACTCTTCCCCCCGAGGCGGATCTGCTTCCAGCCGAGGAAGCCACCGCAGGGACAGCAGAACTCGGGGGACGGTTGCATGTCGAAAGGGTTGGCGATGGGCTTGGGCGATGGATCGGCTAGTTCCTTGGGCGATTGATCGATGTGAGTGTCGACAAAGGATTGAGCGATTCCTAGGGGGAGGATTTAGTATTCGAAAATCATGCGCTACACGAAAGGAAATTGTGGAGGGGAGGGAAAAATGGGTTTCTTTTACGTACCGTCAATATCCTCCTTGATGGAGCCGACGGACGGACGGCGGCGGCTGCTGGATCGGGACCCGTCCGGTGAGGAACACTCTGAGGAATGAGGAGACGAGGTGCGCGAGTGATTCTGGGAGGACAAGGAGGTGTGCAGTAGGTGGGAAGGCTTTGGGAGAGGAGCGGCGGTGGTGGACGACATGGTGGGAGGAGCGCGGAGGGCTCTATATACCGTCCGAGGCGCCGTCCGGAGGAAGTAGTGCAGTGCAGTGGAGGGAGTAGTGTAGTGTATAAAGTAGGGGGGAAACAAGGACCAGGGGATATGAACGAAAAGCTTTTTTAAGTGCAGAAGAGAAAAAGAAAGAAAAATCTTTCCCCAGATTCCAGAGGGGCGGCGGAGACAGTCGAACCAGGAGCGAAACTGTTAGTCACAGAATGCGGCGGTGGAGGAGGGAGGAGAAGGAGGACCGGGAGGGTGCCGATGGAGGCTGTCTGTAATAAGGAGGGGTAGATCGAGTCGTGGATAGGAGAGGAGTGGTTGAAGAGAAGGTTAAGAGAAGATTGGAAGCGAGAGAAGATGATGGAGGAATGACTGACCGATGTACGGACTGCCTGTACTGTATACTGCTGAAAGCGGACCACCAGGTACCCCTGCAGCATGACATCGGTGGTTTCTTTTTTTTTTTTTTTTTTTTCGCCTCTTCTTTCTTTGTCCATTTCTCTCTACTTTTTTATTTTCTTTACTACTTTATTCTCTTTCCTACTACTACACATTCCTCTACAACTACTACTACAGCTATTACTACTTCTACTTCTACGATATTCATTTTGATTACTCCAAATCATCCGATGAAAAATTGAGTAAGAGAATTCGCCCACTGGCCACCCGCATTCTATGACATAATGGAAAATCGCCTCCGCCGACCCCGTGACCGCTCCGTTTCGGGCCTCTTTCCGCTGTCACGTTCTGTCCAGTACAGGAGTCCTTCCTCTCTATCTCGTTATATCCGGTAGGTAGGTAAATAAACAAGCAATTAATGGACAACACCTTATAGAGCATGCTGCATGTCCATCCTGACCATCAAACAATTATCCATGAATGCCTGTAGGTACTTGTATACTCGTAACATATAATATACTAGCAGGCAGAATCTCTTACCTAAGAAGAACCCTCCGCTGCGCCACCATTGGTCCACCCCCCAGCGGAATCCCGTGACGGTGCGGAGAACCATGATTCTCCTCCATCTTCGAGGAGCTGTCTAGTGACTAGACCTCTGTATTAGTTAGTGTAGGTATGGGCCGACCTCTCCTATCCAGGGTAGCTCGTCTCATCTGCTTTCCCGTCCTTCCGACTCGTCAATCCCCCTAGTCCCCAACTAGCCTCCACCTTCTTCCCCGTCATCTGATCCTCTCTTGGCCCGTGCCCCTTGCAGTCGTCCACTGTATGTATGTCCCCTGACCGGCCTCGGAAGTGTCGTCAGCCGTCTTCTATGTATTCTCCCATCTTCCTAAACCTGTCGATCGTCCCCCTCATGGAGCCAGCGGCTCAATACTCCTAGCCGCCAAGGCCGATCAGTAGAAGCCAAGATACATAGTTCGTTACCGACAGGAATGCCACATCAACTCCAGTTCTTTGTTCCAGCCCCTGTCTTACAGGAACTAGTTCTCTTCGGTCGGTTGTCGGCACCAACCCCTGACGTGTCCGCTCCCCTCCGCCATCGCGTTATTATCACCCCATCTTGCCACTCAATTGCTCGTCCGCTTACAGTCACCTGATTCATCGATCTGATAAGATAGCCTCCGCATCTCACGTGGGCGGTCAGTCCTTTTCCCCTCACGAGATCATTACCTACTATAAGAAGACGCGAATAATGTCGTGGCTGCCACCAGATCGACGTGGTGATCTCTGGCGGTATGCGGGGTCTGTGGGCGATATAGAACCCCAATTTGCACCGCTAATACATTCAATCTTCAGGCCATACTCGCGCCAGCGTCTCCACGAGATACTCCTGCAGACAACTGTACAGACACAAACTTATAGCTCCTACAAGGTCAAATCTCATTTCCTGTAGGATTTGGGGCTGTTTTTTTCGAGTTGTATGTATAACTATTGTTTCGGATAGCTTCTTCTGTACTTAAAGGTACTTCTACGCTATAGATATATAGTACTAGTTACTATAGTAGCACTATAAGAGTACATCAGTGCCTTTAGTGAAAGAAGTACATGAATGATATCACAGTAGCATAAGCAGCCCCGCACCAAGCAACACTTATAATTTATATAGAAATCGACATCCATCCATCCCATCAACCATGTCTTCCTACCAACTCACCCCCCACGACCTCGACACCTACAACGACGACCCCCCGGCCATTCGGGCCGCTCGAAATCCCAACCCAGCGGTTCTACAGGCGTTGCTAGACTATTACCTGTCTGAGCTACCGCACGTCGCCCATCTCGCCCGCCGAGACCGCGGCGGATTCGAGCAATGCTCGCCCAACGCCGACATCAGCGGCGCTATTGATTGCGTCTACGAGTCCCCATTAACCGCAGCCATTCGCGCTGGCCTTCCCGACAATGTGCGTGCGCTTCTGGCAGCCGGCGCAGACCCCGCGGGCATCAGCCTCCACTATCTGTCCGACTACTCCGTCCGCTTCATCCGCGGCCGCGATGCAAAGACCGACATGTCCAGCTTTGCCTTGTGTCCGCCGCGACACGCCATCCTCGCCGTGGCCGCCGCGAAAGGCATCCAGCATCAGACACAGCCCTTGACCACCGCCGAGCTGGACGAGCGCCGCTCCGGCTTTCCTCGCTTCTGGACCGAGCCCAACCTGCCGGGCCAGCGCTTCCGCTCCACCAAGGCCTTGACGGCTCTAGAAGTCGCCGCAGCCTGCGGCCAAGAGCAGATCTTCGACCTGCTTCGCGACGCCGGGGCGGATGAAACCGCCTGGACGCAGCCTCCGCCCTCTGACATCGTCGACGACGGACCGTCTCCCCAGGAGACACCCTCGGCGCTATCGACCTCGTCGCCCGTCCACGAGGCCCTCGCCGCCGGCCACCGCGCCATGCTGCACAAACTGCTCCATCAACACCACTACTCCCCCAACTACCGCCCTCTGACCGCGGCGCCGACGCTGGCCCTCCCGCCGCTCTCCTACGCCCTGGCCTGCTGCGATCCCGACGACCCCACGATCCGCGCGTGCATCACCGAACTACGCAACCACCCCGATCTCGACCCGCACCTGCGCACCCCCATCTTCGACGTCCACCCGCTCCATTTCGCCGTCGCGCGTCACAGCCCCGCGCTGCTGTCCTGGCTCGCCCTGCCCCTCTCGTCGGCCGGCTCCACCGCCCTCGGTCACACGCTGCTGCACATCGCCTCGCTGCCCTGGACTTCCGAATCCACCGACGACACTAACCCCGACGTCGTCCGCAGCATCCACTGCGCCAGAACGCTAGACTCCGCCTGGCTGCCGCATTCCTTTCCCAGTCCGCTGCATCTGCAGCCTCAGCTGCAGTCCCGGCTTAACCCGCCCCGTCGCCCCGCGAGAACCCCGCTGACGCCCGCTGAGCAGCACGCCCAGCTGCAGACCCTGCGCGTTCTGCTCGATGCCGGCATTGAGGTCGCCGCGCAGGATGTCGATGGGAACACCGCCCTGCACTATCTGGCGGCGACTTTGAATGTCGACCCCCGCGCAATGCAGTTGTTACGGGATGTGGGCGCTGGTGAGGAGGTCTACCAGCATGCTTTGAATCGGGAGGGCTTGTCGCCGCGGGCTTTGTGGGAGAGTAGATCCCTCCAGTGAGGGCATTCGAACGATCTTTCCATGTGACTTGGGTATACCGTTACATTACAAGTTGTAGTTTCATCGAGGCGCTCTTATCATGTCCCGCGTTCCTAACACATATTCAACTCAATTATAAATACACTATCTCTTGCATATGACATCGTCCATCACTTACCCCCTTCTCAACTATCCCCCCTTCGAACCCGCCTCATGGAGATAAATCATATAATCATGCGGCGCATCCGTAATCCCATAATTATGCGACGGCGCGGTCGCCGGCTCCGCCAGTTCCACCTGATCAAACCGCTGGAGCAAGCGCACAATCACATACCCGGCCTCGGTGAGCGCAAACTGCTGGCCGAGACAGATGCGCGGCCCGCCATTGAACGGCAAATAGTCCCAGCCGTGCTTGCGATCGACCCAGCGGTCGGGGTTGAACCGGGCGGCGTCGGGGCCCCAGTACTCCTCCAGACGGTGCGTGACGTACACCGAGTATCCGACCTCGTGGCCCTTCTTCACGAAGACGGGCGCCTTGCCGTCGGGCCCGCCGCCCAGCGGGAGGGTGGTGTCGCGCGCGGCGCGGCGCGCGTTGAGCGGCACCGCCGGGAACAGCCGGAGCACCTCGCTCATGACGTGCTGCAGGTACGTGCAGGCCTTGAGCGCGGCGAAGGTGATGCGGTCCGGGCGGCCGGCGTCCGGGCCGAAGTCCTCGAGCACGCGCGCCCGCAGCTTGCTGTACACGGCTGGGTGCTGCGCCAGCAGCCAGAAGGTCCAGCTCAGCAGGCCGGCGGTCGTGTCGCGGCCCGCGATCAGGATGTTGAGCAGCTGGCTTTTCACCTCGACCGGGTCGCGGGTGACCTTCAGCAGCTCGTCGAGGAAGATGTAGCGCTGCGCGGCGGAGCTTTTCTGCTGGTCGAGTCGCTGCAGCCCCTGCTGGATGCAGAAGTCGGCGAAGCGGTGGATCTCCTTGATGTTGTTGCGGAAGCTGGATGGGTTGTAGAGGAAGTAGAGCTCCTGGAAGAGGGAGCGCACGCCCAGGTGCTTGGTGCTTTCGTCGAAGTGTCTTGCGAGGTCCTTCCAGGGGAATGCGTCGGTGTCGGTGGCCGGCTGCTGGGAGGAGGTGTGGCGTTGCGAGTGCACTGTCACGCCGAATAGGAACTCGGTCGCCGAATCGATGGTCAGGCGGAAGAACATCGGGGTCAGGTTGATCTGCTGCGTCCAGCCGCTCTGGTCGGTGGGCATGAGCCGGAACAGCTCCTGTACGTGTCGCTCTTCCAGTTCCAGATCCGCGACTTGGCCTCGTGTGAACTGCGGCCGGAGCATGGCCCGAGAGTGCTCCCTGGGATTGTAAGTTGTGGGTCTCGCCCAAGCTGGCGAGAGATGCACCTACCAGGCTTTGCCGTCACTCGTGAAGATGCCATTGCCCAGAAGGGGGAAGAACACCTTGCGCCGTAGATCCCCGAGCTCGAAGTCGTGGAACTGCGTGGCGAGTATGGCCTGGATGTTCTTGGGCTCGACGGTGTGGATGTACGAGGCACCAAGGCTGCTGCCGGCGAATGTCCGACGTCCTACTTCCTTGTATACCTGGACTTGGTGGTCGGGCATCTGACCAGCCTTGATTGCCTGGAAGGCGCGGTAAGCATGGTCAAGACCAAGCGGCAGCCGGTTCTTCAGCACGGGCACAGGCTGACAGCCCAGTGCCTTTGCCTTTCGTCGGTCTGAAATGCTGTCCACGCATTTGTAGACAACATATATCAAGGCTAGTATGGCAGCAAGGACAGTAGGGTGATTCATGGCGGAGATTCGTGATCCGCCTTCGGAAAATGGGATGGATCAGTGTTTGATATCTTATAACAGGCCGGAGACTGCGAACTCCGTTTCCGGTCCCTGCGGATCCCGCGCTCGTCCCATATAAATAAGTTGGTGGACAAGGTAGCAGGTCTGAATTCGTATTCGCTAGTCATTCTACCGCCAATGAAGGCTGCAAAGGATTCTGGTATTCGGAAATTGGGCTGTTTCGAGGCCTCGTTTCTCCACGGCTTCCGAGTATCCCGTCACCTTAATGGGGCAAAACCGGTTCTAGCATGTAATTACGACCGCCCAGGTGGACAGTCTCTGAGATGTATCAAATTGCATGCGAGGACGGAAGGCCCGGGTGATTAGGCTTTGCATGCCACCTTTCGGTCACGCTGTGATTTCGCTCTGATCGAGCATCATGAACAATCTTCGCTTTGGGCGTGTCCTTTTACATTCTATTGGGGTCGGAAGTGCGCCTTAGCCTCGTTGCAGACGGTTGAGATCGAGCGCTGAGTAGGAGCTTGTCTTCACGTCACTATCGGATATATATCTGGATCATATGAGGAGGCCGTCTTTAATAATCTGTTCCTTTAAGGCCAGGATCGTGATGTCACGGGTTTGATATGGGTCCAATTGAGACCGTTGGAGGGTAGTGGCTATCTGCAGTCAGACTTTAGCCCACACCTCCGCAAAGGGACAGAGACATTCACAACAAATCCCTCATGTTGGACGCTGATTACAAATATAAGATGCTCGTAGCTCGACTGATACCAGAACGCACCATTCGCACGTAGTGGAAGCGCCTTCGGACGTGAAAACACCGTGATATGGTACATCCGCCACATGTGTGTACAAGCAAGGAAGCCCGAATGCACTCAGTGAGCGAGCAGAATGCGACTCACGGCATTATCTCCCAAGCAGCTGCGCCAGCAACTCGCCGGGTTCAATCCACGTCTGTGCTGGCCCAGGCAGGGTGAAGCAACGGATTTCGGACTTCAACTCCGAGACGGAAGTCTCGTATGCCCAGCTCAACCAGTTACACGTGGTACTTTATCACACGGTTGAGACCGTGGCAGCAGCCCATCTCTGCTGTCTGCAGTTGACGATCGCTTGTCAATGGGCACTTGTAACAGGCGATATGCCGGCTGCTGGGAACCCCGACGCGGTTGACCTGACACTATTGTCCGCAATTAGCTCGCCTTCGTCTTCGACACAACTGATCAGAGATCACAACTCACTCGCGAGATCGTAGTCAACGGCTAACGTTGGCAGATATATAACGGAATGCATGCACAGGCACAGATGCGATGTTTATGAAGAATGCAAACAGGGCAAATAGATGACATCATCAGCAGGCATCCACCAGCCTCCAGATTCTCTTTCCTCTGTCTTGTCGACAATCATCTAAAGACAATCACGTTGACTCCTGCTTATATTACTCTGTACCGCTTCACAGTTTTCATCTGCCATGGATGTACGTGATGGCATCTGCGCTACCCTATCTCTTGAAGGCACATGCTCACCGCCAGGCTTCAGGTCTTTTATACCTATACCTACACCACGGCAGGATGGCTGTCACTGCAAAGCCTCGCGCTAGTGGCAGCTCCCAAGCTGATCACGACCATGCTGCTCGACGAGACTCGTCCCGCGTCTGGTGAGTACTCTCCCGCCCGATGGGAGCTACTAGCTTGCATCAGGATGAAAGAGGGGGTTCTGTGAGAATCTCGTGATCTAACAAGCCCAGATGTGGAGATCTATTTCGCCCGCTCTCTAGGATTCGGCCTACTCACCATCGCGGTGTTGACTGTCATGTTGACCGGCTCCATTCCCTTAACCTCGACGCTCTCCGAACCCGTCACTGCGGATGACTCCGATCCCAAAGCCCCCTACGCGGTGCCCACGCTGACCGTGACGTCCGTGTTCCATGCCGCTTCCGCGATCTATGCGTACACCTGGTATCTGGCCACGGATAAGGCTGTCTTTGCGGTTGCGTTGGTGGGATCGTCCGCGGTAGCAGCGGTTGGGCTCTGGTGTGTACTCTTTGCGAGCAGCCGTGGGAAGATCAGCCGGAAGACGGGCGCAGATAAGCGTACGACGGGATTCCCGTTCAAGAATAAAGAAGCGGCAAAGAAGCATGCGCGGAAGGAGTTATGATGGTGTATAGCAGTGTTGTTGGCTGGACCTGGATTGAACCAAAGGTTGTTCCGCCGGCTCCTGGACAAGGCGGGGTGATACCTATACAATCAAGACATCTTCGCTTATCTGGTGGCTGAAGCCATACCCTCGTTGGGGCCATTCACCTGCTGCTCCTAGATCCAAAACAGCCGTAGTCTCCGTGGGGGCTTCTTGGCGAGAGGAGGAGTGGAGGATGGTGGTATTCTGATATATTGCCTCTTGGGGATCGACAGAAGACCTGGCCTATGATTGCCGCGGATCATCTCGATCATTCTGGCTTGCTCGGAGCCCCGATAACGAGCGCCTCCGCCAAGACAGCTAGTCACTAGCGATAATACTCCGCTCTAGGGGTAGTTACCTCTGTCCGAGCCAAGGGTACCTGCCCGACAGTGGTGGCACCCCCACCGCGGATGTACCTCCCTTGTCACTCGCTGTTCCCGCCGTCGCACGGACATCCCCGACTTCTGCAAGGGCAATCAGCTCGTTGCGATGCCACCTGGGGCGTGCTTCGACTCTGATGCAACCGTCCTTACGCTCCTTCGTCGGCGTGTCGTCTGGTCCAGTGAGACTGCCAGCTGCAGCCATCAGCAGACATGCCCAGGAACAGATGTCTTTGATATCACGCACCCATCACCAATGACCGTTGAGCATCACCGTACCCCTGAGCTATACTTATGACCGCTATTATCACGCTCTCCCGGTACATTTGAGTTTCAAATGGTTTTCTCATCTACTGCCGAGACATCCGCTACTCTACCCCGTAGTGTCAACTGCTTGTCTCTGGCTGCCAAGCCTCTCAGCTGCTTCTTCGGACGCCCGGCGGTGGACACACCAGCTACAATAGGCGCTATCCCTCAACGGCCAACAGGCACATCGCTGCTATGCCATTTAATTGGCCATTGTGGGCTGAACCGGTGTATCGTTATCTCCGGACACTGTTGCGTAACGCAGCGGTCAAGGGGACTGGGTTCGGCAAAACCACCCACGCTCCAAAGCGCACCACGCACCATCCCAGTCGTCCATATAGATGACCGAATAAAACATGGCGAATGCATGCCAGTCATGATGGTATCATAAGACCCGGCACTATGCACCTGCCAGGGTTCTCTGTATGTCGCACCGAAGCACCGAAAAAGGCTTATCCTGCACCCAAGAGAGGCCCGGAAAGCGCTTATCGCAAACAGCACCCTTGTGCGAGCATCGTGCATGGACAGGCCCAGGTCGTCGTTCGCTGGCGTCGGCCTTGTGACATGATAGGCAAGATCGCCCGCTCTTCCTCCGCGTGCAACCCTGACCATCAACCTCGCGTACAGCTGTTGGGCGGTGTTCTAGAAACCCCCCTGGTCTCCCGCTGGTCTCTGTATCCAATCATCCAGAACGCGACGTGATAGGCAAGGCAAAAGACGCGGGCAGCAGCGGATATCGCGTGAGTTGCCAAGCACCTGAGAAAGATTAAGGTCACATTGATGCCAAAGTCAAGGCCAGCCCATGCACTCTGTAGGGCTCGTTTGCGTGATGCGGGCACCCAGCAATGACGCGATTTGCTCGGAGAGCGACGCATGTTCATGACTTGCTTCTGGACCAACGCAGCTGCAAGTGTCGATCGCCCCTGCTCCTCAGGGACTCGGGCTTGGCCAAAGCAGCAGCCCCGATAACCATGTGTGCATGGTCTGCGGATGGCCTATGAAATGTCTTGGAAGGCAGTCGGCCTCCGTGATGATCGCCGTTGCCATCCACATTGTCCCTTTCATTTACAGCTTCTCCAATAATAGCGCCAAGTCCGACGGAGCACAATGGAGTCGTCTGAGGATGCAATGTCACCCTGTGAGTTTGGGAACACCCTCTAGGGTACACCCGAGTCTTGTCCTCCCAGGCACGAGTGAATCGCGAGTTTGCATGGCGGAGATGGCAAATGGACATGGTCTCGTGAAGGGTATATAGGGCCGCTCGGCCTCACCTTCTGTCATGCTTCTCATCATCAAGCCACTGGAATCTCTCTGGCTTAACTCTTCTTTGCAAACCACTCCGGGCATCTCACCATGCAGTCCATCAAGCGCACTCTCTTGCTCCTGGGAGCTGTCCTTCCCGCGGTCCTAGCTGGTCCAATCTTCCCACACCGTCGCGCGCCTACCACTATTCCTGGCAAGTACATTGTCACCTTCAAGTCGGATGTCGACCAGGCCGCGATTGACAAGCACACCGCGTGGGCGACCGATATCCACAAGCGCAACCTGCAGCGGCGCGACTCGTCCGAGGAGGACCTCCCCATTGGCATTGAGCGGAACTTCAAGATCAACAAGTTTGCCGCGTACTCGGGCTCCTTTGATGAGGATACCATTGCGCAGATTCGCCAGAGCGACGAGGTTGGTGACATTGCTTGCGGTGATTCCACAAGACGAATGAAAATCGAATCTAACGCATCATAGGTCGCCGCGGTCGAGGAAGACCAGGTCTGGCACCTGTTCGACCTGACCACCCAGTCGGACGCCCCCTGGGGATTGGGAAGCATCTCCCACAAGGGTCAGCCCAGCACGGACTACATCTATGACACCAACGGCGGCGAGGGCACCTACGCTTACGTCGTAGACACCGGCATCAACGTGGACCACGAGGAATTTGAGGGCCGTGCGAGTCTCGCGTACAACGCTGCCGGTGGCCAGCATGTGGACGGTGTCGGCCATGGCACCCACGTTTCTGGTACAATTGGTGGTAAGACATACGGCGTGGCCAAGAAGGCCAACCTGCTGTCGGTCAAGGTCTTCGTCGGGGAATCGAGCAGCACATCCATCATCCTGGACGGCTTCAACTGGGCGGCCAATGACATTGTTTCCAAGAAGCGCACTGGAAAGGCAGCGATCAACATGAGCTTGGGTATGTTATTCTGCCATCTATGTGAATGATATCATTGGAGTCACACAGCTGACGCAAGCATAGGCGGTGGATACTCCAAGGCCTTCAATGATGCCGTCGAGAACGCTTTCAACGAGGGAGTCCTGTCCATCGTCGCTGCCGGCAATGAGAATGTGCGTGCCACGTTCCCCCCTGTGAATGGAGTGCGGACTCCGCTGACTGATTCGACAGACCGACGCCTCGAGCACCAGCCCGGCTTCTGCTCCTGATGCCTTTACCGTCGCTGCGATCAACGTGAACAACACCCGTGCCTATTTCTCCAACTACGGCTCCGTGGTGGATATCTTCGCCCCGGGCCAGAACATCCTCTCTGCCTGGATCGGCTCCAACACGGCCACCAACACCATCTCGGGCACCTCCATGGCCACCCCCCACATTGTCGGCCTGTCCATCTACTTGATGTCGCTGGAGGACCTCAGCAGCCCCAAGGCCGTCAGTGACCGCATCAAGGAGCTAGCGACTCGAGGCGTCGTCAGCAACGTTGCCGGTAGCCCCAACCTGTTGGCGTACAACGGCAACGCCTAACCTCGGCAAGACGCCGGCATAGTGCAGCTGACCGCGTCGACTTGCGATATGGAAGCCAGGCAGGTGATGTGGATCTAGCTTCAATGTACACGTACTATACATAGCATCGCGTTCTCGAGGATCAACGTGGAAGTTATTTGACTTGTCCGATACAACCTCCTATTACATCTCCCGTTCTCTTTAAACTAGGCACATGGCCCCGTATATCCCGCATAACCTGTTTGGCGCCGAGCCACCTGCAGCGGCCTAGTATGCGCCGTATCTCGAGCTATCTTCCCGTCTCTCCGCCGGATGCCCGCTCCGGAATTCCAACGTGCGTCAGGAAGGTCTCGACGCGTGATTACGGTTGGCTCGCAGACGTCCGCTAGACGCAGCGCAGGTAAGGAAAGGGATAGCAGGTCTGGGATCTTCACGGCGGCGGCGACCATTAGGCGAATGAGTTCTCCGCCGTGCGGAATGTGGACCGGGACATTGCGTCGAGAGCATGATATAGCCACCCACCGGGAAGGACGGCAGACTTGCGAGACACGGGGGTCTCCAGTCGCAGCTCATACGTACTTAGAGCCGTGAAATGCATCACGAGCTCCTTGGAGGTCTTGGAGATCCGCCATGACGACGACCAGCCTAGAGAGTCGAGCCCGTGGACCTGCTGGGGGAGGATCTGCACGTCGACCGGCCCCCTTTACATTCTGATGCAAAGTTTGCCGGCTAGGAAGCTATCGTTGCGCAATCCGCTCGTCGTTCTGCAGGTCTGGGCTAAAGCCGATGTCATACGCTGCGTCGGACGTGATATCAACGCTGGGGAATTCATTCTGGGCGTTCTCCTCGTGCAGGTTTCTTGTTCTTCTGTCTATAACCGTCTAGAAAATGAGCGACCCGACATCCGGCAAGATGTCGGATATTTATATGTCTCACTGTGGAACGGACAAGTCCGCCCTGGATCCAGCCCTGGAACAACTTGGATTGCAGGTGGCTGCTGATGGGTTTCACATCCAATGGGCCAAGGGCAATCGACGACATCCGCGCAACTGGCGACAGTCGCGGAAGATCTACGACACCTGCTTGATTATCTTTCTAGAGCTGTTTACGTGAGTTGGCCTGTCGGTCGCGAACGAGGAGATCTGCTAACGCAACGTATATAGGACGGCCATAAGTACTTCTGGTGTATGGAGCATCACTTGCCTCGTTTGATACGGATTGGTACAGGGTTCAAGCTGACTGTTTAGTCCAACGCTGCCAACGACGCGCTCAACGAGTTCGACATTCAGAGGGAGCTTGCTATCTTCATTTTCGTGTCACTGTTCGTCGTCCGGGCCTTGAGACAAACCGACAAATAGCTGACGAGATAGATATCTACTGGGCCAGGGCTTTGGCGCCATTGTTCTCCCGCCGTACTCGGAATCCTTTGGCCGCAAGAATCTCTATGTCGCCAGCACGGCTGTGTACAGCATCTCATGCGCGGTGGTGGCCGCCGTGCCCTCGTTGATCGGTGTCGCGGTAGGCCGGCTGGTCAGTGGTTTCGTCTCGTCGATCCCGACCACGGTGGTCGTGGGCAGCATCGAAGACATGTATAATGCAAAGGATCGGGTGTGGGTGATCTGCGTATGGGCTATCGTCGCCAACCTCGGCTTGGTGGTCGGGCCCATCTACTCGACGTTCATCACGGCGGATCTGGGCTGGTATGGTTGCAGCTGGAACCTCCCACATACCAAGACACTAGCTGACAGGTATCAGGAGATGGGTGTTCTATGTAGCCACGATGGTGACGGGCGTCCTGGCGTTCCTCCTGCTGACCATCCGCGAGTCGCGTCCGTCGCTGCTACTGGCGCAGGAGGTGGACACCCTTCGTCGCATCACGGGCATCGAGACGCTGCAGGCGTCGAACCCGGACATGATTCCCGACCTGCGGACGTTCGTTCGCGTCGCCCTGGGCCGCCCCGTCCGCCTCCTCTGCACGGAACTCATCGTGTTTGTCGTGTCGTTCATGAGCGGGATCGCCGTTGCGCTGGTCTACCTCTTCACCGAAGCACTGCCGCCCATCTACGAGGCGTTCGGGTTCAGCCCGCGCCTATCCTGTCTTCCATTCGTCGCGTTGGGCATTGGCATGCTGGCCGGGCTGTCGACTCGCTGCATCGACCTGCGCATCATCGACACGCACCGACGGAACGGCCGCCCACTGGTGCCGGAGCACAAGCTGACCGGGTTCAGCATCGGGACGCCCATCCTGGCTGCCGCGCTGTGGCTCTACGCCTGGACCATCCCACCGGAGGTGTCGAACGTGCACTGGATCGTGTCGGCGATCGCGCTGGTGCTGATCGGCTACGCGCTCAACGAGATCGACTACGTCCTGAGCGGGTACCTCACGGACAGTTATCTCAGCTATGCGGCTAGTGGCCTGGCGGCGCTGAGTCTGGTTCGGGCGCTGCTGTCGGCTGTGTTGCCGCTGATCTCGTCGCCGATGTTTACGGGCATTGGGAATAACATGGCTGTGTCGGTGCTGGCGGGTCTGGCGACTGTGTTTTGTGTGATTCCGCCGCTGTTTGCGCGCTTTGGGAGGGTTCTTCGCGCGCGCAGTGAGTTTGCCAAGTACAGCTTGCGCATGTATCATGAACATAGTGTGGATGAGGATGGGCTTTGAGGTTGGATATGGTAGATAGTATAGTGACTAGCATCGTATAGACATTGGATGTTAGAAGGTAGTGTACTAGATTTACAGATCTGGAGTCAAGTGCTAAACACTTTTCTAGCAGAGATGACACAATTGAAGGCAGCGTTTATGAGTAGCACTCAACACCACACTGCAGGGTTTTAGCTAGAATTTGTTTGCAAACATAAGCGACGTTCAGCACTTGCCTCATCTCCGTACGCCACACGTTGAAAAACCGTTCTGTTCCTTTCGTCGCCATATCGGGCGTTGGCCTGGCCAACGAGCGTATGAACCAGTCCTCCTTTGCAGTCCGCATGTGCAATTTGTTCTGCGTAGGCAATGGGTCTGCGAAAGTCTGGAAGATCCTGCGTCACTCATCGGAGTAAACATCCAAGATATGCATGGACGATACCGGTAGTGGCCCCATAGCTCTCAGTGACCGAGGGATCGTAAGTGGAGATGCTTCTATATGAAGTGACACGGACATATAGGCAGCTAACGCTGTCTAAATGCGCAGCATCCCTGACCATGACACATCGTCGTCGGTTCAATGTCAAAGAACAGTGCTAATGGATTCGGTAAAGCGATGCCCAGACGACCTTGTAGACCGGAGGCCGATGGCCTGGTAAAGCGCAAATGAGGTCGTCGAGGTTCTCGGAGGAGATAAGGTCTTCATTGCTTTTGGGGTTGTTAGGATCGACTCCCACTGTGCATCTCCAGACTAGGGTACTTTATTCTGGAGTTCCTGCCATCTTGCGAGAATTTCAGCCCGTTGGGCGGCGGGAAGCGCACGCATCTGCTCAATGCCCTGTGCAATTCGCGCCGCCATGATGCAACCATTTTGTCCGAAGAAAAGCGTCTCTTGGATAGTGCGATGCAGTCCGTTCAGCGGGTACCCAACTGCCCCGAACAATCCTGCGTAATCAGACATTAACTGAGCAAGGTGTTGGCGCAGATGTGAGTTTACCTGCAGGTAGTCTCAAGGAAAGGCCTAACGCTCCCTTGCCCGCGCCCTTGAGGGCCTCCTTTGGGCCGTCTTTGTTCCAGCCAGAGCATGGCTGAGAATAGATGTCAGTAATGCCGTCTACCAAGCCGTACTTGAGTTCCTGGACATCATCAGTCGGTACTAGTAGAGTGTGAAGAGTGAAGTGATGGTTACCTTCTTAGCAGCCTTGCACCCGGTGCGGAAGTTGATCACCCTTGGGACAGGCGGGACGGTTCCGTCATGGTATAAGAGTATGTGGGCGTTATGAAATCCTCTTGACAAGCTTAGGGTTAGGTCCATTGGTAGTAAAAGCAGAAGGTCCAAGGTCCGAAGAGATGCTCGTTGCGCAAGAATTGTGTTGGTCTTTATCAACTGATGCAAAGGATCCAGCAGCCTATCCATCTTGGATTGTGGTTTTGGTGAGTATTCCACCATGCATTCACGGTCTATAGAACAGAGTGCTGAGGAATCGCACTGCCTTTGACCTTGTGGGGGTCGAACTGGGGCACGATTCCCACTTCCAAAGCGCACGCGCATGGCCTCCACTGGTTTAGGGGCAACAATACACAGACCATGGAATATACGGCCCACGGAGCCCATGAGCACCTGTGTTCCGGCTCGGACGGGTTCGTGTGGGTTGCGAATGCTGTCGTAAACCTCGGAGCGGTACCTGATGACGCTGCGTCAGTCACAAGTCCATCAACGGATCAACCGCCAGGGACGCCAAACTCACATTTCTACGTCTACTCGCTTGATCAGCTTGGCCTCGCATAGGACGGCGGCGGCTAATCCACTGAGGATGACTGAGGATCGTTTGATCCGCCAGACAGCTGGGAGTGCAGGATACAACGAGCAGGCCAGGTGTTTCTGGGATAAATAGCGGTGCACGCATCGAGTCGCCGATTCTGCTGCTGTTTCTTTCCGCATCTCCGCGCTTATGGCAACGGCCCGCGCTTTCACGCTCGGTTCAAGTGCCTCACGGATCGCAGCAGCCAGTTTTTCTGCAGTCAAGCTCCTGTAGGGCACTGGAGCCGGACCCGCTCCGCTGCTCGCCACCACTGCGCCCCAGAAGGGCTGGTCTCCAAAAAAGGGCACGATTACGGTAGGGAGCCCCCGCAAAAGGCCAGTGGCCGTGGTTCCAGCTCCACCATGGTGGACGACGCAACTGACATGCCGGAATAACCATTCATGGGGGACCTGATCGACCAGGAAAATATCCTCTGATGGCACATAGTTGTCTTCCCCCAGATGGGCCCAGCCTCTGCCGATAATTGCCCGTTGGCCCGTGAGTTCAATTGCTTTAAATACGATTTGGCTCAAAACAGCCGAATCATCCACGACGATAGAACCAAACCCAATATATATCGGAGGTGGCCCTTGATCGAGAAAGGTTTTAAGCTCGACCGAGGGTACGAATTTTGTAGAGGCCTGCAGATGGGTAAATCCACAAATATTAATATAATCGGGCCAGTCGTCCGGTTTCGGCAGTAATGCTGGCGACCTGAGCAGACCATCAGTCAAGTAAAATGACTCCGCAGAGATGACCGTACTCACCAGAGATAGACATGCGGAATTTGGAGCTCATGCACCAGGTTGACGGCCCGTGTAATGTCTAATCGATCCAGTCCCAGTGTCTTCTGGCGGAAAGTGTTGATCAGGTCCCCCAGACCCTGCCAGATAATGAACTCCACCACTGTGTACGACAGGAGATGTGCCAAAGACGGCTTGTCGGTACGAGACTGCACATTGGCCAACGGGTGGGCAAATGCACGGGTCGGCGACCAGGGCATTCTGTCAGAATTAACACGATGCCCAGGGATCAATCCAAAAAAAAAAAAAAAAAAAAAAAAAAAAAAAAAAAAAAAAAAAAAAAAAAAAAAGGCGGACTAACGTGAATGCTATGATGAGAGGTATCCCCAGTTTCTCGGCACAATGGATATGGGCCAAGCTGGGTGGGTTTGCAATGATCATATCGGCAGCGAATGGCCCACTTGAAGTCTTTTCAGTAGAATCAGGAGACGCAGAGCTGCGTTGATCCATCTGCAGCCCTGTCCCCTGTTCAAAACAAGATCGCCAGCATCCGTCGAGAATGCTGCTTATGATGCGCCGGTGCTTGCCGACTGACCCGCTTCGAACGGTCCGAAGGCTGGGGATGAGGCCAGGATTGCGGACCATGTAGGCCATCAGCTCGGCGGGATCGCCCCCGATGCAGAAGAATTCGAGGCCATGGCTTATCACCAGCTCGCGGAACGTGGCATGCGTGCACAGTCGAACGCGGTGGCCATATCTCCGTAGTTCGAGACCCAGGGCGATAAAGGGCTGAACATCACCTTGAGATCCGACCACCTGTAGTGCGATGTCTAGTCGAATCCCGAAATGGTCGCTGTCGGGGGCTATTTGACGCTGGGAAGGCAATCCTTCACGCGGCAGCTCTGTTGGCTGCGTAGAGAATGTCGTGGGCGATTCTGGTCTGATATACCGGATGTTTAGCCGTCCGTCCCCTGCGCGGTCAACTCAGCGCCAAAGCCAGTCCATGCAAGAAGTCTTCCAAACGAACCTGTCTCTTGGACTTCAGGGAGGAGAGGACAACTCTCAAGATATACTCCTGCATCTTGAAACTGAGGCCCCAAAACATAGTGTGAATCCATTCTCGAATCTCAAAGAAAGGGAGGATGTTGATTCGACATAACCAGGCTTGAATGTGTCCGAGATCAGTATACTAAGTCCAGGTTATGTATACGGAGTAGGATGCAGAATCCTTCTCCTCTTCCGCCTCCCCCTCATGGAGGCACCTGGACTCGGGGCTTACCAACGGAGGGTAACTATTGCTCTCTGCAGATTGGTGGTCACACCACCCGTGGATATGACGTGGTGGCCACCAGGAGTAAGTAGGTAACCTTGGGCGACCCAAGAAACCTAGAAAGCACACCACCAAAATTATTCGCCTCAGGGTACCACAAGGTCGTGGTTGTGGAGAACCTTGTGTCTTTTGGAAATAGCAGCCATAGCTATAGTCAGGATCTAGGCAGTGATTTTCTAGTTGAATCAGGCACTAGAAAGTCAAGGCATCTACCCCAAGATGCCCCAGCCAGGATATACAAGCCGTAAGATATGGGATCGTCACTACATGTAGTTGCACGCACAAACATGACAAAGAGAGACAAGATACAACATTTGATAAAATAGAGCTCCACACATTTCCATAACTGATGTGTCTGCACGCTCAGGGATATGCATGAATCTCCTCGAGAATGTAGAAAATAATAACTTCATGCTGCCGTAAATAGGGTAAGACTCATTCAATATCTGTCGCGATTTTGGCACGGTTGGCTGCTATAACAATATCGTAAAGCCTCAGGACCTGCGCCGTAGGGAGTTCGTCTCCTGTTTTGCGCGCTGCAATGGCACGGCTCACAATGTCCGGACAGCCCTGTTGTTGCATGGCCCATTTGGCCCCGTCCAATTTCGAAGAAAATTCGCATGTGACGATGAATCGCCAGGCCCGACTAGCGTTGAGAACGCTGTTGGCCGAGTTGAGTTCGTTTGCTTGGTGCCAGTCGAGCGAGTTCCCGATGGCTTCCAAAATCCAGCGTTGGGGGATCGCGCCGAAAGCGTCGGTGGTATCGGGGCCGTGCAGGCTACGGCCAAGTTCGCGCCCCATAGCAATATCGAGCAAGAACCAGTGGCTTGACTCGTTCGCGGGATCAAGGCTAATGTGATCAGGCTGGTGACGTCCTGTGTTCAGATTTAATTCGAACCGAGGATGACGGCTGGCCGGATACACAGCGCTGTGAGCATAGATGACAAACTCGAGTTTGGTAGCCGGGCAAGGCAAGGCAGCCTGATTCAAGCGGCATATAATTGCCTCCTTATCAACGGTGTCAAGCGGATCCTTTACGATAGCCTGCACGTCAAGGTCGCTGAGGCCAGACTCGTAGGCGCCATAACCCGCTGACCCAAAGAGATACACCCCGACGAGCTGGTCTTTCAGGTAATGGGTGAGACGCTGGACTATTTCGTCAAGGTAAGCTTCTACCTCTTCTGGTAGCTTCTTGTTCATTGTTGTATGTATCTCGTTGATTGGAGTTGCATTTGATAAAAGCTCATCGCGGAATTTAAGATTAAGATATTCTGCCTACTGGAACAAGGATTATCCCACCAACCCCTAAGCTACACTAGAGGGAATAAAAAGAGCACAGATAAAAGCGTCATGGCGGTAATGGCTTGTCGTAGGTTGGCAGCAGATAGTGCACAGTATACCAGAGTATAGTAGTCTAGAAATTAATAAATATTCTATACCATAATATTGAACATTGAATAATCGATGTTGTTCGTGAATGCCTCTTTGTTTGGTCTAGATGGCTATAGACCGGCAGTTCCCGCCGCTTCAACTCCCCGCCTTTTCCCCCGACCTCCCAAAAGCAGCATCCCTTCCACCATCTACATACACCAACTCTGCCTACAACAATCCAATCCCACCCACTCCATTCCTCAGTCCATGCAATGGACAATTCAGATCTGCTGAATCCTCCAGACATCCCCCGCGCATTCCAGACAGACTCGCTCTCTTGCGTCGCTGAGGACGCATCAACCTTAGCTGCGCAACACGGATATCACCATACTCCGCCCTGCAAGCATGAGCAAACAACCCACGCACAGAGCCAGCTCCGCCAAATGCAAGATTCCCATCGCGTCGACCCTTCCGATGCGCAGTCACTACAACCTCTACGGTCGGCGGTGGACCAGTTAACCCAAGACCCTTACGCTTTCGCGCAGCGGGAGCTCCATGACGCCCGTCCGCCGGAGCCATATGCTAGCTTCCTGGTAAGCTACGCGCGTTGGATACCACAGCAGATCCGGTCAATCGCACGACTAACCCGCAATTCCAGCCCCCCGAACTTCCAACAGAACCCGCCAAACACACCGAGACCTCCATCTTCTCCGCGAAGGAGGGCGGCTATCTTCGCGACATCGCCGCCATTCTCGACCCGCCTGACCTCGACGCATGGCGAGAGAAGCTATTTCACGTCGACGAGACAATCGTCCTCAGCGAGGAGCAGTATGTCCCGTCGATCTCTCCCGCGCAGCACCACACTGGTCTAACGTCTCCTCGCGTCTAGATTCCGGACCTACTTCCCCCACGTCGACAACGTCTACTCGCACCGCTCGACCCAGCACTACAAGCGCAAACCTCTCGTCTCGCATTACTGGGATTGCAGACTGAAAGGCCGACCCCCGGGCACCCCCAAATCCGACGACCCGAACAAGAAGAAGCGGAAACGCACCGCCCGCCAGCGCGACCTCTGCGACGTCAAGATCAAGATCACGGAGTACTTCCCCGGATACGCCGTCATGACGGGGCCCGACGCCATCACGAATGCGACCGAGTCCGCCCTCGCGGCTGAGTCCCTCCCCGGCGTCAACGCGTTATATTCTACCCAGCAAGGAGGCATCCCCGGTGGACTGGCCTCTGGCCCGCGCGAAAACCAGCCGTTTGGCGTCTTGACGCCCAATCCTCCTCTGCCGCCGGGTCACCCTGGCGCCAACGGACAGCGGTTCTTTACCATCCAGCGGGTGAACGGGAATGGCGCGAATGGGAAGAACGATGGCGTCAGCGGGGGGCATCGACATACTCTGGAGGAGAGCGATCGGGTGAAGAAGAATAGCGTCCAACGGTATCGCCAGAAGGAAGCGCAGGAGAAGAGGAAGTCATTGACTGCGGTAAGCCGTTCTATTTATTGTTGATAAGCCCCCGTTACGTCACCAGATAAACAGCCGCTATGCTTATAGAGTTGGGTTAAATAACCCCGCTTCCGCTGCTGCCATCTCGCCCTTTTCCATCCACGATATTGACCGCATTGATATTGCCGACATATCCATTTGGCGATAGTCCTATTTCTATCTGATTCTGACTTGACCAGACGAAAACCCGAACAATGTCCGCCCAAAGCCAACCCCCTCAGAAAACGTACCACACCAAGGCCACCGGCCCAGCTGCCGTGACTGTTGAGAATCATTCTCAGGAGAACGAACTCAAACTATACGGAAGCTGTTTTTGGTGAGTGCATTTACTCAACATCGCTGTACCCTGTCAAAGTGTAGAACTGACGGTTCAGTCCCTTTGTTCAACGGGTATGGATTGCCTTGGAAGCCAAGGGCATTCCTTATCAGTACATCGAGATAGACCCGTACAAGAAACCCCCTTCCTTGCTGGAAGTGAATCCAAGAGGGCTGGTCCCTGCCTTACGCCACGGGGACTGGGGATCATACGAAAGTTCCGTTTTGATGGAATATGTATGCCCCCTGCATCCGCTGTGGGAAGTTCATATCTAACCAATTCGGGCAGCTCGAAGATTTGAATATCGGCCCTACACTGCTGCCTGTGGGAGATGCGAAAGCGCGCGCACATTGCCGATTGTGGGCGGACTTTGTAAGTCCTTCGATACGTTCTTGGTAGCGCATTCTGACCACCTAGATCAACCGTCACATCGTTCCCAACTTCTACCGACTGCTCCAGGAACAGAACGGGCAGAAGCAAATCGCGAACGCGAGAGAGCTGGGCGATGCATTTAATACGCTGGTAGCTGCTGCGGATCCGGAAGGCCCCTATTTCCTAGGACCCAATCTCTCGTTTGTGGATGTCCAGGTAGCCCCTTGGATCATTCGTTTGAATCGTGTCCTGAAGCCCTACCGGGGTTGGCCAAAGCCCGAACCGGGTAGTCGATGGGCTGCTTGGGTTGATGCAATCGAAGCGAATGAGCATGTTCAGGCGACAACAAGTACCGACGAGCTCTATCTCGACAGTTATGAGCGATATGCTCGTAGGTTCCCTTTGCTGGTGGGTCGCGTGCCATCCGCTAACGTTTGATCAGAAAATCGACCCAACACATCGCAGGTCGCGAATGCAATCAACTCCGGAAGAGGTCTTCCATGACTGCTCTGTGCGATAACTGTGTCTCTGGGTTTTTTTGAGCTCATCCATGCGCGTGCTGCCGCATACCCCCGGGGTGATCGAGTAGCCGCCTGCCGTTGTAACCAAAGCCCGCCTAGACCTTGGCGACTTGACGGATTTGTGAGATTAAGCCACCGTTCAAGCTGTTTTCGCGCCTCGATTTCCTCGGAAGCCACCTCTTCCGCTAGGGTCTGGACCTCGCGGGTTCCGGTACGGCTGACGTGGGGATTGCTGGTCATTTCTCTGGCCGAAGCCTGAGTTTGACCTCGCAGGAGAGTCCGGGTAATATAGTTGCCTGGACTTGGACGATGCTGCAGATCCATCCCTCTTATCCCTGTTGTTATCCCTCCCATTGCCACGGTTCTTTCCTTTGCCGCGGCCTTCATTTTGCTTGGGTGGTGTGGCACTCCGTGGAGATGACGCACCCGACGTAGTGCCCGAGGGACTTCCGAACAGTCTTTCCCGCACCTCCTCGTATTTCCGTTGCTTCTCTTCGAGATTGCGCAATGCAATGGCATGGCGTTCCTCGGGCGTCGGCTCCGGAGGCTTGCTGTCGTCGTCGGAATCGTCATCTTGAGAGGCCAACCCCAGACGGCCGACACCTGCGGCAGCTGCATCAACAGCGGAGGAGGGTTGGCGCGGTGGCGGATTGCGACTGAGCAGGGTGACGGTGGGCTTAAAATCCTGCTTGAGGGGAACATTGGAGCGGGCTTCGAGAAAATGGAAGGTTTGGGGCGATTCTCTAAAACACCACTGGGTCAGCGAGGACGGTCATGTAGACTACCTAGACTTGAACACAGATTCCCGGGGCCAATCACGTACGCTTCTGCCCATAGTTGTCGGTTGAATTCGGCCTGTTGTGCGCGTCGCTGCGCCTTGGTCACCTTTGAGGAGACTTTCTTTTCTGGCGGAGGCGGGGTCGGCTCCGCAGCTAGTTTCTGCAGTGTCGTCAGACATACAACGTCGCTGTCTCGCCGGCTCTAAGCGGAGCAGTATGGGAGAGTGGGCGATGGATAGAAATCGAAAGTGGTACGGAGTATGCATACATCAGCTTGTTGCTCCCAGTCTTCCTCCCAGGCGTCGGGGGCTCGAGTAGAGGGGTTTGCGCTCATGATGTGTGAAAGAACCGGAATTTCAAGAATGGTTATTCCCGTCTATGAGGGTGCGCGGAGCGGAATTCAAGTCCGAAGGAGTGTCACGTTGTATAGAAGCGGACGCTGGAAGAGCAAATGGGCAATTCTAAAGCGCAAGTGGTGTGGAGAAAAAGAAAGAGAGACCGTGAGGGTATACGGAAGTGAGTGGGAGAGAATCACGAATAATGGAGAAGGAAAATCGTTGTCCCCGTCTGCTTAGTTAAGGTTTCTGCCTGTAGTGCCTGAATCGACCACCACCATAACCATCCTTCATACAGCTCATCCTCCTACGAACCAACTCTTCGAGCGGTTTTCGCCCATCCAGCTCTATTCACCTCTTGCACGATTACGAAAGTCTACAAACCGCCGTCAAAAGCTATCCCAAAGCGTTTCCCATCACAATGACCACCGGTATGCCACTCCATCTCCCCGCATCCCCTCTCTTCTAACGCGGATACAGACCCCGACGGCGACTCGCAAATGGCCTCCTCTCCCGAATCTACGCATCACCTCACGTCCGACGACTCGCCCGCCGGTGCCCGCACGCCCACCAACGCCATTCCGCGCTCCCAGTTCGCCGGGGCCGCCGCCGAGCTGTCCCCGCCCGGATCCCAGACGCACCCCACGTCGATGGATCTCAGCGGGATCATGGGGCCGGGTAAGGGTGGACCGGAGGCAATGACGGAGTCCCTGCGCGCGGCGGAGGGGCAGCAGCAGAAGCTGCCGTCGTGGATGAGCAAGCGCGCGGAGGAGGAGTACCAGCGGGCGATGGAAGCCGTGGTGGATCAGGATTTTAATCTGGGTGAGTATTCTTTGGATTTGTCTTGTCTTTTTTAGTGGTGGTTTGCTGGTTGGGGGTCTTTCAAGGATGCGGTGGTTGCGTTGATTGCATCACCTCTGATCCTGATTATGTTATATGGTGGTTCTATGCTTCGAGAGATGCTAATGGTTTTGGTAGATGAGTTTGGTGATCCGTTTGACGAGAGCGATATGAAGGAGAAACTGCTGTGATTACTCCATATGGATCTTCTGGTTTGGTGTTGGGAGTTTGATGCTTTATACTTCCGCCATGATGGGGTTTTGGCGACATGGCATGATTTATGAGATTATGAATGACTGAATGGGTGCATCCCTGCTATGAAGATTAGACATTCAATTGAATTGAGCTTCGGAATAATCTAGTTGTTGAATTTGATATTCTGTCGCTATGCGGAGTATATATCTCGGCCATGGCGTCAAATGTCTAGACCCAGGCAAGGACAAGCCGACATATCAACGGCAAACAACGTCATCGTTGATTTGCAGAAATCAACCTTCAGCAAACCCCATCAGCGACTCTCCAGTAGTCTTATTGCAATCTACTCCGTAATCTGCCAGCAGATTGGAGCGTTGATGATCGCGTGGGAACATCGGGCGTTGGCACAGCAACGGACCCGCCGACAACTTTCTTTATTGTTGCAGACCTCCTTAAAACACCATCACCAACAACAACTCCGTCGCATTCGCCTACATCATTTTCCCATCGACACCACGCGCTCGCATGATATCTCTTACGTGTCTGTATTAGCTGACTGCATCGATACCACCTCATCAGCGCCGGAGTTGGACCTTTCCGATCATTTGACGTCGCCTGCGCGCATTCCAGAGCCCCTTCTACAGACAATCATGTCCAGAAACGAGGGTCCAGCGGTCCCAGACGGGTTGCCACCATCCCTTCCGCCATGGTAAGTGGATTCTTCTTTTGGCATTCCAAAGCGAGACAGAAACACCCAAACACGATGGGCATCGCATCGCGTGGGCACTGTCCCGAGGAGACATACATCGGAAACAGCACCGCTAACGTGTCGCGCGCGACCAGTGCCCTCCCCAATCACCTACAAGACGAGCGCTTCCACTTCACGCCCGTCAAGAGCAATCGGCCCGCGCCACGCGTCTGGGAGCGCAAGCCGTCCACCGCCTACATGGGCCGAGCCAAGTCGCGCAAGGTGTGGAAGCGGTTCCGGTCCTCGTTCAACAGCATGAAGCAGCTGCAGCAGTTGATTCTGGCGGAGCAGGAGGGCGTCGACGAGGGGTTGTCTACCGAAATCAACACGTCGCGCAGTGCCGGGCTGCTTCGCGGCGTCAAGAGGCAGTGTTTTGGGTTGGAAGACGCCCGGTCTGCCGATGTCGCGGACATTCGTCGTCGCTCGTTCCTAGAGACAAAGTGGGAGTCGCAGACGATGGGGAGACGACGTGAGTTTTCCCTGCAGGGTTCAGTTTGGGTTGAGTGCATGTCTAACTGCACCTTAGGCAAGCTTCCTGCGATGTATCGAAACCTCGTGGCCGCCTCCGAACCTATGGATCTTGAAGATACCACGCTTACGGCTAACGACACTGCCCCGAAGACGACCACGTCAGACGCGCATGTCGTGCAGAAGTTCGAGGAGGACGACGAATCCCCGAGGCTTACCCCGGACACGCCGGTTAAAATGGCGTCCGAGTCAGCCTATCCCCGCGCGCTACATGGCCCGGTCAGCGGCATGACTGCGGGCGCGTCGAACATAAAAACCCCCACTGATAACGGTAAATCCGAGTTAACGTTTGATTTCGTCGGTTCTGGACCTTCGGAGTTTGCTACGATTACTGGGGCGGAGGCAGACGACCAGGGCGTTGACGCAGGATTGGAGCAGTCTGAAACAGAAGATCGCCGTTGTGATCTCATACAGCAGGCCAGAGCTACGGCGGCCCCTGTCCAGGCCCTGACGGCGGAACAGGAGTCGACCCTAGTGCGGTCGGCCCTCCGCAGCTCATTGGACGGCGAGGACGCAGCGTTGCTCAACGACTTCCTGTCCAAAGCAAAGGCCAAACGCGAGGCCAAAGCTGCGGCAGCGTTGATCGCGGAGGTTACGGCGGACGCGAACGATAGCCGCCCGGAAGAGGAGTTGGAGGTGCCCGAGATGCCGACCCCGCAGCCTCGTCGGGCTTTGGAGGATCTCGACGCCAACTCCCCATCTCCCCAGAAGGCGCAATTGTCGCCATCGAAGGCGTCGGACAAGAAGCCTCCCCCGGACGATGAAGCACCGTCCAGTCCACACGCCACGGCGAGTCCGCGGCGTAGCACCCGGAACCGCCATGCCAAATTACCGGCCGCGAGCACCGCCGCTAAAGCCGTTCGCAACACCTTCTCGCTGCGCCGGGCGAAGGGGACCGAGTTTGTGTTTCTTCAGCGCACAGAGGCTCAGGAACTGGCATTGACGACCCGTCGCAACACGCGGCAGAACAAGGGGGATGCGCAGCTGCCGAAGTATGCGCTGGTGAACATGGCGACGCGGACGCCACCGGCGGACGAGAAGCCCAAGCGTCAGCGATCCAAGGGTGCGAAGAAGCAGGTATCTTGGAACGAGGAGCGTCTTGTGCAGTTTGAGGGGGAGGATGAGGCCCGAGATGGAGGGGACGCGCCTGCAAGTGACGTCGTCGGTCGACGAGGGGCATCCAGGACGGCCAAAGGCGGAGCTGCCGATAAACGAAAGGCAGCCAGTAGTCGCACCACTCGCTCGCAGGGCTCTCCGCCGACGGGTGATGAGGGTGTCGAGGCTGCAGCGACTACTGCAGCCGCTACTGCAACCCCTCGGGCGCGGCGCGTGCGCCGGCTGGGAACATCTGCAGCCACCCCTGCGGCCGAGAGCGCTTCGACCAGCAGCAGCAGCAGCAGCAGCAGCAGCAGTCCCACCGGGAAGCGTAAGAAGCTCATGCCCAAGTCACCCAAGGCCAGTCTGACGGGAGTGGGCACGCCGGTGTCGAAGAAAACTGGCAGTCATATTCCCATCCACGGGAAGAGCTCGTCGCTCGGCAGTAGTTCGGCGAAGAGCACGAGTCTGATGAAGGCCCATGCGGGCTCGACGCCGATGCCAAGGCGCGTGCGGCCGCGATCTTGAATCTTTTGTTCTGTCGGGTTACATGAGAGAAATAGGCTGCAGGTGTGTGTACATAACTAATATTAATGAATGGATGGATGGTGGCGTCGGGATCGACCATGCGTTTTCGGGGTTACACATGTTATCCAGCTTTGAGATTTTTGGACGTGCAGATATCGGTATTGGTAGTTATTTACTTTTGTACTCGACGGTATTTGCAACTCGAACTCGGCTGAAGAGGAATCCGGGGAGATCGGCGAGTAACCGAGCATGTGATTACCCCGTATACCTCCAGCTCTGTTTACCTACCTGAGTCTAGGTACTAGGTACCTTATACTGACTGGTATCTATCTTCTCGCGTAAGTCAACCCTCCGTTCATCCGTCTACAACAACACATCCTCTCGTCTCCCTCGGTTGTATGCCCACTGGGACCACCCGGGCTTCTGGTTGCGCTGGACGAAGATTGGAGCGATGAGGGGACGACTCCATCGACTCCATTATGGGACTCCATTTTCCCTCCGCGAGGATCTACTAGTACATACATACTCCGTACTAGGAGGTATCTCGGCAAGAGCGTGTTCGGGTCGAACCACCGCTAGCGTGTGAAACAGGGTCCTTGGCTATTATTATTATTCATGGTGATGGTGATGATGATCCAGTAAGAAACTAGAGTGCTGGTGATGGTCTTTCCCAGTGAAGAACCGGCTGCAGGGGGAGGCTCCATCGGTGATATCATCCGCCCACTCGACGCTGGCACCATCTTCATGCCTGACAGGTGGATGCGATGAACACCTGGCATGGCTTCCTGACTTGGCTCTGTTTAGGTGTTTGCTGTTGATTGATGAATATGAATCGGGAAGGTTTGCCAGCCTACTACCTTGTAGGGATTACTAGGTGTTGATGGTCATAGTAGAGGTGCTATAGAATAGTCTTATCGCTTATCAGCCAGACCTGACGTCAAGTATCAACCCATACCTAACATCCAGCACCATCATGATGATACAATGGAGGACGCCGTACTCAATACTCTGTGAGACAGTTCCCAGTCTGCTCACCGAGACTCGACTCGACTGACTCTCTAGGCAACTCCAGAACGAATCTGACCTCTCACCACGCGAGATCATCGGAGACAAGCGACGCCGTCTGAAGAACCCGAACCAGGAGCACCCATCGAGCCAACCAGAGCCAGGCACTGGAAATGAGCGCCCAAGAAACCAAAAAAAAAGCCTCAAATTAATCCCTCAGGTTCCCCTTACGGGATTGACCTTTACCGTGCTAATCAGTGCGCAGCCAAAGGTAAGGACTGGATTGCACCAACCAAGTATGCTGGATCCAATCTCTCCCAGGAACGAGTGGAGCTCATCCCACGTCATAATACGGCAGTGTAGCAATGTTGGATGTAGGGTAGGGTAGGGTGGTAGGGTACGTGGTAGGGTTAGGTTTGAAGGGGTCACGGTCGCCCCACCACCCTAGGCCGCTCTGGGAACCCGGTGGTTTAGGGCTTTTCCGGATTTGCCCACCGCTTGTTCCGGGTTTCTCCGAGATGATGTCATTGCCTACACTGTACGGAGTACACTAGACACTAGACTACTGTCCTGCATCTGGAGTATAGGTATAGGTATGCTACCGTATGTTGATAAGAATTCCATAGACACTAGGAGATACATGTACTAGGTAAATAAATATAACTAATAACTACGTATAGTTGTTGATAGATACCTACTTCGTAGATATCTATTAAACAGTAACTCCTACTAAACTAGCGTCACGGCTCTGCCTCTCGCATCGCATGGAGGACTGTCCTCCGTATCCACCCCGTCTCCATATGCATGCATTGTCTACGACCGGATGGTATGGTACCATCAACAGGTTCGTATTATCATCCGTACTCCATGTAGTATTGCAGTATTCGTCTGTTACTCATTTCTTCATGTCTGTATTACCCATTTCCTTCTATTTTATGATAGCTCGTACTATGTCCGGCATAATCCCATATCATAACTAGTCCATTAAGCAGACATCTGCTTGGCCGACTCCTCCGGCCACACATCATAGCCAAAAGTATCCTTCATGTTGACGAAGCGGAAGTGCCGGCCCTCAGCCACCTTGTTGACCGCCTCAAAGTCCTCGTCCGACAGCTCGATGCTCTTAAAGTTGGACTCGATGCGCGCCGGGTTGGAGCTCTTGGGGAGCACGACGTAGCCGCGACGGATGCCCCAGGCGATCAGCACCTGGGCCAGGGTGTTGCCGCGCTTGGAGGCGATCTCGTTGAGCGTGGCGTTCTCGCTGACGCGCTCGCCGGTGGTGGGCACCTGGTTCTGCGAGCCGAGCGGCGAGTAGGCCTCGGGCATGATGTCGTGGGCGAAGCACCAGTTGACCAGCTCGGTGTTGGGCAGGAAGGGGTGAATCTCGATCTGGTTGAGGTGCGGCTTGACCTTGGCGAACTGCAGCATCTTCTCCAGCTGGGGGATGGTCCAGTTGGACACGCCGATGGCGCGCGCCTTCTTGTCCTCGTAGATCTTCTCCATGGCGCGCCAGGTGGGCTCGTGGTTTTCGGTGAGATCTTTGAGGATGACGTACTACAAAGGATCAGTATTAGGAACGAAAAAGTCCCAAAAGCGATAGGCATACCTTTCCGTCGGGTCCAATCAGAGGCTTCTCCTGGCTTTCCTTTTCGGCGGCAATGGGCCAGTGGACGAGGAAGAGGTCGACGTAGTCGAGCTTGAGCTTCTTGAGGGAGCTCTCCATCGACCACAGAACATCGTCGTAGCGGTGCAGGTGGTTCCAGACCTTGGTGCAGACGAAGATGTCCTCGCGCTTGACGGAGGGGTTCTCGCGGAGGAAGTCGTGGAGGGCATCGCCGACCTCGTCCTCGTTCAGGTAGAACCAGGCGCAATCGAGGTGACGGTAGCCGGTCTTGAGGGCGCACTGGACGGCCTTGTAGGTCTCGCCCTTGGCGCCCTCGTTGGCAAAGGTGCCGAAGCCAACGGCGGGGATTTTGACGCCGTTGCTGAGGGTGAAAGTCTTTCCGTTAGACATGATGGATGAGGGGGTGTGAATGAGGGGTATGGAGGGGTAATTGGAGAGAGATGAAGTAGAGACAGGAAGATAGGAATGGATTGGAGCGGACAGGATACGTCAATAATATATACTGCGTCAGAGCTTGAGGACAATTGAGGGGTAAGGTAGGATGGTGGTGATCGAAGGAATCCGAAGAGGGAGGAAAAGCTGTGGTGGGGGGTTCGTTCGTTTCTTGATGGACGGAGGCGGCATGAATTCAATTGAATTTGCCATGGAGGGAGAGTTACTGTTTTGGGATATGGGTAGTGATTAACTTTTTATTTCTTTCTCTGCAGAATCTACTTGTGCATTATTCCGCTTACTTCTGATACTGAATCTTCTGCCTCTATCTATATGTCTACTAGGTACCTAGGTAGTAGGTAGGTAGTACTAGAGATGCTACCTGATAGAGATACTAGAGCACCCTAGTATGACGCAGTTCGTATGAAGAGGGTGTAATTTACCGATACCACAATACGGCCAAATTACGGCAGCCCCATCATGACATCACTGCACGAAACGGCGCGAGCGTTTGACCCGCCGTCGCCCGTCCGATCGTCATCGGCTCCATCGATCTCAGACGCGGTGCCCGGCCGGGTTGGCCAGTCAGATTCTGCTGGAGGGCCCATGCCGGCCGAAGAGAACTTTTGTAGGCGTACGGTACGGAGTAGTGAGGTACGGAGTACGGAGTAGTACAGAGGAGGGTGGTGTAGGGTGTGTAGGGTGGTGTAGGGGTGTTCACTTATTCCGGTGGCCAATAATGGAGGAGGCATCTACTCCGGAGGCGGATAAGATGTGGTTGAAGAAGAGTTTTCATTCTTATTGTCTCTTATTATTATAATAATCTAAATAATGAATAAATAAATAATGTCTAGATTCAACAGAAGAATAAAATAAAATAAAATACTTATAAAAAAATAAAATGATAGAATAGGAAAAGGAAAAAGCAGGACGAGAATTCGTAGGAACGCGGTGGGCCCGCTGGCTGCATCCATACAGTGATTAGACAGCGATGATGATACTGTTCTCTAGTCTTTTTGGGATCCATGATTTAAATCGAATTAATTTTCATGGATTATTTTAAATTTTTTAAATAATTATTTTATGGAAATCTTTATTCCATCGCCGCCACCTCTGGTTGCGCAAAAGTATATTAGGATCCGGTTCATCCCAGCTTCCATTCCATTTCTTTTCCTTATTACCTCCACCACTCTCTTATCTCTCTTCTTCCTCTCTCTTATCCTCCCTCCAGCTCTCCAGCTTCTTATTCCACTGCTGGTCGCTGTTCTGTCTCATTGACTGTTATCATCTTATCTCCGACGATCCCCTCCGATCGTCTACCACCACCACCACTTCAACCACCACTACTTCAATTTACTACTACAACATGCCTCGCTTCGACGACGCCGACTTTGGCGTGGACGCCGCTCCCGCTGCTGCTGGTGCTCACTCCCCCAGAGACCGCGGCAGCATGGCTGGCTCTCTCCCTATCCCCCACGATGCCAACAACACGGTCGAGATCCCGGCCACCCGCAGCTCCATCAGCGATGCTGCTCAGTTCATGCACAACCTGAGTATCTCTCCCTCCACTCGGGACCGTCGGGGGTCTCGCAACTCCTTCGGTACCTCTCTCCCCATCCCCCGCTCCCCCCGGGTCTCCCGCCTGTCCTCGGTCGTCACCGCGGGCGGGACCTCGCGGGATATCCTGGCCTCCCAGGTCCAGGATATGTCCAAGGAGAAGGTCGCGGCCGCCAAGAACATGGCCTTTGCCTTTGACATTGATGGTGTCCTGGCCCACGGCAACGAGCCCATCGAGGAGGCCAAGGAGGCCCTCAAGATGCTCAACGGGGACAACGAGCTGGGCATCAAGATCCCCTACATCCTCCTGACCAACGGCGGTGGTAAGACCGAGGCCGCCCGTTGCGAGCAGCTCTCCGAGATTCTACGAGGTGCCCATCTCGACCGACCAGTTCATCCAGTCTCACACCCAATGCAAGCGTTGGGGGAGTAGTACGAGACCGTCCTGGTCTGCGGGTGGTGAGGGCCAGAAGATCCGTGAGGTCGGCCGAGAACTACGGCTTCAAGAACGTCGTCCACCCCAAGGACATCCTCGCCTGGGAACCCCACCGAGTCGCCCTGGCGCTGCTTCTCCGAGGAGGACCGCGCCGAGCCCAAGCCCCGCGACTTCTCCAAGATCAAGTTCGACGCCATCCTCGTCTTCGCCGACTCGCGCGACTACGCCACCGACATGCAGCTCATCATCGACCTGCTGCTCGCCGAGGACGGCAAGATGCTCACCCGCGCCAAGGACCCCGTCGCCTCGCGCATCCCCGTCTACTTCTCCCAGGGTGACCTCGTCTTCCCTACCGACCACAAGGGCCCGCCCCGTCTCACCCAGGGTGCCTTCCGCATCTCCATCGAGGCCCAGTACAAGGCCCTCACCGGCGTCGACCTCGAGCGTGTCGTCTACGGCAAGCCCGAGCGCGCCACCTACACCTACGCCGACGAGGTGCTGCGCGCCTGGATGGAGCAGATCCACAACGAGAACCGTCTGCCCCAGAACGTCTACATGGTCGGCGACAACCCGGCCTCCGACATCTGCGGTGGTAACATGTACGGCTGGAACACCTGTCTCGTGCGGACCGGTGTCTTCCAGGGCGCCGACAACGACGAGAACAACCCGGCCAACTTTGGTGTCTTCCCCAACGTGCTCGAGGCCGTCAAGGCCGCCGTGCGCAAGGAGCTCGGCCAGGAGTTCAAGTTCAAGTGGAACCCCAAGGTCAACCCTGTGCTGCACGGTGACGGCGCTGCCATCGAGTAAGGTAGACCACAACAAGAAAAAGCACGACAACCAAGAAAAAAGTGGCACCCGAGTGGTCCGCTGGCGTTTGGTGATGTTGCACTGCATGAATCTTTTTCTTTCCTTTTCGCCATTGACGTTTTGAACGCAATTTCATGTTCCATGTCGATGCTAGACTTTTGCATCTTTCACGGTTTACGGGTTCGGACTTTTTGATATCCATGTTAGCCGGGGGTTCCGAATGCCCTGGCTCTTTTCTTTACACTGTTAGACTGGGTTATTTACGCGATGATGCACAGCATCAATGAACCAATTCACTATCGCAATGACTAGACGGACGGAGCATGGTTCAGGTAGATTTTAGGTTTGGAATGGTCTTCTGACTGCAATTGAATGAAACCTTTACAATTGCCATCGTTGAAGTTTGTTCGAGTCGTGTAGTCATCGTGGGTCTCTGACGCCATGGTGATGCTAGCTTATGACTTAGCTGTACACAACTACCCTGCAGGTTATCTTCATCGAAGCCATTAAAATAGGTGATGCAAAAAGTACGGTAGTCAAGCCACATAAAGTATAGGCGCTGAAACTATTCCTGTGCACTTTCTGCTGCTATCTTTTCCGCTCATATAATTTCGAGCATTATTTATCCACCTTCGGTTCTATCTAGATTAAGATGCTGCGGTGTAGAATCTCATTATCGCTCTTATTCGTGTAAAAGCATTATTGTAGAAGCAAGTCGTATCAACTCGACTGAATAAATACAACTGGCCTGGTCTAGGCTGTATCTCATTCACCCACTCACTGCTACCATGCTATTCATCCCAGTCGATAACCGAAATCTAGATCATCTTTAACTTGCCATACTCCCTGAGACCGCCATAATTCCCATCCTGTACCCAGGGATTTTCTAACCGTCGACAACTTGTCTTGATCGATCTATTGCTCCACGAGATGCCTAGCCTACGGAAACAGCTTCCCCTTCAGGAAAGTCGCTCCCTTACGCGGGGCATCAACGCAATCGATCTATAAATGCAAGTCAACAAGTCAACAGCAGATCCAACATCTATTGATCAGACTCTGCTCAGTATTTCGCTATCGATCATGCCAGACCCTAAAACAAAACCCATCATCCTCCCCCCATCATACACCAAAACCAACCCCCCAGAATCCTTCTCCGACCCATCCTACGGCTCAATAACCTGGCACACCCTATTCTCGCACCCTCAGACCCCATCTTCAGACCTCAGCGCCGGGATAGCCCTTTGTCCTCCAAGAACTGGCCATCTCTGCGTCCATCGCCATCAGCAAGCTGAGATATATCATATCCTCGAGGGAGAGGGCGAAGTCACCATCGAGGACACCACCACGCGCGTGGCAAAGGGGAGCTCTGTATTCATTCCCTCGAATGCAAAGCATGGGATTGTCAATGTGGGTGTGGAGAATTTGAGGTTCTTTTACGTCTTTCCTACGGGGTCTTTTGGGGATGTAGTGTACCGGTTTGAGGACGATGGCAAGGCCAAGTTGTGAATATTGCTACCATCAAGTAGACTTCACATCTCCGTACTATGTTAGAGAGAACACCTCCTTCTTGCTCAGCCAATCGTCTTTATCAAAAGTCTCCCCGTTCATAATACCATCCACAACACCCGGTCCAATGTACCTCCAGTACACGTCGTCCTCCTTCCGAGAAACAATCTGCGGAAGCGTCGCTCCAAGAAAGACGCATACTGTATCCCCCGGCTTCGTCTCACACGACACCATCGCCAGACGACCCATCGTGGTCAGCGCAAAGCTCCTGTCGGGCCAGCGGACCATAATGAGATTGAGATACGCCCGCCAGAATCGATGCTCGTCGAGAATGTACTCGGCCGTGTCGAGATTGACCGGCGCATAACCCTCCTCCCATTCATGCTCTTCGTTTGCCGCAAGAGGCTCCAGAAATGCAAAAAGACTGTCCAGAAGATCGCCGTCCGGCGGGCTCGAGAATGCCGACGTCTCAAGCCAGCCACACTGGCCGATGAGAACCCCCGGAAGAGCCTGGCGAGCATCAGCGCCGTCCGGAACGCGGGCTAAACAGTCCTTGATGCATCTCAAGATTGCACCCGTGTGCAGGACGTGCGTTTCCTCGTCATAGCGAAGATCGAGCGGAACGATCTCTCGGACCGTGTCCACAGACACACCAGCGATATGCAGTATCCCCACCTCGCCTTCATCGCTCGCAAGCTCCAACCCTTTGGACGACGGCGTCGGCCTCCCAGCCCTGCAGCCCATCATGGGCAGATAGCGGTTATTCCAGCCGCTCCCCCACGGCGGACACCACGGGGGGACATCCGCATGCGTTGCCGGTGGGAAATGCAGCGACGGCCAGTCTCTAAGCCGCTCCAAACACTGCTTAAAGAACCGCGCATGCACCATCCCGTAGTTCCTCTTCACCTCCTCCGAGTAATCCACCACGACCTGTCCCCGCAGCGCCTCAGACAGCATACCGCGCACCGCATAGACATAGTCCACCTCCAGATACGCCCCCTGGCTCTGCATAACATCCATCACGGCCTGGAGTCCATCACCCTCACTACCACCCTCCTCCAACCCCCTCTGCAGCCGCCACGCGTTCCTAACAAGCCTAATCCCAACCGTAGACCGATACGCCCTCTCCCCCATAGCCCGAACATGCAACCCAGCAATATTCCCCACAAAAACCGACTTGGGACGTCGCAACCGCAAAATTCACCACAACATCCCACCCCAGCTTCCCCCTACCACATACAAACACACACTCCCGCGCCAGCACAATCTCCTGCACAATCCACAGCCGCTGGAACCACTCCCGACTGTACAGCAGGAACGCCGCGCGCCACAGCCGATCCTCCGGCGGCGGCAGCCCCCGCGCAACAATATCCCCCGTGCCGCGCGGTTTCCACCCGCCGCTGTCCTCCGTCAACGCCCAGATCCGGTCCGTGAGCTCGGGCAGCAGCGCACACGCCAGGGCGCTGTCGTCCGCCGCGTCCCCCAGCCAGATCACCACCCGGTCCGCGGAGGCGTACAGCGCGCCCATGCCCGCGACCTGGTGCGCTTTTTCCGCGTCGTCGGCCTGGTTGATGCAGATGGCGTCGACCCAGAGCCAGGCGGTGGTGGCGTGTGTGTGGATGCCGCGCAGGGCGCGGCCCAGTGTGCGGGAGAGCCGGTACGAAGCGCCGTTGCAGATGGCGTCTTCTTCTTCTGGGGCGGTGCCCCATGCGTAGGAGAGGGCTGTGTAGCGCTGGGCGGAGTGGATGGGGAATGCGACCAGGCGGAAGGTGAGCTGTGGGTGCAGCGAGAGGAGCTTTAGGCAGCGGAATGAGTCCGGTGTGATGGGCTTGTAGGTGTAGGGGGGTTGGGGGTTTTCCATGTTGTGCTGTAGTGGATGGAGGGTCAGCCCCGCTGACAGGACTATGATGGCGGTTTAGTTCGAATAAACATGGTGATGACAGACGCCTGGGCTAGCCGATCACGGTTAAGTACGGGGTAGCTAGCTGCTTATGGTTTCTACATGCTTGGACAAAATATGATATAATCAGATGTAATTCAGTCTCAATAATACAACTTGATATCAAAGCAGGACATGACAGAGCGTAGCTTCGTGATATGAAAACAGAAACAAGCCGGAGTATCATAACATTTCACCTTTAGATGCCGTAGGTACGCTGAGAGCCCAGGGTGCCCCGGTTATCCAGGTCCGAGTCCACGCGGGGGTCGACCTTGTTCGCCACGTTGGAGCTGTGCGGACCAGCGGTGCTGGTAGTAGTGCCTGGGGCATTGTAGCTGCTGGAAGCCATAGCGTTGTGACGAGCGCGGTTGTCCATATCGGAGTCAACACGGGGGTCAACCTTGTTCAGCACGTTGGAGCTGTGGGGGCCGGTGGTGCTCGAAGTAGTGGAAGTTGTGCCCGGGGTGTTGTAGGTGCTGGAAGCCATAGCATTGTGACGAGCGCGGTTGTCCATATCAGAGTCCACCCGGGGGTCCGCCTTGTTCATCACGTTCGAGCTGTGCGGGCCAGCGTTGCTGGAGCGGGTGGTTGGGGCAGTATAGCCGGTGGATGCCGTGGACGAGTGCTGGGCGCGGTTGTCCAGATCGGAGTCAACGCGGGGGTCCATCTTGTTCATCATGTCCGACTTGTGGGGGCCGGCGGTGCTCGACGTAGTAGTGCCTGGGGCATTGGAGGTGCTGGAAGCCATGGCCTCATGGCGAGCACGGTTGTCCTTGTCGGAGTCGACGCGAGGATCCAGCTTGTTCATGGTGTTAGAGCTGTGCGGGCCAGCGGTGCTCGAAGAGGTCTTTCCAGTGTGGCTGGAGGGGAAGTGCGGCTCGTTCTGGGTAGAAGTGTGCTGGGCTTCCTCGAAGCTGCGGGTGGAGGTGTCGCCGTGGCCGGTGGTCGGGGTGTATGTGGTCGTCTGCACACCGGAAGTGCTGGAGGTCGAGCCCTTTGCGCCGGAAGCGTGAGGGCCACTGCTGTTGTAGGTGGCTCCCGAGCCGCGGTTGTCTGTGAAATGGTTAGCAGGGATGTTGTAGCGTGATACATGCGAAATTGAAACTGACCGAGGTCACTGTCGACGCGGGGATCCGCCTTGTTGGCGACATCGGAGCGGTGAGGGCCATGGGTTCCTCCCATCTCCTGGTGGCGAGCGCGGTTGTCTCTGTCCGAGTCCACGCGGGGGTCGACTTTGTTGGCGACCTTGGAGTTGTGGGGGCCGGCATTGTTGGCATGAGTGTTGGAGGGATGAGGGCTGGCGGTGGTGGTAGTCTCGCTGTTGACAGGAGCGGTGGAGTGGGTGGCTATAGGTTGATGCTGTTAGTTGGTTGACTTGCCGGAGGGATGCGGGTGGCCATGGGGAGACGAACTCTGGGTGCTGGTGCTGTCCACGCGGGGATCCAGCTTGTTGGCAATCTTGGAACTGTGAGGCCCATGGGTGGTGGTCTCGCCGGACCCATGGTGTCCGCTCACGGCATCCTTGACCTTGTTGATAACGCCTGACATGGTGATGTTTGTTCGATGTGAAAAGATGCTTGCTGATGGTAAAGTTGTGATTGTGTGGTTGATCTGATTTCGAGAACGGACTGAAGGATTGGAGGTCCTTATATGCTCTCTTCTGCTGATGATGATTCAAGTTAGGGCAAGCTATGACGAAAGGGATCAACAAGGCCAACTCGATCCGATTCGAGCAACGCCGGTTTGCCGCGCGCCATGAAGAAATGACGTCGATCCACCGTCTTTAAATAGCATAGGGCTGTAGTTGTGAGGATAGCATGGCACAAGAATTGCGTAGGCGGCTAGGGTCAATCCTGATGCCATCCCAAGCTTTGACGTCATCCGCCATGCCCCTTGGACCCACCTGTAGTTTATCCAAACAACCACACATGGTCTAACGATTCGTTCATTGAAGCATTCTGTGTGATTCAATATAGTAAGATTCGTAGATTGGTCGTCATACTCATACTCCCTCCCTACTCTCCATCCCACCCTTTCGTCATACTTTCGACTCCATATCCAATCAACTAAACATCCAGATCCGCTGTACCTGGATCAACAAAAAAAGGAAAAGTAGGGCACTTGGGGATGTTGATGTTGAAAAAATCCCCCAGCAGCCCATCAATATCCTCAAACATCGTATCCCCACTGAGATCATCAAATTCATCCAGGCTGAAATTCCCCGAAGGGAACGACACATTGGAAGGTTGCTCCACCATCAGATCGTCGACAGAAGACTGCGGATCTATAGCTGATACCGCTCCTGTCTCTGTTGTCACTTCCGTCCCCACTTGAGGACCCTCGACATTGCAAACGCAGGCTGTTGACATCTCTATGTCCATACATCTGCAAACATGCTTCCTCGGTTGATTCAACCCAGTCTGGTGATTTGGCGACGGGGAGATGATGTGAAGTCCATCCAATGCCCGCTGGCCAAGTCGGGCCATGACCTGCGCCAACAGCCAGGTTGGGCTTAATGTCTCCAGACACCGGTGAAAAACTGGGATGGTCTGCTTCGCTGTAGTCTGAGTGCTCGGGAGGTGACACCTTTTGAGTTGCTTGAATGCTAGGGCAAATCCCAAAGATACGCAGTAGGCAACAGTCGGGAAAGGTAAGAACTGTTCTATATCGCACAGCTGCAACAGTGTAGACAACCGATATACAGACAGATCCTGTCGCAAGTAGAGTTCACGCGATTTGGGCTGCGCTTTGAGGCCCCATGGCCGCGAAGCGAGGAGGGCAATTCCGTGATACGCAAGTTCAAGAAAGTCTAATCAAGTCAGTAACTCTTTGACAATGTTTTCCTTGTTGCACTCACACATTTGAACCAGTGGTATGTGCCATCCTCCTGAACTGTCGAGAATTTCCTCAAATCTCGGGATTTCTGGCTTGTTTGGGTCGACAGGAACTTCCAGGGTAGGCCGATAGACCACCGTAACGTCCGTCAGTGTTGATGCCAGCGACAACCAGACCCGGAAAGGTGCGTCAAACTGATGAATCACGTCTGCAAGTTGTTGACCCAGGTCCCTTTCATTAATGACAAATGGTCTCCCGTAAATGGCGCCATTCCATCGGTCAAGACTCCATAGACACCAAAATAGCGAGATTGACTGTTTACTTTCCGCTGTCGGTGCCCCTTTTGACAGATGCAATCCTAAAGTGAAAGCATGGTGAATGGCCTGCGTTAGCCACATGGAAGCACCCTCGAAACTTTTAGGGTCAGCAGCGTGGAAGGAAAGAAGCGCAAGGACCTGAATGAGTGTTGTACGCTTTCTCTCCAAATTCATTGCAACCGCGTACGACAGGTCATTGTAAATGGAAGCGCTGAAGCTCTGAACGGAGATTGTCCCTTGTTTTGGCGCAAGGCAAAGATGAGGCCCTGCATACGATGTTTTCGAGGCCACTAGACATATTGCTTGTATGAGACTAGGCGAAGCAGAGCCCGTATCGAAAGCACTGCGGAACTCAACCTCGTCAATCAAAGGAAGTATCGGATGAATGCAACGAAAATAGATGTCGACAAGCGCTTCCTGGTTCTGTCGTGGAGGGAGAAGCGCTGTCTTGCGGTCCGGTTCGCGCCGCTGGCGGGATTGCTGATATATGGCACGGCCCGGCAATGGCTCTTCTGTGCTTTCCTCGCTGTTTCCGAGAATATCATTCTCTCCATCCAGCCATATTCCAACGTCTCCTTGGTCAGCGCGTCCCCGGAGTAACCTCGCACTCAAATCGCCGGCGAAAAAGACGATGGGATTCAGGTCTCCCAGGAATCGATGAGCCAATCCACCCCTATTTGAGCGTTCTGGGTCACATATCGCATCCCTGCGATACTGGGACCGCACACGCTCATTGCGAGATCGAGGTTTGCTGATTCTATCCGTCGCTGAGATCAGCCTTGATGAGGCCTTGATCTGCTTGGAGCCATGGTTCGAGTTCGGGGTGTATTGAATGAAGTCCCGGTCTGTGTTTTGTGCTGGGGGGGACGTAGACAGTGATTTTCCGTCCTCATGATGACATTTTTTCTTATTTTTGTGAGCTATCAGCGAGTCTGAGTGTGGAGTCCTCTCACATACCTTCCTCTGACGGCACCTGCCACATGCTCCTCGACTATATACTCTTTTACTATCATCCGCAACTTGACTGACGTGGAATGTGAGTTCCATGTTGACCTGGAATGGTGTTTTTGTGAGAATGTCCAGATGATTTCGAACGATTGAGTCAGGATGCAAACGAGCTGAGTGTCTTGCCTGATATGGAAGTATAAACCGCCAAAGGCGGGGCCACTAGGCCTCTTTAGTGGACAATTTCCGACCCCAATTTGGACAAACCCCGACTTTCCCCGCCTTTGGTTGGCCAAAATGCCAGTCTGCTGTATCCACATTTCCCTTTTTGTACTTATTCCGCCTCATTTCTCTATACGGCAGTGCCTTCAGTGGCCTGCATTATAAATTGTCGATGTACGAAGAGTGACGTTAAGAAATTTGCAGCAGTGTGAGACAATTGCAAAGAGCTTCCAAAAAATATCATACTTGGACTTTTATACTGCACATCATGCTGAACGATATAGTTTCCTGTGGCTTGAGGTTTGGCCCATGTTTCCCCGAGGTCACTGTGATAAACTAACCGACAACGCGCATCAGACTAGATAGATCATGCATCTTTCTTCCGCCTTCGGATAACTCAGATGTCAAACCTTCAGTGACTGGGAAGTTTTGCTTCTCGGTCCCCCGAGGTACAACCGTCAAAAGTATCTCAGTGGTGTTACAAGGCAGAGCGAAACTGTAAGTCCACAGTTATGTCTATTCAATGCATATGTCTGATTATTACAGACCATGCGAGGAGTCTGTCATCTTCAATACGTACCATGAAGAAATTACCTTTGAGCGCAAACAGGCCTTGGCTTCATCCAAGAAGCTGAGTTCGTTCAGTTTACCGGCAGGGGACTATCAACTGCCATTCGAGATCACTCTGGACGGACATCTTTTTGAGACAATTGTCGGTCCCCGCCATCAGTATCATTCATACGAGTTGTATGGAATAATTGAGCGGAGGTTGAGCAGAGACATTGTCGTCTCTCACCCGGTCAGAATATATAATCCTGTCGTCATCGAGATGGATGATATTTGGTTGTCAACACCAAGAGTATGTGATGTGCCCCGTTCGTTGCGCAAATAACCTAATGTTGAATAGTCAATTGAAAAGCAGTGGGACAACAAAGTTCACTACCGGATCTCCATCCCAGAAACCAACATCCCATTCGGATCGACATTTCCAGTTCAATTTTTCCTGGCCCCATTATCAAAAGACCTTCGGCTCGGAGCAGTCACGATCCAAGTAGTCGAAAAACATGAACTAAAGATTCGTGCATCGGCAGCGTACTCGGTGCAGTACAATGTTCACTTTTTGACATCAACAAGGGAACATCTGGTTCTTAGCGAACGATATGATAGCTCTGACGATTATGCAACGCGTGAGGGAGCTTTCGAAATCGAATGGACGGCCGAGAAGCAAGTCTGTCTACCAGGCACCCTCGATACTGTCACCCAACAGGTGAAGACACCAAATATCAACATCTACCATGTCCTAGCTTTCACGATTGAGTTACGGGGTGCTAGTGGCGGTCTATCAACGGTATGCCCATCGTTCTATCAAAGATCTATCCCGCAGATGATCCACTGGGGTATTGCTGACATGTTGAGGATTGTCTAGATCAAAGGAACAATTCCGATCAATATTGTGATGTCTCCTCTTGTCATCGGGGAAAACGGTACCGTCCATGGCTTAGACCTTGGGAAGCCGCAATATGATCCCAGTTTCCCTCCCCCTTTATATGAAGACCACAAGACGGACTTGCTGTTGCTAGATCGTTATTTCGACCCTGCGGCTTGCAGTGAGGGCTCGATAAATATTCCAAGAGGCGTTGGGCACATTTATGATGAGACTCGCTGCGAGTTTGCCCCCAGCTACGAGACAATAATGGGGGGCTTTATGGCGAGCTAATCCCTTACCACAATGAAGCTGCTTTGTCTTTAGTTAATGAGATTATACGACCAACACAAACTAATACATCTTACGATTCACACTTCTTTCTCTTGACAAGCTTGGAGACACTGGCAAGATACAGTACATCCCAGCCTGACCGTCAACTCACCCCATCATAACTCTAAAGTTAACGGGCTCATCTCATGAAGGCGGGAAGCAAATACGTAGTAGTATGTATGGTTTATCAATTTCTCAAGATAAGAAAGAATATGCTTTGTCTCTCACATACGGTATTTTCTCTTGCACCATGCCGTGTTACGGCCCTGGCTATCTCCTACCTGAATGGGTCAAAAAATGAAACTCCTCGCCAAGCAAGATAGAATGGAATTAGCTTGTAGCAAGCTGCAGGATGTCTTCGACTCATACAAGGCTGTGGCAGCCTATACCCCGCATAGTAATCAGCAGGGCACAGCCCCAGCTTCGTGGAACTAATTAAGCTTGTATCGGGCATAGTGGCAGTGTTGTTGGGCGTTCCTAATACCTCCCGTCCTCTTATATCTCAGCTCATAACCGCATCCGATTCTGTCGAAGCCAGTAAAGCCATGACGATTCATGAACTTTAGAAGCTAAGTACATCCCTCCAATGAAGCCCGGTTCTATCTATCAAGATGCGTCTTTGGAACACGGCCACCTTGACGCTGGAGGAGTTTGTTCCAAACAAAATCCCACCGTATGCTATTCTGTCGCGTACCTGGGGAGAAAATGAGGTTGTGTTTGAAGACTTCCAGCGTCTTACTGCAGAATCAAAACTGCATGGAAGACAAAGGTTGAGAAATGCTGCCAGCAGGCCGTGCAGGATGACCTAAACAACGTCTGGATTGACACCTGCTGCATCGACAAAAGCAGCAGTGCCGAGCTATCAGAGTCAATCAATTCCATGTACTCTTGGTATGAGAAAGCGCAAGTCTGCTATGCACATCTTGAAGATGTATCCAGCGATGTTGATCCCAGTAAGCCCTGTTCCTCCTTTGAGCGCAGCAGATGGTTTACACGGGGCTTCACATTGCAGGAGCTTATTGCTCCACACGAGGTTGTGTGCTTTTCGAACAATTGGGTCGAAATCGGTAGAAAAAGCACGGTGTATAAGTCTCTGTACGGGATCACTCAGAATGACGAGGACATTATGCTCCATCGACGACCAGTCTCCTCCGCCAGCATCGCGAGACGCATGGCATGGGCCGCTCACCGGTAGACCACCTGACCAGAAAGATGTCGCATACTGCTTGATGGGGCTCTTCTCCGTGAACATGCCCATGCTCTATGGAGAATGCGAGAAGGCCTTCCTCCGCCTCCAGGAGGAGATCATGAAGCAGTCTGACGATCAATCCATCTTCGCATGGACAGATCCCGATGCATCTCGGGATTCGCTCCACGGTCTCTTAGCCCCGTCGCCAGCCATGTTTGCCGGCTGCGCCAACATCCTCCCGTACCAAGACTGGGAGCCACGCCAGCCCTACACGATGACGAACCGCGGCCTACAGATCGAGCTGCCCCTGATGAAGGAAGATGACGACATCTACGTCGCTGCACTGAATTGCCCAAGTCCTCCAGATTACAAAACCTTCAGCTTTCTCGCAGTTACATTCGGCGTCTCTCATCTGTAGATGCTCAATATGCCAGAGTCAAAGTGGGAGCGCTGGCAGAGGTGTATGAACGCGGGATACCTCAAATAATCTATATGAGCCAAGTCCACTTGGCCTCAGAAGTAAAAGGGGGCTTCCCCATGCACATTCTCAAGATCAGAAAAGTCACCGATGAGTCCATGTACCGCATCGCCAATATCATCGATGGTAACCAACCAACGACAGCTCCTCCGCTGGCTACCTCTAGTCGAGAGGTGGAAACAACCAACATTCCACCATGGTTCCGCAAAGACTTTGCGCTTCAAAAAAGAGGCATGTCGCTAACTGCGCTGGTAATACTTGCACCAGTCAATGCCGATGGAGGGGTCATTGTCGCGCTCGGGACAGGCACATCATTTGATGTCTGCTTTGATGCTTTTGACGTCACGCGCCTGGAGCCACTGGGTGCTACAAGTTTACAGGCTTTCGGAGAAAGATTTCGGTCATCAGGGGGACGTCCTCCCGGGACTTGGGCTGAATTGACTGAACATCGGGTCTGTGTGAAGGTGGATCATCAAGTGCACAACGGAGCTAAAGATTATCTGGTTGATATCCAAGTCAAACGGGGATATGGCAGATTCAGCGCCGACGCCGAATGCTGCATTTCGCCTGGGTGATGGAAGCAAACCAGAGTCTTTGGACATGCGGAAATCGGATTCTGGAGATAATGGGACCAAAAAGTCGAGGCTCCGCTTCTGGAAATGATAAAAGTATCGAACAGTATAGTGTGTATAGTGCAGAAGGAGAGTGTTTCTCTTTTCTGGACTAGATCCTGATCTTTGGTTTATACTATAGAGCAAACATCTCCATCTGTAGGATATTACTCTCGTGTCTGCACAGAAGCTTCGCCATTTCTGTTGGACTGCTCTTATGCTCTTATATGTAATATTATTCTTCCCTATTAATATAGAGAGCTAGATAATTGACATCTGCTTCAATATGAACCCTGTTTACACCGTTTACACAAAGGAGGCCTGCCAAGACGGCTGTTGCTCAAGGGTGTACGCGTCAAGCACAGTCAGTAACTCAAGACACACCCTTGAGGACACAACTGAGGGACAATTATGCAGCGTTTCTGGCGGCAGTTCGGGGATTTCTCGCCCATTGCAGTCCTGTCTTCTGGAACCGGAATCCAGGCGAGACTGAAATCTATGGTGGCCCAAGCCCTGATTGCGGGCCTTGTCAGTCTCACCATTTCCTTCTCTTTTTGAGAACAATGTCTAACGCCAATGCTTCAAACAGGGAAAGACCTCAGCGGCTACTGTCAAGGCTTGATAAAGACTGGTCTCTCCCGTTTGCCGAAGGAAGTCCCCGAGAATCACAACCTTCTCCCTCATCAGGGTTCTATTCAAGACCACATCCGTCTTATAGAGATCAGCCAAGAAGTCATGCGGAAATTGATCGAAGACAAGCGCATTCAGGATGCAGCTGCTCCAGTCCTCCTTCCCCCTGATTTCAACAAAAGGAATATCTATGTTTCACCGGATGACCCAACCGTCATTACTGGTATTATTGATTGGCAGTCTGCAAGCATTGAGCCCGCATTTATCTACGCCAATGATATACCAGATTTCGCTTCACTTCCTGAGGAGCCTGAGAAAGAATTGGAGGATGCGCAAGTCGAACCAAAGACCCCTAGCGACAAAGAACGCGAACGGAAAGATGCATTGATCTGCCATCAAACGTACGATGTGTGCATGAAAGGCCTTGCCCCAAAGCTGCGCCCTGCACGATTGCTCGATCAAACCCTTTTTCGACTTTTCCACTACTGCCATACGACATGGGGAGACAGCGCTCCAGCGGTCCGTCAAGAGTTGATTGAGCTTTCCACTTGCTGGAAGGAATTGGGATTGCAAGGCTCCTGCCCGTTCTCGCCCACTGACGAAGAATTGGAGAGACATGCCCGAGATTATGATGACTTTGAGGCCGTCCAAAGGCTCAAATTGTTGCTAAAACACGCTCTTAACACGAACTCCGATGGGTGGGTCCCAAATGAGGAATGGGAAGCGGCGAAGGAAGTCCATCGTGAGTTATACGATCAATGGATAGAAACGGCCAGGGAGGTCCAGTCCAGTGGAGAGGATCTCACAGTCGACAAGGCGGACAAAATGTGGCCATTCAATGCCAGATGAAACGCTATATATGTAATGGAGCGTAATTCATTATGTAGCCCGGCAACTATCTAGTTTACTCTAGAGTGCTAGTGCGTGTAGATGTGTGAGTCTTCCATATTTAAGAAAAGTATGGTAAGTATAAGGGTTAAGCCTCTCTGATGGTTCGTGATATTGAAGGCCTCGATCAATTGGACCAAATTCATAAGGAGTATCCTCCCGATCAACTCCCGCCTCTCTTGACCCCAGTATAAAACTCCCGTTCATTGTAAACCCGCACATCATCGTCAGCATAGACCCTTCCCTGCTTCATCTCCTTGATGCGAAGTCGGCGGATGCGCCGCACATCCCACTCGACGTTCCGCGTCAACCACCAAGTCCATCCATTCGCCAGACACGCCGCGCCGACGACAGCAGCGCAGATCGCAAACGGCGTTTTGTATCCGTTATATGCGAACCGAGACTGAAAGAGCTGAGGGCCGATAACACCTCCAACTTGGCCGACACACGACTGGAATGCGAGGGTGAATGCTGCGCCTGTTGTGCCTTTGAGGGAGGATGTACGCCCTTTTAACTGCAGTAAGTACCATGCTCGTAGAACAAGGGGAGGTAACTTACAGGCCCAGAACGGAATAAAGTAGACCGAATAGAACATGTTCCCAAACACACAGGCGATGTAGATGCCAACACGCGAGGTCAGGGTGGCTATCAAGACGAAGAACAGCAGCATGGGGCCCATGATACAGACCATGACGTACGCCGGGCGCGTTAGGTAGGCTTGTTTCTGGAACCACCCGGAGAATATAATAGCTAAGACAGCGGCTGCGGAAGGAGGAATGTTCAAGAGCTGATTACGCGGTAAACCCGCAAACCCAAGGCTTGTGGTGATCGTGGGAAGCTCCCAAGTGAGTGCGTACCCTGCGAAATTAAGCAGGACCTGCGAGAGCATAAACGAGTATGTGCGAGGATCCTTGAGTGAGGCGATGAGTTCCGCTTTGGAGAAGCTGGAGTCGCCTGTTCTAGGCGCATTCTCTGATAGCCGGGCCTCGACATACTCCTGCTCGCGCTCGGTGAGCCACTTCTTGGTTCGGTTTGATTTGGGCCAGTCAGGCAGGACGAGGTAGACGAGCCCGGCGAACAGTATTGTAAAGAGACCTTCCAGGAGGTACACCCTAACGAACACTCGTTAGCCCAGGTCGATATCCTCCTTTGGTTATGCATGCTCACCATCGCCATGCGCTCATCCCTCCTAACCCGTTCATGTACGAGATTCCATACGCGAGGAGGTACCCAATGATCCCTGAGGTGTTCTGGAAAGCAAACATCCACATGATGGGCTTTCCCATCTCGTCGCTTCGGTACCATCCACACAACTGAGCTGCAATTCCGGGAAACATGCCAGCCTCGCACATACCCAGGAGAAACCGTAGCGCCCAGAGTGTCTCTTTATTCTGTGCTGCCGCATGACAGGCTAGCACTATTCCCCAGGAAAGCATGATGCGTGATTGCCATATTCGAGGAGTGAGTCGTTTCAACAACAGGTTACTGGGGACTTCGAAGACAATGTAGCTGATCTGAGATGTGTCAGTTGCTGCCCGAGCGTATTCAAAGAGACCAACGCACGAAGTAAATGGACTGAACCCAATTGTACTCATTGGCGGTCATTTTAAGCTCATTGAGTATATTCCTGTCCTCCCCAACCTGAAGAACCTTGACAGCGGCCGCATTCATGAAATCTACCTGTTTGATGAGATACATCATTCCTATTAATCCCAGGAAGCGACGATCGATCTTCCGTCGAATTCTCTTGTCATCTTCGGCAGTAAACGAGAGAAGAAGGGCTTTTCTTCTCTCCTCTGCGGAAGTAGGGCTGGTTGGTGCATCGCCTCCGGAGGAGATGCTTATTGTGTCGTTGGAAACGTCTTTGGCGTCCATCATGGCTAGTATGATAGATAGTGCTGTGGTATTATCAGCTGTTTCAGAAAAAAAAGGGCCCGGTATATGACACCCGTAAATGTATGTCCCTTGCACCGCTGTCGCTTGAGCCCTTCGAGTCATCTATATGCAGAGTATAGGATATGAAAGAACAGCGCACCGAGCTATGGGGTGTTAATTGCAAAGATAGATCCTCTTCATTAAGCATGCATAATGCGATAGATTGGCAGTTATCTGGACCACATCCTGTTGAGAGGCGCATTGTGGGATAATATGCCTCCAACATCACGCAATTCCCACCAAGCGTCCAGCCAACGGCCAGAACACGACATAGAAACTTAGAAAGAAAGAAACACTTGGAGAGGAGGATGTTCCTGCGGGGAAAGATATCAGAAAAGTGTGAAAGTGGGTTTTTGATCCTTGTGTATTGGGTGATCTGAGATGCGGATGGCGTGCGAATACCAATGCAGATGCTGCCTTTAATGTCTCTGGGAATCGTGCATCGGCTGTCAGGTTGATACATGATTCAGCTGGGTTATTCCATGACCATTTTCTATGCCGAAAACGAGATGGATCAACAATGCATCTCGCATGCTTTGGATATCTTTCTCCCTAACCCGGAATTGGCATCTTCCACGGACTGGACTTACACCATCGGCGTTTATTCTGAATGGTTTCTCAAAGATCGAGGGCCACTTCCATGCCTTGTGCATTGGCCATCGTCAAATTCATAGACAAAGGTGTACCACTTCTGTCAAATCCTCCGGCTCCTTGAACCCTAGCAGAACGTGGACTTCGGATTCCAGGGGACAATAAATGAAGTACAAGTCAGCTCATTCTATCAGTGTCAATACTCCTAGTTAGAAAGCTCTATAAGGTACTTCTCGTCGTCGATCGTTCCCAGCCATGTAGTGGTGGACAAATAGGGCTACTCTCTGTCGTAGCTGCCTAGCATTAGAAGCCATCAAATCTCGAACCTTGGAATCCCACAAATATTGAATTATGTGGACTCTATACTATGAATCAGTAACATCTCATCCATTCATCACTATTCGACAAAAATAAGAAAATGCACAGGACGCCACCAGAACACCAACGATAGAAATGCAACATGCAGGATCAAACCCTCGTATCATTGATTGATATTGCTTGCCCGCAAGTATCTCATGAAACTCAGGTCTTGGTCGGACGGAGCGCCCTTTGAATCGGCCAGCGCCTCTTTGTAGCGCTGGGATAGTCCTTCGTCATTCCCAGCGCGAAGGACCTCATCTTCATCATCGCTATCGACATCGTCTGGGGCATCAAACTCTCCTTTCCGACTCGCAGCCGCAGCCTCTTCTTCCTCCTCTTCAGCTTCACTAACAGTCTCGGCCTCCTCCGCACGCTTGGGGCGGCTGGAGCCGGAGACATTCATGTCCTTCATCAGCTTGCCGAGCTCCATTTCCCGCTGGTTGGCCTTCATCTCTTCGCGCTCCTTCTTCTTCCGCTCCAGCTCCGGCTTGTAGTCGCGTTCGAACTCCTGCCGCTTCTCCTCAACAGCCTCAAAGAACTCGTCAATTCCGTCTCCTGTCATCGAGCTGACTCCGACGACATTCAAATGCCGATAGAACTCCTCCAGCATCAGACTCATGCTGTTCAGCAGCGAGCCCATATACCCGCTGCCGCCACCGGCGCCGCCAGCCCCGCCCTCGGAACCGAACGCCCCGGATTCCTCTTCCTCGCGCAGGGCCTGCTGGAACTTATCAAAGTCGGTCATCCATTCCTTCGCGAACTCGGCGTCTTGCACATCCGTCTTATTGAACACCAGGATCATGGGCAGCTTTGTCTTGTACAGAATACTGCACGCGTACAGCATGTTGCTCATGAAGGTGCTTGTTGAGCTCGTGCGCGGGGTATCAATCACGTATGCAATGACGGTGGGGAATGACGACGCCAGAGTCTCCAGGAAGATGCTCCCGGAAGCGCTCCACACGAACACCTCGATTTGACCCGGTGTGTCGACGAGGATGTGCTCGATGGGTTTGGCGGAGGGGTTGCTCGGGTTCGGGGCGGTGCGTTTCTCCAGGAGAGAGATGATCTGGTCGACTTTTGTCGCAAATAGGTTGAGCGAGGTAATGATGCCGCCGTTGGGACCCAGGTTGTACTGCTTCATCACCTCCTTGTAGTTGATGGAGTCGCGGATGTCGATGTTGCTCTCAAATGGCACGGAGTACACGGCGGGATCGAGGTTCAGAACATAGGGGATGCGCTTTTGAGAGTGGAGGTATGAGTTGATGCGCTGCATGAACGTTGTCTTTCCGGAGCCTGTAGAGAGAGACATGTTAAATTGAGATACGTGCTGGGCATTGTTCGGAGCTCGTACCCTGCCATGCCCACGCAGACGACGGCTACGGGGGTGGACGCCATCGTTGAATGCGGTACGATGGACTTTCAACTGTAATTATCTCTTTAAATGTATAGTAGTCCGTGCGACAATCGCGCGAGGCGAAAAGACAGGAGGACGGATGGATGTGGGGTGAAAGATGGCGGAGGGGAAGAGAAAATACCGAAAAAAAGATGGATCGGCCGCAAGTCGAGACCGCCCGACGTCATCTCAATCTTTCGGGCAAGCTCTGCCACAACCTCACCTCGCTCCTTTCTCCTCCTCACAACGACTTTCTCAACCATTTTCAACCGTCTCGATCCGCAAACATGACGCTGGAGGATTTCGAGAAGTCCCTAGCTGAGGAGAAGAAGGAACGCCGCGAGAAATCCGATCGACACCGCCATCATGATCGCGATCGCGATCGCAGCAGAGAGCGCTCACGACACCATCGGCACCACCATCATCGACGCCATTCGTCCCGGTCGAGAGATCGCGAATCCGACCGCCATCGGGAGTCGCGGCGCAGCGAAGACAATGAACATCGCCACAAACGGTCACGCCGTTCGTCGGATCATGGAGACGACGCAGACCATTCTCACAAACGCCGCCATCGACGGGAACACAAGGAAGAGTCCGAACCGCTTGCGAAAGACGTGGTGACGGAAGAGGCTCCCCGGTTGAAGAGAGATGCCTGGATGGAAGCTCCCTCCGCACTGGATGTGGATTATGTCCAGCGACGAGATACGACTCGCTTGGAAGAGGAGCCCAAGCCCAAGATGCTCCAGGCGGACTTCGAGCTTAAGATTCACCGCAGAGAATTAAACGATCATCTACGCGATTTAAAAGATGGGAAGGTGTTGGAGGAACTACAAGAGGAGCCTGCGCAACATGAGGTGGACTACACCTTTGGCGACGCTGGCTCCCAGTGGAGAATGACTAAGCTCAAAGCTGTCTATCGAGAAGCTGAGGAGACGGGCAAATCGGTGGAGGAGATTGCTATCAATCGTTTTGGCGACCTGCGCTCATTTGATGACGCCCGTGAGGAGGAGGCGGAGTTAGACAGGCGCGAGACATACGGTGAAGGCTACGTTGGAAAAGAGAAACCCTCAGGGGAGCTATTCCAACAGCGGAAGCTGGACGAAAATATCCATCGGCACTCTCATGAGCATCTTCGAAGTCCTGAGAAGGAGCTTGATGCTAGCGGCCAGGGAAAACCCATGGATACTCAGCCGCCAGCGAATACCACACAGCCGCTGGACCTGACCGCCCTCAATCGACTCAAGGCACAGATGATGAAGGCAAAACTGAAGAAAGCGCCTGAAGCTGCCGAGTTGGAAGAACGCTACAATGCTGCAGCGGCAGCGATGTCGAATCGCAAGGAATCCGATGTTGTGGTGCTCGGGGTTATGGACAATCGGATGCTGGCTGGAAAGCGCAATGAAGTGAAGGCCGTCGAGAACAAGCGCGGCCGGGAGCGTGGAAAGGTGGAAGAGAACGAAGACATGAGCATCGAGGATATGATTCAGGAAGAACGGAGGACCCGAACTCAGCATGGCGGCGAAGGACGACGGCTCGCCGAGCGCATCGCCAAGGATGCCAAATTCGAGGTGAGTTGGCGACCACAGATCCCCTACATCTTTCGATAATACTGACATTGATTAGAACGATCTGGAATATATGGATGACCAAGCTTCCAAGCTGGCACGCCGCGTTCATCGGTCCGAGATTGACATCAAGAACGCTACCATTAACGAACTCCAGAAAATGAATCGTATCCTCGACAACTGTCCTCTGTGTCACCACGAAGACACGAATTCGCCTCCGATTGCCCCTGTGGTGTCGTTGGCAACGCGGGTATTCCTGACTCTGCCGACAGAACCCGAACTTAATGAAGGCTGCGCGACCATTGTTCCGATTCAGCATCGTACAAACCTCTTGGAGTGTGACGATGACGAGTGGGAGGAGATCCGCAACTTCATGAAGAGCCTGACACGCATGTACCACGACCAGGGTCGTGATGTGATCTTCTACGAGAACGCAGCCCACCCGGAGCGTAAGAAGCATGCATCGATGGAGGTGGTGCCCTTGCCGTATAGCCTAGGAGAGACGTCACCCGCCTTCTTCCGCGAGGCCATTCTGTCCACAGACGCAGAGTGGTCGCAACACCGCAAGCTGATAGACACACTGGCCAAGGCCAAGCAGGGGTTGGGACGTTCGGCCTTCCGCCGCACGCTGGCGAAGGAGATGCCCTACTTCCACGTGTGGTTCGAGCTGGATGGGGGGCTCGGACACATTGTGGAGGACGACCGACGGTGGCCGCGCGGCGATCTCTTTGCGCGCGAGGTCATCGGAGGTATGCTGGATGTGGCGCCTGACGTGATCAAGCGTCAGGGCCGTTGGCAACGAGGAGGAGACCGGCGTGTGGAAGGTTTCAAGAAGCGATGGCGGAAGTTCGACTGGACGCGGGTGTTGGTGGAGGGCTAGATGGTAGCATTCTTGTATCTGGGTATAACCTCATAACACACATATGAACCCCATCACATCTATCACTTCGTATCGGACAGTCGGGGAGGAATCGGAAATCTCCGAGGGAAAGTCGGATCGGCCGAGAGAATTGATTGAAGAAGACGATATGAGGAGTCACCAATAATGCGGGGGTTCGCGATAAACGTGGGGCTCGCTGGATACTTCTCCGTCTGTTGCCCTTTTTCTCCTCCATCTTCCTTTTAACACTGCTTCTTCGCCTTCTCATATTCTTTTTCTTCTGGTCTTCTTCGTCTCCTTCATTCCTATAGAACCGTCGACATCTCCCGGCTGCGACCACCTCCCTTGAGCCCTTCGGCCCTCATTACCCCGCGCTCGGTCTAATTCATCACCATGGGCTCCAACACGAAACCCAAGGTCCTCCTGCTGGGAAGCATTGTCCAGTAGTCCTCACCATACCGTCATTGCAGTCGCCTTCAGTTCTAACCTCATCGTCAGCGCCCACAAAACCTGGGAATCCCTCTCCGACCTCGCCGAGCTGATCACCCCCTCCGCCACCAACCGCGCCGACTTCATCCAAGAATGCCGCTCCGGCAAGTTCGACGGTGTAGTCGCTGCCTATCGCACCTTTGACTCGGTCACAATCACTGGTATGATCGATGACGAGCTCGTCAGTGCGCTGCCTAGCAGCCTGGTCTATCTCGCCCACTGCGGTACGCCCAATCGCTCCCTGCTACCACCAAATCCATACTAAGAACGATGCGCAGGCGCCGGCTACGACCAAGTCGACGTGCACGCCTGCACATCCCGTACTCCTCCCCTCCGCGTCTCCAACGTCCCCACCGCTGTCGACGACGCCACTGCCGACGTTAACATGTTCCTGATCATCGGCGCTCTGCGCAACTTCAACACCGGGCATGCAGGCCCTGCGTGAGGGCAAGTGGCGCGGTCAGCCCGCCCCTGTGCTGGGCCACGACCCCGAGGGCAAGGTCCTGGGGATTTTGGGCATGGGCGGCATCGGCCGCAATCTCAAGAAGAAGGCGGAGGCATTCGGCATGCGCGTCATCTATCACAACCGGCGGCCGTTGACGGAGGAGCTGTCCGGAGGCGCGCAATATGTGACGTTTGATGAGCTGTTGGCGCAGAGTGATGTGTTGAGTTTGAATTTGCCCCTGAATGTATGCTCCCCTCCACCATCCGCTTCTATTTTGTTCTGGGCGTTTCGGCGTACGATGGTGTTGGTTTAAACAGATCTAACAGCTGGTAGAAAAACACCCGGCACATCATCGGCAAAGCCGAATTCGACAAGATGAAGGACGGCGTCGTCGTCGTGAACACCGCCCGTGGCGCCGTCATGGATGAGGACGCCCTCGTCAACGCCCTCGACTCCGGAAAGGTCTACTCCGCTGGCCTGGACGTCTTTGAGGAAGAGCCCAAGATCCACCCCGGACTGGTACGCAATCCGAATGTGCTCCTGGTTCCCCATATGGGTACATGGACTGTCGAGGTAAGAGACTCTTCTTCCGCCCCGTTATACATGAAGGAATATCGACTGATCTGATGATCCAGACTCAAACCGCCATGGAGGAATGGGCTATCGGCAATGTGCGTGCGGCGCTGGAGACGGGCAAGCTGAAGAGCCCTGTTCCCGAGCAGGCGGATCTGTAGAGCCGGAGAGTACATATTCTGCTGTATTTTCGAAGTGTGTATATGATGTCTATAGAATATCGCCACTGTATTTGTCCATGTGACTGCATGCATAGACTTGGTCAAGACGCCGAATCCAAGTACACCGAGCAGGTTCGCTCTCCTGAAGAGCAGGCTCTTGTAGCCATATTTCGGGCCGCTTTTCAACAACTGGGGTGATGGTGCAGTTGGGAGCTCGTCTGACTGAAGTTTCATGTGAAATCGGATTATCAGAAGGTCACCGGTTCGATCCCGGTTCACCCCATTATTTTTTTGTTCCATTTCTTTGGCCTCTTTTGAAAAGAATCCTAGATTGATTATATTTATCGTTCATGCATCTCAAGGTAGTGTCCAGCTGTGGGTATATATATGCATTAGCACGTTGTTGCTAGGTTGATCCCCATTCGATATACTTGATCTCTACACTCTGATGCGGAAATCTTCCACTGGAATTATTAACTGACTGATATAGTGCCATGGTATGCTGGGAGTACTACTAGATAACGCAGGTCTCCTGGAAGTTCTGTCGGCCAACTGGTGGTCGTAGCTTGCCGACCTTTTTGGATCTGTCATCTACCTTCTTCGTATGTAGCACCTGCACCTTCTGCGCTGGGTTGACCGCCTGGAACAATGCCGAGGCGTCCATAGATAGATGATGAACGTCTTGGTCACGGGCTTTAACCAGGATAGAAGTGGTTCTTCGACTATTGCGACGTACGTTGATTGGGATGTGTTTTTTGATCTGCCCAATAGACAGATTGTTGATGGTGAATACCAATGTATTCCAAAGAGAGCTGTGCATATCATTGACCATACATATACTGGGTCTACGGCCTCATCTATTACTGGGATATGTTCTTTCATTTTGAAGGAACGGTATGGGAGACTTGCCTTTCCCCATTGTTTGATAAAAGAAGATGCAAAACAACCATCGAAAAAAGAAATGGGGTGAACCGGGATCGAACCGGTGACCTTCTGATGATCCGATTTCATATGAAACTTCAGTCAGACGAGCTCCCAACTGCACCATCACCCCATTGGATGATAAACTGGCCAAAAGTGTGCAGATTGAGGCGCCATCAACGCCTGGCTTGTGTGGGGGTGACAACGACCTCGTCAGTTTACTGCAGTTGGAGAATGATACATGTCTCTATAGTCAAAACTGTCAGGATCCAAGTAAGGATACCAATGATGTTCATATCTGAACCAGTACGTACGGAATGGCTGCATACAGGCGTGGGTCCCCCGCGATATATATCTAGAGTTCAACTCGAACGGACCATGTTAATATAAACTATACTCCATAGGCCTAACATATAGTAGCGACCAATCCTACATGTCAGTGAAGGATACCCAGGAAGACCCATTGCGATGCGTGACACAGATATATACTAAACACAGGAAGTTAATGGCCAAAGGCCCAGAAAGGCCGGCATTTAAAGCACCGCTAGAACAGAAACTAGGCCTGAGCCCTAAAGAGGCATATGGGTTGACTAAGAGTATTCTTTTCACTATGATGCTGTTTTCTGCCCACCTGAACATGCAATGGGGTGATGGTGCAGTTGGGAGCTCGTCTGACTGAAGTTCAACGAACAGATCATCAGAAGGTCACCGGTTCGATCCCGGTTCACCCCATTTCCTTTTTTGCTCCTTTGCCAACCGAAAGCCAGACATCTAGATGCCTATGTCAAATTTTTTTTTGTACCTGGACTCATTCCGCGTCTGTTAGTTTCCAAAGGACACATGGGCAGGTGGCACAGATTCGGCTGCAACAGCAACCCATCAGAGATAGGTACATATAATAGCATCAGTTTAAAGCTGTACATTTCATTATCTCCCCCTCGGCTTTCGACGCCATGCATACAATAAAGTATAGTATTGAGAGTATAAGATTGACCTATGAAGAACATAGCCAATGTGCTCAGTAGAAAGCAGCCAAACGCCACCGCGCTGCTATGCCCAGCTGCAGACAAGTGAGAATCAAACAACTCCAGTGCCATGACGTATCCCCGAAGCAACAAATAAGAGAAGACAAGTAGATATTTCCATAACAGCCGAACCCACGCGAGCAAAAGGGTAGATAAGAAAGTCTAGTCAAACATCGTCAGACAATAAAAAAGAAAATAGCCACTCGCCAATGTGCTTTTTTCATGCCGCCATTTGCAGAAACATCGCTCGGAAAATGCCGTGGAACCAACGAACCAACCCTAGTCTGGGCTACTCCCGTGAAACAATCCAGGATCGCACGACCATTCCGCATATGCGTTTGATCACCTGGGTGGTGCCCTTCCCACTGGCCTCTTGTTCTAAGAATTTCTGTGCCACATACAGCTTCGCGCCGGCGTCTTTCTCATTCGTGGTTATGGGCTGAGGGAAACTACGCGGGAAGTCTGCCCAACGTTGTCCAAGGTGGCGCGCAATGGCGATCGAGTAGATGACATCGCGATTTTCGAACGTATCCAATAGTGTTCGGCATCGAGCCAATGTGTCATCGATCTCCTTTGCGGAGCTGGCTTCATTGTCGTGGAGTGTGAGGAAATGACCGATGCAGCTCCAGAAATCAAGGGATCTCTGAGTCAATTGATCGGAGAGAGACGGTGGGTTTGCAGCAGGTTCCCGGGGCGGGAACTGCGCTAATGGGTTGGACTCCAGATGCTCGCCGGTGATCATGGCCTCGATAACGTCTAGTCGCTTCGAGGACGCCAGCAAGTCATATTCCGGATTTCCATTCGATACATTCATGACATGACGGCACAACGTCATGGAACTCCAGACCACGGACGCCTCGAAGCTCTCCAAGCGCGCCAAGACATTGGGATCGTTGAGATTTTGATCAAAGGCGTCAATCAGGGCAGAATACTCGGCCATAAGCTGAGCATTGGCCAACAGGTGGGTGAGAGCTTTCTCCGAGAACCAGCGCGTCTCGAAGAACTTGTCAATGGCGGGAGCATAAGTCGCAAGAAACACTGCTTTGATTTCTTCCAGACGATTGGGTGGGATAGCGGTAATCGGGTGAGGGGGCGGAGGAGGAATGCCCCGAAGCGCAAGAAGGTCACTGATCTGGACTTGTTTCACTGCATGCGGATATAAGCTGAGGAACGATGGAATCGCGTGGCAGAAACTATACCTTTAAAGCTCGTGGAATCCGCAGGTGCGGACGTAGTCGACGCAGGGTTTATGGTCGGTTGCAAAGCTTCAGCCGCGCTCTGAACACTGGCCATGTTCGACTGCTGATTCCCGTCCAGCGACGGGTCAATTGATGCGCCGTAATTATATTGGTCGGTCGACGTGCTAGGTGACTCCGACGGAGCGAAGGGCTGGGAGACCGCAGGAACGTAGCCCGGAGGCGCGGCGGGATAGGAGGAAGTGGTAGTAGGCGGAGGAGTAGCTGAGGGATCCTGGGGATTGACCACTAGTGAAAGATGGGGTTTGGGCGCAGGCTGTATCGCAGACGTGTCGATTGTTGTTAAAACCGGAATCGTAGCCTAAACATTCACGTTGCTCTGACACAGTTTCGACAGACAGGATGACCCTCGTCACACTAGAATGATCAGCGAAGAAAGAGCGAAACAAGGAAATAAAAGCCAAGGAGAAAGGGAGAAAGAAAAAAAAGGCAGAATGATAAAGTTCGGCAAAAGAAGAGGGTCTGTTGGGTGGAAAACAACAAGCGACACCGCGAATGGCGGGGTTTCTGCAGCGGCCGGCGGGCAGGTGGGCTGGACGCGCGCAAGCGAAGCGACTCGCCTCGACCATGCTTTCTCCGCCGTCCCTCGCCCGTGTTCCATAACAACCCCCATATTCACACAGAACTTGGGTTTTCTTTCTACTTCATATTAAAGGTGCCTGATAAAACGTACCTTAATTCTTCGTTTTCGGCAGGTCAAACACCCTGTCTTCGTTCGTCGTTTGACCTCTTTCTTATGCCTCCCGCCCGATAGCATCTTGTTGGGATCCCCGGGAAGCTGATACCGCATCTGCGCGTTGGTGTTCATGCCCATCTGTGATACATTGCTGGGATAGCCGGTCATATACTGGCTCACCGTGGACATCGCAGGCATGGGCGACCCAATAGGAGCTTGAGGAATATGTGACGTTTGACTCTGGGTGGGAGCACCCATGGGAGAGGATACGGCGTGATGACTCTGATACATATCCGAATTATGTTGCTGATATTGTTGATGCTGTGTTTGCGCCGGTGATTGGCCTTGCTGCGGCTGTTGTCCTGGCTGAGGCGCATACTGGTTTGGCGCGGGCGGGGACTGCTGCGGTGGTTGCTGCTGAGAGTAATTCTGCTGTTGATAGTTTGTGTGTTGCTGCGCCGGTGGGTTCTGTGGCTGTGACAGCTGTTGAGAAGGTTGCTGGTTGTGCGTCCCGTTCGACGTGGGTTGATGCGGACCATCAATAGTAGGAAGCCCCGAGGACTCGTGACCGCTGTTTGCAAGTTCTGCATCGAAAGAGCCAAAGTGGTCGTGATCATTCCCATTCGCGTCCGACAAAGTAAAATTCTGCGTCTCCGAGGCGTCCATCGCAGGAAGAGTGGTATCCAACGGTGGTAGAGAAGTATCGATCGGCGGAAGCGACGGTATCGACGGATCCATTGGTGGGAGAGAGGTATCTATGCTCGGGAGAGAAGAGTCCACCGCAGGCAGAGACTTATCGATGGGCGGAAGAGTCGTGTCGAAATTGTCGAGTGAGTGGCCATTTTCCGTCGGAGGCTGTTCGCTCAGTATAGGCTCATTCACCGGGGCCTCATTCACCCGGCCCTCAGTCGCCGGTGTATCGCTTGCAGGAACCTCACTGGGGGCGCCAGGATTTGTAGGCGCATCGGACGTAGGCGCATCGTGCGACTCAGTAGCCTGTTTCGGGGGCTCCCCAGCGGGATTTGTGGACTCTGTTGTGTCTGCCATCTCAATTGTATGATTTGTTCCCGATACTAACGTCACGGAGTCGAGGGCCCAAGAACGTCAGAGATGTTCGTTCCACGATCGCAAGGAGAAAAATTCATTAAGCGGCCGGGGTATGGTCTCGATGATAGAAGATATGATCCGAAAATTGCACTCGACAGTCGCGGAGCGCTTTTGACCTGTCGGTTAGGAGTTCAAGCGTTAGCGGCAGACTCGACCAGAGGATCTTCTGACTCAAGATGAAACGATCCAAAATGCACAGAAACACGGCGACATGGTTGTAGGGAAAGGCCGGAGGTGCGATCGGTGCTCCGAGTCCGAGTCGTGTACGGGCGGGAGAGAGCCTAGGATGGTCGGCGCATCATCACAGAGGTTGCAGACGCATCCCGCAGCCTCCTAACCCTGACCCCGGAGACTAGCGCCCATGTGGTGGTCACAGGGAAGCTGGACGCGAATTGCGATCCTCCAGATCCCACGGATGGGACGATCACCGCACGCAACCGCGACACCGCGCAACGCCCAGTGTTGACATTGATCAAGTGACAAACCGAACAGAAGCGAAGGATCCAAAAGCAAATATCCGACAAGCTCGACCAAGGTTCCGACAGATTGCGATAAAGGGCAACGAGAGGGGAAGGGTGTAGTCCGGAGAGGAAAGAAACAGATCGAGGACCAGCAAAGGAAGCGCCTGTTTACTTACCTTGCATACACTGGGCGAAACAAGCGGAAAGAAGCGAGCCGAGATTCTATACCACTAGAGTACTTAAACAGCAAGCAGAGAATCCCGGCATTTGGCGTGGGAGGACCGATGGGGGGGAGTTGGGGCGGAGGGTCGAGGGTGTTTCGATGCGCGCTGGAGGAGAACTTGGCGGAGGAGAACTTTTGGGGCCGCTGGCTGAAAGGGGAAAAAGATGGGAAAAAATTCATGGGGCAGTGGCAAGAATCTACCTAGGTACCCTTCCAGCTTCTACCCTCAGTATTATCAAAACATTACGCACTGATCTAGAGAGGCCTTCATAATATGTATTTTTAATTTATTCCACATCCCTAATTGTTCTGTATTCTTCCGTACGCTGTAAAAGAACATAAAGTGAGGGAACTTGCGATTAGCTAAGAGCTACTATGTTCCTAGCTAGACCTAATAGTAGTTCCGACTTAGCTTGCCATAGCCAGCTGTTCATGTCTACTATCTAGAGGGTATGTATTAAAAAGCGCATGGAGGGGAGTCGCATTCCCGTATGCCTCCCATTGATCAAAATAGGAGTCAAAAGGAGGCCAGATGCCTGTTCTCCTTCCATGAAGATATGGGCATACACTTCACCCAAATATAGATAGGTGGAATATCCGACATCTGTCATGGATGAATGGAGTTTTCCCTCAGAACGAAGGAGGACGGGTGTCCCATCGCAGCTGCCCGCGACGTCTTCCTTCCGACCCAAGCGTGGTCAAGAGCAAGTCATAGAGCATGCCAGGCGAACAGCCCGCTCAACTAACAACTGAGTGTGTGGGCAGGAGTCCTCGCGGAGACACCTCATGCCCTCTAGAGGACTCGCGTCCGTAGAATGGCGAACAGTCGATGATCTGGTGTAAAACTGCAGGAATAGCGGTATCGGAGCCACACGCTATTTCCTCATGACTTTGGGCTTTCGTTTCTTGAAGACAACACTAGGTCCGGCATCTTCAGGCTCTTCCTTTGTCGATGGCGCAGGTGCAGCGACATCGGCAGGCTCCTCCTTGGTGGGCAACGGCTTATCTGACTCTCCAGACGCCGTCTGCGTCTCACTCTTAACAGGGGTCTCTGTGGCCACCTTCCCGCTCTCTTCAGTCGGCGCATCTGCAGTCGAAGGGGACGGCTTCGTCTTCTTAATGTCTTTCGTAGACGCAAGTAAGACATCGAGATCCGTATCCTCCCGGCCACCAGGGTACACCTTCGTCCGCGATCCCCAAGCCTTACTCACGAACCTCTCCGCTTCACGCTTCGCCTCTTCCTCCTCCTCGTCGACCTCCACTTCATGTTTGCGCTTGCGCACTCCAAGAGACGACCCAGACGCACCGGCACCCTCCTCATCTGCCGGACGAATGACCCGCTCTGAAACCGTCTGCCACTCACCGGCCAGCGCTATATCCCTGCGGTACTCCTCCGGAATCGCAATGCCCATATCCGCCAGCTGCGCCATCTGCTTCTTCCGCTCTTCCAGGGACACCGGCCGTTCGGGAGGCGTGTTCACTGCTGGCGCTCGTTTCCATGATGCGGCCCCATCCTCTCGCGCCTTTCCACCCCCGCTGACTGTCTGTCTTAGTCGCTCGACCTCATCCTTGGCCTTTTGGGATTCTCGTTGCTGACGCTCGTTATCGCGGTGAATGTCGCGCAGAAATCGCTTGAGATTGCCTTGGTGTTTGGCGGTGGCTTCGTGTTGCGCCTTTTCGAAAGCTGTATCACGGATGAATACTTTGCATTGCTTGCACCAGTGTCGGGGCTGGGTCGGTTGTTAGTAGTGCAGGACTGGAGGGGCATTAGAGAGAGGACTCACTGCTGATTTCCAGTATTCGGCCATTTTCGCGTTGGTTCTCTCTGTCTTGCGGGATATGTGAGTGTAATGGTCGAGGTATTGCTTGGGGGTGGATGAAACTATTCCCCTTGTGGTAGTATCGGACTGTCTATGATTACGTAATAACATTTTGAATAGTATCAGTCGAACATCAACAATTCAAGTACTGCGTCCCAGCCAAATTCGACCAAGAAGATACTATAGAGGAGATGAAGTGAGACGGCAATCTACCTGGTTTGGGAATTGTGAAGTGAGGGTGAAATGCAAAAGGACATCTCTATCCATTGATTTGATGCTAGGTTGTACATGTCCTAAGATGAATTAGAAGTATATATTTGTCTGAACTCTCATTAGTACCTATGTTCAATCAACACGGCAGACTTTCCACTCTGACCCTCGCCTCAACTAGATCAGACTGGAACCAGAAACCTATATCCTTGGTCGTATCAATGAGTTCAACCTCTCGTCGCACGAATCCAGGATCAGAGTCCGCCGCCGCCAGTGCTTGTCCACCCTCATCTTCACTATCCCAGCCTTCATCCGCCTCCATGTTCTCCCGACTGACAGGGTCCAACTCATCAGTCTCCCAGATCAGCCGGAACGAAAGCGGCGTCAAACTGAAAACCCGAGCCACGATAGCCTTGACCTGATACACGTCGAACGATCGGGGAACCTCCACCACCTTCACAGTTTCCGCGCCATCCCCGTCGCAACGCATGCGAAAGACCATCTTGACCAGACGGGCAGCAACAGACCGCGGATTGACGGCCGTCCCTGACCCCATAGCAGTAGAAGCCCTACTGATCACCGGGGCTCCGTGGATCTCACAGAGAGCTTTGTAGCGCGGGTGCGCTGAGAGGATCTCGTGCTCCGCAGTCTCCGGGGAGGCGGATAGTTCTTTCCCTATGAGAGAGAGGTAGTAGAGTTCGCCGTTGGTGCGATCCTTCGGCGTGATTTTGCCGTAGTTGAGAACCTGCAGGGAGGCTAGTCGTGCCAAGGTTAACATGTATGCTTCGTCCACGGTCATGGGCTTTTCGGGCATCCCCGTCACGACTGACGGACCCACGGGCTGGTTGAAGAGCGGGTTGCCCGATATGCGGAGAGTTTCGAGGTTTGGTATCGCGTCTGAGAGTTCATTCACAAATACCCACGAATGGATGTTGTTGCGGGAGAGGTCAATGGACTTTAGGCTGGGAGAGAATCGGAGGGGTTTCTCTGCGGGCTCTGGTTCATAGACTTTGTCGATGATGTTTCCTCGTAGAGAGAGGTGTTTGAGGTTTGTTAGTGATGTCAATATTTCGACTGAAGACAGAGAGCAAATGGTATTATGTTCTAAGCTTAGTGTAGTGATCGTGTTCGCGATGGGGGTCGTAAGAGCTGAGAGTTGGTTCGCTGACGCGGACAGCGTGGTCAGCGACGGGAACTGGCCAGCTACAGATGATATCTGGGCATTGGTAAGTGGTGGATAAAGCACAAGCGTATGATCTCAATACTCACCTCGTCCCAAGACAGCAGAGTGTCATCTAAATGGAGCTCTGTGATGCCCTCAAATTTCAAGCTCTCTTCCACCGAACAAAATCGATTACCACTGGCAAAAGGTCAGCAATACTGTAGTTATGTAGACACGATGTCCATACGTACTTTAGCTTCAACTTTCTCAGACGCTTCAGCCTACTGCAGATACACGAAACTTCCTTCCAGCGGTTGATCAAGTTCCGGCTGAGGTCGAGCTCCATGATCTTGGGGCACGTCTGTTGAATCTCTTGGAGCGCAGCATCATACTGTTCAAGACTCGCCTCTTGGGCAAGAACGCCGGCCACGCGCAGCCCGTCAAGGAGCACGATCTTCAGTTCCTGGAGCTCGGCGAGCTGTTTCCGGATCTTGTCGAAGCCGACTTCTTCAACGACCTTGCCGCTGATTTGAATTGGCTTCTCCTGGGGATCCCCTAGAGCACCGTCACCAAGCCTCTGGCGAGCCAGCATCTCCTCGAACTCAGAGGCATACTTTTCCCGTAGGGCCTCCAGGAACCCCCGCGGACTGTCTGCGGGCCGGGAAGGACGCACAAACGACCCAGCAGTAGGTTGCTTGTTCTTGCCTGTAGTCTCCATCAGTAGGCGCACTTAGAAATGAAGAACGATGTCTTACAAGAAAAATAGGTCACTCCCTGGTGTTGTCCTGAATGCCTCCCCCTCGTCGGGTCGTCCCATTCGACGCCTAGCCACTCTCCCGTCGTGCCCTCAACTTTTCCCACGTAGCGGACAGTGCACAGGTCCCCATTGTATGACCTGCGCTGATTCACATATGCAGTGGTCTGCGCCATAGCTGGGATTCCAATCCGGCAACCCTAAGGTCTTGAAGGCGACGACATGTTGCGACGTTCCCTAATCCGGGTCTACAACAAAACCTCAGGTATCAATCCATAGCTTACATAATCCCGCGATACCGTCGAAAATCCCCAAGACCTGGAAGCTTATCATCACGGTGACAGTGTCCACACGCAGCACCCACGATCAGACACAGGAGTCCCCACGATGGATTTCCAGGTGAGTCGGCCCCTCAGCATTGCCCACAGCCTCCCACACGCTGTAACCTCCGAAGCGTGAGCTAACCCCCGACAGAACCGCGCAGGCTCCAAATTCGGTGGCGGCGGCGTCGCATCGCAGTCGGCGACGAACGCCGACCGGCGCGAGCGGCTTCGCAAGCTCGCGCTGGAGACAATCGATCTCGACAAGGACCCGTACTTCTTCAAGAACCATGTAGGCAGCTTCGAGTGCCGGCTGTGCCTGACGGTGCACCAGAACGACGGGTCGTACCTGGCGCACACGCAGGGCCGCAAGCACCAGACGAATCTGGCGCGGCGTGCGGCCCGCGAGCAGCGTGAGGGCAAGAACCAGGACCCGTCGACGCTGCCCGGCGCCATGGGCGTGCAGGTCAAGAAGCAGACGATTAAGATCGGACGGCCCGGCTACAAAATCACGAAGATTCGCGACCCCTTGACCCGCCAGCTTGGTCTGCTCTTCCAGCTACAGTACCAGGAGATCACGCCCGGCGTGCAGCCGCGCGTGCGTTTCATGTCGGCGTTCGAACAGAAAGTGGAGGATCCGCCGGATAAGAACTTCCAGTACCTCGTTGTTGCCGCGGAGCCGTATCAGACGTGTGGGTTCAAGTTGCAGGCGAGGGAGATCGACCGCCGGGAGGGCCGCTATTGGACGTGGTTCGATGAAGATAGCAAGGAGTTCTGGATTCAGATTATGTTCAAGACGGAGCGTGAAGAGAGATTCAGTGGTGTGCCTGGGTTGGCACCCATGGCGTCGAATGCTTAGGTTGGCTCCTGGGGGTTGCAAAAATCGATGGCATGTACTACTCACACTGATCGGGCTACAAGGCGTTTGAGGTTTATTTTCAGATTTATGTGGATAATATTGGTATCGCTGTTACTGTCATTGCCCACAAAGCTCTAGGACTACGACAACTGACGTTTCTAAACTGGCAAAGAAAGATCAAGCATTTAAGCAACGACACAAATGCGTCGATAATATTTGGTTGCTATGCATTGTACTATCGTCCTAGCTAAACAAACTAGCTTGTCCATCATAGCTGCATATGCGGTGTATCGTAGTCTGAACTTCCAATCAACAATGCACATGGATGCAGTTCTGCAATGCTAGACACAAGGGGTAAGTAGCAGAGGTCGTCTCGCGACATGCAGCAAAATGAATATGCTCAGGTCGTAATGAAATAAACAGAAGAAGACAGATGCGCTATATGCGTGACGAGCAAAAAATGAACAAGAGTACCGAGATTAAAGCGCCGATGAGTCTGAGGATAGCCCTCAACGCAAGCCTGCCTGGTCTAGGGCTTCCAGAGACAGTCATCTTGGGGCAATAATCTAGAGGTAATCGGGTCCAGTCTCTAGTTCCCCTGGAAGGCGTTGAAAGCTTTGTACGTGTACCCAATGAACGGTAGACTCATCTCAGCCTCTTGTTCGTCAGGCATGGCACGAGCCTGCGCACGGTGAATAGCGCTGGTGTCTTCCTGAGGAATCTCGTCGATGGGGAAGTAGGAGACGTCAATGTTGGAGCTGAGTCTGGGCTCAAAGGGAGCACGAATGCTGCGAAGCTGTTCCCAAACAACGCCACGGAAGAACGGATGGTTCTTGATCTGGGTCGCGCCGCCGAACTGACCGCCCTCGTTACCGATACGGTGTTCAGGGTCGCACAGGAAGCTGGAGGCCTCGTTAGTCTGGATCATCATATATGGATCTTCATGGACTGTACCTTCTGATCAGAGACTCCGAATCGCGAGACAAGGTGAGCTCCTCGGGGAAATAGAGGCATTCGCGCCAGTTGACGATCTTCCTGTAGGTATCGGTGGTATCTTCCGCGCAGAAGGGAGGCCAGCCCACAAGACATTCAAACATGATGGCACCGACCGACCACCAATCACAGAGGTAGGTATAACCCTGTCCATTGAAGATCTCAGGGGCAATGTAATCAGGAGTACCGACGGTCGAGTAGGCCATCGCACGGCGGGACTTTCTCCAGGTGTTGATCTGTCCACGGTTGGACACGGTCAGATTGATCGCATCGTTGAAGTATCCAGAGTTGCGGTTCTTGTCCTTGGACGTGGAGTTTTTCAGGAGGTTCTGATAATAGGAGTTGTCGTGGGTCTTCTTGCCACCAGTGGAAAGACCGAAGTCAGTCAGCTTGACGTGACCACCGCGATCCAGGAGAATGTTGTCAGGTTTGATATCACTATCACGGCAGTTAGTATATGACGGGACTCCCTCTGAGGCGGGTTTGGACTTACCGATGAAGGAAGCCAAGCTTGTGGACGGCTTCAATCGCCATGACAATTTCTGCCATATAGAAACGAGTAATGTCCTCCGAGAAAATTTCGTACTTGATCAGCATGGTCATCAAATCACCACCGGGAAGGAACTCCATTAGCAGGTAGAGATAAGCAGAGTCTTGGAATGAGGCATGCAGCTTGACGAGCCACGGGTTGTCCTTCGAATCGGCGAGAATATCACGCTCAGCACGGACGTGAGCCAGCTGGTCCTTCTTGAACATCTCGGTCTTGATCAAAGACTTCAGAGCGTAAATCTTGCCATCGGTCTTCCTCTGCACAAGCTTCACTTCACCGAAAGCACCCTTGCCGATCACCTTGATGGTCTGGAAATTCTGCGGGGTCTCCTTTGTCCGGAGGAACCGAAGGAAGTTGGATTCTTTCTTTGCAGCCACCTCGGCCTCCTGACGCTTCTTCTCCTTGGGGATAGCCGGTTCCCGGATCATCTTGTCAAGTTCGGCAGAGCTGAGATAGAGAATGTTGTCAGTATACACACCTCCAAGGTAATCACCGTGGAATGTCCACTTACCGCATATTGCGGTCACGGGCACGTTCGATGTTCTCATGGAAGAATACATTGACCAGCTCCTTCGCGGCCTTGCCACGCTTGTGAATGTTCTCGGAGAACCGCTCGGGGCAGCGCTGCAATTCTTCATTCTCGGCGGGAGTTCGCGGGCTGCGTGGCATGGGAGGGGCCAAATGACCAGGCTGGGGTTGACCGGGGGCAGGCGATCCAGCAGTACGGGGACGTTGAGCGGGAGAGCCCGAGCGACCGAAGAAACCAGTACGCGTAGAGTTCAAGTCCTGGTTGGAGAACTGCTGGATCAGGCCATTGGTGCCATCATTGTATGCCATGCGCGACTGATAGGAAGGCGGCGGGGACTGCAGGTTGGGCTGGCCATAGTGCTGCTGAGCGTAGGCGGCCTGGGGAGGATAGGGATTCGCCATGAAATAACCCTGACCATAGGCACCATTCTGAGCTTCCACGTAGTCCTGGGGACCCTGATTCTGGTAGATCGGCTGGGGAAACGCGGAGGGGGTGGTCGGGTATGCGCGATTGTTGGTGGCGGGACTGAAGGCACGGTCATTGTACCCGAAGTTCAGATGAAGGCGATTGTTGTTGGGATCCATGATGATCAGAGATCTTCGCAATACCGCCGAGGAGAAGACCAGTACGGAATGAGAAGAGAGGGAGGAGAGGGGGGGGGGAGAAAGGAGGGAAGAGAAAGCAGCGAGGTGAAACTCAAGGGGGTGGGGGGATACACGAGAGGCGGTCGGTTGCTCTTCAGGAGACGAAGAGGGGGAAGGGGAGAAGAAAATTAGCGGAGTAGTCGCACAGCAAAAATTGTACAACTCTCTGCCAATTCCAGAATGGATTGAGGAATGACCACGAGAGAGTCGGGAAGAGGGAAAAAGAGAGGAAGGGTGAGAGAATGAAGAAAGAGGAAGAAAAGAGAGGGCCCCTGGTACCTGATGTGTATTCGATGCGAGTCTGGATCGTGCTTGGTACGGCTTCCCGTTGGGACCTCTGGCGCAGAGGGGCTCCCCCTAACTAAACCACCCCTACCTTACTCCTTACTGTATTGTACATATGCGAACGGTCGATCATGCCGGGGTTGGACCTGCATGGTCTAGAAGACCCTTGGTCTATCATTCGGCTGTGGTTCGATTCTGTATCATGCATGCTTTCTAATTTTCTATGCTTGGTCCTTATTGTACATCTCATCATCCAAGCCCAGGGACGTTGAAGAATACCACCTGGACCGTGATGTCGTCCCTCACATTCCGCGAAAATGGTGCGCTAAAGGCAAGTCGTCCGGCGACCAACTCATGATGGTTCCCACCGAGAGAGTTTCGCACCAAGTGGACTGCGGCATTGTTATCCTGGACTGTCGTCCTCTCCTCGACAAACTTCCAATTGACCCCTTTCCAAAATTGACCAAAGTCGAACGGCTCGTACGTGGCCTCCAGGTGGTCTACTTTCTTCTCCTTTGTTTGGTCTTCCAGCCATTTCCCCACGAGCTCGATAGCTTGTTGACTGGAGACCGTATCCCACATGCCATCTGTAGCCATGACTAAGAACGACGGCGTGCAAGGGTCGATCTTCGTACTGGTCACAACCGGCTCCGCGGTCAGATATGGCGGCGTGCGAACATCGTACCGCGGCGTCAGGGGTGCTGGGCCATAAAATCTCCGCTTCACATCCTGTTGGAAGTCTAAAGACCACTTCCATCGACTGTCCCCAAAGGCTCGTGAGACCATCATTCCGAGGACTCGCCCGTCCTTCACGATGTTCTCTTCGCCTGGGTGCTCCTTGCAGAGGCGGGCGATCTCGTCCTCGTTGCTACCGGTCTGGTCTACTGACAACGAAACCGCTTCCCATGTGCCGTCGTGCTGTTGTTGCCCCAAAACTGCCCGGGAGTCGCCCGTACACGCAACATGCAAAGTGCTGGAGACAGGATCGTACAGAGACAGCAACGCGCAAGAACCAGCATACGCGGGAAGAAGTCTGGCCACCTTCTCTGGCAGCGAATCGTTGCTCTGAGACGTAGCCAACGCCGTCTTGATAATCGAGTTGTCGAGGCTCATAAACGCCTCCACGATCGCCTGCTGAACCAGGTCCTCTGGGACATATTCCGCGTTGGAAGGCGCCTTGATCTGGCGCAGGGTGCGTAGCACATATGGAAGCAGCTGTTTCTCTAGCAATGCAGCTGTTTGCCAGCCTGCATGTCCGTCGAAAACCGCCCAGGCCATCCATGGGGTTCTCTCGTCCCATAGGGGAGCGATTTTGCCGTGGGTGAATCGGTCCTCGCAGGGGCTATTGGAAGCCAGTTGAGCGCCGTCGTATCGGTTGACGCCTGCAACATTTCTGACGGAGAAAGAGTATGATCCCTGCGAGATGGTCTGTGTCACTGAGTCTTTCGAGGGACAGGTCTCCACAACCAAATGCTCCGTTGGGGGCTTTTCGAGACGAGGGACATCGTCATCGCCAGTGGTCATAAACCACCAGAGCCCCTGCGTAGTGAGTAGGCTGGCGATGGCAATGTGCCTCACGCGATTAGACGACGGGCGTTTCGTAGAGTAGGACTGTCTTGCTTGCATCCGTAGTGTTGGCGCAGTAGCTACTCGGCCCAGACGCGTTCGAGCCGCGCCCAATGCCAACATTGTCTCAGAGAAAGGTTTTAGGACGTGGAAACAGACTACTGTACAAGTGGATGGCTTTTCCGAGATGATATGAGAGGATTGAGACTGAACTGAAGGGGGAAGGAGCAGTACCCCTTCGGTAAACAAGATCCGGACTGTAGACAGACTATGCGTGATCCAATTTACATTGTGCCTGACATGTTTATCTGGCCGAAGAAATGTGCGCGCGTTAGAAGACTGTAACCTGAATCAATAGTCTAGTTCCAGAGACATTGGATCCAGATCAGATCACCCCCGTGACCGAGGTACATCCGGCCCCATAACATTCCCGCAGCAACTCCAAGTACCCTGGCGGCATCGGGGCTGGGGACCGGCACGGAGAAACCTCCAGCTCCGCCATCCCGAACTTTTTGCTATCGAGACTCTCGACGTTATCGCTGATCAAGAACCACGAGAGGGGATCCTTCTCTCGAACTTACCCAATTAGTCGTTTAGAATTGTTTCACGCACTCCAGCGCATACAAGCCTCTTTCAATCTCACCACTCTATGGCGGAATCTTCCAATTCCGCCGGGCCAGCTGCCCAGGCCAAAACCACCACAAAGCCTCCAAACCCAGTATGGCGAATGATGGGTATGTTCCCTATATCTCCCTGAAGAAGAATTGAAGCCTCTAACGTACCATTCAGGCATGCCGAACTTCCGCCTGAGACTCCCCTCCCGCAATTGGATGATCTTCCTCACCATCACCGGCTCCTTCACCGCAGCCCTGATCTACGACCGCCGAGAGAAGCGACACGCGCAGCAAAAATGGTGCGATCTCGTCGCCCATCTCTCCAGAGACACCCTCCCTGTCGAGCAGACCCGCCGCAAGGTTACCGTCTACCTCGCCGCCCCCCCCGGTGACGGTCTTCGTGTCGCCCGCGACCACTTCAAGGAATACGTGAAGCCGATCCTCGTCGCCGCCGCTCTCGACTACCAGGTCATCGAGGGCCGGAGACAGGGCGAGATCCGCGCCGCCCTGGCCGAGCGTACCCGCAAGCTGCGCCGCAAGGCCGGCGAACCCTCTAGCGTAGTCGACGAGTCCACTTCCACCGAGGACGTTATCGCCGACGCCCGCTCCCGCATCGGCGTCACCGAGGAGCCCGGCCCCAAGGGCGATCTGGTCATCGGCCGCCACACCTGGAAGGAATACATCCGCGGTCTCCACGAGGGCTGGCTCGGCCCGCTCGACCCCCCGCTGCCGCCCGTGCCCGTCGAAGCCACCCCTGCCCCCGAGACGGACAGCAGCACCACCGGCTCGACCGACGATGCCCCCGCCCCCGAACACACACCGGAGAAGACCGACACCCCGGAGGAAAAGAAAGACGAGAAGCCCGCCAAACCCACCGGCCCGACGCCCGCATATCTCGCCCCCGCCGAGTATGCCTCGCGTGAATTGCCGCCGTCGCTCCCGCCGTCGCTCGACGGCTCCGTGCCCGTGCCCTTCCCGCATATCCTGGGTTTCCTGAACACTCCCATCCGGCTCTACCGGTACCTCAACCAGCGCGCTCTCGCCGAGCGCGTGGGCCGCGAAGTCGCCGGCATTGTGCTCGCGGCGCAAGCCCGCCCGTACACAGACGGCTCGTCGACGGCGGGCTCGGAGCTCACCTTCGGAGATGGAGGTCTTGATGCGACCCCCGCCGCTGTCTCGGCCGACGGTCTGTCGTCTGGGAACTTCGAGCAGCAAAGCGTGCTCGAGGAGGAGGAGCGCGAGTGGCACAAGTCCGTGCTCGAGGAGGAGGAGCGCGAGTGGCACAAGTCCGTGCACAAGAAGGATGAGGCGAACCCGGACAAGGAGCGGGAGTGGGTGGACGAAGTCGTGATGGATCCGCGCATTGCGTCCCGCATGCAGCGCTACGTGCTCTCTTACGACGATGAGGAGCGCTCGCGGCGCATCGCCCAGGGCAGCGAGTACATCCTTGGCGAGGAACGCCCGGCGCCCGTGCCGTTCTGGAAGCGCATGTGGATCAAGTATGGCTACGGTGAGGACGAGGAGACCCTCAAGCGCAAGCCGATCATTGGAAATATCGACGAAGACATCTAGAGGAGGGACCGAGGGACCATCTGCATGAATGATTTATCTATAGACATGGACTGGCATGGGGCGTTGCCAATGCTCTTTTGTACCAACAGCTTGTTTTCCTGTATATTAGCTACATAGGGGTTCTATATATACCAGAGCAAATGCACGACACTTTCCACTTCTCAACGGTTCAACGGACGTGCCAATCGGTATTGTAAATATCTTGATAGTGTAAAAGAAAGCCCCCAGTGACGCCCGTTGGTAAATCCAAGTCGCTAGACATATATGAATATAATAGTATCCAAGTTTACGCTATCCAAATCAGTCTTTCGCAATACTAATGATACAAATAGATTCATTTTGAATTTCTCGTCAGGCGGTATGGTAGTATAGAAAGTCTTACTGTCTCCATAAATTCTTCGTTTCCCAGTGCGGAGTCTGCATTTCATCCCACTCAGACGAGCGGATACCGAGTTCTCACTGACTGGTAAGATCAATGAATCTGGCCAAGGCACCGACGGGAGATTCTTCTCTTCGGCCGCACAGGGACCTGCTAATGACAGTGTTCACATCAATACTCGGCAACGCTCAGTTCAGGTTGAAGACTGTCGACTCGGGCCACTTGCTACTGGCCTTTTGAGCGTATGCGGACTTGGCGGCCTGGTCGCTTCCCCACTGGCTCAGGAGCTCCAGACCGGCAAGGGCCGTCTCCATAGAGATTTCGCTGGAGTCAAGGGTTGCGATGAGGTCCTTCTCGCACTGTGGCTTGGACTCCGGGTTCAGGATCTGCCGGCACGTCAGACCAGCCTGCGTGTGCGCAACACTGCTCTTGTGCGTGGAGAGGAAGGACTCGTTCCACTCATCAAGCTTCTGAGCCTTCGGGAGAAGAGTTTCAAACTCAGCATTGACGACCTCGGCCACCTGGGGAGGAAGGGGTTCCGAGAGGCTGTCGAGGGCCTTGCGGAAGCGAAGTAGCTGAACATGGAGGGTCGGGTGGGAAGCGTCGATGGCGTGGGCGGCCGAGAGACACTTAAGCGCAAGCGCATGCTTGTCTGGAGACTACGTTAGTGCATTTTCACACATGTCGGATAGGGAGATTGAACATACTTCTTTTAAGGTAGACCTCGAATCCAAGACATTGGGCTTCGATGTTCTGCGGGCTGAACTCGAGGAGAGGAGTGAGGAATTTTGTCGCCTCCTTCAGAGGCTCCTGCGTCTGGACAAGCTTGGTGCCCAGCGGGTCAGGATCTTCCTTCTTCACCTCACCATCGGCACCCTTGGCCGTAGCGCTGGCGGCCTTTCTTGCCTCCCGCTTCTCGGCTTCGAGCTTTTCCAGCCGTTGCTGCTCCTTCTTAGCCTTCTTGAGGGCCTTCTTTCGCTCAGCCTCGTCGGCAATGTCACTTGCACCGTTGGTGGACAGGGGGCCATGGGCCAAGTCGGGCTGATCGTTGAGAAGAAGGTATGCCCTGATGGCCGACAGCGCCATTCTAGCGTAGAATGGATGCTCGCGCAGACGATCCTCCCAACGGACCATGTCGACATATGCGCGGATCATGCCCTTACGGAGCGAGAAGCTGTGGAAGTCGAACTGGTCCTCCTGCCAAGTGTCGAAAATGTTGTAGACTGCGTGGAAACGCTTGAGCGCGAGGCCCAGCTTCTTCTGGCGCAGGTAGGACTCGCCATCTTCGGTCAGGTACCAGACACACTGCATCTCGTGGAGATCGCCCAACGCGCCACCCACGGTCTCATTTCGGGTGAACTTGCTCATGTTATCGAGAGCCTTGTCATTCTCATCGTTGCGGAGCTGGTACTTGGCGGCCTTGGAGTTGATGTACCGGTCCTTCACGTCCAGATTGCGCGCCTCCTCCATGGCCTCGGCCGCTTTTTGGAGATTGCCGTAGTGCTTCCATATTCTCGCCTTGGTCATCTGGTATTCCACAGCCTTGGGAGACAGCTTGATGGCCTTGTCGACGTTTTCCATAGCCTTGGCCAGGTCGCGGCTGAGGTGGTAGTTGTAGTGTTGGGCGAGGAAATAGTGGGAGGATGCGAGGAACTCGTTGTTATCGCCGTTGGCCTGGCCTTCGGCAGAACCGTTCTCAGTGGGGACCTTTCCGGAAACATAGCCTTCCACGAGATCTTGCACAGTGTCCCGTTTGCTCGTGTTCGTGTACAGGGATTTGATGTTCGCGAAGAGGGAGGGAACGCCCTTCTTCAGCATGCGCTGCAGGTAAGCGTCGGCTGCCTGCTTGAAGTCCTCCCCTTCCAGGAAGTCCAACGGAATCCGACGAGGGGCGTCTCCTCGTGGACACTTCTCCACCCACGAATCATACACGGCCTTCAGGGCCTTGTGGTCGTTCTCCGGAATACCCTTGGCCTTGATCAGAGCGTCGTAGTAAATCGAGTTCTCCGGGTTCCGGTCCAAGAGGGCCGTGTAGGCGGCCTCCGCCTCCGCGAGCTTTCCCAACCGCAGCGAATAGTCCGCTTTCATCTCCATCACTGCCAGCACGTCCGTGCATCTGTGTCCGACCTTCTCGAGGTGTTCCAGGGCCTTGTCCAGCTTTCCAGCCTCCGCCATGATCATATTCTTATATAATACAGCCTCGGAGTGCTCCATGTCCGAAATTGGCGGCGGCGATTTCAGGGTCTCTTCGTACGTCGTCAACACCTTCTCGGCTTCCTCCAGATCTCCCGATAGATGGTGTGCGATCGCGAGGGCGGTCCAGTTCTGTCGGAATCCGGGACGAGCCTGCAGCATGGCGGTGCGGCTCTGGATGTATCCCTGGTAGTCGCGCATCTGCATCTGGAGCAGCGCCAGATCCCGCTGGATGGCGGGAGAATCTGGCTCAATGCGCAGAGCGAACCGATAGGCCTTGATCGCCTCCTCGTAGTTCTTCTCAGCGCGGTACAGCAGGCCGTAGACGTGCCAACAGATATGCGACCTCATGTCGTTCTTCAGGGCTTCCTTGGCCAGCACGAATGCCTCCTCCTGTTGACCTTGTTGGCTGATGATCAGGGCCTTCATAGCCAGGGTGTCGCCATGTTTCGGGTTCTTCTTGAGGATCTGATCGGCAATCTTGACACCTGTTGGGGGTCGCGGGAAAAACAACGAGGTTAGCCGTCTTCGAGTCCGGGCCGTGTTACTTGTTACTCGGATCGGGGGAGGGGACAGATTTTCAGATCAGAACGCACCCTTCTTGTGTTGCTTGTTCTCATAATGGCGAACCACCTGGCGAAACAGGGAGGCGTCTTTGGAGCTCAATTGTTGCGGCATGGTGGGAGTGTCGTGCCAGGCTGGCGGCTGGTGCAGGTCGGAGAACTTGGCAAGTGACGACTTGTGCGGTCGACGAAGCTGGAAGTGCGCGGGGGGAAAGACGGAGCGATTAGACTAGTAGTCAGCGATAAGCTAGGGCCACCACCACCACCCACGACGGCTTTTGGTTCACCGGATCAGGTGCAACACACTCATATCTTGAGATTCTTGACAATTGGTGTTTTAGGAATCTTCAGTCTCGAGCCATCTGCCTCGAATTCCCTCGACCGGCCATGGTGTTCGGCACCAGACGAAATAATTATCCGAAACGAAAAATACGACGTTTGCGTGCATCGGCGTCCCTGGAAGCCCTAGATGCGACTTATGTCAATTGTACCACGCTGCACACCATTCTTGCTACCCTATTGAGCGCGAAGAACCGGAATCCCTCCAGAATGGGTTCAATCCCTCTGATCTATAGTGTTCTTTGTGCAACACCGAGAAGTCAGATCGGATCGGAGATCGTAACGCCATTGCGATGCAACTATTATACATGAATTATGTACACTCTGCTGTACCCCTGTTTCTAAGTCCATATCCAGATGGTCGCAAAAACGGGTAGTGCCAGGGGAACACTCCCTCTTGTTCCCACATGCGTAACGCAGTCGTAGCCTGCTGATCCATCAGCCGGCCGACATACTCGAAAGTCTCGAGTCATTCCGTCTACCGCTGCTGTCGTTCACGCCAACTGTTCAGGGCCTCCTCCCAGTTCTCGGAGGACCCTCCACATCGCTCTGTGACCAGACCCCACGTTCTAGCCCGGATGATCTCTTCCACACTGCGCTGGTTCCGGATCAAGTTCGCCAACGATTCGGTTCGTGCCTCACGGGGAAAGAATCGCGCTGAATACGGGTCTAATCGTTCATCGACCACGCGCTCACGGTCCCGGGCGGACTCGGTCTGCCGCAGAATAAGATCCGGGTCGTCCGGGTCGGGACTGGTCGCCACGCCGGCGCAATAATTGAGAACGTCGGAGCGAGTCTGCCAGGAGGGGAACAGCACTTTATCCTTGAAGGACTGACAGGCGGCGGGGTCTATGGATTTCCCGGCTTTGGAATCTATCTGGCGGATGGCCGTCGAGGAAGGGTCGAATCCTTCGCGCGAGGGCGTGAATAACGCATTGAGATTTTGAGTGATCGAGTCGTCGATCGTCGACCTTGAAATTCGGAGGAAATCTAGTAATACACAAATACAGATGGATGAGCCCCGCCGCTTGCCGCACGGACCGAAGATAAACTAAATTCCAGGACCTTGCCTACCTCGGAGGACTTTCTCGTTGAAACAGAACTGCGGACTCAGTTCGGGGGTCGCCGTCGACGTTGCGCGCGACATTTTCCAGCCTGGGGCCTGTCCACCTGACTGGGATGTAGTTGACCAGAACCACGCCAGATTGTAGATGTTAAAATGGAGATGAAGGAGCTAAGTATTCAGTGACAGAATATAGGCGAGAGTTCTCGTAGCTGGGGTTCTGGAGCTTCCGTCAGACGCTCTTGAGAGGCGAGTTGATCATCGTCATCAGCGGAAATGCTACGGAGATGGAGAGACGCGCTAAACCTGCTCGGGAAGCCTTAGTAAGACCTGCGAGCCCTATGGAGTAAATCACTTGGAAGTAAAGCTTTTTGTGACCTGGTTCTTTTTCTTTTCTCCACTAGTACTCGGAGGCGATGATGGTAGGGAGCTATGTAAGAAGCAATTCTAACGAAGGAGCGGTAGCTTTGGCTGTTTGGATACAATATCCAAGGGAATCGTAGGTATCTGCGAATGATGCAAGTGTTAGCAGTGATACCTAACAACGAACATTTGCACGTGTGGTTGACAACTGTATAAGCTTCTTGGCGATAATGTGATATATTTAGTTACTCTATAGAGCTTAGAGGGTTATGGAGAATTACTCGTTCAAGTGTGTAGGTTGTTGTATACACTGCCTAAAATGGTTAATGAATCACGGGACTTCGTGACCCGTGACGCGTTGCCCAGATCGCGTTCAACATCGAGTCAACTTATCAGAACACTTTCCTTCCATCTCGTGTATACCACCCATTCTTCATTCAATTCTACAGTCACAGCATCGCTAGTCTCATATCATCATGCCTGAGCTGGCGGAGGTCTTCCGCATTGTCCATTTCATCCGCCAGCACCTGGTTGGAAAGACCCTGACCAAGGTCTCCGCTCAAGAAGACCCCATCATCTATGGAAAGGTTGGGACCAGTGCGGCCGAGTTCCAGAAAGCGATGGAGGGCAAAAAGGTCGTTGGGGCCGGACAACAGGGCAAATATTTTTGGATCGCCATGTCGTCACCCCCCCATCCCGTCATGCATTTCGGCATGGCGGGCTGGCTGAAGATTCGCGACGCGGATACCTATTACTACCGTACAGACAAACCTGAAGATAAGGAGTGGCCGCCTAAATACTGGAAGTTTTTGCTCGAGACCGATGGGGAGCCCAAGACCGAAGCGGCCTTTGTTGACTTTCGCCGACTGGGCAGGATCCGACTCGTGGACTGCCCTGCGGACGACATTCGCAACCATACCCCGCTGAAAGAGAACGGCCCAGACCCGGTGGTCGATAAAGACATTGTGACAGAGACATGGCTGGCCAACAAGTTGAGGAGCAAGAAAGTTCCTATCAAGGCTCTCCTCTTAGACCAGGCTAATATCAGTGGCATTGGTAATTGGATGGGGTATGGCTTTTCACTTCTGTCGTTACAGATTCCAAGCCTCTTGCTAATCGTGACCAGAGACGAGATTCTTTACCATGCAAAGATACACCCCGAACAGTACAGCAATACACTGAATGACGATCAGATCAAGGAGCTAAATTCTGCTATTCATTACGTGTGTTCAACTTCGGTAGACTTGCTGGCAGATTCAGAAAAGTTCCCCGAACATTGGTTGTTCAAGCATAGGTGGAGCAAGGGAAAGAAGAATGTCGCATCTGCTCTCCCAAATGGAGACAAAATCACCTTCATCACGGTCGGGGGTCGGACCAGTGCTGTTGTTCCGAATGTGCAGAAGAAGACCGGTCCTGTTGCAAAGGATGTCAATGGCAATGATACGAATGGAACCGACAGTGGTACGAAGCGCAAGCGAGCTCCAGCACCAAAAGAAGAAAGCGATGAAGAGACGAAACCGAAGAAAGCCACAGGAAAGCCACAAGCAAAACCGGCTACGACACCAGTCAAAGAAGAGCATGACGAAGGAAAGGGTCGGCGACGATCCATGCGGAATAAGAAATAGGCAATTTTCCTCTTCAATATCCCAATGAAGCCCTACTGGGGGATCTTTCTGTGTTCATACTGTGTTTCGGTTTCTGGTTATGGTGTTGATTTTGTTTTATAAGATGGCTCAATATCTAAGATCCATTTGCATATGGCGAGGAACATTCGTGTGATCCATTCACCTATGAGGCCCAAACATTAGGATCATCGTGCCCCGTTGGACAACCCGAGAACTGTTTGACTTGCTTCGCGGATCTATAAACTTGATCTCTGACACAACTGTTCAACCTGATGTGTTGACACAGTAGAGTCATTGGAGAATGGTCAAGATATGCGCCCAGGCCAATTGTTCATTTCCATTTGACTGACAGGAGTGTCTTCATGGATTTCCCGAATATTCTGTGACATACTCCAAGGTTCCATCCCCGCTGCATGCTTATGTCAAATGAAACAGCATCAAGAGATCGCCGGATAGATGATTTGTCATGTCATTCGCCGATTCGCTCGTATTCTTGACGCCTCGTATAAAACAAACCTTACGATATAGAATGACTCAACTCTTCTCTCTCCTTGCAACTCCCCATCCCATACCGTCAAGATGAAAGTAGCAGTCGCAGGAGGAACCGGCACCATCGGAGCATCGATTGTCTCGGCCCTTGCGTCGAGAAACCACACTCCCATTATCCTGTCCCGCAAGAACGACCAACACAGCGATGGAACAACCTCAACATCCCCCGCAGGTGTATTAATTCGCTACGTGGACTATGCCTCCAAAGACTCCCTTGTTCGCGCTCTCCAAGGCGTCTCGGCTGCAATCAGCGCCTTGCTGATTCCGGGTCCCGAGTTCGTCCCGTATCAAATCAATCTCCTTCATGCCGCTGAAGAGGCCGGATGTGCGCGTTTCGCGCCATCGGAGTTCGCCCTGTCTCTCGCAGCGCACCATGAGGTAGACTTGGACCACGCCAAGATCGTCGTATGGGACGAGGTCAAGGCGGCTATGGCGAGAAAGACGATCGACGCCGCCTTATTCCCGTGTGGAATGTTTATGAACTATCTGGGCATCGGCGCTCCACGCGCGTCGGAAGCGTTGGCTGGGTTCAGCGAGGGCCCGCTCATGTTCCATTTGAACGATCCGCAAGGCCCGTGGGTGGAAGTGCCGGTCCAGCAGGACGGTTCTTTCCCGACTCTCACTATGACGGATATCCGCGATGTTGGTCGGTTTGTGGTTGCTGCGTTGGAGATGGAGGAGCCGTGGGGTGGCAGAGAGTTGGGAATGGCAGGAGACGTCATTGGACTTGGAGAGGTGATCGAGCTGTGCGAGCGGTACGTGGGAAAGAAGATTGAAATCAGAACATTCACACAAGCTCAGTTGGATGAGCGGCTGCGTGGATTCGACCCCAGTGACATTCTTGCCAGACTCGACTGTCAGTATACTATGCTTTGTGGCCGTGGCGGCTCTGTGGTCAAGCCAGTGTTGAACGCATTGTGCCCGCATGTTCATCCGACCAGCGTGAAGGATTTCCTGGAAAAGTACTGGGCTTGATTGCAGACTATGAAGTAGTCAGTTGTTTTGATATCAGATGATCTGTAGTTCTGATACACCCTGTGCATAAACCAACTATGCAAAAAAAGTCTGCACAGCGTATGTCGATCACTTCTCGCCTAACTGGACCGGGAGATCCATCTACTCCAGAATAACTACTCTCTATCGATCAGGGTCCAATCGTCATCTCGGGGAATCAAACCCAAAATCCTCTTCGATAGTCTATCGTTACTCCATGTCCTCGATGTCCTCTGTCGAGAAGAAGCGCCTTCGAGACCGACGGGCGCAGCAAGCCCTCCGCGACAAGAAGTTGCGCCACGTAGCCAGACTGGAGCAGCAGGTGGCGTATTGCGAACAATACCACAGCGGTCACAAAGTAGACGAGCTCCTGCGAGAAGTTCAAGCGCTTCGGGCAGAGAACGCAGTCCTTCGCAGTCGCCAGGAACGACTCAAATGCCTCGTGCGATCCTGGGACATAGACGCAACAGACACCAACTGGAACGACGCAACAGCAGATCAAGAATACGCAACGAACCTACACACTCATGAAGAGATAATACCAGCATGCACTGTCGACCCAGTCACCCTCGAAGCAGTCGGATCAAGCAACTACACTGATCCGTTCAGCCGTCCGGCAGGACCCGCGTTTACGCCACTCCCGCTACTCGACAACGACACAGAGCCCTGTCTGTCATGGAGTCTCCTGCCGTTGAACGACGATGACTTTTCCACGCCGTGGAGTGTGTCGTGCGAGTGGTTTGCGCGCCCAGAACTAATCGCGCAGTCCCCAGACACACCTGCGTCCCCCCTGGACCTCCTGTACGGCTCCAAGATCAATCCGCTGGCGAATATGATATGCAATACACTACAGAGGTTCTCGTTTCGGGAAGCAGAGCGACTCGCCCTGGGCTGGAACAATTACCACATTGCCAAGTGGCTCGTCTCCCCCAATCCGGTGACGTACTCCAAGATCTCGGAGTTCATGAAGCCGGTCTGGGGCCAGGTCCAGATGGTGCATCCCATGTGCTTGGATCTGATTACATGGCCCAAAGTGCGGATATATCTGATTCGATGCTGGCAGCTGTATAGAGAGCACAAAGATGATATCTTCCGGATGTTAGCGAGCTGCGTCAGGTTGCGATGGCCCACGGAGGAGTGCATTCTCGAACGGAATGAAGATAATGAACTTTGTTTGAAGCAGAGTTTCTACGAAACATTCATGGATGAGAAATGCTGGGCTCTGACGTCGGAATTTATCAAGTGCTACCCGGAAGTGGTTGCAGGGGCAAATATGCAATCTCTCGTTGACGAGATGTGCTGAGGCTTGTATTGGCTCACGTACATGCTTGTTTCCTATGTCTCTGCCAGCCCCCCATAAGAATAACCAACTGATGGCACGGCATCTCCGTCCTCATACGAGATCACCCGTCTCCCGGACCTTGGCCGGGATATCTGACATTTCAGTGGGATTGTAGTTGACAACCGTACCCCTAATGCAGCCGGACCATGTATTAGAGAGGCACAACTTTCATTAATTTCACAGTATATGGCATTGACCCCAGTTTCCGGTGAGGTAATTGATCGTCATCCAGTTACGGAGCAAACAAGTCTATGTGCCATTAATGCCCAGAATGCAGTGTCGCAGAGACCGGACCAATTACCCAGCAGAAGCGATGTTTGTGGCTTATACCCCGTCTATTATTTCCGGGATTCGAATGAGAATCCAGGCAGCAGCTGCAGAGACAGATGAATCGCTGCCCCCACAATATTTGCACACTTACATGGGTGTAGAGAACGGGAGATCGTCGTTCTCGTCACGGACTATTGGGTTCTGACATGCGTCTGGTGGAGACGCTGAATCAATCCTCGGAGATGCTGTCTAACTACTCCGTATACGATGCTGTCTATATAATGCACACCAGACCGTACCTTATGTCAAGTGTCTATCTTGACAACAGAGATCCTCCGGTTAATACGAGGACACTTATGACCACAATGCTCGATACGGTGACAGAACTACCCAGATGGGACCTCATCAGTCTGATCGGTCTTTCCGTTATATCCACTTTGTTTTTTCTTCTCTCCCCATTCCAAAGATCTCCATTCCCCTTGATCAATGGGAAAGGAACCCTGGAGTTGAGTTCGTCCAACGCAAAGAAACGTTTTCTTGCCGATGCTGGTAACCTTATCAAGATCGGCCTGAGCAAGGTACCTTTCACAATCTAACGAAAGGAATCAAACAGATGTTCTGATCAGTTGATTTCGCTAGGCTAGCGTTATTCGCCTGGTCTCAGACAACGACGTCAAGACTGTGCTCCATCCGAAATACGTCAACGATATTCGAAGCCATCCTGCGCTGAGCTTCGGCACTGCCATCCAGAAGGAATTCCATGCCGATGCCGGTATCCATGGGTTTGAACCCTTCAAACAAGGCTCGACTGCTGGCGAAATCTTTCAATATGCTGTCCGGACCAAGTTGACTCAAAGTCTCGGTGAGTTGCTTGTTATCGTCTATTCACATTTAGCCCTATGATGCCCTTGTCATGTCCACTTCATTGAACTTCTGCCCACCTGCTGATCTTCCAGGCAATGTTACCGAGCCTCTCTCGTCAGAGACGGCCCTCACACTAGACACTTCCTGGACAAGCAACACCGGTGAGGGCTTACCATTTCAAAACCCCCAACAGCCCAAACTGATTCTGGATAGAGTGGCATGAGGTTGATCTGCGAGCGTCCATCCTTGGCATAGTCGCTCAGCTCTCGTCACGAGTATTTCTGGGCGACCAGATCTGCCGGAATCCCGACTGGCTCCGTATTACGGTCAACTATACGGTCGACTCCTTTATTGCTGCTCAGGATCTCCGTCTCTGGCCCAAGCCCCTGCGTCCACTCGTAGCTAACTTTTTGCCTTCCTGCCGGAAGATCCGAAGTGAGCTTCGGGAAGCCACCGAAATCATCACACCGGTTCTTGAGGAGCGCCGGAAATCCAAGGAGACACAAGTTAGAGAAGGTCGGACCCCGGAGCGTTATGTCGACGCCATGCAGTGGATGGAGGAGTCCGCTGAAGGTCGCCCCTACGACCCTGCGGTGGCGCAACTCTCCTTTTCGCTTGCGGCTATCCATACCACGTCCGATATGCTCACTCAGGCCCTCCTCGATCTCTGCGGCAAGGATGATCTCATCAAGGAGCTCCGTGAAGAGATCGTAACGGTCATCCAAGGGGAGGGCTGGAAGAAGACCACCTTGTACAAGTTAAAGCTTATGGACAGTGTGTTGAAGGAGAGCCAGCGATTGAAGCCCGTAAGCATCGGTGAGCTCTCTCCACGGAAACGATCTATATCAGAAGGACGGGACTAACTCATTTCCGGGGGCCAGCTTCCATGAGACGTCTCGCATCGGAGGATGTGAAACTCTCCGACGGAACTATCATCCCAAAGGGGTCGAGTCTCTTCGTCTCTAGTGACAACATGTGGGACCCTAGCGTATATCCTGATCCTGAGAAATTCGACCCCTATCGGTTCCTCAGGCTGCGCGAGATCCCAGGCCATGAAACCTCAGCTCAGCTGGTGTCGCCATCTCCGGAACACATGGGCTTTGGATTCGGGAAGCATGCCTGTCCCGGACGGTTCTTTGCGGTCAACGAGATCAAAATAGCCCTGTGCCATATTTTGTTGAAATATGACATTCGCTTGCCGGAGGGTTATACGCCGGCAAAACGAAGAATGGGAATCTCGTTGGACGTGGACCCATTGGCGAGGCTCTTGGTGAAGCGTCGACAGGAGGAGATTTTGCTCTAGATACTGCCTTTCTGAACTCGCTGTTCAGAACTTCGGTCGATCATTACTACATAGTCATACATGTATGGGGAACCATTCTTCATCTGGTCCCGCCTAAATACTCACTTTCTCTTCCTGCATGCCTCCATGGTACCTTCTCTCCATCTCCACAAAGCAGCGAGCGTTGCCGACGGCCCCAAAAGCACCGATCCGAGAAGCACCAAGATGAGAGCTGTAGGAAGCGGCGTTTCCATGATGTTTACGCGGTGCAAGTCCCATAACACGAAGTAACACCACGCTAGAATTGCAAGGCCGAGGCATCCGGCCTCTGCAGCCGTGGGATTCAACAAATTCCAGAACTCTCCAGCCTTGAATAGTGACCAAAGAGAACTGGCAAAGGCTAGATGAGCGGCACTCGCAAGATAGAGCAGGAGAGTAAAAAACCGTGACAGGTATGCTATGTCTTGGCTGCCGCATACTAATTCCACAGGTGGGATTCCCGGTTGGTTCTTCTCATGAACCCATCGACCTAAGCGAAGGACAAGCGGCATGATCAGATGGGCCCCTGATAGGGTTGACCAAGTCGTCGCTGGTAGTCGCTGACCGTCACTATATCTGATCCATGCCATGGTGTGCATGAACGGCAAAGCGTACGCTGTCACAAAGCAGATTGGAAGAGACTTTGCAATCCAGACATTGATAACTCTCGGAGAGGGATAGTAAAAGCTTCTATCCCGTTACATAAATGTGGATTGCAAAGTACATCGGTATGATGATCGCACGACCGAAAACGATAGAGGCCAATGCAAAGGGGATTGCACTAATTTCTCAGAATCAGCACCAACAGATTAGTAAAAGGAAGAGATAGATATACCTGCACAGAGGTGAGAACAGCAGGCCCAACCGGTAAGATTCCACAACCCATAGAGAGTTCGTTATGACAACCATCATGGACGTGTAGGCTTCCAAGGATACAAGAGTCCCGGAATTTACCATTTGAGAGAAATTGGAAGACCGGGCGAGCACAAAGCTTGAAAAAGAGGTAATCAACATTGACGTGGCCCAGCATCGAGTTGCCAACGTTGATCGTTTCCCCGCGTTGACTTGAACCTGTGAGACCGGCGCAACTCTACCCTTGCTTCCCTCCAGAGGCATGTACCGCAGGATATGACTGGGAGTAACGCTCGGCGCCATCCTCGCGAGAATTACTTCTGGACCCAGCTTGCTCAGAACAAAGAAATTCAGAAATTTCAGGAAAGGAGTGTCCAACGCTTCGAGGCGCTGCACCATTTGAGCCGCCTGCATGAGAGACCTTGTCCTGGATCCCCGTTCGGTCTGTAACTTTGAAAACAGACGCTGGATAGTCGTATCGTCGAGAGGATTTCCTCTGTCCAGAGCTTCTTTTAAGAGGTCTGCAAGCATTGCAGCTGATTCAATGGCCGAGTTCCCTCCATGTCCCGTAAGCGGATTCATCTGGCATGTAGTTAGCACTTACATCAGGGCCATGTCCTGGAGTAGAACCACTCACCTTGTGGAAAGCATCACCAATCAATACAGCCCTTTTGTAAAAGCACCTATCCAGGACGAACTCCTCCACTGGCACCAGGACTGCATTTACGCGGAGCTTGTAGAGGTCTCCAAGAGTGAGCCCCGGAAGAAGGATATCACCGGCGTATTTTTCTACGACATCCTTCGTGTTTTCCGCACTGTATCTGGGTATCGAGTGATGGATGGTCACCTCGGGGTTCTTGATAAATAGGAACCAGTAGAGCTTTCCTCCAAGCCCCGACTGGTATAGGTATGATCGACCTTCCTGGAATGTTTTGAACCCATGCTCATCCGGAATGCCATCTGGGCGCTGGGAAATCCCAAACAAGCATTTGTAAGTGCACGTAATGCCTGTAGTATAACAGCAGTGTCAGGAGAGACCAGGTATCTCAATCATCAGACCATGTACTTACTTTTCCTCAATTGGTCCGTAGGATAGCTCGGATCCTTCACGTCAGCGATCCTCCACATCTCTCGAATCCGGCTACGGACACCATCGGCGCCTACCACGATGTCCCCGTGGTAGACGGCCCTGGATCTGGTCGTGACAAATGCACTCCCATCCAGAGTCTCCACTTTGAAGACTTCGTTGGAGGTGCAGATCCTCGACTTGTCGCCGATGCTATCATAGAGCGTCTGTAGGAGCGCCTGGCGATCCAAGAAAAACATCCGATATCCGAACCTGTCAAGAGAACCTGTCAGAGTATCTTCTCAACTGGGATCGGTAAACCAAGCACCTACAATTCCTCAAATAAATCGCCGGCGGTGGGCTGGTCGCTCAGGAGCCGAGCCCCCGGAGCAAAGGTCTTGAGTTTGTTCAATGGCATCCCCAATGATGCCAGCTTCTCGTATATGCCTAGCTGTTCCATGATGCGCAAGCCGTGTGCTTGAAGTCCGATTCCAGCTCCGAGTGGGGGCGCAATGGTGTCGTGTTTTTCAAGTAGCATGTAGTCGATATTATACCTCTCAAGGATTAGGGCCAGTGTTAAGCCCGCCACACTGCCTCCGACTATGAGGACTTTGAAGGAAGACATGTTGGCTGCGACGAGGATGATGCTAAGCTTTGAAGGGTGGTGCTCTGTTGTTCATCAAAAAGTGACTTCTGGCCGGCGTGAGGGCTGCATTTATGTGCCCGAATAGGGGTGTTTCACAGTTCCTCTTTTCGGAAGACTCGACGGGCCTGCCTGGCCGTCCCGCGGATCGAAAAGTCTATGGAGAGCACTAATAAATCGATTACAGATTAGTCAGACTAGCACCTTAGTTAGATTATTTTAATATTGTGAGGCTATTCGCGTCGCGTGCTATATCGACCTTTCTAAATCAATCTCGCAGGCGTTGGTGACTAAAGAGAGGTTTTATATTCATGCATGTTCTCACGGTTGTTTTTCTTTACCCATCTAATCCATCACACCGTGGAACCAGAAGCGTTTAGCTTAGCAACGGGTGTGATTACACTGCAGTCAATGTCATATGCAGTATAGCGGACAAACATACGTATTGGGAACAAGGATCTAAGATGAGGCCATAGTGTCAAACCACGTCCACAACAATATACTATCTTACACAAGACAGTGGCGTAATAGCCATCTTGATTGACACGTACCTAGGTGGAAAGGGACACGCTGATATTCTACAATCTATGGTAGATATGCATCATGCGGGACTAATCTTCAAAACTTCAAACCGCCGCCAAACAACTTCATATATCATAATAGCCACAGGGTATATATAGCCAAAACACAGTGACAAGGAAAATAATTACCAGTTCGTTCCCTCTCGCAACGCAGCTTGGGCTGTAGCATTGACTCCCTCTTGAGGTTTTCCAACATCACTTTCAACCTCGCGGAACGTCGTATAAGCCAGTTTCGAGAGCGGCACGCCCATCAAGTCAGACCAATAGTGCAGGATTTGATGGATCCCGGCTTCCCTTTCCAGGATCGAAAAGTGTTTTGACGAAGCTTCCGTCTCATCCTCGGAGTCTCCAGCAGAGAAGTACGCTTCATCCACCCGAGCAAGCCAGGCCCGCTGCTCATGTGGCGATGGCTTTGATGCAGCTCCATTTGTATCAGCCGGAGTGCCAGTTTGTGCGGTCAAGTTAGCCTCTCTGGCATCCTCAATCCGAATCTGGCCCCCTCCGTTGGTGCAGCCGCCAGGGCAAGCCATAACCTCCACATAAGCATAGTCAAACTTTGTTTTTGCTGCTGCCTTTCTTGAAGACAACTGCATTCGGGCCTTTCCTCCCAGTGCATCATTTCGCCTCGCACCTGAAAGCTTCGACATCTCTGGTGGTTTCAACTTATTCACGAGGTTTTGAATGTTGCGAAAGCCATAGTAGCGTGCAGCTTCAATGATGCTTCCATTTTCAGGCGACACCAATTTGTATACGACCACATCCGCATTGCGCCCGCGTTCTGCAACAATCTCACTCCCAGGGTTCCGCGCTTGGAATGAAGTCAGCACATGGTGGAGGTAGCCGCCGGATGTGCCTGTCATCATGGACTGGGCCGACAAAGAACGTTTAGAGAAGAGGTAGTCGTCGAGGGCCTTGTCCGGGAACGAGGGAAACGACACGGAACTGGACTTGGAGAGAATGCTTGGAAGGCTAATACCCCGGGCCGAGGCTAGAGTTAGAAGTTCACGAGTCGTGATCACACAGTCAACATCGCGGACTGGTGTCTGGGGTTGGGAGAACATTTGGCCGTCAGCCGGATTCCAGGTGACGTCTGTAAGTTCCTCACGGCTCGCTTCAAGTTTTTTGTCGAAACACGGCATGACTGCCAGATGCCATATACGGGAAACGGGCACCCCAAGGGTCTTGCTCAGAGTAGACTTTAAGAGAGTCCCTGCTAGCGCCTGGGGCGATTTAAGCTTCGACAGGTGAGGGAGGATAAAAGGATGCGTCTTCTCAGCATAACAAACCCACCCAGGGCAGGCAGAGGACACGATTGGCTTTTTGGGAAGAGATGGATCCTTGGCTTCTGAGGCCAAAGTATCGCTGACTTCATCTGCGGTGAGGACCAGAACCGCTTCGCGCATTATATTGGTGTCGATGACCCAGGTAAAGCCGCTGCCATGCTTTCCACCCGCTCGTAGGCCATGGGGACCGCTGAGAAGTTGGTGGATGATGGAAGTGGCTTCTTTCTCAGACACACCATAGGTAGCCGCCAGACTTGCCCTCACTTGAGGACTGACACTTGCGACAAATATCCGACCTTCATCATCTTGTGCGCTTCTGGGATCAAGAGACGTTCCCTGTTCGTTTTGTATCAACCGTAACTCGGGGTGTGCATCGAGAGTGTTGAGGACCTCGGTATGCGATTGCAACGAAATGAGGACGGCTTCAGCGGAAGTGACACATCCGGAGCATGCGAGGCAGTCGGTCAAGGATATCTGCGCGGGAGTAGGATTCTCAGCTTGAACCTTGTCTTCTGTCGTTACTTCGTATGGATTCTGCGGAACAAGCAGTCAGTCTGTAGTCCGAAGTGCTATATGGCAAGATTGATGGCGATGAATCTAACGTACGTCCGATTTCTGTGGCTGCTTCGAAGGAAGAGACTCTATTGGTTTGATACACGCGACACCGGGTGAAATAAAGTCATTAAGGTCGTCGGCGGAGAGGATCGCGCTCATGGTGGCGGGAACCCCGCGGGACAATTCTGAACACTGATAACGCCGCTGGAAAGATGGAGGCGCTCGCTGGGTCTTCTCAAGTCTCTACACTAGACGCCTGATAGTAGACACGCAATGTAAGAGAAGAAAAGCCAAAGGTAGAGCGAGGTGAATGAAAAGGGGAGCTGGGGTTGAAAAGATAAATGTTGGAGATAGTTCATGGTTTGTCATACTTGGTGGCGAGCCCGACGAATCTGGTTCCGCGGATTACGAGATTGGCCAGGCACCCCCCGCGATCGGCGCCGATAAGCTCACCGCCTGAAATTCTGCCAGTCCATTTTGGGCCTGCAGGAGATGAGAAAGGCGCAGTGAGTCAAAAGTGATTCTATTGTGACAGTTCTACTGAGGCTACCAATTTACAAGGCTGATCGCTATGAGGCTGTGTCAACGCTAGTGGTAGCGGTTCTAGGCTGCGGGTGTGCCTGGGTGACTCAAGCTGCCTGAATACGAGATCATCAACAATTTAAATAGTGTGACTTGCAAACCTATCTGGAGTCAAACATCGTTTAGAATATACCCTGAGTAATTTTCAGGGTCCTTTTCAAATATATCCTCTACAGTGCCGACGAACCAATATCGGGACAAGTGACCAACATGTCGCAGAGACTCTCTCCGTCGAACCGACGCGAACTCCTGAGATCCGTCGCAGAAGAAACAAAGACGTTGCTCCCGAATATCCTTGCGTTGAGACCACAAGATCCTCCGACTGGCATCTATCTGCAACGGGAAAGGATTCGGGCCCTTGGTTCAAGGTACAACCCGAACCTAAGCGCCCAGGTCGAAGTCGTTAATGCGGATACTTTCGACACTGCTATCCGACTCGCAAATTCTCCCGGAACACCAAATGGGACTGATGCCAAGAAAGTCTGTGTTTTAAATATGGCCAGCGAGAAACATGCTGGCGGAGGTTGGCTTCGAGGCGCTCTAGCCCAGGAAGAAGAGCTCTGCTATCGCAGCAGTCTCAGTTTCACTCTCAAGAGGCGGTTCTATCCCATCCGTGACAATGATGCCCTTTATTCTCCGAACGTGGTGATTTTCCGTGAGGGTTTTACCAATGGTCACCGACTCATGGATCTACAACGGCCGGAGTTACTCCCCGCTGTCAGTGTCATCAGTATCGCGGCCCTGCGGAGGCCATCTGTCAACCATAGGCTATCTCCACCCGCCTATGTGCGTCCCGCCGATCGGGAAACGATGAAGGACAAGATGCGTTCGATCCTTCGTATCGCAGCCTTTAATAAGCACCGAAAATTGGTTTTAGGTGCTCTTGGATGTGGTGCATTTGCGAACCCCAAGGAAGAGGTCGCCAATTGCTGGGCAGCGGTCCTGCGGGAACCGGAATTTCAAGGATGGTGGGAAAACATCGTGTTTGCAGTTCTGGATAATACAGCCCATCTTACCAATAGTGATGGGAACTTTGATACGTTCCACAGCACCCTGCATGGTTTGAGGCTTTGAATCATAGTGATACCCTGCCTAAGTTAATGAATCCACCATTGGCATCTACATTACCACTGCGATGCCTCGAATGCCGATTCGACTGGACTTTACTAAGACCTGTAGTATTCCATATCAATTGAAAAAAGTAAAGCAAGCATTTTTAGCAACGTTTAACAGGAGAGCAAGAAAGAAACCATCGTAAATGGAAGAATCTGGCAGGTGAAACTCAAGCTCTAGATCCAAGCAATCTGATTGGACCAGAATTGGGAGGACTGAGATGCTGACTCATCCATTCAAAAGTGCCGCAAAAAGACGGATGGATCCAGAAGCGCTGAGAACTTCTCTTTCCCGTTGCCCCAAATCCTACGACGACCCTTTTACGCCCTTGAATAAATAATCAGGGTACTCGGCAAGCGATACGCCCGTCCTCGTCAAACCCACCTGAACATACGCCTCCCTCGAACACACAAGCAAACGAACCATGTCTCGCGAAGCCTACCAGGTCCCCTCGCTCGGCGGCCAGAACGCCTTCAGTGCAGATAACATGGGAGCAAACTCTATGGAGGGTCCCGCGGTCGCCTATCTCTGCGGCGAATGCAATGCGCGGGTCTCGCTGAAGAGAGGCGATCAGATCCGATGCAAGGAATGTGGGCATCGTGTGCTGTACAAGGAGAGAACGAAGCGGTGAGTTTCACCTCTTTTTCCAGCCTGATTTCACTGTCGCTCTGCGTATTGTCTTTGCTTTTTCTCCGCTTTTCAGCTATGCCGCTACTCATGCACATGTGTGAAATTTTCGCTGACCCCGCCCAGGATGGTCCAGTTCGAGGCGCGATGAGCAGTAGCAGCGCCCGTAGGTGAAACGGGGTCTGCTCTGCGGCGATAATCGAGACTTGCTTTTTACGAATTCGGGATATGCATTCTGCGGCGCTTTGGAGTTGGGTAATATTTACGAGGTCCAATACATGTGAACTATTTTGTCTGGTCTATGAGATGGTACGGTTCGTGTGTACTATCTGAGAGATCGCAGTCCATGTGGCGATGTGGAACTACAAAGCGAAATGAATAGTATCCTTGCTGAATTCCATGGCGGATTCGTTCGTCTCTCAATTCGCAAGTCCTATTTTGTTATTTCCATCGTCAAACCCGAAAGTTCAGAAAGTCCCCAAGTAATATCATGCCATCCAGTGGGTAGAACGAAATAGCCGTCATTTGGCTGCGTGAAGGAGAAGGAAGACTGAGAGAAGGAATAAACCAGAAGATAAAACCAAAAATGAACAAGAAAAACCATTCATTTCGCCATACACATGGGGAGCTATTGAAGCTTATTGCTCACTTCAATAAACTTTTCTAGACAACCCAGCGATGCACCGCTCTCAATGCACCACCGTGCCCGTCGGACACCCTCCTTCCAGCGACCACCGCCGGGGCCACGCTCAGTGATGACCTTTCCGTCATCTCCAGGGCCCATATTGCTGGTATCGGATTCACAAACCCCGGAAATGACCAGGAGTGCCGCTACGTTCATAAGGACAAAGGTCAGGATGGGATCGTCGCGCGGCAATTCGTTGCGCAAGATACTCATGAGCTTTTCGGCGTTTTCATTCGGCATCTTTCGGCCGTGGACAGCAGACAGTGGATGTGACTGAAGCCCAAAGTCGGCAGGCACGAGTTGGAAGGCTTCTAATCTGGCAACAGTCCGGGATGGGCCCTCCTCGTCGCTGGTATCGTCACCTTCCCCTTTCGAGCCCGTATATCCCGGGTTAGGGAACTCCGACAGCCTCCAGCAGTTGGTCGGTCCCGCACAGCTGATCTCATCCAGGTCCTCTGCGCCGCAGACAATGAGCGCCTTCTTGCACCCGTTCTGCTTCAATGCTTCAGCGAAGACAGGGCCGAGGCTCTGGTAAGCAACTCCGACCACGCGGGCCTCCAGCGCAGCATCGATGGGGTTCGCAAGCGGTCCCATCAGGTTGAAGATGGTCCGTAAGCCGAGTGCACGACGGACGGGGCTGGCGTATGCCATTCCAGGGTGGAAGTTGGGGGCAAACAAGAATGCATAATTCGTGGCTCCGTATACCTCTGTCAGGTTGTCGGCGGAGATGGCGTCAAGGTTCGGAGGAATGGGAGCAATGGCGTTGAGTACGTCGGCAGAGCCAGACATGGATGTTTGCGCCCGGTTACCATGCTTGGCCATCATGAGGAGCGGCGAGGCGATGATTGATGAAGTCGTCGAGATATTGAAGGTCGAGTGCGAGTCCCCTCCTGTTCCAACGATGTCACACTACCGTAGTTAGCATGAAGCTCCTCAGATCATTGAAATGGTCGAAACTCACAAGGCCACCATTGTACTTCCCCTCCTTCTTTGCCCGGGCTTGAAGGGTCTTTTTCAAGACACGAAGGTCGGGTTTGAGAGCTGCATCACGCATACGCTGAGAGCATTGGGCAATAACCTGGGGATCTTTGTCTCTCGCGGTGGAATGCAACAGAGTCAAGAGAGCGGCGGTTTGGACGGGCGATAGGCGATCCTCGAAAATCAACGCAAACGCAGCGGCGATGTCGGCGGCATCCACGGGAAGACTCTCCGCGGGGTATGCAAGTCGCTGGAGGAGGGGGGAGATAGAGACCTGGTTGGGTTTCACCTCGAAGTCCTGGACTGTCATTTTGTGAGGAGCGGAAGGCATGGCTCCGAAAGGGCTCCCGAGGGGACTCCCAGGCTCTCTTAAACGTTCAGAGAGTGCGTGCGAGGCCAGTCGTATGCTTGACTCACAGCCATGGCTGCATATTGCTGCGTTGGTGCCGCAGTGTAAGCGGCAGAATCTTCACCGCCCTGAATGCGAATTTCCCATTCATCGCAAATCTCTCATTTCTCTCTTCGGGCACAAACACGCTTACTTCTGCTCATCACTCCTCAGCCCCGAGGGTCGATTCCCATTCCTGTTGGCGCGGCCTATATTTTGGAATCCTCCGTACCCGTTTTTTCTTTTCTTTCCGTGTCACCCCTCTCTCAGCCAGCACAATGCCTCCCCGGATGCGCTTGACCAGTGGCCGCATCCCCCAGCCGTTCCGACGACAGACGCTTCTTGGCCAGCATGATTTAGCCATTCTCGCTCGGTGTGCAAGCTCTGCCGCCGCATCTGCAACCACTCCCGCGCCTTCCATCGAGCAGATGACCAAGTCCGTTCCCCCAATTGCCCGATTCCCTCCCTCTCAGCCGCCTTCGCATCGCAATCCCGAATACCGACGTTCCCAGCTACTGCGCCAGTACACCTCGCTCATCCGCACCACCCCTCTCATGGTCTTCTTCCAACATGACAACCTCCAGTCTGTGGAGTGGGCCGCCATCCGACGAGAGCTGAGCAAGGCGATGCAAAAAGTTGACGAGCAGATCGCCGCGGAGGGCCGAACCGCACCACCACTCGCCCCCCATGTCAAGGTCCAAATCATCCAGACGAGCATTTTCGAAGTTGCCTTGCGCATTGTCGAATTCTTCCGCCCCAACTCCTCCACCGTTACCAGCGGTCAGTCTCCCTCCGCCGTCGACCCGATCACGCAATCTTCCGCCGAGATCCCCCTCTCGGGCTCCAGGGACGACCCGTCTCTCGCCCATGACCTCTCCCGCACAGCCCACCAGGCTGTCCGCCACATGAAGGGCAAACACGAACTCTCACCGCTCCTCGTCGGCCCCATCGCCGTCCTCTCCATCCCTGGGGTGTCCCCAGAGCACCTGAAAGCTGCTCTGACGGTTCTGGCCCCCAAGGCCGCTGGGTTCCCTTCGCCTACCCGGAAAGCCAACCCGGGCTGGCACGAGCTGCCCGTCCAGAACGGTTTGAACAAGCTGGCACTGCTGGCTGCCCGGGTCGACGGTAAGGTCTTCGACGTCGACCAGACTAAGTGGGTGGGCAGCATCCAGGGCGGCATGGATGGTCTCCGCTCCCAGCTTGTCATGGCATTGCAGAGCATGGGATCCAGCGTTACGAATGCCTTGGAGGGCGCGGGTAAGAGCCTGTACTTTACGCTCGAGAGCAGAAAGAATGTTCTGGAAGAAGAGCAGAAGGGCCCCGAGGCCGAGAAGAGTGAATCGTCCTGAGATCGCACGATATCCTGATTTTCATGTATAATATCGATGTATACTTGTACTTTCCCCGTTCGCCTTTCATTTCCAGGGTCATGGTTTTTTCTAGCATATGAAGTTTTGCTTGTACAGGAGCTAAAATAGAGAATCCAAATTTCATGCATAAACGCGTGCCCGGCTGGTCAATGTGACAGGCTGCATATAAAATGGACGAGGCCATATGTTTTGCAAGGTATGTACATTCGTCTGGCTAGTCCAAAAAATCATAACATGATATCAACATACAATCCAGGGAGCGGTAGCCCCCTTTTATACACATCCAAACCCGATATATACATCTAGTTGTCCTGGTTATGTTGCTGCTGTCTCAACATCAGCCGAGCATTCATCCCCACAATGCACCGCACAAGATCCCAGTCCCCCTCCAGACCAACCCAATCGGTGACAAGAATACCGGTGGACCAGTCCCCATCCTTGTCGCCGTGTCTGCGGCAGAGATAGTCGACAATAGCCGGGTTCACCTTGGCGGCGATCTTCTCGGGCCAGGTGCCCAGCTTCCAGAAGTTGCTCGCACTGAGGAAATTGATGTAGAAGGGGTGGGCACTGGTCGCTTTGGGGCCCGGGAGCACACCGAACGGGTAGCAGGTCTCGCTGGCCCGGGAACAATGCTCGGTAATGTACTGGATCTTCTGTCCAATGTTCTGCGTCTCCATCACCTCATAGAAATCCTGAATGCACACCTGGCCGCTGGGGCAGCTGGCATGCGCGCAGTTGTCGGCCCATCCGGTGGCGTTGATGCCCCAGCCCTTGCCTTCGTGGACATCCTTCAGATGCTCCAGGATGTCGAAGCGGCGCATGAGCACGACCTTGCCGCGCACCTCGCCCAGCGTGGGGATCTTGGGGTTCGTGTACCACCGGCTATCCGGGCGGGCGTAGTGATCGTGGATGATGCGGCTCAGCTGCTGGTCGGTGTGGGTGCCGGGGCCTTCGCGCTTCAGCGAGATGACGATGGTCTCGGTGGGGTTGTGCTCGAGGAAGTCGTTCACCTCGTGCATCAGATCGCGGAAGTACTTGTTGCCGGTCAGCGAGATGGGGAACGCGCTGTGGACGAGGAGCAGCTCGTCCTTGGCCGGGTCGTCGGGGTACTGCGGCTGCACGCGGATGTCGAAGAAGCGGACGCCGTTCCGCAGCTGCTCGCGCGGACTGACGGCCTGGCAGCGGACCGAGGGCGGGGCGACATGGCAGGTGGGCGAGTTGTGCGTGCCCGGGATGGACAGGGACGACAGCAGAGTATCATCCTTCAACTCGCGCATCCATGCATTCATATTGGCCGACGAAAAGACGGTCAGGTGGGCTGCAGGCGTGACATACACTCCTGTAAGGCGGAAGCGCGGGTTGTCGCAGAGGGCTTTCATCGTTGCGGACTCGGTTGTCGGCACGGGGGTCTGGACCTGGTGTCTCTCCCCTTCCACATCAAAGACCCAGCGCATGCATTCTTTGTCCGAGTCAATGAAGGAGCGCAGCTCGGTCTGGACGGAGGTGAAAGGCTCCACCCGGATATCGGTCTCCTTGTGCGCGAACGGCTCGCTGTCCGGCGTGATGACCGCGGCCGGGGTATCGGTGCGAGTGATGTTGGTCAGGACGCGCGTGAAGTTTTTTGCAAGCGATTTCATGTCATCCTTGGGCTTCTGAGGAGGTCGGAAGCGTTCAATGCGCTTCAGGGTGATCGGGGTGGATGTGAGGTTGCGAATCGTCAGGTGTTCGGCCACCATTGTGACTAATGAGTATATTCAGTGTATCAATATATATACCACCTGAGTGTTCGAGACTGTATGTATGCCTGCAAGGCGAGATGTGAGTCTCAGGCAAGGGAACAAGGTTCTGTGTAGGCGATTGCGAAACCGCCGCGCACGATTAGGAGAGCCTTGTCTTTAAGGCTCCTCTTAAGGTGACATACTCACAGGCTGCAATGCGCGTCATTGGCCTGCCATGTCTGGGACGGGAGGGTCTCTGCGGCTGGATCTGGAGGGGGAGGCCAATGATACCCGTTCGCTCAGCCACTCTATGGGCGGTTCACCACAGTCTCGTCGCACGGAGGGCCCGAAAGTTTGCTAACGTAGATAGTTCCAAGATACTCCCACAAACTCAGCCGATCGTCATATCCAAGTTGAGCTATCACAATTGCACAATGGCCTGATTTTTGAGTTGGTTCCATGATAGCAATCAGCTCGTGGCGACACAGAGAAACTATACTCCGAGAGCTTTCTTCGATTTATGAAACCTTCTCATCGTCAACCGTCATAATGTCTGCGGTCCACTTGAACTTCGTCTGAGAACACCGCGGAATACGCGATTTCTAGCTCCATATTCTCACTTCAGTATCAATGTAGGGAGTATGTTGGCGATCCTACCAGGTACAATTACATTCCGAAAATAGATCATCTTATCTTCTCTTCTTTTCCGATTCACCGCCTTTTACAAAGCCTGCCGGCAGAATAACCTACTCCGTCGTCTCCCCCAAAGGCGGTCGGCTTATCGGATCAACCATCGTCCGATCTCCCCCAGAATGCGGAGTATGTCACGTGTAATGACGCTGGGGTCGGTTATCGTCGGCGCTCGGTCACTGAAGGAGGAACGCAGTCAGACGTTAAGTACAGGACTCCAGATCGTCCCGCCATGTCTGGAGGTTGAATCCTCTCGCTGGGTGTTTCTTCGCTCTCTTACATTCTCGAGTTGTGGTGCAATTGACAATGAACGTCCTCCGATGCGGCCGACGCCTCTCCCAGGCGCTTCGACCATGCCATAGCGTCAAGTATCCACCAATGGCTATTCCTGGAACAGTGCGTGCTGCTCGCCGCGGGTTCCATGCTGCCCCCGCTCTCTGGGGTATCAAATCCCAAGTGCTGAAAGATGTTGGTGAAGGTATGCAATCCAACCCTTCCTAGACCTCCCGCCTTCATAGATGTACCGCAATTGCTTATCAACCCCAACCCGCAGGTATCACCGAGGTGCAGATCATACAATGGTATGTGGAGGAGGGCGCTCGGATTGAAGAGTGGAAGCCTCTTTGTCAATACCAGTCCGACAAAGCCGTCGATGATGTTAGTCGAACCCCTGCCGATAAAGCGCAAGGGATGATGCAAAGTGGCTAACCGTAGTAGATTACCTCGAGATACGAGGGCATTGTAAAGAAGCTACATTTTGAGGCAGATGATACAGTACCTACTGGGAGGGTAAGATTATTCAAGGTTATAGCAATTACAAATGGTGCACTTTGCTAACACTATATCTCCCTAGGCTCTTTGCGACATAGAAGTCGACGATGCGAAATATCCCGATGAACATCCTCCCGTCCAGCAAGCACCATCGCAGCCTACGCCTGCTCCGTCAACTCCACCCCAGACGGAAGTGCGTGAAGATCCTGTCGATGCAGCCCCTCTGGTGAAGGATGTCGTCAGCCCGACTCCAAAATCACGGTATGCGACGCTTGCGACGCCCGCCGTTCGGGGGATGCTGAAGACCCTCAACGTGGATATCCAGGACGTCCAAGGCACAGGCAAGGATGGACGTGTCCTCAAAGAGGATATTCAGCGGTTTGTGGCTGCGCGTGACTCCCCTTCGGCCGCACAGCCAGAGAGCCCACAGACAGAAACGGCCGTCAACTTGACGCCGATCCAGTCGCAAATGTTCAAGACTATGACACGGTCACTCAGCATCCCACACTTCCTCTACACAGATGAGCTCAACATCAACAACATCACGGCACTAAGGAAGAAGTTGGCCAGCGACGCCAAAGATCCTATCAAACTCACTTTCCTCTCGTTTGTGGTTAAGGCTGTCTCTCTCGCATTATCGGAGTACCCACTCCTGAATGCGAAGGTGGACATGAGCAATCCTGACAAACCGCAACTTATCATGCGCCCCAGGCATAACATCGGAGTTGCCATGGATACGCCCCAAGGCTTGATTGTGCCAAACGTCAAAGACGTTGCGAATCGGTCCATCCTGGAAGTGGCCGCAGAGATCTCGAGACTGAGCGCCCTTGGAAAAGAGGGCAAATTTACACCTGCTGATCTGAGCGGTGGTACTATCACCGTCTCCAATATCGGGAATATTGGCGGTACCTATGTGGGCCCGGTCATCGTCCCGAATGAGGTCGCCATTCTCGGAATTGGTAAGTCGAAGACGGTACCCATATTTGATGATGAAGGGAAAGTCACGAAAGGAGAGCTTGTGAACTTCAGTTGGAGTGCAGATCACCGGGTGGTGGACGGGGCGACAATGGCCAGGATGGCAAACAAGATTCGGGCTTATATTGAGTCGCCAGAACTGATGCTTCTCCAGCTCCGATAGGAAGTTTATAGAAATAGAAAGATTACTTTGAGACTAAGTATGCAACGGGTTGTAAGGTCTCCGCTGCGCCGACTGCGAAAGAAGATTATTTCCGTCCTAAATTCAACTGAAAGTTCATCTTTGTTGTTTTCTATGGAGCCTGGATTGACAAAAGCCTAAGGTGAGGTGGGAGCGAGACCAGTTCAATGTGAGGAGTTCACGAATCCACCACCCTTTGTGTGGTTGAAGGCTTTCTGTTGCTGCACTTCGAATGTTTTTGTCCTACCTTGGGTACTCATGGTAGGCGCGCGCTTTCCCTTCCAATCAACAAACTCACCTTCACCTCACCCCTCCAGCATCCAGATCTACAATCAAATACTACCTATCTACCTTCCCCTTCCTATCCTCATCTCTCTTTCACTTCCATCTCCCCATCTCCTACCCTCTTTTCAAGACCCCCATAACAAGGTGAACCTGCACCATGGGCACCAGAGGATTTCTCATCATCCGTTGCGCTGGGAGATTCTTTGTCTACTACAATCATTTCGACAGTTATCCTGAAGGCCTTGGCGATGCTATCGTGCAGGAAATTCCTCAGGATCCGCAAATGTATCAAGGTACGGTTAGCTAACAGAGATACAGCGGATGGTCCGACCCTAGTAACTGGAAAATGCATTAACTCATGACTACTTGACAGAATGGTTGACATACATGAGAGCCGCATACTCGAAGCTTGCACAGCAGTATGAGACACAGTGTTTACCTGTCAACGGGCGGAAAGACACTGTCACGGAGCGCCGTGCTACGAGCTTTTTGGCAGTTGATGATCGCCTGGAATTTACTCCAACTCAGGCCCGCATCTCCGACGTCAATTTCTGGTGCATTGAATGGATTTACACTCTTGATTTGGACCGAGAGCTGTTTGGGGTTGACAATTCTATCTATTTCCAGCTTTCCAAGGTCCCGCACGATGACAGTTGGATCAAATATTTAGGTGAAGACAAACATGGACGAAGGGTCTTCACCAAACGTACCCCCAAAGAAATCATTGGCACTGTCGAGTGGAAGCCGCAAGTGATCATCCAGTCGAAAATCAGGTTCAAGGAGCTCGATGTCAAGACCGTGTGCCTCGAGTCTCTAACTCCCCCAAGCTCAGACGTGCCCACTCACCGCGAAGCGTTCTTGCTATCTGTCTTTACTGCCATGAATACGGCATTTAAAGGCTTCCTCGATGAACACATCATCCAATGGAAAGCAGATGATTTTTGTTTCAGAGAAGTGGCATTCGCCCTTTTGTCTCTGGCTGCTGGAGAGGTCACCTTCGTGAACCCTAGCTCGCTCAATCGGAACTACAAGAGTGAAGGTTATTACCTCATTCCAGACAGAGGTCCTCAGAACGAGCAAGGTCTGCTTCCGCGATTCCTTTACGAATGCCATGCTCCCGGTGTTCATCCTGGCGCAGCGCCCAACAACACTGCATATTGGCTTGGAAACGTCCTTGTTTACTTAACGGCCCGTCTTGATTTAATTGAGATTGAAGAGACAGCCATTGCTCAAGCAGTGGACACAGGACTTGGACAGGGATCATCATCTTTCTATGCCATGGTGTTCTCCGTCGTGGATGTAATCCTAGTTCACGTCGAGACAAACGACGGGAGCATTGAGATCCGCAGGTCTCCGATGCTAAACTTGTTTTACTTTGATGACAAAAACTCGGGCTTTGTGGATGGGTTTCGCTCAAGAGTGGCTTATTCTCCGCAAGGCGTCGAGGCGGGATCATCCAAAATCACAGCAACCTCGTTTACTGCTATGATACGATTCTTCGAAGCAGCTCTAGACTCCAGTATAACTGGGGCGAGGTCGAAAATCTTTCCCAACGAGGTCTTGGGTTTAATAATGGAATCGTCGGATCTCCCAACATACAAGGCTCTGGAAAGAGTGTCGCCCTACTGCAAAATGATCGGCAATCACAAGTTTCGCTTAAACGACGATTATGCCTTGATTGAAAATCCTTTTCCCAACAGATTTATCTTGGAAGAGTTGGATTCGGGAATGAGAACTGTCCTAGACATGGATGCAGGTAGCGTGGATTCTGATTCAGGGGAGAGTTCTTATTTAGAACTGAATTCTGGTGAAATCAACAACGGCGTGAGACTGAATCTCGTTGTGGGACATTCGGTCAGGAAGGCCATCATCAGTCATGTGTCCCTCTATCTGCCGAAGGCGACTCCGAGACATCCAACCCTATACAGAAAAGGTGGAAATGCCGATGCAGTAAGTGTTGGTATATCTGGGAGGAGACAACATGTCTAATACCACAGCAGGGAAGCTTTTCACTACATGGGACGCCTACCAAGCCACTGTGCTGAGGAACTTGCCTCCATGATTCTTAACATGCCCAGCGACATATATCCAGGCGGGATCGAGAATGCCTGGGGATCATACATCTCGCATCTGATCTGTGGTGCAGCTGAGCCAGATTGTCTCTACTTTCCGTTGCAGATCATGGGCGCTCAATGGCTTGGCTTACTACCACCAGGATATCGACAACTACGAATGAACCATCTCTACTGCAACGGGCTTCATATGTTTTTGCGCCACCCGAAAAATGAATGCCCCGAGGAATGGGAGAAGACAATCACACATGCCATTTCTTACCTTAGCCATATCGAACAAACTGGCGATTCATTCAGGCATTTCGTGCGTGGCAGGCCCGTGATTATCGCGTTTGGCACGAAGATAAAGTTCTACTACTATGTCCACTGGTGCGAGGGGGCGCCGTTGTCGACGACTGGTAGCGCATATAGCGTTGAGATTGCAGCACGTTGTGTGGAATCCGAGCCTCGCCGCCGGCTTGTGCAATTAATACCCGGAGAGGGGCCAGTTGATATCAAAGAGCCAGAGAGTAGAGAGGAGTTTGAGAACTGGATCAAGATCTTCCGCGATCCGAGCCTCACAGAGTGGGATCCATTCACGGAGAGCCAGCAGCCGTTCGGCGAGGAGCGTGAGTACTGAGTGCTGCCAACTTATGCTCTTCCCTTCTTATTAGAATCTCTTGCCTATGCTTGGTAGGGCTAGTGCCATCTCGGTATGAATAACCCAGCAGGAACAAAAACGTCCAAACTTTCAGGGCTAACTTGCTTCAGGGTTGCAGATAAGCATATTGCATCGACATGGTTTAATACCGGCCACCTTTGATGGCAATAATAATATGGGGATGCCGTAGGAACGATGATAGTCAGTAGTTACAGGGCGAAAGTATGTTGACTTAGGTCATGTATGACGTAACATGTTAAGTATAAGGAATCATATGAAAATGCACCAGGCTGCAACAAACTCCGAAGAAACACCATAAACATTGGCGATGCTTCCAGCACAAGGACAGTACCGTGAATAGCATACCAGATAAAGATGACATAAAACTCCGTAGACACCGAACCGGGCTGGGCAGCCATTATCCATGCACGAGAGAAAAGAAATATATAACAAGGGAAAAGAATCGGCAGTTTACGGCTGCTGTTTATACTCTGCCATCTTCTCCTTAACCAACTTCAAGACCTCAGTCTGGACCTGCGCCGGCGGAGCATTCGCGTCGATAGTTAAAGCATCCCACTCGCCCTTGGGCTCCTCAAGATCGCGCAATTGGCTTTGCACCATGACGCTCTTCATGTAGTGGGCCTGGCGCTGGGCGACGCGGCGCAGAAGCACCTCCTCGTCCAGCTTGAGGTAGACGAAGTGGATCTGCACAGAGGGCGAGTTGTAGGTGGCGATACGCATGACGTCGCGGTACTTCTGCTTGAGCGCGGAGCAGGCGACGACGACGCCGGCGGGCGGGTGGAAGTTGTTCGCCTGGGAGGGCGAGAGCGCCCTCGTGGCGGCCTCGCGCAGCGCAATCAGCCAGTCCCAGCGGTCTGCGTCGGTGAGCGGGATGCCGCTGCCCATTTTCTGCTTGTTGGAGGCGGAGTGAAACTAGTTCACGTTAGCGTTTCCTATATACCTCGGGTTATAAGTATTTTTGGGGTGGGAACGTACATCGTCGCCCTCGAGGAACGGGTAGTGCAGCTCGTTGGCCAGCCCCTTGCCCACGGTGCTTTTGCCGCAGCCGGCGGGCCCGGTGACGACCCAGATGTGCTGCGTCGGCTCCTTGGGGTGATCTGGGTACATTGTGGAGGCGGCGTTGAGGGAGGCGGAGGTGGTGGTTGTGGCAGGAGAGGCGGAGTTCATGATGGCAGCATTGTTGGGCATAGGCGGCTGAGCCGTTCGCCGGCGGAGAGCATGATTGCAGGAGCGCGCGAGTGGTGTGTGTGATGAGGTGAGGTGAGGAAAGAAGGCCGGAAGCGTAGGGCAGAGGGCGGAACTGGCGGTGGTTCGGGAGGTCACCCAAGGTTCCGTATAGTTGCTGGGTCTATAGAGTGATGGTGCGAAAGAAGGCAGCCGAGTGGAGTGGTGAGGTAGACAAGGAGACCGGAATGAGATTGAACTACAGATATAGACAATGTGTGTAGGTGTAGAAGGTCGATAGGTATAGAAGGAGAGGAAGGGAAGACCAAAAGAACCGCAAAGCAGGGCCTGCAAGGAGGATAATAAATCAACCTGGTTCAAGTATGAAATTTGGGCCGGTGGGTCAGGATGGCCGGGGGAAGCGTACTGTATTTTATTTTACAAGATGAAGGCTGAAGGAGAATTTTCCACTCTTTTCTACTCCGTACGGAGTACTACCTATAAATTGCCTCCTTATTCCGGACAGGAATCGGAAAGTGGGGGGCCCTGGACCATGAGAAGGAAAAGGGAGTCCGGCGGTCTGGTTGTTAGCGGGAGATCGATCCAGATGCATAAAACGGGGCTGAGTGGGAGGATCTATACGAGTCCTCCACTGCTATCTTTAAATCCTTTGAGAATTGAGCACAGAGAGAGGACGCTCTACGGAGTATAGAATACTTCCATGCTTTCTTTAGAGTGTGATATTTTTCTGAATTCTGCAGGCGACTGTTGGTGATGATGTCACAGCCACTCCGGGGATCCGCGTGGTTCTGGTAATTTAACCGTCCCCATACCGACTGTTGTTTCGACTAACCGACGGTTAAGTTGGGGGCACCCCCACGCTATGCCCGTTGGGGTAATCTGGCGGGTTCTCTTCGCTTTCTTTTCTTCTTCGCCTAAGGGGAACAATGCCCATAGATATCCCACTACTTAGTACTGCAACGAGGTACGTACACCGCAGATCGTAGCACAAACCACAATAGACTCGCCATGTGGAGTTTCCCTGATTATTATGATGTCTTCTTTGACGGACAGTCACTCCCCAGCGTGGACCCTCCTGGTTAAACTCCCCCTTGGATCTGCCGATTTATCCTCCCGCCGCGACAATGACTCGATCAATCCAGTACTTTTGTCCAATCCGCAGCTGACACCTGAAGAAAACGAATGGGGGCTTTCCAACGCACCCGGAACTTTCACCGCTGGTCGTGTGGCGCCCAGCCTCAGCGTGGCTCAGTCCGGGGTAAGCCGGTGGTCATGCCACGTCCATAATTCACCGATGCTTTTATGTTGCTGGCCTGGCCCGGTTCGCAAACTCGCTCACAGTCAAGTCTGACGTCGTACGCTGGAAACACTGCCGGAAACTTGTTCCCAGATGCATAGCCATCTTGGTCTCGTCCCTGCATGGTCCTGCGAATTACCCGGCGGTGATCGCAAATGAATACCTAGTAGATACCCGACTGTCCACGTCTCCTCAGCCGAGGCGACCTGGCCATTATTGAGGGACTTATCGCACCTGATACGAGCTACCCCTCACGCTGAGAACACCGCCGTCATCCCGGTCCAGTAGTTCGGTCTTGTAGCGGGGAGCCCCCAGGGAACCCGAGTACTTCGGTCTGCTGGGCAACCTACGGTCAGATGATGAGTCGGGGAATAGAGGCCGTCCATGCATAATTTTAACAGCCTAGAATCTCCTTTATTGATCTTATCGCAGGGAGTATCCATGTCTCCAAGCAGGCGAGACGATAGTTAGTTAACTAGAAGGATGATGGTTACATAAGCATTGCCAAGCCCGCCAGCGGAGCTCCCAGTTGAACCTCATCAGCTCCATGCGATCAATCCATGACCTCCGATTACAGCTTCACGAGTCCACGTCTTCCAATCAGCCCGGTTTCCTTCCGATCCCTGTCTCTCTTCACCCGACGCGACCGATTGAATCTTTCCTCCCACGATGACTTCTCTTTTCTTCTCCACCCCCGTCGACATCGACGTCGTCCTCGAAGACAGCGATGAACGCCAGACCGTTGACGTCAAGCTCGACAAAGGCCGTCGCGAACGGGTCCCGCTGTACATGGATGGGGAGTCGGTCAAAGGTGCCGTGACAGTGAGACCGAAAGATGGAAAGCGATTAGAACACACGGGCATCAAGGTCCAATTCATCGGCACAATTGGTATGTTTCCCCGCTTTGATCGCTGCCTACCGTTCTTCCCTGCGCAGAGGGCACCTCCACAGACTGCCTCTGCGTGACCAGCACAATGCGACAGTTCGTTTCGACTGACGCCCACCGTGCATGGCAGAGATGTTTTACGATCGCGGTAATCATTACGAATTCCTCTCGTTGGTGCAGGAGCTCGCCGCTCCGGGCGAACTGCAACACCCCCAGACCTTCCCTTTCAACTTCAAGAACGTCGAGAAGCAATACGAGTCTTACAATGGCATCAACGTGAAGCTGCGGTACTTTGTCCGCGTAACGGTCTCCCGGCGCATGGCCGACGTGGTGCGCGAGAAAGATCTATGGGTCTACTCCTACCGCATGCCCCCGGAGACCAATAGCCCCATCAAGATGGATGTCGGTATCGAGGATTGCCTGCACATCGAGTTTGAGTATTCCAAGTCGAAATATCACCTGAAGGATGTCATCGTCGGTCGCATTTATTTCCTTCTGGTGCGGTTGAAGATCAAACACATGGAGCTGTCCATTATCCGCCGCGAGACGACCGGAACGCCCCCGAACCAGTATAACGAAAGTGAGACGTTAGTGCGGTTTGAGGTGTGTCTTACTTCTCCACTGTTGTTTTCGACGGATTGCTGATCAGTTGGGACAGATCATGGATGGTTCGCCTTCACGAGGTAAGCTTGCAGTCACAAGGCTCACGAGTGAGTTTCCAGGTGCTCATTCTCTGACCCTTTTAGGCGAAACGATCCCCATTCGTTTATTCCTCGGTGGCTTCGACTTGACCCCGACGTTCCGCGACGTGAACAAGAAATATTCCACCCGCTATTATCTGAGTCTCGTACTCATCGACGAAGGTATGTGACACCACGTTCGTGCATATGCAGTATTTTTTTTCCATCCGCCTCGATCCTCCCTATCCCAGCATGCCTCGTGTTCAGGAGACCAAAGCACAAACTCAGAACGCATGCTTTCTGCACTGGCGCCTCGGGTTCAAGGCAGTCAGGAAGATCTATCACTTTGTGCCCAACACGCAAGCAAGCAACGGGCATCCCACGGCATCCCACGTGAACTGGGTCAATAGCCGATCGGTTATTGACCAGCGTCCGTCGGACCAGTGACGGACGGGCAATCGGGCCGCGAACATGGCAGGGAAGGGCCGTGGAACAGGGATTCGTGCCCCGAAACAACCACTTGTCCCACCCCCACGCTAGTCCACTCTGGGCAGTGGGCTCGCGTGGTCTCCCCGCCCCACTCCCATAGTACCTCTCACTACATTTACCTTACACCTCTCTCACCTTTTCTCCCCTACGCTTTCAATACCGGCTTCTCCACCGGGAAATCAATCAATACTGACGGCCCCCTCTTGCGCCGCAGATGCCCGTCGGTACTTCAAGCAATCCGAGATTGTCCTCTATCGCCAGGCCCCCGAAATCGCCGCCACGCCTCAGATCGCCCAGCAGCAGCTCATCCAACAACAGCAGCTCCAGAATCAGCATCAGCAACAGCTGCCTCCGGGCTCGGCCACCGCCGGGCCCACCCGCGAGCCGTATGCGAATCACACCGTTTCGACCCCGGCTGCTTGATCGCCTTCCTGCTTCCCTATTGTAGATGGACTGACTCTTCGGAGGGTGTCTTGTCATCGTCTTTGTGTTCTACATATACCCTCGCCCACCGATGTACTCTATCCTTTTTTTTTTTTTTTTCTTCTCGTCTCTACCGTCAGCAGTTCTGGTATTCTGTCGACCCCCGCATACAATACACTGATGTCATGAACACGAGGTTGTTCTGATCCGGTCCGATACCCATGCTTGTCCAATGTCACTACATTCGTACTGCAGGACATGCGAAAACTACTAGCTTCCTACTCACGACAGATAGTCATCAGATGGCAAACAACGGTACTGTGTAGTAAACCTTCTCCATGAATGGTCTATGATCCCCAAACTCCGTTCAAAGAGGGAGATTGCATACATGAGGTAGTAAGGACATGTAGAAAGCATACTTCGCATCAATACCTCCCCACTTCGTGTAGCACCTTCCCAAGCGCATGGAGCACTTCCCCGTCGTCGCGTTCCTTCCCAGCCACCTGTACAGCCTGCACCACAAGCGGGTAAATCCACTCGAGATGTTTCTTATGGCCATCCTCGACTGCACCTTTGGACGGCTTGGTGACAGCCCGCATCATCGGTGGAGGTGGGATAGCTGACGGCTCGCTCTGCAGATTGACCATGCCCCGGATAAGGTGCAGGAGCGCTCGACGTGCTGGAGCGGGTTGTGGCATCAGCCCGCGCAGAGGCTGGTCGGCTATGTATCCCTTTAGAGATACGGCACATCGGAGGATCACGTAGGGCGAGATTGACTGCGCTAGGGAAACATATGCCGCTGCATTGGTTTCCAACCCAGCACCGTTGCATTGTTCAACAGTCCTAGTAGATGGAGCCGATGCGAGTTCGAACAATGTGTCGATCACAGCGTAAGCCATCTTGACGCGCGAGGTTGCTGGGGGATCAAACGTTCTTCCCCGACGAACATCGTAAAGCCCTTGGAGAGGTTCATCTTCTATTGCCTTTCCGGGGATCTCAGACCGTTGTGGGAGGTAGATGAACGACGAGCGTAGGAGGGCACATGCGAAACTCCGGCGAATGTGGTTCGGAATGCTGGACGCACCAAGGGCCGGTATGATCAGCGCCTTCAGTCTGTGGAAAGCTGCAACGTCAAAGGTCTCGTCCGCCAGAATGGTTGCTTTGGGAATTGCAACTGTTCGGTAACCCCGAGCAGAAGCAATGGCATTTGTGATGTCAACAACGCAGGTCCAAAACCGTGCGATTTCTGCCTCGCTGGACTTCTCGTATTGCTTCTCAACGTACGGAATCGCCACCTGGAGGATATCTAGAGACGCTGTCGTTGATTTGCGCCATATGTTGGGCTCGCGATCCTTGCCTGGCCACTCGTACCTTTGAGATATAGGGTTTGTGAGATGCTCCAGAACAGTCGTGAGAGAGCCATTTGAGAACACATCCCTTTTGATCCCAAACTCAGTGATATACCAGCTGAGGAGGTCGATGGCACTCTTCGAGAAAGCAACATATGTTGGCTTCCTCGAGTCGTTTCCAGATGACCATTTCGTTAGAGGTGAATCGACATAGTCAGCCAGACAAGTAAGGATGTCTGCCTGTGCATCATCCTTATCCAAGCAAACAGTCTTCATGCAATCGATGACCAGTTTCTGCAGATCCGATGGCCGGTCAATATCCAAAGTGTACCGTTGAGAGATGGAGTTCCACAGAAGAAGCCGCAGATGCTCAAGAACCTTTCCAACATCATCTCCAGTCAGATCATCTTTGTAGAGCCGGTAAATTTGCTGGAAAGCATTCAAGTATGCCACTGCAGCATCTTGGTTGGGGCGGTCCAAGTCCAAGAGGTCTTCCCTATCAGCAGGATGGCCATTGATCCACAACGACCATGCGCATTGCAGAGGCAATTTGCTGGAGCCAATCGGAGTTTGGACTCGGAGAAGAGCATTAGATAGGCTAGCAAAAACAGCCTCAAAAAGCTCCAGATGTCGCGATTCAATCAGCTGTTGAAAGTGGTCCAGCAACCGTTTCCAAGACTGCTCGAACTCGCCATCCTGCGTGATCGTTTCGAAAAAGTTCGTGATTAGATCAGAAGTCCCTTTGACTGTAACCACGGTCGTCTCTATCCATGACTTGAGTTCATCTGGATTTTGTGTAGCCTTGAGTTCGGCTGCGATCTCTTCCATCATCCGAAACAAGACACGGTTGAGACATAATTGCCATGCCTTCGGAGTAAGTTGTTGACCGTAAGCATCAAAAATGCGCAGTAGGGTATGCACAGCGCAATTTCTGATCTCTGACCTGTTATCCGTTGTGACATCTACGATCCTCAGTAAGAGCAAGAGCCAGAGTGAGTTTCGAGATGTCAATGGATCATCATCCACAGCCAATTTTGTAAGCGTATCCTCGCTGACTGATGAATCAACGTAGGTGTCAACAGAGAACCGCTCAATCTGGCTCTGCAGAAAATCTGACACGTTCCAAAACGAGGAGGTCGTAGTGAGGGAGATATTGAAATCCTGCTGCTGCAAAGCAAATTTTGAAAACGAATCCACCAATTTCATATGACACGGGGACGGCAGCATGGAGATAAAATCAGAGGCTATAAGCTGTAGGGACTTGTATGAAACTCGAATGAGACGATGAGAATCTGCTAAGACAGATTTATGCCCCTTCGAGGCATTGTCCGTTCCGCCCTTCTGCGCAGAGTCCCCGAACACGGTAGAAATGAGGTCGAATGCAAGTGTCCATCCGTCAACGAAAGTCTCTGCATATTGCTCCAGAATGCTTCGTAACGTTTCGAGACTCTGTTCGTGTATTTCCACGACTAGGGAAGAAGGTGATCCTAGATGGCAGGAATTCAGATCGTAGAGCTGTGTGATCTGTCGTTTCAGAGCCTCAAGGTTCCGCATCTGTCGCGTGTTGCGCGTACCATCATCATCATCACTCTCCAACTGTTTCATTGTCTGGAATATGAGCTGGTTAAGGACTTCGTTGGCTCGTAAACGCAAACTTTGATCGACTTCGCCATTAGCTGCACTCAGGATGAGCATGTCAGTGAAAAGTTCCCAAGCCCGTTGGTCACTTTCCGCTAGAGATGCTAGCCTTCCCAAGTTCGCACTTGCGACCTCATTTGCTTTCTCCAAGACAAACTTCATCTCCTCTTCTTGCACCTTTGTTTTGCCCATTGCAAGGGAGACACGCCGGGTGTTATTCCTCATACGGCCAGAGCGATGACTACTTGTCGCCTTCTCTGGTGACTCATGCGATGAAGATTCGGTGGTTCCAGATAAGCCAAAAAGTGCAAGGAGAAGTTCTTCGAATGAGTCGCTTGGGTAATCGCTTGTACTTTCGAACATTTTGGCGGAAGCAGCCTGGACAGCCATGATTTCATTTCCCAAGTTCGCTTTGAGGTTTTCAGAGCCAGTTCCAGATAGAGCTTCGCTGGAGTTACTGAGAGTGATATTTGGCTTTGTGGCGGAGGTGCCAATCAACAAATCCGTATCCTGAAGCGTGCCTAGTATAATGGACCAGGCCGGCTGGTCCAAAGTCGGACCAAGAGCAATGCCCAAGTTAAGCAGAGCTCGAAGACATAGGAGATTCCGAGTGCTCAGTGACAGAGATGGGGATATCTGAAGATTGGCTAGAGGCCTCAGGGACCAGTGAAGTACTTGACCCTTCCACGCCTTTTCGTCTCTCATCAGAGGGATAGCCTTGCTGGATTGAAGGAGTAGGAGCCATCGATTTGACGCCACTAGCATCTGACGGCATGGCTGCCTTAGCTAGCGTCGTCAGGAACGCATCCCTGGGAGTTGATAGTCTGAGAAGACCGGCCACATGAGCTAGTTTCTGGAAGGACCGAACGAGGTTATGGTAAAAGTCGTCATCCAGTGCGGCGTACAGAAAAGTTGAGCACGCTGCAAGAATAGCAGGCCAGCAGTTTTCGATAACTCCGGCACAAATTTTGACTGCGGCTAATTGTGGGTGGGATTCCAGTTGTAGCGGGTTTAGCGGCACTGAGGTCTTTTTCGCATGAGAACTCCTGGAGGAATTCGTTCTTTGGAGGTCTTGGGAAGGCCTTGGAATTTCACTGTCGTGGTCGGGACCGGCAATGCGATTTTTCCGTCTCTGTTTGAGATCAGGGACAGTTAAAGGAAGGATGAACTTTGCGAGACCTTCGGCGAAATTGCCAATGCAGTTCAGCACAAGACTGTATATGTAGGTATCCGGAGGCAATGGCGGGTCTGTTTTGTCAAGCAATTCCATGTACGGAGTGCGGACTACACTCCATTGACTGCTGATCCCCGGAACATTGCTATCGGAAGATGAAACGGTGGTTCCTATCACACCGGCAACTCCACCGGCCTCTAGTGTTATTTGTTCTTCAGTGATTGACCTGGAGTGCTCGGCCCGCACAGGGACCGTTGACCGGTTACTGACACCAATCAAAGATGGCTTCTCGGAAGCAAGACGGACAAGAGACGCCATATGGTCCTTGAGTATATTTTTCCTACCGTCAACTCCATCATATAAAGAATAGATGAGTCTAACGAGGCCGGGCTCTGCGTATATACCCCGGAATACTTCCATGCAAAGGACTCGTTTCCAAGGTGACGTCCCATCGGGCTCGAGGAGATGTGTCAGCAGAACCAAAGCCATCTCACACTCAGCAGGAAGAAGAGACATGTGCCGTTTAAGGAGCACAAGGAGGATCCGGGCCACTCTGATGGTTTGAGCAAAGGTGTGCCTTTCAGACAGGTACCTCACAATCATTGGCATGAGCCGCGTACGCAGGACTTGTGTCAGTTCAGCATGACCGACGAAGAGCCGCCCACTATTTATCAGGACACTTTCAATGAGTTCCAGCGTAAAAGTCGGCGACAACGATTTGATTCGCAAGAAGCGCAGTTGCTCGCCATCCACAAGGCGGCAGAGGTCATCCAAAACCTTTGGCGTACGTTAGTGAGGTCTTTCTGCAAGCTTGAGAGATGGACTCACACGCAGGGCGTCATAGGCAAAATATCCGATTTGTAAAGAGCTCCCTTCAACTTTAACTGTCGTTGTTGGCTTAGAGTCCAGTGGAGTTTCTTGAGACATGTCAGGTCTAATGCAAAATATGGCAGTCATGGCATATACTCACTATCTTCCACAAGCACTCTTTCGAAAGTTGAGACAATTAGTTGTTGCAGAGTTGCCGCCGCCGTGCTGGAAAGGGCGACCGTCTTGCTTGCTTGCAGGGTGGCACATATCTCCAACGTACTCACAAGAAGCTCACCACCTAGGTCGTTGGAGTAGTGCTGCAAGAGTGACGGCAAAGACTGCAATATCTTGAGTTGAATATCCAAGCCTAGGTCATCAGCATAAAGAGCCGGAAGCTCCTAAGAAGGTACGATGACATACTCAAACTTGTCGTTTCTTTCAGACCGGCCAAGACATCTTTGAGCCTCTCGGACGGCAGCGCCCGAGAGGCCACTAGTCTTTGGAGACAAACAACGCCAATTCCAGCAAGCTTTGCATGGCGAGTATGGCAGGCAAGAATGAATGGGTCGACAAACTTGGGTTTGCGAGCCAAATCTTGAGAATAATCAGCCACATCACCCCGAAGTGAGGTTTCGGTTATGCAGATTTGGCAAAAGCTCACCGGCAGATATTTGCAACTCAGAAGTTGAGGGTAGTGCTTTCAGCTCATTGAGAGACTCTTCGGCCGCCTGGGCAAGGTCAGTTTGAACATTCAAGTATCCCTATCTGATAAATGGTTGGCTCACACTTCGCAGGTCCGCATTCTTTCTCTTGGACTCCTGAATGAGGCTCAGGAGCTCTGCCTGCAGAAACTGGGAGGACATTTCCAACTGGTGGTTGGATCAAAACATGGCAAGCGGCTAGGAGGAGCTATAGACCAAGTAGCAACTTAGTAGCTTCATGTACCCGGTGGATGATCGATTTGGTGTATCGATATTGCCGAAACAAGGCTTTCCACAGAGGATAACGAGCAAAAGCGGACTATATGCCGGCGTTACAACAGCGATTCTCATAAGCGTTCCCGCCCTTTGATACAAAAAGCGCCTGAGAGGTGACTAGATGCGCATCAGGAGTAAGTGGCATCTCCAGACATGCCAAGGCACCACGATAGGAGTAGTCACGTGGATGTTATCATCACGTGCAGTCGACCCCGGCAACTTTTCGTCGGCGGAGATAGGCATCGTCAGTTGCCCTGTGCCCCTCCTTGTCTCGGTGATCGGTTTCTTCCTCCAAATCCTTTCCATTCCAGCCAATATCCCTCCCCCCTCCCCGTTCGACTGAATTCCGTACCTCACATACACCTCACTATGTCCGCTAAGATCCCGAGAAACTTCAGACTCCTGGAAGAGCTGGAGAAAGGCGAGAAAGGCCTTGGCGCAGGTGAGCCCAATATCCTCTATTTGAAGTGACCTATGATGTAATTTTCTGACATTCCCTGGTTTCCCAATCTACCAGAGGCGTGCTCCTACGGTCTTGCAGATGGAGAGGACATGATGATGAGCAACTGGAATGGAACAATTCTTGGCCCTCCTCACGTACGCACCGACCGCGCAGTCCGAGTCCAGCATTCCTAACCAACCGAAACTACAGAGCGTCCATGAGAACCGGATTTACAGCGTGAACATTCATTGTGGTCCCGATTATCCTGACAATCCCCCGACGATCCAGTTCATTTCCCGAGTCAACCTTCCTTGTGTCGATGCGCGGACCGGAAAGGTAGGATGCTGTTGATTTACGAATATGCACCGGTATGCGTTGTGTTGACACCCTACCAGGTTGATTCTACGAAACTACCTTGCCTCGCCCAGTGGAAACGCGACTATACCATGGAGACTATCCTACTGGAACTTAGAAGGTGAGGGATGCCGCTTATTATCCTGCTGCGCTTGGCTCACTCTGAGGCTCTAGGTACATGGCTCTCCCTGCGAACAAGAAGCTTCCTCAGCCTCCGGAAGGCTCCACGTTTTAGATGCTCCTTTTTCTACATGCCTCAGAATTCATGAATAGGACGGGAGTATTGCGGTTTTTTGCGTCAGGTTTATTTTCCTTAACTCATCTCCTTAGAGCGTGTACAGTCTAGCATAATGGCAGGCATGGCGCGGTTTCCTTCGTGACCTACTTCCAATCCATGAGTTTTGAATGGCCCTTTGTCAACTGTAATTCTGAGGTGATATACGTGCCGATACGGGTTCGTATACGATCACTGGAATCGACATGGATTTTGTGGATGGATTGTGAGAGCCACACAGCTAGTACCTCGACTGTGCTTATTATCCCAAGGAGGCTTCCTATTCACTAATCAGTCGGACCATCCAGCAAGAAAGCCCTTGTGGCCAAGTGGTAAGGCGCTGCACTCGTAATGCAGAGATTCGTCGGTTCGATCCCGACCGGGGGCATTCTTTTTTATGGGCCTGTGTCCATCCAAGCTTAGTTTTACAATCTTTTTTGTCGATAAAGATACCGGGGCTAGGGACCGCCTTCTGGTTCAGGGATTCCTCCGGCAGAACCGGAGTAGCGTCATCTCCACCGAAGCTATCTCATCGCATAAACTGCTATCAAGAAAAATGTCCTTCTCCAAATCATGCACAAACTTGTAGTCCCGAAATTGTCTGGGGCTCACCGATTTGCATGTAAGCAGCCTGATATAGGCCGGCTGTCCGAACGCTCACACATGTCTAGGCTTAGCACTTTATCGAGCGCTACTCCGACAATCCGCTTATTTACCCACGACGACACCAGAACTCGGTACCTGCAAGTGGCTCGTACAGCATCGTTTTAGAAAATACAAAGGCATCCAGAGCCCTTCACAGGTTGCGAATGCCTTGAGAGCTGGATACGAGGTACTTAATCCCCGCTCAAGTTGCCGGAGTTGCTCACTGAGGCCTTCACTATTTGCACAAACCAGGCCCTCGACCTCTTTCACTCGGCTTCACTCGGAAACCAACATGATATAAACCGCATTACAAATCTCATCTCTGAGAACGAAAGAATTAGGGAGCAGAGGGCTATAAGACAGCGGGCACTGTCAAAGGCAAATCCGCCGAAACCCCTGTCGCCGCGACAAAGGCAGAAAGAAGAGTCGCGACGGTTCCAAGAGCAGACCGCACGTCGACATCCCGATGCGACTTCTATATTTTCGCGCCCACGTTTTATTGTGAATGGGAGACGGAAGGTCCCTGTTCTCGTTAATGCGCGTGGGGTCCCGTTCTTGCGCATCAAGAAACCGCAGCCGAAAAACTTAAGCGGCGTGATCAGAACGAAGCTGGAAAAACGTTGGAAGCGAATTGAGCGCCGGGACAGACTACAGCTGCAGTTGTTATTCTGCAAGGATGAAGATTTCTGGGATTCTCTGACCACCGAATCCGGTGCAGAGCAAGAACGATGGGTTGATGAGGTTAAAAAAGGACTGTCGGAGGTGAACCGTCAAATCCAAGAGTCCGACAAGAAAAACAAGGAGATTGCGGAGGCTATGTGGAAGGTTGTTCTTGCTGAGCGCGATCTGGCGGCTAAGGAACAGCAAGAGGCGTCAACTGATACGTGAAGGATGCAGTCGGGAAGTTGGGAGTCTCCTCTTCCTCTCAAAGTCGCCTTCCCACAATCTGGCCAGCATAAGCCCAGCCCATCTCTGTACCAGTTGCTGATAGGACAGAGACCAAGAGCTCATAAGTCCCCTATCAATCCGCTAACAGGCACAAGCGATAAGCCTGACGGCCACCAACTTCAACTTGCCTACCCAAGTGGTTGCACAATTGCACCTGAAACTGCTTCCTTATCTGCCGCATTTGGTATGATCTGGCTGGCTTGTAGCCTACACTTACTGTGAATGACCATCTGGCGTGATATTACGTTCGAAAGCAAGTATCCGCATTCAAGCATGACCTAAGCCTTCGTGTACTGGGAGCAACTCCCAGGCATTAATGCAGGCAATCGAGGCGGAATTGATATAGGACAATGCAACTTCTCTTCTTTCTATGTATATGCCCACTGTTTCCTCTCCATGTCAGTATATATTTACATTTATCTCCAACGCTAAACGACGTAACGCGTTCGCGAGTAATACTTATAAAACTTAAACCAATAACCAATAACCTGGATCTATGCAGCTATTTTCATCTTCTCCACAGGAGGCATAGCATCTTCGTAATCTTCGTCATAGTCTCCCTTTCCAGCGAGACCTCTTTCCCATAGTTCCTTGCCCGTAAGCTTCTTCTCTTCCTTGGCCGGTCCCTTACCCCTAGCCTTCTTCTCCTCCGCCTCTTTCTCTTCGCGCTGCCTTCTCTCCTCATCCTCCATCTCCTGCTTAAACTTTGCCAGCCATTCCAGGAACGTCTCCCGGGTGACAGCAGTACCCTGGAACTTGCGGTTCTCTTCTTCCTCCGCCTTTGCGGCTTCCATCTCCTTCAGGGCGTGGACGGCATTGACCCGCTCGGCCATCAGAAGCTCTGCGCTTTCCTTTAGTGTGCTCACAAGGGTGAACACCATTGCCATCCCCATGTTCTCCTCGATAGTGGGCTGGAGCGCCTCGAGGAGTCGTTCACGGTCCTCCTGAACATCTAGTCTGGGATGCTTCGGCGCGTTGGGAGGAGCGGACAGGTCAAGATCGGGCGCCACATCCGGGTAGTCGGCCGGGTATGTAACTTGGAGGATTAACACGGGCTGTTCGGTCTCTTCGACGTCATTCTCCGGAGGATCTAAGGTGATCGATATCCGGTACGAGGTGTCGGATACGTCTGTGCGGGAAGTGTTAGTTAGGCCTTCCAAAGAAGTACAAGCCTGAGGGTAGGTATAATAAATACCTGTGATCTCTTCGGGGAAGATTGAGTCTAGGACTTCGCGCTCTTCGATCTGTTCTTCGCGACCCATGCTGCTCGAATTCTTCCGCGGGTAATGAGGGGTATGGGGTTGGAGGTGTTCGACCGTGGATGGAAACTGTCCTGCAGATGTCGTATGGAGGAGGAGATATATCAAAATATTAAAGAGCTGTGCAACACGCTAAATTAATGCCAGATTATCCTTCGGCGCACCTCGCGAGATCGGTTGTCTGTCTGGAGCACTCATAATCCCTCCCCGGTACAATCTTGCACGTCCCACGTGCAAACAGAACAAACAGATAAGAAAATGCCCCAAAATTATTCGACCCAAAAAAGGCCTCCATGCTTCCCCGTCAACCTCGAGTCTCCAGTGTATACTTATATACTTGGTTAAAGGTGTTTTCGCCTCGTTTGTTCCATCAATTACGCTGGTTACTACAGAGTACGTTTCACATATAATTCTCACCGAACAGTAGTACTACCATGGGCAAACCCAGACCTCAGAAGAACAAGAAGAAATCGAAGTCCAAATCCGTTCTCGGCGCTGGTGGCTCCGTCTCGAAACAGAAGATGAACGAAGACCCCTCGAAGCTCCTCGATCAAGCGATCATCCTCCTCCAGACTGGACAGGCCGATGCTGCGCTTACACTGGCCCAACAGGCCCTCGACCAGGCCCCCGCCAACTCGCCGACCCAGCTATCGGCGCTGAACACCGTTGGAGAAATTTGCGTCGAGCTTGGAGAGATCGATGCTGCAAGAGGACACTTTCTGCACGCCGTGGAGCTGGACCCGAATGGCACGATACCGGAAGCTCAGGGTGGCGGCGCCGAGAAGTTCTTGTGGATGGCCCAATTGAGCGAAGCTGGAGGGAAGGATAGCGTCCAATGGTTCGAGAAGGGGGTGTCCGCTCTCAGACATGCTATCAAGCTGTTGGAAGAGAATCCCGGGCCCCAGGAGGCCATTGAAATGGAAGAAAAGAAGCGGAAGATGGCGAATGCTCTCTGCGGAGTCGCTGAAATTTACATGACCGATCTTTCGTGAGTCGCATCTGAGACCCGCACCTCTCCATATACATTAAGCTAACAGTCCCAAGTTGGGAAGAGGATGCAGAGAGCCGCTGCGAGTCCCTTATCACAGAGGCTCTGCTTGTGAACCCGAGTGCCCCCGAAGTGCTCCAGACCCTCGCGTCCATCCGAATCTCACAGCTGCGAACCGATGAAGCGCGATCCGCCCTCACTAAGAGTCTCGAGCTATGGAAGGATCTGCCACCCGAAGACCCGATAGTTCCGGACTTTGCGACCAAGATTAGTTTGTCTCGTCTGCTGATGGAAGTCGGCATGGAGCTCGAAGCCCTCGAGGTGCTTGAGCGGTTAATACTGGAGGATGATCAGAGTGTGGAGGCATGGTATCTGGGTGGATGGTGTCTCCAACTGCTGGCAGAGAAACAGCAAGCCCCCAAGGACGTGGAGGAAGAGACGGATGTATCTCCGGAAGCTAGGCGGCATGCTTCTCTTGTCGCTAGTCGCGAATGGCTGAAACAAAGCCTGAAGCTCTACGACCTGATCCAGTACGAAGATGAGCGGCTCAAGGAGCATGCGCTCGAGCTGGTGCAACAAATGAACAAGGAATTGGGCGAGGATATGGAAGACGACAGCAACGCTGAAGACGGAGAGGATGGAGAGGACTGGGAAGATGAGATTGAGGCCGGGTCCGACAGTGACCATGAGATGGCTGATTCTTAAAAGTTCCATGTTGATATTGACGAATTCTTTGTTTATGATACCAATAGAAAAGATATATCATGTTGAAACAAGACTCATAGTAGCTGGCGCGATTATCACGTGCAACCACGGCAGGCTCTTTATTAAGATTCCAACGCGCATCATGGCGCGATCTCCATAAATCACACCATCCTTATCATCTCCCAACCTCACTATTATTCCTTCGGCTTTGATCGCGTCCTTCTGTCAAGTGATATCGCCCAGCCATCGGCGCCGGATAAAGTGTTCTCCGATCCTTTCGCCGGAGATTCGCAGAGCCAAATTTATCCCGGCCAATCGACGTAGCGTGGCAAAAAGTTCAATGTGAGCGAAGAGTCGGCCTGAGGCTGCTGGAAACGTGTACCATCTCGCGTTTAAGATGGACCTGGCACCAGCGCCCAACGGAGAGAGCCCGCTGAAGAACCCGGTGGTCGAAGTGGAAGCCGTTGATATGGCCTCTGCCGAGGTTGAAGGTGGCATGGCGACAGAGAACCCTCTCGCCCTGGAGGGCGAAGGGTCCGCGTCGGAGTACGAGTCCGACAGCGGCGACTCTGAAGACTGGGAGACGCAGTCTCTATACGAAGATGCCATTCAGGTTCTTCGCGACGAGCAGCTCCGCGACGGAGGTAAGACTGCCCTTCAAGTATACGGCTCCCATCAATTTATCCGCTAACCGCGCTGCTGTTACGTAGTGCCCGGTGCCTGCACGCTGGACGAGGCTATCGCTTTTCGGAACCGCCTGCATGAGATTGGCAAAGCTGCGTTTGTGGAGGAAACAATCGCGCGGGACACGGTCACTGCGAAGAAGTTGTGCACTGCGTTTGGTATCATGCCGCCTGCTTTCCTTGAAGGTGCACCGGACGAGGCCTACCATCCCTTGCTGGCTATTGCGATTTCGCGGGAATTTTCCAGACGTCCAAAACTCCCGCAGTACAACTCCATTGATGATGCTGTCAAGTTGCTCCAAGAGTCCAAGAACATTGTCGTGCTGACAGGCGCTGGTGTAAGTATCGCTGGAGTGAAGCCTCCTACTCAGGTGCATATGTACTGACGAGATATCAGATCTCAACAAGTCTCGGAATTCCAGACTTCCGTTCGAAAGATACTGGACTTTATTCGCAATTGGAGCACTTGGGTCTTAGCGACCCTCAGGAGGTTTTTGATATTCACGTCTTTCGAGAAGATCCGAGCATTTTCTTTTCTATCGCAAAGGACATCTTGCCCACAGAGAAGAAATACTCCCCGACTCATGGGTTTATACGACTACTCCAGGACAAAGGAAAGTTACTCACGAATTACACCCAAAATATCGACAACATTGAGGCCAACGCGGGTGTCGTCCCTGAGAAAATCGTCCAATGTCACGGCTCGTTTGCAACGGCCACTTGTGTCAAGTGCCACTATAAAGTCCCGGGTGATGCCATTTTTGACGACATCAAGAAGGGCGTTGTCCCGCAGTGTACCGCGTGTCAGAAGCAGATTGCTGAGGACTCGTTGAGGCCCCAGGGGCTGAAGCGCAAACGCAGCAGCAACGGAAACCACAAGGGTCGGAAGAGCGATGGCGAGGATAGCTCCGAGGATGAAGACTACGAGATCCCGACTCCAGGAGTGATGAAGGTTCGCGAACTTCTCAAAGTCGATCCCAGCAGATGTGCTAACTGTGTCCAGCCGGATATCACTTTCTTTGGCGAAGATCTTCCTGACGAGTTTGGCCGTCGCCTTCTTCACCACGACCGCGACAAGGTGGATCTAGTCATCGTGATCGGCACATCCTTGAAGGTGGCGCCTGTAGCGGAAGTCCCCGGCGTGCTCCCTCGCCAGGTGCCTCAGATCTACATTTCTCGTACAGTAAGTGCTGGACAGTGTCTTCTCTCATGGGAGTGTGCTGACTGGAATCCAGCCGGTGTCACATACTAGTTTTGATATCGATTTATTGGGCGACTGTGACGTGGTCGTCTCCGAACTCTGTCGCCGGGCTGGCTGGGACTTCCAACATGAGATGATTCCCCCCGACGAAAAGGTCGAGGTCACCACTGTCGAAGGATACGAGTCACGACATGTTTTTAAGGTTGTCGGCGCATAGCGACGGTGTTTGGTCATGGTATCGTTGGCTCTTGACTCCCTGTTACTGGGACGGCGTAACACTTTGGTTTCTTTCTGGGTCTTTGGAGGCTTTGATTGCTCTGGTTGCAAGAACGGGATTTGATGTAGACACGACTGGTCGATACTTGTTCATACTTTCTTGACGATAGAGGGCGAGTCATGTCATTTGCGTATGGGATAGGCGGGATTTTCTTGGGCTTTGTGTTAGATTTTGAGCATAGTTGCGAACATCCAAATTGTCTTGCTGGGTTATTTTTGCCTTGGGATGCGGGTTCCGAAGAAACAACATGAAAAAAATATCCAACTCCGGGTCTGATCCATCATCATCCCCACATCCACCTTCCACCAGCAGCAGTGTTCAGTAGCTGGATCTTTTGCTATACCATATCACCTTCGCTCCACCCGTGAGAGACGAGGATATTCCCATTCCTTTTCATAGCCCTATCTGGGCCAGACGCACGCGACAATGGAGTATCTAATCCGCTTCGCGCAGTCTCACGAGAGTTTCCGACGGCCAGAGATCGAAGCGTTAGCGGATCTTGCTGGGATTGCTCTAGAGATTCTCTTCTACGATGGATCGGTATGTTTTCTCCTGTTTACACTGTTATGTACCACCATTGTTCCGTTTGGTGGTGTGAACTGCTGTTCACCTGAAATTTTCTCCCCGCTCCCGCCGCCCAAAATTATACATATCCATATTTGCCTCTTCTACACAACCCACCACTGACTCTCCACAGTCACCGTATTGCCTCGTGAAACTCCAGAGCGAGGATGACGCACGCGCTCTTATCACGCGCAGTATTCTAGCAAAAGATATCTTCGAACTCTGGGGCCAAGGCGCCAATTATGATGAACTCCACGCCGACGTCCGCAGGCGGACGCAGCATCGCTTCAAGGACTACCTCACCGTCCCGTTCCGCTTCACGGTCGAGTCCGCCTTCTGGAAGCGCACCCTGGACACGAAAAAGAAGATCATCCAGTCCTTCGCCTACATGGGCTTCCAGGGCCCCATCCGCATGAACGACCCGGACGTCGACTTCTTCGTCCTGGAAGAATTCAAGCTGCGCCCCGCTGTCGCCGGTGTGATCCCGTCACCGCAGCCGGTCGACAAGAATGGCAAGGAAACCGAGGAGCCGCAGAAGATCTTCTTCGGGCGGCGCGTCGCCTGTAGCAGTCGCGAAATGGTCCACCGGTACGACCTCAAAAAGCGCAAGTACATCAGCACCACCTCGATGGACGCCGAGCTGAGCCTCGTCACGGCCAACATGGCGCACGCCGCCCCCGGCAAGATCTTCTACGACCCGTTCGTCGGCACGGGCAGTTTCTGTGTCGCCGCCGCGCACTTCGGCGCCGCAACGTTCGGCTCCGACATCGACGGACGCAGCTTCCGCGGCCGAGACCAGAAGCATGGCGAGCCGATCGGCCTGCTCGCAAACTTCAGGCAGTACGGCATCGAGAGCAACTACCTCGATGCCTTTACGTCCGACTTGACCAACACGCCACTCCGCGATTGCCCGCTCCTGGACGGCATCGTCTGCGACCCTCCGTACGGCGTGCGCGAGGGTCTGCGCGTCCTCGGCACTCGCGAGGGAGGTCGCCAGGCCGTGCCTGTATGGGACGGCGTCCCTGTCCATCTGTATTGATGCCTCGTGGCTCACTCCATCACCCAACATATCGCTGACACAGACTCTAGTCGCCCCGGCTATATCGCGCCCAAAAAACCTTACGGCTTCGAGGCCATGCTCGGTGATATCCTGGCCTTCGCTGCGCGAACACTCGTCACAGACGGACGACTGGCCATGTGGATGCCCGACGCCAACGATGAGGACGTTGAGTACCTGATTCCAATGCACCCGAACCTCGAAGTCGTCCATGTGTCTGTGCAGCCGTTCAGCAACTGTGCGTTTCCGCTGCCCCATGCATGATGCTAGAGCATCCGCAACTGACTTCTCGCGCAGGGTCCCGTCGACTCATTACCTACCGGCGACTCCCGGAGGGGCAATTCTCAGACGTCTCGCAGGCGCGGAGCAAGACCGATCCCCAGGGAAGTAAAGCCGATGAACTCAACCCGTTCCGAAGAAAGGTATGAGCGCTGCAATCGTCACATCAACAGACAGCTAACCAACCGATCCGTAGTATTTCCAACGCGTATTACCTCCCAAAGAGCAGCCTTCTGATTAGCCATGTCCCTGATAGAAATGCCATCACGACGTCAATCGATCTATTCCAGCAGTAGCACATACCTAGATCCATCTATCAAACCGTACCAGCGCAAAGGTATCATAGAACAACCAAAACAAAACAAATACCACTCAGAGCTTGAGCTTCCCCAGTCCCTTCCGCTCAACATCCCAATCCGCTTCCAGATCAACACCCTCAGTTCGAACCCGCTGTACCTCCCTCGCCAACTCGGCCCGCAACAACCCCGCCAGGGCCTCCCCTTCCTCATCGTCCAGTTCGTCCCTCTGTCCGCGCCCGAACATCACCCAGCTAGCCTTTGCCGCCGTCGGCGCCGGGTCCAAGGGCGGCCGGGGGATGACATGGAAATGGACATGAGGGACCTGCTGCGCGGCCCGTTCGCCTGCTCGAGTTAGCTCGCAGCATACGCATAGAGTTTAAAAAAGCAGCTGAAAACAAAGGCCGATCCATACCGTTGTTTTGCACGACGTTCCAGTGCCAATTCGAATCCGCCTCGTCGCCGTAGAGTGTCCGCATGACGACCCGGGAGATGATGGGCAGCCACTGACCGATCTGCATTTAATCAGTCGGAAGGCAAAGCAATATTTAGAGTATTACTCTTCGTGACGACCATGCCTAGGATTAGACCTAAACTCACCTCGCGACTAGCTCGAATGTCCATATCCCCCAGCTTCTTGTAGTGATCTCTCGTCGCGACCAGGACATGGCCTCTCGTGAGTGGCATGATGTCTAGGAAGGCCAAGACATGTTTGGTTGAGAGAACTAGAAAGGCGTGTGTGTCTGACGGGTCGGATGGAAGAGGAACCGCTGTCTCTCCTGTTTGGTCTGCCGAGAGAAAGCGTGAAGGTGGAAGAGGGGGATGGGCGGCTGCGATATTACAGAAAGCACATGATGGGGAATGCGATGGCATGTCTGTCGCGCTCCGTTATATTCTGGTTTATAATTTATGGATCTGCGTATGCGATGAGAAGCAGAGCGTTGAAGCACGGATAGTTGAATGAGGTGCAGGTCGCCGAAGACATAATACTCGGAACCTCGGTTCGTTTTTCGCACTCGGCCAATCACTCCATGCAGTATGGGCTCTACAAGAGACAACAGTAGAATCATTCCTTCGATTCATTATTTCCCCGGTATAGACAAAAGAAAAGGCCGTTCCCAGGCTGGTCATCTCACTGGTCCGAAAACTTTTCATGTTCAACTCCCACATCACAGACTCCCGCATTCTATCCCTTCATCGTCCAGGAACCCGACAAACTCAAACATTGAGCGACAGTGATTGCGTCTGTAATGAGCAGGGCAATTAAATCGAGCCGAGCTGCATGTAGGAAATGAAATGTCCGAAGAAACGAAGGGCGAAACCAAAAAGAATTGCAAATACATTCAAACGACCCTGGTGCATCCGACGCCTGCAGTATAAACAGGGCTTATGAAGGTAAAAAAAAGGTATCAGAGAAGTTAAACCCGGCGGTGCTGCCTCCAGAAAGAAAAGCAAGAGGATTAGAGAACACAATACGAGCGCCTGACGCCCCTGGAAGTGGATAATGCCAACGTCCGCAACTGAAAATGAAAAAATGCCGTCGTAAACATATGCAAGAGGTACCCTAGACCATCAAACGAAGAAATGCCAACATATGGAATCACCCAACTCCCATTCTCGATTATCTGCCATGGAACCCCACGGTCAGTGACTTGTCATGCGGTGTCGTCTCTATTCGTGATCTTTGGTGTACTTGTACGCTTGACTGAGGGAGCTGTCGATGTACAACGAGTGGTATTTCTTGGCCCATTGCCGAGTAAGGATGGATGCTGGACGATATTAGAACAGTTCACCTTCAACCATTGGTCAAGATATCATACCCTTCAGGAACTTCTTGCTGGCATACTTCTTGAAGAAGGCTTCGTGGCAGACGGGGCGGTGGAGGTAGTCCACCATCAAGCGGAAGACAGGGTCGATCTGTTCTTCCGTATACCCGGCGTAGTGGGCCAGAGTGGCATCCTATATCCATATTAGTTGGTAACCTGGTGGTTTGTCCCCAAGGGTGAGCATGCTTACCCAAGGACCGCGCTCCAAGATCAGGCGGGCCAGGTACATGGCCGCAGCAGCCACATGGCTCTGTCGGTAGCACATGAAACGATGGTCGAGAAGGCTGATTTCCATAAGATACTTTCCGAGGGTGCGGGTCTGAATGTCATAGTTGTCGGCTTTGGAGATGCGGCGCAAGAAGTTCATAGGGTTGGGGAAGCTCATGTTGTATTCAAGAGTGGCAAGAATGTGACGTTCGGCATCCAAGATCTCCTTGTCCGTGAAGGTCTCGTCGGCGACGTGACTGAAGTTGGCCACGTGAGGGGAGAGGACCTCTTCGTACTTCGACGCGATGAACATAGCGGCCACACCGACCAGCTGCAGGCGGTCCAGAGCCACGACCTCCGCGGAAAGGAAACGGTCGATGATGTTGACGGCAAGGAAGAGGGTTTCAGGGAGAAGGCGGAAACGCGTGTGGACCTCAATGAGCCAGTCGACAAGAATACCGCGCATTTTCCATTCGAGGTCGGGTTGATGGTCGATGTAGTGAGGGTTGGGTAGCGTCTCCAGCTCGAGGTCCGCCAAGTAATCAAAGATCTCAACCACATACTCCGCGGCCATCAAGGGGTCATCCAGGTCTTCAGCATCCAGGTCCTCCACACCCGGCGGGAGCTTGCCCAAAGCAGCAGCCTCAACAGCTTCCTCGGTTTCCTCCACAACGGGAGCAACTGTGGATGCGGCTGCCTTCTTCTCCTGAGTTTTCTTCTCCACGTCCTGCTTTTTACGGGGCGGCTCCTCCTGCTGCAGGGTCTTCTCTATCGACTTTTGGCTGGCCGACCGCTTCATCTGTCCACTACCCAATCCAGTTCCCTTGGCATCCTGCTGGGACTTCTTCGTGTTGGTGTCCTTCTGTCCCAGCGCGGTACGGGACGAGTTGGTCTGCGACAGCTTCTGGACGCCCCCGGATCGCATTGTAGCTTTCGAGGTCAGACCAACCTTGGTGGCGGGCTTCTTGGATTCCTTGGTGTCGGCGGTCTCTCCCTTGGTGACGTTACTCACATCGCCAAGAGCAGCACGTCTCCGCTGGGTTCCAGCGGCGGTAGTAGTTGTGGCGGCCTTCTTTGTCTGAAGGGGCTTCTTCGCGGCAGCATTGGCAGTCGGGACGTCGCCAGCGGAGAGAGCAGCGGCCTTGGCCCGTGTCAGACGCGTCGAAGGACCGTTCTCATCATTCTCGTTCATGGTGCCCCTTGTACGGAGGCTTCGAGCCTGTTGGGCTGTTAGTTGGGCCGCGGTTGTCTGGGTTATAACAAGTTAGGCCAATTGAAGTCACGGCCTAAGACGTCGACGATGACGCGTATGAAAAGGGTGGAAGACTTACCGGAGGCATTGTGTTGAGGGAGAACGGTGACAGGGATAACTAGAAAGGTCGAGAGAAGATGGAAAGTTGAATATAATTACTGCCAGGTCGTCTAGTCAGCATTCCAATGGACCTACGCCAGTGGAGCTTGAATGCCTGGGAGCGCTGTTGCACGTACCTCGCGTGAGTGTGCCCAACCAAAGGGTTTGTTACGGCGGAGGATTCCTGCAAGAAGAGAGGCAGGAATTTGAAAGGGGTTTGGACGTGGAAGAGCGTCAAATATGGTGCATCTAAGAGTTTGTTGACGTTGTTGACAGAGTCCTCGAGACCCGGGTCACGTAAGTCTGGCGGCGCGTGTGTTCCTCGAGAGAGGTGCAAGGGTGGAAATGTTGGCCGAAGCAGTAGTGTTATAGACAATGACGCGAGAAACAACCAAGATCAAAGTGGGTTGATGGGGTTTCTCTCGAGTAGATGTTGGTTGGGATGGTATGTAGAGGGAGGAGGTGGTTGTCAACTTGACAGGGCAAAAGCGATGTTTGGCCCTACTCTTAGCGTGGAACTGGGAAAGGCGGATGGGCCCCACAGCACAATTCGCGCGGCACTCAGTGGCTGACGACAGGAATCTTGGATCGACTCGTAGGCAGTAAATTGACCGTAAAAAAAAAAGATACGGACGAGAGGGATTCTCAATTATGATTAGGTTGAGAGATAGGTAGGTATGTGCAGGAATGGAAGATAGAAGATTTGTACGAAGGAAGAATTAATGGAGAGGAAGAGAGAAGAGGAGGAAAGAAGGGAGAAAAAGAGGGAAGACGCCGAAACGGCCACGAGAGGGATGCGATCTGGTAATACTGGTAACTTCCACGCCGGTAATAAATGACCGCGTACGGAGTAGATGAGCGTCTTCACCCGGACAACGTTTCTTTTCAATCGATAAACTCTTTTCAGAGACGAGTTACTCTATGCAAATCTGCGATTAACAGCCATGCGAACAATGGATAGACTGTAATGATACCGTCAGAGGGTTGACGGTGGTAGTGGTGGATCGAATGGCATCCCGTCATCCGTCGCGATGCGCGCTGCGATCACCAAAACAAAACGCCCGTTGCCCAGCAACCAGTCGGGCTTCCTACGCTTTTCGACGTGTCGTTCCGTGTCGCGCCGTCCCGTGACTGCCATTACTCATCGTGACCGTGTAGTGGCGGTGCATACGTTTTGCACCGCCACGAGTCAGGTGATTTGTTCCTCCCCAGCCACATCGCGCCAAAGACATTTTCGTCTCCGAACAAGCAACATCCATCCGGAGAAGAGTACCACAAGGAACTTGGTCCCCTCTGCCGCCAATTCCTCCCGGGGTGATATCAGCAGTCTCTCGGTCTATGCTCTTTTAATCTGGTTTGTTTTAGAGCAAGCATGTTTGACTGTTGAGCCGCTCCTTCGCATACCACTTCTCCGATAGCGTGCGCGCACTCCGCAGTTTGCGAACCACCACTCCGGATCATTGGACCTCTCTCCAATCACCATGATGCTGCAGCCTCGTCTGGCCTTGACCGGCCTTCGCCTTCCCTTCCGTTGTCTGTCGTCGATCTCCTCCCGGGCCTACTCGACGACGATCCACGAAAAAGAGACCCCCCCGACGGAAGAATCATCTACCTCGACCTTTGATCCGAGCATTGCCTTTGCTCCTCCCCCGACCCGCGATGAGGCCGGTGTCCTCCTCCGATCGTATAAGCCCCGGACCCCCGGTATCCGTCATTTGCGCAGACCCATCAACGACCACCTATGGAAAGGTCGTCCCGTGCACAAGCTGACCTTCCCCAAACGAGGCCATGCCAAGGGTGGTCGTAACAACTCCGGCCGAGTTACCATCCGGCACCGTGGTGGTGGTCACAAGCGTCGGATTCGCATTGTTGACTTTGAGCGAGCGGCACCGGGCCCCCACCTGGTTGAGCGCATTGAACACGACCCCGGCCGGAGTGCTCATATTGCCCTGGTCCGCAGTCAGGAAACTAAGCGTCTGAGCTACATTCTCGCGGCGGATGGCATGCGGGCGGGTGATGTCGTGCAGAGCTACATGTCTGGTATCCCGAAGGACCTGTGGGAAAGCATGGGTGGAGTCGTGGATCCTGGTGTGCTCGCCGCCAGAACCGCCTGGAGAGGAAACTGCCTGCCATTGCACATGATTCCCGTCGGAACTCTGATCTTCAACGTCGGTCTCCGCCCGGGCAAGGGAGGTCAGCTGTGCCGTAGTGCCGGAACTTTTGCGACGGTCATTGCCAAGGGAAGCAACTCCCAAGCTCGGCCGGGAGAAGAGGAGGCCGAAGAGGGCGCAGAGGTCAAGAAGCTGACCCAGCGTGAACAGCAAAAGCAGCAACGCATCGCCGAGCATGTCACCATCCGTCTGCAGAGTGGCGAGGTCCGACTCATTCACAAGGATTGCTGTGCTACTGTCGGAGTCGCTAGCAACCCCAACTACCAGTATAGTCAACTCGGAAAGGCTGGTCGGTCTCGCTGGCTGAACATCCGACCCACCGTCCGTGGTTTGGCTATGAACGCTGCGGACCACCCTCACGGTGGTGGACGAGGAAAATCGAAGGGTAACGTCGATCCCAAGAGTCCCTGGGGTCTACCGGTACGTGTCTTGACTTCTGTATGATCTAAATTGCGTTCTATACTAACATCTGCCCAGGCCAAATCCGGTTACAAGACTCGCCCCAAGTGGAAGATCAACAAGGCTGTGGTTGTTCCTCGGGTGCGCAACCAGGGCAAGCGTCGCAGAGGATACAGTTAAACTACCCGCCGGAGTTTCGGTCTTCTGTTCTTGTCACTTGCAATATACAGGCGGTTACCGTCTTGCTGAAGGATAGAAGCTTGACCATATCTGCCTAGAGCCGTGTGCTGTGCTGCTTTGGACCGGCGGAGAGGAGTTGTCTACGGTCTCTTGTACTATATCGGGACACATGGGGTGCAAGACATGCAGACTTGGCTTGTTCGGACGAGTTTACCTGTCTATATCCCACCTGCGCTGCTTTTAGACCGTTCTGTTTGTCATGCATCTACTTGTCTCGCGATGTGGCGTTGTTCTTGTATTATATGGGTTGAAATGCACATCTTACTCGGAATCCAAGTACCGTCTGGTCCTGACGTATGGTCGAGCTGTGCCTGAGTCTCGATGAGGGCGTCCAACCTTAGTCGCATCTTCGTCTAGGCATCCGTATTGATATAGGTGGCTCGACCGGGAATACGAGCTTCTTGCTCTTCTGATTCCGTGGCGTTCCACTTGCTTCTTGAGGAACCGACTTGTCCACGCCAGCTTACAGACGAGTGTGGCTGAGCACACTTTCAGACGTGGTTTATGAAGACACCAATTGCGGATCTAAATCCTCCAGTCGACTTTAGTGTATATCCAGCGATGGAGCCAAGCAATTTAAAGTGGATGACTGGTGCGATCGAGACGAAGGATCTGATAACCAAGGCATCAGTGGAGGCGTAGACTGTAAGTAAAAACATCTGTAAGCTCCAACTCCCTCTCAAGTTATATCCGTATCCTATTCCCTGCCCGTTGATGTGGTTGACATTCGTGATGCTCGTGATCGGCGTCTAGGCCATCGACCGACCGACCGACGTAAGACACACCACTTGCCGCCGCCTAAAACCATTCTTCATCCCTCTATCGCTACTTCTCCTTCATCTCCCTCTTCGTCCCCCTCCACCAGGCCATGGCGGATTTCCTGAACGACCAGTTACACCATCCATCGTCGCAAGACTCGTCCCACCCACGACATTCCCCGACAGACGCAAACTGCCCGACAGCATCCACCTCCGCGGGCCATGCCGACGCCGACAGCTCCACGTATGTCCCGCGCATGAAGCGCATCGCCTGTGTCGTCTGCCGAAGACGAAAGCTCCGATGCGACGGAAAGAGACCTAGTTGTGGGACGTGTTCGCGGCTGGGCCACGAGTGCGCCTACGACGAAGTGCGCAAGAAGAGCGGCCCCAAGCGGGGTTACGTCAAACAGTTGGAGGCACGACTGGGTATGTCGATCCATCTTCGTGTGTTGTAGAATCGCGTCCATGCTCATACCTCTCTTTCTGCGCAGCCCAGGTCGAAACCCTGTTGAAAACTCAGGAGCAGCCGCAGTCACAGCCACCGCAAGGAAACAATTTCCCCGTCGCAATCCCGAACGACTCCACGAATATTCCTGATCTCCCCTCGCTCTCAAATGGCATCGACGAGCCTCCATCGCCCTCCGCTGGTCCGGCAGGCCAAGTACCAGGGGCCTCGATATTCCTGCCGCCAGTGGTGGATCATGGGGAGACGTTTGGATGGGACATGATCAGTCTGGGACTGGAAGAGCCTCTCCCCACCCGTGAGGTGATCGACGAGTTGTATGTCTAGGCATGGCTTGCGCATGGCCCTTCCATGCAGGTTCTAATGTCAAAGCAGAAACCAAATCTATTTCGAAAAGATCCACCCTTCACAACCCATCCTCCACCGTCCACGGCATATGGCATCGATGAACCTCGCCCCGAACGTACGGCCACCCGTGTGCCTGCAGTACATGACCTGGTGTCATGCTGCGTCCGTCAGCGAGAAATATTCGAATCTCCACGGGCTGTTCTACCAACGAGCTCGCAAGTACGCCGAACTAGACGAGACGAAAGGCCTGGGAGAGGGCATTGTGTCGCTGGCGCATTGCCAGACGTGGCTTCTCATCAGCTCTTACGAATTCCGCATGATGTTCTTCCCTCGCGCGTGGCTGAGCTGTGGAAAGGCTTCCAGGTTCGCGCTGATGCTAGGTTTGAATCGGATCGATGGCGCGGTCACAGAGGTCAAGCAGTCGCTTCCCCCGCCGAGAGATTGGACCGAAAAAGAAGAACGACGACGAGTCTTTTGGATGGCGTTTTGCGTCGATCGCTACGCCAGCGTCGGCACCGGATGGCCTGTATTGTTTGATGAGCGCGATGTAAGCACCAGCCGCAAGCTTTCTGCACATGGAGATCTGACCTGGACAGATCACGACGAATTTACCCGCATCGGAAGAAGCATTCCTGCAGAACCAACCACAACGGACGGTCCGCTTTGAGGATATCATAGTGGGCGATGGGCTTTCAACCCTGTCTTCATTTGGAGGGGTCGTGATCATGGGGGTCTTGTTTGGTCGGAATCTATCCCATCTCCATCGCCCCGAACCGCACGAGAACGATAGCGACCTCAATGGCGGATACTGGCAACGGCACCGATCCTACGATAACACTCTGCTCCATTTCGCCCTTGCGATGCCGAGCCATCTCCGGCTTCCTGCGGGCATTCTCGACCCCAACGTGGTTTTCTGCAACATGGCCATCCACACCTCCACCATCTGTCTGCACCAGACGGCCATATTTAAGGCCGAAAAGAACCAGATGCCTGCGCAGATCATCACCGAGAGCAAGCGGCGGTGCATCGTCGCCGCAGACCAGATCTCCAACATCATGAAGATGATCAGCCATCAGGACCTGACAACGGTAAGCATAAACATCTGCCCTCACTCCTCCCAATGCCTTCCGGCTCACGCGCCCTAGATGAACCCATTCATGTCCTTCTGCGTGTACATCGCCGCGCGTGTCTTCGTGCAGTATCTCAAATCCCGCCCCGAAGATACCGCCGCCCGGTCCTCGCTGCAATTCGTCTTCTCCGCGCTCGAAGCCCTCAAACACAAGAACCCCCTGACCGAGTCTTTCCTTGTCCAGCTCGACGTCGACATCGAGGGCACACCCCTGCGGGATCTTCGACCTCGCAGTGCCACAGTAAGCACCGCAACTCCCCTAACCCCTCCACTCACTCACACCCCCAACCTAGACAACAAGTCAATCCGGCAACTCCCCAACGGAACCCGCCTACATCAAAGTCATCGGCAACTGCAGACTCCCCGACACCACCATCTCAAAAGCAATCGCCGCCTACCAGCAGCATCAACAACCCCCCAACCACACACCACCCTCGTCCCTCCCCAGCCGCCAGAAGCGAAAACAGCCCTCCCCTCACTCCTTCCACATGGACTCGACCTCCTCCTCCACAATATCCAGCGACTTCACCCGCCAACAGTCGCAATATAATGCCTCCGGCCCAGCAACAACAACAGCATCAGGTACAGCAATCGCAGACATGGACATGGCCCCCGAATTCGCCGACGCCAAAGCTTCGGACTCCTTCCTCGCCTCCGCCGACCCCCCCGCGGCTCAGGAACAGCCGCAGCAGACGCCGTCTGCTCCACTCGAGAACAACGCGTCAATAGACCAGCTCTCGCTCGGAGGAGGCATCCACAATCCGTACTTGGGGGACATCCCGCTGTCCGCCCGCGTGCTGCCCACTGGCATCGTCACCCCGCTGGATTCCACCGCCTCCGACGGGTCTATGCCGCTTCCTTCGTGGGACTTTAGCGCCACAGCGCCTACCGGACAGACTCCGGATGGGGAGGATATTGACTTGTCGGCCACAAATGTGGATTTTACCGAGGCTCAATGGGCGCAAATATTGGGGTCGGGCTGGGATGCATGGCGAAATCAGGGAAGCAACTTGTAAATGCTGGCGGTTACTTTGACATACACGAATACCCTATACGGAGTACATACGAGCAATCTCTACTTAATGTGAACATAATGGAACCAGCTTTATGAATTCTACAAGCCACTGAATTAACACTAACGAAGAATAGACTAAGAATAGGGATCTAATAGATCACGGAGAAATGAAGTACGATAAGCAAGAGAACGGAAGGCAAGGAACAGGAGAATCTGTCAATCTAGCCGCACTGTCCGGGATACTTTCTGCTCTCCAGAGGGAAGGGGAAGACTCCATTATCCAGTAAGTCCTTCATATCCCAACCAGGGGCACCCTGCTCGGTCTTCCAGTTCCAGAACAACCAGCCGCTCTTCATCTCCCAGGCGTCCAGCTGGGCCTCGATGAAACGGCGCATGTTCTTCTGGTCGTCAGGAGAAAGGTCGCTCACACTGCCTTGAATAAAGGGGCCACAATCGCCGACACTTTCACCGCCCATCGCACCATCATAGCGCGCCCCAACGCCACGGCCGTTCAGATAACGCGCACAGTCGGTCATAGCACCGGTCCACTCACCCACAACGACGGGCTTGGTCGCGGGGGCAAGTTGCGTGCGACCAAAGTCGCAAACACTCCTCACATGGTCGTCGACGCTCATCCGCAGCAGGTTGATGTCGAACACTTCGTAGTGGTGGTTGTCCATCACAATGTTGCCACTGTCGCTAATGAAACCGTTCCAGGGGGTGGGGTTGATGAAGCCGTCTGAGAACACCAGGTCAACATCAGGGCTCATCTGCGTCACAATGTCGTAGGCCTGCTGGTAGTACTCCTTCAGCTGGTCCTCATTGACTCCTCCCGGGATGAATGGCTCATTGACTGCTTCGATGGCGGTAACCACATCACTGCTGGGGACGTAGCGCTCAGCCAGCTTCCGGAACGCGTTGACGGTCTGGCCTAAAGTGTCTCCTTGGCCCCATTGGATGGCTCCTTTGCGCCCACTGTTGTCAAATCCATTCTGAGAGCCCGGAGCTGGATCTTCTTGTTAGCGATTTGGACTGCGGAGCACCGATTAACAGGGTACCCACCTCCGTGCAGATCAACAATGACCTTGAGACCGGCTGCTCCCGCCCATTCAATGGCCCTGTCAAGATACTCGAGTTGACCGTCCACATATGGGTCACCTGGGAGAGCCTCCACGGCCCAGTAACCGATGGGAATGCGGACGTGGTTCATGCCAGCAGCAGCGATGTCGAAGAAATCCTGCTCGGTGATGAAGGTGTCCCAATGGCCGATCAGCCGAGCCTTGGCTTCATCCTGGCCGAGAATTTCGGTATATGTCCACTCATCGACGGCGCCATCCGGGGCCGCATCGAAGAGACCCGGTGACAGCCATGGCTCTAGAACAAGCCAGCCCCCGAGGCAGACGCCGCGGACCATCTCAGTTTCATAGTCGAAGGTGGATGCACGTTTTTCCAGCCGACTGTTGAACCAGTGAGCAGATGGAATCAAATTGGAATGTGTGTGTTCTGCAAGGGGCGGGCCGTCACTCACATTCCTGCAGCATCTGCGCTGGCAGCCAGCACAGAAAGCGCCAGAACGGCCTTTGACAAGTTGTACAACATCCCGAAATCCAATCGCTCACACAAAAACCAGGAGGCTGGGCGTGAGGTATAGTTTCTGAAGGAATCCTGCACCAATGGAATGGAAATCGCCTGGTTTAAGTAAACAAGCAGCTGGCGGGAGGGAGGCCGAATGCAGATCGCTCACAATCCGGCCAGATCTAAGGGTTTTGACACCAGCCAGTATGGCCGGACAGACTGCTTTCAGATCTCTAGGCCTAGATTAGGACCTTGGGTTGTAGCCTTGCCGAAAACAGACAGGTAAGGTGTGGGGTAGTCTAGTGTAACAAACAATGGCTGCTAAAGATACAATGAAGGAGAGGACGGCGAACAAGAGCCTTGTCTTGTGGCCCACTGGAGTCACGAAAGAGGTATACCGAGTTTCGGTCTTAGGTAGTGAAGGAGTTGTGGGGAGATCGTAGGAGAATGTGGAGGGAGTAACTTATCCCACCCCAGTATCCGCTGAAGCCATACTGACAAGAGAGTGGAAAGAGCGACTGTCCGCATATTGAGGCCGCAGTGGAAGTCAATGAATGGGGTTGTACTGATTCATAGTGGTTGGGTTGGGAAAGGGCGTTCAGAGCCCCAGCTTTCCGGGCTTCCTATATTGACAACTGGACGATATTGTGCCAGTGCCGTGCCAGTGTCGCTGACTCGAAGGACATCCGCTATACTGCAGTGATCAGTCGAGGCACCAGCTCATGATTCAGTTGTAGAATTCTTCACACAGTTAGCACTTCGTTTTGGGAATGCGATCTCATGATTTGCATCCTCTAGAGAGCAACCGATCTTGTAGATCGTGGTGGATGTGAGTTTGATTGCACAACGTGGGTGTGGCATTCCTCTGCATTCGGAAGACTTAAGGGAACACTTGCGTGGACTCGGGAATCGATCAGTTCCCCTAGTGAATCTCGCGATGGGAAGGGAAAGGGAGTGGTTGAGCACAATAGGATCAGACGCATCCGGTGATGTCACGTGACGCACGTGGTGCAGGTGGCTTCTGCAGAAGCGGCTTGAACAGTCAACAACATTACATTGCAGCGCTGCAGTTGCAACCCAAACCCCACGCCATGAGCGGCATGTGGCTGCCCTGCATACCTCCAGGGTCGCATTATTATCCAGGGGCGCCGCCTTTTCCTACAGTGGACCAGTCTACAATTCCCGATACCGATCCTTTTGTTTGTTGCCGGAGAGCGGCCGCAATTTCTCGAGACCCCATGATGACAGTAAGTTGCGAGTCCGATCTCACTAATCATGGAAGGCATGGAAACCAATTCCGACCCGCCTCGGTGATCACCAGGCACTATTACCCATCTGGACTCGAAATCCGTTCGCACGCGGATCGGCCTGAAAACCTGAAACTTCCGTGGAGACGACGATGAAGACAACACAGAAGGGAGAGCTGCCGTGGACAACGTCAGGACGGGAGTTATCTTCCATATCGGTTGTAGACTGAAACACACGAGGTTGCTCAGGCCGCGAGGAAGCTTGGATTCATCAACGAAGAACACAACCCCCGCATTTTGTTGCTGGATAATGTGACTGGTGTGAAGAGGACGGCAAGGTTGTTCGCATCAATTGGTCACCGAGATGCCTTGTATGAGACAGAGCACAGTGCACTTCCAAGATAGATTGCGTCCTCCAAGTGAACGTCTCGGGGGCGCTTCTGGGTGCCGTGGATTTCATTCTTTACAGACTCTTCGAGGCCTCGCAGATCGGCATACGGGAAGATTAGATGCCTTCTAGGCGGACTCGTCTCCAGAGCATGTCCAAGAGCAAGGTCCATGCACTCGCATCTCAAACACCTCAACCGTGGTACCGAGATGGATCGTGACAAGCTGTCGATACATCATTTCGGCTGTGTCCAACTCCACGCCATGGTGAATCAGCCATACGAGATCCGAGGAACACCCGGATTGTTAATACTCCGTAGTTCACGAGTATCCGTGCTACCCTTGTCCGGTTCATCGACGTACGATGGAGTCGTAATTGCGCAGTTGTGATTTGTGAAGAAGGACTTTAGGAACTGATTATACCCAAGGTGGAGAATCGGCAACGGTTAGTGGAGAAGACGCGGCACCATCTTGGTAATTTGCTCCGTGGGTGTCCGCTACGGTTATGATATTGCTCGTTTGATTACCAGGGGGGTGGGTGATGAATCTTCCCCGTTTCCTGCTATGCCAGAAGCGACGGGAATGGGTTCTGTTGATAACGGCTTCTTCTACATTGGTTCATGCCGCCGATCATTGTGTCAGGTAAATGGGCCACCCGGAGACGTCAACTTTTCTTGACAGGACGCCATGCATCCAGATTGATGACATCCCTGCCGCTGCCAAAAGCCTAAACATACATCACTGTCCGCCGCATGGTCAAGTGCTTCATCTTCCGACTTCAGCATTTAGATTTTGAACTCTTCTGCTATAAAAAGAAGTCGGTGAGGCCTTATCCACCCTTCTAGAAAATAAACCGGTTTGGATGGCATCAGGCCATACGGCGCAATATGCTGGGGGGGCGGACGGCCGTAAGCAGTGGGACTTTTTTTCCTCTCTTTTTTTCTTTCGGTCTAGTGAATCGATCAGAAAAATTTCTAATTCGGATCATAGGCAGAACTCAATTAGAGACTAATATCGTCCCATGAACACGTCGAGCCCACTCCAGTGCCGACACGATCTGCCCGCATCACACGACACTGAGTCAATGTGGTTCGTAATGGGGGAGCTAGGGAATAGTATGATGAATACATGCTACTTCCCTCTGTAGCGCCGACTTCGCTTAATAGGGACTATTGTTGCTAGGAAAGAACATGGCGATCGACGGGGCAAGCAATTGCCGCGTGTACCACGAGTTATGAAACAATCCATTGTTTGATGTGCAATGGAATTCCCATGGAGCAGAGGAACAAGGGAAATCTATTTCCTGCCTTTAGGTCATAGATGGAGTACAATGGGGCCGGTTGGGCGCGGAAGGGGAATCGCAGAATCGTCTTAGATCTATGCAGGTAAGCAGATAAAAAAACAATAGCCTGACAGGGATCAAACAATGACCTCATGCATAACCACCCAGAACTATTGTACCTATCCTTCTCATTACTACAGAGCTATTATTAACCATTCTAAACTCTATCACCATCTACAGAAACCCCAGTATGATCGGAGGATTACTTTCGTAATCTTGACAGGTCGAACCGCCCCACGGAACCACGTGTTTCATCCATCCCAGGCGCAGTAATTAGCAATATCGGAGACCATCACACCACTGGAAACTAGTCTCGGGATCTCTCTCAAATCTTGACGTCTGATCCCGTCGAGCCACTCTCCTAGCCTGAAACAGTGACCCTTCCTGGTCGCAATGGGACCAGCTCCTCCGTGCGGAGGCGGGTGGACGATGTCCAGGCCGAGATTTCCCTACCCACCGTCCATCGATCTATAAAATCATGCCATGTCGCCGCCCTTCCCATAGATTCCCTTCTTCGTGTCTTCCATTCTTCCATTTCTCTTCCAGACTCTTTCCTCATTCACCTGTTGCCATTGGGATAGCATCCGTGTGTGGTACTATCCACCTCCATCAATCCGGAACTCCTCCCACAACAGTATTCAAGCTGGATCCTCCTAAGCCTCCCCCAAAAATGGAAATCCCCATCGACCCCGGCCGTCCAATCAAACATGTCAGTCGCAAGGCCCTCTACACCCGGCTCGAGGCCCGCATCAACTACCTCCGCGACATGCTGGACTTCAATTCCAGTACGTTCCATCTGTCCAGACCCGACCCAGGGCACCGTGCTAACCGTCTGCTCCCCAGGTGACGTTGAAGCGCTGGTTGGCGGTGCCAAGTACATCAAAGCGTTGATCCCGGCCATCGTCAACATCGTGTACAAGAAACTGCTCGAACAAGACATCACCGCGCGGGCCTTCCACACGCGAGACACCGCCGACGACACCCCCATCGAGGAGTTCTATACCGAGGAGAGCCCCCAGATCCAGCGGCGGAAGATGTTCCTCCGCTGGTACCTGATCCGTCTGTGCTCGGATCCCACGCAGATGGATTTCTGGCGGTACCTGAACAAGGTTGGGTGAGTGGCTCTACCGTGACGCCCCTTCTTCCACAGGAAGAACGACAGCTGACCGCAACAGAATGATGCACTCGGGCCAGGAACGCCTCCACCCGCTCAACATCGAATACATCCACATCGGTGCCCTGCTCGGCTTCATCCAGGACATCTTCACCGAGGCCCTCATGTCGCACCCGCATCTCTCCATGAGCCGCAAGGTGGCGCTCGTGCGGGCGATCAGCAAGGTGATCTGGATCCAGAACGACCTCTTCGCCAAGTGGCGCATCCGCGACGGCGAGGAGTTCGCCGACGAGATGTCCGAGGTCATCATCGACGACCGCGAAGGGTACCTGGGGGAGAAGAAGATCCTGGGCGACGGCAGCAGTGGGAGCTCCAGCGACGACGACCGCTCGAGCATTGCCAGCAGCACGGCGCCGTCGGCCACGTCACCGTGTCCGTTTGCGGAGATCTCGCGGTCGATGTCCAAGTCGTCGTCCGAGACGAAGATCTGGGCGGGGAAGTAAGCTCCGATGGGTGGCTGCGTGTCGGGTGCATATCGGCGTCTGGGTGGGTTTGATGTTTCTGGTAGAGGACCGGTGGTGTTAGGTTTCGTATCGGTATTCAAAGATATCCAGTTGGTTCAATATATTCGTGTCTGTATGGGACGGTATCTACCTAGTAGTGTACGGAGTAGGGTGTGGAAGCCGCGGGTAGTTCCCGACGCATACCCAAACAGAGTACAAGCATCATGTCAATCATGTTTGACTCTAAACTATGCCTAAAGTTTCAACCGCACCGGCAGTTGTCTACGGAGTGAAGACGTTCTAGGTATTCTACTGAGAGTCCACGTTACTGCCGGTAGTTACTCCGTACTTAACTATACTGTCAACGATTACTAAATCTTTATGCTTTCTTGATAATAACAGGTGGCCCCGATGGGCCGGCGCGGGACTACTCCGTACCTTTAACTCCGTAATTCCGAGTCCGTTTTCTTTGCCCACACAGTCAGTCTACAACACAACATGGTGAACAAAGTGTCAGGGGCGCGACTCACAGGTCTATTCAACAGATGTCCAGGGGATGAACTCCATAAGGTATCACTACGCTGGTTCCTACATCCATGACGAGATACCGCGCGTTGAAAGCATTAAAGCACTGGAATGCCTCCCGTCAATGTGGGGATGGAGGATTTCCGAACCGCACCTGAGGAACGAACGGGGGCATATCGGGACAGCCTCTCCTCCCCCACCAGCCGATCCAGGACGCTGCTGAATTTAGTGGGAGAACGTGGAGGACATCCAGCCTCTACCAATAATTAACGCTCCCTTACTGGCGCGGTTTCTCACCCCTCATTGCCGCATTTTCTCCCGGTCCCCCCTTCGCGGCCCCCCTTTAACCCCTCACCTCGCCTCTTCTCCGTGCATTCCAACTACTTAGACCTAGGTGCGTCGAGAACCCTACCTTGTCTGTCTTCTACGTGAAAGTTAACAATTGCCCTCCAGAACCATGACCATGGCCGACATTGTCCCCCTCCTCATCAACAACGAGTCCATCGTGACCGATACCGTCTTCGACGTCTACAACCCGGCCACGGGACAAGTCGCGCACCGGTGCGCCGGCGCGTCCGTCGACGATGCCCGGCGGGCCGTCGACTCGGCCAAGGCGGCATTCCCGGCGTGGAGCAAGACGACGCCGAACGCGCGGCGCGACATCCTCCTGAAGGCGGCGGACATCATGCTGTCGCGGCGCGAGGAGCTGATCGCATACCAGATAGAGGAGACGGGGTCGCAGCGGCCGTTCGCGGAGAAGACGTTTGAGATGGGCGCGGCCTTCATCAAGGACTTTGCGGCGCGCATCCCGTCCATCGAGGGCGCAGTGCCGTCCGTGTCGGAGCAGGGCGAGTGCGCCGTGGTGTTCAAGGAGCCGTACGGGGTGATTCTAGGCATTGCGCCGTGGAACGCCCCCTTCATCCTCGGCACGCGCGCCGTGCTGCTGCCGCTCGCCGCCGGCAACACGGCCATCCTCAAGGGCTCCGAGCTCTCGCCCAAGTGCTTCTGGGCGCTGGGCGACATCTTCCGCCAGGCCGGCCTGCCCGACGGCTGTCTGCAGGTGCTGTACCACAAGGTGACGGATGCGCCCGCCGTCACCGAGGCGCTCATCGCGCACCCGGCCGTCCGCAAGATCAGCTTCACGGGCAGCACGCACATCGGCGCTGTCGTGGCGTCGCTGGCGGGCCGGTACGTGAAGCCCGTGCTGCTCGAGCTAGGCGGCAAGGCGGCCGCCATCGTGCTAGACGATGCGAACCTCGAGCGCGCGGCGTTCAACTGCGCCCTGGGGGCGTTTATGCATGTAAGTGTCTTTTTGCGAGGTTTGGGGGGTCTGTTTCTAACAGGAGTAGTCTGGTCAAGTGTGCATGTCGACGGAGCGCATCATCGTGCAACGCGGCGTTGCGGAGAAATTCCGCGAGCTGCTGGCTGGTGCGGCGGAGAAGGTGTTTGGACAGCACACGCCGGCGCCGGTGCTGGTCGCGGCAGCGGCGGTGTCCAAGAACAAGGCGCTGGTAGCGGACGCGCTGGCCAAGGGGGCGGAGGTGGTGTTTGGCGACGCGGCGGCGACGGAGGCGTGCGGGAGCAGCATGCGGCCGTTGATCGTCGGCAACGTGACCAAGGCGATGGACCTGTACGCGACCGAGTCGTTTGGGCCGACGGTCTCGCTTATGGTGGTGGACAGCGAGGAGGAGGCGGTGGCGCTGGCCAACGACACGGAGTATGGACTGTCCTCGGCGGTGTTTACGGATAACCTGTTCCGGGGCCTGCGGGTGGCAAAACAGATTGAATCCGGGTAGGTTGATCTTCCGCTGACTACGAATCTTGGAACGGGGATGCTGATCTAGGGTCTGACGTAGGGCGGTCCATATCAACTCGTTGACGATCCACGACGAGGCGGTGCTGCCACATGGAGGGTACAAGAGCAGTGGATTTGGGCGGTTTGGAGGGGCGCACGGGTATGATGAGTGGTTACAGACCAAGACGGTGACATGGGTAGAGTAGAGCAGTACTCCGTAGGAGTAGTATATGCATTAGGATGCAGTATAGTATATGCAGTATGATGAGGAGTGAAGTCATGTCATGTCCGAATGGAGTATGTCGTGCGATGTAACCTTGCTCATGTTGAACATGAGGTTACATGGTGTTTTTAGTATTATTATTAGTATCTTTTAGCATAAAGTCATTGTGAGGTGGACGTTGACCGCCAGAATCGATAGTTCGATCGGTCCAAGACAGGCCCCAGTTAAGCGAAGCGCTACCGCAGTATTTTCGGGGTCTTCTTCTGCAAGGATGCACGTTGCCGGAGAATTACAGTACATATACTATTATATTACAGAGCATTATTATTATCATGCTTTGTACCTAAGTAAAGGATTCAGGCTGAGCGGTTTAATTAAACCCAGGCTGAGCGCTCCACCCGCCGTCAGGAACAAGAAAGGAGCGACGGCGGTTCATACCCAACTGTGGTGGTGGTTGTGGGGGATGGGTTCATCCTCGGAGGAGACAGCGATGATCAGGATGATCCTCCTTTCATTCCTCTACAGGTATCTCTCTCATATTCCTCTCACCTCTCATCTGATCTTTCATACTCTACTCTGTCCTCTCCTTTGTACTCCTAGGCAACCCCTGCTGCCTGGTCACCAACAGTAAGACAAGTGGGGTGCATTTGCAATCTTAGTTAATTTCGAGGATTCCTCTTGAGCAATCGCTTCGTCGCCCCCAAATAACGCGACCTGTTAGCGCTCAGCCTCATCCAGGCCAATTTCACAAACTTTTCTTTCGGGGAGACTCCGTTTGTCTCTGTCATACCTGATGTATGGAGTAGAATGTTCGGTCTCCTGTCATACGTCTGTCGTGTCCTGTACCTGAGTAGCTACCCACCTAAGGTACATACAGTACCTATTGACCTGTTCTGCACCACCTCGTATCTGCAACTGTACCTACTCCATCGTGAGTCTCCATCCAGGTAACTAAACCATCATCTCATCTCAACAGTCTAAGCCACCCTAGTCCATAACCTTCGTCCCTCCCAGTGGAGGCATTCCACGCCTCCCGTTGGCGAGCGGCTCGTACACTAGTCCTGCTAATCTCCGGACTAAGACCATCGCATCCAGCATTCTCAGGGTCTCTGTCTTGGGAACAACCACATTCCACCCAGTCACGATGTCTCTGGCCAGGCCCTAACGGCCTAGCTCTCGCCCTAGGAGTATTTCATCCAACAATTCCCTCGCCCCCTCCTCCTTTCTCTCTTCTTTCTCTCTTTTCCTCTTTTCCTTCGCTTCGCTTCCTCACCTCGCTTCCAACTTTGCCTCTCTCTCTCTTGCATTCGGCTATCAGCCTAGTCACTCCTTAAAAGCCTCTCCCTCTGTCGGTCGTCTCAGACATATCATCTTCTTCCTTCGTTCTCATTCTCAATCCCATTCATTCGTTACTTTACCATCCACCATGCGCTTCTTCACTGCTGCTCTCGTTTCGGCCCTGGCTTCTCTGGCCGCCGCCACCACCTACACCCAGCCCGACTACTCCAAGGCGCCCAGTGGTAACCCCATCCTGACCCCCGGTCTCAACGAGCTGGTCCCCGTCGGCCAGCCCTACGACATCACCTGGACCCCCACCACCGAGGGCACCGTCTCTCTCGTCCTTCTGCGCGGTCCCAGCACCAACGTCGTGCCCCTGGAGACCCTCGTCGTCGGCATCCCCAACACCGGTTCCTACAAGTGGACTCCCGGCACCGAGCTCGAGCCCGACACCACCCACTACGGCCTCCTGCTCGTCGTCGAGGGCACCGGCCAGTACCAGTGGTCCACCCAGTTCGGCATCAAGAACCCCAACTACGGCACCAAGTCCAGCAGCACCACCACCTCCGCCGCTGCTACTACTACTGAGACCACCGCCGCCGAGACCACCGCCGCGGCCACCACCATCGTCGACCAGGAGACCACCACCATCTGCCCCGAGACCGAGACCCAGGCCCAGTCCACCATGACCCCCACCACCATCCCCGTCGTCGTGCCCACCTCCACCGCCGTCGTCTCGACCACCCTGAGCTCCTCCGCCATCCCCGTCCCCACCACCACGGCCACCTCTACCCCCTCCACCAGCGCCCCCGCCATGCCCACCTTCACCGGCGCTGCCGACCGTAAGGCCATCAGCTTCGGCGCTGTCGCCGTCGGTGTCGCCGCCGTCCTGGCCTTCTAGACCTGTGTAGCGCATCTCATGTTTACGTTCGTCTCGGCCGCTTGCTGATGTTTACTGATGTAAAGCGCGCATTCACTTCGTGTATTTATTCTACGATTTAAATAATGATCGTTCTATCCTCAGTCGTATATAGAAATAATACAGTAGTAGTAGCTGCTGCTATGTATAGATCTATGTAGATATGATAATGATATGATAATGCAGTGGAGCCGACGATAATCATCCCTCCCACGTGACCCCGATAAGCAACAATTTTCTCCACCATCTCTTCCCTCGCAGACTCCCTTTTACCGACTCTCCTTCCTTTCCGCCCCATTCACTCATTCCCTCATATCATCACAAAATGGCTCAAGGCCTCCTCAAAAAGGCCAAGGCGACCCCCGCCAAACGGTACGCCCCTCCACCCCCCTTCCAACCCCGATGCCTCGTCGCTAACAGCACCAGCACCAGCTCCTCCACCCAAGGCCCCAAACGGATCGGTCCTCGCAACGTCGCGCCCAAGAAACAGTCGCTCATCAAGCAGAAGAAACTGACCAAGGTAAATACTTGCCCGTCTCCCTATCGACGTCGGGGTCGATCGTGCGGCGGTCGCTGACTGGGCAGAAACTCACGGCCGGTCTGACGGCCAGGACGGAACGCAGTCTCGCCGCGCGTGCGGGCCATCTCGAGATGCTGGCTGGAGGGAAAAAGGACAAGAAGGAGAACCAGGGGAAGAAATAAACATAAACATATGCTGCCAATATCGGACCTACGAATCATGATACCCCCTACGTTCAATCGAATGGAGAAGTTGAGAACGGTTAAAAACTATGTACGGAGAAACATGTACAAATCGGAAAAACATATACAATCGTCCAACTTCGTCACTCGTAAAACATCGCTGAGGGTATCTTAAATCTAATCAGTCCATCTCCCAAGTCAGACCTTCGGAAGCCGACTCGGCACGCCCGCCTGCTCGATCAACTCGCGGCCCCGCTCCATCCACCGCTGGAACCCTTCGTCCGTCGGGTCCACGGGGAAGTCGTCCCACACGGCGTTCGCCGAGTCCGCGTACGTCGACCACACGCCCTTTGGCACGTCCGCCATCGACCACGACGGCAGCTTCGCCAGAACGCATGTGTAGTACACATACAGGATCCGGCAGAGCAGGTCCACTCGGTCCACGTAGTGCTGCTTGCTGGGGTCCGGCTCCTGGCCCCCGTCGCCGAGCCGTTTCCACCAGGATACCCGCCACCGCAGTGTGAGCAGGATGTGGCCCAGTTCGCCCAGGAACCGAAGGTGCGTCTCCTGCGAGATCTGCTTCCACTTGATGTTGTAGAAGTCGCGCTCCAGTTTACGGAACCCTTCCACCTCCAGCATGCGGCATACAATGCGCGACAGCTGCGCCGCCAGGAGAATCTCGCGTCGGTCCTCGGGGTTGTTGATATCCATCGGGCGTTCCTTGCCGTTGGCTTCGAGCGGGACGAAGCTGTAGCTGGCGCGGCTGGGCATGTTGTTCCATTGAGAAAGGAGAGTCTGGATGTCGTTAGAAAGCGTCAGAGGGATATGTGGAGGAACATACATAGACATTGTTCATCGGATCGCAGTCTTTGACACAAGTCAACCAGTTCTTCGATTTGTCCTTCGACTCAACAATGCGTCGGTCGATGAACTCGAGGAAGTTAGCCCGCGAGTTCCCGTTGTAGTCGCACAGACTTCGCAGGAACTTGTAGGTCTCTGACAGGTCCAGAACATAGAGAGATCCCCAAGACTGGCTGGCACGGATGTTGAACCGTCCCTGTCGCTCGCCAAGGAAAGAAAGAAGATTTTGAAGGTCGAATTCGGCGGGAATTTCCATACGAACCCGACCCGATCGATCTAACGTCGGATGATTTACCGCTCGTTGAGCTAACAATGTCAGTAATCGTCTATGCCATTGAATGAAGATGTTCATACAGATATAATTGCACGTTCCGTACTCGACGATGTTGGCGAAACACGCCCGCGCGCACGGTTGTTCGTGGAGCGTTGGGCGACAGGCATCGCACGGAGAGTTGCCGTCACACTATCAACCCGTCAGTAACCACTCTTCGACTGTTATGAGCGTCAACATACCTTGCGCTTGTTCAATCTGCACTGCACACATGTATCCTTGTTCTTCCGTCGCAAACCAGCATTAGCCCGTCCGACCATGCTCAACGGGCCTTTCCGACGCGCCCCGCGAGGCGGCGAGACAAAGTCGGCCGACGCGATGGACCCGCCTTGGCCATCCTCCTGAACAATCTGAAGGGGTTTTGCTTGGTTCTGATCGATGTTGACAGTGGAGTTGCGCTGCTTGCGCTTGCGGACCGTGGCCACCGTCTGAAGGGCTAAGGGCTGCGGGCGCGCCGAAGACCGTTGGGCGGCAGTGGATGAGGCACGGGAACGGGCAGGAGCAGAGACGATAAAAGTCTCCGCGGGGTTCTCGCTGACCATAAAGGCCGTAGTGTTCGGGACGGGCGGGGACACGGCGGGTGAGGTCTCGTCCGAATCGGTGGTCTTCCACGGGCCATCCTCATCCAGCTGACGCTCCGCAAAGGCGGGGGCATCATCGCTCGTGGCTGAGTAAGAACACTCGTAGATTCCGGAGAAATCTCCAGACACCGATGACGTCTCGGACTTGTAGTGGAAACCGTCTGGGCCTTTGGGCTCTTCTTTAAAGAAGCCAGATTCCGGTGGTATGGTCGACAGGGAGGCCGGGGAAGTCATGTTGGTGGGCAGCTGGGACTCGAGATTACTGAGCCAGCGCGATTCGAGAGACCGCATGGCGCCCTGGAAATCGCGGAGAGCGTTGATCTCCTTTCCGGGGGCCTGCGGTCCCATGGACATCGAGGACGGAGTCTGGTTGACCATATGAGAAGCTGAAGGGGTTTCAGACCAGGCCTCCGCGTACGGGTACTGTTGCGGCGGGAGGTTCTGGAACGAGAAAAACTGGTCGGGCGTCAGATCGGAAAAGCCCTGCTCCTGCGGCAGGCTCGCGGCATCGTCGACGATCACGGTGTTCGGCACGGTGGAGGGTTCTTTCGTGTAGGGGTAGAACATCGAGGCGTCCATCGGCATACCGGCAGTCATGGAGTTGAACAGCTGAATGTGCGGCCATGATTCGTCCAGGTGGAAGTTGTCATCGGCTGACGGTAAGGTGCGCGGGCTGACAGTGCCGCTGACGGTCCCTTCGACCGTGCTGTCGATGAGACCAAACTTGTCCAGGGAAGTAGTACCTTGGTTACTGTAGAACGAATATCAGCATCAAACCACCGATGTCGGGGGTCGGATGAGGAATGCGCACCTTCCATCGCTGGAGAGGTCGTTCCGCGGACCTAGGTGAGGAACATGGGACCGATCCTTGGGCCGGGAGGGCTGCGCGGAATTCAAGTCCACGAGTTCACCATCCGCCTCACTCGAATCCTGACTCGTGTCCCACTCCAGAGGTTGTTCGTAGACGGCGTGCTCCCACGGCGAGGGGAGCGAAAAGGCGGTATCGGATTGCCAATTATCGAGAATTTTGGGGTCAATGCCCGCAGCGGTACCAGCAGTCCCGCAGTCCATACAGGGGGCTTGAAGGGGGGCGACAGAGGGGTTGACTTCGAGAATCAGACCCAGGCAGTTCTTAGCGCGTTTGGCGCTGGGATGTGAGGGGGCTCTCCCAGGGGTGTGCTGCGAGAGAGGGAATATAGAGAGGGTGGGTTGTGGACGGAGGCGAGCGTTGGATCGAATGAAGTTGGATAGGTGGGCGATGGAGGGAGTGACGATGATGGTGAGAGAGGAGAAGGAGAGAAGAAGATGGATGATGGATGATGGATGGTGGTGATGAGGACAGAAATTGGCCCAGCGTGGCTCTGACTAGGACGGATCCCCACCACAGATTTTGCGACGATCGGCCTCTACAGCGCCAAAGCTTCAAATGTTGGGCGGATCGTGCACAGGCCAAGATTTTAGTAGAAATAGTTTGACGGTTCGGTATGATTGGTCTTTATACAGAGAATGATTGTTTTAATATGGAAGAATGAAATCGAGAGAGACGAACGTCGAAGATAATAATGTCGTGACAGATGCTCCGAAGTACTACGGAGTACGGTCATGCACAGTCAGGAGGATCGTCCACCATCCACGCACGAGGGGGATCGACTCTATGAATAGTTCTACTGATATTGCCCACGGGCTTCTCGGCAACCGATAATTGCCCATGCCTAGAGTTTGTTTTTTTTCCAATCAGTAGCCAGAAGACCAGCATCTCCCCCATTTTGTCCTACTCGACGCCAAACAAACACGCAACACAGTTTGACGTTGAGTCTGAAGCATATCAGGATGAATGAGACGACACCCACGGGGTGCCGTCCTCCGTGTATCAGGAGATGCAACAGGATGTTGGGTCCACCAGGGTCTTTTTCCTTTTCCCTTCTTATTTTTTTTTTTTTTTTTTTTTTTTTCCTTCGTTTAATTACTGCTTATTCCGTATTATGTATTGTGATGACATGAGATGATTGCGACATCATCAATGGGGTAATCATAACATGCAATTTCTATTGATATTGAGCAGGGGGGAAAAAAAATTATTTCTAGAAAGCGGGTGGAGTCAGTGTGGTGGGAGCAGCCTTGGATTGGCCTGGAGCGGCTCTTCGGTGAAAGAAAAAGGAAAAGACAGATGAACTCCGAAAAGAATGGAGTAACCGATGGTGCAAGATTATCTAATTAGGATGGTTGGAAACCATATCGCAAAGGTGCAGAAGTCGTTCATCTGAATAATGGCAATTCCTAATGATAACTATGTGCATGGTATGAATAACACTGGTCTGAAGGTTTGCAGTGCATGCAGTACCTTATACTAGCCAACGTACTTAGGTACGGAGTACCTAACTACTTAACCTACCTATGTACTGGAGTTCGATTTCATAGTACAAATTAGTCCACTCGTAGATCTAGAACTGGCCAAATCCTACCTCACAGCTACCCTACTCCGTACTCTCCTCCGGTGACTTGCAGACATTTTCGTCCCTTTTCGTCCCCACGAGAGACCAGACAAATTGTCGGCTTCACCGCAGCCTCTTTTCGGGCCCGGCCTGGTCAGCTTCGGTATTCGATGGTAATATAACCGCCTTCATGGGCCCAAACCCTGCTCTCGGGCGGTAATACGCATACCGACGAACCCGTTGCCTCCCCGCAGTTCTTCACCGTGACCACCAGAATTGGAGATGGAGTCGCCTTCTTCCCCGGTATGTCTTCGGGACTCGTGCTGCACGCAGGGAGAACACGGGCTCAGCTCTTATCCAGTCCGCTGGTCTTATTATAAATAAGTTCGGAAGCTCTGGAGCTCGGAAATCCGAACGAAGTCATAGTTCTATACTCGCATTATTATACATTCATTCGTCTCCGCACCGAATCCTCTCTGCTCTTTCCTCCCCGCTTCCTCCGCTAGTCGCATAGATCACATCCAACATGCATATACTGGTAGGTCGACTATATCTCCTGTTCCCTGTTTGCTTCTTCGCGGATCCCCTTTTTTCAATGGGATCTTAGCTGCGTTCAGTCACACGACTCGATCATCTACACCCACTATCACCCTTCCGATAACAAGAACGAACCTAACCTCCCAGGTTGTCAACGATGACGGTCCGCCCTCCAGCCGCCTCTCCCCCTACATCCAACCATTCGTCAATGCCCTCCAAGACGCCGGCCACCTCGTCTCCGTCGCCATCCCCGCCGCCTCGCGGTCCTGGATCGGCAAAGCCCACCTGATCGAAGCCGCCCTGAAAGCCACCTACGTGCCGCCCTCCGCCTTCCGTAACGACGGCACTTGGGACGAGTCCGCTACGAGCGACGCCGCCGCCGATGACAAGCCCGACTGGGTCGTGATCGAGAACGGCACTCCGGCCAGCTGCGTCCAGCTGGGCCTGTTCAACCTCTTCGCCGACCGCCCCCCCATCGACCTCGTCATCTCCGGCCCCAACCACGGCCGCAACGCCTCCACCATCTACAACCTCTCCTCCGGCACCGTCGGCGGCGCCCTCGAGGCCGCCACCTGCGGCAAGCGCGGCATCGCCATCTCCTTCGGCAGCAAAGACCCCCAGCCGCAAGACACCATCCTCGCCGCCTCCCGCCTCGCCGTCCGCCTCGTCAACCATCTCCTCCAAGTCTGGGACCCCCGCGTCGAGCTGTACAACCTCAACCTGCCCATGCGCCCGGACGTCGAGTCCCAGCCCATCCACTACACCCGCGCTCTGCCCTATTACTGGGCCCGCGGCTATCTGTATGCCGAGACGGACACCACGCCCCAGACCAATGGTGTCCACACCAATGGCATCAAGACAAACGGCGTCCACACCAACGGCGCCGCCGCGTCGCCGCTCAAACAGCGCAGCTTCACGTGGGCCGCTCAATTGACCGATATGAAGAAGGCCCTGCAGGCGAGTCCTGAGGGTACCGACGCCCACACCGTCCTAAATGGGATGACCAGGTAAATCCCCTTTGTACTTTGTTTGGAAGCGTGAACTGACGACGACAGTGTCACTGCGCTGTGTGCCAATTTCTCGCACGTCCCTGGCCTCGATGGCCCGCTGGTCCTGGAGAATGAGTATGGGAATTGAATGAGGTCGAAAACGGAAACAATTGTCGGATGAATAGATAGATACCCACCCCGGTTCTTTGTGTTTCTGGCTGCATTGGAGTTTGACCTTTCCGTCCCCTGTTGATCTGGGTTTTTTTTTTTTTATGTTCTAAACCATTGCATTGAAGACCATGATTAATGACAGTATCGTGAGGTTCAGTTTAGGTTCGGGTTCGGGTTCCCGTCGGGTGTATATACATGTGATGGATTGCATGGGATGATGATAATGCAGGTTCCGGACAGGACATGGAATAGAGTCACGATTGCAAACACGCGATAACGGATCGTCATTCAATGCGTAAAATTAGAAAAACACAAGGTAGTGGTATTAAAACGAAAAGAGTACTCAAGTTACAGCGCCCGCGCAGCTTCGCCCGCTCCACTCTCCACCGCCGAGGCCTGTTCCGCGCGCATCTTGCCCTTGGCGACGCCGGCCTCGCCCACGCCCATGCGTCGCGCGACGTACCGCTGCGCGACCACCCCGACCGCCAGCGAGAGCGCCTCCTCGATCCACTCGGCCGCCCACTCGCGCGGGTCGACGCCGCCGCTCTCGATGATCTCGGCGATGTCCGCAGGCACCTGCGCGCGCGGCACATCAGCCTCGTCGGAGGAGGCATCCGCCGCCGGGGCGGGGGTATCCAGCCAGGCGATCCACTTCTGCGGGACGGCCTGCGAGATGGTGTGGAAGGCGATGCCGTGGATGGGGTCGTGGAGGTAGAGCGCGAAGGTGACCTCCTCCTCGGTGGCGTCGGGGACGTCGACGACGCCCGGGGGCGTGGCCTTGTCGGTGGTGGGGCCGGCCTTGAACAGGTCCGTCGACGAGGTCTGCGCGATGGCCTGGATGGCGAGGAAGATGTCGCTGCTGCGGACGGGGTTGGACTCGCTCAACACCTGCGTGGCCTGCTTGGCCGCCTCCTCCACGCCGCCGCGCGGCGAGAAGTACTCGCTGGCGTAGGACTCGGCGCTGGCGCGCGCCAGCTTGGTGGCCTCGACGGCACCGCGCACGGCGGAGATGCTGCGCGGCGTGCCGGGCGTCACGGTGCGCCACCACGGTCCGTCGTGCCAGCCCGGCGCGGACTGGCTACCCGTGATGTCGAGCCCGCGCTTCGGGGCGGATTCCTGCCCGCGCTGGATGACCAGCAGGTCGCCGCCTTCCACCTGTGCCATCACCCGCGAGAAGACGGCGTACACCATCGGGTCCAGGCTGGGGTAGCCCTGGAGGTCGTGGGTGACGTGAATCTGGAGACGCTCGTGGGAGGAGATCGGAGGCGCGAGGGTGTGGATGAGGGAGGTGAAGGTGGGGATGGCCATGTTTCGAAGCTCACCACCTGTACGATGTTAGTAGGAATCAAGCCTGACTTGGCTGTCACGTAGGGTCCATCAGCATACCCAGGTCTCGCAAAGCTCCCACGTTTCCTTTGACCTGTTGGGCCCATTTCTGAGCTTCTTCGTTTTGCTGGATCTCCTTGACGGCAGCTTCGGCCTGCTTCATCGCTGCGCTGGCCGTTGCAAAGATGCCTCCCCACCATCCGCCGCCGCCGCTACTCGAGGGCGCCTCCTGGGCCGCAGACTTCTCCGGCTCGGGTGTCTGCACGTTTGTCGACTTGTTTGCAGCGCGAGAGGTACGAGTGCTTTCGCCCGACTTGCGCGGGGCTGGTCTGTCCTCGCTCGTCCGACCGGACGCGGTGGTGCTGGCGGCGGGCTTGGGGGACCTCGTCGCGGGTCTCGTTTCCTGGGTTGACAGTCGAGGGGTCCCCGGCCCGCTACTGGGACGCTGGGATGCGAGATTGTCCAGTTCGGCGAGGATGTCTTGTTCGGATTGGGCGGGGAGAGCTGTCGTGGTTGGTTTCGAGGGTTGATCGCTGGTCGAGTCGACGCCGAGGTCGTCGAATTGGGCGAGAAGCTCGTCGCTGGTGGGCTTCGAGTTCTTGGGAGGCATCGTGGGCTGTGATATGTTCTGTGAGGTGTGGGTATCTGGGGATGTGGTGAAGATGAGAGATCCAGAGGGAGCTTGCAGTAGTGAGGTCGACAGGCGGTGGTTGTTTTGGGTGGTGGAGACCGGATGACCTGTGCCAAGAAGCGTTAGTCGACTGGGACTATGGGAAGTATGCAGATGATTATGGACTGGTCAGTTCAACGACAGGAGTTCCCAATAAGAAAACTGATAGCCAGGGGTCAGTCGTGATCATAACTAAGCTTCGTTGTGGTTATTCGGTTCTTCCTTGGTGTTATTACAACGACGGTAAACAGTGTGCCTGGATATATATATCTAGCCACATTCCATGAAGGTCGAGCCTTGATCTCAGGTAAGTGTTAACACCACATTGACATACCTCTGCGAGAAACCTATTAATTGTCAACATTATTGCTAGGAAACCAGTGCTGCAAAACAAACCCCCTTATTTCAACCTCGAACCAACGTACCAAAAGCAGACAATGCAGCGAAGACCGGAGAGAATGCAAAACTACTCCAAGAAAGCACCAAAAGCCAGACACAGCTCAGAAGCCGTATGAGTCAGAGTTCTACTTAGCGTGTTGAAAAAGCCCAGTCATCTCCAAGATAAACATGACCCCAGGATAGCCGGCGGATTCGGGTACAATAGCGGACGCTGGTTCCGCGGGACGTGGGGTTGGACAGAGAGACCCGGCATAAATAGCGTCTCCCCACCATGGCTGGAAATCTCTCGCAACTCCATTGTAGGCTGTTGAATTGCTCAAGAAGAACCGACTCGCCTTCTGTCTGGTGCGCATATCCTAAGTCAACCTATCCATAGACCCGTGACTCACAACCACAGATACAATCCCGAAAGCTTGTCGGATATCGATCACCATGCGCCTCCCATACGTACCCAATCCTCCTCCCACCAGCACGCCCGAGGAAGCAGACATTCTCGCGCGGGTACAGGCCCGTCGCGGCGCTGGAGGCCTCATTCCTCTCGACAGAGCTCTGCTACATTCGTTCCCCGTCGCCGATGGCTGGAACTCCTTTATTGGCGCCATCCGCACGCATACCAGTCTCACACAGCTGATCAAGGAGCTAGTTATCTGTCGTGTGGCAGTCCTCAATGAAGCGTGGTTTGAATGGGAGCACCATGCACCGCTCCTGCGAGAGGGCGGATTCAGCGAGGCTGGCTTGGCTGTGGTCCTCGATAAGGAGACGGATGTCTCGCAGAAGGTGCAGGAGGGTGTATTGACGCCGGATCAGTGTGCCGTGATGAAGTACACGGACGCCATGACGAAGACGGTCAGTGTTCCCGATGAGGTGTTCCAGGAACTCAAAGGGTTCTTCAATGACCGGGAGGTGGTGGAGATCACGGCTACTGCAGCGGCATATAATTGTGTGAGTCGGTTTTTGGTCGCGTTGGATGTTGGGGAGAAGAACAAATAAGTATAACGAGGTGATTTGGTTCGGATACTCTCTATCCTCTTTGTAGAAATGTAGTATGACACAATCCATGTAAGATTCTGGGGGATCAGCTGCCGAGGCTGGACGATAATCATCCATGATCTCCTATGCTATGGTCGCTTTCATTGTCTCTGATCTCTTTGTGTAGACGACCGACTATTCGAGACTACCAGCGCAGCATCATACGATCAAACTTCCTGACCATTGACTGAAAGCACCTGACAAATATCTAAGTACATAGGCACGTAGTAACGAGAATCATGGGCATCGAATATACCTCATAGAACACGGGAGTATCTTACAGTTCCAATACAGAATAGATACCGATTGTATAGTCGCTCCAATGACAGGGTTGTTCGGGTTGTCGCCACACATGTTGGTGAAATGACCAGAACACGGTCTTTTAAAATAGAGATAATGCACAACCACACCATCCAGCAGTAAAAGCAAAAAGAAAACTGCATCCAATACTAGATACTCCGGAACAGAACAGAAGCATAGACGGAAGATCCATCCGGAGGCGGTCTTTTTCCGGTGGATCCCAGGCTGGACCATTCGGGTATAGCCCCATTCCGCCCCGGCCTCCAGCCAACCAGGGAGTGGGCTGAGGGAACTTTCTTACTACTACGACGCCTTTACTTCCTACCTTACCTACTCTTTTTTTCCAACCCTTCATGATTGTTGTTCACCCTCATCCATCGCCATCCTCGCTCTTCTTTCCCACCCCCATCCACTCCTCATTGCATGGCTTCTTCTCTTCTCCTTCATCTCCTGTATTAATTCTCGCTTGCCCATTCCCTCTTCTTCCTTCCTCCTTTCTTCTACCCCCCTTTCCTTTCGTACTTCTGGACCCCCTCTGTTTCTGGGAAAGTTTCATACTTCCAGTACTACGACTACCACCATTCTGCTCCTGTTGTCCACACACTGTCGACTTCTCGTGTTTCTCTTCTCATCCAAGAGGATCACTCCAGTAGTCATCTCCTGAAGACCCTTTTCTGTTTTCTTCCGCGCTTCATTCTCCCTTTCTCATCTCCCAAATCCCTAAGGCCATCCCAGCATACTACCCGGTCGAGCTTTTCTCTGGCTGAACCACCGCCCTTTTCACCCTTAACCTCTCTACCTCTTCTCTTCTTACTTCCTCCTTTTTATGACAAGTCTCAATCCTCATTCTCCTCATCCTCCTCATCCATTTCTCAACCTCGCGTGGAGCCGATGAGCCTGAGCGTGATCGATACCATACGTCGTTTTCCTGGCTTACCCGCTCGGTTGTTCTGTACTTTTCCCGTTTGAGAACACAACTGCCTTCCACCCATCATCCACTTTTCTCCAGTCCCTCTACTACTACTACTTACGACTATCCCTGCCAACTGTTCGCGACCACCAAGGTCGATATCACCACCCTTCCACCTTCTACGTGGCTTCAACGTCCGGCAGAGACGTCAACCACTTTTCATCATTCGACAGTTGTCCTGTCTCGGTCCGATTTTGTTGATCATCCAAGGTACGTCGCTTATCGCGTGTCCACGCCTACATCTACTCTTCCCCTGTCAACCCATCATCGTTCACTTATCACCTATATCTGCCTTGATTTCTCATTTGATCCCCTACATCGTCTTATGGTCGCTTCGTTTTTCTTTTCCGTTTACACCGATGTTCCCCTTTACCCCTACATTTCATATTGAGATTGCGCTGCATCACTACTGGCGTCTTGGCGCCGCAAGCGAACTTTTCAACCCAAGGTTACTCGACCTCACTAGTACCACTGCTTACAACTGCTTAGATTCGAGTCCCAACCTTGGGCCCCAGAGGAAGATCACCGTCCTTTACTTCTCTCAATAATCATCCTCCTCGGGTCTCTTTGACCGCCTGGCTCCACCATCATGGCTCCCGTCGCCCAGAGCGATATTGAAAGGGAGAGCCATACTTCCGATATGGCCAGCCAGGACTCTCCACTGCGCCGACAGTTCTCCGAGCCAATTCATGCTCGCTCTACATCTACTCAAGCCTCACCATCCCCGTCTCCCATGACGCACAAATCTAAATGTGCCTGGTGTGGCGAGTATTTCGAATCGTCGGGCGAAGATTCTTCTTCTCAGAAAGAGGCTCTAAAAGAACACATCGCTACGGTTCATCCGCATATTGCAAAGTTTTCGACCTATGACAGGGCTGCAGATGGAGATGACCAGAGTGCCGCCGACTTCCATGACGATGAGCATCACTTGGACGATGATGACGATGGGGATTCTGAGGGTGCATCTGATGATGAAGTTAACCATACTGCTCACGGAGAAGATGATGGCGATGTCGAAGCTGCCGAAGATGGTGCGGCTGAAATCGCAGAATCCACCTCGGCGGACGAGGACAACGACCGTGACGAAATTGAAAATGATCGACAAGAGCCCGATCTAGAGGGTGAAGGTGAAGGGCCGGAGGCGGATTCCGAACTTGCACTTTCCAATCAACTTCACGAATTCTCGCGCGAACAGGACGCTGTCTCTCTGGACAAGCGCCTCCACAATCTCTGGAACATCCATGACGTCCGCAATTTCTCCGAGGATTATGAGGAGCTATCATCCGGCCTCGATAGGACCTGGGCAAAGGTCTTCCACGACTCCAAACGCGGCAAGAAACGGGATGCATCTGAATTCTCGGATCGACCCAACCCGTATAAGATGACGAAGAGCACGAGGGGTGAATTTCTTGAGATAACCTCTTTGGAGGACTTCCTCTCTCAACTCCGTGATCCCGAGACGCGCTCATCTGATGAACTCTACGCGATCACGGAGAACGTTGCCTATGCTTTGAAGGCATGGCAGGATGAATACTTGGCCATTGAAAAGCTCCACAAGCTTGCGACCCGCCACAATGCCAAACCCACCACCAACCCCAGAAAGTTGGACCGACCAGCAGTTTTCGAAGACAAAAAGGAAGCCACACTGTACGGCTACAAACATGATCCCAAGGAAGACAAGGTCGGATTTCAAAATCCGTTCACACAAGGTGGCTTCAAGCCTACCAGTGCTCAAGCGAGACGGATGGCCGCCAAAGCTGGTTCGGACCCTAATCCCGATGGTTGGCCGACTATCATCAAATTCGGTACCCGACACATCCCCAAGTTTCAAAACCCTCCCCGCGAGGAGTTCGTTGGGAAGGCCACGCGCAAGCGCAAGGCAGCAGAACTGGAAGCTGCCAGCAAGGCCAATGAAACTGACGAGACCCAAGTCGAAAGCCCAGCACCCGTTGAGCATGAGGAACCCCAGGCAAAGCGGCGTACGCGCTCCCGTCGGTCGGATATCATGCCTGAAGCCCACCCATCCACGCCTGCTCGATCTTCTGCGCGGGGACGTGGACGTGGGCGCGGTCGGGGAGGTGCCCGCATGGGCTCGCGTGCGACTTCTGAAGCCCCCCAACCCGCTGCTGTACCATCTATCCGTTCGTCTGGTCGCACCCAAGGCCGGGAGCCCACTACTCCCACGACGGCGACGCCGACACCCCGCCCTGCAACTCACCTGCCTCCCATTGAACCAGCCCCAAGCGGTGCTCCTGCAACTACACCTGCCCCTAGCACCACTCCTGGCGTAACAGGCCAAAACGAGGCCCTGGACCCGGCAGAGATCGCCCGACGGGAAAAGATCGCCAACTCGAAGAACCCCAAACGGACCGAGGCCATGCTTAATCATTGGGCTCGATTCAACCGGGAGGGACGCACGCGTAACCCGAAGCGGTCCAAAGCCCAGATTGAGGCTGACCGCGCGGCTGAGGCTGCCAGAAAGGCGGCTGAACCCCCGAAGATGGGCAAGAAGAAGAAGACACCCAATCCTGTCATCAAAGGGCCAACTCGCGTTGACATTGGCCTTGCTCCGGCACCTCATATGCCTCCTCCGGCGTCGTTGGCTCCGGCACCTCCAGGACCACATCATCAACTGGCACCAATGCCTCCTCCTCACCGGGCGTCCCTCCCCCCGTTTGCCCAGGTGGATCCCCGGTCTATGGCACCATTCCCCGGGCCTCCCGGACCTCCAAGCCATCTACCACCTCCACAACCGTACCACACGCCATACCCTTACATGTCGCCGTATGGGGCTCCGCCGCCTCCTTCTCTACCCCCACCGGGCCACCCACGCCCGGCGTAAGGGATCTGAGAGGATCACACATTTCTCTTTCTTTTGATTCTACGGTTTGCTGTTTTGTTTACGGGTAGAGAGTGATATTCTGTACATTCGGTTCTCTTTTGTTGATATGTATCACCATTGGGCCTCGCGATTGAGATAGGACTCGCATCAGCTTGTCATTAGCGTGTCATTTGCAGCGACCGGCGCAGGATTGGTTTTTGTACATTGAGGGTTCGGTTGAGCTTAGGTTGAGGGTTGTACATGTACTTGCTGGGAGGACTCTTCAAGGATTGATTCAGGATAGTGTCTACTAATGATCTTTCAACTTTCACTTGCAGTAATAAGTACTGGGCATAGGACAGGGGATGCATAGGCATGAGTACTGGGAATAAATGCCTGTATACAAAGATGGCAGCCAGGAATTAGTAATCCGCTCCACCAATGACAGCACGCGCATATACCTTAGTCGGACGATGACATCTCAACCGCTACCTCCTCACCCCATACCTCCCCAGCTCCATCAAAACAACTCACCACATCAATAACACCTTCCAACATGGTACTTACTCCCCTCTATCCCACCCTCCACTCCACCGATATCCCGCAGATAAAACTAACAACCGCCCAGTCGGATCTGCAGACCAACTCCGCCGTCGCCCTGGGCGCCCTGACCTCGCTCGGCGGCATGATCGGCTACGCGCGCACCGGCTCGATCCCCTCCATCGCGGCGGGCCTCTCCGTCGGCGCCCTCTACCTGTACAGCTACTCGCGGCTGCGCGGCGGCCAGTCCTACGGCGAGGAGCTGGGGCTGCTGGCATCGGCCGTGCTGGGCGGCAGCTCGATCCCGCGCGCGATCAAGACGAAGAAGATGGTTCCCGTGGGGTTGAGTGTGCTGGCGGTGTATGGATTGGTGGTGTTTGGGGCGGCGGTTAAGGAGAAGAGGGCTTAAGCCGGTGTGGTGCGGTGTTGATATGTTGATGCCCCGAGCTTGCGGCGCGGCTTCTACGTGAGGAATTGGAGAATGGATGGAGCTTGTGTTACAAGGCACGCTACAGTATGCGAATCTACATTAATTGCGCGGATGTAGTGTAGTGCAGCCTACCTTGACTAGACTTACAGTATGAACCAACCGACAAAACCAACCCGTTCCCAGATCCAACCCCTGGACTCAACTGAGATCAGTGCCTCGCTCAAGTGAACGACCGACTCACCATCTTCATCGTCCGGATTGTGCATCGGCAGTGATGTGCCTGTGTCCCGGTAGGAGAGGGAATGGATAGATCCCAAAGAAAGGCCAAGACACCTGCGAGCGAGGGCAGCAAGCGACTCACCAAACTACTGACACGACAATCAGGGCAGGAAGTAGCAAAGTATGACCGAGCAGAGAAAGGTGAAAATGGCGACATTATCTCTAGAGTTGAATTGCAAATCGCACTTAGCTGGAGAGTCTGGTCCATTCTTTTTCCTCTTTCCCTTCGGTGACCTCGCGGCCCCCGACACCGATAGACAGCACTTACGGATCCCGCTGCGACCGAAGGGGATCAGATAGCGTGAAAGGAAAAGCTGTGCGATGGCACATTTGATCGACGAGTCGGGCGTTGTCGAGCCCATCGCTAATCGGCAGCATCGACGACCGTGTCCGAGTCCCGCGTGGCTCCGGCAACAGCAACAGGAGGAACTGCTTCCAACACCGTCTCCCCACGGCGATCGGGAACGAATGCGTACCTGGGCAGTCTAGCCATCTTCTCCTCCGGACTGGTCTCATTGTCAGAATACACCAATCTTGCCTTGGATTTGTCTTTCTTGGGGGCCTTTTCTTCCGGCGCCGGAGCACCGGTGGCCGCCTGGTCCGCGGCCTTGGCTGCCCCCGATATCAGGTCGTCCACCGACGAGGAGATCTGCGCCGTCTCGGGCGCTGCGGTTTTGTCGCCGTTCGACACGCCCGCCGGAGATGTCGTGCCATGGACAGTGTGTCCCATGTGCATCTGTTGCATCTGATAGGCATTGACCTGCGGGGCGCCGACAACTGGCCGCTGAGGAAGGCTGGGGGCCGCGGGGAGACTGCCCTGCCGTTGCATGTAGCTGGCAGTCTGTGGAGGGGTGTGCGTCTGGGGCAGCGGTTGCTGTGCGGGCTGCTGGGGTGGGAACGGCGGTGGCGTGGCTCCATACGCCGGAACGGGCTGTCCAGGGGTCCCCTGGAACGGTTGTGGGGAATAGCCAGTCGGCGTATACTGCGCACTAGATGGGTATTGCGGTTGTCCGCCTGGTGAGAAGTTCTGGTATACTGGACTTGCCGTTTGTTGATAAGGAGAGCTTGCGCCTGCGTACGGCTGGGGATATGAGAATGGTTGGGCGGGGGCGGGCGCACTTGCGGGAGGCTGTCCCTACATGTTGTTAGCATGTACCTTTCGCAGGAATGGCTGAAGTGTCGACCTACAAATCCAGTTTGTCCTGCGCCGATAGGCGTCGCCTCGCCACTGCTGCCTCCCGCGCGAGCCTCGGCTTTCTTGGCTTTGTGTTCCGCCAGCCGCTTCTTGATGTCGGATACACTCTCCAGCTTGGGCTTCTTCGCAGGCTGTCCGCCAGACCCTGTTCCCGGGGGAGGGTTTCCTGTCACGGCCTGCCGCTCTGCCTCCGCCTGCTGGAACTGGGTCACGACTCGCTGGTTGTGGGCCTGGATGACGTCCTCCGGGACACCTTCCATGCCGAAGATCTCGACATCGAGACTGGATCGATTAGGGAGAGCATTGTCGACGGAGGACAGCTGTTCCTTGTGTACTTGGCTCATATGCACCGACAGTCCTAGAAAGGGGGATGTGCGGTTAGCGAGGATGTCGCCTATTGGAGACTCGACACTCACCTCCCGCCGTGTTCAGCCTCCTGCCGCACCGTTCGCATTTGAAGTGCTTTGCCTTCTGGTGGGAAATGAGGATTTTCAGATCATCGAAATCACGCTCGCAGTAGTAGCACCACGGACGAGCCAAAAGTTCGTCCAGCGTCGGACCACGTCTCTTTTTTCCCATATTGGCGGTCTATCAAATAGGTATCAATCGGGATTCAGTGGCGACACTCGGTAAAGCGATTAAGCAGGAGCCGGCGAGAAAGGGACTGTGTGGGCGCGTACTGAGGTTATCACTTTCAGACCTTGGTTGTCGCTCGGAGGGTGAGGCTGCAACGTCACGTGAGATGATGTAGGCCTGTCACGTGGGTCGTCTACAATTTGACCGTCGACAGAAGTTGGGAGGCCAGCAGACAAGACAAATGGCAAGAGATGAAAATGGATTTTGAGTAAATTGGCAACTTGTAAGACATCGTCATACTATCTATCATGCTATCCTGTGCTGTGCTGTCAATCTATATCCAGTCCATGCGATGTACACCAATGCACACTCGTGTAGTTTATCGTAACAATCGTGTAAATGTCATGCCAGATTAATCAAGGTACAGGCTCCCTGACGGAGCCTTTCCAGTATGCAGGGGAACAAGTGCACACTGACCTGTGTGTTGAATCCTCTTCTAGCTTCTCATCTAGTGAAGACTTCTAGAGCGAGGATCGGTAGGCCCATACCCCTCCCCGTACGCGATAGTCGCATCGGGTTCCTCACTGTCTTCAACAAGACGGCCGTCATCACCATCATCATCGTAGTCATCGTCGGTATCATCGCTATTACCCTGGTACCCCTCTGACTCAACCGTCCAGAAAACGGGAATAGCACTCACGGAGGCAAACGTAGCTAGAAGCCACCAGGGGAAGATCACATAGCCTTCCTTTACCCCAAATGAATATGCCGCACCGCAGATGGCGGGCCCTGCGGCCCGTCCGATAGCGCTCACGCTGGTGGCCACTCCATTCAGCGTCCCAAGCACACTCAGACTGGTGGCCGAGTTGGTGAGGAGGATGGTGATGCATGGGAAGCCAAAGATCGACATGAACAGTTTTCCCAGCATGAGCAGGAACACCGTAACGTGTCGGAGAGAATCGGGCGTCAGGGCTGTGAAGGGAGTCAACAGGTACAGGACCGGGAATATCACGACGACAGTTTTATAGCAGTTCAGAACCCCGTATTTCTTTGCTACAGTAGGAAAGACTAGAAACTGCACGAGCATGCCGATGATTCCGATGAGGGTATAGTAGATGCCGATGGTTTGTGAATCTGTCACAGGTCAGTTAGGGTATAGAGTAGTATAGGGAAATTTGAGTATCATACCCACGCCGAACCCGCCAATGAACTTAAATGGCAGATTGACGTCTGGGTTGCCGTCTCTCACTTGGGCTGGACTGTGCAAGAACACTGGGAAGAGTGAATCAAATGCCATGTTATGCATCGCCATTGTAGAGTATGATAACAGAATGATGCTGGATTGCGGTGTGAACACATCTTTCCAGCTGGGGATTTTGACAGCACGTTTAGCATTAGATCTCTTGGGCCGGTGGTCCCCCAGCAAGGCAGTGGTCTCGTCGTCTTGCGACTTGAAGTGGGACTTTCTTCGCTTTGAAGTGCAAGGACGCGTCAGCATGTCGCCAACAAGCAACCCATAATCACGACGGTCCTTTTTGGCTGCCAATGTTTCCTATCGCCGATTAGTAGGGGTCGTAGTTCTCCGAGGACAAGCCTTCTTACTTGAAGGAATAACCACCCGGTGGTGATGCCGATCACAAAAAAGACAGCAGAGGCCAAGTTAGGCAGAATGAAAGGGTATTCCTTCAGGAACACGGACCCCCCAAACAGGTTCGGGTGCTTGACGGCTGGACGCGCCAAAGCGCCTCCAAAGGCGGGACCAAAAATACTGCCGATGGTCCAAACCAGCGGCATGACACTGAAGGCCCGAGGTTGGAGCTCCTTTTCCGGAACCATCTCGGCTACCATGGTTCGGATGATGCCGACATTTCCGTTCATGAGCCCCAGGAAAGCGCGGGCAGTGATCAACATCCCCAGAGACTTTGAAGACCCAAACACTAGGGAAAATATCATCGTGAAGAAGAGTCCCGTCAGAATGATGGGCTTCCGGCCGAAGGTATCTGACGCCGCTCCCCAAGGCACGGCCATGGTAGCCTGACAGATGGAGGTGACAGCGGAAGAGATTCCCACCCATTTTCCGACTTCATTTTTGGAGACGCCGATTTCTTCGATCATCTCTGGCTGACGGGATGTCAGTGGGCGGAGAACGACAGGAAGGAATGGGCAGAAAGTAAGGTACATACAAGGTACGGTAAGACCGAGGTCAAAACCACTGGGGGAAACCGATCAGCGTTTGAGAGACTAAGTATCTAGACTTGGGACTGCCATACCTGGTTCTGCAAAGCGACATATTGCTAGAGATCAGGAGGCGGTTAGAAATATTCGTAGACGCGGATATCTATACTGGACTTGACGGGGACGGAAGACATACATAGAATGACCAACTGCCGCACGGGCAGTTTAAAGGTTTTCTCCCGCATGTAGAGTCAGAAGTCAGTTCTCCGGCCAAGACGTCCACCTGGAAGTCTGGTCTTTGCAAGGGTTGAGAGAACAAACCAGAGGCAGCAGAAGCACGAAAACGCAAACAAAAAGAAGACAAGATAAGAGAAGTGGGACTGAAAGAGGAGACAAGAAGGCTGAGCCTGGATGAATCACGAGGGGGAACCAACTTCTACTCCGTAAGCGGTCCTTTTGGCTAGCGGGTTGGGTGGGTCAGCGGCAGGCGACAGTAGTATTTAGTACTATATGTACTTCGGTTAGGTAGTATGCACAGTATGTAGTAGAACAGGGAATCAATCAATTAGTCGTCATGATTCCTTGATCCTTGAGTGTCGATCCAATCATTTCTTGCAGGTGACTGCACCCGCAGATGTCTCAGATGTATCATAGAGATCGTTGCTTTTTTTGGTGGAATTTCGTTCTTCAAGGCTGGAGGATGTGCTCGGATTCTTTTCCGTGGTGCCTTATTGGTCTCTTGCGAGATCTTATACCTCGTCACATGTACTGAATCATCTTTTCACAGACAGGTATTGCAGCATGAGTTGAGGTTGATTTCTAGAGCCCGAAGACCATACTTATAGTCACAACCAGCAGCTTCCAGATAATCGAGCTCTATATCATACGGTTCGCATCTTCCCGCTATACAATGAGTAGAATCCTCTATACAATTTGGATCCTACTAAGGACAATAGTTCCAAACTTATAGACTTTCTGGAATAATTTCATGACCGTACTCCGATAGGACACCTGCGGGGCTCGACCCGTGTAGTTTGAGCGTCAGTCGAGGACGTACTCGATGACGGGTGGTGCAGCATGATGGGCCATATGCATGGAGCAGCCGCGCTGACGTTTTGGGCGGATATGAACTGTCTGTTTTTGAGGATTCGGGCCATGTCTGATGATGAGCATGTCGATTGTCGGGTATAGGAAGTACTTTAGCAGAAGCAGGCCATGGCATCGTGGGGGCCTAAGACTACGATAGAAAGCAAAATGGTTTAAGTGTGGTTGACTCTCCGTTTTGTTTCTTTCCTAGCTACCCCGTTATACCGGCCGCGGGCGCTCAGCTCTGCACGTTGTCGGGACGCCACTGTATGCAAGCTATCTAGGCATCATCACGCGGTTTCCATAGCGCCAGGAGGAAAGCAACCGCGACCGAGGAGCCGACTACAGTCCAACCACTCCGAGCCACCTGCTAATCTGAGATAGTCAAGACCAAAAATGTCCCTTGTACTGATGTGGAAGGCTGAATTTACCCTCGGATGTATGCTTTGTTTGGATCTCAGTGCATACTTACTCCCGCAAACATAACCACGCTACGCGTCCATTGGCGAAAGCCGCAAGAGCAATTGTTTTGGTAGGAAGATGCCTGGTGCCAGTATGAGTGTGATCCTGTGATACAACATTCTGCCCGATGTGCGCAAGTACATGATATGTAGTATAGAAAGAGGAAAGCTATAGTCTGTCCAGAACCTCACGTATCTGTGACTTTATGTGACAAAGTCCCCGTTCCCAAATGGTGTATCATGTATGAGTGTCATCTATTTCTTCAGCAGCTCTGTGGCCGCTTCTAGTCGCTCAACAATAATGGAGCGCCATTTCTGTAGGAAACGATGTTAGTCGCCATTTACAAAGACAAACCACCCCAAGAGATCTGCTTACCTGGGCGTTGGCCACGTCAGCGGCATCGAAGCTCTCTACCAGCCCGGGGAATGTTGCCCCAGAGTATCCCGTCCAAATGCCAGGTGCGAACACCACGTGTTTGAACCAGCTCCGCCCGTCCAAGCCAGGCTCATACAGGAATTGACGCTCAATTTCCTTGTATTTGACGTTGACGGCGCGGATTTGGAAGAACAACCTCACCTTCTTCCACCAGAGGTACCAAGGAAGATCCTCGTCCAGTTGGGAAGTCAGTTCGGCAGCATGAACATCGAGCTTCACTGCCGCCTCCTGGAACTCGGCAATGGCTCTGTCCAAAGAGCCAAAGTCGAAAGAGCCACCATGGGGCAGCTGTTTGGCGGAGGGCTTGATCTTCTCCAGATACGCACCGAGACCAACACCGTAATCAGTGGCGCTAAAAGCCAGGACGGGCGTCTCCACGAGTTTGGCAGCGGCCAGAGACCAGATCTTCGTGCAAGCCTCGTGGTACAGCCACTGCGGATCACCGAACCGATCCATCCAGTCGAAGCTATCATAGTTGGAGTGGTAATGATACACGGGGTCCTGCTTGCCACGGCTGAAACCAATGTCAAAACTGGGGACGCCAATGAAATCCTGGAAAGCAGTGAAGTCGCTTCCACTTCCCATGGTGCCAATTCTCCCATCCCAGACATCGCGGACAGTTTGGCCCTCAACCGTTTGGTTAGGGGATTGGACGAGACCGGTCACATCGTAGATGACATTGTTCAGGAGAGGACTGGCCACGGGATGGATCTGGGTTCCAGATGCAGCAACATCAACATTAAGATACGCGATGTTAGCATGCGAGAGCCAGGGAATGTTATCCTCGACCCACTCAGTGGATCCTAACAGGCCATACTCTTCACCGTCCCAGCTTGCAAAGACAATGGTGCGCAGCGGCTTCCACCCGGCCTTGAGGGCTTCGCCGAAGCTGCGGATGACCTCGTTCATAACGGCTGAACCACTGTTTGGATCTCCAGCGCCGCCAGCAATCCAGGAATCTCTGTGGTTGCCCAGGATAACGACCTCATCCGGAATTGAGCCTTTAATAACACCGATAACATTCCACAACGGTGTCGTAACATATTCCTGCTCATTGTAGAGGTTGATGACAACATCGTCCGGCGAAGGACCGATGTTATACTCGACTCCCTTGGAGCCAAGCTTGCCACCTTGCCACCACTCGTTGAAGTCTGACGCTTTAGGACCATGACCATTTAGAGCCTTCAGAAGAGGAAGGGCCTCCTGGTACGAGATCGGCAGGGAGGGGATCGATGGAATCGAGCCATGCGGGTCTTGTCTCTCACATCCCGGCTTCGATGCATATCCAGGAGTAGTAGGGTCCCCTGGGGCGATACCTATTGCAACTATGTTCAGCCAAAGCTCGGGTTACAGACTCGCAAGAACCAGGGCGATGCTTACTCAAAAACTGGGTGCTGCCGCGTTGAACAGCACTTGGATTACGAGCCGGGCCGTCCGGATAAGCTTTGTAGCCATTTTCCTCGATGATGTCTCCATCCTCCTGCGGATCATCGTACAAAACCACACCTACCATACCCAGCTCCTGAGCGCGCTTCACCTTGAGCCCACGGAAGATGCGACCATATTTAATGATCGCAATCTTGCCGGTGAGGCTCACGTTGGCGTCCACAAGATCTTGAAAGTCGTGGTACGTGCCAAAATTAGCGTATACAAACGGAGCGGTGACATTGCCGCTAGCGGAGTACCCATGGAAAGTGGGCACGCGATCAGGCAGACCACTGGTGTGGTCTTTCTCCAGCACATCTTCTTCGAGGGAAGCCTCGAAGGTAACCTCGGTCGCATCGCCAGTCTTTTTCAATAGAGCTAGACGATGGTCAACGGGATAATTGAGGTAGATATCGTACGCCACAATGCTCGTGTCTTCGACGCCAAACTCCTTCCAGCGTTCCTGCGTCCATACTGCCTGACTCAGGTTTTTGCCGGCAAGATGGGGACCCGCGGTGTAGTAGCTGCTCCATTCGCGTTCCTTCGCAGCCGAAGGAGTATTTTGGAGGATGGCTTGCAGCTCTTCGTAGGACAGACCATCTCCATGAGGCCAGGAGGCATGCGGGAAGGGATGGGCTCCAGGGAGGTAGGACAGAATAGAGCCACCATCACGAGGAAGAATGGCAGACGGAATGAGGAACAATATTACTGCGATGACCAACACCAAGCTCAGGGAGAAAGTGCAGATCCGTCGCAATGTATGATGAGGATAGCGATATCGCTGGGGAGCGACATTGACCACCAGCAGAGGTGTAGTTTCCGATGGCGCCATGAATAATCCCATGTGCTTTTCCCTCATCTCCGGAGGCATCTTTTGAAGGGGCGGGATAGAACAAGGATGGGGATGGAAGGAAGATGGTTCCGAATGTACGAAGCATTGGGGTTACACTGGCGCCTTCTCCGCCTTACGTCAACCACCCCAGGCTTATCGTTATCGCACTTTGCCGACGCCCCCTCTTTTTTACTCGTTCGGGCAGGAAAAGCTTATCTCTCAGGACGGCTAGAGCCAGCCACTCGGCAGTATCCGAAGCGCAGAAGACTTCATTGTGTTTGGCATACCCACCTCGTAGATAGAGCATCTTGAACTTATGATTGTCGTTCTTCCTACCTATATACACTCACTATACTATGCAGTCAATTAACATCGCAGTGGAATCCTCAAAAGAAAAGAGTTACCCCGAAAGTACTCCGACACACCTCGACCATGAGTGAACATCTCAGCTATCCATCCACCCATATGCTGTCCTCAGCCTCCTCCACAGGAATGGGCACCTTATCATTCAAGGCGAAGTTTAGCTTCTCTCCAATCTCAATACTCTCCCGCAGTATCGTCCGTGCAGCTTCATCATTGACCCCCATATCTTCTTTGACCAGTCTCATCGCCAGCTCCGGAACAAGTACGTGCTGTGCATAACCAACAACTCCGGTCTTCTTGACAATGTGATCGTCAGCCGCAAGTCGGCGAAGTGTGCGCGAGAACCGTGTCGTCAATGCGTGTAACCTAGACGCATGACGAATTAGCACCATCGGATTAGAAAACTAGGCACTAGAGAGGCAACTCACATCTTAGCAGCACCCTGTGTGCCGTAGTAGCCGCACGATATGGTCTCCAACCCATCTCCATCTAGCGTCAAACGGAAGTTCTTTGCTTGACCAGATTTCAATGACGCATCCAGGATGTTCCTGTAGTATGATGTACTTTCCGGCACCAGGAGACTTTCTATGTCGTCGAAGTGACGCTTAATACGCTCATCGAACCTGTCCCAGTTAATTTCCGGGTATCCTTTCTCGCGCCACTCCTTCTCGGCCGAGCTTGTCTTGTGCGATTCGCAGAAACGCTGCTGTTCTCGAATCCGTTGTTTAGACTGTGCTTGGAAGCGCATAAGCGATTCCGGATCGACCGGTTCTTTGCACCAAGGGCAGACTGTCTGGTCAGCAGCGATCGGGTCGTCAGCAGTTTCCGACATAGTGTCCAAGGCATCTACCACGCTAGAGGAGAGGGAGCTGAGCGGTGTGGTAGAGCCGGAATCATCGTCGAAGACTTGAGCAGAGGACGTAGCAAAAGAGCTAGAAATGACATCGGGGAGGCCGGGCATTTTGAACTGAGGAGATGGGCGAGATTTGACCGGACTTGGAATATCAATGTTCATTGGCACCTTGAATTCCTTCGGCGACCCGGCCTCCTTCTTGTCTGACTTGGATTTAGTCTTGTTTGGGCTGGATTTCTTTTTCTTCTTCCGGCTATCCGAAGAAGGCGACTCCGTCTGAGATGGCACGACACTGGAGCTAGTCCTCCCGAAAACTCGAGTTCGGGATTGAAATGTGCGTTTCGCGCTCTGAGAGGACCGCATACCCCGAAACATATCGTCATCGTCGCTCTCCCCTGCAGTACCCAGTACTTCTGGTCCTCGCTTGCGCCGAAGGGCTCCTTTCGCGCTGTTTTTGCCGTCCTTATCCTCCGCCTGTCCCTCTGAGCTTTTCGCGAGCTTCTCCTCCAATGTTATCTTAGGAAGACTCGGGCTTCGACGAGCTCCGGATCCCTGGCTGGAACAGGCATTGCTTTCCACATCCTCTTCGGAGCTGATAGGCTCATCGTCGGTGGCGGGCTCTGGTTTAGCAGGAAGCTTGGATGTGGTAGGCCTGAACGTCGATAGTAATGATTCCCCGGTGAAGTTGCTTCTTGTCATGCGGTTGGACGCGAAACTCGAATTCGGTTTTGGACGGACCATGGCGAGAGCTGTCGAGGATTCAAGGAGTGAATGGATCGCACGTGAGGAGCCAGCGATTAATGAGCGACTTCAGGATCGGACTATATGGAGGCGTATGGTTATCTGCACTTTGCGCTCGTTAATGCTACCGATCCAGCGGAACCGTGGCCAGGCATGGCCAGGCACTAGAACACGAACCTCGGAAACCGCAGACTGCCTCCGGACCGGCTTGGGCGTCATGCGTGAGAATGAGGCCTTGTTAAATTAATAGAAACTAGTCGATATCGCAAGCTTGCGACTGTGCAAAAAGGTCCAGGTGGAGAAGATTCAGAGAGTCGACATGATTGCAGGTGGGAGAAAGTGGGAAGTGACGCGTGTGGTTGGTGTGACACGCTATCGTGGCGTTGGCGTTTCTCCGCATCGCATTTAGATTGAATTAGCTCCAGCGCTTGTCAACAGCATTCCAGTCAGTAGAATCTTTAATGTTCGGATTATAGGAGATTATCACTGGCTAATATTCAAGAAACTCAGTCAGAAGCTGAACGGATACAAAAACGCCATGTATTGCTCTCAAGGGATATAATAATATGCAATACACCAAACCACCTCGGAAGACGTCCACTAATTATATGACAACATGCCTCTATACGGATGACAATGTATGGATAGAAAGATAACAATAGACAAGCAATGTATAGCATGGAAAAGAAGCATCATCGTTCAACCCGTCTGAACGCCGTGAGATCGTGTTGTTCTCCTTATATAGGGAGGCTTGGAATAAAGAATGAGCCGACCTGAAACGTATGTATAACCCATGACTCATTACTCAAAACTCATTTGTATCTCCCCTTCATCTCCATTTCCGAAGTCATGGTCAGCCCAAGCGTTTGGTTCAAGGGCCATAGCGCCGAGCGCGCTTGCGCCGACGCCAACCGGCATCGTCATTGAAGATCGAAGCGGTGGTCTCGAACCATGGGGATCAAGCTCAGCAGCTGTTGATGGCTCGAAAGAGGACTGCGTACGTTGAGGTGGTTCATGATAGGTTGTGTCAAAGCTGAGTTCAATCTGCTCCTCTGGAGGCACGGAAGAGGGTATGTCCTGCGACTTGTGACCGGGAGTCGATTCAGCCGATGGTCGGGAAGTAGAAGCATCTGCTTTTGGAGCGTGCTTGTCAACGGCCGGTGATGATGCGCTCGACGTTGGGCTTGGAGAAGGGTTCAAGTCCAACTTCATGGGCGGCAGAGTCGACTCCAGCTGCTTCACTTCAATACTCTCAGAGGCTAGTTCGGCCTTAATCGCATCGATGTCGAACAACACCGATCCAGCCCCATCATTTTCGCTTGGGCTGCGAGGAATTGGGGAATTGCGATCAACGTCGTAAGTCTCCCAACCCTTCTTTTGCGCCAATTTCCCGCGTTTGAACAAACCAAATCGCTTTTTATCCGGCTTAGCTTCGGCTTCCCTGCGGGCCTCTTCAATTTCACGGATGAGCTCTCGCTGTCGCTCGCCATGATTATCGGGGTCAGGGTCTTCGATTTCTGCAAACTCCTCGCTCAGCACTTCCCACCCAACTTCTTTCAGAAGCCGAGGCATTGCTGCACGATAGTCCATATGACCGTTGACAAGCTTCGTGACATCGAAATTCTCGATTCCGGGGACTCCCTCGACCTTAGCGAGACCAGCGACACGCATGATACCACCACTTGTGGCGCGGAACAGGTACCCCAGAATCCAATCGTTTGAACTATATCCGTTGACAAAGCGTCCAGAAACGACACTGCGAGCTTTCAGGTACTCGTCCTTGTTAGCAACTATCGGGGATCCAAAGAGGTAGACATTCTGGATGAGGCCATGTGCGCCCTTATCGGCGAGCTCTTTCAGGCAAGAGAAAATGACCCTTGCACCAAGGGAGAATCCAAGCAGTGTCACAGGACGTTTCCCGAGGTTATGAGCCATGAGGGAATCCGCGAGAATCAGTCCCGCGGCATTCGCGCGTGTCAAGGAGACATTCCAAGGGTTGTCGATCAGGTATGAAAGCTTGGAAAGTACCAGTGGTAACTGCAGAGACGCCATAAGGGCTACGAGGACAGTACTTCCCAGAATTTGTTGCAACCCTTGAGTCAAAGCCTTGCGAATGATAGTCAGCTAAAAGAACACAGATTGTCAAGGCGATCCAAGACTCACCTCTGTACCCAAGATCTTAATGGTGTCACCCATACTTCGCAGCATCTCTGGCTCCCACAGAACTGAGTACAGGTCTCCCATAATGGGATCAACTGTACTGAACGGCAGTCGTACATCGTCGACTTTACCAGTCATCCAACCAGATACCGTAACGATCAAATTGACCCGCTTGTTGTTGTGTAAAGGACGGTACTCAAAGGTCTGGACGGCGCCCATACGTCTGTGGGATGCCTTCAATCCAATCGTACTACCAGTAAGCGTGGCACCTGAAGCGATGAGCGCCGTCCCACCAGCTCCTCCTAAAAAGGCACCAGTACCCGATATTCCCACAGTAGTCAGCCCAGCAGCGAGACCGGCACCGATGACGGGGGCCAGGAGTCCAGCTGAGAGGCCAATAACCAGACCTCCACCCACTGTAGCTATGCCCATGATCATATATTTCCGCTTAAGTGCCAACTTGCGCCGCTTTTCCATGTTGTCCGATTCGTCCCAGGTTTCTTTTTCTGCGGCTTCCTGCATCTCAAGAGCGTCGATGACTCGCTTTTCAAAACGAGCTATCTGAAGCCACGGCACTTCCATAGATTTCCCAACTCTTTCTAACAGGGTTCGGGATCGTGAGTCATATGATGAATCGGCAATGAGGACAAGGAAAAGATCACAAAGTACGGTCCAGCGGAGGTCAATGTCAATTTTGGCCGACGTGGGCATTTGAGATGGAGTCTTGACTTCTGGAAGGTCCTCTCCCTCGTGCATGTCGTAGGGTGGAGGCGCGCTGGACATGGAGGATCTGTCAAGATCTGTGGACAGGCTGCCTCGACCAGCATCTTTTGAACTGGGAGATGCTGTGGTGGAGATGGACTCCTTTGGTGCATCTTCCTCTTCGTTTGCCAAGGGGTTCTGGACTCGAGCGTTCTGCATGAGCGGTCGAACGAGATCGGATGGCTCAACACCGTGCTCAGCCAATTGTTCAATCATCACTTGCTCTGCGGCGTCAATTTCCATATGCGAGTAGATTCTAGCCATCATCCCTTGACCCCATTTTCGGGTCGAGTCAATGCATTTTTGTCGTGCCTTGCGAGTGCCCCGAGTCTGGGGAGCTCTTTCTATGTCCCGGGTCATTTGATATATAGACAACCTCGCGACTCCAACGTAAGCTATCCTTTGGCTTTCGGTCAAAAGGTCTTTAGTCGCTTGGAGTTGGCTTGTCGCATCGCGGAGCTCTTCGTCTTCGATACCCGCAGCATTAGCGGCAGATTCCTTGAAAAGGTAGCTCGTGTCCTCGTCAAGGCTGTTCACAGACTCGGCGTCATCATCAAGCTGAACACGGGTATATCCCCTTCCGGCGCCCCCCAGCCCATTGTAGACAGCCTCATTATCTTCTGTCTTTGCGCCGCGCGCAATCAATCGACCGTAGTCATCGTAGACATCAAATTCGTCCAGCGCAGGCATCTCCCTCCACTCGTCCTCGCTCTCCTCCTCCGCTTCATCTTCCGATTCCTGGGGCGCGTTGAGTCGTTGATGCGACCATTCTGAAGGTTTGAGACTTGCACGCTTTTTATGTTTAGGGTGATGTTGAACGGAAGCGCCAGACGTCTCCGACTGCGCTTTCTCTGTGTAAGGCGGTGGTGACCCGTTCTCTCCAGCGGGAGGCACGTCGCTGGGAGGTGCAGGTTTTTCAGCATCCATGGATCCCATTGCCTTCTTATCTTGTGCGGTGTCGCTCTCCGTGGTCATAGGGGTCGATGACTGTGCGCCTTGTTCGGAAAGATCTTCCGTGGTGGATTGATCTTCTTTCGATGTTTTTGGGGCGGACTCTAGGGCGTTATCACTCTCCCGCTCACTTCCCTTACTGGCGGCCGCGTTGCTCGACACCGTCTCCTCGACATCATGGAACAATTCCTGATCCTCTGAAGCCTCGCCCGTGGACCGTGGCGGTTTGGGGCGTGCGCGGATAGGGAGGCCGAAGTCGTCTACATCCTCCGCACCCCCTTGCTTGTGTCCGGTATCCCGATCTGCATCGGCTTTCGTCGCTGCATCGCCTCCAAGCGGACTGATGTTTTCCTTCTGGCTTGTAGCATCGTGGTCGTTATCATCGGCGCTGTTTCTCGCTGCCGCTGTGGTGGTCGCTGGACGTGCATTTCCCGAAGCATGCGAGTCTGCTGGCTGAGAATGATCGGCGGAGGGGTGGTGAACAGGGGTACTTGAGGCAGAGGTCATTATTCATGGAAATTTCAGTCGACTTCGTCGTGCGATCGCCTCAAGTCCTTTCTCTTTTCCCTATTATTACCGCCGTGCATGAAACGTGCAGAGAATAACCCATTCGCGCAAAAGCATCGACGCTTCGAGGCCTTTGAAGTGTGATCTCGGCCGCCGCACCGAAGTTCCACCAGTCTCAAGCCCGTGAAGCTTCCTTGGATGTCGCCTGACTGTCTGAGGTTCGATTGCGGTGGGATTCGAAAGACACAATGCGATACTGATGTCCGGTCGAGAGAATTATTTCTCCTATCAACGGGTTGGTTGAGGTCGGTAGCGAGTGGCCATGCAGGAGCCAGCAAAGAAACAGAAATGACCGAATAAGTGAGAGTGTGGGAGTTGCTCGTTAGAAAAGAAACGAAAAGAAAGCCGTCCGAACTCGACCAGAAATTGTTTATTTGTCGACAGTAGACGATTTCGGGGCTGGAAGAGGGAAACCAAGCTCCTGCGACCGGGAGGAGAGGTGCAGCACGAGGTACCGAAAGCGGCAATAGGAGCCACATGTGGTTGCGGAAGACATGATCACGTCACGAGAAACCATCGAACTCTCCATGTTCTCGACAAACATCCTCTTCCGGCGCAAAGATCTTCCCTGTCATTCTTGTCACTTTCTTCATACCCTAGACTCCCTCGCCTAGCTATGGTCACGATTAATTAATTAATGCCGTCAATCCGAGCCGATCAGTCGATCAGGCATTGTGACATAATCACATCTTATGCCGGAAAATAACATCCACAAGCCGGGTGTCAACTCCACCATCCCCCCTGACGCCTCTTCCTTGGCGTCATATTTGGAGCCCCAACAACATCTTTCCATTTGATATGCACGGACCAGGTGGCATATTTCCGCTTCTTACGGAGGTTTGACCTACGGAGTCATGATATAACCCGACTGTGATTGTGGGTAGACCGTGTTCGCCCCCTAAACTACGGAGTAGGGGCCTCCGCTGTCTTGGCTTCGGAGATTATTGACTGTTTCTGCAAATGCGCAGTCAACCCGCGCAAACTACACGGTATATAGCCGGCAGTTCGCTGTTCCTCGAGAGACGATACGCATCGTGTTGCCAATGGCCTATGCAAAGCATACTACATTCTGTTCTTATCTACATGGAAGTTGTAGATCCGGTTGATTCATCCATATTCCCTCAATCCATCAAACTCCTTGGGCCTGGATGGAGGTACCATATGGCGTGTTTCCAGGACGCAGCTTTAAGACTGCCTATTGCTCCGGTTAGCGCAGGAGACGACTCTACTGGGTACTCCTCTCAAGATGGAAACAGACCCAACTGGAGCAAATAATCGGAAATTACAGCGCTGCCGAGGGCCCGACGGACGTGTCAATAAGAAGCCCGTGCTCAAGGTTAGCGCTGTCGTCTGGTAGGTCCCGAAGTTCTCCCAGGTCTATGGTCGTATCGACTCGGAGCACAATTTCCTTATAAGGATAGTGGTCTCGCCTCCCACCTGGTCTTCCCTCTCACTTAAGAGGGGCCTCGTCTGACATCAACTAACCAACTTGCAACATAACCTATTATATACAAATCCGTCTGCCACACGCTAAGAACAGGGTATGATGAGCTTGACATTCTCCAAGCATGGCTAAAGTCTCCAACGCTGTCTTGCCTAAAACCCCTGCATATTCGACATCCCATATACATTGCCCTCAGGAACCCAGCAGTCCCCTTCCGCCCTATTTGTCGGAGGCATCGGCCTGTGATGGTGGGTGCCTCCTGGAGATACCTGCTGCTGCAGTCCCCCGTACGCATATGATGCCAACACCGGCGGCGGATAGGTTGCCATCTGTTGCATGGTAAGATAATTCTGGACACCCGTACCTGGCTGATCCGTTGGCCAAACGGGGCCTACCGGTGGCCCAGGTCCATAAGTTCCGCCGGGCATGGGATGAAAACTAGGAATCTGCGAAACGTCCGCACCCATTTCCATTGATGTTTGGACACCAGGCCCGAACGATTGTGGGGTGTGCAGAGCGTTGGGGTGATTTACTGGTGTGCCTGTCGCCGCGTGGAGATCCTGCCTGTCATCTGGGTGTGTCTTTTCTTGGATTTGCTCATACCAACTTCGACCTTTTACAGCGATGACATATAACCAGCGGCTCGGAACCCGGTACTTCTTATCTCCACTTGCTTCGGTGAGTCTGCGGCCCAAAGCGTCGAGATAAACCCCAGTCTTGATTGTTTCCGGCGTCACTACTTCCCCCAAGGATCCCACACTGACGGAATGGTAGATCTTCAACAGAGACATCATGGCAGCGCCAACCCGTGCGTAAACGAGGTTGGGGATCTTGCGCAAAAGGTCTGTGTCGCAAGTGAGAAAGAAGTCCAGCATCTCTTGAGCCGCATTCATCCATTTGATCGTGATGTCTATGCGGGCAGCGCTCAGTGGGGCATCCTTGCGCTGTATATCACTGTCCGGTGCTGGTAGCGTATAATATTGCTGCTTGATCGACTCAGGATCCCGGTATCCTTCGCCAACAGCTAGCTCATATATGGCAAGCTTGGTATAGTGGTACTCGAACGCTATTGGGACTGATCATCTCAGGTATGAGTTATGGTTTATCAATTTCCTCATCATGTGGAAAGGGACCCCTACCATGTAGCATTTCAGGAGATATGTTCTTCTTCCAGGACTGCATACGATCGTCAAACCACCTCAGAATCGTCAGGATACGCATTTCTGACAACGGATTGACGACGCTGGTGTCCTCTAGACCAAAGGAAGTCATAACTTCGTCAACAAGTCTCTGCAGCTCGAACCATACAGCCATCTGCCTGTCCCTGACATGGGGCGAACGCTGCAGGTGGAGTGTACACTTGTTCATCCACGGGTTCCAAGACAGCAGATTCGGCCTACGTGTTTTCATCGCAACCCTGTTACTGATTAGCGACGCTTTCCATACTAACATGAGACTGAGACTTACGTGGACGCTAAATGGTAACATCCTAGAACTGCTCTCGCTTGCTGGGCAAGATGTTCATCATAAGTGCCACGTTTATTGGGCTTGCTGCTCATCTCATTCGTCACATTGCTCCCTGATGCCAGACCTATCTCCAATGCCATGGTGGCAGCGATATGGGTATATTGGTAGTATTGGAGTTTCAGCGGTGAGTCTGGAGGGTAATAGAAGATGATCATGAGCAGCAAAGCCTGGACCAATTCCAAAGATTTATCCCCATTGATAAAGAATCGTTCCGCATACAGTCGGACCAGTTCCTGGTTGAGGACAGCTGCCAGATTATCGTCCACGGATAAAGCAGCCGCTGCCAACACAGAGAGAAATAACACTGGCTTTGAGCGACGCAACCGGGATGCCGTGGTGTCTGGAGGAAGTAGCACCATGGGAACGAAAACCATGAGCTCAGTCACAAAGAAAACCACCAGCTTTTCAGCATACTCCAGGGAGATCACGCCTCGTTCAATGACATCAGGTCCGGAGGTGTTGTCCGGAAAGGATTCGGTAAGGGTGGGTGTAAAGGACGTCAAGGGAAACCCAATGTCGCGAGGGAGCGGTGGTGGTGGGAACCTGGGAGAATGGGAATCGATGTGTCTCGTGGGGCCTGACGTGTTGCTTTGAGCTTCCATAGCCGGTGACAGGGTCTCGTTCCGGTCCATCTTCTGATCTGATTCTAGGGATGCTTCCATATCGCTGTCAGAGCTATCCGGGCCACTGTCATCCGCCTGCAAGCGACCTTTCAAGAGAGACCGCATTTGACGCATCTCTCTTTCCAGCTGCGCGACCCGGGAGTCGGTCCTCTTGCGGGGCCGTCGCTTCTGCGGCGCCACAAAAACACAAGCTCTTTTTGCCTTTGCGCACCTTTGACATTGGTTGGGCGAATTGCTGTCAGGCAGACAGCGGACTTTGAGGCTTCGGCATGATTCGCAGGACCTGTTTAGTTGCAGCGTGGGGGCCGCTTGTTGACCGGCAGCAGGGTCACCAGCTGCACTAGATGCCGTCGACATTATTCTCCGTCCGTCATCAACCGACTTCGCTCCGCTCCGGACTCAACTATGCAAATGTTATTGTCCGCGACAAAGGCAACTATTTGCAAACACAAGTGACGGTGACGAAAACTGGGCAAGTCTATTATTGATGCAACGGACGTCCATCTCTGTCATGGATCCAACCAAGTGGGTTCCACCGAGTCGCAGAGGCAGGAAGTGGCAGGAAGATGGTAAGCGAGAGTCAAAGAGACACGAAGACTTGCATTACCACGACGGAGGTATCTGATGATAGTAGTAGAGAGAAATGTGCCATTGATCTGGCCAGGAGGACGAACGAAAAGAGATACCAACGAGGAGAGAGGGGGTACATTAAGCTCCCCCAGCTGGTTCCAACCATGCAAAGAACGGAGAATTGAACCCTGAGCCAACGAGACCAAAGGGGGGCCGTTCCTGGAAGATACCCAATTGGCTCCCATATCGCCAGTGCTGGTGGACCGAGAGTGGAAAACTGGCAAGCCGCAGTCATGTGATAGAGGCCTATTCCACTTAGGTTTTCACGCTAGGCAAGTGCCGAGGAATGATAATAATAACCAGAGACTAATAAAAATCACATTAAGTTCTACTGAGTCCCATCTGTCTGTTTTCCCGAGTAAAATCCGGTAGGCCAGCCCATCGATTTCGCCGAAGTACCTCAGAGAATCTGATAAGATGCTGCCGACCCAAAGGGTAACCCTATCTAGACAATTGCACTGACCGAGTACTGTCGCTGTGATACTCAAACCCTCAAGATACGAGAGACCAGGGCATGGCGCACTTTCGGAGTATCTGCCTAGAATTGTGGGTGGTACTTGGGCGAAGCTCAATCCATCCAGGGCACCAACCAGCACGCATTGTGGACCGGTTTCTCCTTTTCAGGGGAACTAACAGCTTTGACGCGCCACGGATGAAACAGATCAGAGGCTCAAAGGGGTCGAATCTAACCGCTCCGAAGAGATATCAAAAACCTGACGAATCATTAAGAACCTGTCCCCCGCAGTACTAACGATGTGGCCCCTAAGGCCCGACCCAATGACACCAACAGCTTGAAGGCAGTGATAGAGGCCAGCCTGCCTATCCATTACCAAACGTAGTAAGCTTTTGAGACCCTCTTCATCGCCATAGTATCTTCAATCGCCGATTGTCCGTCGCCGATCGACCGAGAGATACTCCGGTAACATCTTTTCAGGTCTCTCTCCTCGTTGTGTTCAAGCATGAGGTTGGGCAGTTCGGTGCCAAATAGTAGACTACCTTACCTTCGCCGGATACTCCATGACTTATCTACCTACATAGCACAATGTCGACAAATGTAAGAGGGAGAAAAAGGAAGAAAATTTAGTACTTGGTGACGTAAGAATCTTTCAACACCGTGCACATTACCCTTTATGATTTTGTCGATAATGGGGGTTGATTTACCTGGTGGAACAGTTAACTAACCGAAAAGCGATCTTAGGTTGACTCACTCTAGGATAACTCTACGTGCGCCATCAAGGCCACATCTGAGCCTACTCCTGGTCCGAAATCTGCGAACGGACTATCCAATCGGGGTGATAGCTCGCCAAGGCATACCGAGTTTGGACACCCGAGGATGTACATACATGAACGTGGATTAGGATGATCTACATGTAAGCATGGAGTTTACTCAGTATGTACATAGGATAGAACTCCGCAGAGAGCAGAAAAAATTAAGGGAGGCCCGTTATCCTGCCAATTTAGCGATTGAGCATGTTTCAAACTTAAGTACATCGTATGTTTGTTTAATGGGAACCGACGTCACCAGCGGGCTGATAGGCGCTATATAAAATTACCGTACCAGTCCGACCTGGCAGTGGGTGCGTCCATGCCTTATATGCACGCCAACATCAAAGTCGAATCAATAGGATTTTGTCAAAACGGTTGGATATCATTCTGAGATGCATTAGGGCGTTCCAACAGTCAGGAGATTGAGGACAGCCCTATCGCACCACATGAATCCTCCTAGGCCGACACAATATCACCCTGCGGTCGAGGCCACATAAGCCTTTGGACCAAGCGAGGACGAATTGGTCCCTAAGCCCCGATTCGAAAGAACTTCATAGGTTGAACAGGAGGTCAAACTACAAGACAGAGAGCTAAGTGAGAGACTAGTGTCGACCTGCGGAGTTTATACTTCCTGGTGGGCAACTGTAGGAATTGGTTTCCACCGGTTGTCAGGGCCACTATTTTTAACCCAGAATTCTTCTCAAGAACTCCCACTTTTTCCCACCTCTTTTCCACACCTTTACCTAGTGGAGACCGGGGTGTCTTACCCACCTACGAATGGACGGATTCCAATCTGAGGGCCGGTTGGTCGGGGCAATCGCTTTGACCCGTTGTTTTTATTTGGCGAATAAACCACTGGAAAAGCATCCCGCAGTGTGATTACAGAGATGGAAGTGAGACACGGCGAGCTGGTCGGGGAATTGGGGTTCGACTGGAACTAGGGGGTTGCGCGATCGGGTCGTCCACTATGGTCATGACGCGGCCTCCCCGTTTCTTCCGCTCTCTGTGGTGGACGCGAGAGAACAGGTAGACTAGGACTCGTCATGACTAACCGGATTTAATTTATAGATCGGAAAAGTGCCGCCGGTGTCCGAGCCGTGTGTTTGACCTCCATGTCTTTCAGGAGAATAGGACGAAGATGGAAGATGGAACAATCAGAGTCGTTGAGTCAGGTTATTCGGTGTCACATAGGTGCTCTGGTAGACAGGCTGATCAGTGCCAATGCCCCCGTTGCTGGCCTTACATGCTAAGAATAAACCATATCCAGTCCCGATCGGCACAGCAATCGGGGCTGCCAAGGCCCACAAGGCTGTTGTTTCCAGTGATTTGAACTTGCCACCATTAGTGACAACGGCGGCAACCGAGCACGCGACGATGAGTTAGTTAAATGTCCTTTCAAGCCTCTTCTGTCCCACTGAACATCAATCCCTCTCTGTCGATCGCCCTGTCCGCGAACCTCTCGCTCTTTGACCCGCACGTCAACGCCCTTTTGTACATACGTCGCCTTATTCTTGCGCCTGTCTTGACGTCGTGGACTCGTCCATTCGTTTCCTTCCCCTTTGTCGACGCTTACCCCAGCACAACCCCCCCGGGAAGAGCCACGCCGCCATCCAGCCTTATCCTGGCCTTCTGTCACACCGGGATTTTAAACACCACCGACGGGAAACGCGCCGCTGTACGACCCGACTCTCAGAGCATGTGGTGATTGCCGAATTCAACGACATCATAACCTATACTCTCTCTTCGATCACCGATGCGGATATCCGGGTTTTTTGTCTGCCTCTCGGGGCTGGTGTCGGCCGCCCTGGGCGCCGCCAACACCGATCCCGACTTCATGAGCGTGAGAGACAAGGTCGCAAAAGACTACAGTGGAGATGACGCTGTCTCTGCTGAGAAGTATTTCCGTGAGTGCTCCTTACCGCGTCTTCGATCTATCGAGACATTTCTAACTCGCGCCGATCCGCAGATGAATCATCGTAAGTTCAATCCCGAAGTTTCCGCTTCCACATTTACTCAACATCAATATAGCTTCCATTATCATTACGATGGGCGGTAGGTCCCCTACATCCTTTGGCCCAGGGCCGTCGCTGATCGCCTGCAGGTTCGCATCCGAGCCTCTCCCAGACGAGGAGACGATCCCGCACCTGTCGGCGCTCATCCGAACCTACCTATCGACAATGGCAGATATGGGCGTGGAAACCTGGATCATGCACGGAACACTACTGGCGTGGTGGTGGAACCAGAAGGTCGGCGCCGCCATTGCCCTGTTCGAACCATGTCTTTCGCTGACCACACCCTAGATCTTCCCGTGGGACAACGACATCGATGTGCAGATTTCCGAACCGTCCATTCATTTCCTCGCGGAATATTACAACATGACCGAACACCATTTCGACATCCCCGACGTGGAAGGCGGTCGCACCTACCAGCTCGAAATCAACCCCAACTATGTGATCCGGTCGACCGCCGACAAGCTGAATGTGATCGACGCGCGATGGATTGATACATCGTCGGGATTGTTTATCGACATCACGGCGGTGCGCAAGGATGATCACCGAAGAGAAATGGGCGACACGGGCGCGTTGATGTGTAAAGACGGCCATCGATTTGACGTAAGTCGCATTCGGGTGGGAGCATGCGCGACTCCTTTACTGACTCGCGCAAGGAAAATGATATCTTCCCTCTCCGAAGTAGTCATTTTGAGGGGTTTCCAGTCAAGATCCCTTACAGGTATACGGAACTCCTCCAGGAAGAGTATGGTTCGAAGTCGATAACTGCCACCAGCTTCCAGGGGTAAGTCTCCACTCTTGTCTGCCTGACGAAGGACAAAACTGACATTCCGTCTAGACACGAATTCAACGAGGAAACTCTACTCTGGGATGATAAGTAAGTCATCCATTTTCTATGACTGGACTGATCCATGCTCACATCCATCCAGATCCCGAAAAAGATCATTACGCCGACGCCGTGACAGTCTTCCCGTCCGGACCACGCCTTTGGAGCGTTTCTTCCGTTAGACGCACGTCGTCGGTTGGACGAGGCTAATCTAAGTTTTGGACATATACTCTGCATATATACGGTGTTTCGTTTTTACTCCCCATCCTATGCATATTCCCTCACCTGCTGCTTTTTGTTGTCTCTGTATTTTTATGACTGTCATTGGCGTTCAGGTTTGGTTTTTCGCGGCCTTCATACAAAATTCGGGCATGGGTTGGGTCTTCAGGATGTAAATACCTGTCAGTTAGTATCTAGAGATGGCGATATAGGTATATATGGGTCGTGTATGGACACAAATATACTCGTTGGTGGATTCACTGTAATCATCAAGTGCGATCCATACACTTGAATTACTGTTCATGCCAGACAAGTCCAGACCCATTATCCTTGACCGTGTCCACGGAAAAGGCCGAAAATTGTCGTATTCGGAGATATGGGTATGGCCGAACAATATGGACTACTAATTAATTACACTTTTGCACAGCCTGTGAACCAGCCAGCGATCAGATAAGATGAAGTCTGCTGACATGGTGTTACTCATATTCCATGGGTTTGGAATGGCCAGGCTGGCAAGATTCACTCCCAAGGCCACCGGCCTAGAATGGCGGTGATCGATCAGATACGAGCTTTCGATGGCGCTGTTGTTCGCCGGTCAGACGGGTGACGTCAGAGGGAGTAGCTTGACCGTGATGTTCCCTGTGTCAGTAGCCGTCTCTTTGTCAGGGCGTCGCCTACATGAGACCTCATGAGATATCCCAGGCATATACAGCCACATCACTATCAGATTGTACCCTGATCGGAATCCTGGACGACTGGTAGAGGGCGTGGAGGGAGAGACGGAGGAGTCTGACATGCATGGGGGCGGTTAGTAATGGGGACGGGTGTTCGACCAGTGATAAGCGGCCCATCGTCCTTTTGGGGCCTGGACTGCGCGGGCAGACGCCAATGAGCGGCGATGGAAGGGCCCTGGAAGCTCCACTATGAGTCGAAGACTGATGGAAAAGGTCCAACTCTAAACATGCCCGTTTCGGTCGGCCTCTGCAGTGGCTTTTTCTCCCTGTTTCTTTTTTATATTCTTCCCTCTCTCCCCTGTTGTCCGCCGTCATACCACAGTCGCGACTCTCCACAATCACGATAGCTTCCCCTGTCTCGAGGATGAGGCAGCTTGTGGAGGCTTCCCTACTGATCCCTTACTTGCCATCATGTCGTCACACCCCCCACCAGCCGCTCAATCAGTAAACCCACCTTTCTCTCAACACCCCTCCTTTCCTGCGCGGACTGGCTCTGATCAGGCGCGGGGAGACTCTCCCTCTACTTCAACCTCTCAGTCGACCTCTCACGGCCCCCAGGAACCTTCGAGTCTTCGCAGTTGTGTAACCTGTCGCCGAAGGAAGGTCCGTTGCAATAAGCGATGTCCGTGCTCGAACTGTGCCCGGGCTGGCATCGAATGCACCTATCCCCCACCAGGCAGGGCGCCACGCAAGACAAAACGGCCGCAGGACGCAGAGTTGCTGGCTCGACTCAGACGTCTAGAGGGTGTGATTGAGCACCTCAGTGAGAAAAACGCCGCGGCAGCGGTCCAACGTTCCCCGGAACAGCAACAGGCCAATGTCCCCGCAGCCACGCAGGAGCGCCCTGCATATGTCCCACCATCGACAGAGACGGAGGAAAACGGTGGATGCCCGTTTAATCTCGATCCGAAGAAGCCCCTTCAACCGCATAACCTACAGCATGAGTTTGGGCGACTCGTCATCGATGAAGGCCGAAGCCGATACGTGAGCAATCGGTTCTGGGCTAGCCTGGGAGATGAGGTAGGTTTTGCGGCCATTGAACGATGATCTGTCATGCAAATGTTGATTATTCCCGTTTTTAGATCGAAGAATTGCAGGATATCCTCGATCCATCCTCGTCTGAGGATGAAGATTACCCGTCGCCGGAATCCAACTCCGCTTCCAGCCATTCGGCGAATCATGATGGGTTTCTATTTGGCTTCTATTCACTCTCCCACTCCCTGCGCGGCTTCCACCCTCCACCTGAGAAGGTTCTTGTAATGTGGAACATCTATATCGAGAATGTGGCTCCACTCGTGCCCGTGATCCATAAGCCCTCGGCGCAGCAGCTCTTCGCAAATGCCGCACAGTCCTTCGACTTGTTGGACAAAAACTCGGAAGCCCTCCTTTTGGCCATGTGTCTGGTCTCGATCATCAGCCTGACGAATGAGCAGTGCGTGTCTCTACTCGGCGAAGAACGCGACACGCTCGTGAGTCGGTACCGCTTCGCAGTTGAACAGGCTTTGTCCAAAGCGAATTTCTTAAACACTCAGAACTTGACTCTCCTGCAAGCCGCTGTGATATTCCTCATTGGTGTGCGCCGGGAGGACGACACAAAGTTCGTGTGGGCTATGACTGCCCTTGTCCTTCGCCTGGCCCAAGGACTGGGTTTGCACCGAGATGGCACGAATTTTAGGTTGAAGCCGTTTGAAACTGAGATGCGTCGACGGTTGTGGTGGCATATCTGCTTGTTGGATATTCGGTCATCCGAGGATCACGGGACGGAGTTCCAGATCGACGAAAGGCTATACGACACAAGACTTCCGCTCAACGTTAACGATGACGATCTCTCTCCAGACATGAAGGAGCCACCGCAGGAGAGAGTAGGATTCACAGACATGACATTCTGCTTGATCCGCTGTGATATCACGGTCGCACTGCGACGGATAGGCTATGCGTGCCCGAATAAGAATGCTCCGGGACCTCGAGAACCGTCCCCAGAACGTTGCGGGAAAATAATCCAGATGATAAACCACCGCATCGAGGAACGATACCTGAAATACTGTGATAATACGATACCCATTCAGTGGGTGTGTGCAACAGTCGGCCGTCTCATTCTCACCAAGTTATGGCTTGTCGTCCATCACCCGATGACTAGACCGTACCAAGGAATCAATTTGACGAATGAATCTCGGGAAAGCCTGTTTAAAACTTCCGTCGAGGTTACCGAGTTTTCTCGCTTATTGACCATGGAAAAGAACACCCAAAAGTGGAATTGGCTCTTTGCCACGAATATGCAGTGGCATGCCATCGCTTTCGTGCTGTCAGAGCTGTGCGTTCGCCCACTAAGCCCCTTGACTGATAGGGCTTGGAATGTGGTAAGCTGTCTCTATGAGGAATGGATGCAGACCTCGAAGCAACGAAAAGGAATGCTTTGGCGGCCACTTGCGCGGTTGATGAAACGCGCGTCTGCGTTCAGAGCAAAACAAGAAGAGACACGTAACCAGATTGGAACTGGAACTGTCCCGGTGTCTTCTGGTACTCCGCCCTTCTCTCTCAGCGGCGAAGCGCCAACTATCATACCACCACCTCCTCTGCCGCAATTCCCAGCGACAGACGTGACGCTATCAGACACGATGTCTGAGGAGATGTCAGGCGGCCCCGCTGGTAGGGGAATGGACTTTGACATCCGAAAAGGACCAATGGACTTGTTCCAGGAGCTGTTTCCTAATGTCGATTGGTTTTCTGTTCAGAATCCTCAGGATGTCCGGATCCCCAATCCGCCACAGACTACCAATCCGCCAGCAACTACCGGCCTTAGTCCATCAGATGTCGTTGCTGAAGAGCTTAGACCTACTGCAGAACCCTCTCAAGATCCAGCTATGCAGCTGAATTGGACCGAATGGGACCAGGTCATGCGGGACTTCCATACAGACATGCAAGAGGCGCAGTCGAGTTATCCGATGAGCACCCTGACTGGCAACGTGTTCGACTGGCTTCCTTAACGTTCGTGCCTGGAACGCTTGTCATTTATGATTTTTCTTGTTCTAGACTTGGGTTTCATTCCCCTGGTGGATTTGATACGGCCATATTTTGAACATTCTCCCCTCTCGCTCCTTACGATCTCCTCTCACATATGATATCCGAATGATCACACTTCACTCAGATTTATGACTATGACGATGTACAAATAGGATCTCGCGATTCGACTAATCTATCAGACGAGCTGGGCTTTCTGGTTCTCATTCACCTTGTGGATGCTCTGTATAATATTCCATACATACACGACGTTTCTCAATCCATAGTTCCATAGTTCAATCCGTAGTTAACCACATCGGCAGTGACTATCGACTGATGCATAGGTATGGACCATTACGTATACTCCAGTTATCATCACGTGACCGACATGTGTACACAGTAGCTTCATGGAGCACTACTCACCAACATCAGCACAACACCACCTCCGCGACCACCCAATCCCTCCCCCCCTCGACCCAATTCGATACCTCCCACCGTCACAATGCCCGCGAAACGCACCACCGCCTCGCCGGCCGCCGCCGTACCCGCCCCCAAGCTCTCCTCCGGCCCAAAGACCCTCACAGCCAACTCCTCCGTCTACGACATCGCCTACCACGTGTGGGAGCAGTACCTCGCAACGACGTCGCAGCGCACGATGCTTTTAGACGCATTCATGGCCTTTTTGGTGCTTGTCGGCGGCATCCAATTCGTCTACTGTGTTCTGGCGGGCAACTTTGTACGTTTCCTCACTCCGTCCCAGGCCGCGGCCATTCGATCCCACTCCTCCCCCCCGGAAGGAAAAGGAGAAGTGAACATGTATTGGTATAACATATTGGCTAACGTGCTTTGCTCTGTTTTTGTGTAGCCGTTCAACGCGTTCCTGAGCGGCTTCTGCGCCGCGGTCGGCCAGTTCGTCCTCACGGCTAGTCTGCGCATGCAGACGAGCAACGGCGTGCCGAAGGAGGGGGCCAAGTCCGCGGCGACTGCGAAGGGGAAGGAGTCTGGTTCTGTGGGCGCGGTCTCGCATGAGAGGTATGCCTTCTGATTTGGGGGTGTGTGTGCTGTGGAGTGTGTGCTAATGATTACAGGGCCTTTGCGGATTACATCTTCGGGAGCTTGATTCTGCATTTCTTCTGTATCAATTTCATTAACTGAGCGTGCGGCTGGGTTTGTCTGCGGTGGTGGCGCTGTTGGATGTCGTGCTGTTTCCCTGGTGGATTGTGCGGCTCCCGACAACGTCTCGAGGTCGGACACTTCCGAGGTTAAGGTACCTAGGTAGTTGCATGTATATCGCGTGGCGTGAGTTGCCTGTGGAATATATCCCATGTTGGTCCTGTCTTAGGTCGTGTCAATTGAGTGTAGCTACGAGTCGTCTGCGTGGCTCGATCCAGCTTCATCAGGGTATATATGCTCTATCCAGGTATCTATGGTTTATGATACAGTGTCGGACACTAGAACGCCCGTCCCGGTTTCCGCTTGATGGGCGGTTTCTTCACCACGCTGCCACCGCCACCGGTCCCATTGCGACCTCCGGTCGAGGACGCAGTCACCCCGCCGACGCGCTTGCCGGGGGCGGCTGGCCGGCGCACGACCGAGCCGACTTCCACCTCTCGCCGCCGGCGTGTCGGGTCGTTCCGTTCCTGTTCGCGCTGCTTCTCGGCGGCAGCACGCTCGCGGTCTGCGGCGATCTGGCTCTCGATCTCCATGCGCCGGTTGAACTCGTGCTCGGTGACGCGGCGCTCGCGCTGCGAGTAGCCCTTCTCCTTGACCGAGTAGAAGACGCCTCCGAGTTCGGCGAGCCACTGACATGTACACGTTAGTTGCTGTCTTCTATATGTGATGATGGGGTGATATGAACTTACGTGCGGATCCACCGCGGTCACGGTGGACATGTACTCCTTGCTGGTTAGGATCAGCTCGTGGTAGACGACGTACTCGGGCACGTAGCCCAGGCCGTAGAGCGCGCTGGTGGGGTGCAGTTGCATGGTGACGCTGGTGCGCAGGTTGATGAACTCGCCGATGCCCTTGACGCGGGCGGCCTGGTGGTAGAAGCCGGAGCAGATGCACTTGCGGATGACGTCCCAGTCGGTGCCGCAGCTTACCAGCGGCATCTTCTGCGCGACCATGATATCGTGCAGCTGGTCGCGGACTTCCCTGGCGCGGCGCAGGGCCTTGGCGTGCAGGAAGTGTTTGGTGCACCAGCCGTCCGAGTAGCCGTTGGATTTCCACTGCGTGTAAACGTGAAGGAGCGTGAGGTGGTCGGATTCCGGGACGAAGAATTTCTCGCGCGCGGCGTCGGATTCCTCCTGGCGCTCTTTGGGACGGTAGAAGACGCTCGGCACCGAGAGCATTGACACGATCGTGAGCATCTCCTCGCTGCAGCCGTATTCTTCGGATGCGGTGATAATGAGCTTCGCGAGAGGCGGGTCCATGGGGAACGGCGTCATGCGGCGGCCGAGCGATGTCAGGTCGCCGAGGTTGTCGAGCGCTCCTAGGGACCAGAGCTCGAAGAGGGATGTGGTGATGGTCTCTTGCGGAGGCGGATCCATGAAATCGAAGTCGAGGAGATCTTTGACGCCAAGGGACTTGAGGAGGAGGACTGTGTTGGACAGACTGGTGCGCTGGATTTCGGGGATCGTTTGGAGGTACAGCTCGTTCTTGTATGCCATCTCAGTGTAGAGACGGTAGGCTTTGCCGGGTCCGGTTCGGCCTGCTCTTCCGGACCGCTGGTTGGCGTTCGCTTGCGATATGGGAGTGATCTGTAGCGTGTCCATGCCCATCCGCGGATTGTACACTTTCAGCTTCGAGTACCCCGCGTCCACGACGTACATAATACCGTCAACAGTTAAGCTTGTTTCGGCGATGTTGGTGGCGACGATGACCTTGCGCACCCCAGGGGCGGCGCGTTCAAAGATCTTTGCTTGTTGTTCAGCCGGCATTTGACTGTATATAGGCAGGATGCTGAGCTTGGGCGGGTCGTTTAGTAGTTTGAGTCGCTCGTCGACTAGCTCGCAGGTGGCTTCGATATCTTCCTGGCCCGTCATAAACACTAGGATATCGCCAGGACCCTGCGAGACATGAATAGCCAAGACCTGCTTGACTGCACTATCGACGTAGTCTTCGCAAGGAGTGCGCGAGAAGTGGACATCAACGGGGAATGTCCTTCCAGGAATGATAAACTCGGGGGCGCCGCCAAAGAACCGTGAAAACCGCTCGGCATTCATCGTAGCGGAGGTGACGATCAACTTCAGATCTCTCCTGCGGGCGAGAACCTTTTTCAGTAGACCCATTAGGACGTCGGTGTTCAGAGCTCTCTCATGCGCTTCGTCCATGATGATGCACGAGTACTTGTCCAGATCGGGCTGAACGAGCGACTCGCGGAGAAGTACACCGTCAGTCATATACTTGATCGTCGTCTTGTCGCTTGTGCAGTCCTCAAAGCGAATCGCATATCCGACAAGATCGCCCAAATCCACTTCCATTTCCTCGCTCACACGTTTCGCCACGCTCATGGCAGCCACTCGCCGGGGCTGCGTGCAGCCGATCATCCCAAACTTCGAGTAACCGTCTTCATGAAGGAACTGCGTCAGCTGGGTTGTCTTCCCCGAGCCCGTCTCGCCCACAACGACTACCACCTGGTTGTCACGAATAACGCGGAGCAGATCCTCGCGGACCGCGAACGCAGGCAAGAACTCTCGTTGTTCGCGCAGCGTCTTGCTCTTACTAAACGAGCTCTGCCCGCCCTCGCTCTTCTTCATATGCTGGGCAAACTTATTCCCGCTCTTGTAGGTATCCTCCACAGGCAAAGCAACCGCGCTATCGCCCTCGTCCTCCTTCACTCCCATCAGATTCCCGAGCGCCGTGCCCGCCATGGTGGTAGCCTCCTGCGCCTGTTTCTGTCGCTCGCGCTGCTGGCGCCGCTCCCGGACAACCTTGCTTCCCTTCCGACTGAACACGGCCATGTCGCTTTGCGGATCGCGCACCGCCGATATGGGCTCCAACTGCTTTGTGAAAATCGTTCGGCCATCGAGGAACGGAGGTCGGAGGTCGTGGACCAGCAGATGGACGCGCGTGGCTTCTTCATCCTCGGGCATGAAGTCGCCATCAAAATCTCGTCGTTGGGCGACTCCCGATGTCAGCATTCGGTTCGTCTCCCAGTTGTCGATGTCCTTGCGCTTCGCGTCGCGGAGCGGCGCCGGCAGGTTGCTCTTCAGCCGTTTGGCTGGTGGCATCTCGTTGGAAGCCATTGTGGAGGAATATCGATGAAATATCCCTTTAAAAAGAGCGTTTATTATGGTCGGTTATTATTAAGAGGGCGACCAGCTGCGTACTGCAAGCGCTGCTGGCGATGGGTTGAGTGGACGACGATGGCGATAAATGCGGACTTGTATCGACAAGGCTGCAAACATGGCAAACGTAGTATCACGTGACCTATGAGATTATTCTGAACTGGGATATTCGAGAGAGTGTCAGGTAGAATGTTTATGTCCCTGATATTGTAAGACATAGAATTTTACGTAGAGGTTGTAAAACTCGTATTTAGGGCCATAAATTGGCCCATTGTCGCGATATCTCAATCTGACGCCGCGAGACTTGAGCTCCGTGCAAATTGACCTCCGATAGCAAGGGCCCCGCACTGCATTATTCTCCCCTCTCCATTGCACGTCACATCCAACCAAACATCATGGCGAGTCAAGCGTTAAACCCCAAGCGGCAGCAGGGTATGTGTGCTCATGCACGTCTTCATTGTTACCTACGGACGTGGAACAGACCTGACTCTCTGCAGAGCTGCAGAACCAGTACAGCAATTACAAAAACACCCTGACGCAGATGGCGCAGCGGATCGGCAATATCGAGAGCGAAGCAGAGGAGCACAGGTCAGTCCCTCTCGAACGAGAACCATGCGATTTCCGACTATTCTCCGCAATCATAACTGAATATGAGCTGACACGACGTGCAACTAGACTCGTGATCGACACACTCGAACCTCTGCCGCGGGACCGAAAGTGCTTTCGCATGGTGAACGGAGTCTTGGTGGAACGCACCGTTGAGGACGTTCTTCCCTCTCTGAAGACCAACTCGGACGGACTCAAGCAGGTCTTGGAGGAGCTGATGAAGCAGTACAAGGCCAAGCAGGACGAATTGGACAACTGGAAGGTTGGTGCTTTCCTTCGGACGGTGGAAATGTCCCGGCGAGAACGAAGATTGCTAACACATTTCGCCTTATAGAAGAAGAACAATATTCAGGTCGTGCAGCCTTGAAGGCCAGATTCTGTTTACGCCATACCCATGTCTGAGCCGTGTCTTTGTTCGTTTTCAGCGGTATTATGTTACGATAATTGCGAAGATAGAAGGAAAATAAAAATCGGAGTTTGGAAATTGACCGACTTGATGGGAATCTATCATATTGAAGGTGGTTGTCTCCTGGAAAGTGATAACGTACGAGGTCAAGGAAGATGGCCTGTTCCTTGCGTTTGTGGAGATCGACGGCGGCCAAGTCTTTGACCTGACTGTACAACAGCTCGTAGTGGGAGGGATTTGTCCTTGTCCAGACTGAATAATTTGCCCTTCGAGCAGCCAGCCGTGAGGCTGGCGGATTAATGTTTATCTGCAGAGCCAGGCGTGATGGCATGATCCTTTGGGCCGACTTTATAGCGTAGCTGAGTTGGCAATGAAGTCCAAAACAGGGCGGTTCCAGATGGTCCACGGCCGTGCGTCTTAAGATTAGCCTCAATGTTAAGGCACCACTGAACGCTTTGTATTAGCCTTGGGGAAGCGCAGAACTAAGAGACACTAGTGCCTGGAAGCATGCTGTAATTAACAGTTCAGCACCTGATGGAAATCGTCTGGAATGTTCCCCGAAGACCCTCTGTATCAGATGCGACGGACTACCCGATACTGGCTTGACTGGCCCCATTTGGGCAATCGTCCGCATCGTTGGTATGGGGAACTGGAAGACCCCGCAGCCCGTGCATCTTTGGGTAGACACAAAGTGTTTCAGGACCATGCTATGGTGTGATTAAATTGGATTTCCGGCATCCCATCCGGCCGTAGGGACATTGTCAGAGAAGATTGGAGAACGCATGGAAAATATGATGAGCGCATCAGGATAGACAGTGAATGTAGACAGGCAGGCTGAGTAAAGATGGTCACGTGCAATACACGATCAGAACCGAATATACCGTCATAATGGTAACTATAACATAGAGCTAGACCCTGGAAGCGTATCGACCACGTATCGCCTCTCTCCTTCTCCTTGCTCGACCATCCATCATCATCTTCTCTTCTCTTCTCTTCTCTCTCTTCCCCAGCATCCATCTCCAGTCTACCTCCCATCGGATCGTCTGTACACGTGTGGAGGCGCATCTGGTACCTTTTCTCTCAGGGGCGCTGTACTTCCCCTGCCAATTAACCACCCTGAACAACAGCCAGTGATCGGTCGAGTTGCTGGACTCTTCTGGTTCGCCAATTGTCTCCAGTCTCCAGTCACAACATCATCCAATTACTGGCACCTCTCAGCCACTGTTGTTCCTTCTCGCCCTCCCAAATCTCCCGATTGCCTAGCCAACGCCTTCTACGACGGTGCATTATCCTTCTTCTGGTGTTGGCAGGATTAATTCCCTTGCGCAACGTGCCACTGTCTTCGACCCACCACGACCACCTCTTGTGTTGCATCACCCGCGTCAGTCACCCTGTCGCTGACGTTAACCAACCACCACACCATCAAACTGCAAGAATCCTCTGTAAGTTGAATTCCACCACACCCGACCCTATCCAGACAATCAGACTTTCCCGGGATCCCGTGCGCCATCCTCGTCGCTGGGCATCAAATCACATCGTATCCGCCTTACCCCAACCCCGATAAGCGGATTTACCCAAAAGTAAGGGTCGGCTTATCTGGCGCGCCATTCAGCGCGAATCCCGGCGGTGGACCTGGCGCACACCGCCAGGCCCGAGCGACTATCGCGACAACAATGCGCATCCACCCCCACACACACGTGCTGACCTCGTCTTTCTCCCCCGATCTAGGCTGTCGTGAAGCAAATCGCTGCCCAGCCAGTCAACATCCTCATTGGTCTTGGCGCAGTTCGATCGTCGTGTCCACCGTCCCAAACGCATCGCGCATCCGCCGCATCTCTGACGTGGTTCTGCCAACAGAGCAATTAGACACGACCGTCGCGTCGCAAGGTTCCCATAGTCGCTGCACGCGTCCAAATAGCTAAAAATCATGTCGTCGACCTCCCCTTCTAAAGAGCCCGAGGTGGAACCTGAAGCTCAATCGGGTGAAGAGCACGAACAAATGGAAAAAGAGCAAGACCAGACGCAGGGCCAGGGAGAGTTCGAGGTCAAGGAGCAGGATAGGTGGTTACCAATTGCAAATGGTGAGTTGCGCTTCCTTGCAGCTACCCGTCCCTCTGATTTGCGCGTACCTTGCGACTGTCGACCTGCTCCGTCCAGCTGTGTGCCATGCCCCCTTTAACCATATTCTCCGCCGTCGCTTGTTCTTCTTGTCGTTACCTTTTTACCCCAGATTGTGGATTCGTATACAAGATGTCTCTTCAGGGGGCGGTGCTCACCACGACTATGCGCGCGCATCGATGTCACTGGGTTTCACGCAATGAATTTTTTCTTATCGCTTCTTGCGCGCATTACACTTCATTATTTGGATTCTCTGCGGAATTATATGCTAACACCTAGTCTCAGTGGCCCGTATCATGAAACTAGCTCTGCCGGAGAATGCCAAAATCGCCAAAGAAGCGAAGGAGTGCATGCAAGAATGCGTGAGCGAATTCATCTCATTCATCACTAGCGAGGGTAAGTCCATTTGCCCGCCCTTCGCGCTGCTCTTGTCTAATAGCTGTCATAGCGTCCGAAAAATGCCAGCAGGAGAAACGTAAGACTGTCAACGGAGAAGACATCTTGTTTGCCATGACCTCGCTAGGCTTCGAGAACTACGCGGAAGCTCTGAAAATCTACTTGTCCAAATATCGCGAGGTAAGACCTATGCAACATCTTTGACACGCTTGCGCGACCAACAAACCGCGCTGTACTTCACAAGGGCAATCCTTCTGACACCTGATCAGACTCAATCCGCACGGGGCGAACAGAACCGGCCAACAAGCAGCGGATACACTTCTGGTGGGCCAGTCGGTGGTGTGGGAAGTGCAGCCGCGCGCCCAGCTGGCTCGTTTGACGCGGCCGACCCCACGAACAACATGATACCCCCTACTTTGGATCCCTCGGAGCAGGATCCTTCGGCGTATGGCTATTCTACCATGGTGGGTCAGCCTCACAATGGAACCGGCGGCGAGTCCTATTAAGCGTGGGCCATGAGGACAATATCTGGTCCGCTCCCACTTGAAGACACGAAATCCACCACTTTGCCGACCGGCTTTTCTCCTCGGCATCTTGACGATACACAGACCGTATGGCCTTTGACGGATTAAGGACAAGGACAAGTTTAAACGATACTCAGATAGTTTGATTCAGGGGCGGCGCGTTTTTATTCCTCTCCTATCTTTCCTTTACTGTCGTCCCATGTTTATCAACTTTATACGGGTTTCCGGGAATGCTACATTTTCATGGTTAAATAAAACCTGTACAATTGCCTGCAGAAGGGCTCGTATGGATCCCTTGACTCGGAATGCACTCCTGGCCATTGCAAGTCCTAGGCCATCTTGTATCCAGCTTCTTTTGGTGCTATCATTACTGTTGAGTACTGAACTCGTGTCTAACGAGCTCTGAACTTGTCCTAAAACTCATGAACTAGACAACGCGCCATGGAATTAAAGCACGCTAGCTTGATTGATAATACTGTTCTCATTCGGTCTCATAAATGTGTTCATCATCAGTGGTCTCAATAGTAGATATATGCATCATTGCCGATTCTCCAACACATGGAGATGGGCTTTGAAGAGGTAAAGATATAGACAAGAAATCGGGGGAAACAGTTCAACCATGCATCCATCCCCCTTCTTGGAGGAGATCCGACATCGGGGTTTCCTGCCAGTAAATCTGCCGCCATTCGTCTTCCAATTCAGGAAGCCCCTCAATGGCCATCGGAACAGGTTGGTCCGGATCCGTGAAAGAAAACAGCTGGCGCCAGTCTAAGAACTCGCGGGGATGGTCCATCGGATCCATGGACGCCCAGTTGGTCGACGGGATCCAGTTGTCGAACGGCTGCTGTTGGTGCGGGCTCACAGTGGCCTGAGTCTGGGGAAGGTGTGGAGATTCGGGAGTCGGAACCTCGAAAGGCATCTGGGAGGATTGCATGGGGGTATCTGAATTGGAGGAATTATGCGTGGAGGTGTTGGAGGCGTTTTTGTTCCCGTCATGAGAGTTGTGGTTATTGCTGAAGCGTCGGGGTCGTTCACTTGTGGCTAATCGGAGATCTTCCTGAAGCCGCTTAGAGTCCTCGAAAAGTCGGAGGATGGTACTTGCATGGGACCAGTACTCCGCCAGCTCGCGGAGGGAATAGGACGCCGAGTCGAATCGGCGGAGCGCGTTGATCGCGAGCACAGGGTTGGAGAACCGTAGCTCGACCCGGACTTGAATCATCGCGGTGAACAATGTATGGACGCCCGAATACCACAAATACTTCAGGCGGTCGTTGAGGCGGAGTTCTTCAAAAATGGACGCGATGACTCCCGCGGCGGCACTGCAGATTTCTGCATCATGTGGCCCGTAGTCATCCGAGTATGCGGACGCCCGTGGATGCGGCCGATGGAGGAGAATGAGGAAATTATTATATGTCAAGTGGAGCATGGCGGACCAAGGGTCCATATCCGATGCCCGGAGGCGCAGATTATCAGGCAGTTTTAGAGACCAGTTGGCGAGGGATTCGTCGGCTTCTTGTAACACTGCCTTCCGACGCTCGGCGCTGACTCGTAGCCCAAACCGCTCCCTGACTATATATGAAATCATTGTGCAGAGCTCGGAAAAATGGATCACATAGTCCGACTGCACTCGTGAACCACATCCTTCAAAGTCGGAATGCGTTAGCGGAGAGACATCGGAATCTTCAAGGTTACTGGATCTAGTTAGTGACGCTGTGAAGGAGCTTGAAAGCGTGGGGTGAGGAGCTCACATAGCCTGTGGTCGACCGTGGGATAAGGAGGTCATGACATCGAATTGGACCAGGATGTACCATAGTCGCCTCCACATCCGATGATCGCGAGGTACAAATCTGCTTTGTACGGGATTCCGGTGCATACCGAGGCCCGTAGCAATTCTCGCAGCCACTCCAACCCAGTAATGAGCGTTTGCGGCCACATCATCATCGGCGCTGTCCGAATGCCAAGTCAGCAGAAGAGCGGCCTGGACCATGATGTCGCGATTGCGCTCAATTCGATTATCAATTAGCCACTTTGCACGTCGAAAGAAGATCTCCTTCAATGCATCCCGATCCGCCCTAGCACGTGTGACATGAGTCCCAACTAGCAGAATGGCCTGAAGGAGCAAGATAGGTGGGGGATCGGCAGGGTCACGGCTGCGATATTGAGTCATGAACAAATCCTCTTCGATGATAGGGTACCCTGGATTTACGTGGGTGAAATATGCCTCCACCAGCTCATCAGCGAGCGCTGGTTCTGGCAAGGTGAGGGCATCGATGAGAAGTTGGTCATGTCCAGTCTTCAACTGCCGTCTGGGGATTTCGTTCCCGGCGAAATGGTATACGCCGTCATCTTTGTCTCGTTGCTGGCGGATTAGAAATGACATGTTCGACAGTTCATGACCGACGTAGATTGCGCGGACACCCCGTTGGATCTCCCGACTGCCTGACTCTTCCTCATCAATGAGCTTTACCAGTCGTGTTTCCAAATCTTTATGGGAGTCACGCTCAAGCGATGAATCGCCAGCCGACTGGCGATTGTACACTTGGCCATTTGAATTCGACGAGGCGTCATGGATGTGGGAGCCATTGCTGTTGTTGGTAACGGCATCGCTTGCGCCAGGGGTAGTTGCGCCGGGTTGGATCCCGCGGAAAGTAGTCGCGAAGGCTGTCGGCTGTACGATAGGAGTGGACGCTGTAGGTTTCGGTGCAGGATCTGGAGCAGGAGGACGACAACGAATGGGAACAGGATCCAGGATCGAGCGTACAGCCAGCCTTTTTTTCTTCTCATGGATACGGCAATCGGTTTTGCCCGTGGAGCGGCAATTGGAGCATGGTAGGCCGACGATGCGGGCGTCGCATCGGACTTTACGCCGATGACAATGAACACAGGCTGCAGAGCCTATATGACAGCCCTTGTTAATATCTTGGTCGCATGAAGCATAGTATTCAAGAAGACGGTATCGCATACCCGACTTGCGCTTAGTCACACCATTGCCGGTGGGCGTTTGGCTATTATGCGCTGTGGAGGACATATCAATATCATCGACGCAGAATCAGGGTCCGGAGACTCGCAACTTCATCATTCATGATGGGACGAGCCGTCGTGAAGATGGGGAGCCCTAGGTCCGGGAGAGAATCATCAACATGGGTACCTAGTAGACCATGGGAGAAGAGGGTTGCAGAGAGAAGAAAAGAGGAGACGGTGATAAACTCCAGACGGTGGGGCAGAAGAGAGGCCGGGGAAGTCACGTGGGTGCGGAGAAATCCTGCCTGCACGAGGTGCTTTCATTCTTGCAGCTGTCTCTATACCTTGTATTTCTCGTTGTTCATCGGTTGCCTCTCTAGATGACGAGGAGGAGAGTCTCCCTTTTACAGAAGACGATAGTATTTCGTGGTGAACATGTACCTGCCGTCAACTTGATACTATCACATCGACCAATCGGTATCGGCTCTCCTATCAGAGCCCTATCAAGAACACCCCTCCATCATCATCAACAGATCAACATCCTTCACGCCATTTCACACTCAATCAGACTCTCCACCCCCTTATGGACCGTCCAAATCTTCACGATCTTGAGTCCTGCCGACTCAATCAGTCGGGCCCATTGGCTCTCGGTGCGCTCCGTCGACGCAATAGCCATCATGATACAGTCCAGACTGGTAGTCTCATGCTGCGCTCCGGTTGGGGGAATCAGATTCTCGTTGATCAGCACTTTACTGTATCCAGGACGAAGAGCCGGAACGAGGTTTGACAGGATTTTCTGGCACATCTCGTCAGGCCAATCATGCAGAATTGAATGCAGATAGTACGCGCGGGCTCCTGTATGCAGCGATTAGTAGACACAGACTTTTCCTATCACAGCAAGCTTACCCTTGATCGGCTGCTCCCTAAAGAAGTCATGGGCCATTGGCTCAATAGAACTGTGTAAGCCTTTCGCCCCTTGGATGACCTGGGGAAGATCCTGCAGAACCAAACGACCTGGCGCATCCGGCCATTTTCTCCTGAACTCGGAGAGGTCATGGCCGATGCTTCCGCCCATATCAACCAGGAGGACGTCTTGATCCTCTATACCAGCGCCTTCTACTAGTCGTTCCATCACAGGATAGAAGCCCTGGTCCATCCAACTGGGTCTCCCTTGACGATACACGCCCATGTGGTTGCCGAATTGTTTCGCGAACAGAGCATCCTCCTGTGCGCATTGGAAGACGTGCTTTTCCGTCTTGTGTCCTAGGTGAAAAGCGGAATTTCCTGGGTCTGTAGGGTTGCGGTAATCGGTTTTCTTGAGGAATTCGGGAAGGGCAAAGATAGCTGGGTAAAACCATCTCGCTCTGACATGCAAGATGTGGTTAGGTTCATTGCAATCTTGGGGGGAACATTGCCGGAACAACAGAGTGCGCTATACTAACATGACTGGATATCCGTCGGCATACTTCTCCGCGCTCAATGTATGCGAAAAGTTGGTTCCGCGGTACTCGTCAGGACCAGTCTCGGTAATCACCCCTGTCGCACCGAGATGCTTTAAGATGCGGGCTGTGAGATTGGCAACGATGAGAAAAGAATGCGACATATGCGAATAATCTCGTGACTTACACAGCATAATGGGGTCGGTATTACTGCTGCACGCAAGTTGGGACGCAGACACAGGCTGAGTACTTTCGGCCAATAACCTGAAAATCCCCAAGTCTATACCTGTCTCAATCGCGGCAAATTCTGTGGGCTTTTTCAAAAGTTCCAAACAATCAGCATCTTCTATCAACATGAACTCAATCGACTGGTTCAAATGCCTACTTGTGACCAACATTGCCTGATCAACCTCTCTCGCGGTGTTTCGAGTGCGTCCGCTAACGAGCGGGCGGCATCGCGCAGTTTCCAGCGTGCTTGTGTATCCTCTAAAGAAACGGACATGCCACTGGATGCGATCTGTTCTATGAGAGCCGGTACATCGTGGGGTGCATTCGGCGAGATGGCAATTCGGTCGACATCGGTCTCTGCACCCTTGACAGTATATCCATTAGGGTCGCAATCCGCGTCGCCGTTCGATAGTTCATTTCCTGTCGAGCTTTCTGCGGAAACCATCCTGGGTGTTCGATAGGTGACTGGAAATCGCGATTGTCGTAAAAGTTGTTGACAATATTGGGAATTGCCTTTGTTCAATGAAGGCAGTTGACCGGGGATTCGAAGCACAGAACGGGTCATTCAGGGGTCTTGGTGGTGATAAATATGACGACAAAACAGCTAGTTGCCATGGCACGGTAGCTATCGGAGCGCAGCCCCGGCACCCATCAGGGCCGGCCTGTCGCAACGACCTCTCCATCGTGCAGCTCGATAAGGGGTTGGCTTCATTGGGCTCATAAGAATGTGGCGAATCTCACCAGTCAGGTCTCCTAGAATGCTACTAGCGGCTGGGGCCAATGACAAGGCCATGCAAGGTGGCTTCACCGCACAGAATCGCGCGAGCTCGAACGGATGATCCTTGTACAATGAAGACAGGATGAATGCAATTCCAAATGTCAGTGTACTGTCGGTGAAATGGTGAATCCACCGTCGGCAGTATCCTGGGGATATTCAATGCTGGAAAAAAATACGCGGACTTGGATGTCCATGGCGTCCTCCTGCCGACACCAAGGAACGACATCCCCCATCAGCGTCCCATTTCGCCGAACTTCTGGACTGCTCAAAGTCGTTAGATCGCACGCCAGTCTAGTACGAGGAAATGAACCGCTGCATGGGCCTAGGGCAACATGACATGTTTCCGGCCTATCGTGGGCACGCCTCTGAGTCACTAGTGTCAGACTAGGATCGGCCGTGCAAGGTAGTTAGTTCGAACCCCAGGAGTCTGAAGCCGCTAGACCTGTCATCCATTTTCCGATGCGGGGCTCGTTTAAACCCTATGGATGTGCTGCTCACTGGTTGACAACTGGACAGTCCCACCGAGGTCGTGCGGTTGTTGGAGCCCATTCCTTTACATAGACATCGCAGTGCTCAATGAATCCCTTGAAGTCGCAACTGGGTTTGGAATACGACAAATACGCTAAGCCTGAGTCCAGCAAGGAAAACTCCCTATACGTCCAACAATAAGCGTGATAATTACTCTGGAGACTCTGGGTGTTTCATAATTGTGCAGCGGCATAGCTGCTGCTCCTTCCAAATAATGGGGCTATCTAGATGATCTTGCATTGACCAAAAGCATGTCTGATAAGGGCGTTACCTCCATACCTCAACCAACCTGCACGCGCTTTAGACTCAACGTTATTGAGGCGATGTGGGGTCTGTGAGAGGCACTCCAAACGATACGTCTTCTTTCCTTTGTCTATCCATCCTACTACAGACTTTTGATGATGCGACATTAGTTCTTGCAATCGGCCAACATGGCATTCCTTCGGCCATCTCAATAATAGGAAGCGGAAGAATCCATTCATCCTGGTGGAGCTCCTGCATGTCACTCATTTGATTGCCTGTGGCTTGGTGCAATCCTTTGACGTTCCGATAGTTGCGGCATTAGATTCGTGCTACTTTTCCAGGGAAGATAGGTTGCCGGCCTATTTGCCATTCTAGACAAAGGCCGATCCACATACTAACGCACTATGTTCCTCTAATGGAAGCCACCAGCTCGACCCTGACGTTTGCGCTATTTGATATGCAGGGGTGAAGGTAAAGATCCTGGGATGATAGAGTCGGTCCGTCATTGTTGAAGGGCTCTCATAAATCAGAATCTCCCTTATCCGAAATCCCATGTTGCATCCATATCTCTTATTCGACATTGGCGTCTGAGAGAGTCAGGAAGATGGACTCCTATCCACCAGGATATGCAGAGGAGAGCAAAGGCCCCCGGATTTTGGCCGCTTTCTGGGTGCTCACGAGCATCGCGCTCGTCGTGGTAATAGCAAGACTGTTTATCCGGCTCCGAGTACTGCGTAATCCCGGTCCAGACGACTGGCTGATTGCAGTATCTATGGTGAGTGCTGTTTAATGAGCACCATTTTTGATCGCTGGAAACTGACAGCGATTCTCCAGCTCGTAGGACTTGCATATACTTGCCTGACCACGGTGAACGTCTCACTTGGATATGGGAAGCATTCTGCTGTAATAGCGGATAGACTTGAAACCGTCTTATTGATCAACTATGTCGGCTTTTTACTCGGAATTCTTGCCTTTTCCCTGCCAAAACTCGCGGTGGCGGCGTTGCTCACACGTCTACTGAATCCGACCTTGGTTCACCGGATTATACTGTGGGGTTTGACAGCCACGGTAGCTGTGGTGTCATGCATCTGCATCCTAGTGCTGTTCACCATGTGCGACCCTCCGAGGGCGTTGTGGCAGACATCTCTGATGGCGCAAGGAGCCACTTGTCGTGATACCTGGATCCTCATCAACTATGCAATCTTTACAGGAGGTGGGGATTTCTTGGATCTCGTGGACGCGTTCTGCTTCTTTGGAGCTAAACTAACATTCTATAGCTGTGTCTGCGTTTGCAGATCTTGTTCTCGCCGTGTACCCAACCCTGGTTCTAATGAAGCTCCATATGTCCTTGCGGAAAAGATTGGCCTTGTGCACTGCTTTAAGCCTGGGCGCAGTGTAAGTGTAGTCTGTGAAGTACCTCTCAACTATTCCAAGACTGACCACTTTTCATGTCCAGCGCTGGTGCAATGGCTATTGTCAAATGCTTTCAGCTTCCAAATCTTGCGGACCTCGCTGATTCTACCTGTGAGTCGAGCAAGGTTTAAGCATGAATGAGACACTAATTGACACCTTACAGATGCCACAGCAGATCTTGTCATCTGGACCAGGTATGGCATTCCATGTGTCTAATTGACAAGAAGCTAACAAGTCTACTGTATAGTGTCGAGTCGAACGTGGTTATTCTCGCCTCCTGCATCCCCACTCTACAGCCACTTATCGAGCTAGCTCTTGGGAAGCGCACGCTCAAGAGCACTAGCAAATACCCCTATCAAAGCAGCGAGCGTCGCCATGAGTCTTCCTATTGGAGTAAGAAGTCCGCGCCGGCAAAGAACGCTGACCTCCAGATCACAAATGTCGAGAGCCAGGAATGTATTCTGGGATCGGCCAAGAACCAAGCAGTCGAGGGCCACCAGCTGGGCCACATCAGACGCACAGATAATGTCGTCGTTGAATACGAAACTACTTCGCAGACTGGGAATATCCATGAAGAACGGAGTCCTTGGTAGGACAGGTCTATTACATGGCGTCGCGAGGCATTACACATGGCTTGGTATATGTATGAACAGATGGCCTGTGCTGAGTTTATTTGCCAAAATAAGACAATTCTTCCTTCAGAGGGCCATCCAGGGGTTCCGTGTGGGACTGGCGTTACTCCTCCTGCCAGGTACCTTAGTGTAACCTCACTGCATATATTATATCGATGTAGGTATCTCTTTTATATTATATATCTGCTCTCAATGCGGACCCCCTAATAAAACTGCGAAAGAAGGCCTACGTACTTAGGTAGTTAGACTAGCGACGTCCAATCATTCTTTCCCCTGCAGCATATGGACGGAGCGTAACTACCTAAGCCAAAAACGTCGATGACAGATGCCGCGCAAGCAATCAGCAGGTATCACGACCTGGTGACAAAAGAATCCACGGGTAGGAAAACCTTCCAACCGCACGCGGGTCATGCTTGGTGATTTTCCATTGGCAGCGGCTGATGGAGGGTCAGGGTGACGTCAGGTAGATAGGTGGCATGTTGACAGGAGTCGGGAAACTCTTCCTAAAGCAAATGCAGTACATGTAGTCTAACTCGACCACGTCCGTACAGTTATAAATAATATAAAGTTCTAATAGAAATGTGTTGGCCGGAGAATATCTTGAAGTTGGCACAGAACTGCCTTCACCATCCTTTGACTCTGACGGCCTCTGAAAAAGCTCAATCCTGTCTACCACTCTCCTCATGTCCGATTTTTTTTCGGCTATTTTGCCATGTATACCGTTGGTGCCATGAAAAGACGGCCATCGGACGATCCAGACGCTTGGATCTTAGGCAGTGGCACCGCCGTGCTAGCATCCGCCGTCTACCTCGTCCAAACTACGAAGATTCCCCCCCAGAATATACATATACTCAATCCTCACAGGTCGCTGGATGCCGCGCTACATGACCGAGGTGACCATTATAGAGGATATGACCAATTTGCCCGATGCCTCCCGGTTCCTGTCGGCTCGCCATTGAAAGAGCTACTTGACTCTATCCCATCGGGTGGAAGGCAGGGCTCATCAGTCCTTCACGAGATAGAGGCCAGGGAAGGACTCCGCGATTCCGGGAAGACTGGTGGCGGCACCTGCTTTATAATCAAACGTGATGGGGTAACGGAGCCAGCCTCGACACAGACCTGGGACTTGAACTTCAGAAGCCGGGTCAGTCTGCTTCGCCTCATGCTGATAAATGAACGACGCGTAGGGAGGGCTCAAATAAGAGATTTTCTCCCGGAGAGCTTTTTCCAAAGTGCATTCTGGGCTATGTGGTCTGCTCAGTACGTATACGTTGAAACCCGCGTTTCTGCTTCTTGAAACAGCAATATATAGATGCTAATCGATACGCTAGGTTTGGTGTCCAGCCATGGCATAGTGCGGTGGAATTCAGGCGCGCACTTCGTCAATATCTCTCCGAATCTCGTACTCTGAATATCTTGAGCTGTCTAGATATCAGCGGGTATTACCAGTACGAGATGATCTTCCTACCCTTGTACTTCTATTTGCAAAGTCTTGGGGTAGACTTTCAATTCGATACGAAGACCGAGGATATCGTTCTATCGGGCGAGAGCCGTCGGCAGGTTTCTCAGTTACACCTGCTGAGAAACGGCGTACGCGAGAATCAGTTTCTGGGACCGGCGGATATAGTTCTCGTGAATCTTGGCTCTACAGTCTCAGGGTCAACAAGCGGGAATTCCAATTATCCGCCGCCACGGTCGTCTATGGAAGCTGATGAAGAACTCGACGAGAACTGGTCGATATGGTTGAACCTCCGCAGCAAGAGTGACCATTTTGGCGAGCCGTACAGCTTCTGTACTCGCCAGTTTGAGTCTATCATGGAATCTTTCACCGTTACCGTGAAGGATCCACTCGTTTTCCAACAGCTTGCTTCTCTTGCCAAGAACTCCGCCGAGGCTGGGACATTCATCGTCATACTAAGTAGCCAGTGGAAACTGCATATCTGTGTCCCTCACCAGCCAGTATTTCCCGACCAACCACGGGACGTGTGCGTGCTTTGGGGGTTCTCGAACTCTCCTCTGTGCAAAGGAGACTTTATCAAGAAGCCGATGGTCCAATGCTCCGGAAACGAAATTCTCACGGAGGCTCTGAGGCACTTGAATCTTGATGTCGAATTATTCTTGCAACACACCATCACAATCCCCCGCTTAATGCCCCGAATGAGTGCGGCACTCCTGTCTCGCGTGCAGGGAGACCGACCACAAGTTATTCCCGAAGGGACAACGAACATTGGCTTTATAGGTCCATTTGTCGAAAACTCGCACTATAGCACCGTGGATATTAGCTACGAGGTCCGAACGGCGCAAAAAGCGGTATCTGAATTACTCGGTACTAAGCTAGGTCATGTTGATCAGTGCCGGTTGTCATCGTCCGTTTTTCTGGACATTCTGTTCCGGAAATGACGAGGGCAATTCTCCGGTCAATGAGAGCTAGTCGTACGAAAAGAGCCAAGAGCTTTCTTACTACAAGATGGTATAGCGAAATGCTTGCGAAACAATTCTCCGGGCAGATTATACCGCATCCATTTCAGTATGAACAACGGTCACCCTACGACAAAAACCATGTTTCAAGGCAGCGACTGTGGAGGGTATATTGGCACCTTAAGATACGCATGGGGTGTGCATAGCGTCTCTCAACAGAATGAATATACAAATCTGTCCAGACGAGTATAGACTCGAACCACAAAAAACGCCGCGAGGTTAATAACATGCCACCCCTCCAAGCTCAGCAACTCGGCTGTGCTGTGGCAGGTACACACCCACTCCTCCCAGGTAGTTACCTCGTCTTCCAATATTCCTGTTCGCTAATGACTACCTACTTGGTCCTTGATGAATGTGGCCGGTGGGGTGATTTACGTTACGACCAATTGGTCGGACCGTCGGAGACGGTCTCCGCATCTACGCGTGTTAGTCGACGTTGATGGTACACGTTCAGTGTACTGGTGGCTTGAAGGACCTGGAATTCTATAATGCAGTAGACCCATGTCCCGTCGACTCAAGTGCGTAGCACCTGATTGATCGAGCAAGGGACGGTGACGACATAATGTGGGGTATGAGATGTCAAAAACAAGGATCGACAAGGTTCCAGACCTGACTTGTCCGGACTGCTTCTGCTCGGGACCATAGTTGGTCTAGTTGGTCGTTGTCAGTTTATCCTAGTAAATCCCCCGGGTCATGTCTTTTTATTGGGTGGAAATCATCGCCGATCTCCTGTCATGCCACATGATTATGGAGCTTCCTATGGTCCGAGCTCCCGCTGTGCTTCCTGCTCCTGCGAGCTAGCTAAATAATGCCTAATTTTCGGGTCTGACACCGTGTTTTGAATTAGCACTGAAAGCAAACCTATGTGTACATATTTATCTCTGATTCTACCTACGCGATCAAGAAATTAGCTGTCACCTCGATGATATGGAACGCTTAAGCGCCTACGATCTACTCCATCTCTGCCAACAAAAACTATACGACCATAGTTTCTGCTCGCCCGACGTCGACCTCCGCATCCTGGTCGGACACTCAAACATGTTGGGTAAACTGATTGATTCGGTCTACCAGGACAACTATGCTCCCTTCGATAGGGGTCTGACAATCACCTACGGCTCCACGGTTTCGCATCTCGAACCCAGTAAAGAGGTAGTAGGGTCGGAGTCTGCGTCGGATTCTGATGCCGAGTCACCCCCTGACAAATGTGGTGAGTCCTCACCGTGCGGAATCCAGATCCATCAAGTGAGCTGGACCACGACAAGGGTAAAGCCCCGCGAGATTCAAGACCAGTCGAAATTCCTGCCTTGTCAGGGTCCGGTGCAGAGCACAAGCATTCAACTCTAATATAATTGTCAACACCAAGATCTCAGCTGCAACACTATTCGCTACTGTGTACCTATAATCACAAGAACTGGGCTTTGGGCCCGCTAATGTCGTCGTTATAACTCGCTCAGCCTCTATTACAACCTATTCTTTAGCTGGTGTCAAAGTGCTGTACGCCTCTCCAATTCAAAGCTATCGGGTGTGCGCCGATATACTGGCAGTAAGGGACTTCAGGCCGCCTTCTCCGGGCTTGAAACTTAGAGCCAAGAATACCAAAGCTCTAGGAGGGACAGATCAAATCGAGCAGTACGTTCTAGAAAAACGTGCTCCCTCAGTCACCCCTATTTAGGCGGAGATCTTGTATAGTAGTGGTGGCGTCTGCCGTCTATCTGATTCAAGTTGCGAAGATAATCCCACAGAAAGTACATATACAATGAACAAACATCCACATTCAAACATCTACCCAAACACAAACCGGGTCCAATTCTCTGCAAGTCGTCGGACACCGTCTTCGAGTGACCACCCCCGGAGCTCACAGACCTGTCGAGCAACCTCCTCGAGCAGATCATCCATCTGCGGTCCGGCAGTATGCAAATCACTTTCTATGAGTATTCTATCCTCTGGCAGAGCTTTAATGACTTCTCTCACCCTTTGTGACGACGGTCCAGCAAAGTTGATCACCGTCGAGAATGAAAAATACACATCCGACGGATTCGCCGGGTTCAGAAACTGCCTCAACTGCTCCACCGGCCCCGAATAGGAATGCATGCAGATCCGCGGAGGAAACGGGAGTGGTGGCTCATCCTTTGGTGTTGGCGTATGCTGCTGGTCTTCCGCGTCGCTCTGGGCATGCGCGTCCGCTGCGCTGTGCCGTCGTTGTCTCTCTCGGCGCGACGGCGTCTTTCGTTCATGTCCCGACCACAATGACTTGAAAACATCAAAGACCGCCCCGTGCGCCTGCACACTATGTACAGAAACAGGCCGACGGAGCTCCCCGGCTAGCTGCAATTGAGCTTTCAGGACAGCCTTCTGGTGGTCCATTTGGACCCTGTGCGGGGTGAGAGAACGGCCTTCGCGAGATCCGGGCGTCATTGACGCATCACGTCCCTCGATTTCCGTCTCCGTCCACGCTTGAGGAAGTCTGAAGGCTTTGTCAAGACCAACCTCGCCGACCAGAGCGGCGGGGTGATTTTGTAACCTTGCGCGGGTCTCAGAGATGAGTTGAGACAGCGGTTTGGGGGCGGGTAGAGCTGAGATGAACTGTTCGTCGGGAGAAGGAGTCAGCACTTTCTTGTAGTGCGACTCTTTACTCTCCGCATCGGAATCGAGTGCGTGCGACATGTCGTCCAATAACTGGTGGGAGAACCAGGGGTGCCAGCCAAAGCACGGGAGGACACGAGCTGTCTTTCGGTCTTGTGTGTCCGAAAGTGATGTTGCAGTCTGTGCTACTAGATCTTGATCTTCTCCACGCGTGGCCATGATGGTGAGGGTTGTTGCTTTCATGCGGGGGATTGCCTCGATCGAGGACATGGTGTCGGTGGGGTGGCAATGAGCATCGAACACCCCCAAATGCCAGGGGAATTCAGAGGCATGCTTATTCTCTGTTTGTGACATGAGTTTCCGCTTAATTGAGTCGGGATGCGTATGGGAAAGAAGGAATGGGAATGCAGTTTTCAGCGAGAAGAACGGCCTGCGGAGTGATGTAATCGGACCTGGTGTGCCTGGGGCAGCAACTATCACATGCTCATCTCTCCGCATCGAACAAAAGGCTTAAATCAGACCATCTTTAATACCCTCAACTGGCTCGGCTGGCCTGTTCTCATTGTTCTTGATAATCGCATCAGCATCGGGTCTAAAAGGGCGTTACTATAACATGTGAATGCAACACCGCATATCTTTCCGATCAGTGCTGTGTTACCGGCTTTAGAACTATATGTACGACACGGCTGATAGACCGACGCCATGCCCTCCATCATCACATCCGCCATATACTTCCCTTTCCTCCTCATATTCTCCATCCCTCTCGCCTTCACCGCATATCTCACCGTCTGCGCCTCCATCCTGGTTGTCTTCGCGCGGCTCTCACTCATCTCCCTCGAACTAGGACGAGAGCTTTTCTATGCCGTCGTGTCAAAGAACTTCATCATCCCCAAGTCCGACAGCTGGTCGCTGTTCAACTTCGCTCCATCAGAGCCAACGACCCCTCGCTCCGCCCCGAGGAGGCGATCAGGAGACCATGGCGCGCCACATATGCCTACAACCCCCACCTCCCAGCACTGGTCGTCTCGCAGCCAGCCTGACCTGAGCCACCGGCCCTTCAGACGCACCAGCTCAATATCATCAGACGGCGTGGCCGACCACGACCACTTCTTCTACAACCAGGACGTCACGGGCCGACCAAACTGGGACGAAGGACGCCGACCTACGCCTTTGTCCTTCTCCGGCGCCTTCCAGGGCTTCATCAGCGGCGACGAGGGCCGCGACTTCGAGGGTCTGGGCGGCTGGCGCTGCGGGCCGTCCATCGCGTCGAGACTCCACAGTGCAAACACCCACCCGTCGCGCACATCCTCCACGTCATCTCGGAGCCGCCCCGCCAACGACGCAGTCGACGAGGCGGCGGCCGCCGACGACGACGAAGACGACCCCGACGAGCGCGCCTGGCTGTCCATCAACCGTCGGCTGGCCCTCCCCTCGCAGCCGCTGAGCCATCGCAACTCCGGCACCGATCTCGGAGAGCACATCCTGCCCTGGCGACATCGCCAGATGGTGGCATCCCCTGGTGCTGGGCGCGAGTCGCCCACCCGGCGCCACCACAATCGCTCCGCGACAACCTCCATGCTTGTGAGCCTGGCCCGCCGCGAACGACCGCTCAGCCCGTCCGGCGTGTCCCTGTCCACGACGCCGGCCTTGAGTCCCTACTCCAGAGCCATCTCGCCCCGGTCCCATTCGCAGGCGCCGTCCCCCGTCACGGTGCCCACCATCGATAACCAGATCTCCTCCCCACCGGTTGACCGTAGTGGCGGGTACTTTGCGGCTCGGCCCGGGGGTAGTAGTGCGGCCAGTAGCGCTACCTCGCCGGAAGACACGACGCCGATGGAAGAACGCCGACCCTCCAGGGCGGCCGGGCGATCGGTGGCCCACTATCCCGCGGGCGTGAGGTATCGTCGACGTAGCCTTTCAGGGCCGAATCCGGCGGGGTTATTTAGTCCGTGGAGTACGCGGACGTAGGCTTGCAGCGGGCTCGAAGCGGTCGTGGACGTCTGCATCTACTGCCGCGTATAAGAAACGTCTATAACGAGATCATGAGATCTGTAGTGGCCGCTGGAACCACCGCTATGAGCAGAATCTATCTGTATTGTTCGTCTCAAGTCTATTCACTCAGTTATGTACACGCCGCGTATTATACCCTAGATCCGAACACCGAAAATCGTCGCTATCAAAATCAGAAACAAGTATACGTGATGAGTATTTACGGTCGTTTGGCCCTCTCCTTCCGTGCCACTTCTTCCATTTCAGACAGCACGATGCTGTTGAATTCTTCCCATCCGTCCAGATAGACGTGGTGTCCGGAGTTCTTGATGACCACAACCTTGGCCGAGCCATTGTCAGCTGCGCGCTCCTCCTGCGTGGCGTTCGCCAGGATCCGCTGCTTCTCTTCCTCGAGTTTGGCCTGTGCGGCAATTCCGCCCTTCACATCCATCCAATCATGGTCACCGTACATGAAAATGATCGGCAGGCCATTTTCGCGCTGCGCAGGAGGCTGTGAGTTGAGGGTTGAATTAGAACCAGCAGACACCTCTGACGAGGACTGTACCAAGCCAGCTTTCTCCGCGGCTTGCCGAATGGGTGATGGAGAAGTCTGTATCATTTGTCGACCAACAGCATGGATGCGCCGGATCAAAGGACTGCGTGCGAAAGCCCCCGGGGCGAGAATATACGCAAGCGCATATTCCCCACTGCCCCGAAGACTGAAGATCGAATAGGAGTAGTCGTGAAGGGCCTTGGCCTCCTCCGCAGGGAGATGGGAGAAGCGCCGATGTGTCCAACCGGAGACAAGGCGCGGTCCCAAGGGCCCAGCCCACCGCACCAGAGTGAACGGTGAGATGTTGGCGTCCCATAAGTAGGCAAACCATTTCGGTATCATGCGTCGCGGCGGGCGATTGTCCGAGGCTCCACTCGACGGCGCACCCTTGAGAAGGATATTATTATCGCCTTTCTGAATCGACTCAGTCGACACGGAGGAAACGGACTGGGCGATTTTGTTCTGTGCATTGGCATCTGACGCTTCGGGCATGTCGGCGGACACCGCATAAGGATCTTCTGGGATGCCCACAGGGGAAGCCAGAATCAGTTTATTCAAACGCCCTGGGTATTTCAGAGCATAGGCGACTGCCATGTAACCCCCGAGGCTGTGGCCCAGGAGCGTAAAGCGCTCGATTTTGCGCTTGATGCGCCATTCCTCCAAAGCGTCAATAAACCAAGCCTCCGCCTCTTGTATGGCAGCCTCTCGGTCTTTTGACTTGATGCGAAAAGCCGGTCGGGTGCTGCGACCCATACCCAGCAGGTCGAGCGCATGGAGTTGCCAACCCTTTAACCGACTCAGCGGCTCGAAATTCTTGTAGAAGAATCCCAACCCAGCGCCATAACCGTGCAGCATAACCAGGTGTTGGTCTGCTTCTTCACCCACTCGCTCAACGGAGAACTCATTAAGCGCTCGGTTTTTGCCACTCAACTCGACCATGCTCGACCGCCAACGCCGCGGGCCATACGGATCGTCTGTGGAATTAGTCGCAACCTCGCCCTGTTGGCTATGGTCGGCGGACTGCATGCTGTCCGGTTCATCGTTCGGCAAATGGGTGGTCTTGCCGGTCTGAAGATGCGTCGGGGCGTCGTGTTGCAGGTACGGCATAAAGGACATGACCTTGTGTTCTGCGGCAGCTGGCGGCAAACTTGCCCACTGCAGAGGAACAGTCTCAGTGACTCTGTGGCGTCTGAGTTTATTCCTCGGTTTAAGTACATACCCATTGGCTAAAGCCTTCTCTATACCCTAGGGGAAACCATGCCAGAGGCGAGGGGGTTGCGGTGGCGCCGCGAGCAGCATGGGGAACATCATCGCGTCGGGAGGGTGCGGGCATCGTCTGATCGCGATTTTGTAGGTCGTCCTTAGAGGACGCCAAGGATTCGGAGGCCATCGAAGAGGTATACCGCAGTGCAGGTGGCGGAGGACTCGATGACGGAATCGGACGAGAGGATTCAAATGCGGTCCACGAACGAGGGACCTGAAAGGGTCGGAGAGAAAGTCGCGCGGTCGACACCTTGGTCTATGGAGTCCAGAGTGACAGAGAGACAGGCTCCGTCACTCGATCGCGGCGGAAAAAGGACACGATTTATACAGACGTCGGAGTTAGTGGAGAAAAAGGGGTGGAGCGATGATGATGAAAGTAAGACTGTGGCGACGAAAGACCGCTTAACCCCGGTCCAATCAATGGGGAGAGTGTTCAAGATAGGCAGACACGGATGGTGAAGATGTACGAGAGCTGGAGAGGTCAAAAGGAAGGGAGGACGCGGTGTTGGAGAGGGAATGGACGAGAGAGGGTGGAAGGTGGTTGTATGTAGGAGAAGTTGTAGAAGTGTTGAGGGGTGAGAGTTGTCATTGTTGTTGTTGGATTTTTCCCACTCGGCTTTCTTTCTTCCCTTCCGCTGTCCGCCCATCTTCGACCTCACTATACCCGACCACCCTTCATTTCTCAATCCCTTTCCGCCTCCTGTCCTCCCTCTCCGTCCATGCGATGAAGTAGTATCGGGCCGCAAAGGCCGTGTTGTCCTCTCCTCCCTTCTTGAACACCTTCTTGGAGAGTCCTCGTTTCCTCTTCCCCTCTAGCGCCGTCATCCTCCTGCTTTCCGTCCCGCAACGTCATCGCCATGGCGTCCGCAAGCCTCGATCAGCTGGTGAAAGGCGCCCCCGTTCCGAATAATCGACATTCAACCTCATCAACCGCTTCCTCCGATTCTGTATCCCCTCCTCCGAGGTCCTCAACATACTCTTCCGCGCCGCGTCCCTCCACGCCGGATCCGCTGGCTAGTCTGCCCTCGTCTCCGCCCCAAATTTACCTGAATCTCCTGATCCTCGAGAGCTCCCTACGCGCTCAATACCTGTCTCTGCGAGAGCGTCGTCGTCAAAACACCTTCTTCATCCTCCTCCTGCTCCTTTGGATCGCCTACTTTGCCTATGCGCTGTTTCTCCGTCCGCGTGAGGATGGGCGCGGGGTGGGAGGGTCAGTCTACTGGGTGGTCGAGATGGGCGAGAAAGTCGCGCTGCTGGGCGGAGTGGTGACCGCACTGTTGGTCTGGGGCACGGGACAATGGGAACGGGGGGTCCGTTGGCCACGGCGCTGGCTCGCCGTTGCCAACCGTGGTCTTCGCAACATGAACACCAAGATCGTCGTGATCCGGGGCCCGTGGTGGCAGGAACTGCTTTCCTACCTGTCCTTTCTGTTCCCCTTCTCTGCCCCGTTCTTCCCGTCGCCCGCCGGCGATTTCCACTACATCGAACGCCCTGCGTCCGACAAGCGCGTCGGTGGTCGGCAGCACCACCAACCGTACTACAGCGTGGACAACGAATCCGGCCTCGTGGAGGAAGACCTCAGTCCGGGCGGCGACTACATCCGGCTCCTCCTCCTCCCCAAGTCCTTCTCGCCCGAGTTCCGCGAGAACTGGGACGACTACCGCACCGAGTTCTGGGAAAAGGAAAACGAGCGGCGCGCCCAACTGCGCGAGAAGCTGCGCCAACGGGAGCGCATGCTGGCCAAGCAAGAGGGCGGCTGGTTCTGGTGGATCGGAATCGGCTGGAAAGCATCGAAGCGGCGCCGACTCGCTGCCGCTACCCTCAGCGAGAAGGGCCATCATCCCCGTCACCACCACCAACACTCGAATGTCTCGAGGCATGCCCTCGAGCCCAAGTCGCCCGCCCGGCGTAGCACGCGCTCGGAGTCGCATTCGCGCACCCCGTCGCGAAGCACCACCCCCGTCGACACCGATGACAGGCCGCCGTCACGATCCGGTGGCCGCCCCCGCCGCGGCAGTACGTCGCCAGCGTCTACGGCATCGGAACAGAGCCACCAGAATCGGCGGAAGAAAGGATCCAAGGCGAGTTTTAGTCGCGGCTTGTCACCCTTGACGCAGGCGCAAATTCGTGAAGGCGTGCAGCCGCCGTCTTTCTCATCGGATGACTCGTCCTTCACGATCCCCGGCGACAAGGACAGGCCCATCAAGGATGAGCCTGTAGATTAGTCGCATGCCTTCTGTTGAACCAGTCGGCGTGTCTGTCGGATATTGCATGTCCATACGTGGCTGCTGTCCTGGTCCTACATTCTCATACCTTGATCTATGTCGGGAATGGCTGTAGAAAGTGATGGTTAATTGAAGACATGCGATGTAGATAGCGTCTAGACCCTCAGAATCCCGATTCAGATATGTACAACAGATGTCCTGGGTTTGGCATGATGCAATATGCATCACTAACTCATACTGCGATGCAGGTACAGAACTCTAATAATAATCATTATGTGCCCATTGCATTATCTTGCTTTAATCACTAGACATATCCCATAGAACGATTCCCCTCCAGACGCCAGAAAATCCACCTAGCTATATTCCATAGCAATAACACAACACAGATGCCACAGGCGCCAGTCGAACACATATAAACTCATCAACCGTCGTTTAAATTCTATAGACAGTTTCGTCATCTTCGAGGAACCTGCAGAAATGGAACGGTTAGCACAACATTCAAAGTGAAGGGTATATCACAGATGGAAGAACATACATCAACTCATTTCTCTCGTTCATGGCCTTCAGGGCCTGGATCGCCTCGGCACGCTGGAACACGTGTGCCTGGCCGAGCGACGGCGAGGAGCGCACGGCGGTGTTCACAGCGCCGATAAGATCCTCCACATCCGCTTCATCCTTACCAACAAACAACTGCGTGCCCATAAGCGGACCAAGAGCGCGACGGAAGACCTCCAGCCGCTGGGGCTGGATGGGCTGAGACGACGCGCTCTGCGATTGCGAGTTGTCCGTCTGCGACTGCACAAGCTGCGAGGCAGGATGAGACGATGCCACTGACATCTGGGACTGACTCTGTGTCTGCGTGCGGTTGGTCTGGCTTGACCGCAGGCGCTGGCCACGGGGGCTAGCGCTATACAAGCCGTCTCCATCCTCGGAGACATCGTCGCCGTCTGCGTCCATCTCGTCGACGGAGGACCGGTTGGCGGCACTGCGCGTCCGCAAGGCGCCGTTTCTGCGGGTAGACCGGGGGGTAGCGCTCGTGGTTTGCGCGGGAGTGTTATCGTCATCCGAGTCTTCGGAGTCGGAATCGCTCATCTCGTCGGAGTCTTCGTCAAAGGTAGTCACCTTTCTCCGCTTGCGGCGCTCATCCAGGACTTCTTTGAACATGGCAAAGCGCAGGATGGACTCGGCGACCTTGGCGTCTTTCTCTTCGACTCGATTTGACAGACGCGACTTTGCATGAGCAGTGGACAGACGGATCAGGGTCTCCAGGGTACGGGCAGTGATAGGCGATGTTCTGCGCCGGTTACCGGTGAGCTCATCATTTCTCAGAGCAGAGTACGTGGCGGTAATGTGGTCAGCGGCTCCCTTCGTCAAGACAGGCTTGACTCTCGACTTGGCATATTGGATGTACTTCTTGATGAAGGGGATGCTCAGAATTTCGATTTCCTTCTTCCGGCCCTGAGGGTTGGTCATGCCCCCGTGAAGCATGGAGTTGAACTTCTCGTAGACTTCCGTGGGCTGGTTCGAATCCTGGTTATCCTCGAGGCCAACACCCAACGTCTGATTGAGCTGCTCTCGAACCGGCGCACCTTCCTCGGTGCCAGGTTGACGGTACCGATGCATGCGCAGAACATGCTCGGACACCATTCGATCTTTGGAGTCTTCGATATCATCCGTGATGACGAAGAGAAGATCAAAACGGGACAAAAGGGAGTCCGGCAGAGCGATGTTCTTGTGAGGGTCTTTGTGAGGGTCGTATTGGCCATAGATCGGGTTAGCAGCCGCCAGAACACTGCAGCGAGCGTTCAAGCTAGTGTGAATACCGGCCTTCGCAATCGTCACAGTCTGCTGTTCCATGACTTCGTGGATGGCCACACGGTCCACGTCACTCATTTTGTCGAACTCATCAATACACACGACACCCCGATCACCAAGAACCATGGCACCAGCCTCTAGCCGACGCTCTCCTGTCTCCTTGTCCGATGTGACAGCAGCCGTCAGACCAACGCCCGAAGAGCCTCGTCCGGTAGTGGCAATTGCGAGGGGGGCGGTGTTCAAGACGAATCGCAGAAGCTGAGACTTGGCGGTCGAAGGATCACCGACCATAAGAATGTTGATATCACCACGCAGATGGGTGCCATTGTCCAGGTTCTTTTCCATACCACCAAGCAGCATCAGCAAGAGAGACTTCTTGACATAATCGTGTCCGTAGATGCTAGGAGCCAGGGAGTGCGACATCAATTCGAAGACATTCTTCTTCTTGGAGATCTTGTTGATGTTGCGAATATCCGTGTCGGTGATGGTGGCTTGCGCAATCCCTCCGCCGGACTTGGACGATAGGTGGATGATATTGTTCGCAAGTACAATCGTGCGGAAAGTAGACGACCCCGAGCCGGCATTACGGTTACCGAGAGAACGATAGATTCCGACCAACTGAATCCGGTCACCGGGTTTGGCTCTGTCGACAAGATCGTCGTCAAGGATAACATCTACGCTCCGGGGCAGTTGACCAGCAGGTGCTCTCTCGGGCATTTCCTGGATAGAAATGGTCTGGTGATCCATGTATGTGGAGTAACCGTACTCGGTAATGAGCTGTGGAAATCAAACGTCAGCAAGAACGAACAATCGCTTTGTCGTTATGTATCATACCGGGTTCTTCTCATCGTCTTCTTGGGGATAGACGTTCAGGCTCGTCGCACCACTAGCAGTCATAGTCTGATCCCGGTATTTTCTGGAGAAAAATCTGTCTTTCCGTTCGCTGTAGTGCACACTCTGAATCACCTTCGGTCTGACCAAAGAGCACTTTGTGACAATTCCCTCGAGCGAGATCATCCGGTTCAAATGGGCGGAGCCTAGCGTTCTAGGGTTGCACGAGTACTCTCCGAATGCACCGACGTAGGCGCAGTAATAGTTCTGCCCAATCTTAGACACCATGCGATCCTTTGGAGTTGGAAGGTACGCACCACATTGTCGGCTGTTTCTTTCGCCGAGCGGCCTCCTAGCGTCGGGATGATATTTTTGAGAGCGGTATCAAAGGCTTGCGAATAATCGAACGGTGATGTGAGCAAGCTATTTTGGATCAGTGAGGTTCAAAATGCCACAGTGAATCGGTGCCTACCCATCTGCTAATTCTCGGTTGTGTGCTCGAATTTCATCAATGCTGACCTATTGAGGAAGCGCTGTTAGATCTCCCCAAATCATTCAGAGGCAGAGACAGAGAGAACCACGTACTATCAATCGCCGCAGACCACGGTTCAGCATTAGAACGATATCTGCCCGGTAGCTGTTTGTATGTTAGAGACAATTCCATTAAAGCGGTGATTGTGAGCTGCAAGGGCGTTCAGCGGTGACGGACCTTCGGGCTCTAGGATCATTTTCTGTATGCAGTCAGGACACAATTATGACAAGTAGATCAGGCATTCATCACTTACGTGGGTCGAGGAATTCGGTGGCCGCACGCACTCGATCTTGAGCGGCCTCATCGCGGAGCTGGCCGCCGTCCATGGTGAAAACTTGCTGTGCCGGTGGGATTCAAAGAGAAAGGGGTAGTAAGATTAATCAGTCACGGAAATGGCCAAATCCTGTGTTACAGTGGGTAAGGCTTGAAGAGTTGTGCGTACAGCAGGACGCCGAAGGAGGTGAGTGTCAATCCCTGGAGGAAGAGTGGGATGGATAAGAGACGGCGGAGGATCTTTCTCAACAGAGGGAGACGCGCCCTCCCGATTAGGCTAAATTAGAACGCGTAGGTTGGGCAGGACGCGTTCTACGCGGCACTCTCGCGCTGACTCAGCTTTTCTGCCACAACACCAGGTGCTAGCTGAGATTTAATAACGGAGACGAACAGAATCACAAAATAGCTTGTTGCACGTATTCTTACACACTATATACTAGTATGGTACATCAGAGACTTCTGTCTATATACATATTGAAACAAATTGGTCAACAACTCCAGCCTTACGACGGGCTTTCGCCGGCTGGTTTGGCCTCGTTGGATCCCTGTACTTCCTGAGATTGCTCCTTCGCAGATGCACGATCATCTTCTTCACTCAAGTCCGGCCCTTCACTGTCCATCAAGACATCTGGCTCACTGTCCCTATCCGAATCCACACGGTGTTCACTATCGAGCACTTCATCATCGGCTTCGGTCGAGTTACGTCGACTCTCTAGTAGAGATTCCACTTCAATGTCGTATTCATCTTGAGGATCGAGCGTCTTCTGGGGTGCCTCCGGTATGTGACCACCTTGTAGACCAATGTCGGTGTCCGTTCCAGTCTTGTCAATGGTATGGTCGGCATGTTCTTGATCCTGGGCTGGTACACGCTCCTCTGTTAAGCCCCGGGGTTGACCTCCAACGCCAAGGATGCCTCCCGTCCACACGTAGTGGTCCAATCGATCCACGTCCTGCTTCTTGTCACCTTGCTCCTGCCGACGGCGGAGAAGTACGCCTTGAAATTTCTCGCGTAGATAAGGCATATCAGCGACAGCCTCAATCGTTTTCGGAGCGACTCGATAGAGAGACTTGACTTCGGCGCCTCCGTCAATGATGCTTCGCTCCCGGAATCCAAGCAGTGCAGACGCTAAGTATACCATGGAGACATAGGTAGGTTGCATAAAGTCGGGTTGGATCTTGCTCCAGTAGCGCCGGCCCTCTTTGCCCAAGATGTTGGGGTGCTTGCCGCGTCTAGGATGCTCTATCACATCAATAGTCGAGGGCACACCGGGTGGTTTCAGCCCATATCCCCGGCGAAGGTTGTTCCACCCTGGGAAATTAGGCATGAACTTTTCTTCGAAAATGCTGAACGCTTGAACTTGGTCCGAGGGCTTGTCAGAAGAGGCTAACATCTGCACAAAGGTGGACCAGTTATACGTCGTCAAAACAAAGCCTGCGCGTTGCACCTCTGCCACGACTTGGTGTATCTTGGAAGGTTCATTCCGATAGGCCAAAGAACGCATGTAAAGGGACAGTGGGCGAGATAACATAAATCGGCATGCTGGTAGAATCGGTGGCTTCTTCTTGGCTCTAGCAGGCTTTGAGATATCTGAACCCAGCAAGAAATCACCCGGGTTGTCCACTGAAATGGCCCGAGAAGGTCGAGGCGGATCGATAGTATCTGCGGAAGGCAACTGATTTGAAAGCCATTCATCGATGGAAGGAGGGCGTGCGATCTCTTTCGCACGTGGGAAGGCCATTTTCCAACATTGTTCAACTTCCTTGTAGTGCTCTGCCTTCAAATATGCCAGCATCAGGGCAGAGAGGAGACGAAGAGGCGCTATATCATAAGCATTCTCCAGAGACGAAGGGTTCTGTGCCTGTATGTACTGATCGAACAGCTGCCGAGCCCTTTCAAAAGCTCCTCTCCTTCCATAAGCAGTAATCATATATTCGTAATACATGGCAGGGAAAGCTTTGCCAACTGGTTGTTTACCTGCACCGGGAAGAGGCTGCTTCGTCGCCAATTTCGTCATATCAAAGTCCGCAATGGCCTCGGAGAGGAATTTCTCGGCATTCTCGAGTCGAACGTTCGCGCTGTTCGTCGCTCTCCCACCATCCTTCAGAGCCTGCAAATCGCGCTGCAACTGACTTTTGAGGGTGAGTAGAGTTGAACTGAACCCAGGTCTCTCGAATCGCTCTTTGATCTCACGAAAGATGATGTGTACCATGTCACGGTTCCGATCCTTCACATAGCCATACAAGATGATGGCGTAGTGGAATTCCGTAGCATAGATCCTATGGCTTCTGTGAAGCGTTCGAAGGATGCGGCGGGCTGAGTCAGTTTGCCCTATAAGCACCAAGCTGAGCATAAGCGCAGCGTACGTCATATCATCAGGCTGCAGGCCGGCCGCATCCATGCGTGAGCGGATCCTGGAAATGGATTCCAGATCTATCCTGAATGCATAATTCCAGAGGAGAATGTTCCACATTCTCACTCGAGAGCCCTTGACTTCCATACCAAGGCATGTCTCTGCGACGCTCTCCGCGATATCGAGCCGTTGGTTGTTGCAATAGGCCTCCACAATGGTGTCAAGCATCGGTGATGCGATTTGCACGTGGCGTTTCTTAGCAAGTGCGAGGATCTGACGAACGGTGTCAACGTCGCCCCTATTAGCACACTGTCCCATTAGGATGCCGAAGGAATGGGCGTTGGGTTCAATCCCGTTCTCAAGCATCTGCCTGAAAGTTTTAAATATGCCATTCAAATCGTCGGCGTTGGCGTATGCAGTGAGCAGAATGTTCCAACAGACCGTGTTCGGCTTCAACCCAAACTCGCTCGAGATTCTCTCAAATTGACGTAATGTGTCTTGCACATTGCCCAGTCTCGCATGGGCGTACAGGAGTGGAGTCACGAGTCTTCGACTTGACGGCTTTCCATGGTCCGCTACAAATTTCTCGAATATTTCGTTGACATTAGCGACATCGCCGGTCCTCGAGAAAGCAATGAGAGCATGTTTGTACGCATCCACCGACGGTCTCCCATAAAAATGAGTGAGTTCATCCAGGATATACCGGATTCCAGTCGTCATTTGGAATGAAGTCAGCCTTCGAATAAGCTGTCCCAGGAGCTTGGCAGGTGGCACTTCTCCATCCATCTGCCAACGAAAGTTGCGATATACCACTAATGACCGAGCAAAAGTCGTTCTCTCCTCTGATGATTGAAGTGTTTTGATGAGGGCGAAATAATGTCCCGGAGTGAGGACGGATAGTGCGTTGTACTCTCGCAGAAGTAGCAGGAGAGTTTCTGTCGATGTGTCCTCGATAATATCCAAAGTGGCAAAGGCATGTTCGAGTAGAAACCGAGCAAGGTCACGCGCTGGAGAGTCAGAGCCTTGCTCAAGAAGGAATGTAGCCAAGGAAAGCAAGACCTTCGACGCCGTTGAAGGATCCAAGTGGGAAGCCACGAAATGTCGCAGATCATGGTCTGCTGACGTCGGTCGGATGTTCCACAGCGCCTCTGTGGCTTCCCACTGCGAAGTGTTCACAAAGTGTGCAATCGCAAAAGCCCAGCATGGAGCCCCGGTGCCCTGAGAAACGGCGCTCTGGCACAACCCAATCATATCAAACTCCTTTCCCGCAGCTAGATACGACTTCGCCATATTCAAATAGTCATCGGGAGATCGACAACCAGGTGTAATCTCATCGAAGATCCGCTTTGCATGCCGGTGGTCGGTAACATGCGCCGAATTGGATAACCGAGCGAGAAGCGCCGAATTCACATCCGAGGGATAGCCCGCCATCAAGTATAGATCCCAGGCTGTATCGCATTTTCCGGACTCCCCATCAGCTAGAAGAGCAAGGAGTCTTCCCTTTGCATGTTTTTGATCATTCTCCCTGGTCGGAATGTCGGGAAACGGCCTATCCGTGGCAGTCGAGCGAAGGTGGGCGGCCTCGGATGTGTAAGATCTTGTCAGACTAGGAACGGCCCTCCTCCGTCGCCGTGACACTATTTTCCTCGAAGAGCGGAGCAAGCATAATGAAATAAATTCTTGTGTGCGGGGAGGGTACAGGAATTCGAGGATTGGCGTCCTGGCGTCATCTGTAGCTTTTTCGGAAATCGAACTGCCGCCTACAGGTACGGAGGCACGCGGAGACGTGGTGTGTAACGAGATAAGCCGTTGTGAAGACTCGAGACCGGTGCCATTTGGTTGCGCAATATTAGAATAAAGCGATCGTGGACTTCGAATAGCGCCGTTGGGATCCCGGAAGAAACGCCGACCTGCGTTCTCGAGGCATCCGGCAGCCCGTTCCAGCATTACCCTCAATGATTGCGGTGTCGAAACCCTGATATCACCGGAAAAGAACAAGAACGCGTAACATATCGGGTCCAGAAGACCTGTTCCAAAGGTATGAGAATCAATGAGCGTAGGGTTCTGCGGAGAGAGCGAGGCGTACGGAAGTGAAGGATCTTGTGCACGAAGCTTCCCAACTGCTACTGGGTAGTCATCCACATATATGAGAAGAACCGTGGCAGACCCTGCCGAGCGATACAAGACCGAGCAGAGATCGATTCTGGAGGGGAAGAAATGAACGTGGGGTGGGAGGTGTTGACACGGAAGGAAATTTTGTGAGGTCAATGGGGAGCAACGAGCTTGGCCCGAATGCTGGGAAAAGAACTCGGGACCTGCGAGGTGCAGCCCGGCGATTTGTTTGGCCGAGCATCTGACCACCTTCGCTGTCCACCACCGCCTTCGTCCAGCCCGCACTCGACCGGCGTCCCTCCACACTCATTATCGTGGACTCTGTTGGGTCGAACTGCACAATGGAGATCACCGACTTCATCTTCAAAGAGCGAGAGGAGGTTCTCCTCGCTGGAGACTACAATGCCTACCGAGCCCACACAACCCGCAAATTGCACAAACTCCGCAAGAAGTTGGGACAGACTACCCCCAAAGGTCGCAAATACACCGCGAAAGCCCCCGTCAGTGCCGAGGACGTCAGCAACAATGTCGCGTATGTGCTCTGCTACATTCTACGTCGAGCGCGTTACGGATGGTTTGGCGAGTTGCTAACCCCACTTCCCATCTAGATTCGTCTATACTCTCATCCTGAGCTCCGAGCGTGCTTGGGCGCAAGCCATGCAGATGAAATCGGCACATTCGGCAGACCCATCCGGCAAAGGCATCGTCGGGGCCGTGAGAAGCCACATTATCTCGCGACTCACTAAGGCATCTGGCTATGCGAACCAATTGGTCCTTCTCCTGCAAGATCAAACCACCGGAGCCACCCCCACCGATCTTCTTGAAGCCCGTGCGTACCATGCCTCCCTCATGGGAGCGCTTTACTTGGAGAGGCGGAAGTGGGAACAGTGTATCCAGAGCAACTCGACTGCCAGAGTCATCTATGCGGCATTGGGACAGAAGGACAAGAAGGATGCGTACCGAGACCTCCTCTCGGGAACGGTTGACCCCAGTCTGAGATATGCGGCATACCAGATGAAACTTCCACGGTCAAAACCCCTTCCGTCCTTGGCGGTCAGCTACTTCCCGTCCGACGCCGAAGTCAGGTCGGAAGTTGAGAAATTGGATCCCAATTGCTTGCAGGAGGACGCCGCGGGGACGGGAAGAACTGCCGAGGGAGAGGTGCAACAGCTGCCTGAGACCATCACCTGGAGATCTAGAACAGTTCCTCTGGAAGACGCAGCGATCTCTCAGGCCCTGGCGTCTGCGGCGGCGGCTGAATCTCGTCTTTCGTCATGGCTCGCGGATCCGGCTGGAAAGTCTGCTTCATCGAAGGACAAGGCGGCCGCATACGATAATGTCATCATTGCCAGTCAGGATGCAGTAGATGCCACGAAGACTGCCATTGACGACCTTGCCAGCGAGGGCGTTGACCCTGGAGACAGGAGAATGCAGAGCCTTCAGATTACCCGGACCGCGGTCAATTATGCTTTGGTGGGATGGCGCATTGGCCGTAACCGTGTGCTGTGTGGTGACAGTGACGGTGTGACCTTTGAAACTGATCAGGCCAAGACGCCTAAAGGCGGCAAGGCATCCGGCAAGCGTGAGGAAGCAACCGGTAAAAAGCTGGCCCGGTTGCGTGAAAGGGTTGTGCTGTATGACTCGACCTTGCAAAGTATCGAGTTCATCTTGGAGCTTCCTGGTGTGGCCGCAGATAGTGAATTCGTCGGGGAGCTCGAAGCCAAGCGTTCCTATTTCCGTGCCCTGAGGTATGGTGTTCCGATCCTCTGATCCGTTAAAGACTATCGCTAACGCGCAGATAGATGTCTTACGATTGGAAGATCACACGGCATTCTGGGGAAGTCTAAGAATGCTCTTGCGTTGTTTGCTCAAGGTCTAGCGCTCACTTCCCGGTCTGCGAATTCGGTTCCATCAACGACCGATGTGGACGGGCCGCCTCGGTTGGATCTGTCCCGCGACCAAGTCCAGAACCTGGAGTCCACTCTGCGCTCCGTGGTCGCACAGTACCGCGGAATTGTTACGTTGGAGGAGCTCTCGGCTGAGCAGCGGTCAGGATCGGCCAACCAGCGCCCGATGGTTGAGAGGCTGCATGAATATGCCGGGGACACCTTGGATCTCAACAATCTGGTGCCGTACCCGCCTCAGATGCAGCCGGTTCCCGTGAAGCCCCTGTTTCTCGATGTGGCGTGGAATTATATCGACTATCCTCGGGAGGCGGCGACCGGTTCTGGACAGAGCCAAGCCACTGCGCAACCTGCGGCGGAAGAACCGAAGAGCACCCGACGGGGTTGGTTTGGCTTCGGGCGGTGATTTGTATTATACCCTCGAGAGAAGGTTGGTGGGAATGATCGGGGCTGTATGTCTGTAGAACTCGGGGTAGATATGAGGCATGAGTTATGCCGGAGTGAGTCTAAACGATGATGAACAATGAATGTTCTATTCCGGATATATGGACTGTCCAATGACTACGGGGTCGTTCATGATGACTGAAGGTACTGCCTCTTTCGGTTCCTTAGTAAAAGAGCCAACCTGAGGTGTCGACAAGCACAGACCACCGGGAAGTGGGCATCCGGATCACCTTTTTCACTTTGTAACTTTATCCGTTGGGGCTTTGTTTGCTTTCATGATGCAATATTGACTGGTAGGTAATAATAAGCAGTAGTATGACTGGCGGTGATTCCATCCTACCAATGGGATACTCAAGTAAGCCTATCTTACTCTCGACATGGTACAAAGAGATGTATAGTTGACAATGAAATATACAGCCAGGATGAATATATATATCTCGGCCACTTTTCTATCTAAGTACATAAGTAGAGAAATGAATGTGATGGGATACGGTAGATGGACCCTAGGTGGAGCTCCACATTCTACAGTCCACAAGTTTCTTGACCACAGGGCTGTCAAGGGATAAAGTGACAGGCGAGATGAACGTCCAGCACAGCCACCAGATGCATATGAAGTGAGTATGTACTCCGTACATCTCTGTACATATAGCCGGAAGACGGGTGTTCCGGTCGTGGATGAGTCAGCAGAGAAAGGGGAAATAAAATTCAGCAGAAGAACACTCTTCTTGCAATGTGATTGGTTTCCGGGCTGTTGTTAATTACCACTTTTTTTTTGGTTGATTTTTTCCCCTTCTATTTTCTTCAAGATAGATGGGAATTAAAGCAAAAAAAATAAAATAGATAACAAAATAGTAAAAACCGAGAATCTCAATATGTAAAAAAAATTTCATTAATTAATAATCTAGGTCTGCTGGTAAAGGAGATTGAAGTGCCAGCGTGGTTGCTCTCCCGTGCAGGGGCTCCGTCCCCCTCCGTGTCTTTATATTCACCCCAATTTTTTCCCTCCTGGTCCGCTTTCTTGGCCTGTCGCGTCTCCTGGGGTTCTCTTCTCTCTCTCTCTGTTCCTCTTCCTCTTCTTCTCTTCCACCTCCTCCCCTCCCCCTTCCTCTCTCTCCCTTGTCTGTCGTTTCCCCTTTCATTGGTGCCTGTCCTTCTCATTCGAGAACTCACCCGATATGGCCACCGTCAACGGGAGTTTTGTCTCCCCCTCGGCCGATGCCACCATCGTGCCCCAATTGTTCGCTCCCTCCGGTTTGATCGGCTCGGTCCTCGAGGGCTTCACCGTCTGGAAGGCCCTGCTGACTCTCTTCCTTGCCGCTGTGATCTATGACCAACGTAAGTCGCATCGTCGCATCAACAGTCGCGTTGCCGAGGGGATTCCAACAGAAGCGCTGATAGCAATCCATGGGTGCAGTTCGTTACTTTTGGCTGAAGGGCTCTATTGTTGGACCAGCAATGAAGCTGCCTTTCATGGGACCGTTCCTCCAATCCGTCAACCCCAAGTTCCATGAGTACAAGGCCAAATGGGACAGTGGAGAGTTGAGCTGCGTTTCCGTGTTCCACAAGTAAGTTCTGCCCCTGAAGCCCTCCCAACAGATCCGTCCGCTTGCCACCGCGCGCAAACCTGGAGGCATTGGAAAAAGCAATGCGATTGATCTTCGGCTAACCCTGATTCGCCTCACAGGTTTGTCGTAATTGCATCCACCCGTGACATGTCCCGGAAAATCTTCAACTCTCCCGCCTATGTGAAGCCCTGCGTGGTCGACGCGGCTCACAAGCTGCTTGGTGCGGACAACTGGGTGTTTCTGGATGGTCGAGACCACGTCGACTTCCGCAAGGGTCTGAATGGCCTCTTCACTCGCCAGGCCCTTTCGTGCTACCTCCCGCGCATGGAGGAGGTGTACAACGACTACTACGCCCGCTTCCTGAAGAAGTCCAAGGATGTCAACTACAAGCCCGTCCCGTGGATGCCCGAATTCCGTGAGCTCATGTGCGCCGTCTCCTGCCGTACCTTTGTCGGTCACTATATTACCGACGAGGCCGTCCAGAAGATCGCCGACGACTACTACCTGATTACCGCTGCCCTTGAGCTGGTTAACTTCCCTATCATCTTGCCTTACACCAAGACCTGGTACGGAAAGAAGGCCGCCGATATGGTTCTGGAGGAATTCTCCAAGTGTGCTGCGAAGAGTAAGGCCCGCATGGCTGCCGGTGGCGACATTTCTTGCATCATGGACGCATGGGTCAAGCAACAGCTGGATTCGGCCCGTTACCGTGAGAATGTCGCCAAGGGCGTTCCTGTGGATGAGAACGAGAAGCCCGCCCAGGTTCTGCGTGACTTTACCGACTACGAAATCGCCCAGACCATCTTCACTTTCCTGTTCGCCTCCCAGGACGCTACCAGCGCCGCGTGCACGTGGCTGTTCCAGCTCATGGCCGATCGCCCCGAGGTTCTGGACAAGGTCCGGGAGGAGAACCTGCGCGTGCGCAACGGTGATGTCAACGCTCCCCTGACGATGGATGTCCTCGAGAGCCTGACCTACACCCGTGCCGTGGTCAAGGAGACCCTGCGTTATCGTCCTCCTGTCATCATGGTCCCTTACCTCGTGAAGAAGGACTTCCCCGTGACCGACAAGATCACCGTGTCCAAAGGCTCCATGATCATTCCGTCCGTGTGGCCTGCTACTCACGACGAGGAGGCCTATCCCAACGCTGACTCCTTCGACCCTGATCGCTGGATTACTGGTACCGCCGAGCAGCAATCCAAGAACTGGCTGGTTTTCGGCACTGGCCCCCACTACTGTCTTGGACAGAACTACGCTACCTTGAACTTGATGGCGATGATCGGCAAGGCCAGTATGGAGATGAACTGGGAGCATACCCCCACTCCGCAGTCCGAGGACATCAAGGTGTTCGCTACCATTTTCCCTCAGGTAAGAGAGCTCCGTAACAGCGTGTTTTGAGTTCTGTGCTAATTCATGAACTAGGACGACTGCCTCCTGACTTTCCGCCCCCGCGCTTAATCTTTTCGTTTCATCTTCTACGAGTGAGGCTTAGACTTGACCTATTTGCTCTGTGCTTGATCAATGCTTTGAGGAGTGCCCGAGTGATTCCGTCGAGACATGTCTCGCATCCTCCAGCGTTGTATTTCTATCCTGGAGATAGAATGACGAAACTTCTGTTTCCTTCTGCACCTGTACAGAGCTGTACTATTCCCCTCAGGCGGTCTTCCCATTGGTGGACTTTTTAAACCTTTTTCTTTTCTCTTATATTTCGGCGGATACATTTGGACGGTGGGCTTGCTGTGATCAGAGAAGATGATCCAGGGCGAAGTGGTTTGAAGTATATGATGAACGATCCATCTGGCTGGTTTCGCCCACAGAGGCTTCCAGTGCGCTACTAGAATTAATAATAATTGCGATTCTGTTATCATCATTGAGATATAATTGTTTGTATGAGGTCAGATATATATCCGTTGGTTTGCACAGTAAAATGTTCTGCCTGCATGACGAGATCCATGTCTAGATCTGTTAGATACACCTCCATCAACCCATTCAACATATAAATGATCCCAATATTAACCATCCAAATACTGTCGTTTCGATTCGCAGATCTAGGGTCCGATGACTCGGGAAGGCGGTGACCCGGCAATACATGAACGACGGACTGACATCACCCGAGCTCCCGGCTACAACATCTATCAATCAAGTGTGCAGTCGCTCGTGCACATTCTTTTAGTAGGTCTCAAGCAGTGCACGCAATACAGGACTAACACTCTCACAGACCGTATATACCAATACATATCCACCGAATCATAAATCCATACCCAGTCCACCACACAGACCACGGACAAGCAGTGCAGCTCGATAACAAAAACAGCCCGACATGGCCTCGCTCATCTCCCTCCGCCGTCCGCTGACAGGGCTCGCCTCGCGCGCAACCAAGCCGCACACACTGACGCCCATCGCCGCGACGAGCACCCTCCTCCCCCGCCGCTTCGGAACCCTCCTGCACACACCCCGGGTAACACCCCGGGCCGCCGCGGCGCTGCCGCTGAAGCCAGTCTTTGCGCAGAGCATCCGGCGCAACAGCGACAGCAGCGATAACAGCGACAACAGCGGCGAACCGACGCTGAGAAAATGGGGCTTTGAAGATGTATGTCCACATCTACACCCTTCTTCCGCTTCGCATGAGATATATACATAGATGCTAACGCTGACAGATCAACGCCGCCCTCCCGTCCGAGACAACCTCGCCGACGCACTCGCCGCAGAGCAAGATGATCCTCGTGGACGTGCGCGAGCCCGCCGAGCTCACCGCTACGGGCATCATTCCGTCCGCCGTGAGCGTGCCGCTCACGTCGCAGCCGGATGCGCTGTTCCTGACAGCCGATGAGTTCGAGACGCGGTTCGGGTTCCCCAAGCCCGGAGAGGGGCAGACGGGCGACGTCGTCTTCTACTGTAAGGCGGGGGTGCGGGCGCGCATCGCGGCGCAGTTGGCGGTGCAGGCTGGGTATGATCCTGCGCGCGTGGGGGTTTATCTTGGTAGTTGGTTGGATTGGGCGGAACGGGGTGGGAGGGTTGAGAAGTGGGAGGGGCCGGAGAATGAGTAGTGGATTTGGGTGAGGGTATGATGTGTATATTGCGATGTTGGATGTAGCCATAAGTGAAGCAGCCAAAATTAATTGAACTAGATCATAACAAACAAACTAGGTATCGACCACGGCTCGTCGCGCCCCCATATAATCATGTACAGGCATTTGCTCTTGGACAATCAAGTCGTAGTCATTTCTCGTGGGTGCATCTCTTGACCTTTTGCCCCCATAATAACCGCTATGCTTTTTTCTTCCCATGACTTTTCCAATTCGTCTATCCGTCACATTTCGTACCGCTTCGACGCAAGACAGCGTTCTGTCACCGCATATAGTCGAAGCGTCGTATGAGAACATAGCCACATAATGGCCTTGAGTCAGATATCGCAAGTCAACTCATGTCCAAGAGTTCATTTCGTTGGCCATGACGCTTGAAATAGCTGACAACGGTACAAGCGCGCAAAAATCAGGGAATGTCGAAGACGGGCTTGAGCTTCTTCACCAGAGCCCACTCCTCCATCGACACATCCGACCGGTAGAACTCCTTGAGGGTGTCGATGCTGGCACGAGAGATGTGAGAGTATAACGTATCCTTCTCTTCCAATTGACGGCCGTACATGGGCTGGTTGGAGCCCTCGATCTTGACGGCAACCGAGGGCGAGCCCTTCTTGACGACGTTGACAGGCTTGTGGTCACGTTCAATGGAAACACTGGATTGAGAAGTTAGTAAAGCGACGGACCGAAAGGCACAACTGGGATCAACTTACACTCTGCCAATATCGACAATTTCCTTGGCGCCGGTGGTGGCGTTGGTCTTGACGGCTGCGAGGGGCGTGTGCATGCGCAGACTACCCTCCACCACATCGACACCAATGACAATGGGGTCCTTCTTGTTGAAGACAGCAACGGGGCTGAGCACACAGGGGAAGATGGCGAGGAGCTTGGCTTCTTCCTTTCTCTTCTCCGTGAGTTCGGCCATATGCTTGGTGAAGTCGTCGAAGAGATGGTAGATGATATCCGCAGTGAAAATCTTCACACCAACTTCCTCAGCGTAGGCAGCGGCTTCCTTGTCCACCTTGACATCGAAGCAAAGCATGACTGCGTACTCCTTGGCTTTCTCCAGCATGGTACCAGCCATCATCACATCACGCTTGTACACAGGACCGATCGAGATGTTCGCCACAGGAATCTTGGAAACACGCAAGAATTCCAGAAGCGCTTCCAGGGAACCAAGAGTCGACGCTTGCACACTGACACCACGCTGATCCTTGGACACTTTGCCCAGCAGGTTCTCCAGATCGGACATGACTTCATCCTCAATGTCCTCCTCGTCATCATCAGGTCCAACAACCATCAGCCTGGAACCGGCAATGGCGTGCTCAAGATCGTTGGCCGCGATCTTAACACCGAGGGCGGCCTTGACCTCCTTGTTGTGAACATACTGCGACTTGAGACGGAGTTCCTTCAGGGGGGCTGGTGTAAGCAGTGCTCGAATATTCGTCGCTATAGGTCCGTTAAGACCGCATAGAACGATTCGGTCACCCTCTCGAAGAATACCGTTCGACAGGACAACGTCAATGGTAGTACCGAGACCCTCGATGACCTTCACTTCAAGAACAGTACACTCAACCTCTGACAGATACATGAGCGAGTTGGTCATACGCTCCTGAGTCAGGGTGGTCAGCAGCTTCAGCATGTCGGGGATACCCTCGCCAGTGTGGGCGGAGGTGGGCACAAGGGACACATTGCGAGCCATGGACTTGTTCTCGTAGAAGAGTTCCGAGTTGAAACCCTGCTCGGCGAAGAGGAGCTTGGTGTGCTCGAGACGGCTGCGGAATTCGTTCTGAACGCCCTTGCTCTGCATAGCCAGACTCTCCTGGAAACCGTTGTTGTCGATCTTCTTCCAGCCGTAGAGACGATCGATCTTGTTCAGGGCGACGATGAAAGGCGTGCGGCGATCACGGAGCAGGCGCATGGACTCGAGAGTTTGGGGCTCAAGACCGTGCATGATATCAACGACCAGAATGGCAATGTTACAAAGCGACGAACCTCTCGACCGCAGGTTGGAGAAGGACTCGTGACCGGGGGTATCGATAATCAACAGACCGGGGATCTTGAACTCGAAGCTGCCATCCTTGTTCACCACTTGTGTCTTCTGGCGCAGAGCCTCCAGGGGGAAGTAAGTGGCACCGATCTGCTGCGTGATACCACCAGCTTCGCCCTCCTGAACGTTGGTCTGCCGGATCTTGTCCAGCAACTTCGTCTTACCAGTATCGACGTGACCCAGAATACAGCAAATGGGAGAGCGCAGATTATCCTTCGAGCGAGCCGCCAGCGCCTCCTCGTGCTGCTTCTTTCTCCGCTCAGCGGCCTCGGCCTTCCGCTGGGCCGCAGCCTTTTGAGCAGCAGACTGTTCCTCGTCTTCAGAATCCTCATCCGAAGATTCCTCCTCGGAAGACTCATCTTCGTCGTTCTCAGCTCCCTTGCCACCGGCGGGCCGTTCGGGAAGCGTAGTCTGTGCAGCACCGTTCGTCTTCGACTCCTCATCATCGGAGGGAGCATCCCAGCTGTCCTTAACGTCTTCGGCATCAGCGGCCTTCTCCCAATCCTCAAGCTCACTTTCTTCACCCGCAGCAGCAGCAGCGGCGGCGGCTTCGGCTTCGGCCTTGGCCTTCTTTTCCTCTTCCTCTTTTCTGCGGCGCTCCTCCTCAGCTTCACGCTGCGCCCGAGCGCGGGCAGCGGCGGCTTCCAGATCCTCTTCCTGCTTCGAGGGACCCTTCTTCTTCTTCTTGTTCTCATATACGGGCTTCTTCTTTTCGGCCTGCTTATCCTCCAGACCAGCAACCTTGCCAGCACCAGCAGCAAGCATCTGCTTCAAGCGAAGCTCGTTGCGCTCCTTGGCCTCTTTCTGAGCCTTGGTGAGGAGCTTTCCTTCTTTACGAAGCTGCTCCTTTCTCTCCTTCTCTTTCTCCTTCTTCCGTTGACGAGCCTCTTCTCTTTTCCTCTCTTCCTCCTCATCGAGACGACGCTGTTCTTCCTCGGCAGCCTTCTGCTCAGCAAGGAGTCGTTCTTCTTCTTCACGCTGTTTCCTCAGGAGTTCCTGTTGCTTTTGCAGAGCAGCAAGCGCTTTGGGGACCTTCTTCTTGGACGAGGGAGCCTCAACGGCGGGTTCAGGAGCAGGGGCGGCTTCTTCTTTCTTGGCCTCGGCCTTGGTGGGCTGAGCCTTCTCAGCAGGAGCGGCGGTCTTCTTCTTGGCAGCCTATATCGAGACAAAAAGTGAGTGACGCTACGTGAGAAAGCGAACGAAAGCAAAAGTGAGGGTGCATACCTGTTCCCTCTTACGCTGCTTTTCACGCTCCTTCTTCTCTCTCTCCTTCTCCTTCTTAGACTTCACACGGAAACCTTCGTCTTCATCCTTCGGCGGAGGGGGAGCTTTGGCGGCAGCCTTGTTGGGCTTCTTTGCGTTACCGGCAAAAACGTCGTCTTCGTCATCGAACGTTCCTTCTTGGGGCGCCTTGCTCTCGAATCCAGCATCCCCGTTCGCTTGCTCGGAGGCGTCCTCACCCTCGACAAAGTCGTTCACCGGCTTTCCCTTCTTCGCCTTCTTGTTCCGGTTCTTCCTGACGGCGGCGAGTAGGCCGCCTCCCATGTTGTCCTCTTCGGCAGCAGCCGGTTCCGCGGCGGCAGCATCGTCGGCGGGAGCTGGGGCAGCGGCCGGGGCAGATTCGCCGAGTTCGGCCTCCCAGTCCTCCTCCTGTCTCTTGTTTCCCTTCTTCTTGGGCGCCATTTTTCTCGAGGCTGCGGGGTGATGAGAAAGGGTGTGGTGTCAATGAAAATAAAAATTTCCAAGATAAAATACTATAACCTGTGTCAGTTGGAACAAAGAGACAAGTGCAGGTGGCGTGCACGTACAGTTGATCAACTTGTCCGGCGCTAGGACCTGCGACGGGCGGGAGAACCGGTCGACAAGTGATAATGTCCGAGTCAAGAACTAAAGGCTCTGGACAGACGACAAAAGAGAGACAGAGGGGTAGGAAATGAGCACGGTAGGCCCCTTTGTAGTGGATAGAGAGAGAAGCGGGAGGAGTAGTTCTTGTTCCCGCAGTAAGAATTTTGGCCGGCTTGCCTTAAACCCGTTTGGGTGGTGGGGAGTCGGTTGTTCCGCCCGGGTTCGCCAGTTGTCCGTCATCTTGACTACAACAGGCACAGGATGGAATATAACACGTTCATTCGATGCAATATCTACAACCTATCTAGATCCCTGCTTGGAGTATACGTCGCAACCAGCCCATCACCGCCTCGACCGGATTCGTTGTCTCTCCTAGTAGCTCACCACATAGCTCCAAGAATCTCTCCCGGATAGCTTGCGGCGACCCAGTCTCCGGAGACGAATGGTCATAGAACTCGTCCGTGATGAGCATATGCATCAAGTGATCTGGTCCACGCGGCAGCAGACGGCTCAGGATATCGCCGTCGATGTGCATCTGAGTCGGTTGGAATTGCAAAGGGTCGTTCCCGACCGGATTCCGTTGTCGTTTTCTTTTCGTTGTAAACGGGGAGATGATAGGGTCGCGCACGCATAAGTTCTGCAACAGTCGCAGCAGGCGCCACTCTTTCTCGCCCAATATCGAGAAGCTGTACACAGCGCCACTCATACTCGTGCCATAAACCACTGGGGAGCCAGGTAGCGTGGGCGAAAACTTCGAGCTAGTGCTGAGCTGGCTGACGGACGCCGGAAGATGCGCCTCGCACAAGGCCAAAGGCATCATCTTGTCTTGATCGGTCACACCGGACTCTGTCAGGAGACTGACACGCCCGCCACGGCTAGAAGTGAGCGTAAGCTTTCGGTCGCCACCAATGTGGAGATGGGCGAGTCCGTCATGCTTCTGACGGTCATATGCATGCAGGATGAGTTTATCATCGCCAGCCTTCAGCACCATCAATGACTCCCGAGACATGGACATATACAGATACGGTTCGTGGGCAGTCATTGAAATTGCAGGGGACAGCACAGGATATCTGGCCGCCCGGAATCCAGGAGTTTGCGAAAACTTGGGTTCTAAGGGCACGATTTCACGGCCAGTCGAGACCATCAAGGTAAAGTCGCCATATGGGGCGATGGCGAAAACGGGCTGCTCGAATTTGTGAATGTACTTCACGGTGCACTTGATGTGGGACGGGTCGGATACGTCCCGGGAGGCCTGTAGGAAGATAACTCGGCCGCGATCCTGCTGATCCTTGCGTGCGCTGCCGATGACAATGAAGTGATACTGTTCGTCACCTTTGGTTGGTGTCCATTCCAGGATGCAGCTGATCTTCTCTCCTGCCGCTCCGTGCGGTCTCCAAGGTCTGGTTGCCTCGTCTGCCGGAGAATCAAGGGGGGAGGGGACTGCGTTTTGTGAATCGGGATCCACAAACTCAATGTATGACCGGCTGAATCGCTTGATGGGGTTAGAGTCTGTGTCAAAGGCCGTTCGGGTGTAGGCCACGATCAAACTCTTCAAATGTTGAGAGTAGGCTAGCTTAGTGCCACTGCCTGGTAGATCGATCCTTCTGGGGACGGTCTTCGTGTCCTGATCCAAAGTGCAGATCAATAGCTGCCCGTCGGCAGTGCAGAAGAGGGTGTCATTGAGGCCATCGATCCGTGTCATGGCGAAACTGTAAACACCTTTCGGATGGTAGGCAGGCTTGGGAGAAACAGTCAGAATGCAAGGGAAGCACAGAACCAATAGTGCATTGGGAACTCACGTTATTTTGGTCAGTGACCCAGATCCGTTGAAGTGCATAGCTTGGAGTTCCGCCGTTGAGACAGGACGCCTGCCAAAAGCCTTGCCCACAAGTCAACAGTGCAAAGTTTCCTCTGCCTTGCAGTTTGATAGATGTGTGCCCTAAGCGCTGTGATGTCGCTTGTCTAAGTTCTATGAAAAGCGTGTTAGCGAGGGCTTCTTCCATCTTAACAAGGAGAGCATACCAAATGACGAGCTGGAGACCCTGTTTTCATCCCAGCTAACCTCATAAGACACCAAGATACCGCTCCTCAAACCGCAAAGTAACGTCCGCTTCGCTAGCGACTGTTCTGGTCTGGTGGCAATCATGGCAATGCTATCAATCGCCTTAGATATGTCTTCCGCGCCGCCCACATCAACAATTATGTCAGACGTCAGTGTGACTCGGTCTGTTTCGACACCGTATATCAAAAGCCTCCCATTACCTGTGCCTATGAACACAAAGACACCGGTATCGAACGCCTCGACGCAGATGCAGACAGGCTCGTATTGAATGGTCAAAGCTTGACAAACATCTAGCAATTGAGGCGAATCATCGGACAAAGTGATTCTCTTGAACTCGAGATACATTTGATGTTGCGACCGAATCGCGGCGACGATGAGACACGCAGATTGATCCACAGCAGCAGCCGTGATGTACTTGCCGGAGTCATAATCGAGACGCGATTTCGAAAGCATCTCGGAGATGGCTCCGAGCCGTATTGACTTGTCTGTCACTTGGACAATGACACCAGAATCGCTGCATCCCGCTGCCAACGTTTGAGCACCAAAATTTAGCCCAACATCTGCTTCGTCAATTGCACAGATTTCCTCTCCGAAGTCGGATGGGATGTGTAACAGCATTGAAGATATCGGGTCGGACGTCAGGACGAACACACCGCCTTTTGCGTCATCTGGCATTGTCCATAAATCTCGGGTGCTTGTTAATTCTTCCACAGATATGGCCAAGCCGATTTGTGCTTCGATGCCGTGTCTGAGTTCGACAATAGCACCCCGAGCGAAGGAGGACGCCGAGCAAACGAATAATCGATCGCTGGAGACTCCCGTTGAAGATAGGTCCTCGCTTTGACCTTTCACCAAGACCGAGTCCGTGACCGGGGTCCAGTTCATGAATTTCTGGACACATCTGGGATGGTCTCGAGCTTTTTGAACGAACAAGCCGCCGTCACCGGTGTTGCCAGCCGCTAGAAGCAAGTCGTCGCCTTCATTTCCAATGTCCAAGATGTCGAATGCACCGTCAACGTCACAGCAGAGCTGCCCCAGATGCGTCTGATTCTCTACCCCACCATCGTTCCCAATTTCCAAGTAAGATATTTGCCCATCCTCGCGGCAAAGGTAGATATCATCATGTCTCTGGTTATATTGCCAGTTACGTAGTGGTCTTGCCCATCGAGTCCAGAGGGGGGATCGATGAGACTCGCGATCTGGCACGCGAAGGGGATACCTGCTTGGCTGTTGGCGAGAGTCCAGTCCGTTTCTGTAAACCACCATGGCTGTTGTTGTGATCAACATCCATGATGATGTTTTTGTCAATGGGATCAGCATTGTTGGCAGCCTGTCGTCGAGCGGGAGTAACTTTTTGGTAACTCTTGGGGACGCTTGTCGCAAAGGACTCTGTGCATCCCACTCGTAACAGATAGCATGAGTGATCTGGTCCTGAGCGACCAAAAGGAGCAGCATGATCTTGCTCGCATCGTCAGGCCTAGGGTACAAGAATTCCATGAAAAGTATATCACCCTCGACACGAAAGAAGCGCTCCTATACACATATACCAGTAAACATCGGCACTGCTGCAAAATATGGCTCCGGACGTACCTCTGCTATGGGATCCAACTGGACCTGTGACATTTGGTTCTGAAGAATGGGTGGCTTTTTGAGAATGAAAACGCCAAAGTAATCACAAGAAGCGCTGACAGCTACTGCACGAGACCTGGGCCAGTTAATAAGAGCATTGTCATTGCTTGGAGGAACACGAACCTTGGGTCCACAGCAATATTGCGACCAAACCGCTCAAACGTGCTTACATCACTTGGTAAAGGCCGACGATAATGGATAAACTGTTCAGTTGCGTCCGAGTAATATAGAAAGACCAGCTCCCTAGATGCAAGACTGAGACATAATATTTGAGAAGGCAAGTCGTCGTGCAATCCAGGTTCAGCATTCGAACCCGAAGAGCCACCTTCCATCATCCTCATCTGTGCCTCCCATGGCAACTCTGTACTGACGTTGATGACTTTTGCGGCCATTATCTGAGCATCGAAATCAGACTTGGACGTCACTGCTTGTAGATGGACTCCCGAAACAGCTTCCTTAATCTGCAAACTCCTTTCACCCACAAAAACGACGTCATTGTGGAGTTTATGCCGTAGGCGTGCAGGCAAGATCCATTGGACAATCGGACTCGGTATTAGAGTCTGAGAGAATAAGCCGATCCTCGCGTTGGAAATGGAGGACATAGAATCGTTTTCTATATCCATTTCTTCCACACTGTATCTTCCGGCAACAGCATCAATGCCAGAAGCATCAGGGATGGAGCGGCGGGGGTTCCTTGGTAGCGCCATGATGTAGCGTGTTCAAGTCTAGAGCAAGAAAGGTTACCAGAAACGGGGCGAATGCTTTCCTGGAGAAGACTCGATGTCCCGAACAGATATGACAAGAAGAAATGAAGGAAATTTAGTGAAAGCAACAGAAGATTAAATTAAAATCGCAGTCGCAAGTACCCTTGAATCATGATTGAAAAGATCTGAGGATGCTGTCTCATGTTGGGAATTGCAGAGGCTAGTAGTGGTGATCGACTGTATAGTCGCCTGGAACACAAGCAATGCAATAGCTAATACAGCACAGAATGTACCTGTTCCTCATCTTAGAATATGATCTCCAAGACAGGTATGGAAGGATCCTGGCCAACACGAGGAAAACTCACAGCAAGTATGAGCTAGTCAAGAACAGATGGGATGAGTCTAGTTCATCAAAGACCAACAGCGCAGCACCAGGGCTCCAGATAGTGTAGAATAAATCTGAACCGAGGCTGCAGCAGAATGAATGAAGTAGTCAGGGTGCCAATTCTGGTTATACAGACGGATCAAGCTCGCAGCAAGTAGGGCCATCCGCCGCCACGATCTGCACCTTTGGGCACTGAACCTGCAGCGTTGCTTTTTTTGGGACGCAAATCCAGGGATCTTATCAAATCATGGTAAGATTGGACGATCGATTTGCGAGATTTGGCCCAGCTGAGCAGGCGGGCGTTTTCACTGGAGGGGCAGATTCACAGGGAATCCCGCTGTCTCGAGTTGTTTGTTGCTTGCAAGGCGGTCGGCGGCGAACAACCAAACCTAGCAAAATCACGGGACATCTGCCTGAGGCCATCCACGGCTTCACCCAGGCAGTGAGCAGTGACCTCATTCAAATAGTTCGCTTCTTCACAAGAGCTGTTCGATCGGCATCACCCAAAGATCGGGAACATATTCATTGATACAGGGGATTCTGCGGGTGGTCCGACCTTGATCATGCTCTGTTAGCACCCGATACCCCTTAGAACGCTGTCATTACCCGCCGTGTAAAGGATCTAGGCACCCAAGTGCTCTTTTCCCGGAGGATTTGCACCGCCAGCTGACGCATATTTTCCTATTTGTGCTGAGCCTGGCAACATGGAATCCCCGTTTGACTCTCGGGATCAATCTGAGACCGAGATCCAAGAAAGCTGTGCTGCGGATGACCCAACAGCTTCCTCCGGAGTCCATTCTGATGACTCTCAAACGTCCCAAGAGGATACCATTCCCGCGCACCTAGTTGAAAAGGAAGAGTCTATCCTCAGAGCGTGCGATCTGCGCGACTTTGACGCCTTGGTTGGCTATGCGACTTCCGAGGGGGGTTTTCTACGCGATGATATCAGACAAAAGGCTTGTAAGTTATCTTCAGAAGTGCCGAGGACCATATGATAACACGGAGGACAGGGCCTATTCTTCTCCAGTCCGACCAGGAACAAGTCAGTTTCGCGGGCTGGGACAATCTCCCACCACATGCAGACGAAGACCAAATTCAGCTCGACGTGAACAGGTCGTTTGTGTATTATCCCCACTGTAAGTATCCTCAACCCCATCAAACGTGCTTTTATTAATAAAATATCCTGTAGGCTCTGAAGGTGAACTGTCGTCAAAAAAGGACGAGCTGGGACGACTGATAACGCAAGTCCTACGACACTTTCCCATGCTTTGTTATTTCCAAGGGTACCATGATATTGTGCAGGTATTGCTCTTGGTTCTCGGTGGTGAGAAAGCAGCTCCAGCTGTTGCCCGCATTTCGCTCTTTCGTATAAGGGACTATATGTTACCATCTCTCACACCGACGTTGAAGCACCTGCAGCTTATACCTGCCATCATTGAGAGATCCGATCCGACGTTGCGGCAACACCTGGCTGGAATCAGACCATTTTTTGCACTCGCCGCAACCTTGACATTGTACGCCCATGATATCCAAGAGTACAGCAACATTGCTCGACTGTTCGACTTCTTGCTGGCGTGGGAGCCTGTGGTGTCGATCTACCTTTTCGCTGCTATCATTCTGTCTCGCAAGAAAGAACTTCTTGAGATACCGGTTGATGAGCCTGAAATGTTGCACTTTACTCTTTCGAAGCTACCGTATCCTCTCGACCTAGAAGGCCTCATCTCCCGTGCTGTCCAACTGTTTAAGGACCATCCTCCGGAGTCCTTGCCGAATGGAGCTTGGAAGAAGATTCCTGGATGCAGCGTCCTCAAAACCTCGCGAGACCTTATTGCGAAACAGTCGACGGAAGACGCATTGAAGCTATTTGATCAACAAACACGGTACTTGCGCAATGAAGAGTTCAAGGAGAAGGCCATCGGGTTCCTGTGGAGTCACAGAAGAACGATTGGATCTGTGGCTGTTGCCTTCTTTATTGGTGCCATGTCCATCTGGATACGGAAGAAGGGACTTGACGGCACTATATGGTCGTATTTGAATCGATTCAAGAGCGCATTCCAAGCTCGTGGAGGATTGTGAAGTGACATGTTTTATGAATATCGAAGGGTGGCATAGTCTTGTGTACAGTATTAATATTTCCATCTCGTGAATATAATGCGTCAATTCGCTAGAATCACTTGAGTGTTATATCTATATAAACGTGCAAGAACATGCTAGTACGACCATGAAGCTACCGAAGGACGATGGATGCGGGTGGACCCACAGAAGCGTGGCTGGTGTGTGGCTTTCCCGTCTTCGCCCTGGCCGCTGATGTGTACTCTTGAGTTCCCGCAACTCTGCACTTATCCCGCAACACCAGCTCTTCAGGAACATACCAGCCCAACATGGCTAACCGGGGCTACGACGTGGTTGTAGATGTGGACGCCGAGGTAATCACATCCATTCCACTATTATCCCTGGCAGTTCCATCTAACCTCCGCAACAGGGCGACCTCGGCCATACTGACCTTCAGGAGGACCTTGAATTCCACCCTTCGAGTGAGTACTGCAACAGACATCGCTGCTTGACCGATGCAAGCCGTTGCTAATCAGTAATCTTATTCTTTGATTTACAGACTTCGAGAACGACCAGCGCAGCGCAAAAGCACATCAAGATTCTGCTCCTTTCCTCGGTGGAGGTGGAGGGCCCTCCCGCGGTCGTGACAGGTCGCCAGGCGGAACGCCCACCAAGCACACGTGGTGGTCTATCCACTACTACTCCCAATTCTTCGACGTCGACACGAATGAAGTGCTCCGCAGATGCGTCGCGGCGGTATACCCGCGTAGCAACTTCCTCGACGTTCTCGAAGGCAACGCCGACCTGTACGGCCCGTTCTGGATTGCGTCGACCGTGGTGGTGATCCTTTTCCTGACGGGAACCATCTCGCAATGGCTCGCGAGCAACGACGATGATCACTTCGAGTACGACTTCACCCTTCTCTCCGGCGCCGCGGGCTTGGTCTACGGATACACGTTTGTTCTGCCCATTGCTCTGTGGGGTGCCCTGAAGTGGTTCGGGAGCTCCACCGCGGACCTGATCGAGTGCTGGGCGCTGTATGGGTACTCGAATGTGATTTGGATCGCTGTCGCGCTGATCAGCTGGAGCCCTCTGACGGCGCTCAACTGGGCGTTGGTGGGAGTGGGCTTTGGCTGGACTGTCTTCTTCCTCCTGCGCAACCTGTACCCGGTCCTCAGTGCCACGGACGCGAAAGCGAGCAAGATCCTCCTGATCCTGGTCATTTTGCTGCATGCGGGTTTCGCTATTGCCATTAAGATCTTGTTCTTCGCGTAAGTGCCTTTAACATATGTTGCGATTCATGGACTAACGTGCTTTACCCGCAGCCACGGAAGCCCCGTGTCCAAGAAGAACAAGGACAAGGACCACGACGACGATGATGACGACGACGATCACAAGCGACGGATGATGGGCATGTAATGGCCAGCCCGCACGGTGAACGGACTTGACCAGATGGACTTTGCTCAGGCAGCATGTCACGTACCCTTTCTTTATTCTATCTCCCACCGTTTGGTGCCTGTGTTACAAGCTGTACCTGTATGTATTCCAAGGAGATAAAGGATCCGGAGAGAAATTGAATTTTACAATGGTTTTGATTGCAACGTCATTGAGAGGAGCCAACTATTAACATTTGACTTCGGCTATCGTGTTTTCATAATTCCAACGCCGTTTTTCTAAAACCTCCCACGCTGCAATCGACTCATGACCCCCGGTTCAGTATCCCTCGCAGCAACGTAGAAAAACCGTAACAAGATAGAAATCGTTTACTTCAGCTTCTTCTTGGGACGCAGCTGGTTGGTGTGACCGCACTTCTTCTTACGGCAGTTGGTGGCACGAGGGGGAAGGCGGGCCTATTCGGGTGCGTTAGTAACCGATTCTAGACCAGCGCCGGCCTGGAACATTCGATTCGTCCATCACACGCCGGAGGAGATTCGGGGCAGACGTACGTAGCACTTGCGGCAGATGGACTTCTCGCAGTTGTACTTGGAGGCGAGGGCCTTGAGGGAAGGCTCGATGATACCACCACGGAGACGGAGGACAAGGTGAAGGGTGGACTCCTATAGCGGCGAAAAGTTAAACCGTCAGCAAACCGGTCCGTCAAAACGATTAGAGCCTTTCCACGACGTCGTTCTCGAATATGATGATGTGCCGACGGATCCGAAGTGATCTTTCCTCGACACCCATAGCCGAACCGCACTTTCTTATCATACCCGACCGACATCGTTCCAGCAAAAAAAGCAAGGTGTCATTCGGAGTCCTGCGTACCTTCTGGATGTTGTAGTCGCTCAGGGTGCGGCCATCCTCCAGCTGCTTACCAGCAAAGATAAGGCGCTGCTGGTCAGGGGGGATACCCTCCTTGTCCTGGATCTTGGCCTTGACGTTGTCGATGGTGTCGCTCGACTCGACGTCGAGGGTAATGGTCTTACCCGTCAGGGTCTTGACGAAACTATCGTTCGAAAATCTAGTCAGCACGACATCCTGGGAAAAACTGGCATCCTCCGATCATGCTCTCGTGGTTGGATGGGCGGAATCGACGGGGTTCGGGTGCAATCAGGATCGAAGGGCGTGGAAGGACCTACATCTGCACTGTAGAGACGCGCAAAAAAAGGGCGATGTCAGCTCATTGTTCCTAGATCAAAATAACGGCGTCCACGAGGGTCGGAGTTCACGTACTGGTTGCGATTTTTCGTTGTTGCTGGCTGACGATCGGCTGAAAGGTCGGTCGGAAGAGGCAATGTCAATTTGAGGGATTTCTCGCTTAGCAAAGGTGGACCGATGCCGGTGATACCCTAAGCCCTAGGTCTTACCGCTCTGGGCTTGGCATCTGTATTGCCCGCGACTTTACCTTTTTGGGGCTTCTCCACACGTTCCGTCGTTTTAGTCTCCGTCATCGTCTCTGGAGTACTTCTTGATTCCGGACAGTCTCCAACTATCGTGAATTATGCTGTTGTCATTGATGTGCTAAGGGTTCTGATTCGAATACTGAATACAGCTTGCTGAAATACCCCTGATTTATGGCGCCATAGCCCCATTCACCCGAATAATTTGCCCCGACATCCACGTACACTCAGGACCACACAGGAAATTGATCACAGAGGCCATTTCACCAGGCTCTCCAATACGATTAAACGGACTGAATCCTGCCACAGCACGCAGCGTCTCCTCTGACTTCCCCCGCAGGAATAACTCCGTCGTTGTCGGGCCCGGCGCGATAGCATTCACGAAGATCCCCTTTTTCGCGAGCTCCTTGGCCGTGATGCGGGTCATCTGCTCGATCGCGCCCTTGGTCGATGCATACAAGAGGTAGGTCGGACTGATGGAAGAATGGACAGTGACGCCGGTCGACACGAAGATCACCCGGCCGCCGGCGGGCATATGGCGGGTCGCTTCCTGGACGAGGAAGTAAGGGCCCTTTACGTTCAGATTGAACGCAGTGTCGAAGTCTGCCTCAGTGGTGGTCGCAAGGTCTCGCATCAGCAAGACACCCGCGTTCGGGATCACCACGTCGATGTGACCGAACTTGGTGACGGCCGCCTCTACCAGACGTCGGATGTCGTCTAGTTTGGATGCATCGGCCTGGACGGCCAGGGCGCGGTCCTCGCCGATCTCATCCACGAGGGCATTAGCTGATGCTGCGTCTGAGAGGTAGTTGATTACGATACTAGCGCCGTTGGCGGCTAGGTGCTGGGCGGTTGCCTTGCCGATGCCTTTGGATGCACCAGTGATCAGGACGACTTTGCCTGCCAGGGACATGATGAATGACGTGTAGACTTGCGGGAGAATTTGCAGGAGAATTGCTATGGATGGGTTGCTTCCCAGGAGTGGTAGTTTGCATCTCATTCTAGTGGGTTTCAAGTCACTCTTATATTCGTAGATAAGGACTACACCCCACGAATGCACGTCCGCTTTGAATGATCAATGGCCAATAACATCCGATCCAACCATTTGTACAGCGGCTAGACCATTCAGACCACACCAGGTATTGGCTGTATATTAATTCCTGCTACGGATTCAGTAACAATCTTAGCATTTGCCGAATACGGTTGATACTCTCACGGACAAGTCCGATGTCCCACTCGCGGCTTGCATCCATAGCCCGATGCCCCGTCAACTATACTAAATCGTCTATAATACTAAATAAGGCGTGTACCAAGCTTAGTTGTCCAGGTCGGACATTGAGTCCTCGCTCAACCGTCCCAGGTCATCGTCACTATCTTCAGACGACTCGGTCTCGAAGCCCCCAAAATACTCGATCCGCCTCTGTTCGTCCAGCCACCGGATGATCCTATTCTCAGCTTGAGATACCGACCTCACCAGCGTAGCCAGAGATACCCCCGCGACCTTTGCGACCGTTTCGTAGAAGGGTCTTGCCGTTTCGGGCAAGTCCGACTCCATGCGGTAGCGTGCATATGACGAACCAGGACGCGGAACATCGGCCTCACTCTCCGGGATGACGCTCCTAGGTATTAGCTCACTTGTGGCTGTCTGAACCATAGCATCCAGTGCGGCTGCTTCATCATCAGCTGCGGTAGCGGGTCGCGGGTTGAGTTGGGTATCGCCCGTGTTCGAGCCAATTGGAAACATGTCCGCCAACGGATTGGATCCTTCTAGAGCAATGGTTAGCGATAGGCTAGAAATGCACGGATGTTCTTCGGCTCTCACCTTTACTCGGGTCCAGCCAGCTTTTCTCGTACCAGTCCATGTATTCGTCCAGCTGCGCTGGGGTCAAGCTGAAGACGTCCTGTTCGTTAATCGTGATCTCGTTTCCTTTCCCGATCCTGCCGGCGGAGGTCTCGCGATTGTCAAACTGCCGCTGCGCCTGCGCCCAGGTCTTCCAGTCGATAACTTGCGTGGTAGGGTCTTTTGCCGACACGGGGTATCTCTCGATATCATCGAACGGGAAGAGTAGTTTGGTGGAGATGACGATCAATGTCACCAGTTGGACTTCTGGGAGGTGGAGGGGCTTTCGCTTCCCGATGACCTTTGTCGGAAATTCGAATGTGAAGCCTAGTAAGTCTCGTAGTCGCTTGACAGCGGGGTATAGTTCGACTGAACGGCTCATTAGGACATCGATGCAATGTGTGATGGAAGAGTTCTCGTACCAGGGAGAGCGAGCCTCCTAATGTAGTTGTACAACAACGCGGGGACATTCAGAGGCGGGAATTCTATGTCGAAGCATTGGTTATATAGAAGTAACAGCTCGAAAACCGCCTTGTGCAGATGCTCTGCTTTCAACAATCGCTGCTGGATCGTCAGAACGGGACTTTGGAACAAGCGACGAGGCGCCTACCGTTGTCTCTATCAAGGCCAGATACTCCTGGGGGAGCTTGTCCCTTATGTCCCGGGGAATAGACTTGATAACTCGGATATACGGCACTTCTTCCCGCATAACCATCCTAGACCGAGTTAGATCATTAACCCGTAGAAGGCACTCCAGAACCATACCGATGGAAATCGCCCACGCTGATCGGCAGTCTCATCAACAGAGCACCTAGATAACACAGCGCGACTGTATCAACCAGACGGGGCCATTGAATACGTTTGCCTCCCGAGGTCAACAGGTGGAGCTGATCATCCGGCTCGCCTGCAGGCTGCGAGCTAAAGAACTCGAGCGTGTCGGCATCCTCGGATACCTCTCTGAGTTTTGCTTCATACTTCTGCAATCGGAGAGCCCAGAGGTCGCGTACGACATGCTTTGACGTCTGTTAGCGATAATGTCGTCGACGAAAGCAGGAAGAGTACTTACCTCGAACTGCGAGGGGAAACCTTTGTTCTGAACCAGCGCAGAACACTGTTTCCAGAGAATTAACTGGTAGGTTTGGAGAAAGAGAATGTACGCATGTCGACCGCGATATGCTGCAGAATGTCAGTCAGGCCGAAGGGGAAATCTGGGGGCGTAGACATACTCTTATGGCCCTTTTCGATGACCGCCTTTTTCACGCGATTTCTCTTGCCTTGTGTCCCAAAATCGTCTGGGTCTTCTTCAACTTGTCGACCCTAAATACATCCGTAAGTGGGGACTCGTTACTTGTAGGAATGGGGATGAAAATCGGTGTTCAAGGCTCATACCTCCTGCTGGTGACCCCGCCGGCAAAACCACAGACCATTGTCGAGATAGTACCGTCGTTCACGGCATCCCTCCTGCCCACAGACCCCGCGGGTGATGTACTCCATCTCGGGCAGCGTGCTTCATTCTTAGAGCCACAGAGGGTGGGATGGAGATGACATGTGGGCTTCTACCACGGTGGATCAAGCGTGGTGTTGCGGGTAGAAATTTTCGTTCTCATCAGAGCAGATCCATGTAAGGTTGTAGGAACCACGAGCCGAATCCCGCCATAACAATGTGTGTTAATACTTACAACATACGTTCTCCATATCATTCATCGTTGAAAATAGATGTATTCTACGCCTACAAATTGGGGTCCTGATTGCGAGAAAATTTTTCCTTATTCGTCAAGCTATCGTGAGGGTCCTGAACTTGGAACAATTCTTCTGGCAAAGCATGCTTTATGCTGCCGACTAAAATGCAACTGTTTTACTAGCAAAGCGCACATCCAAGGCTAACTGACGGATTCAAACAACAGCCATGCCGTATCTCGCCCAAAACGTCGCATCGTGCATGAAGGGAGGCAAACATAAAGTAGGCCTTGGAGCACAGAGAGTGGGTAAACGAAGCACGGAGGATTGATTTATTTGGGGGCTTCCTTGCACTCCATGGCGCACTCCTCACCCATGGCAGTGAGGATGACAATGTCTGCGGGGAGTGTTAACTACGTTACCGGGTGTATAAATTGGCGAAAGGGTACTTACTGCAGTCCTTCTCCTCCTCCTTGAACATACGCATGATCTTCTCACCGATCTCGTTGTCGGGGACCTTAACATCGTCCTTGGTGCTTCCATCGTCGTCCATCAGGGAGAGGAAGCCATCATCAGTGATGTCAAGCTGGCAGCCCGTTAGTATTACCGAATCATCTCCAATCTTTCTGAACCCATCATCCGGAAAGACTCACAAGCTGGTACTCCTTGCGGGAGACGTTGGGGACGTCCATGTTGTGGGTGGAGGGGGACAGATCTTCGAGCTTCTTGCCAGTGAAGATGTCCAGAGCGACGATGTGGACCTTGGCGTGACCGTGCTTTCCGGTCTTGGAGGTCGACATGTCGACGATCTTGCAGGGACGGCCCTTGATGACAACGTGACCGTTCTTGCGCAGAGCAGAGCACTGCATGGGGTAGGTGGTCGACGCGCCAGCGTCGGCGGATTCGAAGGTCTCGTGGTGCTGTGAGTAGACATGTCAGTCGAAATCTATCCTGAGATCATAATCTTCTCATCGTGAATCGAGGATTCGGATGAATGTGCAGCCTAAGCCCTGATCGAAGGGGGGTACATAGAGGGGGTGATGCGGGGCTAGGAGGAACCCAGCAGAGTAACAGAGATCAAATGAGATGACAATCTGAGGGAATGCAAGAAACGTACCTCGTCAGCCATGGTGAATGTGTTCTGGGGGTTTTTTTAGAAACAAAAAGAAAGAAACAACAGAAGCGGAAGAGAGAGAGGGAGAGAGATGATTCTGAAGAGGGGAGAAGGAAAAAGAGAAAAATCGGAAAGAGTCGAATCGACAAATCGCTGGCGAAAAAAAAGGCAGTTTTGTTGTGGCGGGGTTTTGGCATCGCTAGACTGCTTCGGGGATAGCGTGCGCCCTGGGTGATTCTGCCTCGCCGTACCATCCAGACCTGTCCCAATCGAGTAATCATACTACCTTGTCCTGTATCGAGCAACACCTCTCTCAACCTCCAATGCTATAGATCCTGCACTGTTCCCCTCGTTGACACTCACATCATTCCTCTCTACCAATCCATGAGCTCACCCCCTCGAGACATCGCCTCCTCCTTCCCCACGCGGCTGCAACGCCAGCATCATGTGGCTCGACCGCATCTCCGGTCATTCGACGCCCGCCGGTCCTCAACCTGATAGTCGCAGTAACTCACCTCTCCCTCGCCGGTCTTCCTCTCGTCTCTCCCCCTATGCGCAACAGAACTCGCGGCCCGGACCGAGTCGACCAGCTTCCTCCTTATCTGTCCTCTTAACCCCTAGCGACTCGACCAGTTCTCTCCCCGCAACGGCACGTGGAGATGGGTACGCCTTCAAACAGAACGCTGTAGGGGGCCGTCCATCAGACGTGGCCGATCCATTGGAAGTCTTGAATGGAATTCTAGGAAAACAGAGGACGGAAAACCGCAACTCCGACGCATCACTACGCCCCGAGGCAGACACGAAACCCGCCCAGCTGGTGGAAGACATTGATTTTGAGGGTCTGAGCTTGGAAGAATTCGTCGCCAAACAAGATCAGCCGAGACGAGCGGCCAACAGTGGAGTTGATGCGCAGACCCTTCAACAATTTGAGAAAGAACGAGATAAGTTCCAGGATCTCCATTCGGCGATCACGGGGTGTGATGATGTGTCCAAATCGGTGGAAATGTATCTGAGTGAGTTCCAGACGGAACTTGGTGCCGTCTCTGCGGAAATCGAGTCGCTCCAGACCCGATCCATCCAGCTGAACGCGATGTTGGAGAATCGACGGAAGGTGGAGAAACTGCTTGGACCCGCGGTGGAGGAAATCAGTATCTCTCCTGCCGCTGTGCGACAGATCGCGGAAGGTCAGATTGATGATAATTGGGTTAAAGCGTTGAACGAAATCGAGGCCCGAACCGCCAGCATCGAGGCCAAGGTCTCGAGTTCTAACACAACCAAGTCCATTGAAGATGTGCGGCCACTGTTAGAAGACATCAAGAAGAAGGCCGTCGAGCGGATTCGAGATTATCTGGTTTCTCAGGTCCGCGCGTTACGGTCCCCGAATATCAACGCTCAAATCATTCAGCAGCAGCGTCTGGTCAGGTACAAGGACCTGTACAGCTATATCTCGAGAGCTCATCCTACTCTGACGGGAGAGATCACGCAGGCCTATATCAACACAATGAGATGGTACTATCTGTCGCATTTCACGCGCTATCTTAATGCTCTCGAGAAAATCAAGGTGTACCCGAGCGACCGGAACGAAGTCCTTGGGGGTGATCCCTCTACCCAAAGACATAGTTCGTCCTCTACTCCTGGTCCTTGCGAGCAATAAACTGACGATGGAATAGGTAACGTCCCCAGTGGACGAGCAGGTGCAGCGGCGCATGATCCTTTTTCGCTCGGAAGAAGAATTGATATACTTCGGACCGCCAACCATATGGCGATGTCGTCTTATCTGGCGGAGGAAGACACTTCGTACCATGGACTGGAAGTTCCATTCCGGAATTTTAATCTTGCGCTGGTGGACAACATCTCAGCGGAATATTCGTTCATGACGGAAATGTTTTCTACTTTGACTTTCCACCAGATCTCGCGGAAAGCCGTGGAGATATTTGAACCCGTCTTTGGCCTGGGACAGCGACTGACGAAGCAGCTGATTGAGAATACCACCGACTCGTTGGGGGTGCTCATCTGTGTACGACTTAATCAGCAGGCTGCGTTCGAACTCCAACGGCGCAAGGTACCCGTGGCCGACTCGTACATCAACGGGGTGAACATGCAACTTTGGCCGCGATTCCAGAAGATCATGGACATTCACTGCGAGTCCCTGAAGCGGGTTGGCTCTCAGACTGGGCGAAGTGCGGTGTCGGCCCTGTCGTTAGCTGGCGGCGACGACTTGAATCGGTCGTCCGCTCCACACTTTCTCACTCAGCGTTTCGGACAGCTGATGCATGGCATCCTGACCCTCAGTAGTGAAGCTGGAGATGATGAGCCGGTCTCGAATAGTTTGTCTCGGCTGTCCGCGGAGTTTGACGCTCTCTTAGCCAAGCTCAGCCGGATCGGTGGGGATGCGAAGCGACGAGAGAGGTTTCTCTTCAACAATTACTCTTTGATTTTGACCATTATTAGTGTAGGTTTGCTTGGCCGATCGTGATGATGCTCGCTAACTGCGACAGGATACCCATGGTAAATTAGCCACCGAACAGAGACAGGTACGTGCTGTAGCTTGAATTGGGAGATTCTGGAGTGATTGACTAACGCTGGGTAGCACTTGGATGAGATGCTGAAGAGTGTTGGGAAACGGGGATAGAGTGAATAGAATGAGGACTGGATGTACATATTCTGTATTGGATGGAGCGTGCTGTGCTGTGCATATTTACCGTATACTGTGAAATCAGAAATCTGAACATAGCATCTGTAATAACTGCTACAATACTTGAAAACAATTACTTGATGGTGAAGGGATTCACTATCGCGATATCGGTATATCGGAGCCAACTCCGACTCCACCGACAATCCCTCCGATAGTGCGGAGTATCTCAACCCACTCCAACTCCAACTCCTACTCCTGTCTTTTCCCTCTCAGTCAATGACCATTAATTTAGAACACACGCCTTGACCAGCGCAAGTACACTACGCTCTACGCCTCGTCAATGGCTACTCTGCGTGCCTGTCTGTCGTTCCCCCGCATCTTCCGCCACCCGCGGCGCAACTTCTCAAGCACGAGACCGTCCAGCGCCGACGTCACCCATGCAGTAAGACTCCCTACTAGAGACACAACCCATTCCGCGTTGACGCTGTGCTTATACATCGCCCAGGTTATCGGCGGCGGCGTGGTCGGACTCGCCGTTGCGCGACAGCTGGCCGCGAGGCCGGGCACCTCGACCGTGCTTCTGGAGCGGCATGACGCCCCGGGAACAGAGACCAGCAGTCGGAACTCCGAGGTGCGTATCTCACCCTTTCTGCGATGCTACCGCAGCGAACACGCTCTGATGCGTGACAGGTCATCCACGCAGGACTCTACTACGGAACGGACACGCTAAAGACGACGCTCTGCATCCGCGGCAAGGAGCTGATGTACGACCTCTGCCGCCGCCAGGACATCCCGCACCGCAACACGAAGAAATGGATCGTCGCGCAGAACGACGAGCAGTGGGAGGCGTGTCTGCGCGTGCACGAGCACGCCCAGCGCATCGGGGTGCCGACGCGGCTGGTCGGGGCGGAGGAGGCGGCGCGGCGGGAGCCCGCGGTGCGAGCGCGCGCCGGCATCGTCGAGAGCCCGACGACGGGGATCGTCGACAGCCACGCGCTCATGACGTACCTGCAGGGCGACTTTGAGGACCGCGGCGGCGACTGCGCGTTCCTGACGCGGGTGACGGGCATCGAGGCGCTGAACGGCGGGCGCGACGGGTACCGCATCACGGCGGAGTCAGGGGCGGACGGCGAGCCGACGACCATCACGGCGGAGACGCTGATCAACAGCGCGGGCAACGGCGCCTGCGCCATCAACAACATGGTGCTGCCGGCCGCGCGACACCGCACGCCGTTCTACGCCAAGGGCACGTACTTCTCGTACTCGGCGTCGCGGCCCACGACGTCCGTGCTGGTGTACCCGGCCACGCTGCCGGGGCATGGCGGGCTGGGCACGCATCTGACCCTGGACATGGGCGGGCGCATCCGGTTTGGGCCCGACGTCGAGTGGGTGGACGACCCCTCCGATCTGAAACCCAGCCCTGCGCGGCTGCAGCAGGCGCTCCCGGAGATCCGGGCGTATCTGCCGGATGTCGATGTGGATGCCATCGGTCTGGATTACTGTGGCATCCGGCCTAAGCTGGGACGCGGTGGCGCGGTGAACACGGGCGCCGGGTTCCAGGACTTTGTCGTCCAGGAAGAGGAGGGATTCCCGGGGTTTGTCAATCTGTTGGGGATTGAGAGTCCTGGGTTGACGAGTTCATTGGCTATTGCCGAGATGGTGGAGAGGCTGTTATACCGGTGATTATGATACCCGATGACTACTAGAGCATGGCTACCTACCTATGCATTGTTAGAGCATAGCATGTGCACATGTCTATGCATTGAGCACATTCATGTATGATGAATAAGAATCCACGCAGCTCCACAACCTTGTTACGCAAGCTTCCAGCCAAGAACATCGAAGGGTCCATTTGCCATCACTGACGTCAAGACTCTGAGCTGCGCAACTCACTGGTTAGATCGACACGGAAAAGGCACAGCAACCATGAGACACATGGCATTTCTAGAACGATTGCTTCGAGCTTAACCCGCTGAGGTCCATGGTTTTATTCGTTTAACCACTATCAAGAATCCGTGGGCTGAAAAGTTAACGAGATTCATCGGACATACCGTGAGTTGGGACTCGCCACAGTCGCTATAAGACATACCCAGACGACGTACAGTCTCCAACACATATCTGATCATACATTCCTCCATAATATATCAACCTATACTGCTACGTTCATAAACAATGACAGACACACACTACGCACCCTACACAAACCCCCGACCTCCCTCCCAAACCACCTCCAAACGCAAACGCAAATCCAAACGAGACACCTCCAAACGCTGCTGGGACTGGCTCATCGTCCACGGCAACTGCCACTACGCCAAAAACCGGTCGATGTTCCGCAGCTACCGGCGCGCGCCCAGCAAAATCGCCGGGCGACGGGTGCTCGGCGTGGGGACGGTCGAGCTGCGCGTGCGCCGCGGGCCCGACGACGATCGCACGAACACGCTCGTGCTGCAGGACGTGCTGCACATGCCGAACGCGCCGTGCAACGCGCTCTGCATCGACAAGTACCGCGATGCGAACCCGGACTCGGACGTCGAGGAGAGCGAGACGGAGGATTGCTGTGTGCGGGCTGTTGCGGATGCGGACCGCACGCCGCTTTGGTATGGGCATGACTATGGGCGGGTGTTGAAGGTTGTGCTGGCGGGGCAGCCTGATGGAGAGTCGTATCTCGGTGAGAAGGAGGGTGGGGGGAGTATGATGGGGGTTGTGGCTTCGGAGGAGGAGTTGGATACGCTGTGGAGGAGGGTGAGAGAGCGGGAGTGGACGTTTTGAGGGGAGAAGTTGGGAATAGTGTGTTATTGTAATGATTGATGACCTATAATGGAGATGCTGTGGATGTATACAATTTATCATGGTTCATACCTCGTCTATGTCAACTGTACAGTCGTAGACCCGCTATCATACAATACTTATATACATGAATGCACCTCACCATTTCGCAATAGCTCGTTGGATGAAGCCGACCCAGCCAGCTGGGCACTCGCTCTCCGGGAGCGGACATCATTCCACATCCAAAAGCACATCACTCATAATGTGGAGCACGTAGGAGAACTTGCGCACACTCCATTTCCCAGCGTCCTTCAGCAGGCCAGCATAATCCAGCAGGATCCGTCGCGCGGACTGGTACCCGCCTTGGAAAGGGACTCCGCGCAAATACACCGTGCCTCCGTTTCTGATGAAGTTCACGGCGGGATCATCAGACGGCGAGAAGGACTGACTCCCGCGGGGCTCCATAAAGCTCGTGAATCCTTCGGTGCCGACCTTGTCCCAATCGATGTCATCGAGAAGCTCTATTGATGTGCCACCGGCCTGCAACTCAGAAGGGTTCGGGACCATGAACACGTACAAGCCCAGCACAAGTGCAGCCGAGAAAAGCGAAAAGACCGAATGAAACATAGTATGGTCCGAGGCTTTGCGGTTCGTCATGGCCTTGTAGATGTGCGCTGCATGTAGACACGCCCGTCGAGCTGCGGGAGTCTGCGCCCATGCGGCTATGTCGTCCAATGCTCTTCGTGCAGGACCTGGGCCGGACCGTCCTGCGGCGAGATCAAAGATTTGAATGTCTGCGGTGAGGGCCATGCACATGTTATGCCACATGACTGCAGCGTTCGGGTTCAGACGGGTTAGAACCTCGCCATACTTGCTGGCGATCTGCAATTGGAGGTCCGGAAGACACCTCGCCCGGCCATCCATGGCGTATGTATGGCACGGGGCAAAGGGGTAGCTCGCTCGGTTCGATAAAAGTCGATAGTAAGCCTCTGACAGTCGAAGTTGCACCATTGACAATATCCCATGCATGCAGAAATCATCCACAGGGTGATCTACCACCGGTATATTGACATTTTCCGATGGCGCAATCACCGTGGGCATCAGAATCCGCTTTCCGCCGTGTATCAGCTGCATCCATCGCATGGAAGAGTTTGCCTGGAAAAGGCTTTCATGACACGGGAGGATGATTTGGATCGAGTCTGGTACGATAATCGGACTAACAGACAAGAACGAGGAATACCACGAGTCCAATAATAGGAGGCCGGTGATGAGTCTAGTTGGTCAGCAAACGTCTTGTGCAATGCACAATGCAACTTACCGTTTGACCGATTCCACCTTGCTCCACGCTTTCCACCGCGTTTCGATATCGGGGACGGCCTCAAACAGGCTCATGTCGAGGATTTGACCTTCGGTGGCTGCAAACATGCCATGTCTTTGCGCAGTCTGCAACTGTTAGCGTGGTCGCCTGTAAGATAGGCGCGCACATACCGCTATGAGGTTGACGTAAAGCATCTGGGATTTTTCGAGATGCTCCTTTTCCTGGTCTTTATCAGCATGTGTTGATACTTTCATTCATATGTGTTCCTACCCCAGTCATGGCAGCCAGGTTTAGAAAGAGAAACGCAGCTGCAAATGTGGACGTTGTGTTGATGGCGTTTTCTGCCCCAACAGCACACTTGTTCAGGTCGGTCGTAATCCTCTCGAGAACGGACTAATGGCATATAAGTCAATGAATCTCTTGTTGAACTTCCAGACTCACCGAAAAGCTGCGGGAAACAAAATTGGTAGTCCCTTTGGTCCCAAGTATGACCATTCCAATTAAGCACATGCAATGGAGCAAAGGAGGACGTATATTCTTAGCGGAGAAAGTAGGCAGGTGGATGAATGGGACGAGCGGGTGGAAGTTGCGGAAGTAAAGGTCAAGCGCCATGTCGAAGATCTCTGCAGGAGGAAAGCTGGGGTGAGCGCCGTAAACACTCCCAGATGAATGATGCGAAAGGGAGCCGTTTGCTGGAGACCGGAATTGTGTGTTTTGCAGGTGCGTATGACCAAACACCGCATATAGTCGATGTCTGCATTCCTCATCGAGACCATGTCTCAGCCCTTCAACCAGACTGGGGGTGTTGTTGAAGGAATGAGCCGGATGGATTGCAAAGACGTTGTCCAAGTCTGTACCAGCCACATCCCGCCAGAGGCTATTCATGAGTCGCCCGGTGTTGTTTGAGGGGGCCAGCCAATAGCGCTGGACTTTGGCGAATCTCTCATTGGGGATATAGTTGCTAGACTCCGCACTGCTGCCTACCGAGGGACGATTCTGTCTTTCGGGCGAAAGCGCTGCGGTTTCTCCAACGAGACCAAAGTTGGCATCCTGACCCATATCCAAGGATCCATGATTTGAGCCTCCATCGGTCCGCGGCTCGAGCCAAAGCTGAAGCATATCGTTCGGGGTCGGATCAAATATCGTGCGGTACGGCGATTGGTCGGCAGCGGCAACATCGTTCCAGCCAAAATACGCCTGCTGGCCATCGACCATTAACGAATTGACCTCGGGCTCGGTGCGGGCTTGATGGGTCGAGATGTCGGCGAGAAAGTCCAAGGATGACGGCGGAAGGTTCGGAGCAGACGACAGATTCAACCCGTGAGGCGTCACTGGTAGATTGGACACAGCCGGAGTATCCGCGCTAAGGCCGGGAATAAGGCCCTGGCCATCTATAGGAATTGTCGAGGAACGATGATGCGACGATTGATCGGAGGGCGCAGAAGGTTGTCTGGTATTTTTGGCCCCGTTGGCTGCGGTGGTCCCGGGGGCATTATGGCCTTTGGCATGACGGCTCAGGACATCACTGAGAGACGTTAGTGACCGGTTTAACGGTGTGCTGTTGCGACAAAAGATAGTATGGTTTGCGGAGAAACTCCGAGTGAAATATGAGGGCCGACATACCTCCGGGAGAACCGCTTATGGCAGACATTGCATTCGTACGGCTTTTCCTTGGTGTCTAGCGATTGTCAGAGGAAAATGAATCGAAATGTCTTCTTAAGATGGAGGATACTGACGCGATCGTTCGTGACGCTTGAAATGTTCGGTCTTTTTGAATCGACGGTCACAGATGGTACACTTTCTTACGACCATGATGAAAGTCGCGGCGCGGCGCGGGGAAAAGTCGAGACGAGAGAACCGGCGGCACCGGGCATGACACCGTTGCGCTGGGAGAGGGAGGGAAGATGTTCGTGAGAGTAGAGACCGAGTAAAGGGAAAGGGAAAGAAAGGGAGGGAGGAGAGGGGAGGAGAGTTTGTCGTAGAGTTCGAGCAGGTTGAAGCACGAGTCGAGCACGTTCCCAGAGGTACCTGACTGGTGCCCGCGGTGCTGTGGTACGCACCAATACGGCTAGTCGCTCGCCATTCCGTGGGTCGGGGAGGAAGCATGACGGTATGGAAACGCGTATAATACAGCCCTGCTTCCCCACATGTACTTCTACAGTACTTCATCCATATAGTTATGAAGTAACTTCTCATTATCTGCTCTATGAAACACTGCATTATGTCGAACACTTTTACTCCTATCTCGCTCTTGAACGACACTTACCACCACCAGAACATCTCATATGGAACTTTCTTAATATGTAATCTCGGTCAGAACCGATCGACGCCCCAAAGCTGGGGTTGTGGCTGCTTTGGGTCTAGCGCTGCCCCAGATGGGGGGAAGCCCGGTAGTTGACGGGGCCGCCATCTGCCGATCCACCAACCCTAATCGTGTACTTACTAAAGAGAGCGACTATAGGATTAGAGAAAAGGGGAGGATATCCTTCTCTATTAAGTCTGTCCAGATACAGAATACTGACAACGACAAGACAATCCTATGTCAGCTCTATGTTCAAGCCAGAGCTCGAAAGGGATCCGATGGACAAGTTTGTTAAATAGACGCTATCGCTATTACCATGGAACATTACCTATTGGCAGGCTTAAGAGACAAAGCTTACAAACTGTGATAGGATGCTTTACGCTTACGGATCGACCGGAGACGGCGCGATGGCTCTCCGAAGAAGAAAAGGCCATTGTCGTCGTCCGGGTTCAAGCCAGCGCGTTGGTGCCATCGAGCGGGGGATTCAATCTGAGAACATAGCTGATCTCGATTGGAAGCATCCATCGTTCCGGTGGAAGGATTAACACTATGGGAGGGGCATCTCGAACAGCATACTAAGAACACTACTGTGCATATCTTATTATAGGTTTCAGTGTCATGGAACGATTGGATAGATATTATCGGGCTCTAGCTTGGTAGCGTACTGGTCATTTTGGTTCCGCATCTTTCCTGAACTACCGAAAGATGTTTTCCGCCTATTGTAGAAGTAATGGAGCTTCCAACTCGATATCATGCTCCACGGGACCAGTTGGAACACGACTAAAAACCTTCTCAAACTCCAGGGTCAATGAAGGCCCTGTGGCATTCGAAGGGAACGTCACCACCACCGTGCCAGGGCCAACCGCCATGTCGATAAAAACTGTCCTGACCTTCTCCGGTTGCCACACTTCCCCAACTGCAGCAGCCGCCTGTCTTCCGGTATACTTGTCGACAACGGTTTTTTTTTTTCCCCGCTGCTTGATCTACCTCGATCAGAATAACAATGTTCACCGCACTTTCCGAGTGCGCAAACAACCACGCCGCAGCCGCACGCAGCCGGGCGCCAGACTCGGACAGACCAGCTTAAACAGCCAAGTACGGGAAACCAGCGGGTCTGATGTTGTTGTTCGTCCAAGAAGAGTCGCACTCTTTACTGGAGTTGCCTTCTGTGTGTTTAGTGCCCCCCAACCCCTTGGAACTCCGTGGATGACACCCGCATATCATCGACTTTGATGCAGAGATATCGGCCGAAACTAAAGTGGGCTATCTCAGACCAGCGGGTGGGGACTTTGATGATGAGGGTCTCAATGTCCTGGAAGTAGGTGAGCCGTGAACAGTGGAGTTTTTTCAGTGGCGTTCGGTGTTCGCAATCATCCTCTTCGTTACATTCTTCAGAGCGAGGTATTACTGTTGGCTCCCATGGACGAGACTTTCTGATGTGCTGGAAACAGGTTGTTCCAACGCCTTGAAGCTTGTGTATGGAAATGGAGGGTTAATTCCCAATTAGGGCTAGGTCTGACGATGCAATGGCCATGCTTGAGGTTGGCTTTGAATGTTGGGGGATCTGTGAGAATATCTAGGTTGGCAGGGTGTGAGCCAATACCTTAGTTATGTCATGATACCACTTACCTTCATGTGAGGTAAGAAACCAGATGATGAGTCCCAATCAATGAAGACAGCTGACTGAAGAATAAAACCGAGAGGAAGATGTGCATGAGATGACTTTCACATAGAGTCATGCGAGGCTGGGAGAAAGGAAGAGAAGAAGTAGGAGGGATTGGAGAGAGATTTATACCTGGCAGGGTGGATTCAATTCACGACCCGTGGTTCTGCATATCTTCACTGCTTAAATGGAGCAATATCTATGCTTCACATAATCTTTTGTCAGGCAGGTCCTGTAAAGCAGGCCAGTGTATTCACCAGACGCTTCAGCATCAACAGAGGTACAACCTTTTTTATCATACTGCAGGAATGGTCGTCAATGTAACGTGATTCCATAGAACTGCCATAACTTTGGATTAAAGCATAAAATGGGATATGTATAGGTACACGATTTCTCTGAGCACTAATGTCGCACCAGCTCTGCCAATCTCGCATCGTCATAGTAGATCTCCATCCGCCGTTTCCGTGCCTCCTTGTCCGACTTGACTTGACGGAGGATCTCCTGGATATTAGGATACGAGGAGAATTTGTCCTATTCATTCTCAGTCCTGTCCTTCATTATACAAGGGAGTGACATACCGGAAGAGCATCCCAAACCTTCGGATCGGTGCCCTGATCCTTGAACGTCCCGCATCCACCCCGAGCATACTCCGTAAACAGAAACGACCGACTGCTCTCCACCATGATAGTCATTTGGTCTAGCGTATGTCAGCAACCGTACACCGCAGCCGAGAGGCAAACTTACTCTCCAGGATCCTCCGCGGCTCATTCACCTGGTTCCGCATCTCATACACATAATCCTGGCTAAAGTTCCCATGCGGCGTATGGCTGATCTCCACCGATCCTCCACCAGGCAAAAACTCGTCAGAACGGCCCAGACCGCTGCCATAGAGACAAGCCAGAAACTCGGTGGCCGAATTGCGATGGAAATATGGCAAGCGGAAGGTGTTGGATGCGACGTCCCACCGGGGCCCGAACCAGAGGAAATCCGCCAGTGGAGTATCGGGGTCTCGCGATTTGGCTGTCAGCACACAGTTGACCGAGGGGTCAGTGTGGTCGATGGATGTTGCGTTTTGCGAGGCGAACTTGGTCAAGTCGTACTGCAACTGGATTAGCGGGATTATCCTCTATAGTCTGATGCAAGAGCGCACCTTATACGGCACAACATTCCCATGCCATGCGACAAGATCAAATGGGCTATGGTCTTGCTCAATGGCATTATACAGTCCATTCGCCTTGTTGACAATCGACCAATCCTCATGCAGAACCTCATCAATATACGCAACCGGATGGAGAAAGTCGCGGGGGTTCGCCAGACCATGGCCTCCCAGCGGTCCAAGATCAGGGAGCTCCCATCTCGACCCCCAAACCTCAGTGATATACCCACGGGCGACGTCGTGACCTGGCCCAAGACGCACAGCAAAGCGAACCCCACGAGGGATCACGCAGATCTCTCCCGGTTGGAGGAAAAGCTTGCCCATCTCGGTCTGGATGTCTAGGTTACCCAGCTGCGCGACGATGAGGAAGTCACCGTCGGTATTGCAGAAGGCGCGGTGGTCCATGTCGGCGTTGATCATAAAGACGTATAGCGCGATGCCCTCGCGCAGATTCGGATCTCCACTTCCTCCGAGCGTGTGTAGTCCATCCACGAAATCGATCTTCTCGTTTTCTTCGGGGAGAGGGAACGGTGCCCATTCGCCCTGCTCGGCGAGAGTGGCGACTTTGGGATTCAGAGAAAGGAAGCAGTTTTCTATGTCGGCTTTGTGGGGAATGTTGGCCTTGTATCCATCTAGTTGATGTTAGCCCGGCATTGTTGGAAATTATTAGAAAGGACGTACTATGTGCTGCAGCTGGTCGAACGCGATACATATATGTGCTGAAATTGGCGTGTCGGGGTGCCGTAAAGGCCGAATATGTGATCCCCTCGGCATACAATCCAAAACGGGGTTCCTGGGGGTTGTTCTGGCCGGCTGGTAAGGTTCCAGGAATGACCTCGGATTGGAAGCGATTCCCAAAGCCCGCGAGATACTCGTACGGATCGTTATCGCGAGTCGGCTTGCGACTCATGGTATCGGTGTAGTGGAAGACCTTTTGAAGGTCCTTGATGGGCGTTCTCTCCTTGATCGGGGGAGCAGACATGTTGGATTCGTCCGACGGCGTAGTGTTCTTTCAACGTGTGTTTCACGATTCGCATAGCAATTAGAGATAATTAGAGTTTCTTGAAAAGACACGATATTAATTGAAGCCAGCAATCCATCCACATTGAGAGGCCCCTCTTGAGGTGGATGTATATGATGGTGATGATGTGGAGCACTCCGCCGCAGCATAAAGCGGCCCACACCAGCCCCAGGTGGTGCCTGGAGATCATCCAGACAGCTCTTCGTGGGGATATAATCGAGCAGCTTATGCGGGGCTGTAGAATGTGGAGCAGGTGTTGATGGAACTAGCTGTCTGATTTTCAAGCGGTATCAAAATTGACATACGGTTAGCAAGTCTCCAGAGGTTCACTCAAAATCCACCTCGCAAACAACCCCACAGGCGCAGTTGCCAGATGCTCAAAACTATCCAGTCTCGATTGATAGATCCTCAAAGTCTTCCCTTCCATATGTGCGTAGAAAACCCTCCCATGCCGGGGTTCCACAAACGGGAAATGCAACACTGGAAACATTTTTTTCTCCTTCAAACGCCAGCTCATGGGGGTCTAAGGTATCGCTCGGGATGCTCGCAAAAAGTCTTCTTTCAAACCCTCAGAGACCCGGACCTGGAAGGCACGGGCTCTCATGGTGGTGATCAGAGCACAAGCTCTGCGGGTAGCATAGAGCCTCTATGACCAGCGCGGTGGTGTGAATGGATATGGAGCAGATGTGGATTAAGGGGGTCGTTATCCTCGCGTGTGTACCATTCATACAGACACTCACTATGCCATTCCTGGCCGAATTGGATAACAGGGGCCAAGTCCCAGTACTTTTCTGCGATGTAGAGCATATTGGGTGGTGAGCATGCGATCGGATGTCGGGGGTGTGAAATGAAAATAACGTAGGCCTACTCTACATTCCCCCAGCCAACATCTTGAAGACTCTACGTACCTCAGAACCAAAATATCAGGACATAGCTACCCACAACAAACCTGCCGCGGTCCCCACTAATGAGAATCTAGTCACTGTTTGTGGTATACACTCCACCCATGGTAAATAAGGAAAGCTGTCTTAATGGACCTAGCTCCTAGGTACTACCAGTAGGTAGGCACGAACTATTTGTACTATTAATTTGAACTTTTGTATATGCCCATATCGGCAGTGCATCAGGGGGCCTGATATAGAGGACATTAGACGTACCAAGACGATTGGATTGTAGAATCTGCACGTCGTTGCCTCCGGGAGAAACAGACTATCGTACATGTGCTTGTGCGAATTGTTTTGGCTCAATGTGCTTTCTGTCCACCTCCCACTTCAATCCCCCAAAACTGGCGTCTTTCCTCGCTTTCTCACTACGTGGTTGGAAGTACCTGATCTATTTCGTGATTAAGAACGAGGAGCAAAAAGACGGTTCTAACTGTTTGACGAAGCAGCCACAGAGACAGTCATTGACAAGGAGGATAGCGATTCGCACTGCCTATAGGTCTACGATCGTTTCGTCGATCAGGTAGATGAATAACCGCCGGCTGTTTGGGTCAGCATCCAAAGCATCACACATGCAATACCTCGTGCTTTAGTCCTTACCTACCAAAACAAGGGCGCAGGCAGAATACATCTCAAAGTAGGGCCTGACAAATGTTCACGTTGGAGAACCCTCTAGACTCGTCGGTCAATCACACGGACGGGGGAGTAAGAGAAAGTTTTGAGTGCAACCAGCTCCCATCGATCTTCGATCTTCTGTAGAGAAAATTCTCCCTTTACTCTGGGTTTCTTAGTCTAAGCTTGCTTTAGCGTCTAGCGATTGAAGAAGGTTGTGGCTTGTCGGATAACGATGGCCACTGTTCGGAGTACATGCCTTAGTGTACCTTAGCAAGTGGGGCGACAGCTTAAATCGACCAGACAACCCTTTGGGCTCCACCCTGTCGTCGGCTATCTTACTCTGCAAAGCATGGGAAATGAAATGCCTACCACCTAACTAACCATCTACCTGCTAACTTTTTTACTGCGTACACTTCTTCCTCCATCAGGACCCACCGACTCTGGGAGAAGCAAGCTTTGTGCCGGTTAACAAGCAACGCTAAGACTGCTTGTGCCTTGGCGCCAAGAATCGCTGGGCCCTTACAAAATCCCTCGATCGATCATGTTCGCCGCTGCCGCCGTCCTATTGGCCCGCTGTACTAGCCTCCGGGGCATTCTCTCTGAACATCACGATATGCTTCCCTCAGCTTCAAACAAATGACAGCGCAGTGGGAAATTAAACGACCCGGTTGCGCACAGACCCAGCACGCGTGCCCGGTTCTCGAAGCATTCTTCTCGACTACACCGTTGCCTTCTATTGGGAATCCTCGACAGATGGTGTTCTATCGGCCTGTCATTGGCTACAGATATAGACACAATGAGACGGTGTCGAGGCTGTCTACTGAGGCAGACCGGCTTGCAAGCGGCCCATAAAGCCGCTCAGTCCCTCGCAACGGACTGCTGAGTTGCAATCTCTCATCTTCTAGTCCTTGGGAATCTCTGCTGCACCATCAACTGATCATGGGTGAAATGCACGATCTCGACTGGCTCTTCGCCGTCGGTACCATTTTCTTCTGCATATCAGTCTGGGCTCTCGGTGCCAACGTAAGACACCTTCCCTTGTCCTCTCCTCCATTGACCTCCCCCAGCTGACGGACTCAACCCCATAGGATGTAGCCAACTCGTACGCCACCTCCGTGAGCTCGCGTTCTCTCACCCTGGTCCAAGCGGGCATCCTGGCTACCATCACCGAGTTTGTCGGTGCCATTGCCCTGGGACAGAAGGTCACCTCCACCATTCGCGAGGGCGTTTTCTCGCTCGATCGGTTCGAAGACTCTCCCGGCGTGTTGATCATGGCCATGGTAGTCGCAGAAGTTGGTACGACGTCTTTCGCTTCCTTGTCTGGAGGATAGGAAACACTGACCCATCTCGGACAGGATCCGCCATCTGGCTTACCGTCTGTACCTCGCTCGGATTTCCCGTCTCCACTACCCAATCTATCATCGGTGCCCTCATTGGAGTAGCCTACGGCGCCCAGCTGCACGTCAAGTGGGAATGGACCAGCAACAGTGTCTCTCAGATTGCGGCCTCTTGGGGTATCGCCCCTGCTATCTCGGCCGGTTTCGGTGCCATCATCTTCCTTTCCATTCGCCTTCTCGTCCACAGCCGGCCTGACCCTCTCAAATGGGCCCTGCGTGTCATTCCTTTCTACTACGCCATCACCGCCGGTATCCTCGCCCTCTTCATCGTCGTTGAAGGGTCGAATGGGATCCCATCCTTGGAGGACATGGGTGCCGGAAAGGCCTGTGGCATTATCATCGGTGTCTTTGCCGGCGTGTGGGTTGTCAGTGCTGTCTTCTTTGTCCCGTACTACTACCGCAAGTATGTGTTGCTCGCCTCTCATGCCCCAGTATGGCACGCTAACCATCGTCCCCAGACTGATCAAAGAGGACCGTCGTCTTCGGATCTGGCACATCCCCATGGGTCCTCTCCTCTGGAAGGACAACTACTCCCTTTACTTTCCGGGAGATCCCGATAATGATGTGGTCCCGAACTACTACGAGTCGGACATGAAGCTTGATGACTCGGATGGTAGTATTGCCGGAGTTCACGACGAGCCGAAGCAAATGGAGCAACAGGCGACGATGGCGGACCCCACGAAGACCGCCGATGCTACCGCTGCCAGCGAGCATCAAAAGGACTTGGCCGCGGTGGATAGCCTCGCGTGGGCCCATCCCAAGCGGATCTATGCCACTCTGAAAATGGTGTTCCTCTACGGTATGACCCGCGACGTTATCCACCACCAGTCCAAGGGCCTGGAAAAGGTGCACCAGCACGCCCCCGTCTTTGATAACAAGGTGGAGCACCTGTGGACTACCGCTCAGGTGTGCTCAGCCATGGTATATACTCCCCTTCCTGTTACTCACTATGAACCACCGAATCTAACATCGTCCAGATCATGTCCATTGCGCATGGCGCCAACGACGTGTCCAACGCCATCGGTCCCTTCACCACCGAGTACATGACCTGGAAATCTGGACAGTCGATGGCAAAGACCGATACGCCGACGTGGATCAAGGCCGTTGGCGGTTTGGGCCTGGGTTTTGGTATGTCCCCCCACCCCTCAACATAGGTACAGTACACAATACTGATCATTCGCTTAGGCTTCTGGACTTTCGGCTATCATATCATGCGCAGCCTCGGTAACCGCATCACCAAGCACTCGCCCACCCGCGGCTACAGCATGGAGCTGGCCGCGGCGATCACGGTGTTGCTTGCCTCCCGTCTCGGTCTTCCGGTGTCGACCACGCAGTGCATCACCGGTGCGGTTCTCGGTGTGGCGTTGGTCAACTACGACCTGCGCAGTATCAACTGGAAACAGCTGCTGAAGATTCTGCTGGGATGGGTCTTGACCTTGCCGGTTGCGGGTTTGATCAGCGGGATTATAATGGGTATGGCACTCAATGTGCCTGCTTGGGGTTCTTGATCCAGCAGCCCAGACGATACTGGAGCTCCATCTTTATTGATTTATGAGCACTTTAGCTGTGCGAGACCTGCCGTTGTCTTAAAATAGCAGTTAGGATGGGGTCGGATTTGGCTTTTGTATTATCCTTATTTATGTAGTTTAGGAATAACACTCGTTAACACTTTTTGCGATGGGTGGAATGAGTAGCGAATTTACGTTGGCAGTGCTCAAAGTACGATAAGGAGCACGATAGCATTTTCTCTAGTGGTCCAAGTTTGATGATATTATATCTCGATCATTGTTGACACTCCATCGAATAGGGATAACGCAAAGGTTCTTTCTAAAGCGTGTTGGACCCTGTATGGCAAGTATCGGGATTCAGAAGCGACCAGCAAACGTTATGTATATCTGTTTTCCATCCTGGGAGAGCAATGTCGGTCAGCTTCTCGGTGTCTTCTACGACGACTCTAGGCATTTCAAGGGGTCGTAAGGTATTTTGAAACCCCCAGATAAGGGACATAAAGTCCTCCAAGGGCGTCGAGGTACTCTTGGAAGCCGAGCGGCAGTTGGAGAACTTGTCCGGCCTGCTGGCTCTCATTAATGAGGTGTACACAGATCACGGCAGCTGGTTTTTAAGGTCAAGTGACCTATACCCCCTTGGCACGTGATGCCAAGCAGATTTCGGGTCGCGCGAGATATAAATAATACCTGTATTCCTTTTCTTTTCTCTTTATCTACCTCCAACTTTTCTCAGGTACCATTGGTACCATTTCTGACCCAAATAATGAGATAATGCACTCAGAAATCGCTATAAAGCCACTTACGTTTGCTGTATGGGACGACATCGTGTTCCGGATGTCAGAGAGGAGTAGAGAAAGGGGAGAAATAGCTATAAAGCAGTTGGAAAGGGGACCACGCGGGTAGTTAGAGGTGGTAGAAATGGTGGTAAGGTAATGAAATGAGTCAGGTGGGTGGAAACATAAAATTGGTCGCGCGACACTAAAAACGATCCGACGCCATCTGCAACCTCCGACGGTCTGGTGGAAGTGAGTCGAAATTGTTTTAAAATGGTGCCCCTTATTACAGATTACGCGGTTAAAGTGTTGTAGGTTGAGGGCGGGAGGGGGATCTGTTTTCGACTGGAGCTAAGATCCCGGCTTTGGTTAAAATCGGTCTTGTTCTCTTGGGCTTGGAATTTCGCGAGCTGATTGAACCGTCAGGTCCCCATCAGACTATCAGGTGAGTTCTTCCTCAAACTAGACGCCTGGCTCTTCATGATAGCGCTTTCGTCATGGTCCTGTCCAAACGGGCGGTTTTCAAGGAACGAGAAAGCTCCTCTTTCGTTTGATGCGTTTTGCGCCTGATTTGACGAACTTCCCACGTTTTCAGCCATGTTATGCAGGTTCTCTCGTTATTGAAAGGTGTCGGGGGCTCGATGGTAAATCCTACACGGATCCACGGTTGATCTTTGAAGGGTACCTGGCACCCGTCACGGAATAGTGCTGCACTTACGTGGTAGACATGTGAGTACCCAAGAGCTCTTTGGGATCGTACTGGCCATTTTAGTCAATAGCTTGTGCGCTCTCCAAGGCTGCATCCGCCTTCAGCCGTTTATTTCCTAGGCGTCGATAGAGTACCTCCAAGCGCGGGTAGAAGGCGAGCTGGGCGAGGCTGCGCCTCAGATCGGTCGTTAAGGGGGACCATCCCGCTGTCTGGAGGTCCGCCGTGGCTCACTGTCCTGGCCTGCCCCCCTCTTAGGCCCCAGCCCAGCCAACGAAATGATCCGCATAAACGCCTCTCGGTGAAAGACCCGACTTTCGGGGGTATGGGCGGGCTCGATCGTACTGACAGCCAGCGGCGGGATCTCGCTTCCGATATTGACCCATTCCGCGTTTTGGCCCATGCGCGAAACTTCCACCTTATCGCCGACTGAGGCTGGAGGCAGCGTCGCGGATGCCAGAGACATCGCGTGCTTGCGTTCTTGCCGAACTGTTAGCCAATAGTTTAATATATTGGGCGTCGGCCTGTGCGGCAGGATGATATCTACTTACCAAGCCGTTCTCGATAGTCTTGGTCGTATTTCGTGCTTCGGTGTCGACAACATAGTAGGTTGGCTTGGGGACTGGGGCGACTTGGAAGCTGGGAGTGTCCAAGCGACGGACATATCAAGTTGTATATATTACCAAGGATGAGGTCGCTGTCCTACAAAACGTAGCATGATCACAAATAAACATAGATAAGAAGGTATAAACAGATTTTATGGGAAAATATGGAAGGGACGCAGGGGCGGAAAGGAGAAGAAGAAGATAGAGACCGATTTAAGTGGGAGACGGGACAAAGAATGCTGCCTTCAGAACCGCGATGATGAAGGTGGATTTATGGAATTATCCAGAACATGAACATCACTTAGGCTTTCAGTCTCTGTTGTACAAGAATACATTCGATTGCTTTGATGTCATGGCAAACATCTGTCGGGATTATGCAGTGATGACCATCTGGCGGAGGTTCATTACTTGCAAAAAGGCTGTGACTAGTACAATGCCCACGCATTACTGCATCACTATTCTCGAGTGGAATACTCATCACATCTCTTCCACACAACTAGTTCTATCTGAACTAGTTATTGCTGGTCCAACTTATGCTAACTAGTTCTAGGACAAAAACGAGCTCCTTATCCACCCCGGAGAAGTTATCTGCCGTGTGAAGGATTGCACCAAGAAGGTCAGTCAGAACTAGTTCTAGTCAGGTTTACACCCGAGGTCAGGTTTACTATATTCACCTAATATGTTCCACCTATCGCACCGTCATTCTATGTTGTCGGCACGGAACTGGAGCTGTGAGCAAGATCACTCAGAACACACTTGAGAAGATGGGAACCATGCTGCCTCGCAAGGATTGCATATTCGGTTCGCAGACAGGCCACGGGGTGCTATGTTACGGGATATCTGAGACATGTTGGATGTTGGAATATCCAAAGTACGCTAACTCGCAAGTTCTGGAGAACACATGTCGCCAAAGTTCTAGTAACCGACGACCTAAAAAAAAGTCTGATCGAGTAATCACAAGTGGATTGCACCTACGTTGATATCCGGGGCGCTCTATTGGTGAGGTGTCTGTATGCTAATTACTCCATGAGACGGCGTTGTCTTGGAGCCGCTATAGCGCACTAGATTAATTAAACCCACCCTGACGGCGAATCGACATGCATTAGTGCTGACTGTTTGATATTATGGCTTAGCATTGCCACCACGAGTAAAATATCCCTTGGGAAGGAGGGATCAGTGGGGTATGTTCTGTGCTCTCATGCTTACTTCCAGGGGGTGCGTTCCATTTATACGATAAGAAATGGGTGACTATGCATGAATCATCACCACGACAATAATTTCAAGAAGCCTCGCTCTTACTGAACGGACAACCTGCAGCGTCCGCACTCAGACCAGACAAATTCTGGCCTTTCTCTTCCCGGGCAATTTGGCGGAACATCTCCATTGGGTCATACCAGACGTCGATTTTTTCCAACTGCAAAGCCGCGTTCACCCTGGCAATCACAATGCCCTGGATATCAATGAGGCCCCCGTGAGCCTTGATTGTCGTTTTCTCTCCTCGACTAGGTTTATCAAATTAGTCCAAGCTCCCTGTAATCGGAGACACGACCTACTCATTGTATCCGACATAATCCTTGGCCATCTCGCCCCAGTGCCGCCATTTGAACACCACCACCGGCGGCCCACTATACACTTCCAACACCTCCCACGCAAAGGTCGGCATCATCCGCTTGAAGGCCTTGTGGCTGGTCTCAAAGTCGTTGTGCGCCGGGTCGTAGTATGAGCTCGCGGTCAACAGCGCGTTGTACGTGCCCACCTTGAGCATATGATCGCCGGTCTGCGGCGGCCCTCCGTTGAGCGAGAAGGTGTAAGTCTTTTGGTCAATTGTGCGCCAGTCGGCCAGAGACGTCTTGAAAGAGGCTTCGATCTCCCAGTTTTTCACGAGCTTCTCGACAAGATCGGGCAGACTGCCGGCCTCGTGCGACTGTGTCTTGGCTGGGCCGGTATCAGCGGTGTCCCGACTGCTCCGCATCGGTGCACTCACTCTTTTCATAGAACTCTCTCGTTTTGGCGTAGCTGGGAGGGGCTCCGTGACGCCATGATGCCTCGGTATCCTTGAGGACGGCATTTGGGTCGAGGACGAAGTCGGGGAGCTCTGATGCTTCACTCATGGTGTGTGTTGCAGACTTGGGTGTAGGATGTAGGGACTGACAAGTAGAGAAGAGCCACAAGGGTGAGCACGCGCGGTTATATAGGGGCAGCCTAGGTGGAAGGTCTCTGTCCCCGCGTGGCTGTCACATTCAATATAGACGCACTGTCCGGACGGACTCGGCGTCAGCCGGACTTCCCCTACTGTATCCCCCCTGCCAACGGTTCCAATCGCATCCAATAATTTGTAACGTCGGCCCGGGTAGATGCTCCTTGTTTGTGGAAACGGTTTTGTGGCTGCGTTCAACGCCACTGCGGTTTTCTCATCTCCTCGCTAGCGATGTCCTGCATCCGCGACCCCACCAACAGCTGTTGTGGAACAGTTGTTTCATTTTCGCATGCTCTTGTGGCATATGCTGTAAAATGCTGGACATGCAGAGCAATGAACAAGACTCAACCAGTTCGGTGGATGGCGATGTTGTTCGGGGGTGTCAGCACTATCTGCATACTACCCTTCGCCACGGAATCGCCAAGCCGCGATATGGGTAGTAGATGAGATTTATATTAAAGGTGTCCACCAGTAATGAGATCCAGAGCTGGCTTAGTCCGTGCTCCAGTCCACGCTCTGTCATGTTCATGGGCTGTTGGGTCTCCCACAAACGAAGCTGGTTAGGGCTTTCTCGGCCAGGCTTTGCCAGTTGTCTTCCAAAGACTGTCGTGCATGGGCCATTAAGGCTGTGTTATGGCAAAATATGATAGTCACTAAATCTGGACAGATAGTAATATACTAGTACTCTGTCAGTTATAGTCTGATTGTTCCTGACGTTCTCATTCTCATATTCAATTACCTCCATCTCCATCATGATCACCCCCTCCACATCCACCGAAGTCTTGGACAAAACGTCTTTCATCGTCATGCGCGGACCGCAGTCCAATCGGCAGGCGCATTTGCGACGAAATCTCCGAGCCCACGATCCAGTGACGGTGAGGGGTTTTGGCACCTCGGGCAACTAAATACGGCACGAAGCCCTTCAGATCATCGTGGCCTGATCTCCCGACAGTTTCACCAACACCACCACCACCACCCCGCCACCATGGAACTATTAACACTCCCCAACGAGATCCTGTTACACATCGCCGACCATTTACCCGACGAGCGGGACCTCAACGCCCTGGCGCGCACCACGAGCGCCCTCCACGCCCTCCTGAACCGCTACCTCTACCGCCTGAACATCCGGCGGGGAAGCCCCGCCCTGCTGTGGGCTGCCACGCATGGCCACGAACCCGCGGCCCGCAAACTACTCCAGCTCGGCGCCGCGGTGGAGACCACCAACGACGGCGGGAAAACGCCCCTGGCGCTCGCCGCCGCCGAAGGCCATGCGCATCTGGTGCAGTTGCTGCTGGAAGAGGGAGCCGATCCGGAGGCGCTGGATGGGGAGGCGCGCACCCCGTTGTTCGCGGCGGTTGCGACCGGCCAAGACCACGTTCTCCGCATGCTGCTTGCCGATCGCCGGGTCGATCCGGAGCGGAAGGACAGGTCGGATTTGACCCCGCTGAGTGTGGCCGCCATGAAGGGACATCGCGCCGTGGTTGACTTGCTTCTTGGGGTGGGTGTTGATGCGGAGTCCACCAGTGCCGCGCATAATGGCCTCGGGCCTCTGGGATGGGCGGCGTTGTGCGGGAATATTGGAGCCGCTGCGTCGCTGTTGAATCATACCGGCGTGGATCCTGATCGCCCGGATTCGAAAGGATCCACGCCGCTGCTGTTGGCGTCGGCGAGCGTAGACCCAGCGATGGTTAAGCTCCTTCTGGCGAACGGCGGTGTGGACGTGAACGCAAGGAACCAGTTCGGCGACACGCCGTTGCGGATGGCTGCGAACTTTGGTCGCGCGGAAATTGCAAAAGTCTTTCTTGACACAAAGGGCGTTGATTTGAACGCGCGAGATTATCGCTTTAGTCGAACGCCGCTGGCGGTGGCCTGTTGGCGCGACAAGGCGGATGTGGTGCGGCTTTTCGTTGGGACGAAGGGTGTCGATATCAATGCTAGGGATCATGAAGGGCTAACGCCGTTTGCACTGGCTTCGAGTCGGGGAGCCGATAAGACATTAGCCATACTGTTGGAAACGGACGGAGTTGATTTGAATGCGACTGACGACCAAGGCCGCACAGGATTTATGTGGGCTGCGATGAATGGCCACCATACGACAGTGCAATTGCTGATCACCAGCAAAGCCGTTGATCTCAATGCTAGATGTCTCAATGGGTGTTCTGCGTTGTCGTATGCTGCGATCGAAGGGCAGAAACAAGTTTTGGACGTGCTGCTCCAGACGGAGGGTATTGAGCTCAATCCTCGCGATGTTCAAGGACATACGCCGTTGGCACTGGCCGCCCTTTACGGACGTAAAGAGGCCGTGGAAACTCTAATTGCAACAGATGGCGTCGATCTGGATACCGTGGATGAAAAGGGTGAGTACAGCATCCTCAGCCTGTTTATTTGGTTAATAGAATCATAGGTAAAACACCATTATGCATCGCTACGGAAAGACACCATACAGAGATCGCACGAATACTGGCCGAGAAGGCTGGCACTGTCGACAGGCCCAGGAGTCAGATTGAACCGCTGACATTAAACTGAATGAGCCTGTGCCATGGAGGACAACTGCACCCGAATTATGTACATCATGAGTTACGATCACGTTCTATATCCCCAATGCATGATATTTCCTACCAGCCTAGAGCTACCCCTAGGCACATCACTCAGTATACTCTGGACTTTGCGGGAATTTTTCGAAATAACTCTGCTCATGTCCCAGAAGCACCCGCGCTTTCTTCCTTCGCACCAAATGTCTCACGTACTCCAGACTCCGGAACCAGGCATTGTAGTCGCGCATGAGAGACCCTTGAGGACGTCCCTCCTCCCAGTTCTCCCTGATGTGGAACAAATCCGAAGTCAGCACGATGGTGCCAGCGTGGATCATGTCCAGCTGAAGGGTGATGCCGCCAGGCGTATGACCCGGGGTATGGTGCAGGGTGATGCCCGCCCAAATATCAAAGGTCTCCCTTCGGAACGTCTTCCAGTTGAAGCGGTCCGGCTGGAGGTAGTGCGGCACGTAAAAGTCCCGGTCGATGCCTGTCGCACAGCCCCAGAAGGCATGTTTCAGCTCATCCTCGTGGCACCAAATCTCGACATCTACACTGTCAGCCTTCGTCCACGGCCCAAATCCAATCTTATGATGAACTCACCGGTATCGATAAAATGCTCCAACCCACCCGCATGATCGTTATGCAGGTGGCTGAGAACCACCGCCTTGACATCGTGGATTGTCCCTGCCCCTGTGGCGGCAATGGCCGCTGGGAGACCGTGGACGTCTTTCTCCCAGGTCCGGGGCAGACACTCATTGACACCAGCGGGCCAGTTTGTGAGGACGTCCTCGCAGCTGCCGGTGTCAAAGAGGATCAAGCCTACGTCCGGGTGGTAGATCAAAGCTGCGATCATGACCAGCTCGCGGCGGTCATGTTTCTGGGGCGGCTCGTTAGGCCGGGAGACGTTGGCGCCGGATAGGATAGGCGAGGCATCGCAGTCGAGGTAGCCAAGATTGAGAAGCTATTAGATGTTAAATGATTGTCGTCGGGAGTTGTATAGTTGTTGGACATACCCAGAGCTTGGAACCCGGAGGGAGCGTACTGTTGCTGCTGGAAGAAGTCATATTGATCTGTCCTCGCCTAAGACTGTTCGTCTGGATGAGAGAGAATAAGAACAAAGTAGGCATGATGCAATCTCCTCTCTACTCCTCTTGACTCCGCATTTTCTACGCGGGGTTGCTCGGGTCAGCGGAGATATCAACGGACGTATTCCGAATAGTTACACTAGACAGCCATCGAGCTTCAGGTGATGTCTTCAGACTAATCAGAAAAAGCGCTAGAGGTTTGGTCTGACAATGATCCTCGGGGGAAGACTTTATTGATCCCTCTCTTTGTTTCTCTGTAAGCCACTTGATTCTGTTCCACCAGCTCTCGTCTTTCTGTAGCCTCCTGCTCGTCATCCCTTGGTCTCTTCGATAGAATCCCAGGCGGGATTGAACAGTTTGCCTTGGTTCCTTACCTTTCTATAACATATCAAAGATTCTTGATGTTGATATTGGAAGAAATATACGAAGAATAAATGCTCATTTGTTAGGACTGGCTATATATGGCTTAGTCCACAGCAAGCACGTCGTCCACCATCCGGCCAGATGCCCCCAAATAGTTGACAGGGTCACACAGCTTGCTGACCTCCTCCGTGCTCATCTTCGAAGTCACCTCTGGCTTCTCCAATAAACACTCCAACAGTGTGCGGTCCTTCTCGATGCTTTCCCTGCACGCCTCGTAGACAATATCATGCGCCTTGTTGCGGCCGACATGCGGCGCCAACCCCATCATCACGGCCTCCGCCACAATCAACCCCTTCGTCGAGTGCAGATTATCAAGCATCTGCTTACTGTGCACACACAGCCCCGACAGGGCAAAATGCGTCTGCGACAGTGCTCCCACCGCAATCACAAAGCTCTCCGGCACCGCAACCCACTCCAGATGCCACGGCCCCGACGCACGCTCGAAATCAGCGACCATCCCATCCAGAACCAGCCCAGCATTCGACCGCAGCACCTTCGACGCCGCAAGAATAACCTCGCTCGAGATCGGATTCCGCTTCTGCGGCATCGTCGACGACGCTCCGCGGTGCGGCACAAACGGCTCCGACACCTCGCCCAGCTCGTTCGACGACATGACAATAATATCCAGCGCAAGCTTGCCCATCGACCCGCCCATCAGCGCCAGAAAGTTCGCTATCTCCGCGACCCCGTCGCGCGCCACATGCCAGGTGATCGGCGGGTCCGCCAGTCCCAGCTCCTCGGCCAGCGCCCGCCGCACGCGCAGCCCGTCGTCGCCGTCCCCCAGCGACGCCAGCGATCCCGCCGCCCCGCCAAACTGCACCAGCAGCGTCCGGCTGCGGAGCTGCTCCAGCCGCTCCAGGTGCCGCTGGAACCCGGACAGCCAGACCGCGCACTTGTACCCGAACGTCACGGGGAGCGCGTGCTGGAGGTGCGTGCGTCCGGCCATCGGCGTGTCGCGGTATTTGGCCGACAGCTCGCGCAGCGTCGCGATGATGTCGCGCAGCAGCCGCTCCACGATCACGAGACCTTCTTTCATCTGCAGCACGCTGGCGAGGTCCATGATGTCCTGCGTGGTCGCGCCCCAGTGCACGTACCGCCCGGCCTCCTCGCCGCACATCGCTGATAGCTGCCGCACCAGCGGGAGGATCGGGTAGCCCACGATCTCGGTCTCGCGCCGCAGCCGGTCGAGATCGAGCTTGGAATGGATGGCTTTCTGCGTGACCATCTCCCCGACTTGTGGCGGGATCACGTTGCAGCGCGATTGGGCCCGCGCGAGGGCGGCCTCGGCGTCGATGCAGCGGTTGATGTATGCTTCATCGTCGAAGACCTGGGGTAGGAATTAGTATTGGAGCTTTTGCATGATAGAGCTGGCGAATTACCTTGCGGATTTCTTCTGTTCCAAACAGCGTGCGAAAGATACTCGAGTCGATTGCGCTGACGGAGCCGATGGAGCGGCGCGGAGTGATGAGGTGGATGCGAGGCTGCGCCCGAGCCAGTCGGGCTATTTGGGTAAACAGCGACATTGTGTGTGAGTAGTGTGGTTGATTGAATCTAAGGATCGAGCAGTACCAGAGGTAATTAAGCTGTTGTTGTTGTCGTGGTCCCCATAAAGCCCCACGATTTCATGTGGGGTCATCCTGCAAACGGAGACGACCATCTGGGGATGTATACAACATCAACATTGAGCATACATTAGGACGGCCACGAAGTTTGTCAGCCATTATCTACAGCGTATATGTCAGGATTCTGTCTACTATTCATACAGATGTGCTACTATAGGAGACATAGAACACTCGTTCTCCACTAGGGTAAACAACGCAGGTATTCTTCCTACAAACCCAGTCAATCACCATGACTGTAATAAGCCCTATTGACTTCAAAACCATAGACATCAATTTATATCCTGTCACACACGCGGCTGCCACTAATCACCATAATATGAGGTGTAGGCTGAATGTAGATGCACAGCCCTAAACCACGTGACAGCTGAGAGGCTAGTAGGCGTCAGCGGGGGACATTGCGCCTCATCCTGCAGCACAGCTTTCCTTCGCTTGACAAGTCGAAATGGATGGCTACCATCTGCGCCGTGAGGACTTCACGGTGGGCTGGGTATCGGCTCTGCCGATCGAGCTGGCAGCCGCACGGAAGGTGCTGGACGAAGAGTACAAATCTCACGACGATGACTCCACCTACACGTTGGGCCGCATGGGAGAGCACAACATCGTGATCGCCTGCTTCCCGGCGGGCCAGCTCGGTATCTCGACAGGAGCCACGGCGGCCGCCGAACTGAAATCCAGATTCCCAGCGCTGGAGTTCTGTCTCATGGTAGGCATTGGTGGCGGGGTTCCGAGCCCAGAAAACGACGTTCGACTCGGCGACGTAGTCATCAGTCAGCCTCAGGGCACCTACGGCGGCGTGGTTCAATATGACCTGGGAAAGACCCTCTCTGGTGGACAGCAGATGCGCACAGGGTTTCTCAATGCACCGCCAGCGACCATCCTCAAAACCGTCTCCCGGTTCCAGTCCAATCATACCCTCGGCCGGGATAACATGTCTGCTCACCTATTCCAGTTCGACGGCACGCCGTTTGACCGTCGAAATGCAGGCCCCGATGTACTTTTCCAGAGCTCCTGTCGCCACGTGGGAGGATCGACCTGCGCGAATTGTCCTCTAGAATATACTGTCCCACGCGCACCACGGACTGAAAACCCGGTCACCGTCCACTACGGCACGATTGCCTCTGGAAACCAGGTCATAAAAGACGCAATCACAAGAGACCGTCTTAGCGCTGAGCTCGGTGGTGTTCTTTGTTTCGAAATGGAGGCAGCCGGCCTCATGAACAACCTTCCATGTCTTGTTATCCGTGGGATATCCGACTACTGCGATTCGCACAAGAATGCGAGCTGGCAGCCATTTGCGGCCGCAGTAGCCGCTGCATGCGCGAAAGAGATTCTCAGTCTCCATCCGACAAGTTCAGGCTTGAAGCAACGCAAAGCAATCCTCGACTGGATATCGCCTCCCGAACAGGAGCAGAGGCATGCGTTTGTGACTGGTCCCCGTGCTGAAGGTACCGGTGGCTGGCTACTAGAACATCCGAGGTACACGAAGTGGCGCGACGATTTGGCAACTTCTAATGTCCTTTGGTGCCATGGGGTGGAGGGCTCCGGGAAAACGGTTCTCGTGTCTGTAGGTCTGTTGCACATTGGTTGGTCTTCAAGCTGACTTCTACAGATCTACTGTAATCGATTCGTTGAGGCATCGAACATCTGGCCGCGGGGTCCCTGTGATCTTCTATTATCTCGACTATGAGCATCAATCTCGACAGACAACCACTCACTTTCTTAGAAGCCTCCTGAGACAGCTGTTGGACTACACCCCAAATATACCGAATAAGATTGTAGAAGCACATAACCGGCTTGGAGGCTCGGAATGTTCGATCTCGGCCAGTACACTCGAGAAGATTATACTCCAACTCATACAATCTTCGCCCAAGATGTATGTTTTGATCGACGCCCTGGACGAGTGTGTTGATCCGAGTCGACGGAACTCTATCCTTGGCTTCCTGGAGCAGGCGACATGCACCCCCAACATCCGACTCCTCCTCACTAGTCGTCCGCATGTCCAGGAAATCCGTTCAGCCTTCCCAGAAAGCCATCGAATCCGAGTACGTGCGTCCGAGGCGGACCTCAAAGCATACGTGTCCCAAGAAATACGCCGAGCACGCGTGGACGATATCGTAGACACAGCCCTGGCGCGACGGATCAGGGATACGATCATTCATCAAGCAGATGGAATGTGAGTGGCTAAAATGGATATAAATTACTCTGGACTAATCTAACCGTGATCAGGTTTTTGCTCTCGGTTCTCCGTACCAAAACGGTGCTGCGGGAGCCAACTGCCGGGCACATGGAGGATTCGTTGTCGTCCTTGGGTAGAGATCTTCCAGAAATCTTTCGGACGACTGTATCTCGCATCCAGAAACTTCCCGAAGGTAAAAGGCGACTCGGAATGACAGCACTCATGTTTTTGTCGCATGTCCAACGTCCGATCACTGTGCATGAGCTGGTGGATATCTTGTCGGTTCAGCTGGGCCAGACTACAGTGCGCCCCAAACATCGACCTTTGCCTCGAATCGTGCTAGAATGCTGTCTCGGGCTCATGAGCATCGAACCGACGACCCAAACCGTCCGCCTTTCTCACTACGCAGTCAACGAATACCTCGTTGCGAACAGCCACCAGTTATTCGGGGACGCAGAGGCCAGCATTTCCGCATTGTGTTTGACGTACCTACTCCTTGACCCTTTCACCCGTGGCCCTCGCGCGGAAGAACCCGAAATCGAGGACCTAATCAAGACTTACCCTTTCGTGTCGTACGCAGCCACACATTGGGGAAAACATGTCCGAGGGCGCGAAGCAGACCCAGTTGTCTGGGACCTCGCTCTCCGGTTCCTCGGTAACCACCAAGCAACCGCCAGCTCGGTCCAGATCATGCAGTACAACCGAAACTATCGCGATATCTACCTAACGCCTGAAGAATGCTACAGCACCAACGCTCTGCACCTTACCAGCGACTTCGGGCTAGAGCAGCTCGTCCTCGCCATCCTCTCGCAGGAGCCGTCGAAGCTGAACGCCACGACAACCATCGGCACTACCGCCATCATCAAAGCCGCCTCCAGCGGCCATGTGTCGACCGTGCGAGCTCTGCTGCAGAAGGGCGCCGACCCGTTCCTGGAAAACTGGTACGGCAATGCACTCCACTGCGCGGCCGAGGCGGGGCACTGCAGCACCATCGCCGCACTGGTGTCGCACGGCATGGATCCGAACGGCCGCGCGGAAAACGGGCGGTATCCGATTGAGTGCACGTTAGACGATGACCATGCGGAAGCGTTTGGGACGCTCGCTGGCCTTGGTGCGCGAATTGAACGTAGAGGCAGAGAGCCGCCGATGCTTGTCGACGCGACGGAGCGAGACTGCGTGCGAATTGTGGATCTCATCCTCCGGCGGGGCTGGGTGGACGTGAATTGTTCGGCGGATGGAGGGCTCACTGCGGCGCATGTCGCAGCTCGACAGGATAATACGGTGATTCTGGGAATGTTGATCCAGGCAGGAGCCGATATTGAGGCTTTAGACCATAGGGGCTTGACTCCTCTTGATTGGGCGCAGAGATGCCATAGTCACCATGCTGTGAAGCTACTGCAGGCTCATGGAGTAGGGTCTGTATATCAGTCTCGGTACCATATTTAGACAGTCAAGCCGTTTCTGGTGTCGTGGGTGTCCTATACGTGGAAGTTGACCGACAACGCAAGCTGATGACAGGCGGAATCCAAAGTCGGCCTCTCGTGTGTTAACCTCATGGACCATCTTGGTAGTTTATACCAAGGACAGAACATACTCACGAACACACCAGCTGCAATGATACTAGAGACAAACCCTACTGTGAGTCTGTCTAGACAGCGTATATAGCTGTTGGATCGTCTGTGGATCGTTGATCTACACGAATATGAGGACAAGTCTACATTCTGATTCCGCTCTGGTCCCTTAGTCCTAAACGTACAGCAATATTCGAAATCAATCTCAGCCCCAGGGGTTTTGCCAAGCCCAGGGATCCGAGGGTGAATCCCTCCACAGGTAACTAACTACTCGCGTGCCCTAATCATAATAATATCGGCGTGGCGCAGCGTTCTCCACTACCGTCCGTCACAAATCATTGCAGATTCATACAAAGCCAGCGTTATCCCACATATACAGGTCTATTCCAAGCTCAAATTCAAGACAATGACTAGGACAATGTCTGACAAGTCATTCGTCCTTCCCTGTTCTCCCTCTATCCTGCGTCTGGATCGTTTTGACGTTGTTTCTTCTGATGAGCCTGAAATTCCTTTTTGGCGGATCCTATCCTGTATCTTGGCCGAGTCATTAAACTCAGTCATGGACAGCTCATCTCTCATCGATATCCTGGAAACCATATCCGTTGTTTTACACGGAGAGGCTGCCAGGAACTACGAATTCCTAACAGAATTTCTCGACAAGTATCTGACAACATCCACTACTGGACCAAGCAAGTTCTTTCTATCAACGTGGCCACGTCTCGTTCGTCTTGCTCTACAGCTACCGTCTTTGTTCCCAACCCATACCATCCCTCTGCTCAAAAACGACGAGAACAGCCAGGTTATTTTAAGCAGAAGGCAAGTTGCATGTTTGGTCGTACACCAATTCTTGTGCTCCTTGCCGGCCCATCCATGGCAGACAGAGTCCTTCGTCAATCTGTCACCTTGGTACTCGGCTGGAGAGGCGATGCACCAAGGAGCCGTGCAGGCTTATCTAACCGCGCTGTTCACATATTTCGAAGCCATAGAGGCCTCCGAACCAAACAGTGGCGTTTTGCACCACTCAGTGGAAGATTGGCCCATCATTTTCACGTTAATCGAAATGCCCGAGGGCAAATCACCCTCTCTGCTTTGCAATGCACCAGCCACATTGAGCCGTTTGACAGTGATCCAACTCCCACACCAGTCAACAGATCTCCCATACCTTGGTCTTCCAGATGGCGCATGCGTGATATCCGCCAACAAGTGCGTGGGACTCGGTGCAACAGGTACCCAAGAAGAGCTTCATGTGGGAATTTCTCCCGAGGCGTACCCAGTCAGCCTCCTAGCGCCCCCTCTGAAGGACCGCCAGGTCCTTGTCTGCCAGGGTGCTGAAGCAATGGTTACGACGAAAGGTCATGGAAGATGGGCCTCCTTAGACGAGGTATTGCATACCCGACCAAGGTCATCGTCAGCAAATTGGCGCAACCGGATCATGCTATTCATGGATGCCCTCGAATTGGACCTTGTTGACCTCGTCCATCCACACGGCGGAGGGAATATTCCGGATCTTATGCCAGGCTATCTACATCGGGAGTTGGCGAAAGCCTACACGGCGTTCAGCTCACATTATTATTCCGGGAATATTCGGAAACCCTACTCCTTTGTTACGACGGGACATTGGGGCTGCGGCGCCTTCGGGGGAAATAAACAGGTTAAAGCAATAATACAGTGGTACGCTGCGTCCATGGCAAATGTGCCGGAGCTACGATATGTATTAGGTGACGCAGAGCAGAAAAGATTTGGAGATGAGCTCATAAAGTTCGTTGACCAGGTGATAGAGCACACTAGGAGAGGATTGGAGCCACGCGAACTCTTCGATGTGCTTGTCCGTCTGGGTAAAGACATCCAGAATGGGAAGTCCTGTGTTCCCTATCCAGATGAGATTTTTGAATATGTTTTAAAAGGGGTCTGTAGCGATGTTTGCTCTCGCTATGCTCTGGTGACTTGTTTATCAGTGAAAATACATTGTGGTTGCGCCGTGAAATGACATTGGCGCATTAGGATATCAATAGTGGCATGTGTGCAAGTCTAAGTGCCGATATCTTGAGCTTCCAAGCGACTAAATATACTGCCAGCTTATTCCCAGAATTTCGAGATATTTAGAAGCATGGACGACGGTCCCTCGAAGCATGTATGCCTCGAAATTAAAGACTGATTTTAGCAAGCAGTGAAACGTCTAGAAAATGTCGGAGATGATAACTACCCTGCGAGGACGGATGATGGAGTTACAGATGCCGGATTAGCAACGCAACGTACTGATTAAAAGTAGAAATACTGACAAGTTCCTCCATAGGCGAACGGTAATCTCGCTTCCCTTTCGTCGAGTGGCTATCAAAGCCAGGTGGAGTAAGCACTCTTTGGCGCCTGTTACCTGGACTGTGAGGGTAGGCTTGTGTGTGTCCAACGACCAAGGCGTAGGCTGTAAGGAGAAAGACAATTTCAAAGAATGCAGTTGCTAGAAAACAGTATCGATGTGTGGTGAAAAGAGTGGAAGAGACGACGGTGAGTGAGATCTCTTATAAATGGACATAGAGGATAGGGATGCTACGTAGGTGAATACAAAGGGAATGCGCACCGGAAAGCCCTGATAGCCCATTGACTGCAGGGGAAATGCTACACTTAGGTGAAGAAAGAACATTGTCTTATCTAGTGCAAACTGGAAGGTTTACAGTCTATCGACATCTAAGCAGCTCAAAGGGCCATTGGATTGTACGTTCAACTTCCATCTATGTCTAAAGACTACTGGTGATATTGAAAGGATAACTATGAATGGTTCTCTCAATTTTGCTGCGGCAATAGATGGTCACTACCTGGAAGCAAACCCTGGACAAACGAGTGATTCAATGTCAATATGGCCCAATTTAGACGCAAACCAGACAGCAGTCTTTCACCACAATGATCTAAGAGATCTCTCCTGGGTGGTTGAGTTGACGATGAATTATGTCAAGTGAAGGTCTGCTGGGATGCCTAGATGAGAGCCTTTGCGTCATCGTATATATACCTTACTTCCACTTCACTTTTCCCTCTTCTACTCTGCGTCCCACTTCACCTTTTCATCACCCACCTTACGTCTCTCATTCTCTACCTGAGCCAACATCTCTGTCTTTACCCGTTCAACACCCACAAACTTGATCATATTCCTTCACTACCATCACTCCCAGCCAACCCACGCTGCACCCATCCTTGCCTCACCCAGTTGTTGGTGTGTTCACAATGGTCTGGAATTTCGATCTGGAAGGAAAGATCTGCAGGATTGATAAAAGAACGCTCGTGATCGAAGAGCAACTCACCGAGGTCTTCAACGAATTGCAAGCGCAGCGCCACTGTCTCACTTTGGCACGCGACCAGGACACCGATGAGCCATTCCTTCTCAAGGTCCGCTACGAGTAAGTGTTCCTATAGCTCGCCAACAACTTGAGTGAGTGAGTACTGACTATGTGCTTAGCTTACACCCAAAGGACTTTGACCATATAACAGACCTCAAGGAACACCGGGAAATTATCACAGACCAATATCTGGGCGAAGCAGATCTGGTGAGAACCGTCCATGCAATCGGCCATGGCCCTGAGTTTATTGCGAACGCTACACGTACCCAGCGAGAGGGCTTTCCCTATCCGTCACTCAAAAAGCAACTTATTCTGATGAAGCGCGTCCCGGGCGAGTTCCTGGACGAAATCTGGATGGACCTGTCGGAGTCTCAGCTCAACAGTATCAAGACACAAATTGCACGCATAGTTGAGTGAGTAGCTTTTCTCCTGCGTCGTCATTTACCACCGCTGACTTAATGGGAAAACAGGCATATGCGAGTGAATGGGAAGGCTTTGACGGAACACCACCCTGCTTTCCTTCAGTACGACGCAGCAGCCGATAAAGTGTAAGCATAAGAAATCGTCTTGTGAATTTCAACTGCGAGGATGTTAATACTTCCTACCTAGGTACCTGGTCGATTTCACTTTCTGGATTGATATTGACCCTGACAATATTCCTCCTATCGACGAGGAAAGCATTGAAGTGTTGGCCTTCAATATCTGGCAAGACCACCTACACGAGAACCCAGTCCTCTGAGGAACAGAGCCGCATCCCGCTCCTGCCATCGCTTCTTCTAGGAAAGAAAAGCCCGTGGAAAGCGAGGAGCAGACCGCTTCTGCCTCCTCTCCAGATAAAGACAAGAAGAGGCAAGTAAAGGCTTCCGCCGTGCCTCCAAGAGCCGGTCCAGACAACAACAGACCGGGCGGAGAAGCTTCTGCGCCCAGAAAGGGAAAGGGGAAGGAAAGTGGCGGTCGTCCCCCGTGGCGACATTGATTTAGAGAGAGATAGGCAATGTATGGCTCCTCGTGCTTGTTTGTTTACTGTGACTTTCCGTCTTTTTCTCCCAACAATGTATCGAAATTGTCCATTTTTCGCATGTTTTAGATTTCGGGAGCCCAGGCAGTAGAATAGATCAGGAATGCCCGCGGTTCTCTACTACAGCTATGAGAAGTGATATTACTAACTTAAAGAGACTTGACTGCTATATTGTGGTTGAAGTAGGGAGCACAGATAGTGGAGTCCTGCTTCATTGTAAAGCGCCTGCATTGGTACTCACCTCTTTGGCAGCATGTGGGGTCCAACAGATTAGGAGAATCTCTATTGATTGATATATTCCTTGAAGTTTATCAGACATAGGTATCATATACATTCCTCAGGCGTGTTCTAACAAATGCCGAACAATATACACATTTGTCCAGCCGTTACTCCCGAATGAACAGCGATGCCACACCCATACCAGTACTACTGACCGTCAGCTTGAACTCAACAAGAAACGGTAGATACTCACCTAGCACACATGCTGACAAGGCCCATCTCCTTGTCCTGGTTCTTCAACTGAGCAAGCAAAGTCGCCACTTGGCGCGTACCGGTAGCGCCGACGGGGTGACCCAGCGCAATGGCGCCTCCGTTGGGGTTGACTTTCTCCAGATCCAAACCCAGCTCGCGCACGCAATGAATGGTCTGGCTCGCAAACGCCTCATTCAGCTCAAACACGTCGACGTCGTTCTTCTCAATCCCTAGATACTTGTACAGGTTCTGGATCGCAAAAACCGGGGAAATGCCCATCTCGTCCGGCTCGCAGCCCGCCACCTGCGTGCCGGCAAAACGGGCAATGGGCTTCAGGCCGCGGGCGTCGGCCCACGAGCGACGCGCGAGGATGGCGGCCGAGGCGCCGTCGGAGATTTGCGACCTACCACATTAGAACCAATCCCTGCTAATCGATCAGGACGAAAGAAAGGCTACTTACGAGTTCCCCGCCGTGCTGAACCCATTCTCCAGAACAGGCTTCAGCGCCGACAGCTTCTCAACCGTCACGCCATGCCGCACGCCCTCGTCCCGCTCAACCATCTCCCAGGTCCCCTCCTTGGTCTCGGGGTTAACCCGACGCGCCGAGACGGGGACAATCTCATCGGCAAACCCCCCGGTCTTCTGCGCACGGCTCGCGCGCCGCTGGCTCTCGGCCGAGTACTCATCCTGCTCGCGACGACTCACGCCGTACCGCGCGGCGACATTCTCCGATGTCTGCAGCATTGGCATCAGACAGTCGCGCGCGGCCTTGATGGGCGACTCCTTCAGCAGCGGCGAGACGTCGACGGGGATGCCGCGCGTGGTGTAGTTGCGCGTCATGCACTCGACGCCGCCGGCCATGCCGACGTCGATCTGCCCGACAAGGATGGAGTGGGCGATGTGCGTCAGCGCCTGCAGACTGCTGGAGCACTGGCGGTTCATGGTGTGGAAGGTGGTGGAGTTGGGGAAGCCGGCGGCGTTGAGGGCCATGCGGCCGGTTTTGGCGAAGCCCAGCTCCGCCAGGACGTTGCCGATCATGGTGTCGTTGACGTCGCCGGGTTGGATGTTGGCGCGTTGCACGGCGGATTGCATGATCTACTGTCGTTGTTAGTGCGGGGAGATGGAGCTGAAAGGATGAAAGGTACCGGCATGAGGAGCTCCTCTGGGTAGGAGTCGCGGAAGCCGCCCTTGAATGCGCGGGCGATGGGGCTCCGCACGGCGGAGAGGATGACTACATCGTTGGGGGATTTGGTGAGGACTTCTTGGGCGGAGCGTCGGAGCATGGTGCAGGAGGGATTAATGAATTGGATATAGTTAGAGAAAGACGGTAGTTGAGATGACGCAGTACTCTGGATATTTGGATGTTTGGCATTCTTAGTTAGGGCACGGTGGGGCTGGTATGTGCCCCACGTTGAGATGATCCAGTGCGGAGAACTGTCGGTCTAGAGTCGGTTAGGATGGTGGTGGTTAATTGTTAGGCGGTAGTATTAGCCTATTAAGTATAAGCAGTATTACAGTGCTGATATTGATAATAGATAATACATATATATTCGAATTGTAGCATTCGTTGAGACACTACCTAGGTACACTCTACGGTATACTATGCATTCTCCCACGGCACTGGTCGCAAGCCTAATCCGAGCAACTCCCGGCGGGTTCTCGGTGCCGATACCGTCTCCCGCATCGGAACGGGAGGTCTTTCGGAAGAGGACCCGATGTTCAGACTACGAAGTACATTACAATTGTAGTTATTATTAGTGCTATTCTGGTCATTCTCCTTACTACAGTACGTTTCATCCAGCTTCTTCTGCAATTTCCTGTCTACTATTCGAGATGTATATGTACAGTACATACATGTATGCAGTATGTGGGGTGAATGTTCCCCCGCCAGCCTGACTCAGCACGTGGGGTCGGCTTCGGAAGGCGGCAAAAGACAAAGCGGTGGACAGCCGGATAATCTCTTTGTCGGCAGTGAGGCCGGAGAGCGGCCATGCGCCAGTTGGGGATTTAAATCTAATGGCGCCCCATCCCTCCACTCGTTTCTGTTCCCCTTCTTTCGTTCCTTTCCCCAGACTCTCTTTCTCCAGTCTAGGGCCGATTCACCATGTCGCGCCCGGTCATTCCCGCCGCGGTCCCTGCGGTGTTCCGCCCGCTCTGGCGGCGGAACTTCTCCGCGTCTACCTCCAAGCGCGCCATTGATAAGATCTGCCAGTCGGCGCAGGAAGCCGTCAAGGACATGAAGGGCTCGTCCACCGTGCTCGTCGGCGGCTTCGGCTTCTCCGGTGTGCCCAACACCCTCATCAATGCCATCCGCGATCGCCCCGATGTCACCGACCTGACCGTCGTCTCCAACAACGCTGGTATGCCCGGTAAGGGTCTCGGCCAGCTGCTCGAATCCGGCCAGATCAAGAAGATGATCGCCTCGTTCATCGGGGAAAACAAAGTGTTTGAAAAAATGTACCTCAATGGTGACCTCTCTCTGGAATTGACTCCCCAGGGTACTATCGCGGAGAAGTGTGCCGCGGGTGCCGCTGGTGTCCCGGCCTTCTACACCCCTGCTGCTTATGGAACGATCGTGCAAACTGGTGAACTCCCCGTGCGCTACAACAAGGACGGCTCCGTCGCGGAGACGTCCAAGCCCAAGGAGACCCGCGAATTCAACGGCAAGAACTACATCCTGGAGGAATCGATCTTCGGCGACTACGCGCTGATCAAGGTGCACAAGGCCGACAAGCTAGGCAACTGCCAGTTCCGCAAGGCCATGAACAACTTCAACGAAGCCATGGCCAAGAACGCCAAGTACACCATCGTCGAGGCGGACCACATCGTCGAAGTCGGCGAGCTCGGCCCCGAGGAGATCCACCTGCAGTCCATCTACGTCAACAAGGTCATCCAGAGCTCCGGCGAGAAGCAGATCGAGAAGCTCGTCTTCGCCAAGGACCCCTCCGAGATGCTCCAGGCCGGCGACGGCGCGGCCACCGCCCGCCGCGAGCGCATCGTCAAGCGCGCCGCCAAGGAGTTCCGCGATGGCATGTACGTCAACCTGGGTATCGGTATGCCCCTGATTGCTCCGTCTTACCTCCCCGAGGGCGTCGAGGTCGTCCTCCAGGCTGAGAACGGTATCCTCGGTCTGGGTGGCTACCCCAAGCCCGGCGAGGAGGACCCCGATCTCATCAACCCCGGCAAGGAGACCGTCACCCTGTCCAAGGGTGCCTCCGTCTTCGGTTCCCACGAGTCTTTCGGTATGATTCGCTCTGGTCGCATTGATCTCACTATGCTCGGTGCTCTGCAGGTCAGCCAATACGGAGGTATGTCCGCTTCCCCTTCTACTTCTCCACGACCACGCTAATAAATAATACTGTCAGACCTCGCCAACTTCATGCTCCCCGGTAAGGTCAAGGGCGTCGGCGGCGCCATGGACCTGGTCGCCAACCCCGAGAAGACCAAGGTCGTCGTGACCATGGAGCACGTCGACAAGAAGGGCAACCCCAAGATCCTGCCGGAGTGCAGCTTCCCCCTGACCGGCCCCCGCTGCGTCTGGAAGATCATCACCGATCTGGCCGTCTTCGAGGTCAGCCCCACGGAGGGTCTGACCCTGGTTGAGCACGCCGAGGGCGTCTCTGTCGAGGAGATCCGCAGCAAGACTGCTGCTCCTTTCAAGGTTGCTGATGACCTTAAGCCTATGCTGTAATTAGATATCCGATAGATTGTATTGTATTTTGCACCTTACCTGGGTACCTAGTAGATCATTTTGATACTATAATATCTCCACCATGTGGGGTCTCCCACCGCATCCGTGGGGCTCATACAAACACGCCCTGCGCCGTTCATAGAAAAAAGCCCATCGATACGCAAATCGATCCAATTGCACTTAATCCTCGCACACCAGAATGAACCGGCTTCCTGTCCGTCTGACGGCCCGGCTGGGGGGATCCCCGCCTCCCCGCCATGCCATCGGGTCTATCCGCCGCGCCCATACAGCCGCAAAGAAACTACCCTTGAGTGGGGTGAAAGTGCTCGATATGAGTCGCGTACTGGCAGGAGTATGCCATCACTGAACAATTGAGCATGCACACAGTCACTAACATGTCATAGCCGTATTGTACACAGATCCTCGGTGATCTAGGGTAACACCACCCCTCCATACACGGAACAAAGCTCACCACCCCAGCGCGGAGATCATCAAAATCGAACACCCCGTCCGCGGCGACGACACGCGCGCCTGGGGACCCCCCTATGCAGCGTACCAAGACGGCCGCTCCGGCAACGGCGAGAGCGCCTACTACCTCTCCGTAGCCCCCTCGCCCTCCCTCTCCTCCCCCGAAGCACCAACTAACCAAGACCGCAGGTAAACCGCAACAAACGCTCGCTCGCGCTCTCCTTCGCGCACAAAGAAGGCGTCGAGATCCTGCACGCGCTGGCCCGCACCAGCGACGTCGTGGTAGAAAACTACCTCCCGGGCGCACTCTCCAAATACGCCCTCGACTACGCCACGCTCAGCCGGCTCAACCCGCGCCTCATCTACGCCAGCATCACGGGCTACGGCCAGACGGGCCCGTACAGCAACCGGCCGGGCTTCGACGTCATGGTGGAGGCGGAGTTCGGGCTGGCGCATCTGACGGGGTCGCGCGACGGGCCGCCGGTCAAGGTTGGGGTTGCGGTGACGGATCTAACGACGGGGCTATATGCGTGCAACTCGATTATGGCGGCGTTGCTGGCGCGCAGTGTCACGGGCGAGGGACAGCATCTTGATGTGTGTTTGAGTGACTGTCAGGTGGCGACGCTGGCGAATATGGGGAGCTCGGTGTTGATTAGTGGGGAGAGGGATTCGGGGAGGTGGGGAACTGCGCATCGTATGTTTGCATGGTTTCTGTTGTGCTTGGGTGAGGGTGGGATGCTGACTGCAGGTGGACAGCTTCGGTGGTGCCGTATCAGAGCTTCAAGACGGCTGACGGGGATATCTTTGTTGGTGGCGCGAACGACCGGCTGTTTGGGATACTGTGTGAGCGGCTCGGTAGGCCGGAGTGGAAGGCTGACCCGCGGTTCGAGAGCAACAATGAGCGCGTGCGCAATCGGGCTGCGCTGGAGGGGTTGATTGAGGGTGTCACGGCGCAACGCACGACGAGGGAATGGCAGGAGCGGTTTGAGGGGAGTGGGCTGCCGTTTGCTGTGGTGAATGATGTGCAGGATACGATGAACCATGAGCACGGTAGGTGATGTGTTGCTCTGAGGATGAAAGGGTTGCTGATTTGTACAGTTCGGGCGCGCGGCATGGTGCAGACGATCGATCATCCGTCCTGCGGGCCGATCAAGGTCATCAGTCCGCCGGTCAAGTATTCCAAGGCGGACCCGAGCATCAGACGGCCGCCGCCGCTGCTGGGTCAGCATACGGATGAGATCCTTCGGGACGTGGTTGGGCTGAGTGAGGCGCGGATCCAAGAGTTGAGGGACAAGGGGGTGGTTGCATAGATCTAGCATTGGAGTCTCTTTCACTATGTATTTCTAGTGATAGACAGTTGAAGGCATTGTAATTGTATTCTAGATTGGAAGACCTTCCTAGTTACAGATCGGAGGACTCCTTGTTATAATACTGCGTCATGTCGTGTCTCAACACGTCGAGGCCCTGAAGAAAGTCAGTCGATGTATGCGCATCACGTCTGAGATACTCACAAGCGCAATTTCCCGAGCCAGGTCCTGATCAGTCTCGGCTTGGATGCACATCTTGAAGAACTCGTCATTCTCGCGTGCTTTGTCGGGATCCTGTCCGTACAGTCTTCGGAAGTTCTCCCGCGACATGGGATCGATAGTCTCCGCCCAGATCTTGCGCCGCACCTCACTGTACTTATCCAAGATGCTATCGTCCGCTAGTCCCTTGTGGATGCCCATCAGGGCGTCGAAGAGACTGCCAACGTCAGCAATACCACCGGTCAAACCAAGGCCGCCACTACTTCCCGTTAGCAAAGAACGTAAATCCGTAGACGACAGACTCACAAAGGATTGCACAGATGCGCGGCATCTGCTGCGAGAACCACCCTTCCCACGCGGAAGCTCGGCGCACACCGCTGCTGCAGTTTATACGGGCTGATGTTGGTGACGCGATACTCGCCCGGCTTGGGGTTGCCGGGGAGGATCTTTTCATACTTCATCGGCTGTCGTCGGATGTACTCCTCGCGGCTCAGACCCGGCGTGTCAATGTAGGTCACCCGGTAAAGGCCGTCGTTCGTAATGCGGGCCGCCATGTACAGGTCGGTCGGGTGCACGATGAAGTTGCTGTCCCAGTAGCCGTATTTCTCAAAGTCATAATACGCCTAGCCTGGTCAGCGATTGGACTCCATTACTAAACGGCCAACATACGTTCGTCGCGACGATCTGCGCATCCAAGGTCTCTCCGGGATATTCAGGACCAAACAACTCCCGTCGGACGGTACTGCTGGCACCATCGCAGCCCAGAACGTAGTCGGCCTCGTGCCGCTGCATGCCTGTCGCCGTCTCAACCTCCACCCAGGCCTTCTCTTCATCTTGTCCGACCTTCACAACCTTGTGTCCCCATTTCAGCTGGCAGGTAGGCTGACGCTCGATGTGCTTGCAGAGCAGCTCGCCCAATTGGTCCAAGGGGAGGACGACCATGCGGTGCCGATAGTCCGCCGGAAAGACCTCATGCGACATGCCGGCGATGAAAGTCGTGTCGATCTTTCGCCAGCACATGCCTTTTATGTGGAATCCCTGGGCGACGACATCGTCGAGGACTCCCGCGCGGTCGAGCTCGTAGGCGGCGGGGGATGCATAGTGCGCCGCGCGTGGTTGCCTGTTGAGTTCGGTGCCTGCGTCGAGGATTTCGACCTCAATCCCCTGCTTGCCCAGGAGGAGGGCGAGGATGAGTCCTGATGGGCCGGCGCCGACCACGATAGCCTGTCATGTCAGCAGCCTTTCTATCATCTGATTGTTGGAGAAAAGAAGACCCAAATATCCCATCTCCAATACGCACCTTCTTGATTGCCATTGTAGGTATGGATCTTACTGCGGTTGCTTAGGTGTAAACAGAAGAAACCCGGGCTTTCCTCCGACATGATTTATGCAGACTGCCATGAAGCCTAGTGCCGTGGGGCCACTCGGATATCCCCCTTCTAAGCTGCTAGCTTCATTATCCCGGCGATGGACCGTCCAGCGATTGCTGTTGGGGGTTTTGCGGGATGCGGGGCTTAAGCGGGGGCGGGGTTCATAGCCGCACAAGCGTTAGCTACCACAGGAATTGGTCCTGAAAGGTAAGCGAAGGCGCTTCACTCCAATAACTTGGGCCATCGGTCTTGGGACCGTCTGGCTGTCGGGTGTCCATGGTATGAGTCTGCGCTGCTGGAGGAGCAGCGGCGGCCAAATGATGCGATTGGCGTCTCATCTCGAGCCGAGGTGTTGGGCTGGTCACATCAGATGACGCATCGGCTGGTAAGAGCGCGCCCAAAGATGGATAAGGAGAGCTGTCGAGTTCGGTCGTCTCCAGTCCTACATCGACTTGTGATGCCCGGTGTTTTGAACTTCTGGATTCGAATGTTCCGGTCGAAGGGGCAGCCATTCTGCTTTCTAGGACAGCCCCCTTGCTAGTAGAGCAATATTGCTCGTTTTTCAGACAGTCATACTGCCAATCGCGCACATTCTGGACTGTATCAAGGGGAAACTTCTTCCAGTACTCGGTTCCCCGCTTAGCTGGTCGGGCGAATAGCCCAGACAATGGCTCCCTGCTGTTGCCATCCTCGGTCGATGGGTTTCGCACCAAAGATGTAGATAACTGGTCATCTGAAACTTGGGGGAGAAGTTGAAGCAGCAAATTCTCAGTATCTCGCAATCGTAGCTCCAACGCCTCAATGTACCCCTTTTCAGGGCCTCTACTTTCTGTAAGCTCATGGTTATCTGGCTGGTCATGGGACTTGCCGTTTAAGTTGTTCAGGCCAGTTGCATTGGCGACTGTGATGGATACATTGAGTACATATTGGTCTTGAGTATCGTTAAATCCATTCGACTTCTGCGTGCATACAGATGGTCTCACCTGTTCCCGCTGCACTGGCGAACGTCAGTTGATTCGGGTCGAGGGGAAGTTCAGCCCACCTTCTGCTTCCTGTAACGACAGGAATTACACGCAATTGTAATACGCGACGCTTTGGTGCCTTTCTTTGCAGCTGCCATGATGCAGACCTGCAGAGCTCGGGGTTGATGTGATGAGTGATATGAATGATGCTTGGGGTATCCAGATGGCCTCCGATAACGATAAGGGCTAGGGTTGTCGGGTGAAGGTTCTACCGAGTGCCTTCAACATCGCGCGTAGTAGTTTATCGAATACACCATACCAAGTTGATTCACGTTTGCCAATAATATTATCTAGGTAGAGCTATTGTACTTTGTAATGAGACAGCGGAGCCACGACTCCCTGCATTCCTTTGGCTGTATATCCAGGAGCTCTTCGCTAGAGGCCTGAACCTCTAAAAATTCATGTCCATCACACAACCGAATTTGAAGCCTCTCCTGGTAGTAGCGGTCCACACACGGGCCACAGAGATCGATATCGGGACAGGTTTGACACACAAATCGTCCTTCGGAGACAGCTGGTTTCTCCCCACAGAGATCGCATACGGCCCAGGCACCGTCTGGGAAGCTAGGATCGGCGTTCGCATCGTATAGAAATGCCATGCGGGCCGCGGCGACATCTTTCATGTACTGCAGGCACTTCCCCAGCCGGTACGAGGCCGACTTTCCCTCCGTTAGGGCTCGGGTGGCAAGCGTGGTGATTCCCTTCTTTAGGGCTGACGTCCGTTTCTCCTCGTCGAGTGAAGGGGCCGATGGAAGCGCATCTCCTATCAGCTTCTCCAGCGTAGGGAGATGTCGAGCGGCCCAGTCCACGGAGGATCGGCCGAACCAGTCTAGTTGCAACGGATCAGCCCCTATGGACAACAGGAACTCGACGAGGTTGGTCTGTCCCGCCGCCGCCGCCGCGTGCAGGGCGGATGACCCATCATAGCACTGTGTTACATCCACGCCTCGTTCCACTATCAGCTCAATAATGCCTCGGTGACCTTCGGTCGCGGCCTTGGACAAAATGGTGCCTCCGCACCAGCAGGGGCTAAGCAAATCCACTTTCTGGACTTCGGCCGCGTCCAGGAGAACCCGAAATGCATCGGTATTTCCATGGACGGCGGCATAGTGCAGGGCCGTATGGCCTCCGTTACGATGGATGGCGTCTACTCTGGCGCCAGCATCCACGAGCAGTTGTACGAGCTCAGTCTGTCCAGCAATGGCAGCGTAATGTAGCGCCGTTCGTCCATCCTCCGGCGAGACGGACAAGTCTGCCCCCATCTCCAGAAGCAGGCGGGCAAATGCAGTACGTCCTTGAAGTGCCGCCAAATGAAGGGCCGTGTTTCCCGACGCACTTAAAGCATTGATCGCAGCGCCTGCGCGACATAGCGAGGGGACAACATCTGGATTGGCTCCCTCCACGGCCGCATGCAGGACGGTTCGGTCATCCGGCCCCAGCACGTCCACTGCAGCTCCGTGGGCGAGCAGTAACTCCACGATCTCGATCGTCCCACAGTACGCGGCCAGAGCGAGGGCGTTATGGCCGCTCGCTTCGGTCAGGGTCACATCCGCTCCTGCCTCGAGCAGCAACTGAATGACCGCGGGTTGTCGATAGATCACTGCATTTAGTAAGACCGTGTTTTCGGCGTCCCCACGTATGTCCACTGGGACACCCTGGTCCAGTAGGAATTTCACGACCTCCACGCTGCCCCCGGCGGCTGCGTGGTGGATAGCCGCATCGCCCTGCTCATCAACGGCGGCGATATCGGCGCCGTGCTGGAGCAGGAGCAGGACCGCATCCATGTGTCCGTGCGACGCCGCTATATGCAACGGGAGCAGGTTCCCTCGGCGAAGGAGATGCGCGTCGGCACCGAATTCCAGCGCGAGCATAACCATTTCGCATCTTCCCAGGTACAAGGCCAAACGTAGTTTGGCGTTAATAGCCTCGTGAATCATTGGGAAGGCCGGGTGGTCCCGGGCGATGCTGGCGCCGGCCTCGAGAAGAATGCGAGCCACCGATTCATGGCCGTGCGACACCGCAGCTTCAAAGGCACATCCCCATTCCCAGTCCTCCTCCGATGGGGCGGCCACATCCCCCGCGCCGGATGCGAGAAGTCGGCGAAGGACCTGTCCCTGGTCATGAGCCGCCGCCCATTCCAGGGGCGTGCGGCCATCGCTATCGGGTAGGGAGACGGGCACGCCGGCTTCCAGCAGGACCGCGACAATTTGCTCCTGCCCTGCCGCCGCGGCATCATGTATGGCAGCTCGGCCATCGATGAGTCTTGCGGGATCAGGGTCTCGCTCCACGAGCTTCTGAACGCAGGAGACTTGGCCCTGCCTAGCTGCCCAGATCAGGGGCGTGTCGCCATCGTTTCTGATCAACGCGGGCGCCCGATCATACAGCGTCTGCGAGAGGAGCTCGTGAAAACGATGGGCCGTCTGGATGAGAGCGTTGAGGTCGGAGACGCTGAGATGTGACGCCACCCCCAGGATGATTTCGCCGGGATGATAGGCAAACGACGGGGTGATAGGCGATTCCATGGCAGTATAGCCTCTGCAGAAGCTGGAGAGATGCCACGTCCACCGTCCGAGGAAGAACACGGGACATGGGAGTGGGTAGGTGCGGATACGAGCTGACGGGGGTCAGGTGTGGTGGATCGCATCCTGCCATTTGCTCGCCAGCCAAACATAGAATAATGATCGACGTATCGTCCTGACTGGGCAGTAAATATTTCGTGATAGACTGCTTGAAGTGCTAGGTGACATCGCATGGATCTCCCTTTTCACCATTATGCCTCGCGCAAGCCGATACTAGTTAACGTCCCACGCGTTTTGGACGCGACCGAAAATCATTCCCCATACCATACCTCGAAAAGCAACAACGTAATTGAGAGAAGGTGCGGGAGTGATTTAGCTGTAATGCCAGCTATCTAAAACCAAGAATATAGTCAATCCGTGAAGCTGCGCGCGGCGATGATGCCAGTCATCACGGGGAAGATCGAGCCTCCTACCGAGGTAAATACGTAAACGCGTTGGAAGGTGTAATATACTATGAAATTTTCTCTAAATACTATAATGACCTTTGCATTTGCATGTAGACACAGGGAAACCTAGACATCTAGGGGGAAACCTGTGTCAAGGTCTATATATGACTTGAGCCGACGAACAGAATGTGTTGCGAATCCATCCTATGCTAAAACGGTCGGCCCTCGATCAGTGACTACTTTTGGTAAATGGCGGCTATCTATTTCTCCATCATCTAAACCGACAGCATTCGGTCAGCCTCAGCTCAGTACGACTAGGTGTGCAGACTTACAATCTCGCAGAAGTCCGGACCTCCCCGCTGGGACTGAATGCATTGACCATCGCAGGTTGTCGCAACATCAAGCAAGTCCTCTCGCTCACAGTAGAACAGCGTGCGACTCAGCTGGGTCATGTTGAAAGCGTCGCCATCCGCCGTGATATCGTGGAGCTCATTCACGGTCCATCCTGTTCAAGTCAGCAATTGGACAGCATAGACACGCAGGTGAGGATGGAGAAGGTACATGCCCATCGTAGACAGAGTTGTGCCACAGTATTCAACGCCAGGAGTGCAGTATCCGGCAGCGAGAGCTGCAGGGATAGCAGCCAGCAGGGTAAGGAGGGAGAAAGCGGCCTTCATCGTGAATAGTTTGAGTTTGAGGGTGATCGTAGATGTTCTGATCTATTGGTCAGGATATATTGATAATGAAGCCTGGTGGAGGGGTCTGGAGGACCTTTATATATGTTCAAAGACATCCATGTAGTGTCTGGTCTGTTGCAGACAACGTCTAGACTTCTGCAGGGTAATTGTTATTTGCTGAGCTAGGCTTTGCTTGATGGAATGACATTTGACAAGCTCATGAATTTCCTGCTTGCGAGTCTGGCTATGATGACTGGTGTAACAGTACGGAGTATCAAATCTACAAGATTGCTGTTTGATCAAGTTTGTTCACATCTTCCGATACTGTTTGCTATCCAATCCACTTGAGAAGGTAGCTATAAGAAAAACATCTGAGTACTTGAGAGTAATGTATAGGCAGTACGAAACAAGCTGTAGAACTTGTATAGCTCCGAGAATGAGACCGGCTAAGCGTACTAACTCCGACGGTTACACTACGCTTTTTCCTGCATCGGATGCATTTCATTCAGGACTATACAGCAGTGTGGAGGTATCAGGTACTACCATTGATACCAATCTCTATTTCTAAGGCTTATAGTGATCGGTAATTCACGGAGAATCCAATGTTAATTGTCGGATACTTCCTACGTTTGGCCTCCCTAGCCCTGAAACTTGATTCTATCTGCGATATTCCGAATTGTATAACGTCAATGCCCAAGCAGTCTGTTCCCAGTGAGGATACCACATTTGAAATAGCATTGTCCCACAGACAAACAAGATCGATCTTATAGCACTCCAACGGCTGATAAAAAGCCGAAGTCCGGCAGATGGGGAGATTCTAGATTGCTGTATTAATATGATTCTGTTCGTCATACAGGAGTGCTTGTATGGTCACACTCCAATGCCGAACTGAAGTCCGCTCTATACAGGCGGCTTGCCGACGGTAGTGGATCTAGAGCTGTTCCAAACATATGCCTCATACTCTAGCTTCAAGCACCAAGTAGGAATCTCATGGAATCAAAAATTCTCACTCCAGTATGAGTAACCCCCAGCCTAGATAAGTCGCGTCTCTTGCAAATCTCCTCGCGTTGAGGGAACGGGTGAACATTCAGGCGATAGCCCCGAACCATTCCAAACGTCCGCGGAGTCGAACTAGCTATAAAGACAGATTGTTATGACCGCCTTAGTTCAATTCCTACTCCCTCCCTATTCTACATCTGTTTGGTTACACTGTAGCAAATAAAATGGGATCGACAACTCCCACCTACCGCATCGCGTCAATTCCCGGCGACGGCATCGGCCCCGAAGTCGTGAGCGCCGCCATCCAAGTAATCGAACAACTTTCTGCAACTCTGGGTACCTTCAATATTAAATTCACGCATATTCCGTGGGGTACTCAGTACTACAAAGAAACTGGACGGTACGCGCCGGCGGACTGTTTAGACACGCTCCGGAAGTTCGATGCTGGCCTGTTTGGCGCCGTGGGTGCCCCGGGTATGTCCTATGCAGAAGGCTCGTCCATACATTCGGAACTTTCATAATTTCTAATGCCGCTACAGATGTCCCAGATCACATCTCCCTCTGGGGACTCTTATTGGCCATTCGTGGTCCGCTCCAACTGTACGCCAATGTGCGTCCGGTGCGCACGTTCCCCGGGACAAAGTGCCCCCTGAACACAGCCACCGGCGGCATCGACTGGATGCTGGTCAGGGAAAACTCAGAGGGCGAATACTCCGGCCAGGGCGGACGCAGTCACGTCGGGCAGCCGTGGGAGTCGGCGACAGAGGTGGCGATGTTCACCCGCGTTGGCGTCGAGCGGATCATGCGATTCGCTTTTGAGACGGCACGGTCCAGACCCCGGCGACAATTAACGGTCGTCACGAAGAGCAATTCCATGCGCAACGGTATGGTTCTGTGGGACGAGGTGGCGGCTCAGGTCGCCCTGGATTTCCCTGATGTCAAGTGGGACAAGATGCTGGTGGATGCGATGACGGTCCGCATGGTATCGAACCCGCAGTCTCTGGATACCATCGTTGGGACTAATCTGCACATGGACATCTTGTCGGATCTGGCGGCGGCGTTGGCGGGTTCTATTGGAGTTGCGCCGTCCAGCAACTTGGACCCGACGCGGAAAAATCCTTCTCTATTTGAGCCGGTGCATGGTAGTGCTTTTGATATCACTGGAAAGGGAATTGCTAATCCTGTTGCAACGTTTTGGTCCGCTGCAGAGATGCTATCGTGGTTGGGAGAGAAGGAAGCTGCTAAGCAGCTCATGGGCTGCGTAGAGAGGGTCTGCGCTGCTGGTATCTTGACACCAGACTTGGGAGGAACCTCGAATACTCAAGGGGTAGTGGATGCTGTTTGTAAGGAGATTCGGGGCTTGTCAGTGCATAGTACTTAGGGACTATATGATCTTGATGTCTGATGTCTAGATTCAGAGTATCTCAAAGTCTTTTGTCGCGTCGCTTTGCCCATCTAGCTCACTGCGTTTGATGATCCCATTTGCAATTGGCATGAGTAATTCAACGTCATACTTGATAGAAAGAAAAAGAAAGCATTCTATACTTCGTACTCTTTTGGACACAAGAAGCCCTAAGATGGAGGACGCTGACTCATCCGGTTATTCTTCTTCACCACTTAACTCGTCTACTTTGTAATGTCTCCTCTCACAACCATCCACCAAATCCAACACCGTTCGTGTCCCTGGAATCCTTAAACACCTGTGGTTGTCCGGACACCATGCAAACATCATGGAGTCGTCTGATCTCACAGCAGGACCGGGCGAAATTGGCTCTCTCAGGACACATTCCAACGAAGAGAGTCAGTTTGTCGGCAGCTCCAGCGGGGTCTACTTCATCAACACTGTCCGACAGGCGTTCCTGAGAGACCAGGACAATTCCTCGTCCGGACAGGACTTTCCGCCGCCAGAGGATACTCTCGTGGGTAGTGACGGGGATAAACGCTCGATACCCGCTTCCTCTGCTCAGGCGTCGCCTCTACCAGGAGGCGAAAAGACCTTTGCACGATGGGAATATGACCCATCTGTAGCAGCAGTCTTGGGGTCTGCACCTCCTCTAGAGGCAGCGCGTGAGCTCATGATGCTCTATTTCAAAGTCTGGCATCCGTTGTTTCCATTTCTCCATGGACCAACCTTCTTGCAGGCCATGGAGCAGCTCTACTCTGGCTCTCGTCAGACCCATGCGCCGTCGTCCTCCACAGACCACCGCAATGCCTGCTGGACTACCATCTTCCAATGCGTGTTCAACCTCGCAAGTCGTCTTCACCCAGAGACATGTCTTCCCCCAGAGTCTCGCATCGAGTCTCCCAGCAGGATGCACGCCTTGCTCGGCACCCTCACCTACCGGAGTGACCTCCCCTCGTTGCAGGCACTTCTCGCCTCCCAGCTGTATCTGGTTGCGACGATGTCGCTGCGTCCGGCATCCACTGTGGGCGGGTGCATGCTCCGGTCCATGCTGCACGCCGGGCTCCATCGCTGTCCCTTCCGCTATAAGGAGCTCTCCACGCACGACCGCCAGCTTCGCAAGCGCATCTTCTGGTCTGCTTACGCCCTCGACCGATACCTGAGCCAAGCACTCGGTCTGCCTCTGGGCATCCAGGACTCCGACATCGACGTTTGTCTACCAGGAGGCTATGAAGCGCACATCCCTGGCTCCTACCAGACCTACCCGCCACACATCAGCTGGTCTCTGTCCGGCAATATCACCATCAACTCACCAACATCCCCCAGTCCAGCCCCTCAACCCACCACCCACCGCGCATCCCACCCGGAACACGACATCGACAAACGGCAGCTCGCCTTCTCGAGCTACGTCGAATCCGGCACGCTAACCGGCCGCGCGCTCGAACTCTTCCACAAATCCATCTTCGTCCGCTCCGTCCGCCGCAGCTCCGTCCTCGTCCTCATCACCGACATCCACAAATGGTGGAATGGGCTCTCTACCGACCTCCAGGGCCTCCCTCCTACCACCACTCAGCCACCAGAATCTGCCTCCGCAACTACGCCCTTCCACTTCGGCCCCTTCTTCACCGTCCTCTACCAGCACCTCATCCTCCTCGTCAACCGCCCCTCGCTCTCGCTCCCGCCGTCATCCCCGGAGTTCGGCTCCGCCCTGCAGACCTGCATCGGCGCCGCAAGGGAGATCCTCACCGCGCTAACGGCCCAGCTCGACAGCGGTCAAGCCCTGTTCTGGCCGGGCTTCCTGTCTGCCGCCTGGATGGCCGGCCTGGTCCTTGCGTTTGCCTGCCAGTTGGGACAGTATGTTCTCGACAAGGGGTATCAGTGCGTCCTCCCCCTGCCCTATGCCCTGCCGCTTTATGCGCTAGCATCCTCCGGAGGCAGAGGAAGGTTTGTCCCATGCAATGCGAAAGGCTAATCCGACCGCTTGCTCGACAGCGAAATCACCAGGTGTCTGTCTATTCTGCGTGTCATGTCCGCCCAGTGGGACACCGCCAAACACTGTCTCTCCGCGCTGTCGCTCCTCGCTCACCGCATCCACCAGGGCCCTCTCGTGCTCAAGGCATACTCTTCCTCCGACCCCGTCGACCAGGACAGCGCCGGCGCCAGCGGCAGATCCAAGAAACGGCGTCTCAACGAGGCTTCTCCTCGTCCTGACGGGGTCAACTACCCGTCTACTCCCACGCCCCCTACGGCTACCTCAGACCATAGTGCCGAGCAAACCTCCGCAACGCAGGAAAATACAGCACCACCGCCCAGCCAGACGCTCCTCGACGCGCCCGATAGTAGATTCTTCTCCCTACCCGACGAATCCGCCACGACGGCCATGATGGATCTCGACCTCGACATGGTCGATCTGCTGCAGGGGGGCAACTTCGACAATCTCCTCGACATGTTCGGCCAACAGTACCCGAGTTTCTAACCCCCCTGTATATAACTCTCTGTATATACCCCGCTCCTTGTCTGTACATGCATTTATATTACGATGCTACGATACCAAAGCCGTGAGGAAGTCGTAAGTCTATATTACACTCGTCAGATAGTAGGCGGAGTACGAGGTGGGCAGGGAGACAAGGCGAGAAGTTGTAAAACTTCCGTCCAGTCCCCCTCTCGTGACGGCAACCTTCAAAATGATAAAAAAAATGTAGTAACACCATGGTACCCGAACAACTTTTGTCTCCGATCCCCGCCCTTGCTTCCTCGACAGCCCTCCCAATGCACACAGAACCACACCAAACGAATAAAATCTACCGACATTCCGAGCGAGAAGACAATGGATCAGGTGGAAAGATACATTTGGGAGGGGATAGGGAAGACAAACACCCTAACACCGTTTTTGCTTTGAGTCGCTTGGGACGAGATCAGAGCCAGGTAACAAGGCTAACAAGAAACTTTTTCTTTCGGAAACCGAGGGATATCAGGACCAGGAAAAGAGAAGAGAGGAAGAGAGGAAAGGGAGGGTCGGGAAGAAGAGGAAGTAAGAAGAAATCGTTAATTGGAGTAGAAGGGGGATAAGAGGTAGGTCATCAGAGCAGTAAAGGAAAAAGGAAAAAGGAAAAAGGTGAATCAAAATCTTTCATCATGGCAGACCGCATCACAAAACTCCATAGCAGATCTCCCGTGCATCAGGCATTGAAACACTCATCATCTACGACTTGTTTTCTTCCGTGGACTCCTCCGTGGCGGCCTCCTTGGGCTTGGGAGCCTCACCGGCAGCCTCACCCTCGGTACCCTTGTTCTTCATGTACTCATCATAAACGCTCAGGGCCTCATCGACCTTGGCGCGCAGGGCCTCGTCATCCTCAAGCCTGTCATTCATTAGCATACATATATCACAAGAAGAGGCACCATCCGGTGACGTTGGGGTACTCACAGGCTGAGAAGCTCAGTGTTATCCATCTCCAGAAGCATACCAGTGATCTTACCAGCCAGCTCGGGCTGCTGGGCCTGGATCTTGGGGTAGAGAGCCTCACCCAGCATCTGCTTCTGCTGAGGAGCGGGGGCGGCGGCGAGGGACTGAGCGGTAAGACCAGCAGCGGGAGCTTCCTCACCACGGCCGGCAGCGGGCTGAGCGTTCTGACCGCGACCTCCCTGGCCGGGACGCATCTGACCCTGAACAGGGACACCACCACGACCCTGTCCGTAGCCAGGACCACGCATACCCTGGCCCATGGGCATGCCAGGGACCTGACCACGGCCACCGGCACCACGTCCGAACTGCACCTGACCCATCTGGGGGTAGCCCATGCCGTTAGGAATGCCACCAGGGCCCATAGCGCCCATGGGGATACCCTGAGCGAAGTTGGGGGGAATCTGCTGGTTGGGGCCCATGCCACGTCCACCCTGCTGACCAGGGAAGGGACCGGGGTACTGGCCAGGGCGGCCACCGGGGACACCCATCATCATACCAGGCTGGGGAGCGAAAGGAAGTCCACCACGCTGACCACCAGGGATGAAACCCTGCTGGCCGGGGCCGTAGAAGACAGCGGGCTGCATGTACTATAAAAGCGTTAGTGTCGAATCCTGGACAGAGGGTAAGTGAAGGGGACATACGGGCTGCGGCATTCCAGCGGCAGCAGCGGCCTGCTGTTGTCTGATAGTGTTACGGGCCTGGATGCTAGCCTCGAGCTGGCTGCGACGAACATCCTTGCGCTGAGCCAGAGCGACGTAGAGGGGCTTGCCGTTGATCATTCTCTGGTTCATCTCAGTGACGGCCTTGGAGGCCTCGTCGGGGCTGCTGAAGCAGACGAAACCGAAGCCCTTGCTCTTGCCCAGGACCTTCTTGTCGGACTTCTTGTTTTCCTTGTCCTGGTCATCGCCGGACTCCTTGGCGGCCTCCTCGGTCTTCTCAGCGGCCTCGGGCTTCTCCTCCTTGGACTCCTCCTTCTTCTCCTTGTCCGAGTCGGGGGTCTGAGTGCGCTCGATGTTGGTGTCGCGCATGACCTTGGCGGAGGTGATGGTACCGTAAGGAGCAAACATCTCGCGGAGCTTCTCGTCATCGATGTCATCGGTCAGGTTCTTCACGTACAGGTTGACACCCTGGTACTTGGAAGCCTTCTCGAGGCGAGCGGCTTCGTACTGCTTGCGGAGCTCCTCCTCACGCTCGTGCTTCTTCTGGGCACGGCCAACGTAAAGCTTCTGGCCCTTGACTTCCTTGTCGTTCATCTCATCGACGGCGGCCTGCGCGCTGTCGTGGGTAGAGTAGTTGACGAAGCCGAAGCCACGGCTCTTGCCCTCCTGGTCACGGCTCAGGGTGGCGGAGGTGATCTCACCGAACTTCTCGAACATCTGACGGAACTCCTCCTCGGAGATCTCCTGGTCGAGGTTCTTGATGTAGACGTTGGTGAAGTTGGCCTTCATCTCCTCGAACTTGCTCTGACGGTCCTTCTTGGAGATGTGGTGGCCGACGAAGACCTTCTTGTCGTTCAACAGCATGCCGTTGACGTGCTTGATGGCATTGTTGGCGGCCTCGGCGGTCTCGTAGTGGACGAAACCGTAGCCCTTGGAGTTACCGAACTCATCCTGCGCGACCTTGCAGCTCAGAATGTTACCGAAGGCGGCAAAGGTATCGTGCAGAGCCTTGTTGTCGATGGCAGCATCGAGGTTCTTGATGAAAACGTTGCCCTGGCCAGTCTTGCGCAGGGCGGGGTCACGCTGGGACCACATGATACGGCAGGGCTTTCCCTTGATCAGGGTGTAGTTGAGGTCCTCGAGAGCACGCTCACCGTCGGCGGTGTTGTTGTAGTTGACGTAGGCATATCCGAGGGAGCGTCTGGTGACAGCGTCACGGCACACACGGATGGAAGCGACCTGACCGATGGAAGAGAAGAGCTCGTAGAGCATGGCCTCGGTCACGGAGGGGTCGAGTTCACCGACGTAGAGAGACGCCGAGTGAGGCTGGGAGGTGCTGGGAGCAGCGGTCTCGGCAGCGGTAGCCTCGGCCGCAGGGGCAGCGGGAGTGGTGCTGGTCTCAGGAGTGCCGTTGACCGGGGTCTCGGCCGCGGGGGTGGTGGAAGCCTCAGCAGACATTTTGGATTTTTGGATTTTCTGGGAAGGTGGAATTGATTCTGTGAGCGGCAGGATGGGTTAGTATACGATTCAGTGTTATCAGAAGTGGGATGGTGGAGGTCGGGAGGTAGTGGGATGTGTGCGTCGTCGCTCTTGCACGTTCGAGGTAGCGAGAACCACAAAAATCACATGAAACCACGTACGAAGATGTGTAGAACGTGAGAGGATGTCACAGAGAGAGTGAGGGAGATGTCAACAGCGGAGGGGAGAGGATGATCTCTGGTGGCCACCAGATAAGTACAGGGCTCCGATGAGATGATCACAGGTACACAACCACAATCGCGATAGACAGGACGGTGTAGATCAACACACCAGATGGAGGTCAACACAAATGACACAGGAAAAGGAAGCAGAAAGAAGCAGCGATAGAGGGAAACAGGCACACAGCGACAAAGCCGACGCGATCACGAGAGGCAAAAGAGGGCTCAGGGAAATCTTGCACACACCGCACAAGAAAGACGTCCGGGGGGAATGGGATTGGCTAACTCTTTTTTTCAAGATTTTCCGGGTTTTTTTGGTTTATTTCAAAGAAATAATATAAGATTTTTTTTCGATATAGGGTCGAAAAAAAAAAGGGGGGAGAAGGAGAGGGCGTAAGAAGGAAAAGGGAAGACGATGAAGAAGAGGAGGAAGAAGAAGAGGAAGAAGGAAATTGCTGGTGGATGCACCACGACGGGATTTTTGGAGGGGAAGAAAGAAAATCTTCTTTTTTTTTTTTTTTTCCTTTCTGGAAACTCAAAGGAAATTTTCACTTTTTTTTCAAACTTTTCTTTGGATGTGAATGTCCACTAATCCTATTCGGGTTAGACTCAGGCGTCGTCCCACCGCCTAGATCACGAGACTGATGAGTCAGCCTCGTGCCTGTCAACATATGTACAGACACTACAGAGTACAGAAGTGGACTCGAAAAGAACCAAAGGCTACATATCAATAGACGTTTCATTCACATCTCCTAACGCCGCAGCTATGCAATTTATGAAGTTCAATTCGCACCGATAACCGTGATTACCCTCCGCGTATGGATCAGCTCAGGTCAAACCCGGCCCCCGAATTTACTGCATACAGCAGCTTCTCCCGCAGAGTGTTGGCGTCAGTATATCGCGGCAACTTGAGCAGATTTACACATGTGCTCGTGCTTGGGAGTCGCTCCTGGTCGTCACTCGAGTCCCGGATGCTGAACCGCGGGTTGAGGTGACTAAATCCCAGTAACGGGGCACGCGGTGTCGACGTCACAAACCGCAACACCTTCTGTCGCTCCTCGTTCGTCATCTTCTCCATTACCTCCCAGAAGAGCTGGACCGTCGGGTGCTCTTTCCCGTCATCACCGATGCTGTACACTCCACCGTAGAGCGTGTTCCGTCGCAGATCTGCCACATCCACGTCCCCGGACTCCCCGCGCACCAGGGTCTGCAGCTCCGACTGGTTGAACATCGACAGCCACGACGGCTGGATGATCTGACCCAGTCCTTGCAAGAAAGCATTGGTTTGTAACGCCGGTTGGACCTGGAGACGGTACCGTGCTATGTACGAGATATACACCAGTCGGTTCTGGTTCGTCACCGGGATCTCCGACCCGTGCGGCTTCAAGTCCCGCGTCACCGTGCGACTCTCCGACTCCGCAAGGGGAATCGTGTCCGTGACCGTGAAGTTCAAAGCAAAATCTTCCACATCTCCGGGGTAATTTTTCAGTTGGAGCTGTCAAACTGTCAGATGGGTATACAAAAGGGGGATTCTCGAGTCGACTTACCAATCCCTGATACAGACCCTGGTCAAGGTCTTTCAGATCATTCAGATTAGCCCGGTATGCAGTCTCGCGCTGGGCGGACCCAGTACCCCCGGTCAACGCCCACTTCAGCAGGAAGAATGGCGCAAAGTTTACATCCACCAGGATCCCTTCGTAGAGACATTTGCCGATCACCCGTCCCAGGAACTCATATCGCCGGAGCAACTCGCGGATCCCGTCGTTCCACTCCGGACTACCCTCGGTGAACCCAAGTTGCCGCAGCAGATGTCGCTGCCGTTCCACCGCCGCGGGGTTCGGATAAAGCAGGTGTTGGTCGTTCTCCTCAAAGAGGTTGGAATCGTTCGTGGATCGGAAGGCCTCATTTGTGACGCTGGTTAAGAATTCTTTCGTCACACCGCCACCATCAATACCCGCCTCGGCTGTGTTGAATTTGTCAATAAACGTGATCTGAATCGGTTCTTTCAAGCCCTCGCCGAGCTCATAGAACTGATCAAAGGCGTCCTCAAACACGCTTTCGCGCCGGATGTTCGCATGGTGTCGACTGAGGATGTCCTGCGCCGCCGAACGCCCTTCAAGAAGACGGCCCATGGAAGCATGGGCCACGGACATCCGCCAGGCATCCGGATCAATAAAACCCTGCCTTCTTCGCATCTGGTCACGGTAGATGAATTCGCGGAATATCTGCACACGTGTCGGGAAAGGAATGAAGAACGGCATGTTTCGAAGAATCTCCAGCCGAGGTGCCACGGCCTCCAGCTGCTTTCTTCGAGCGGCTTGTTGCTGGCGTCGGCGAAGAGCCTCAATCCGGCGGGTTTGCTGGGCACGTCCGGTCCCAATCAGTCCCAGAGATGGCTCATAGTATGCGTCGTCCATGAGGGAGTCCGGATCTTCTTCGTCTTCGTCATCCTGAAGTTGATGTCTATTCTCCTCCTCCGCCACGACAGCCGGTATGAAACCTTCCATGTCAAAACGGTTGGTCATTAACCAGTGTCCCTCTGGAAGGAACTTGCGCCTCGAATCACGTTCATGGATCATCCGTAGCAGGCCCGTCACCAGGCCTTTGAAGTAATCTAACGGTATCCCAGTGACGCCCGGTAGGCCTTTCTCCTTGTTCTTCAGTTCAAGATCCTTGACACTTGTGATCGACTCGGATGGAGGGGGAAGAGAGCCGAAATAACTGCGAATTCCTCCAGTATCGTGCGTTGTAGGTTCATTTTCGTTGAGATCGGCCGAATTCCAATACAAAGTAAACGCCAGGTTCTTGAGGAAGACGGTCATGTCTTTGATATCCTTCAGCGGTAACGCACTCTCCTTGGTCCACGAGATCTGCGTGTTCGAAGAGGCGGTGAATGAGGAATCGCTTGAGAAAAACTCCTCATCGTCCATCACCTTCAAAACGAACGTGTAAAGCTCGAGGAAAAGAAGAATGATCATCCATTCCTCGTCTCTCTCAGTCTGTGACATACTCGAACCCCTGGCATCCTTGGAATCATTCGCAGGCTTCAGTAACGACAACACTTTTGTAGAGTCCTGGCTGATGGTCGCAAAAATTCTGCTGGCTCGAGACGCCTGCCAGAAATATTTAATCGCAGGAATGCGTGAGCCTGGACCACCCGTCGTCTGGTCACTAGATGTGGCAGATCCCAAATACAACCACATTCGGATGTCATCTCCCCGTCTAGGAAAGACCCTCAAAAGAGTCAACGCGTACGTAGCCAAGATTTTGGCCTCTCTGGATGCGTCTGACTGCGCATCTGCAAGCTCGCCCTGGGACAACGTGGTGGACTGGAGCTGGGATAGAAGTCCAGTAATACTCCTCTGGTTGACCAGACTGACCAGCTGCTCCTTGACGAACGGGTGCAGCGGTGTTCGCTCAACAGAATCTTCATCAGCAGCATCCTCGGACTCCAGCCGTCGCGAGATGTGGACTGCAGTGGAATTGAGCAGCTCTGAGATCACTTTCACAAACTCTGGTTCCGGTGCTTGCTGCCCAGCTTGACCACCCAGGGCATATCGGTGGAAGTAGATGAAATAAGCAAGTAGCCAGAGACGAGCCTCTACATCCTGGGAAGTCTGGTTTGGATCAAGAGCTTGCGACTGTAAAGAGCCCAACACCGACGTGAGTAGCTTATAGTTGATGTTGTTGGCCAATGTGTCCAGCGTCCCTAGATAGGACCGGAGATCCGGGACGGTTAGATAGCTCTTTGCAAACCACTCATACGCAGTAAGAGTTTCTGATGTTATCGGTCGCAGCAGAGCTAGAACGCTATGGGCGAGATGGTCTCCGGATAGATGAGACCTGTCGGCAAGGGACCCGATGTTCTTCGTGAGCGACGCCATAACGGAGTAATACACCTGTGCAAGCCGTGCCACTTGTTTCGGTATAAGTCCGGTCAAGAAGACCAGCAGCTTCAACAGAGGGACCGTGGCAAAGGCAGGCGTTGAAGGCGAGGTCGCCAACTGCAACACCCTCAGAGTCAGTCGTGCGAGCCGCCTCAACGGAGTCGTCCATTCCCCTTCGGTCGCAATCGTGGGCACTTCCTGCAGGGTCTGCTGAAAGGCACGGGAGAACCAAACGAGTCGGACGATGTCCCCGTTCTCCCGTGGCTCCATGAATTGGACTAGCAGCCGTAACTGAGATAAGCATTCCGCCGCAGTCCCATACGGAGTCAAAGAATCCAGGGTGACATCCGAGCGTTTGGCCAGCTCTTCGAACTGCGGCAGTTGCCCCGATCTCTGCTGCTCCCTAGCATCCCACTCTGTACGAAATGTCTGCCGCACTGTCCTCCGACACCGATAGCCCCGCCATGTCCGCTGGATGATCCGACTAGCATTCAGCCGTTCTCTTTCCTGTTGTCTCGCTAAGCGCTCCTGCTGCGCAATTGCCAGAGTATTCTGCGGGCCAGATCCGTGGGGGTTCTGTCGACCGGCGGGGTATGCGGCGAAAGGGTTCGTAGTGCGGCCTCCGAGATTCACCTGCCGCGGACGGCGTGAGTTGCCCGTGAAGGACTGGAACATAGCTCCGTGTGGGTGAGACTGGAATCAAAAGCTGCTGAAAAGACCTGGTCCACTGGTTGACAAGGTCATGGGGAGATCGTAAAGCACGACACCCACAACTCCATGCCGTAGCGCGAGAAAGAGCTTGGAGGTTGGTCGATTGCCGGAGGTGGGTTGGATGGTTCGATGGATGACATCGGCGGAGTACAGCCTCATGGCGTGCACTATCGCCACGCACTTATCCGTGCCGGATTGTCCAAGATATGCTGCGGACGGGCTTATTGTCACGCACCTTCCTGAACGCCACCGAAGCTTCCATCAGGGGCGATTCATAAGCAGTTCTATTAATATTCAGGTACCGTGTGAAAAATATGCAGGATAATATGACTTATTGCCTTTATCTACAGCTGTCTTGCATTTTTCATTTCCGTAGGCTTTGTAGTTCGCATGAGTTCACATGTGGGAGGAAGGGTTGGACGCTAGATAAGAGATATATCTCTCTCACAAGCCGACTTCTTTCGCGTAGTAGCTTCGTTATAAGGAAAACCTCAAATTTCGCTCGTGACGACTTCTAAATGATAGATTGTTCTACATACCCATGATGAATCCAACACTTCCGACCTCGTGGCTACGTAGGTACCTAGTCTAAATCGATACTGACACAAGACCAAAATCTTATCATGATTCATCCATTATCGGATCACTTTCTATGTCATAGAAAAACACAAGGAAAAGGCTGAGATGCAAAGACCCATATATGCGCCACAAACCAGTAAAGCATCAAGAAGGGTACCAGCCTCCAAGGCAGCGCGTATGCCTTAGAAGCCTGGTCTCCCACCCACGAACAACCCCGACCAGACACGGTCAACCGTATACTGTACATATAATACAAAGAAGCAGAGACAGAGAATATAAGACATAAACGGCGACGGTGATCAACATCCACATAGCAGTGTGATATCAGCACCATCAGAACAAGAGCGCGAATCCGCCAGCATCGGATGCATTCATGCCCGGTGAGGCGGAGCGACCTGCTCTAGAAAATCCGGTGATATGCGCGTCTCGTAGTGAATTGGCCGCATTCATGTCGTTCATTTATTGACGAGCCTCGGTCGATTCGCCTTTCTCAATCCGTTCTTGCTCAAGGACCTCCCGACCATTGTCCGAGGCCCACAGATCGAGGAAGTCCTTTCCGCCAAATGCGCGCTCAACAATCACAACGTCGCCATTATCCTTTACAATCTCCCTGGTGTATTTGCCTTTCGTCGGGGTCATGCGGTTTGTCACAAATGGTGTCAACTGTTCGTGAGTTAGCATCGAATCCACGACCGAAACGAACACCATCCAGGCGATGTCCCACTGCGCATGCACACCCACCTTGAACTGATCCAGGTTCTCCGGCACCACGTACGTGCGCACTTTCTTCCAGTCGATAATGTAGGATCCGTTCTTCGCGAAATATCCCATCGACCCGGTCCGGTTTCCCTTGTAGTAGCCGCCATTGACCTGCTTTGTCGTCAGGCGCAATCGCGCCATCATCGGTTGCGAAGGCTTGAACATGGTAAAGAGGTGCGAGGGTCGACTCTGTGAATGAATCCGAACAATTCAGTGGATTGGAACACAGGGCGAGGAGATCTGATCGGAGGAAGGATCTGAGTGCAGTCGGGGAGCGGCACTAGTGAAGCTCCGCGGGCGCCAAGACCATTTTTTTCTGCCCGCATTGCAATCAAGACCCGGCAGAAAAAAAAAGTTCGACTCCCCAAACTTCTGTTGCTGAGCAGTTTCACGGACGCTCGCAACTTCTATTACCTTGTCTATTGGGTTATTTCTTCTTGCAGTTAAGGTATTGGCAAATACCTGAATTGGGCAAAAATCAGAATGCCTCGCAAACATACCCAGTTGCGCGGTCCGAAAGACCGTCAACCGCAAAAGCAGCTTCCCAAGATAAAGCCTGGGAAGGCTCTGAACGCTTTTGCCATTGCAGAGAGCGAAATCCCTACGAGGCTCGGCGTCCGACGCTCCCGTCTAGGCGACAACGATGATTTTTCGAAGCGCAAGCGACACCCCGCCCGGGATATGGATGATGATTCCGACGGCCCCAACAACAAGCGCCGCCGTACTGGCGACGATTCCGATTACAGTGAGAACGGCGGTAGTGATGGCCAAGGCCATAAATGGAGGTTGGGGGAGGTCGATAGCGACGACGACGAGGAGTTGGACAGCGATGAGGCGTTAGGATCCAGCGACGAGGAAAGATTTGAAGGGTTCTCTTTCCGAGGAAGCTCTAAATCTAAGCCGAAGAAAAAGACGCAACCCGCCAAGAAAAGCGACCGCACCATCTCGCTCTCAGAAGATGTGGAAGAATCTGAAGAGGAAGGGTCGGAAGAAGACGAGGATGATCTCGGCGAGGATGCGGTCGATTTGCTGACTGCTTGGGACATGAACACGGCTGCAGAGGAAGAGGAGCAGGCAGAAAAGTCCGCCAAAGCAAAGAAGCAGGCGAGCGACGATGAGTCCGAAGAATACGACTCCGAGAGTGAAGAGGAAGATGACAGCGACGCCAATGAAGACGACGAACTGTCGGTGTCCGAAGACGATGCTGCCGACGAGCATGGCCTGTCTAAGCTACAGAGTTTTGTCAATTCTATGGAAACAGAGTCCACTAAGAAGTCGTCGCGGAAGACCACCGGAGGACACGAGCATACTACGCCTACGGAGTTTGGTTTGGCTTCTACAAGAAAGCTGACAGCTGCTGATCTTCTGCCATCAATCACGGATTCGCGCCTCAAGAACTCGCTCAAACACGCTGACAGCACAGTTGCTTCGACAAAGAGCTCATCCGGCATCCCGGGTAAACTCGATGCACCTCTCGCTAAACGCCAACAAGATAAGCTCGAACGCGCCGCGGCCTACGAGAAGAGCAAGGAAACCCTCAATCGCTGGCTCGACACGGTCAAAGCGAATCGTCGGGCAGAGCACCTCGTTTTCCCCCTGCCTGATCCGGACGCTCAGCAGTCCTTCCGTTTAGGCGCAGCCAAACCCCAGAACGACCTTGAGAGCACTATCCAGAGTATTCTTGTCGAGAGCGGACTTGCCGAGGAGAATGGAAAGGACGCTGAGGACCAGGTTCAAGAGTTTGAGGAGCTACAGGCGCGGAAGCTGCCTATCGAGGAGATAAGAGCTCGGAGAGCTGAGTTGCGCAAGCGACGTGATCTGATGTTCCGAGAGGAGGTGCGTGCCAAGCGAATCAAGAAGATTAAAAGCAAGTCGTACCGCCGCGTTCACCGCAGAGAGCGCGAGAAGCTTGAACAGCAAGAAAGACAGGCACTCCTTGAAGCCGGCGTGGACCTGGACGAGGATGAACGAGAGATGAATGAGCGCCGGAGAGCCGAGGCGCGAATGGGCTCCAAGCACAAGGAGAGCAAGTGGGCGAAGAGCCTGAAACAAACTGGTCGTACAGCTTGGGATGAGGAAGCTCGACTCAACACGCACGACCTGGCTCTGAAGGAAGAGGAGCTACGGAGGAGAATTGAGGGCAAGCGCGTTTCTCAGGGTGATGAGGATTACTTGGGGTCTTCCAGCTCGGAATCCGAGGACGAGAACCCGTGGGACGAGGAGGCTGCATCTGATGCTGAAAAGCGCAAACTCCGCAAAAAGCTCGATAAGCTGGAAGGCGGTGACGAAGCTGAAACAGAATATTCCGGCCCTCATGCCAAGCTCCTTTCCATGAAATTCATGCAGAATGCCGAAGCTGCTCGGAAAGCCCAGAACGATGCAGAGGTCCGGCGACTCAACAGGGAACTCCACGGAGAAGAATCCCAGTCCGAGGCGGAGTCTGAAGTTGGCCGGCGGAAATTCGGCCACGCTGAAGGTGCCAAGTCGAATAAGGACAGCAAACCCAAATCCGCTCCCCGCAACGAGTTTGAAGAGAAGCCTGGATCTGATGATGAGGGAGACGCCGATGAGGATATTGACATCGTGGTTAATCGCCCGGACAAGAAACCCGCGGAGTCCTCCGTCAGGGCCAAATCACAGGGACGCCACTCGAATGGTCTTCCCAAACCCGCGGAAGACCCTGTTGAAGAGGAAAACCCATGGCTGGTGCAGACGAACAGGACGAATCGCCGGGCTCAAGTGAATGATTCCCAGCAGACCGTTGACATCTCTGTCAATGATGCCACAACTCCAGCTCCTGCTAAGGGAGCGAAAACTCAAGCGACAAAGTCATCTACATCCTCCGAGAAACCATATCTGGACGAAGCCAATGATAGTGGTGATGACGGCGTTCCAGTTCTTCTCAAGAACCACGACCTTGTGAAGAGGGCTTTTGCCGGCGATGAGGTTGTACAAGATTTCGAGCAAGAAAAGCGAGATACCATCCGCGAGGAAGATGACCAGGTGATTGATAACACCTTGCCAGGATGGGGCAGCTGGGCCGGTGAAGGTGTCAGCAAGAAACAGCAGAAGCGACAGAAGCGTTTCCTGACCAAGGTGGAAGGTGTTAAGCCTGAGAATCGCCAAGATTCGAAGCTCTCTCGTGTTATCATCAATGAAAAGCGAGTCAAGAAGGTAGGACCCACGGCTGACGGTATATCTGTATTTTCTGCGACCTTGAAACTAACAACATCATTTCCCAAACAGAACAACAAGTACCTGGCAACTCAGCTTCCTCATCAGTTCGAGACCAAACAACAGTACGAACGGTCTCTGCGCATGCCGCTGGGCCCCGAATGGACGACGAAGGAGACCCTACAGAGCTCAACCAAGCCTCGCGTGATTGTCAAGCAAGGCATCATCAAACCCATGGAGAAGCCGATGATCTAGATGATGAAGGGGTGTAGGACAGAAGCAAGAGAAAGTGACCAATGGGTATAGGAGATGGGAGATCTCGTTGAAGGATGCGGTGCGGTGCGTATATCGGATGGCTTGCCTGACGAGTTTGATTATGATACCAAAATAGAAGATTTGATAATTGTTTCCTACCCCACATGATGCTGGTGGCTGTTCCTCGTCGTACTTTGTCTTTACTTTTTCCCCAGGTGGATGTCATCTGCAGGATGACCGTGTGGACAAGGGTCTCCCGATATTAACGCAGTCGGTGATCGGGTCATCCTTCCGTTTATACTTCGGAAGCCATCATTCACTGCCGGCAATTTGTCTAATGCATCGGATGGTCTCTAATCGTGCTGATGATCTATGCACTGTAACCTCTTCCATCTCGATCATCCAGCCTCAGCGCATCATACGCCTGGAGAGAGGTGCGTCTTCATTCGGGCGGCGACCACATGGTTCGGGGGACCATGATCTTCTACTCGCGTGTTGGTTGAATCAGAACGATGGTCTGTGACGACGACGATCCGAATGTGACTGGAATGTGGCCTTGTCGACACTAAGAATCCCTACTTTAGGGCTTGGCGACGAGGAATTGACACTGTCTCAGGAGCAGAATTCGGGAGGAATAAGCGGATGATCTGTAAACAAGAATCATATACACGGAGCAATATTAACTGTAGATTTCAGAGTGTACGCCCCGAGGAAAGAATAAAGCAAGAAGGATATCTCGTTGCCTGCGTGGTGGTGGTGGTGGTAGTTGCTCCACAGCGGGATCTCTTTCTTCTCCAACATCGCACTCTCTCCTTCTTTACTTCCCGCACCTCGGACGACAACAAAGACGACCATTGTTCCTCCACTTGACAGCACAGATCTGCAAACAGATCTACTATCCTTACGAGACGCATATCAGACGATCTTTCCATCTGAACTATATCACCCCACCAACGGTAAGTCATGAACATTCCATTCTCTACAGTGGGGACGCTACACCTCCGGACAGACGGTCTCGACGGCCTCCTGGATGGTTGCACATTCCTGAACCCCCTGTACCCTACATTGCTTGTCTTGTTTTGCATTTGTTGAAATTGTTTGTCCTCGTTGCACCAGACTAACATCCGTAGATCGACATCGCCGTCATACCGGCAGCCGATCTCGACCAAGACATCCGTGTCATCTGGCATCCCCTTCCTGCAGCAACGGAGTTGTTACGGCGGACATCGCCAGATTCTTGAGGCCGTCTTTGGAATCCTCTTAAGCTTCCACTCGGTGAGCCTTTTCCTATTTGAAAATGTGGGCAACCATGCAGTGCTTGCCTTTGTCCATTCCCATTTGTTTGTTGCCTTTGTCCCCTGGCCTCGGACATAGTTCCCCTGCAGATATTGTGACAGCGGCGCCTCGCTGGTGCTCAAATCTTTCTTTCATCTTTTGAATATACTGCTGCATCTCCTTGATTGATATCACTGCGTACACTTTGCGTGCGCTGGAGTAGCGTGGCTGCTGTTCTACCCTCCTATTGCACGTACTCAACATCCAGTCTATACTGTCCATGAGCTTGCATTCAACATATCACAATATCCTCTCTTGCAATATAGACTGCCACTTCATTTTCCCTTGAAGACCAGCCAGTTCTTGTTTACTTAGCATAACCCTTCGCTCATCGTTGAATTACTGCGCCATGGGGAAGACAAGGCCAACATGGCACGCACCAACAATGCTAACATGGCTCCTAGCCATAGAGACCGCTCTTGGAGCCCCAAGGCCACCAACATCAACTACTTCATTCAAGACCCAATACCCTCCCGCTACGGAAGCGAGAATTCTCAATCTCGCAACTCACGGCGTTAGTCAGCAGTTGTCCAGTCGGTTGTGTCCGTCCTGCTAATGGATACCCCAGGTCTATCACACAGCGCTAGAGCGCGAAGGCCATCAGGTGCAAGATCCAAAGGCCCGACCTACGCTCGGACACCAACCATTGCACAATCTGGTCGACAACCTTTTGGACGACGGCGATTCACTTATTGATGAGCTACTCGGCCTTCTCGGCCACCAGGACGAAGATAACGAGGCAACATCTTCCCCAGACCCTGAAATCAAACCAACCACGAGACATACCGTGCCTGTGACTCGTCCTGCAACCAAAACAACGGAACCCCCAAAGCCGGAACCATCTAAGGAGACGGAAGCTCCCAAACCTACGGCAACGGCCAAACCCACCAGTAGTTCTGAGAACTCAGAGGCACCACCTGACTGTTCTGAGTCAAACAGTATACCACAGACGAGTCATCCGGAGCCTACAAAACCCGCTACAACTCCAAGCCACCCCAATCAGTCTGAAGGTTGGTCGTCTCACTGTTAACTGTGTTTCTTTACTCATCGAAATACGCAGGAGGTCCAACTGCTGCCATGGCTAATCAAGATGTGTTCCTCCCGGTGGCAACTGGGCCCATTCCGCAAACCGTCACCTCGAGGGATGACCATCCAGTCCCGAAGAAAAATGTATGTCAGATACGCTTGTGACCGTCTGGACTAGCTCTGACTTCTACAGGTCCTTTCGGATAAACCCATTGAGACCAACAAATTCTATGCTGGACTCTTTTTGGGAACTCAAACGAACGCTTCGTTTACTTTCCCTTATAGCATTGCCTGGTCCAAAGGAACGGGCGATCTGCAAAGCTGGGGCATGGGAATATCGCACGTCGAGGCGGACAAAATTGCATTCGGACCCATTAACGACAATATCCCCGGCGACCCGGTGCAGTATTATGTCAACCCTATTGGAATTCAGTCCATTATTCTGTCGGCGCAGGAGTTAGGCAAGCAAACGGTGCTCAACGTCGAAAACCCGTTGCCATTTTCCGCCAATGCCGTCCTGCAGCCTCAGGAAGGGTCGAGGGAAAGGATCACCATTCCTGTTTTGCAAGGTATGGGATTTGTGACGGGCATATATTCCGGTCTTCAGCCCAACGTTGAGAGTGCGGTCGGATATAAGAAGGTTGTCACCGCCGGTTCCCCACGACCTGGAGTCTTCAAATACACTGCGTCTCTTCTTGACGGAACCACCTGGCTTATCTACTACACTCCCACTGATGGGCAGGATCCAGAACCTCGCCTCGAGTCGGCGCATCTCTTGCGTGGTCCCCTTGGATGGTCTGGCACTATCCAGGTGGCCAAGAATCCGGCTGGGGTCTCTGGAGAGAAAATGTATGACAACTCCTCGGGTGTGTATGCCGTACAGGGCGCCGTGTCCGGTGCGGTGTCGGGGCGCACTGGAACCTACCAAATTCAGTGGGCAAAGGATGGAAAGGACGCTGAGAGTACACCCCTGATGATGTTCGCTCTGCCTCATCATTTGGAGTCTTTTGACACGGCGACCCAGGGACGTGCAACCAATATCACACTTCGCACTACGACCAAGGGGACTGCAGCAGCCGTCATTGGAGAAACGTGGACCCTCGTCGAACCAGATCTTCCGATCGACATGGGTTTTGCGCCCTGGTCTGTTTCTGGAGGGAGTATCACACAGCTTTCTGCTAGAGCCCAGAAGGTCCTCACTGATGTGGCCCCAACTGAGCTTCAGCAGGATGTCGACCAGCAAACTGACCTGAACAGCATGTACTACAGCGGCAAAGCGTTCAGCAAAATCGCGACGCTTGTTTACACGGTCGATAAGCTGGGCGGCAACCCGCAGATGGCAGCCTCAACTTTCAGCGCCCTGAAGACAGCTTTTGCCAAGTTTGTCAGCAACAAACAACAGTTCCCGCTGGTGTATGACAATGTGTGGAAGGGCGTGGTCTCGTCCGCTAGCTACAATGGAGGTGATTCCGGTGCTGATTTCGGAAACACCCTGTACAACGACCACCATTTCCACTATGGGTATTTCATTCATGCCGCGGCCATCATCGGCTCTCTCGATCCCAGCTGGCTTCCGGAAAACAAGGACTGGGTGAACATGTTGATACGTGACGCCGGTAACTCCGTCTCGGACGACCCTCTGTTTCCATTCTCGCGAGGATTCGACTGGTACCACGGTCACTCATGGGCTAAAGGCTTGTTCGAGTCGTATGATGGCAAGGATGAGGAGTCCACCTCGGAAGATGCGATGTTCGCCTATGCTTTGAAGATGTGGGGAAAGACGATTGGCGATGCCAGTTTGGAAGCCAGAGGGAACTTGATGTTGGGCATTCTCCGCCGCTCCCTGCACAACTATTTCCTGATGGAGAAGGACAACAAGAACCATCCGGCGAAGTTTGTCCCCAACAAGGTCACGGGCATTGTAAGTTCTGTCTGATGCCTTAGTCGGGAAAGGGAGATGTCAGCTGACAGGGTTGCAGCTCTTTGAGAACAAGGTCGACCACACGACCTACTTCGGAGCCAATCTGGAATACGTCCACGGGTAAGACAAACCACCCTCATCACCCTTGCCCGCCGGGCAAAACACTAACATGCTGGGCAGGATTCATATGCTCCCCCTCCTGCCGTCGTCTGCTTACGTGCGGAACAAAAACTTCGTCCAGGAGGAGTGGGAGGCTATGTTCGCACCCCAGGCTGCGGATCCCGCCGAGAAGGTACAAGGAGGCTGGAAGGGCGTACTCTATGCGAACCTGGCCATCATTAACCCTGAGGCGTCGTGGGAGTTTTTCGCCCAATCGGGTTTCAACTACTCGTGGATTGACCAAGGCGCTACTCGAACGTGGTATCTTGCGTACGCTGCAGGTAAGCTCCACGTCGCCCATGACTCGTGGAGGAGGCGTTGAGCTGACGATGTCTTTAGGCCTTGGTGGAGCTCCGTCGTAAGATGGACATGCGGAGGAAGGGTGTGGGTTTCGTTTTGTGTGTTCCATATTGCTATGATAGAATGATGATGACCGTTGATGGATGAGGCTTTCTTATCATTATTTTTGTCTGTTGATATTGAAGCTGTTGAGCCTTGATGGCGATTGATGACAAGTTTTCTTTTGAGTCGATGTTTTCCTGTATTCGTCCAGGATTTCCTATAGCCCGCTCGCTGCTAATGAAACTCGGCACTGTTTCTTCCTTCACCCTGTAGATAAGGACGTGAAATAGACCCGGTGATCTCCCAACACCCATGAAACTACAGTCAGCCGGTTGCATTTTATGAACTCTGATTAACAAGAACGCGCCACAAAGAAGTGCTCCGCCAAGCAGTGATGGGACAGTTCAGTAAGATGAGGTGTTTTCGGTCGGACCAGTGGGGAATGCGGTGTGGCAGTGCTCGCCTTGGCGGGGCGACTGATCCATGGACAAGGAGCTTTGGAGTTGGACCATGTCGATAGTGCGTGGAGGATCCTGGTAGTGCATAGTTTGTTGATGGTTTCTTGCAGTCTTGGACAGTCAATTCGAGCTCTAGATATGTGTAATCCTGGGGAATTCCTGGATCTATTGAATTTATTGGAGGTAACACTGTACTGTACGCAGTAGTACATTCTGGCGCAGGAGAAGAATGTGCGCCTCGATGCATTGACAATGTGCAGACACCCGACAGTCGACTAGTCCCGAACCGGCAATGCGCGCCGGCTTGATCGGAATCCGCACAGACGAAACAAGAGGTGTTTCTCCATCACATCAACATCACATCAATTGGAGGAGACCGTACTCCGTATAGAACGCCCATCTAATCCCAATGGGGTTGTCTCGAACAAGGTTTCGCAGCAGGGCCCGGGACAACGTCACCACTTGCAGCAAATGGGATAAAAAGCCCGAGGTCTCCTGCCCAGACTTAGCGGCAACCCTTTTTTCCTTGACTTCGGAGGATAGAGTACGTACAGTGAGGCTGTGCAGTCGCGGCATTCTTCTTCTGCTTCCATCTCCACTCCACTCCGTCCCCGACTACTCCGTACCGTACATACATCCTCCAGACTAACGCGTCGGGTGACAGAATCCAATCTCCTGCAAGTTCGTCGTGCATCGCTTGTCAATCCCTGAGTGGTTCCAACTCTCTGTGGCTACCCTCTTGGCCCTCCATCTTCTTAATTTCCTGGTCCGCGGATACGTGGCTGGTGGTCCCATCCAGACAACTCGGTTTGGCTTAGGTATATGCTTCCATTGTCCATCCTGGACCCTGTTGGATGGGAATTGAACGAGCTAACCAACCGATTCGCAGGAGACTTTGGCACGGAGTCCTAGTGTTCTTCCAGAGAGGAGAAAGAAGCATAGTCGCTGGGATCAGCCACGGTTGAACCCTCCATCGGCACAACAACCCCTCTCTCGCCATCCTACTATTAAAGATAAAGATCTCCATCAGTCCATACCAACAATCTTCTTGAGATTAATCTGGCGGATTGTGGTTCCAGATCGTCGCCACGCCGCTCTTCTCCTTTCCCGATGTGTACGTGCTAAGAGTCTGTCTTCCTGGACTTCTTTCACCTAGACCTCCCGCCCACTCATTCCTTCTTTTCATCATACCCACGTCTTGATCAGGTCATCTTTTTCCTTGATATCCCTCCTTACGGTGAATTCCTTCTCTCTTCCGCTCTTTTCTTTTCTCTCCCTTTGTTTGTTATGATTGGCAGCTTTCACTCCTTTATGAGCTGGTGATTATCACATCGCGATAATACTCCCTTCTTCTGATTCTTCTGTTTACTGCGGTCATTGCCTTGGTGTACTCCATCTGTCTCACGGTCGTGCTGGACTTGATCTCTGTACCAGTATATCACCCATCCTCAGCCGTTTGCCGTTTCGCCCAACAGACACCCTGAACTTGGCTAATCAGCTCTAACCATGCGCAGCGTCGAGGCATTTCCGTTCCCTTTTTCGAAGCTACACCTGGGGTCCAAGAAGAACCATGACCGGTCTTTCATCTCGAAATGGCTCCTTTGAGCATGGTGAACGCGAAGCCCTAATCAATGAGACGAATCGAATTAACTCCGGTCTCCATCCCCGTCACAAACCTCGAAGCCATTGGACTCAGTGGCCGTCGCAGGCGGCCAAACTGACGTGGACCACTCTTGCCCGTGACTATGTCAACATTCTCCTGGTCTTCGTACCGCTGGGTATCATCGCCGGCGCCCTCCACTGGGATAGTACCGCCGTGTTCGTACTGAACTTTTTCGCCATCGTTCCGCTGGCGTCGTTGCTAAGCTTCGCGACCGAGGAATTGGCAGCGACTATGGGCCAGGCGATGGGAGGACTGATGAACGCTACTTTCGGAAATGCGGTCGAACTGATCGTATGTATCTGTCGCTACGCTCGTCTACTGCATCGATGAATGCAATTACTGACTATGAGCCCCACAGGTTAGCATTATTGCGCTCAAAGAACGACAGATTCGCGTGGTCCAGGCCAGTATGCTCGGTAGCATCTTGTCCAATATTCTCCTCGTGCTCGGATGCTGTTTCTTCGTTGGTGGGCTGCGCTATTCGGAACAGACCTTCAACAGCACCGTGGCGTCGACCATGTCTTCCTTGATGACCGTTTCGTCCGCCTCCCTGATCATTCCGGCCACCCTCTACGCGTCGATGACTTCCGCCAAGGGCAAAGAAAGCGAGACACAACAAAACATTCTGCTCGTATCGCATGGCACTGCGATCATTCTCCTCATCCTCTACGTGATGTACCTCTATTTCCAGCTCAGATCGCATGCGTCGCTCTTCGAAGAGACGGGTAGTGATGATGCGGAGAACGGGGACGACATGGTGGAAGCGGAGGAAGAACACATTCTAAGCCCATGGGCGGCTACCGTCGCTCTGATTGTTGTGACCGTTCTGGTCGCTGTCTGCGCCGACTACCTCGTGGGAAGTATCGACAGCATCGTGGAGAAGACTGGCATGAGTCGCACGTTCATTGGTCTGGTCCTGATTCCGATCGTTGGGAATGCGGCGGAGCACGTGACGGCTGTCGTGGTTGCATGGAAAGGCAAGATGGACCTTGCGATTGGAGTCGCCATCGGAAGCAGTCTGCAGATTGCTCTCTTTGTCACCCCATTCCTCGTCGTCCTGGGCTGGATCATCCACGTGCCCATGAGCTTGCACTTCCAGACCTTTGAGACTGTCGCCTTTTTCATTTCCGGATTAGTTGTGACATTCCTCATCCAAGATGGAAAGTCGAACTATCTTGAGGGTGGGCTATGCCTGGGAATGTAAGTGTTGTCTTGCGATCCGATTCTAGACCTGAATTCTTACTGACTGACCGCAGGTATGTGATTTTGGCGCTTGCATTCTACGTGTATCCCGACAATGTGGACGACAGTGCCATGTTTCGCAGTTGAGTAACATACGGGTCATGGCCGGCTTTGATGGCTACTGGGCCCATACCACATCATAACTATCGATTTCCTATCTTCCTTCGCCGACTCATTGATTTCTCGTATACCCCTCCCTATGGCAACTGCCGGCGTGCTCTAAAAAGATCTCCACGACTGTCCACCGGCTTGAAACTCAGTCTTCCGTCTCTCGTTGATACCTCGCCACGTTGCCACTTTGGGTTTCCTGTTTATGTACTTGATTTATCGATACGTGATTCACTGAGCGTTCGGACTGCGGGCCAGTTTCTCATTCCACGTGTACAGTGATCGTTCGGTTAGGGCTTGCGCTTTGTTCCCTGTTGAACGGGAAATTGATTGGGTGGGATACTGTAGCTATGGGTTGCCTTAGGTAAATATACAAACTATCTCTGTAATTCTGGTCTTGGGGACTCTGCTCTCTGTAAATGTCCGCAGACTTCGCCACGACGGCGGTCAAGATACATACGCCTTGAGGTCATATCAGGTGCATCTGCGGAGTACTTCGTAACTCTCCATCGAATGATATATTCCGTCGGTTCCTTGCTCGAGGGTCTATCAGAATATTCAAGTCTCTCCACAATCACCCTGTAGTTGTAGTCCCTCGTACCATGATAAGGCCATAGGAAATGGAATTTAGCCTAGATTAATCGTAGATATCAGATCCAAAGGTCTCTTGCCTGCTGTGGATGGTATGGAGTACAGCGATGATGTGAGGTAATTCTTGGCGTATTACTAAGCAACGGAGCAACAGGAAAATGTTCGCTCGCCGACTTCGACAGCATCAAGATCAGACCCGATTGTCCCGCACGACTGACATTCCCCTCTTTGACATTTCATCCAGTTGTCAAAGGGCCAGTTGCAACATGCCGCCGCGTTTGAACCTGTTCTCCGTGAGGGCTCCAGTCCCCGTCCTCCGTCAGCCCTCGACGCCCATCGCCACTGCGCTGAACACCAACCGAACCTATGCCGCTCGCGGAATCACGTCCTCGTCGCGGACGCAACGGAGATGGAACTCGTCTGGCTCTGGAGGCAAAAATGATTCGAAATTGAACAGCACGACAAAGGAGCAATTGCCTCATGTGAGCGAGGAGGCCGCGGAGATGAGGAAAATCATGGACAAGAAGTGCGACGGAACTGCGGCGAGTCCGGAGTTGGAGCAGGGAACTCCCATTCAGGAGGTGAGTTCATAAGTCCAATTCTCGGGTTCTGGTCCATATATTTCCATGAACCCGGTGGGTTGTGGGAGCGATGACCGCTGACGACTTCCGTCGTAGATCCTCAGGCGTGACAAGGAAGCCCTGAAGCATGCCCCCAAGGTCATGCAGGACCAGGTGAAGGGCCCTTCGGGCTCTCGTTCGTTTTCGACGTCGACCCGCCGCCGCCAGGCGGACCTCCACGGCCAGAACGCGGGTTTCGACGACCAGACTGCCGCCGTCGTGGCCAACATGATTTCCCATGTCGACCAGCAGGCCGCGGAGCTGCACCCGGGCCTCAAGTTTGAAGCGCCCGAGACTCTTCCCAAGACCGAGAACTTCCGCACGCGATATGACTCGCTGTTGGAACAGTTTACGAAGTTGCTGATGCGGGATGGCAAGTTGAGCAAGGCGCAGAAGGTATGCACATATGGGTTTTACACGCTTCGCAATTCTTTTGATTCGGGTCATGCTAACTCTTACTCCAGAACATGGCCTTCATTCTGGACCATCTCCGCACCGCCTCTCCTCCCCAGCCCAACCCTAAGCGTCGTCTGCTCCCCGGTCCCCCGGGCCCTCAACTCCCCTTGAACCCCGTCCTCTATCTTACGCTGATCGTGGACTCGGTGGCTCCTTTGATCAAGATCCGCCAGCAGAAGGGTATTGCTGGTGGTGGTGCGTCCGTGCAGATTCCCGTCCCTCTCATGCAGAGACAGCGTCGGAGAACTGCCATCCGGTGGATCATCGACGCCTCCGACAAGCGCCGTGACAGCCACTTTGCGCAGAGAGTCGCGAATGAGCTGGTGGCAGTTGCGGAGGGCCGTAGTGGCGTGTGGGATCGGAGAGAACAGGTGCACAAGCTTGGTGTCGCTGGTCGGTCCAACCTTGGACTGGTCACCAGCCGTCGTTAGAGTGTGTTCTTTGTTAGAGGAGGGACGAGCTATCTTTTTGTTTATCTGGGGAGTTGGGTTTTACCGCAGCGATGGCGAGGGCATATGAATGCGATTCCTGTTGGGAAACATAAGGACCACTCTTATCTATGAGAGTCTGTATTTTATCTATCAAGGCCCGTGGGGCGCCATGCTACATGTGTACAGTTTACTAGTCTAGTGATTTCAGCTGGTGATCTAATTGCGATTAGTTAACTTCTTTATGCTTTGGGATAGTTTGGATTTTACCGGGATGGCCGAGTGGCTGACTAACCCCCTCCAGCCAAGCTCTCCAAGACTCTCCAACGAATTTCCTCCACCTGTGCGACACAAGTCACCTATCTCCATGGTCCATTTCCCTAGCTGTCACTTATTCCGAATTCGTTCTCCGTTCCCCTGGCTTACGACGTGTGACCAGGACACACCGCCGTCCTTATCAGCGCCATCCACTAGTGCCGGCGGAGACTCGAAGCTGGATCCGTTCCGTCGCTCCACGCCGACCCCCATTCTGCTCCGGACTTCCTGTTTAGCACCGTGTCGTCGAATGCTGTTGGACGGTCGGTGGCACGCTTCGCTTCTGCGACGGGTGCCTCTTCCCACGATCTGGACGTGATCCGTTCCTCGAGTATTGAGCTCCAAGACTATCCTGTCACACCCGCCAGCCGTCCCCGCCAGTCACACAGTGAATCTCGACTGCGGTCCTCCCCACAATCTGATCAGGCGACAACACCTGGATTTCAGTCGTGGACTCGGGAAGCATCTTATTCGGAGAAACCTGTCCGTCTTTGGGTTGAAGCTCTTCGCCGTCGTGCACAGAGGCCTCGCGACGTCGACGCCAAGATGAAATTCTCCCACAGTATCCAGTTCAATGCGGTTCCGGAATGGAGCTCGTATTATATTGCGTACAGTAATCTGAAGAAGCTGTATGTCTGCGTGGTTTTTCTGGCTGTTCTTTTTTGTTGATACTGATGGGGTTCGGATTAGGATATATTCTTTGGAACAGCAAGCTCACCGCGGCGCCGGACAAGCTCTCGTCGACGTGGAATCGGCGCCATTGCTAGATGGTGAAACCCTAGACCCAGATACAATCTTCCAACGGGCGCTCTCCGCCGAGCTAGAGAAGATATGCACCTTCTACCGCGAGAAGGAGGCCGAGATCCTGGAGGAGATGGACCAGGTGGTCAAAGATGCTGAGGAATACGCTGCCCAGGCTGACGGGGTCAACGTCGACCCCATGAGCGAGAATATGCATAAGGCCCGGACGACGAGCACCAGTTCGCGACCACGGACCGGAAGTATCTACCGGGATTTCCCTCTCGGGTCAGACCGCCGTCGGAGCACCGTCAGCGAGACCGCCGCCGAGGACGACTACGACGACGATGCAGACAGCGACGACGACCGTCCGCTCGTTGAACATGAGAGATCGCAGTCGCATGGGTCCGGTCTCGACGACAGCCACATGGACGGCACGAGGGACTCGGCGTTTATGGGTGACTCGCGACTGCTCGGGTTCAACTCCCACAACCGCATCGCCAGTCAGGTGGAGCAGTTCGGTGACCCCCGAGTCCTGGACCTGTACAACTCCGGACTGTCGCTGAAGAAGCGGGCGGTGAACGCATACGTCTCGCTGTGCGGGCTGAAGTCGTACATCCAGCTGAACAAGACCGGGTTCTCGAAGGCGCTGAAGAAGTACGATAAGACGCTCGATCGCAGTCTCCGGCGCGAGTATATGAATTCGACGGTCTCGCCGGCGTACCCGTTCACGGATGCCACCATGGAGAAGATCGATGATCGTATCCACAAGATCGAGGAGGTCTACGCCAACGTGGTCACCGGCCGGAATCTACAGCTCGCCAGACGAGAGCTTCGGCTGCACCTGAGAGAGCATGTGGTCTGGGAGAGGAACACCGTGTGGAGGGAGATGATCGGCATCGAGCGAAAGGCTCAGGCGGCCAATGTCGGCATCCGCAGGACACTCCTCGGAGGTGATGAGGATCCCGCTACCGCCCGACGCCAGGGCGACGAACTGGCAAAAGAAGCCAAGGAGTTCCGGACGCCTCTTGGGGTGTTCCATCCGCCGGAATGGCTCTGCAGCTTGAGCTTTGGCACGCTCATCTTCATCCTGGCGGTTTTCGTCACGTTACTTACGGTGCCGGTGATGGATAAACCGGAGCAGCAAAACTGTCTGGCCATGCTCGTGTTTGTGAGCTTGTTGTGGGCTACAGAGGTAGGAGAGCTTATTGCGTGTGTCCCCGAGAGTACTGACGTGAATAGGTGATTCCGCTGTTCGTAACGTCCCTTCTCATTCCCTTTCTCGTGGTGCTACTGCGGATCATGAAGTCGGAGGACAAGCCTCACCACCGTCTGGGACCGAAGGAAGCCACAAGCGTTGCATTTGGCGCGATGTGGACGCCGGTGATCATGTTGTTGCTCGGAGGGTTTACGATTGCAGCCGCCTTGTCGAAATACGACATTGCGCGGCGCATGGCGATGTTCGTGTTGAGCAAGGCCGGGTCCAATCCTCGGGTGGTGCTTCTCACAAACATGTTTGTTAGCATGTTTTTGAGCATGTGGATCAGCAACGTGGCGTCGCCTGTTCTGTGCTACTCGATCATCCAGGTAAGCCAGCGTGTCTGTGTGTTCTTGTCCGTTGCTAATGTCGCAGCCTCTACTCCGCAACCTCCCTCCGGATTCCAACTTCGCCAAGGCTCTCGTTTTGGGCATTGCGCTTGCAGCGAACGTTGGAGGAGCGGCGTCGCCGATTGCGTCCCCGCAGAACATCATTGCGCTGCAGAACATGTACCCGAGCATCAGCTGGGGAACATGGTTCTTCGTGGCGCTTCCGGTGTGCATCATTTCGATCCTCCTGATCTGGGCGCTTCTGCTATTTACCTTCCATCCCAGCCGGGGCACGACCCTGGTTCCCATCCGACCGATTCGGGAAAAGTTCACCGGCGTGCAGTGGTTCATCAGCGCCGTCACCCTGGGTACGATCATCCTGTGGTGCGTCAGCCACCAGCTGGAGCACATCTTTGGCGACATGGGCGTCATCGCGATCATCCCGATGGTGCTGTTCTTCGGCACGGGCATTCTCAACAAGGAAGACTTTAACAATTTCCTCTGGACGATCATCATCCTGGCGGCGGGGGGCCTGTGTCTCGGAAAGGCGGTCACGTCGTCGGGCCTGCTGCATGCGCTGGCGAACAGCATCCGGACGCGGGTCGAAGACCTCAGTTTGTACGGGGTGCTGATCGTGTTTTCTGCGTTGATCCTGGTGGTGGCCACGTTCATCTCGCATACGGTGGCGGCGCTAATCATGCTGCCGCTGGTTCGCCAGATCGGGGTGGGCATGGCGGATCCGCATCCGAACCTGCTGGTGATGGCGAGCGCGCTGATGTGTTCGGTTGCGATGGCGTTGCCTACCAGCGGGTTCCCTAACATGAGTGAGTTTCGCTTTGGGTTTTGTTGTGTTACTGTGCTAATAGACTGCAGCTGCGATCATGACGGAGGTGCCGCAGACGGGCCAGCGATACCTGCAAGTGCGGCACTTTTTCACACGGGGTATCCCGTCGAGTTTGATGTCGTTTGCGGTGATTGTAACTCTTGGATATGGGCTGATGTATATAGCGGGGTTGTAGGGAGGATCGGTTCGGTGGTACGGAGTATATAGTTTGACATGGTGGGTGACTAGAGAAAAGCGATATATTACGGGCAGGGGGGCACACAGAGCACGTTCATAAATGTCATTAGTTGATCATGAGTCCATGGTCTGATTACTATACAGAAGAATCCACGGATGTATAACTCAGAACCAGCCTGCCAGCCCAAAACCATACCAAATCCAAAACTATAACCATCGCAGCCATGCAGTGCAGTCCCGTCATCGTAAGTTTTAGTTCCTACGAACTCAAACCAGCCCGCGTTAGCTTTGTACTCATCCCCAGGGACAGAAGATACATACAACAACCCCAGCGTAAGATCACCGTGGATCTTGGCCTTGAGCTGCACCTCGATATCCAGATTCAGATCCAGCCGCAGCCGCAGCTGCTCGTCGCGCCCGCCGTCGTCCTTCTCCTCGCCCTTGTTCCCGCCAAGCAGGCCACCCACCGCCTTGCCGGCGGTGTTGGTCACCCCGTTGACGGCGTTGCCCGCCGTGTTCTGCACGAGGTCGCCGGCCTGGTTGACGCCGCCGAGCCCGCCGAGGGGCCCGCCGTCGTCGCCGCCCAGCGGCTGGCGGCGCTGGCGGCGCTGCTGCCGTCGTGGCCGGTCCAGGGCCGTGTTGCTGTCCATCGAGTCTTGCTGGTAGGGCGGGGGCCGGGGGCGGCGTCTGTGTTGGGCCTGGGGCTGGGGCGCTTGTTCGGGTTCGGGTTGGTCCTGGTCTTGGTCGTCGTCGGAGGGTTCTTGCTTGATGGGGTCCTCTTCGTGCGGGGGGGTCTGGGCGTTTTCCTTGTCGGACATGATGAAGGAGAGAGAGAAGAGATGCCAGTCGTGAGTGCTGTGAGAGCTGATATATGCTGTTGCTGTAGACAGTCGGGGGGGTCGTGACCGTCGATCGCCTTTATAACCAGTCAGCGCGGGCGGCGAGCGCAACAGCCACACGATGGATGGGATGCGCTGCGCTGGATGTCCCGTCCAAGGCCATGCGCAGAGGGACCATGTCATAACCCAGCGCGCACGACGTCAGCGTCCCACCGTGGACACGACGGTGTAGAGCGCTGCGGGAGGGCATCCGGCAGGGTTCAGTGCGGCCGTCGTCATCGGACAGGAGGCGGCAGATGGATGGAGGGCCAGGACGGGCGCTGATTGCTGAAGATGACGTTGGGGGGGCGATGGAGCGAGGCACGATGGAGCCGGTCACCGTTTAATTGATTTAATCTAGACATGGCCAATGAGGGTGTGGTGTCGGAGAATTTGCGGCCAGTGATGGTCGCGCAAAGAGCGATGAGCGCCACTAACGTCAGCGTTAGTGTTGGTTTGTTTCTTTCTTGATCGTGATCTACTTACTTCAGATTGTACTTGTACTCCGTAACTATGTGTATCTCCATGTGTCATGGAACCATGGCTCCCGGCCACGCGGCACCCATTTCCCTCCGAGTCAACCAGACATGCGAAATGACGATGACTTCATCCTGCTGGCAGCAGCAGCAGAAACATCGTGGCGTCGTCTGACCCCCCGGCCAAGAATACAGACGTTGATCGACGACTGTCATGGCGATTCAGTCGCACGTCATACGGACCGTCGATCGACGCAGACTAAAAAAAGAAGCCTGTCTCTCGGATCGTCGCAGGCTGGCCTGAATCCCCTCATAAGATCTCTTTCTCGTGGCATTCTTTTTCTAGACCTCCCACCGAGTACACCGTGATGGCTACTGCTGAGAAACCCAAGCAACAAGAGACGCCTTCGGGCCCGCCCGACGAGCATGAAGATGAAGAATTCCACTCGGGAGGTGACGGCGAAGGTGAAGGCGAAGAAGACCAACAAAAACATGACGAAGACAACGCGCCCGTGAATGCCAATCCAGACTCTCGACGTCAACAGCAGTCGCAGTCGCAACAGCGTCAGCGCCAACCCCCCAAACAGCCACCACGCCAGGCACAGCCAGAGCCGGACGATGATTATGATGACTACGACGACTACGATGACTACTCGGACGAATACGACGACGACTATGAGGACGACTACGACGACGAGGACGACTACACGCCGCCGGGCAAGGCGATGCAGCCGTACCAGCGCGGCAGCCAGTCGCTGACCAACAACACCATCTCCAACGAGCCCATCTCCAACGGCGACTTCAAGACGGTCGACCAGAAGGGCGGCAGCAGTCTCGACGAGGAAGACGGGCTGAAGCTGAAGCTGGAGCTGAATCTGGATATCGAGGTGGAGCTGAAGGCGCGGATCCACGGTGACTTGACCTTGGCTTTGCTGTAAGTATCCCTGCTCTGGGTTGTCGATTCCCGCTCAGTGATAATAGGAATTAACGAGGGCAGTGCATGATGATCGTACAAACGAGACATGTTGGATGCATGGAGGATACAGAGGGTTCGGTATATAGTTAATGGATATGATTGACGTTCGCTTGTAGCGTGTACACATGTGGGCTGGGTTCTCCGACTACCGAGGTTCTTGGCTCTCCTATCTTTACCTCTACATCTACACCTCCATACATTACACTACTCCATCTACATCTACATCTACATACAATACTACACTTCCTACAACTCCTACACTCATAACCTGCCAAAATGTCCAAAACAACAATCATCACCCACATGAACAAGGACCACCAACGGTCCCTCTCCATGTACCTCCAAGTCTACTGCGGCGTGTCCGCCCGCGAAGCGCAATCCGCCCAGCTGGCCGACATCACCCTCGACGACCTCCTCATCGTCGCCAACAACACGCGCTACACTATCCCGCTGACCCCACCGCTGGCCAGCCTCTCCGAAGCGCGCCCCCGCGTCGTCGCCATGCACCAGCACTGTCTGCAGAAACTGGGGCTGTCGCCCGTCGTCATCACCGAGTACCGCCCGCCCCGCGGCGCGCAGTCGTTAATCTTCCTCACCTGTCTCGGGCTCATGGTCGGGTTTGCGCGCCGCGCGCATTTCGTCGAGGGGTCGTGGGTGGCCCGCACGGTGGGCGCGGAGCTGGCGCAGAAGGCGTGGACGGTGCAGCCGTGGGTGCTGTGGGGGTTGCTGGGGGCGCATGTGCTGGAAGCGATGTTGCTGGCGGCAACGCGGTTGCGGCCGTACGGGGTGGGATTGTTCAGCCGGGTGTGGTGGATGTGGATGGCGTCGACGGTGGTGGAGGGCTTTGCGGCGTTCCAGCGGATTGACCGCATGGCGAAGGAGCAGGAGAAGAAGCAGCATTAATTGGGTGCATGTATATAGCTGAGTCAGATGCATAGCATAGAAAATGCACTAGTCGTTAGTGGCGGGTTGATGGAGAGTCACGTGCACGCTAGTCCCAACGTAGTTAGCTAGGGCAACGACAAGCGAGACACACTGCGAAATTCCCCAAAGAGTCTCGCCGAACCCGACAAGCGACATCCCATTTCACCCCGACCGCCCAACGACCCTTGCCCGCTGCGTTCCCGGTGAAGGACTGCAGGATTAGAGGTGAGTGCATCTCGTCGTGATTCTTTCGATTTCGTGATCGGTCGTCGAGTCGAGTTGCCGTCGTGGATCAGATTTGTGGACTTCCGCCATAAGACTTCACGAGGAGACAAGGACGAAGGCAAGACGAAGGAAGAGGAACGAGGAAGAGAAGAACAGAGATCAATCATTCCGACAACTACGAACTGCGGCCGTCACGATCGAATCGACACGACAGACCCCAATTCACCAATTCAACCCACACAATTCTAACGTGATTAGACCGCAAACATGGGTATCTCTCGCGACTCCCGCCACAAGCGCTCGGCCACCGGTGCGAAGAGGGCCACCTACCGCAAGAAGAGGTATGCAAAGACTACGACGAATCTACGCAAACCGAAAAAAAGAAACAGTGGTTGATGATAATGCAGAGCCTTCGAGAAGGGTCGTCAGCCCTCCAACACCCGTATCGGCTCCAAGAGAATCCATCTGGTCCGCACCCGCGGTGGTAACCGCAAGTTCCGTGCCCTGCGTCTCGACTCGGGCAACTTCTCGTGGGGATCGGAGGGCATCTCGCGCAAGACCCGTGTCATCGTCGTGGCCTACCACCCGTCCAACAACGAACTGGTCCGCACCAACACCCTGACCAAGTCGGCCGTCGTCCAGATCGATGCCGCCCCCTTCCGTCAATGGTACGAGGCCCACTACGGCCAGCCCCTCGGCCGCCGTCGCCAGCAGAAGACCGAGACCACCGAGGAGAAGAAGAGCAACAGCGTCGTGAAGAAGCAGGCCGCCCGCTTCGCTGAGCACGGCAAGGTCGAGTCCGCCATTGAGAGACAGTTCGAGGCCGGCCGTCTCTACGCCGTCATCGCCTCCCGCCCCGGCCAGAGCGGTCGTGTCGATGGTTACATTCTCGAGGGTGAGGAGCTGGCTTTCTACCAGCGTGCTATTCGGAAGTAAGGGAAATAATGTTGTCATGCTATCTTATTTCCTTGTTTTAAATTAAAAAATGCAACGTTCGGATGGGCTGGAGTTTTAATTACTGTGTGTAGATGAATGGTAGTCCAATCTCACTATGACGCCACCATAACATACCCGCTCATATAAGTTTAACCCAAGCACACCACTCCCACCGCTCCATCTACCCTTTCTCAACTCACTCCTAGCTACTGCACTCTACAATAGACGGGTGAAAATGGTCAAAACACGCCTCTGCCTCCTCTCAGACACCCACACCTTCCCCCCTTCAACCGACAATGAATCCCCCTACCGCCACCCCCTCCCCAAAGCCGACATCCTCCTACACGCCGGCGACCTGACCAAGGTCGGCCGGCGCGACGAACACCTCGCCATGCTGGCCATGCTGCGCGACGCCGACGCCGAGCTCAAGATCGTCATCGCCGGCAACCACGACATCACCCTCGACCCCGACTACTACGCCTCGGTCGGCCACCTCCGCCACCGCTACCGCACCGACCATCTCGCCGGCTCGCCGACGCCGCGCCGCCGCAGCAGCGCCCGAGCCCACAAGAACAATGCTGGTGACGGGGAAGAAGCGGCCGGGGACGGGCCTCTCGAAGACCCCGCCGAAATCAGAGCCCTGTACACGGGCGAGGAGGCCCGCGGCGCAGGCATCCGCTACATGGACGAGGGCATGCGCACGTTCTTCCTGTCCAACGGCGCGCGCTGCAGCGTGTATGCGTCGCCGTATACGCCCGAGTTCTGTCGGTGGGCGTTTGCGTATGACCGGTCTGTGGACCGGTTTAATCCGCCCGAGACGTCAGCTGAAGGGACCGAGACAGGAGGGACGGACGGGTTCAATCCGGTGCCGGACTTCCCCGACGTCGATATCGTGCTCACTCATGGCCCGCCGTATGGCGTCCATGACCAGGTTGTGGGCACGCACGATAGCGTCGGGTGCGAGCATTTGTTCCGGGCGGTGCGGCGGGCGCGGCCGCGGCTGCATGTCTTTGGGCATATCCATGAGGGATACGGGGCGACGCGCTGGGAGTGGAGTACCAGCAATGAGTCGCTGATTCAGGTTGGGCGCGAGACGGCGCTGGCGGATCGGGGGGCGTATGTTGATGTTAGTGGCGATGCGGCGAATCCGCTGCGTGTGGGCGACGAGACGCTCTTTGTCAATGCGAGTGTGGTTACGGTGCAGTATGAGCCGGTGAATGCGCCGTGGATTGTGGATTTGGATCTTCCGCCAAAATAGATAGATGTAGACTTGATAGAACGCGATGAATACGGTGTAAATGCTGTTGTATTGTACTGCACCAGGACCTCCCCTTTCCGGCCATGTACGGGTATAAAACGGTCCAAACATCAAGAGCAATAATGTACATATTCCAACAAAAGAGACATTGCCATGTCGAAATCCATCAATCACTAAGAAATAGAAAGGAATGGCCTCAGGCAGAATAAACGCTGTATGCAATCAATGCCTTATCGACGCTGAAGATAAAACAAAGGGTAGTGATAGTAATGTCCAGACATTATCAGAAAAGGAAATGATAAAGAAAGAATAAGGTGAGGATATGCTCACTCCTCTCGCACGCTCATACCGTTGGCATCGCTCCGGAAATCAAGTCGGCTGCTCTTCCGGCCGATACCCTTGAGCAGACTGAACCGTTTGAGCACCGAGTCCCGCGCGCCGCCGTGGCCATTTTGCACCGGCGGACTCATGTCCGGACTGCGTAGCTCAGGGCTCCGAATTGACGCCGCACTGCTTTGCGTCACAGGCCGCGGGTAGTCTTGGATGGATGGGATTGTGGACCAGCCGGACTTGGGGCTGGTCAGCGCCGGCCGGTCCTTGTTAGAGGCGCCGTTACGCTGCGAATGTGAGCGGCTGAGGTTCTCGTGAGACTTTGTGGCGGCATCCCGCGAGCGGCTTCTCGACCGCTGCCGCTTCTGAGAATCTTCCTGCGAGTTGGTTTTCGAGATCGACAATGACGAGGCGTGCTTGTGCAGTCTTTCTCCGAAAAAGCTTCTCCTTTTCGACTGCGTGTCCCGGGACCGACTGGTCGTTCGGCTATGGATTGTAGCTGCGTCGTCGTCACGGTCTCCTGCATCGTCCGCCCCATGCGCCTCCGTTCCGTTGACCTTATCCTTCGAGGCGCTCTGGATAGTGGCAACAGAGTTGGTTGCGCCGTGGTTAGACCGCTTGAACGGATTCATGATGCTGATCCGATGGCTCACAGATTGCCGTTTGGAGTGCTTCCGGCGGAGGTTCTGTCGAGATGCACGAATCAGCTCTTCCTCTGGGCTGACAGCCCGCGGCGTCGGCTGATGTCTGCTCTCTTCCATTGAATGCGGCGAGCGTCGTTGAGTCGTCAGAGGCGTCTCTGGCATTGCGGGGGCGAGAGAAGCCAGCTCAGGCGCAAATGCCTCCTCAAAACGCCGCATCAGCTCAGCTTGCGTGGCTTGGTGTGCCGGGCGATGGAACATGGCTAATGCATGCTTGATCGCCAAGGCGTGGTCAATGAGAGCCACAGCCAAAGAATTTTTCATCGGGTCGACTGGCGTCGGGGTGTCCTCGTTCTCTTCCTCGCTGGGCACATCAGCCAGGAAACGACGGTAAAGAGCCACGCAGCTGGGAGACGAGGAGTTGAGGTCCAATAATTGATCCAGTGCCTCGGTCAGGTTCGACAGGCTGGTATCTTCACCAGACGCCGCGCGTCTCTGTAGCAACGACAACTCCTGGGTCTTGCGCCATGTCCGCTCGAGGGCCGTCTGCAGCGGTGTCAACGCGATCTCTTCCACTGCAACCACTTCGCTTCTGCGAAGGATGTTGGGGAAGGGCTCAGCAGTCGTGTAGACGACCTTCTCGACCCACTGCTCCTCAACATCCGCGCTCCGAACATGCCGTTTCAGCGTCGAAGTAAACCGGTTAGGCTCGGAGATCATCAGGTGATCCCTGACCGATGGAGGAACCTTCGAACGCTGATTGACAGGATGAGCCATCTCCCGATGAACGCTAACGGGACTGATATGCAAGAATTGGCCTTCATAGTCGTGGGCTTCCCCGGAAGAAACAATCTGTGCCGCAGGATGCTCCCGCTGCATCCGGTCAACAAAAGACGCCATGCGCTCGACAGGAGAGCACTCAAAAATGAACTCCTTGTCACGCAAGGTGGTCGGGAAACCAAGCCCCTTGTAAACGACGCGGAAAAAGCGAGGGAACTGCTTATCTTCTCTCGCGATCGTCTCGTAGATCTTGGCCATAGAGCTCTGTGCGCGCGCGAGCTTGGCAAAGTCCATGGTCGTATCTTCATATTGCTGGACAAGTTCCTTGTAGCAAACAAGCGCATGAGCCCAAGCCTTTGCGTCTTCAAAATACTGGATGATCGAGAAATACAGCGTTTCCTTTCTCTCGAACGACGTCTGCTCAGGGAATGCAGGGTTGATGAGTTCGGGGACAGTTCGCCTCGGGTCCCAGTCGTAGAGATCGGCATGGAACTGAAGTGCAAGGCCTGCCTCGGTAAAGTTGCCCGCTGCAGCTTGAACCTGCGCAAGCTCGTGGACATATCGTATGAAGATGTCCTCGCGACCCATGTCTTTCATGTATTCCATCAACCGCAGAGTGTGCAAGCTCTCGGCCATTGAGCCGCCCTGCGACGCCAGGAACAGGTCAAGCAACTCGTCTACAGTAGCAATGAGCCCTTGAACGGCACTAGACAAGTCTTCATCGAAGGAGGCGCAGCCTTCAAAGTAGTCTGACAGTTCCCCGATAAACATCTTTTGAACGACACCCTCGTTCATATCCTTGGATTTGAAGAGGTTGTCCAGGCTGGAAATGATCTCCGTCTCGATGATAGAGAGATCTTGGTTAAGTCCCCATTCACTGAGAATCATGGTCCGTAAGATCTCCACCGCAACCCGGCGCAAGCCTTCGTGCACACTGAGACAGAGCTCAATGATGGGTGACACCAAACCAGGTACATATTGCACCTGGTACCCACCCAGGCGGTTCAATCCAAAGCGTTCTCGCTCCTCGTCGGTTGCCTCCCAGCCGATGGCTTCCCAGCTGGCATGCAACAAGTCCGCACCTTGTTCGCGAACGTCGCCCGCAATCTTCCACACTGCACGCCGTTTCTGTTCGGCAAAAGTCTCCAGAGCAAGAGCATCGCTAGACACAACCTTCAGCAGGGTCATGAAGAACATTTCCCACAGTCGCGTGTCAAAACTTTCGGCATCATCAGGAGCTGGCAAGAACTTATCCATCAGAATTGTGGCAAGGAACTCGAGGCTCTTCACGGTTGCGCGGTGATTATAAACGTGGACGCTAAGCCAGCACTCTGGGTACGCCTCACAGTTCAAAATGGAGGTATGGACTTCAAACGCCTGAGTGAGGAAGGTGGAAAGCTCTATGCCCTTCAGTCGCGGGCGTTTCGGGTTGGGTATCGCTGCAGTTGCAGCCATAATCGCAGACAGCTCGACGAGGGCCTCGTCAAACTTCTGAGAGGTCTTGGATGACTTCACCTGGAAGGGGAAAGACTTGCTAAAGAGCAAAGAGAGGTAGCTAGTTTCCTCGACCCCGTCAGGAATGATCGAGTAGTAAGACGCGACGATCTTCGGCATGAACCCATAAAGCTGTGGATCCGGCTCCTTCAGGAGCTCCGCAACAATCGCGCTGTTCAACCGGACTTGGTCCCGATACAAGTCAGACACCGCACCGGTTGCTCCCCAATACGGTGCCAACCACCCAATGCAACTAGAAACCAAACTCTGTCTCTCCGAGCCAGAGCTGAATATCTTCAGGCGCGTGTAGTGCTGGATGAGTACCAACTTGTACAGTATCAGCATACCCGTGACATCCTTACACGAGTCCATAAAGCTGAGGGCAATCATGATTATTTCGTCTTTCGGGAGCACTTTGGAGAGCTCGGGTAGCCAAGTGTGAAAGTGTTGGACCACAAGAGTCTTGCTTCCAATCATCGCGGGTGAGTTGTTCTTCATAAGAGCCTCCAGCGATTTGAATATCGTGTGCAGGTCCCGGTTGAAGGTCGACTGAATCCGAGTAATCCCAATATTCTCCTCCTTTTCCTTTTGCTGTTGTCTGGCATTGATGATGAATTTAAGGACATGTCGTCCCACCTTGAACGTGGCACGCAGATTGCGCGACTGCTCTGGATCAGAAGAGCTCTGGAGAAGACGGAGATAGCTGCGGATAAGGCACGGCGTCGCAAACGGAAAGTTGAACTGATTTTCGGTGTAATGGTCCACGAGAGGGCCAAGATTGAATCGTCGGTCATGTACAATGCCCAAGACTGTCACCAGATCGCGGAAGATCAGATCCTCGTACTCGTCATTTCCAGCATTTTCCACCAAGATCCCGAATAGGGCATCAAAAACGCTGCTCAACTGCTTCACAATCTCGATTTCGGGAACAAACAGAACTCGCTTCAGCGTATCCAGCACCTCAGTTCCAGGGCGTTCTTTCCAATTCAGAAGGCTCAAAATCACCTGATCCTGAGAGTACTCCGTACTGCACAGATGTGTTTCCAGGCGCAGAGTAGCCAAGGGGCCTGTGATCGCCTCGTCTTTGGCAGACTCATTCTTGCCCAATGAGCTCCATGGGAGAGAAAGATACGCACCCTTTCCGTTCTCAATGCTCGAAGTGCATTTGTCGTAAGCATGTAGCAGTAGAGAATGGGGTCCATCCCGCATAAATGCCTGGTTGTCCCACAGGGGCATCCAAGCAAGCGCAAAAGGAAACTCAGGGGCATCCGCGATACTCATGATCAAGTGAGATCCCGGGATTTGTTCAGTCGGAATGTTAAGCCGAATGGTCTGGTTCCATGGGGCGCCTCGTTCAGCTATCGTCGTCCGCCATGCCGTGTGGGGCGTGTTGTTGGAAGAGGGAAAGACACATCTGTCAATGCGGGCTCCGGATGATGCCCGCACCTCGAGAGTCAGTTGTAGATTACGGAGCGGGGTTGTCACAGGCACGGGAACCTGTCCGGCTTGTGGGTGGGAAAGGAGAGCCTCTGGAGGAAAAATGGCCTGGGAGATCGTCACATAGATATCGGACCGGGGCTTCGTCGGCGCTTGCGAGAAGCCAATTCGCCGGGTCTGGGTGACATTGTGCATGATCGTAGGATTTTTCCGGACCAGGGTGTCCGCATCAGGGCAGACAAAAGGGTATAGGTGGAGATGGAGTCGTGCAGCACGTGGCGATCTCGTGTATTTTCCAGTAGAGCTGGGGAGGAGGGTGCGAATCAGTCCGTCGAAACCATCAAGAGGTACGTCTGCCTCGTCAGGGTCGGTCGAGGGCGTCCAAATGTTGATCACTTGTTCGGCATCTTTGTCTTGACGAAGGATCTGAGACACCTCCAAAAGACCAATTCCGATGGTGCGGATCTGAGGCGTTTCCTTCACGGATTGGGCATTAGCCCGTTCCTTGGTGCTGCTTGTGCTCTCCGCAGACTGAGGAGGAGCAGCACTATTTTCTCTGATCGGCTCTGCACTTTGAATCCCGCGGGACTTGGACGACCACATCATACTTCGGCGAGTCTTCAGACTCCCTTTAACCGACGGGCCGACTACCGGTTGCGTTTTCGAGGCGGAGGACCCTTCGCGAGAGATAGATGTCCTTGGTTGAGATGAGGCATTGGGAGCTGACGTGCTCTCCGGTGCTCGGACGGCAACGACGAGATACAGCTTAGGGCCACCAGCCGAGCCATCGCCTATATCCGTGCCGCACAGCTCTGTGAACAGCGTCTTCAGCTTGCTGCTTTGCCCCATGGACGCGAATCGTTCAGGCGACGGGATATCCAAGAGGTACGTTTCCGACAAGGCTTTGAGAACGCCGGTCTCCGATTGAGAACACAGATGGACAGCGAGCGTTACCGGGCCGGGCGCGTTGCCTGACACGGCATTGACTTCAAGAAGCATATGGTGGAGCGCAGCAGTATCCGCCTGGGTCGTTGGGCTGGTGTCCAGCATGCTCATCTCCGACTGCAGCTTGGCCAATTGGACCGCAGAGTCGTCGCCGGTCAACAGACGACCACGCTGCTGAGGATCCCGGACAATGACCTCCCCACCCAGCATTTTGTTGCCGCGAACCAGCTTCCAGACGACCTCGTTTCGCAACACCTCCTTCTCCTGCGATGTGAGCACGTTGTACAGCAGCTGTCGTCGGGCAAAGTCCAAGGATTGGACGATGTGAGACATCTCCTCCACAATGTTATACTGCCGACCGAGTAGGAGCTGATGCAGGTTCGTAGAATGCCATTCCCGCAAACACGAGGCGATTTCGTCTACCAGCGGCTCGGACGAAGTAGGGGTCTCATCCCCAATCTTCAGCATAGGAACCGGGGCGGCGGGCTTGGGCGCATTGGGATCGCGAGGGGTCACGGTGACAGGAGTATGCGGCATGGAAACGGATCTCCAGGCACCGAAAGGCGAGCGTGGGCTTCCTTGATCATCCTCGTCTGACTTTTGGATGAAGATCTGCGAGGGTTTTCCTTTCTTCGCGATCACAACATCGGACACCTCGCCGTTGGTGTAATCATCCTGCGAGGACGCCAGACTGCTTCGCACATCCACCTCCAGATCACCACCACCGTCTACATGAGGTAGACTCGAACGGTCTCCATTTGTCAGGGTCTTCTGCGCGTCCGAGTCGCCAAGAACCTCCCGAATCTCGACGCAATTGCGCGGAAAGATCCCGGAGAAGACTCGCGCCTCGAGGGTCTGGCCCTTGGTGCTGGTCAACCCTGCCAACAGGGATGGCGGCGCAACGAGATAACCCCGACACCATTCGCCATTTGCGCCGCCTTGTTCAATGATGTAGAGTTCGTCGCCGAGTTCGAGGGGTAAATCGTCGGGACTGGAGGGTTGGAAGGGATAGATGGCGACGGCGAAGGCGATTCGAGACAGCGGCCGCCAGGGCATCTCTGCGATGGAGGGGGGCTGACGAGAGCGCACCCCGCAGCGGTCGTGTCAAGGGCCGTCCGAGGAATGGAGGAGCGCGGGGTGGAGGGGAATCAAGTGGAATTCGCTCCTAAGGGGGAGGTGAAGTTAAAGGAGGGAGGAATGTGAGCGATACCGCAACGGTCTGGCTGGACGGCGATCGGATGAGCGATTGTCTTGAATTGAGATATCACTGAGTCGAGGCGTGACGTTTTAAAAGGGGGGTTGAGACCACTAAAAGGGCATCCTGAAATCCACTTTGTTAGTCGGAGACTCAGTACAGCCAGACCGGTATGGTATGGAAGAATGATCGGGAGAAAAAGACGAGGTTAGGCGAAAAAGCCGGGAGGAAGTATTATTGATTGCAACGATGACTGCCACCCACGGTGTTGTAGTAAGGGAGGACTTAGTCACCGCAGAAACGAAGCGCGTTGCCTGCCTGTCTGTCTTGTCTTCTTTTTCTTCTTTCGGACAGATGTCGATTTCTTCCATTATTCTGCCACCCCCCTAGCAGCAGTGAATGGGATTGAATTGTGGAGCTCAACCACGGATTGATCTCCTTGGCGGGAACTTGTGGAGAATGGGCAGAGGGGGGGATCAATTCATGGGCTTACCGAGAAGAAAACGAGCGACTGGGGCGAAGGAGCCCCGGATGGATGAAGGGAACGAGAATGGAGGGGGGGAGAAAGGAAGAAGATGGAGAGGAGGAAGAAAGAAGGCGAGACGATGGTTGAGGGGTGGGAAGAAAAGAGACGATCTTGGGTTCCTTTAGGGGACTCGACCAGACACCACCTCGTACTTAGTACTAGTGGGATCCCCACCGGGTGGTCTTTGCTTTCGCGGGTGATTTTGATCGTTGTTCGAGAAGAATGCCGATTCAATTAAGTAGAGACCCCCGAATCATCCTCGGTGAGTGGTAGTGACATGAACTCGCATGGTCAATAGACTATCTAGGTAGTACCCTATACATGCCTCTTATACTTGGTGTATATCCCCTTTATACTCCCATGTAAACTCCCACGTCCAATGCTACCACACCGTTCCCTTTCGTCACCTATAATTCCAACATCTATAGAAGACTGGTCGAGATCTATGCTCTCAGAACAACCAGATTCCGATCACAAAACAATCCCAATGTCTTCGGGACTACTGACGGGGGCATCCAGGAGGAAGATGGGTCGACCGCACGTTACTGCAAGATGGCGGTTTGCGTTTTCCGGGACCCTTGTTGACTCCAAAAGCAACAAAAAGAAGACACTTGACCTGTCAATTTCCCCAGAAGATAAGAAGAAAAGAATTAATACTACCGGCAGAAAGAAGTGAAGAAAGAACACGTATTAGTCATCCGTTGCCCCTGAACCTCGGATCGGCGGGCGGCGATGATTGGCTCCCTCTGGTTCTATTCAGGCCCTAACGGAACCATGGTTCACCCATCTCACTCTACCGACGTTCTTCATTAATCGCTAAATAATAATAAATAGATAATACAAGATCTCTGCCCTGCTTGCCTTCCGGCTTCCAATGGCACGAGATATATATACTCATCAAACACAGACATCTTCGATCATGGGTAACAGGTCACATTAAGGCCACATTCAAATGGAAAAGATAAACAACCGGCATGCAATGTCCAACCCAGCGCCCCAATTCTATCAGAAACGAGACCCATGACGCACACGGACGAGGAAGAGTGAAAGAAGCGGACAGAGAAAAGAAAAGCTCAAGGTATCACCGCTTGAACATGGCGCTTGCATCCTCCCTGCGCCATTCCAGCTCCAGCTGGCCCTCATACACCGCCTGAAGGACCCGGCGGGTACGGTCGTGAGCTTCAAGATACCGTCCCTCGCATTCCCGGAGCACCTTCAGCACGAGGCTGCGACTCAACCCCGGATCGTCGGCGTCGCCAAAGTGTTTCTCCACACGCTTCTTGAGCAGTTCAATGCCTCGTCGCATCTCTTTGGCATCATACGTGGCCAGAACCTTCTTAGCCACCGACCGCGAATGGCTCGGCCGACTGGCGATGTCCTGGGGATTACCCCCAGACGCCATCAGTCGCTCGGCCGATTCCACAAACTCGAGCAACCGCCCAAGTGGCCGATGGATCACAGAATCCAGGTAGAGCTTCAGGTGTTCTTGCAGGTCCTGGTGTGCCCGGTCCCGCCACCGCTCCAGCACGGGAAGCCCTCGGACATCCACTTCCTCAATGTAGTGGTTCATGTTCTCAATCAGGAGAATGTGGTAATTCAGCGCCTCCTTGTCTTCTGGGTCCCCAGTCGTCGCGGCGACACCCGCAGCTTGACCCGGTGCCTCCTTCGCAATGAACTTCAGCGACTCCCACATAGCCCGGTTGATGCGATCATAGGCTGCGTTGACGCTAATTCGGATGTCAAGCAACTCTTGCGATGGCTGAGAAAGCATATTCTCAATGGCGGCCGAAAAGTTGGGGAAGACGCGCATAAACGAGATCACGCCCTTCCGCTTGTTCACCTTGACCTTCGTTTCTTCGATTCCGCGAATTTGATCGTCCACAAACCGGCTGAACAAGCCAATCAAGCGGGAGTGGATCTTCTGGAGTGTGTGGATGATGAAGTCTTGGTTGGTGTCTTCCAAATCCGAGATCGCTTTCTCCAGAGCAAACAGAATACCAACCCCTTGTCTAAATTTAGTCGGTTAGCAAAGCCATCGCAACAACCCAGAGAATCCCCGTTACTATACTTACATCGGGTCAGCTTTGATGGCCCAATCCACCAGATTTTGCAAATCCACAGGCCAAAACGAGTATATCTCATCCATAATCTGCTCCACCTTCCTGCCCAGACGACGATCGGGGTCGTGGGGTTGTTTGACGCTGAAATCGGGTAACGGGCGCTGTTCGGGATGGGCAGACGCAACGAGGTCGGAAAATTCCAAGCTCGGCAGCGAGCTCAGATGGAAGAAGTGAACAATAAAGTTCTGCTCCTCCACGATCATGTTGATCGTCTCATGAAGAGCCCCAGCAAAGACCTCGCATGGTTCAAGCCTCCCTGGCTGCTTCTCGCCAAAAGAGAGTCTAAACCCGGTGGCGGCTCTGATAGTCTTACCCCGTTTCACGGTGAGCTTACGAGCCGCCATGGTAATGCCTTCCATCTCCTTCTCCTTCTCCTGATGAGTAAAGAGGAGCTCCTGCTCCTCGCCTGTTGGTTTTCGCGCTGCCTTCTTCCACGCAAAGCCGTTGTCCCTGAATTGATTCTGGTATGGTTGTTTGGCCTGCTGCTCATAAAGAGTGATAAGCGCCTGCCATTCAGGCCCACTGACCTCCCGGGCAAAAAGCATTAATCCGTGGTACATCCAGAGTTCTTTCCGAGAGTAGACTCTGGGTTCGCTGTCCAGCTTCATGGGATCTTTCTGGAGGTTGGCAGCTGCGTCCACCCTCTTCTGCTCGGCCACCTTGTACGCGATCCCCATGAATTGTTTCAGTCGCTGTAAGAAGTACTCAGAGTGGGCGCGGTATTCGGCTTTCTTCTCCTTGATAGCGCGCATCTGTCCAATCTCCGTGTCGGCATAGACACCCACGCTGGCATGATCTCCCGCAGCGTCGACCAATCGTCTCTTGTTTTGCCATATATCGGAGTCTATCATGAGCATCGCCTTATAGAGAGTAGACAATGCCACTTCAGTATCTCTGAGTCCATCTGGGTTACTCAGGGAAGCCTCTTTCAAGGAGCGCAGGTCTGCACTGGAGATAGAAAGGGTCTTCAACAGGTTCTGCAGTTCGTTTTGCAGCAGCTTCTGGTTGGCCGTCTGCACCTGCAGACCCTGAGATTGAGCTTCGATGTAGGATACATCATCGTTCAAAGTCTGTTTGTATGTTAGCGTCAGAGTATGGCAGAACGACATCTGGGAACGTACGTTAAGTTCATGCGAATAGAGAGTTAGAAGATTGTCCAGCTCTTCGCACTCTTCAATCGTCTTGTCGATCAGTTTCGCGAGTTGCTCCACCTTTCCTTCTTGCTGCTCGAGGTTACCAAGCCAGCTGGTAGCCTCTACCCGCCCAATCTCGCGTCGAATATCTGTCTCCAGATCTTCAATCCGCTTGTCGTCGCTCAAGCGACCATTCCATCCGAGGTCAGTCAGGATATCGTCAAACTCTACACCACGTCCTTCAATGACCTTAGGGTCAATCCCGAGAGCCTGGCAGTATTTCAAGGTATTGTCCTCGTGGCGTCTACGGCGGCGACCACTAGGCGAAGGAGACACGGATCTCGATCTATCCTCCACAGGGAGTTTCACTGCTGCCCTCGAAGTGTCTCTCTGCTCTTCCTGGTTGTTACTCTCAGCAGGCGGAACTTCCTCCGTGGCGACTCGTGTAACTTCAACCGTGGGTGGATCCATAGAGGGGGTCGTTACAGGAGATGGCGCATCCTTGGTTGGAGATGGCAGAGATGGTGCTTCCTTATCAGGGGTCACTGGAGACGCCGCTGCTCCTGGATCGTTTCCTGACCGAAGAGACGGAGCAGGAACAACGCCGGTGATACCGTCAGGCCCAGCTGACTCGGCCTGCTGTTTCTTCGCAGCGGCTAGGAGTCGCTCACCAGCACCTCCAGGCCTTGGTCTGAAAGCACCATAGGCCGTGGCAGCTTTGCGGAAGGCTCCCGCGACATCATTGCTGGCTTTCTTCTTGATCATAGGCCCTAGACCAGGGCGGTGTGCGTCAGGGTCTTCATCCAAGGAATCCTTGGTGATCTGAGGACTAGTGGGTGCAGTTTCAGTGATCGGTTGGCTAGGTTCAGCTTCTGGCGCTGCTGACGCCTCGACGGTCTCCGCCATAACTGGAACAGTCCTATCAGCTGAAGGAGTAGGGTTCAATGCAGCTGGCACATCAACATTTGGGGGTTCTAACAAAGGAGCAAACGTGTCAGCGCCTGGAAATCCAACCGTGCATCGATGAGAAGGTCTTTGTACTACCTTGTTCGATTGGGGCAGGCCCCAGTGAGCTTGCCGCATCATGCATACTGCGACTCTCTGAACTAGCCGTAGGGGGTCGCGCACCCTCCTTGCTGCGCTTTGCATCCATAGAACTTGAACTAGAAACCTTGGTGTGGAGGGGAGGTCTTGCATCCGTCGACTTGGATGATGGCGGCCGTGACTCCGGAAATGTGCCGATCATATTACCTTCATCGAAAGCCTTGGTTCCAGAGGGGCCATGATCCCTGTTCCTCGGTTCGGGGGGCTGCAATATTGGTACTTTGGGAGCTCTTTCGGCTGCCCGTGGCGGAGGCTGATCTCGCTGGTCAGGGGTGACCGGTGGGGGGTGCTGAGGGGGTCCAAAAGGAGGACCGCTTCGTCCCGATTGACCGGTTGAGGGTCTTCCCATCTGCTCCCGGCTTCGTTGAGAGCGGAGCGACTGCTCCTCGGCAGGCGTTCGTCTAGGGCCATCTCGACTGGCAGCACGGTTCGAATATGGTGATTGAGGGCGGCTACTGTGTGACGAGGGCGGTTGCGGCGGAGGTAATGATTGCTCCGGGTTCCTCGGGGATGCAGACTGTCCAGATGGGGTTCCGACAAGCAATTGTCGCTCACGTTCGTCGAAACCGATCAGTTTTGGCACCTTTCCGCCCGTATACTTTCTGTAGATCTTCACCAAACTTCCGATGAAGAATTCCTTTTCTTTAGAGGTTCTCGCATGCCAGTAATAAGGCTTCCCCACAGTCACAACGAAGCCGACATTGGACGCCCATTGTTTCTGTTGCTGTTCCAATGGCGATGACGGAACGAATGCGTTATATGATTGTATCGAGGATAGATCATCCAGCATCCAGGTTTTGCCGATAGAGAAGGATCCGTCATTGTTTTCCCTAGCTTTATGCATGCGCACGCGGCCGGATCTTCTCACAGCAACGATGATCACTCGAGGCTTTTTGTTCTCTGCCGGCGAATTCGGCGGGGCGGGGGTGGATGGGTATGCACCATCTTCCGTGATGCGGACGTGGGTGATGTAAGATTCAGTCACTGTAAAAAAAGCGCATCAGCTACAAGTCATGGAGAGACGACGGATTGAGTTCGTCGGGTGCGGCAAGGAAGGGTAATCCCCTCAGGCAGAGGGCAAAACAAGGCGTGCGCCCAGCATAACTCCTATCCTAACACGTGGAGAACGATCGCGCAAAGACCTCCGTTAAAAGCGCATGGAGAAATTCACATACAGTGGCCATCATTATCTTTCCTTGAGAAACAACTCTGAATTATGCGTCGCTTCTCATCCTCAAACTTCTCGGCCCTTGACATTGTACCATCGCCCGGTCCGGCCGCCGGAGCAGCTCGACGCGGGTCCCTCTGTGGAGGATAATCCCCGGCAGGAGGACCTCGCGAGGGATCCCGACCATTCATAATCGCTTCTTCTATCCGCGGAAGGCGAGCTCACTCGAGAGGAGATACCAGAGGCCAGGTGGACATGATCGGGAATATCGGGAGGGATGACACGGGAGGGACGCGCCGTGTTCAGGGACGACTATAGCAGGTCGGAAGCCGATGGATCTATGTAGAGGTCACACAGAGAGCGGTTCGAGGAGGGAGGAAGAAGGAATGGCTGGTGGCACAAGTGGGAGTTCGAAGCATGCACGGAGGATGGAGAGTGCTGTGGCATTAGCTCATCAGCCACGCTCAGGCAGTTGTTCCCTCACAGGCTGGGGACGAAACGCGGGCACTAATCCGGTTGAGTGCATCCGCCAGCTGACTAACTATCCATGCACTAAACTACCTAATTAGGTAGGTAGTTATAGAGTGCTGTTCAACATCCTCAGTCCAATCCAGCACCATATCCTGGCCGAAATTCGATCTGAAACCACTCGGCCCCAGTAGGAATACCTCCCTACCCAACACTCTACACCCTTCTTTCAACCAGTCTCGTCCATTTCCTCAAAACCTCGGACAGCCGTGGCTTTCGCCCTGGACCCCAAGGACACCGTCGTGAGATGAAAGTCAAATATGTCCGCTCTCCCAAGCTTTGTCACAAAAAGACCGAATACAAACCCTCCGGCGCAGCATCCATATACAGTCCGGCACACGATTCGTGGTAATTTTTCCCACAGCCCAGTCCTTATCAGACCTCTCTGGTACAGGTCGACCATCTGTAGTTGGAGGAATCAAAGGCGGCCATTCATCAGGCTCCGCATTTTCCATCCGTTTTGATGCCATGAATCTGCGGATTCCAAGGTGTACACATCCGAAAGGCTCTCATCCTAAAAGATTGTTATCCCCGGCGCAACCAGCGCGGGTAGCGCCAGTGGGCGAGGAAGCTGGTTGGATCTAGCAACAGGCCGGCATCCTGGTTCCTCCCACAGCCAGGGCCGACATGAGACGGATATAACAAGACAAGAAACGAGCGGTCGCCATCAGTTGGTAGGAACTCACTGAAAAGGGAAAACATCATGAGCATGAGGTTGAGCCACCTGCAGGGTCAAATGGAGAACGTCACGTCCCTGAAGCACGGTATAGATGTCACAGAGAGATAGAAAGCGATAGAGAGGGTTGCCTCCACAAGTCTACGGAGTACGCTCCAGCGTAGGAGAGCTGACGTGCTGCGTGCTTTTGTGGAGCAATCGGTTATGCAGGGCTGCACATCCTTCCGGGGAGCATGAGAGGGATCTAGATTTGTGGTTGTGACGGTGGTCTGCGACAGCGTCGGAAGCAGAAGACCAGTTGCAAAGGCCATGACTTCCAAGCCACAGATTCATAGCGTAATGAGTCTGATGGCAAATTGGTTTCTAGGGAAGTTTCAGGCACCACCATATCTGTATCAAGGTACCCTAATAGTCTAAGGAGATCTCAGTGCGCATTGTAGGATTTAATATATATCCCTCACCATTCAGCAGCATTCCAACACAATGTGGACTATTTGAGCAGGTTAGATCAGGTTCTTGAGAGCAGACTTGATATGAGTCTGGGGACAATGCGATCAAAGGCTTCTAGGAAGCATTCGAGGATCAATAGATTGACCAGGAGTTGCCATGGATGGAAATACATTTCCTCTTTAGGTATTGTCCGGAATCACGGGGGCCCACGTGAATCCCTCCCAGTGGACTTAGTCTGGGTGACCAATCGTCGTTTAATATTTCCTTACCGCCTTGAGCCACTGTTTTTTTTTTTCTGCCTTTTTTTTCTTCTTCCTTCACGATGATAGACATCCACTTCAGTTGTTCTTGTGGCCAACTTCACCTCCTCGAATTCTTCAGAAGACGTCGCAATGGTGTCCAAGAAGGCGAACAAGTCTTCGCCCGCCAAAAATGTCAAAGGCAAGGGCAAGGTATGGAAAGCCATCTGACAGCCATGCGCAAATATGTACTGGCGGCCAGGCCTGGTTGTACTGATCGAATTTTCTACTTCAGAAGGCCGACAGCACTCCGATGCCCCCTACCCTGTTAATCGCCTCGATCGCCGCTTTCCTTTCCAAATCCGGCTTCACCAGCACCAGTGAAGCGTTTACAAAGGAATTGACCGCGAAATCTTTGAACAAAGCCGTGACCGAAGCGAAGAATGTGCCCTCGTTGCTCGGTATCTACAAATGGGACGGCTCGAGCAGCAGTAAGGACGAGAGCGACAGCAGCGATGACGACAGTAGCTCCAGCGACTCTGACGTCTCGATGAAGTCTGCTAGCTCGTCTTCGTCTTCGTCTTCATCCTCATCCTCGTCCTCGTCCTCGTCCTCGTCCTCCTCGTCGTCTTCTTCCAGCTCTGATAGCGATGCTGATGATGAAGATGAGGAGGATGAGTCTGAACCCGCTCCCGCTCCCAAAAGCCAGTCCCAAGGAGTGAAGCGCAAGGCGGATTCCAGCTCCTCATCTTCCGACTCGGACTCCGACGAGCCTCCCAAGACTAAGAAGACCAAGACGGAAGCCTCAACCTCATCCGACTCTTCCTCAGAATCGTCCTCTTCGGACTCGGAATCTTCTTCGGCTTCTTCCTCCTCGTCGGATTCCTCTTCGTCGGATTCTGAATCCTCCAGCGACTCATCATCATCCTCGTCCACCTCCGACTCCGACTCGTCCAGTTCTGATTCCGAATCAGAAGACGACAAGGCCGCCAAAAAAGCCGATAAGAAAGCCCTGAAGGCCGCGACCAAGACGCCTCTGCCCCCTTCCGACTCCAGCTCCAGCGGCTCGAGTGACTCCTCGTCGGATGACGACTCCGGCGACGGAAAGAAGAAATCCGACAAGTCGTCGGCCTCTAGCGATTCTAGCAACAGCAGCGGAACCCTGCAGAACTCCGGATCGGACGTCCCGAAGAACAGCAGCAGCGCTCAGCAGACCAGCTCCTCCAGCGCGAGCCCGGCCCCCGGCAACGGAAACAAGAAGAGACACACCGGCGCCCGCCCGACCCCCCTCGCTGTCCTGAGCGAGCAGCCTCATGACCACCCATCGAACGATTACGTGCCCTACGCCTATGCCGAGAAGGCCTGGAAGGATCTGTCCGTCACCCGCGGCAAGGGCTTCACCAAGGAGAAGAACAAGAAGAAGCGTGGTTCTTACCGTGGCGGTCCCATTGATATCTCCGGCGGCAAGTCCTTCAAGTTTGAGGATTGATTCCGAATCATACTCCTAAGATAGACCTAAAGAGGGGTGTCTCCAGTGAAGAAAAGTTTGTCGCTATTAATAGATCTAGATCTGTCTATTTAGATCTTACTGATCTGGATTGAATTTTTCATGTTCATTATGTCGAGCAAGGCGCTTTTGGAGCCGGACTGTTTCCTTTTATTTCCCTAGAAAGAGTATCTGTTATTAACATTGTTTCTGTTTGACATGACGCTGCAGTAGTTGAATCCGGAATATCATCTCGTTTAACGCTTTTAACTCTGACAATGATTTCAAGACATTCATAGCCCACTCCAAGGAATACCACCAACACCCCAGACACCAGCCGCCATTCTCTACCCAACTAACGAAGAGGGACGCCTCCACGTCTCCAAGCTCCAGCTGCCCCAAGCCGCTCCCACCTACGATCCCAACCGGTCAGTTCCTCGTTTGCAATATCCTCGTCGCCAACAGATTTGAAGGGCTGTTGCTTCCGCAGCTTCAACGGGGTGGTTGTGTCCCGAGGATCCGGGCGCTCATAACCTGATAGGTCCAAAACCCTGTCCACCGGGGAGGTAGTGACGTTGGCAGTGCTGGGGTTGAGGTCGATACGATCCTGATGCCACGCCTTGCACGGGCCAGTCAAGTCGTCGGTGGAGGCGAAATCCAAGCGGACGACCCCGTTGGCGATCCCAGTGTATAGGGTGGGTGACAAAGGCGACGGAGAGGACATGGTGTAGATTGCCCCGCGGTATGAGCGGTTTGCGTAAGATCGTGCGCGGCGGCGGTTTAGGACTTGCGGTTGATAGGATAGGAAGATGGATAAGTCTTTGCGGGGATATCTGATGCCGTCGATGACACTTTTCACGTGGTTACTGACCCCGTTTCCAGAACGGTGGTTGGGAGATTGGTTATACAGGCAGGTTAAAGATGCCCTGGCGTCCAGGTAGGTGTAGTTCTTGGGCATGCGGAGGTCGAAGATCTTGACAACTGCATCTCCACCGGCTCCCACCACGAATCGATCATTTCCCAAGGGGTGGACACAGTAGATAGGGTTATGGTCACTGTTGTCTCGGTATATCTTCTCATATGGCCTGTCGGAGCGAAGATCGTGAAGTCTGACCGCGCGATCGCCCCACGCTGCGAGGAAGATATTACCCGAGGATGGGTGCGAAGTTCGTGGAGAGAAGGGTGTGATGGCAGTGACGTTGGTCTTCTGTGCTAGGCCGACTTGCGAGTCAAGATCCAAAGAATCCACACCAATCACGCGGTCCAGTGATAATCTCTCCTGAGATATGGTGGAAACAGTCAACGAGTCATCTAGACGACCAGTGGCCACAGCAAAGCGTGACGGTGAGATGAATTTGGAGAATTTGTTGCGTGCCACCTTGTCTGGGTCGATGCGAAGGCGTGCAAATGCCTGGACCTCTGCATCCTCCGACGTGGTGCTGTAGAAAGCAATAGACCCGTTGCTGAAATGCGCCGCAAGAATCGGGTCTGGTCCATTAGAGAGATCGGTCCTTTCGAGCTCCACACCAAAGGTTAGGAATCGTTGCTTGTACTCGTACGCTGAGGTGACTGGCGCAATTGCAAGATGAACAAGCTCGCCCCGCATGCGACCAAAAATAATATGCTCTCTATCCCGCTCTTTTGCATAATGATTCGGTCTCAGGAGATGAAGGCCGCAAATGTCGTCATGGCTACTGATATGATCCAGATCGTCGAAGACAAACCACTGTTCATTTCGACCCCTCCCAGTCTGCCGGATGCGCATTACCAGCGTATCAGCCGCGCTCCAAGCGAGGACTTCTTTTCTGTCTTCCCATGTCTTGCCATTCCAGAATTCATACGAGTCAATCGCAGGACGATATCCATGGGTGGGATTGTCTCGTCTGATGGCTTGATGGCTTCCGACCTTCGCAGCATCTCGAGACGGGCCGACAAAGCGACCGATGACAGCATGTTTATCCAAAGCTCGAGAACGAGACGTCAGAGCCTGGGCTGCATCTTTCCAGAAAGGAGGTGTGTCAATGTGCGGAAAGCGGTGGCTTATGAAAGCTCGACAAATGCGCCAGTCATCTGCGGTGATGATGGTATGCAAGCGGTGGCAAGTTTGGGCGAGATGGGCGAGGGCGCTGGCAGTCGGGAGATAGCTCGCGATGTGATAGAGAATTTCAGGAGGTAGATCCACAAGCATCATGGACTGTCAACGCATGTAGCCAAATGCAGCAGATGTAGAAGGACTGATATTGCAAATCAAATGCCCGGTGATATCTTCACGGGGATCAGGTATATGCACCAAAGGATGCTGTGGGAGATAACAACAGAGGAAAAGACTAACAAAAGGATTATCGTGAGTCAGCCAAGGCATCCATGATGGCTGGTGAAAATTGGTTACCTGGTGGTTTCCGCGGCGATTGATCATTGTGCGATGAGACAGGGCTGTGATGTCAATCACCACAGCAATAGCCAGGAAAGAGAGGCGAATGGGCCATAGCGTGAGTCATACACGCATGATAGTATATCAAAGAGTCACTAAAGAAGAATATTATCGCTCTAGCGCATTTTACCCGTATATATTGAAGATTTGAAGAGAGGAGTTGAATATAAACGAAGCTGTGATTGTGATGGAGGTGGTTGTGCTTATGTCATGGTTGTTGCTCTTATCTTATCGCAAAGCTTCCCTCTCATTCATTGTGTGGGGTCGTTAACTAAACGAAACCCTCTCCACCCACCGTGACTCCTCCATCCAGAGAGACTTGACTTATTACTAAAGGATTCCTTTGAGTGACTCATAATAATACGACCTACATGCCTAACTGGCACCAGCTCTCCCAGGACCCAGTGGGCCGCGGCAATGCCTTTTTTCTCCAAATCTATGAGCTTGTGCGGGGGAGATTCTCCTAATGGAAGCCATGCTCCCCTAATGGAAGGTTTCCGCGATGTCACACAGTACCAACCATAGATAAGGACCACCCATGGGTCCTGGTCCGCTTCCCTCGACTCTCCACAGTCCTCATATCCAGTCCTTGGGCCCAAAATGGCAGTGTCAGCATTTACGGTAGTTGCTCTGGTTTCCCTGGGGCTCTTCGTTCTGTACAGGGTCATTATACACCCGGCGTTCATCTCGCCTCTGTCGAAAATCCCAAATGCGCACTGGACGGCTCCAGTATCTCCTGTGTGGATTTTGTGGAAGCGATACACCAGTCAGAATAATCGGACCATTCAGGCCGCTCATGAAAAGCATGGGCCGATTGTGAGGCTATCTCCCAATGAGATCTCGATCAATTGCGTGGAAAATGGCATCAAATCGGTCTATACCGGTGGGTTCGAGAAACACGATTGGTATCCCTTAGGCTTTGGATCTCTGGGGTAAGCAGATACCCCCATAAGCCCCGTAAGGATGCGAGACCGCTGACGAGGCCATAGAACCGTCAGTATGTTCACCATGACTGGCAGCAAACCACACTCGACCCGTAAGAGAATGATGTCCAACATATACAGCAAGTCATTTCTCCAGTCATCGCCTCATATGCGGCTGATCTCGGAGAACATTGTCTTCAGTCGTCTTCTGCCAATTTTCCAAGATGCAGCTTCAAGTGGAAAACATCTGGAAATGCACGATATCAATCAAGGTGTTACGATGGATTTCGTCTCTGCCTACCTCTTTGGACTAGCAAACGGGACCCGTTTTCTCCAGGATGAAGCCTACCGGAAGAAGATGCTTCATCTCTACCACTCCCGGAAGCCTTTTGAATTTTTCAATCAGGAAGTTCCCAATCTCCTCTCCTGGACCAAGGCCCTCGGGATTCGTCTGATTCCTAGATGGTGCGATGACGCTAATGACATTCTCGACCGATGGAATCTGGAGCTATGTGATAAAGCAGAGGCGTCCGTTGGATCAACGGAACTTGACGCCGAGCCTGTCGTCTACAAGCAGCTCAAGCAAGCCATGCTAAAGCATACCTCGAAAGAAGACAATCAAAACTCCGTCCCGGACACTCCCGAGAAACAGCGGATTGAAATCGCATGCGAACTGTACGACCAGCTGACAGCCGGGTTCGAGACCAGCGCTGTCGCCCTGACCTACCTCTTCTGGGAGCTGTCGCAGCACCCTGAACTGCAGACGAAGCTGCGCGAGGAACTTTTAACCCTCGATCCGTCGATTAGGTATCCTGCCACGTCAAAGATTCTCCCCTCGGCCAAGTCGGTGGACTCGCTGCCTCTCCTGGACGCAATCGTCACCGAAACACTTCGTCTTCATGCGCCAATTCCCGGAATTCAACCGCGAGTAACGCCCTATCCCTCTTGCAATCTTGCGGGATACACGGGCATTCCAGCAAACACAAGGGTAAATGCGCAAGCATACTCGTTGCATCGCAATCCCGAGGTGTTCCCTGAACCGGAAACTTGGCAGCCCGAGCGGTGGCTCAAGGATGGCAATTCTTCTGCCGAGCTTGAGGAGCGAAAGCGATGGTTCTGGGCCTTTGGAAGCGGGGGAAGGATGTGTGTAGGAAGTAATCTGGCATTGCAAGGTAGGTTGCGCCTCAGTCTCAGTCTGCCTGCGTAACGAGCAATCTCTAACTAATGTCTAGAAATCAAACTGGTCATCGCGTCCGTCTTCACCAACTACAGAACATCTATCGTGGATGATGATGGCATTGAGGCTATCGATGCTTACACGGTGAAGCCTCGAAGCGAGAAATTGGTACTGAAGATTGAAGTAGCCTAAACGCAGCACATGAATGGCAATATCATGATCAAATCAAAATCTTCTTTCTAGATATCACGTAATAATGTACAGAGATAAATGTAAAACGACCCTTTACCTCGAACAAACAAAACAGGTATGTATCTGTAGTTTCCAAAAGCCATAACTCCGGGTACAAATGGTCTCTTGAGGCCGTAGGACTCGGGTCGAACCTTCACGCACGATCCACCAAGACAACCGCAGGGCATGCTGCGCGTCCCATATCACAGATGTATTTGACGCGACGCTTCGCCCGAGATAACAAAAACACGCAGCATTAAACCGTACTTTAACCGAGGGTGCCCTCCTTCTTCTTGGGGCCGACGACCTTGGGGTACATTCTCATCAGGTGGTAGTTGATGGTGTTCTTCTTGTTGCCCTTGGGTTTCTATCCAAAGATCCGTTAGAACATATTCCGAATGGCATGGGTGTAAGTTGTACGAAGCCACATACCGGTGCATCCATGCACTGTCTCAACTGTTGCTCAAGAGCAGCACATCCCTCCGCCGTGTATCCAGAAGACGCCCAGCAGCCTGCGAACCAGTCAGCCCAGTCCAAGAAACACAAATAACCACCGCAATCGCAGTAGCCTCCCACGGGCAAAGCATACTCAGCATCGAAGACATCACCGTCACGCACGGGTTCTGCTCATGTTGATTCGGACGACGGACCCGGAGATGAGGAATGGTCTGCAGACGGACCGGGTTGAGACGGGTCGTGGCGCCTTTGACGGGCATTGTGACGGCGGCGATCGAGGATTCCTAACCTCCAGACGAAAAACTCCCAAGCGCGCGGAACAATCGGACAGCAGCGAACGCAGACAAGGATCGGAGACCGGCTGGAGATCCAGATCCAAAAGTTGTCGGAAGCCGGTCGGAGGTGCCAAGAACCCTGTTTGGCAATTTTGCCCGCCGCGATAGTGGCTGACGTAAGCTCTGGCCTTGTCCATACTCCGATAGCTCCCTGAGCTCTTTGTTGGATTGCCACTTCTTTCAGCCACGATTTGGTCGCCCTTGTATATAACGACGTGGACCGCGATGAGTGGAAGTCGCTTGGGGGTGTTTGGCGTCAGCAATGTGTCGGCCATTTGTGCGCCGCGGCGTCAGATACCGCGGTATTTCTCTACTGTGAGTCGACGGCAGACTGCATCGAAGACGGATGAGAAAGAGAGGGTCTCAGCTTCGGGGGATGAACCAAAGGAAGAGGGCGCCATGGCCCGCAGGCTATCAGAAATGACAGAGCAAGCTATGCTGGAAGGCGGCCGGTCCGCGCGCAAAAACATGCAGCAGGCGGGGTTCTCGGATGATCTGAAGCGCGAGCTGGAAGAGAGGATCGCGGCAAGCTCTTTCAAGAACGAGTATGCGGCGGCCAATTCCATTCTTGATATGCCGGTAGGTGCAGGGCTGTAACGTATAGGCGATGCATTGCTGATGACGATTCAGGCGAGCGCAGGACAAGGCACTCGCGATATTGCCTTAGCGGAACCCTGGAGTGGGACGGAAAATGTCCATGATATTACGTTACGCATGCTAGACAGCTCAGCGAAGAAGCCGATCCGTACGCCGTACAAGATTCCGCAGCCTAACCCCGTCGATATGCGAATCACCCCCAAACCGAAGAAGTCCGCAGGTCTCCGTCTCGCCGAAGCCAAAGAACGTACATCCGTATACTCTTTAAGTCAAGACCCCGGGATTTCGGACAAAGAGCGTGAGGCCATGCGGAGGGAGATGCGGGAACGATTCTCCGCGGGAGCTCGACCGATGCCCGCCACGATCCAAGGGCTGTCGTCACTAGCGAACGAACGGATCGAGGATGCGATGGCGCGTGGTCAGTTCGACAAGATCAAGAGGGGCAAGGGCATCAATACCCAGACGGACCACAATGCGAACAGTGCCTTTATCGATACCACAGAATACTTCATGAACAAGATGATCCAGAAACAGGAGCTGGTGCCGCCGTGGATCGAGAAGCAGCAGGAGCTTGCGAAGGAGGTCGACCGGTTCCGTCAACGTTTGAGGACAGAATGGAGGCGACATGCCGCGAGGCTGATATCAAGTCAAGGAGGGTCTTTGGAAATGCAAATGAGACGCGCCGATGCTTATGCCGCCGCAGAGGCTCGGTTGGCAGAGAAGGCCAAGATAGAGCGGTCGTTTCGAGAGATGGACGAGGATAGCGGCGAGTCCTTGTATTCGACGGCTTCCGAATCTTCCATACCGGAGACTGACGCTCCGTCAAAAGAACCGAACGAAGAGAGCGAGGCTTTACCGCACCTCTCGCCACTTCGTGACCCCAACTACCTCTCTATCGAACGTCCGTTCTACGAACTATCGGTGAAAAATCTTAACGCTCTCACGCGAACATACAATCTCCAAGCCCCTCCCGTTGCCCAGAAACCATACATCAGTCTTGAGCGCGAGTTAAAAGCATGCTACGCTGATGTAGCCCCGAGTCTCGCTGAGGAGATTAAGCGACGTGCCACGGAAAGGACGAGGCGCCCCGAGTCTGTGGGATCCAAGGCCAGTGGAATTCTGGACTCGTTGAGCACGTCTCACACTACTCGGGTGTATGAAGAGGACGAGGCCAAGGGATATGGCTTCAAAGAGTTTTGGCGCGATCTGTTTTCTAAAGAGAAATAGGAACAGCCGCTGTACAGTTTCTACATGGTATGTACACTGTATTATATGATCTTGACGCGATTAGAAATCTAGATCCTATTTGTTGCTACTCCTGACGCCTGTGAAGTTAGAATACACTACTGGATGAACCTAGTGATACAGTTCATTTGCTCCTCCTCACGACTCCCGGCGCTCCAATACTCCGAGTTCCACCGCGACTTCCTCGTCCCCCCTGACTGCAGCCCTCCTCCAATCCGTCCAGACCGAGAGAAAGCCCTGGGCAGTGCGAAAGATTGCCAGTCCTAGTAAAAGGGCATCCACGATCTGCAACGCTACTAGTTTGGCTTGTGCCCCGAGAGCCTCATTGAGTTGGGCCCAGATGACAAAACCCCATATCGCAGCAGAGAGGCCCAGCGCCAGAGCGAACAGGCACATCCAGAGATCGGCGAAATAGATGGCCCGTGCTCTCTTGTGATAGCGTGCGTCTCTGGCCTGGAGGGAGCGTCGCAGGGCATACGATCTCGCTGTCCTCCACCGTATCAAGTAAGCCGAGAACACCAGTAGTACGATGTGCACTCCCATAATGAGTCCTATCATCGTCCAGTGTTCCGATTGGATTTTCTTGGGTTTATCGGTGAATTTGATACCGCGCTTCAATGGGATCACAAAGTTACGCCAGGGGATCTTCGGCCAGCCGCCTTCGGGCCAGGCAGCCTGTCCCATTTCTGAGTCTCCAAAGGGTAGACGAGAGATGACTTCGACGTCGCCGACCCAGACTTCGTTAATGGCGTTTCCCGGCTCGTAGTAGCGGTCCGATCTGACGCCAGCGACGGAAGAGACTTTGTGTCCCATGAGACTCGGGTTGGAGTTTCGAATGCTTATGACTTGATGTGGGATAGAATGATGGTGAGTGTTAATGAAGTGAGTTCGATGTGGAAAAGAACGTGGTTGGAGTAAAGATTGTGATGTTGCTGTTTGGGGGGAGAGAAGGAGATGTGAGCAGCCCATGTTTTGCGAGGAAGAGCATCTTGCATCTGTTGTGAGTATAGATTGTAGAAGGAAGTATGCCTCCATTGCGATTTCCTTATTGGGAAGGCAGCCCTATATCGGCCTGAGGCAGGAACATATGCCATCCACGCCCTAAACCAGGAGTCTCGCCCTAAACCTCGAGATGATCCCTACTCCGTACATCCTACATTTCCCTCGCATACCACACAGAATCAACAATTGGTCGATAACATAACTCCACAAAATGATCAACGCTCAGGGACTCGCTCTCTTCGGATCCTCACTGGCCAACTCGGCCGTGTGATGGATGTGCCAGGCATGCAGCTGGGCGCGTATTTGCACCAACGACAGGCGTCCGATGTCTCCCGCCGCCAAGTCACTTTCTCCCCTCAACCTTCGGGCTGTTTCTTCACACTATCACATCCAATCACCCCGGTAGAGGCTGCGGTTATATCACCCATCGCCCCCTCCTACTGCCAGGATGCCGTGTGTTACTCTGGCTCGTTCCGTAAGGGATTTGCGGCCTCGCGTGCGATCCAAACCGTCTCCGGTCATGTCGAAGGGCCCTACTTAAACTATGGCTCTGTATCGGGGGTCACCAAACATGATGCCCGTTTTCATGATTCTCGCGATCATTCTACTATCTCCTGTTGCCGCTGCTGGATCAGTATTGCAGGAGTCGTCGCATTTTCTCTCCCGTTTGCACCGCCGTGCGAACAGCTTCTCGACTGACCCCCCGTTGGATGAGCCGCTTCTGGCGATCCAGATCGGGGGCATTGTCGGTGCCTACGTGATTTTTGTTGCCATTCTCCTAAGCCTGTTGCTTTTTGTCGGTCGACGGCTGCGACGAACGGTGCAAACCTCCAACTATTCCCTGCAGATGGAAATGATGAGGCCAGTTAAGTCCTCTATCAGTTTAGATCCTAGCCCCATCACCCCTGTATCTGCACACCTTCCGCCGCCAGGAAAGATGAACGGCTCCCATGGATCCTGGAGCACCTTGACCAAAGGGTCCCGGTCTCATCTCTCCGGCAACGGTAGCGTTGGCACCATCGATGAGTCGGTGGTGACAACCGACCGACGCAGGGCACAAGAAGATTTGGAGATGCTCTATGCGGCTGTCATGGAGTATGACGAGCAGAGGGCGGCGGGGAAGGATCCCATGCGCGACGAGAAAGAAGTGCAGTCGCCCGACAGTGCTCAAAGCAATCCGTTCACGGATCGGGCGTCGAGAGTGTCAGACCAACCACCTCTCACGCAGATGGCTCCCATGAGCCCCCGATCCAGTTCGCGACTGTCCAAGCTCTCGTCGATGTCGCTGTTCAACTCCAACTCTCGTCCTCAGGCAAATGTCAGCAAGCTGCGGTCTCCCCGACTCCCTCTTCGGAAGATGTCCATCTCTTCTCCTCTGGCGTCTCCGGACGTGCATGCTACCACGTCCTATGGCCAGGAGCAGATGCCCTTGAGTCCGCGACTCTACAATCCTCCCCCTCCGCCGGCGCCCCCTGGTGCGAGCCAGATCTCTCTTGGGAAGCCACCTGGGGGCCGGGCACCGGCCCCTGCTCCATTGAGTCTGTCTACTCCCGGGCAGAGCAAGTCGTCTCTGCCGTTCCGGGACGCGTATCCTCTGCAGAGTGCGCCCGCCACAAAGACGACGGTCTTGGAACGCCCGGCGAAGCCTTTGAATGGACCTCGCACCGGACTGCCCACTCCATACAGCCCGTACATGCCATTTACCCCGGTGACGCCGCTCACACCCAGCCGAATTGTGACGAGGAAGCAGCGAAAACGAGAAGCGAAGGAGAACGGGTTGCGGGTGCTGAATGAGGATGATATAGTTCGCGATGATGAAGAGGTGTGGGGGTATTAAGCTGGTAGATACGATCTGACGACAATGTTGATGATTGCTATTTATACATACCGTACTATCTGTTGTAGTGTTTCAGTATGGGCAGTCGTACAGAAGTAGTACTCCGTACTCCGTAAGCTGCCAAGCTTGATGATATCCCCGCAGTGGCAACACACCACCACCACCACCACAACAAACAACCTCATTATCTCCGACATCCCCAATCGGGATTCGCATGATAAGCACGGGCATGACAGGAATAAACCCCGCAACGCCTATCCCGACTCCGAGCCGAAGAGATTATCTACGTGGACTCGTGTGACAGACACCAAGAAGGATGACCATCCCACGGTCCTTCAAGCCCCGCTTGGTGCGCCCGAGAGGTCTTGGACTGTCGTCATCTTCGGTGGACCAGACGCGGATCGCAGCGAATATGAATAATACTAATATCCAAAGATAACACTCATAAGCAGGCGAGATCTCCTCGATCGTTGTTCTTTTCGAGTGATTGTTTTGGTCGCCTGTCGTCGGTTTGGGTCGCCCAGTGAATACAATTGACCGTTTGCGACCACTCGTCATCGGAACCAGACATTCAGCGACTGCGCCTCTTGGACCTCTCTTAGCCCATAATAACTCTCGCCCGCATTGATCGCTGGTCGACGGTGGATTGTTTATCTATTTACTGATTCATTTCTGTCCAACAATCGCCCCTCATGCCATTGACTATTCTCTCCCAGACGCAGCTCCGCTCGCTGCTCCTCTCCCTGACCCGCGATGAAATTATCGCGCTTCAACAGAATCTCAGCAAATCCCTCCAAGAGTACTCGACCGGAAACCAGGAAAACGGCTGTTCGGCGACCTACCAACCGCAGAGAACCGCCATCACCCGACGAAATGGCTGCACGACGCTGTTCATGCCCGCCAGCACGGGCCACACCATCGGCATGAAGATGATCTCGCTCCAAGACGGGGGGACGGCCGGCTGCGCTGTCGACAGCGGCGTTGACATCCCAGCCACTGATAAGGCCGCCATGGGCTCTCGCGGTCCGCGAACCTCGATGGCCTCGGTGGCCTCCGACCTCAGCGAGCTGTCCATCTCGTCGCAGGAGGAAGAGCGGTCCTCGAGCACCTCCAGCGCCTCCCTCCCCTCCGGCTGTGTCAACAAACTCCCCGTCGACACTGGCCTTTCCAACACCATGGGCGCCTGGCCCGCAGCCGGCACCCGCGATACCTCGCCGCAGGGGAGCGTCACGCTGCTGGACGAGGAGAGCCTGCCGTTCGGGCTCATCAACGCACACGAGCTGACGCCGTTCCGCACGGCGCTGACGTCGACCATGGTGTTCAACAAACGCAAGCGGGTGCGCACGATCGTGGTGTTTGGCGCCGGGAAGCAGGCATACTGGCACATCCGGCTGGCGCTGGTGCTGCGGGGGTCGGATATCAAGCGCGTGTACATTATCAACCGGTCGTTCGACCGCGCCGCGCAGCTGCTACGGGATATTTACTCGCCCGAGAACGCCGGCTGGCGCGGGGAGGTGAAATTCTCCGCCGTCAGCACCGACTTTGGCGAGTACTCGCGGGTGATCCACGATGCGCTGCGCAAGGCCGACGCCATCTTCTGCTGCACGCCCTCGGTCAAGCCACTCTTCCCGGCGCATCACCTCACCTCGCGCGAGGGCCGACAGAAGGGTCGCCTCATCAGCGCGATCGGGTCGTACAAACCGCACATGACGGAGCTGGATCCCGAGATCCTCCGGGAGGAGGTCAATGTGCAACCTTCACATCGGCACTTCCACAAGCATGTCAAGCGCAGCGGGGTCGTGGTGGTGGACAGCCTGGATGCGGCGCTCAAGGAGGCCGGCGAGATCATCCAGGCGGAGGTGAAGCCCAACCAGGTGGTGGAGCTGGGCGAACTGTTGATGGTACGACAGGCGGGTCAGGATCTAGGACAGGAGGACGAAGATAGTATAAGTTTGCGGGAATGGATTCAAAAGGGGAATGTGATATACAAGAGCGTGGGATTGGGGTTGATGGATCTGGTGACGGGCGGCGATCTGGTGCAGCTGGCGCGGCAACGGAAGATCGGCACGACGGTGGAGGATTTTTGATCTTATCTGTAAATCAATAGAATGGAACACTTATTGTATATACTCGCATCCTTGCAGATTTACATGGATGACCTAGTGTCGTTCTATATCGCCGTAAATGGAAGTGGGCCGTGACATCAACGGTTCTCGCGTCATACCACTTCACACCGTCGGGCTTTTTTTTTTTTCTTTTCTCTTCCTCCCTCTCACCACATTCAAAAGAAAAAAAATGCAATCGAGCAGTGTCGGGTGGAATTCGGGCTGATTCCGATCCATCAGTCACGTCACCTATTTTCGTTACGCGATCAGTGGGAATCTCGTGTCCCGAGGGGTCGCTGATCATCCCACTTGTACTCCGTACAGCGGCGGGCATTGAGAACAGCCCACCACCGACTTTTCTCTTCTACGGAGTACTCCGTATCGATTCTTCCTTCCCAATTTCTCTTCCGATTCTCACCTACTATTCATGCGTGAACCACCATGCGTAACAACGTCGTCCACCTCCCGAACGGCCAGTTCTATAGCGTGACGCCCGTCTTTGGCGGGGTCAACTTCAAATCCAGCGACAACCACCTCAACAACTCGTTGATCCCGCCCGGATGGACCGTCGTCCTCTACACGCGGCAGCCGACGGCGACCCAGAAACAACAGGGCTCCGAATCGCACGACCGTCCGCCCAGTCGCGGTCGCGAGGCGGCCGAAAAAGATGACGCGAGGTCCTCGACCCGGTTCACCGTGCCGACCCTGCACGACGACTGCCTGTATCTGTCGTACATTGTCAATCCGCCCGACAGCGAGTACAGACCCGCCGCGTCGCCGTCGCGCCAGATAGCCATGATGCTCTGGGTCACGCTCTGGTGGTACTTCCACGAGGATGAGCCGTCGCCGTACCTCGAAACCGACGCGGCCGCCAACACACCCACCCGGGGCAAACCCAAGGGCGAGTGGCGCATCAACATCAAGCGCGAGGGCATCTTCCAGGGCCGCAACGTCCTCCCCAAGCTCGAGCGTATGGGTCTCATCTCGACCGAGGACTCCGCCGTCGGCACCGACCCCTACGCCGCCGCATCCTGGGACGCCATGTTCGTCAGTCGCCGCGCCTTCTGGCAGATCGACCCGCGCCTCTTCCTCTTCACGCTCAACCCGAAATGCGGCCAGCACCCCATGACCGGATCCTTATCCTTCCTCTCCCACCGTCTCGCCTCGCCCACCCGCGAGAACATCTACCCCCGGGACGCCAACACCCCAACCTCCAGCAGCGACCAGCGCCCCTTCACCCCGAAAGAAACTCCCTACACCTCCGGCAGCCATCTGCCCACGTACTACCCGCCGCCGCCGCCGCAATACACCTTCACCAACGGCGTACGCCACCCCATCCGCCCGAAACCCCCGCACCAGGGCGAAGTCTTCTACGTGCGCTACGTCCCCAGCGTCCAGCAGTACCTCTCCTTCCGGGTGCCGAACCTGCACGCGCCGGACGCCAAAGGCCCGGCCGGCTCGGCGCTCTCCTCACCTACGATGCACCCACAGCCCGACACGCCCTCCGATCTCGAGCTCCTGCACAAGTGGATGAACGACGCGCGCGTCAACGCCGCCTGGGGCGAGGGCGGTCCCATCGCCAAGCAGGAGAACTTCCTGCGCACCAATCTCAACAGCCGCCACAGCTTCCCGGTTATCGGATGCTGGGACGGCAAGCCCTTCGGCTACTTTGAGATCTACTGGGTGAAGGAGGACCGGCTGGGCTCGCTGATCGGGAACGCGGCCAACTACGACCGCGGTATTCATCTGCTGATCGGCGAGCAGGAGTTCCGTGGCCCGCATCGCGTGGCCATCTGGTTGAGTTCGTTGGTGCATTATTGCTGGTTGGCGGATCCGCGGACGGAGACGGTGATGCTGGAGCCGCGGGTGGATAATGAAAAGTGAGTTCTCCTGTTAGTTGTATTTGGATCGTACTAACGAGTGTAGGGTCATTGGGTATTTGAGACATTCAGGATTCTATAAAGAGGGAGAAGTGACCTTTCCCCACAAGCAATCTGCTTTGATGAAGATCAAGCGAGACTCTTGGGAAGGTCCTGTTTTGTGATGATCTATAATGAACATTCATGAGCTTTACGTATTATACTTGACAGACTAGGTTTCAGATATGTAGATAAAGGACGACTCAAAAAAGTCGATGAAGGTCTCGGTACTACTTTGGTGATTTTCTCTCCCCGTCTCTTCAGTAAGGGCATCGGCTATCTAGTGTATTCTGTTTCCCCGGTCGATATCTATCTACCTTTCGCTGATGCATCGCGGGTCCGGCATGTCAGATCACGAACACGAGATAATGGTCCGCAGTCTGCGCAGCGGTGCAATGATTGCAGGTGCAGGCCTAGCGAATCCTAATCCAGAGCACGAGAGAAAGCTCCTCCTGATGTTCCCAAGGAATGCTCCCCCGCTTCATTCCAGGTGCACTGGTAGACCTCGTCGTCTACGATACGCGCGCGGCAACAGCGCGGTATCTGCTGGGAAGGTGCCGTTTCCGAGCCAAGCTATATAATAGAAAAGGCTGGCGGTGGATTTTGCAGGATCTTCTGCGCATGTTGACAAACTATACGCCTCCATGCTAAGAAGCATTGACCGACGTACAGCCGTCACCACAAAATATGCCAATCATCGGTGACCATGGCTGCGTACCCTAATGGCATGTTCCAAAGTTTCTTGCTATGGACCTGTACAGTCTACTTAGCATGGTCTGGACCCTTGGACTGACCAGGATAGGCACGCCGTATTCGCTATTTCTCGAGTCGGTGACGATGTCCACATATTCGGAAGAATTGTAGCGCACCCATCTCTGGTGAACATCGTGTAGCTCTGTCGGCATGACCCTCACCCACACATCCGTCTTGGAAAGCTTCAGATATCCCTGTACTTCTCGTCCTTCCGAACACGCCCCGTTTTTGCCAGCACCTGGGATTGGAATCGGAACCGTTGGAGGGCCGCTTGGCCATGGACTCTGAGACTCCCATTTCGAGGCGGTCCTTGGGTCTGTCCTTGAGTCACCCGCCACGATGGGTCAATTATACTGTTGAGGCTAGGATGGAGGACCCTAGATCAGTCAGCTTATCGCTCCAACAATTCAACACTCAATGACTTACGCAGATAGTCCGGCATGGCCCGTCTCTCCTCTGGCGATAGCACCCACGGAAACCAAGTTGTTGGATCAGATAGAGTCGGAAACGGGTGGCACCTCCCGATAGATATGGACGAGGGCCACCACCGTCTTGCCCAACCCACACTGATCTGCCAAGATCCCTCCGGCGGCCGGACCCTGTTCCTGACGCGACATCCCAACGGTACGGTCCTGTGCTTCGCCCAGGAGCTTGTACGAAGGCTGGCAACTGTCTATAAGTTGGTTAGCTTGCGGAAACCGAGGGAATTGGAGAGAATGTGAAGGCTTACTGAGTGTATCAGAGCTGTTGTTCGATGCCTGAGCCTCCGTGCTGTCCGAAGCGGTGGGAACAGCGAGAATCGCCTTGAAGAAGGTTGTAGTATTCTCATTGAGCGAATTATATGCTCGTAGCGGCTTCGGCATTCACTGGACCCTTTGTAGGCATCGCAATGGGTACAGTTTCGTCTGCGGAGAGAGCCCGTCGCAAAAGTGGCATAGATGCCCTGGCGATTATCTGCTCAGACATCAAGGGGTGACAAAAGATCAGCCTTTGACCATGTCTTTTCTTGGAAAGATCGCGAACCTGGGAAGACATGCCGGACATGAATTCAGGCCGCTCCAGGGGTTTTACCAGGTTCCGGGCAAAATGCGTTCTGGGTGCATGTCCAACAGGTTGTTACTTCGTCGACGTAACAGCACCAAAGGTGACCATGTATATACGAGAAGCCAACATCAGAAGACAAGGGTCCGCTCATTGAGCAATAGTATGCTCAGCAGTCCATCAATCATGCAATGTATTGTCTTCCTATGAGGAGCCTCAGTATGATAAGGGGAGGGAGAGCGGTCCTGAATACTTATCTGTTTGTATGAATATTAGGGAGTAAGCTCATCGCCTGCGAGGATGGGATTGGCAAGACAATTACTGGCTTCATGCATCAGGGTCCAAGCAGCGGCTTTGGCCTGAGGGATTGATATTGAATATATAGCTTTGGAAGTCGTCCGACAGCTGGACCAGGAGTGGACCCAAGGTTGAGGTATTCAGGTGGGCACTGAGAGGTGTAGTGAGAAGGACGGTGTATATATATGGGAGACGAATGGGGAAGAAGGATTGTGAGCTATCTTTATAGCCTAGGAGATGAGAGTATACAAGGGAGACATGGTGAAGAGAGTATAATGGAAGTCAACATGAATGACCGCAGCAGCTCAGTGAACTTGTATGGCATCTCGATGTTAATATAGTTCTCTTATTGAATAGGTATATTAAATTAACACAATAATATGTCTTCAAAGGTTTGTCACTTGAATCTGCCGTTTTCCGGTGGGACAACGGCGTTGGTACAGAACAGATACTACAAACAAGTATCCGTTCCGCCGCCGTCCGTTGTCTCTACTGTAGTTTCAGTCTTAAGGGACCCTTGCAGGTCTAGACTCTCCGTACCATGGTAATTGGTGGGCCGCTCGGCTAAAATGGCACTTTTTGATCATTTCATTGTTATTCTTAGCCCTAGGGCCGCCCAAGCTGGAACTAGTATACTCACTATCGTATAGCGCCATGAGCTTAGCCGCTGCTTACCATCAAGGGTCTGCCCCCTTTTCGCAATTTCTTTCTTGCCCGGAGCCTCCGTAAATGAGGCAAAAATGTAAGACACGGCGTACTTAAGGATGGTCTGTTGACCCTCCTCGTGAATACACCTTCACATCACTCCTCATACCAGACCCTCACCATGCTGTGCAAGACTCTCGCCACTCTTCTCCTCGCCGCCACAGCGCTGGCCACGCCAGCCCCAGAGGTGACTGCCACCGCTGAGTCGTTTGGCACTGATTTCGACAATGGTACCATTGCATCAGCCTCCTCCGCGGCCGATGCTTTCCTTGCCGATATCCCCGACTCCATCTTGTCGGTCATGGAGACCGCCGTCCCAACTTCCTGGCAAATGGATATCCTCACCGATCCGGCCTTTCGCGCCTCCGTCGCCAGTGCCGCCGCAGAGGGCTCGTATCCAGCCTGGTACAACGAGCTCCCGAGCAGTGTCAAGGCCTGGGCGACATCCGTGGGTGTACAAATGTTCGGCGACTTACCAACTGCCACCGCGGATAGCGCGTTCCAGACGGACTCTAGCCTTGAGGCTGGATCCAGCTATCAAGGTGCCAGCCAGACTGTGAGTCAGACAGCTTCTAATGCTGCCCTGACTACTTCCGCCGGCTCCTCCCATGCCACCACCTCCCACTCAAGCTCGAGCTCGGCGTCGGCGTCGGCTTCGGCTTCAGCCTCGTCTGCTCAGTCGACGGGCGGTGCCCCTGCTCCTACCGGCGGGGTTGCCATGGCTGTTGCAGGTGGAGCGGGTATCCTCGCTCTTGCTCTTGCTCTGTAGGTGCATTGGCCATGGCATTCATGTTTCAACTGAGTCTCCAATGTATATAGAGACCACCCGAGTTGAGGAACAATCGAACATCTCGGTGCTGTATAAATAGTTCATAAGTGATTGTTACTTTGATCCGTCGTATATATAATCTGGCTATGGCATGATATCCAACCCTGATATTAAGTTAATTGTTGATGCTGTGGATGGTTACATAAGCAATATCTTCAGGGTTTCCGCATTGGGAAATCCTGATCCCGACCGGAAAAGGAAGTATTTCAACTTCGCTCCAGATTCACTCGGTTCTGGCATTCTACGCCAGCTCAATCTGTAAGTTGAGCCCTTAATTCTTTGCAAACACCGACTAACGTGAGAACAGCAACCATATGTGCGACTTGAAACAATGCCAACTTCCACCTCGAACAAGCACAACTAATCCCCACGATATAACACGCACAGACAGACCGAGCGGAGATATTCTCCAGACAATCCTCCGAGTACTTCGTTCTCCGTACATTGCCATCCTCAACTATGAAGAATCCCGCAAACGTCACCCGCATGCGACCAACTGCGCCCGGCGTCTAGTCACGCAAGGAGTCGAGCGACCAAGTCGAATGGATGGATGAGATCCCTGAACCCTGAACAGCAATCGGAACACCTTCATCCCCTAGACTAGTCGAACTACGCGCCAGCAAAGGGTTCGTGGGGCCCGAACGCACTGCATCCACCGCCGATCGACTGTGGCTTCCATGGCGATCAGCTCCGTCCATGCGACTTGTCAGCATTCTTCGTCAAGACTATTGATTTGATTTTCTCTCTCCCACATTCCTCTGTCTCTATCTCGGCCGTCTTCTCTCCCGTCGGCGTCTTGACTTCCCTTCTGTTTATGTCGGTCGATCCGAGCCACGATGTTTATGGTCGCCTCGATCCGGCCGAGTTTGCGTTGACCTGACTCGCTGTGCTCGTCCTTATTACCTATTGTTTCCTTGGGATGGTTTGAGGTTAATGTTTGGCTATGTGTATGCTCCCATGCACTGCGTTTGATTCGATTCTGTCCTAATCGAACTCATACCCATGTAAACACGCTGATGACTTCCACTACAGCTGCCAAATCGCTCACCACCGCGGCCACGCTCTTTGCGGGGCCCGGGTCAGCAAACAACGCCAGCCCGGCCGTCAATGTCGTTCCCGATCTCGCGCTGACGGGGTTACGAGGATGCCCACTCACCCGCCGACAGGACAGCGCAACCTTCCACTTCGTGCTCGACGGCACCATCCAGACCCTCTCCACGCAAAACACCCCGGACACTGGCCCCATCAAGGGCCTCCTGTTTGTGCCCAGTCTCAGCGCGCGCGACCCGTGCAACAACACCACCGCCCCCTTCATCCCCGCCAATGCCACCCGGCTGCAGGACGTCCAGCGCTTCGGATACCAGACGATCGGCCTGGCGCCGTGGGTCTCGGACGACTGCACCAAGGCGTATCTGAACGCCTCGGGCGAGGCGGGCAGCGACGCGCTGGTCTTTTTTGTGCCGTCCAACAACGACACGAAGCCGCCCGGCCCTGACGATCCGTCCTGGCTGCTGGACGGTGACGACGGCTGGAAGAGTCGCGCCCTGTTCCCGGTGTATGCGATTCCAGGCACCGCGGGTGCCACACTTATGCAGCAGCTAGCGACATACGGGAACAACGCAGATAGTGCTGCGGATTCCAACGGGAGCTCGTTTCTGCAAGCACCGACTGATATTCGATTGTTTACACTGATAGATTTGGGTATGTGTTCTGAGGACTTGGCTGGACAAGGCTAATGCGAGCAGACCGCGGCGATAAGAAGATGCCCAGTCTGTGGGGGTTCATCCTGGCCATCGTCGGGACGATCCTAGTGCTCAGTATATTACTTCTGCTGTGTTATCAGCTCGTGCAGAAGCGACGTCGCGAGAATTTACAGCGACGCATCGAAGCCGGCGAGGCAGATATTGAAAATCTGGGCCTGCACCAGATGAAAGTGCCGCAGGAGGTGCTCGACTCGATCCCGGTATATACATACCCGGACGTCGACTCGCTCAGCGACAAATCGTCGCACCGATGCGCAGACGTCGCATCCACCCGCTCGACGGACGAAATCCGCGAACCGAAAGACGAACGAGACGACAGCTCGCACTGCACAGCGAGCGTCTGTCCCGAAGAGGACCGCAAACCGGATCCCCACATCACCACCGCGGCATGCCCCAAAAAGCAGCCCGACGAATCCGAAATCCAAGCGGACATCGCCTGTCTGTGTCCCACACACCCCAACCTCACCACCGC